CCTCAGGGACAACCTCAGGGACAACCTCAGGGACAACCTCAGGGACAACCTCAGGGACAACCTCAGGGACAACCTCACAGCAAGCCCCAGGAGCTTGAATACACCACGGAAGTTGTGGACAGGTTCACTACATACTTTCCACAGCCAACAACATTGACCTACAATGGGAAGACCTACGCGGTTCCGTCCCCCACTACCCTTACTATCACAGACTGCCCTTGCACAATTGTCCGACCCGTGCCAACAGCCCCTGTCGTACCCATTGTCTACTACACCACCGAGATTGTCGACGCGGTCACGACATACTGTCCTCATCCTACAGTTATCACACAGGGAACACGGACGTATACTGTCACTCGGCCAACAACCTTGACAATTACAGACTGTCCATGCACGGTCACCAAGCCCTATACTACCATCACAGTCAGCAGGCCAACGCCTCCAAAGGCAGCCAGCACGCAATCGACTACGGCCACCAGGACAAAATCAAAGACCAGGACTAAGACAAGGACTAAGACTAAGGCAACCCCCACCACAGGCGGTACAAAGACCACAAGCAATGCCGAGACGACCACGGGTGCCGGAGCTACCACAGAAACCAAAACCACCGAGACCATGACAGGCATTAAAACTACCACTATCACTGAAGCTACGACTGGCACCGAAGCTACTACTAGCACGGACATGGAGTCTACGACTAGCACTAAAGCTACCACTGGCACTGAAGTTACTACTGGCACTGACATGGAGTCTACGACTAGCACTGAAGCGACCACTGGCACTGAAGCGACCACTAGTACTGAAGCGACCACTGGCACTGAAGCGACCACTAGTACTGAGGCGACCACTGGCACTGAAGTTACTACTGGCACTGACATGGAGTCTACGACTAGCACTGAAGCGACTACTAGCACTGAAGCGACTACTAGCACTGAAGCGACTACTAGCACTGAAGTGACTACTAGCACTGAGGCGACTACTAGCACTGAAGTGACTACTAGCACTGAAGCTACTACTTCCACCGAGACGGTCAAAACCACTGACACGTGGATTGAACCAACGGCAACAACTACGTGTACCGACGCGGAGGAGACAGACCATCCTGGCGGTCAAGGAAAGTGCCATGGCAACGGTCAGGGCCACGGTAACGGCCAGGGTCACGGTAACGGTCAGGGCCACGGTAACGGTCAGGGCCACGGTAACGGTCAGGGCCACGGTAACGGTCAGGGCCACGGTAACGGTCAGGGCCAAGGCAATGGTCAAGGCCAAGGCAACGGTCAGGGCCAAGGCAATGGTCAAGGCCAAGGTAACGGCCAGGGCCATGGTAACGGTCAGGGCCAAGGCAATGGTCAGGGCCATGGTAACGGTCAGGGCCAAGGCAACGGTCAAGGCAATGGTCAGGGCCATGGTAACGGTCAGGGCCAAGGCAATGGTCAAGGCCAAGGCAACGGTCAGGGCCAAGGCAACGGCCAGGGGCAGGGCAACGGTCAAGGCAATGGTCAGGGCCAAGGCAGTGGTCAGGGCCAGGGCAGTGGTCAGGGCCAAGGCAATGGTCAGGGCCATGGTAACGGTCAAGGCCAAGGCAACGGTCAGGGCCAAGGCAATGGTCAAGGCCAGGGCAACGGCCAGGGCCAAGGCAACGGTCAAGGTAACGGCCAGGGCCATGGTAACGGTCAGGGCCAAGGCAATGGTCAAGGCCAAGGCAACGGCCAGGGCCAAGGCAACGGCCAGGGCCAAGGCAACGGTCAAGGCAATGGTCAGGGTCAAGGCAACGGCCAGGGGCAGGGCAACGGTCAAGGCAATGGTCAGGGTCAAGGCAACGGCCAGGGGCAGGGCAACGGTCAAGGCAATGGTCAGGGTCAAGGCAACGGCTGAGGCTGATAGCCAAGACCGACGACCGAATTTACCCTTTTCCTCAAATTACCTCTTCATCTGCGGAGTATAGGTGAGCACTTACACCTGAGTAATCAAATGGGAGAAACTTCGATTCTGCAAGAGTATTCCTTTTCAACGTTTATGACCCATGAACAATTGATTGGCTGTCGTCCGCTCGAAACTATCTGGCAAGTCTGACCGAGGACGGCTTCTGTGAAAGAGAGATAGGATCATGGTAATGATTCAACTAGATGAAACGACTAAGTTCAGCAACCGATCGAATAGGTGACTGACTTCCAAAGACTCGACTTCCTATAGTAACGACTTTGTTACTTGGGCCGTCTGAGTGTGATCGCAATGTCTCAGCTGTTGACCAGACGGTGCCGCATTCTCCCCTCTATGGTGCTCGAGAGGGAGGAATGTTCAGAATCTCCAACCGCGACCATGTCATGGTCTGTATTGCCTTTGCATCAAGCGCAATCATGGTCTCTCGGCGCCTCCGTAATTGTTCTTTCTTCAGCCTTGATATCCCACATGACATTGAAAGTGGACGCTGTTCATGCCAATCAGGAGACGAAAGAACTGTGACCCATTAGCAATAAGGAGTCAACAGTGTGCACGTATTGAACATCAGTGAAGTATTGTGTGGCACCATAGTGTCGTAATCCCGTTTTATTCATTGCTGATGACCAACCCAGTATACTCATTGAGGCAACTCGGCAATCTTCTCATTAAAGACCGTTTCCGCGCGCTTCCAGACACCATCGGTATCCCTCTTGTCCAGGGTCAAAAGGCTGGGAAGCAGGAGCGAAGAGAACTCATCACTCGACTCGCGCGCCACCAAGGTTGGCAGGTGATCGATGGAGATGATCCTCAGCTCTGGGCCTTCGGGAATCTCCTTCGATGTGGGTACAGTTGGCTTGTCGAACGTTGACCACGTGGAGTAGATGGGAATGGGGTTGTTCTCGCTGTTGGGGTCGCAGCTGACGTCGCAGATGATGCGCAGGCGGCGATCGGCCTTGTTGAGGGTCTCGAATGTTACAAACGGTGGGATCTTGTGGGGGCCAAGGTACACGCAGTTGATGAAAATGTCCGATTCCACAATCTCCTGGAAGGGGCCTCCCTTCTTGGTCTCCTCCATGTCCCACTTCAGGATCGAGTCCTCGGGGATGCCCGCTGTGCGGAACATGTCAGTGGCTCCCTTGCCGCACCGTCCCAAGGCGCCAATGACAATGCCGCGAGGGTACTTGCCGCCGTTGGCCGCGACAGCAGGTTCCAAGTTCGCCTTGATCTGTTCAGCGAGGGCAGTAGCCGAGTCGTATGTTGGCACATGTCCCAGAGCCTCTCCAGGGTTGAGGATCTGGTGCGCCCAAGCGAGCAGTGCAATCGCGGTCCCGGCGTACCCTGCCCAGTAGCCGAAGGCGGCGACGCGGCGGCCGTTTTCTTCCGTGACTGGGATTTTGTGTCAGTTGACTGCTGGTAGGGGCGAACTATGGAGACTCACGGAACTCGAGGTCGTAAAGCTTGCCGCCGCCGCGAGCGAAGCGGGAGAGGTTAGCCTCCCATCCGTCCTGCTTCTTGAACGCGTGTTGAAATGAGATGCTGCAAGCTGTTAGAAGGAGATGGAGAGGTGGTGGTCTTGCCAAGTATTACTGTGCATGCTCCAATGGCCTGTCGTCCTCAGGGAGCTCCTTCAACCCCAGGATGACATCCTCCTTGGGTGCCTCACGCCATGATCCGGCGGGGACCAGCTCAGCGCCAACTTTCTCGTATTCCTCATCGTTGTAGATGCGGTCGGGGGATCGCTCGACGCGAACAATGTAGCCAGCATCGAGGAGGGCCTTGGCGGAGACAGGCGAGACTATGCGAAGGGTAAATTGGCGGTCAAGACAAGACGAGGAACGTGTGCTTACGCGACGTGCGGCGCTCAAAGGGCTTGGTGTCGACTCTGTGGTGGATGACGGTAGGCATGATGGGCGAATTGGTTATGTTCCGGCGTACAAAGATGGGCAACTGTGGAGGGCGAAGATTTGTCGTGTTGGTGCGCGCCGCGATCGGAATGCTGTGACTGATTTCACATGACGCAGGGTCCCTTGAGCTGTTGGTGGGGTTGCTAGTGAGGGGCACATTGTAGCACGTGACCTGTACAAACGAAACGAACGCTCCGGCAGGTACAGTAATTAGAACCGTAGAAGGCGTTTCGAGCGAATGCATGCTCTGATTGCGGGATGCGCGTGTCTAAGAGTAAGTTTAGATAACTTTGTGACTCAACGCAGGTGCACCACGATGTTGTCTTATCAAATTCTCAAGCTATTTCTACAAAGCGCAACGGTATATAAGTTACGTTTTCATCTTCGTACCGTAGCTGGTTTCGTAGTCTAGTTGGTCTTATGGCATCTCGTTAACACCGAGAAGGTCCCCGGTTCAAGCCCGGGCGAAATCATGTTTTTTGCACTTTTTGCCCTTTTCAAACCGGGTTTTGCCTTTCGTGCCGTTCCCCTGTCGGTATCGGTTGCCTTTTCTTTTAGTACGAGAATTTTTCTTGTCTCGGGGCGTATTCGTATCACATGATATTTAGTGTTGGCCCCTGAGCAGGTTTTTGCGACGCGTAGGAACCGTGATACACGAAAACAACGATCCTTAAATGTCCCCACGGCTGGTTTATAGTAACTGAGAGCTGCTTTATCAGGATATAGTGACTCGAAATCTTTGATTTGTCCGATTTACACTGCCAGAAGTACTAATTTGTGGAAAAGATTCACCAGTGTTGGTCGATGCTCAACTTACCCTATTCAAATCTGTCTTCAAGTGAGCGGGATCCATTCGCTCGACCGCACGCCATATGGTAGTCATTGATCTCTCCAGTTTAGGAGACTTGGAGTTTTCTTGAACTAGAATCTGGAAAAGAAGCAAAGGGGTGCAACCTCCCTTCACTTTTTACGGTACCACATCCTTGAAGGCCTGTTGGTCCTGATCTTCCGCTGTAATTGGAAAATGCCATACATGAGAGCTTCCGCCGTCGGCGGGCAGCCTGGAACATAAATATCGACAGGAAGAATACGATCGACACCTCTTAACACACTATAGCTATAGTGGTAGTAGCCTCCTCCATTGGCGCAAGATCCCATGCTTATGACCCATCGTGGCTCAGGCATCTGATCGTAGACCTGGCGAACGGCTGGCGCCATTTTGTTGGTCACTGTTCCTGCCACGATCATCACGTCCGCTTGACGAGGTGAGGCACGGAAGATAATGCCCAGCCTGTCTTGATCGTAGCGGGGCATGGATACGTGCATCATTTCGATACCACAGCAGGCCAGTGCGAATGTCAAAGGCCACATGGATCCGTTGCGGGACCAATTGGCCAGTTGATCGAAAGTTGTTCTTTGGTTCTCTGGGTCAGCATTGGCAAGTTGCAGTCTCGTGTAGACGGCTCTTACAAGGCATATTCGACGACGCTGCTTGGCTTGACGTCGGCAGTCAAAGCTGCTGGGTGGTTTCTTCGTCCACCCTTTTGTCCAGATGAAATGGGTTGACGCTGTTGTAGATACAGCGGTGGTGATAGGGTCGTTCGTATGGAAATCGTCTTCGCGAGGGAGTAGTTACTCCAAACCCTTCGCGGTACTCCTATCAGTGTAAGTCAACCGTCGCTCATCAAGTCCGTGTACTTACCCTGCGCAAGGCGGGCTCTGAACATCTTGGACTGAAAGATAGGGAGCCACAAAATGATCGAAATAGAGAAAAAGACGAGTAGATGGAAGAAGAACATAAGGTGTATCCTACTTGTAGAGGCGCAATGAGTATATGCCGGGAGTAAACCACATGCTGTGGTTGGGTAGAAGTTACACGGATACCTCGAAGGAAGGGCCTCCAGTCAGCAAGCTTAAAGCTGTAGAGCATCTGGAAACATTTCAAAACATTTTAGTTGAATTTTAAACATTTATCAACTCATTTCGAGGCCATTTAAACTATGTTTATCACAATAAAGCCTCATTGTTTGCCAATGAATCGAGGTGAGCAGAAGTACTTTTTTAACATCCGTGAGCTGAACCTCCACAAGCGCGGAAAATTAACACATCGCACTCACTTCGCCCTGCCAAACCATTGAATATCTTCCACATGGCCCACACTCCAGAAATGACATCAAATGCGGGCTTTGATTGTGTCACCTGCAAGCTGCCGAGGGCTCGTGAGAATGAGATTGACAACAAACAGTGTCCATTCTGCGCAAAGGTTTTCGGCCGAGCCGATGTTGCGCGTCGCCATGCCCTGAAGTGTCCTTCACGAGCAGGTCAGTCACTTCCGCAGATCAAACGCGGCCGACGACTGCGTGCATGCGACAGCTGCTGTCGGAGCAAGTCTTCTTGCGATTCCAAACTCCCCTGCGCCCGATGCTCTCAGCGCGGCAAGGCTTGTACGTATACCTCGCTTTGCACCGACCCAGCGCATCGAGACAAGACCAGGAGTGAACATGGCCACGAGGCCAACCGCACGACCAAGACGCAGTCGCGTCTGCCTTTTCTACTACTGAGCACCGACCCAAGCAAGGGCTCCGAAGGTGTGATGGCGGCAGTCGCTGCTGCAGAACCCCACGTGAAGCAAACCGACACGGACCTGGAGAATCTACAGGTGTCGGCTTGGAGCGCAGACACTATTGACCCGAGAATGCTCCACATGGATTTCTCATCCATACTCTTTGCAGACGATGACTTGATGCTCGGTTCATCTGGTCAAGGAGACAGAGTATGCACAACCGTTTCGCCCGCGCGAGTAGCCACAGTCGCGTATGAGCTCGAAAGCGTGCTTGCTTCCAAGCCACATCTAAAGGATGGATTCACACAAAGTCTTGACCATGGCTTCTTCACGACGACACATTTCCAACGGGCTGTCGATACATGCTCACGAAGAAGGCAGTGCTATCACACAACATTTATCCATTGGCCGACCTTCACCCCTGACAAGGCGCCCTTGCCGCTGTTGTTGGCATTAGTGCTTATAGGCACAGCTTACCTCACGGTTGGAGAGGACTTGGGAGGTTGGCCATCACCGTCCTTGAACCAGTCCCTCGTCGAGCTCTCGGAGAAATACACCTTTACAGAGCTCAAGCGGTATGCCACGCGAGCAGCTGACAGTCTCGACCATTTCCTTCCTGCCTGCCAGGCCGCAAACATGATCGTTTCACTACAATGTAGCATTGGCGACCCTAACACTCGCAAGCGCATGGCCTGCCAGCGACAGCCGGCAGTAGTGGACGCGGCGCGCGCCGCCGGCTTTGTGGGAGTGGCGCACAGCCTTTGTGGAGGCACAGAGTGGACCGATTTCCTCCATCGCGAGGCTTGTATCAGGCTTGTGACGAGCGTCTTTACAAACGACGCATTGCTGACTTGCTTCTTCAACCATCCTCCCTCCATGGCGATCGCTGAGCTCTCCGGATCGATGCCCAGCCCGAACGAAGTTTGGCAAGCAAAGTCGGAAGCCGAATTCTATACACACAGCCATCAGCTGGAAGGGTTACAAGGGCAAAAATCTTTCCGCGAGGCGATCAATGCGCTCATGAGCGAACAAGCAGCGTACGCGGAGGCAGGCTTGGAGAAGCTGAGCCTCAGTCAGCTTCACACCACTGTGCTGGGCTGCCAACATGTCGTTTTCAACTACAGAGCCTCTATGCTCCCAAAGTCAGGCTTGGCAACCGTTATGCGTGCCCTAGATCGTTGGGCCTTGCTCTGGGCTACCGCCTTGGACCGCATCGAACCGCATGACCGCAAATGGCTCGGGATCGCCAAGTATGCCCCCGAGATCGCCTTCATATCTCGAAAGGTGCTCGAGGCTATCTTGCGGGAGCAGGAGGGCGACTTGCGCTACCTCAGGCTTATCGCAAACTACGACAGTAGCGCATTTCATGAACTTATTTGCCATTTCGCAACAGAAGCGGAAGCCTCGGTGTAGACTGGCCTCGGTGTAGACTGGCCTCGGTGTAGACTGGCCTCGGTGTAGACTGGCCTCGGTGTAGACTGGCCCATCGCACGAACACTCTAATCCTAATATGAAAAACTGGTTGACGAGCCTCACAACTCAGAATGATACACAGTTGTCGACGTTGTCTTCTGGATTCCTTTTGGATACAGGCCCGACGCCATGCCGCTTTGATCGGGGTCTTCGCCGGTGGCGCCAGCTGCGGTCACGATTGTCGTAGCACCACCAGCCTTGCCCGTCAAGTCATACTCGTCCCTTATCCGCCCCAAGGCAATGGCCTCCTGACTGCTCGTCTCGTCTGCGAGGTCATCCGCCGGCCTGCTTCTGTTGCGCCCGCCGCTGGAGGACAGGGCCTGCCAATGTTTGGAACCTCGATTGGTGCCGTGGCCGTAGAAATGGCTCTGGCTGTTGGTTGGCTTTGTGCCTCGTCCGTAGATGCTGCCGAGGAAGGTCTTGAAGATGGGGCGCAACGTCGGCAGGCTGCCCGCGACGATGCCGACATTGGTCTCGGTCGCTGTCCAGATGGTGATGTCCCGCGAGTCCCACAGAAAGTCGCCCACCTTGCCATAGTTGACCACGTAGCCGACCTTGACGAGTGCGGCGGCGCAGGCAAACACGCCGAGGCCGAGGACAAACAAGAGAGTCATGCGTGTCCGTCGTTGTACGTTTAGGTTCCACAGCATGGGGGCAGGGATGATGACGGCAAAGAGCAGATCTGTGAGAATGTTGAGGGCAGCATTCGTGTAGGACAGGCCTTGGAGGGTCTGCATGGTCCAGCAGGTCGACCGGATGTTTGGGTTCCATAGGACACGAATGTCTGTGCACTGTAAGATGATGGTCTGCAGGCGAGGTGAGTCAAGAAACGCAAAACTGGCAAAGAAGGGACCCACGAAGAAGCAAGCAATGGTATAGAATAGCATAAAGCCCATGATGCCGCTGATGAGCCATGTGTAGAACTTGGTGGACGCGATCCGCAGGAGCGAGCAGCCAACGGCCAGTTTGACAAAGCAGATAGCAAACAGGTACACTGGCTGGCTGATAAAGTTGAGCTTCATCCCAGTCTCAAAATCGTCGGGTGGAATATCTCCACGATGTCGGCCAGCGCCATAGTGGACCGAGGCGACAGCCACGCCGCAGCCAGCCAGCGAAGTCAACATGGTGAGTGCCATCATAGCGTCCTGTCTCGGTCAGCGGCACAATCTTTGCCCTTCAACGTCCCGTGCACATACGTCCCATCCAAAGCTCCTGATCATGACCATGCGAACGTAGAACCGCGTCGCGACCGTGATCAGGGCCAGCGTCGTCACGGCAACGACAGCGCCCAAGATTCTACCACTCTCATCTTCGTCCGGGTTCGAGATGGCCGGGGGCAAACCCGGTGCAGGAGCTTGGCCGTCTGACATGTCAGGCGTTGTTGGCTGACCCACCGGTCAGGTTCAATGTTCATTAAATCTGGGTGTCGGGATGGCGAGAAAGAGCGCAGAAAAGAACTGGGGGTTCCGTTGTCTCATTTATTAGGAATCACTGGCGGCGCGCACATTTCTTAGGGTAAAATGTACGTATCATTGGAAAAAGGGGGGAAGCGGTTCATGACCAGGCGTGGCGCCTGAGCCAGACACACCACAATCCGACCGTGCCGTGTAGGTACCTGCAGTCTGCGGATACCGCTGCTGCAGGAGTATCCTCAAACGTGTTAGTGGTCCCGTGAATGTGAAGAGGTAGCTGGTCCATTGACTCTGTCATGGAGTCACGGGGAACGTGGCGCAAGCGGCCCAGCGGCCTTGCCCAAAGTACTGGCTTGGCAGACCTGCGTGCCGACAAATATCCAATGTCCGGCACGATGACACGTAGGTAGTTTATAGAATGGCGAGGCTGTTATCTCGGACAACAGCGGCCTGTTCGGGAAGGTATGGCATGATTTCCCTGTCTGGAAGCGAGTAAGGTAAGGTAAGTACGTACGGCAACGTATAGTCGACTGGGATATGAGCGGTGCGTGGACGCTAGAGCCGTTGCTCTGCCTCTGTCTGAAATGGTACGCTGCCACCGAGGCACTACCTCACCGGTGATACTACGTATTTTGATTTGAGCCTTGAGGACTTGGATGAGGAGTTGAGACGGGGTACGTACGGTTTACCCATCTCTTTTATCTCCGTGATGGCCAACATCAGCAAATGTACTGTAAGTAGATTTCAAATTGTGATCAATCTACGGAGCACGTACCGGCCGATGTACGTACGTATAGTGAGACACATGGTGGGAGATCTGAGACCTTGTTGACATCTCGCGTGGCATGATCCGTACAGAGGGTACGGAGACAGACTACAGTCATTGCTTTTGATGATGGCGCGGACACGTTCCTTGTCGATTTGGTCCATGCTCCTCGTTCACGGCTTATCTGAATCATCTCAGGCTTCTCAGCTGCTCAGCATGGCTGCATGAGCGGCCGCAACGTGGCTGAACCCCGACCGGTCCCGGCAGGAGGCACTTACTTGGCCTTTGGCTGCAGGAAGAAATCGCAACTCGACCAATGCTCGCTTCTAAATAAGTTTACGAGCGGCCGTGGTATGCATGCAGCATAGCGGCTCGCGATGGACTTGGCGCCAATGAATAAGACTCGAGGGTTCAGGGGCGTACTAATCAATTTTAGTTTGTTCACCTCTTTAGCCGGCCAAGCTAGTCAGTCCCGTGGGCGCATTACATTATATGCATATGCGCGCGCTTGTCCCTGGTCGGCCTCGGTCTCAGCTTAATCTTGGCGCGTCGTCCGACTCTGTCTATTACAACCACATGTCGGTAGTGTTGCGTCGGCGGGATGGATAAGCTATGTGGTACCACCAAACGGACATTGGCCCCCGTTGTGGTCCTGTGGGGGATCGGTTACGTGGGTACGACCATCAGCACCAGATTCCGGCGATACCTCCGCGTTCCGCGCTCGGCCAGCTGAAAGAGTAGTGGTGCGGACCGTGCGGTACGACTTGGTATAGTATGGAGTATTATCGCAGTCGAGGTTCAGCCGCGTGAGCTAGCACGCACGCGCATGAATCGATTATTGCCTCCTGCCGCAATGGGCGTCTTGGCCGAATTGTCGAAAACGTGTACGTACCGCCTCTTGATGCAGGCCCAAAGGTTCGTTCGCCCTCACGATGGATTGGGAAATAAATGACGATCGATGGACCGTTTCCTATAACTCGCAAGCCATTCGTCTCACCATTCATTTTTTATAGCTGCAACCTGACACACGGGACGACGCCATGAGGTTCGGATCGCTAGCGCTGCAACTCCTGCCAGCCGCCTCGGTGGTTCTGGCTGCACCCACTCCCGACACCACTCCCGACACCATCCAGACTGCCGTGGATGATATTGCGTCGCTCGCTGACCAGGCCTTCAAACAGGCCGAGACGGAAGCAGCTGACAATGAGATAAACAAACGCGGGGGGGAGAACACTTGCTCCTGGCGGAATGTCAGCGTTCGCAGGGAATGGTATAGAAACTCTCCACCCTGCATACCATGCCCCAACAGCAGAGGCTCACAGATCGTCATCGTCTAGGGGTAGTCTGTCCAAGACGCAGCGCAAGGCGTACACTGACGCGGTGCTCTGCCTCCAAGAGAAGCCTGCGCGCACGCCTGCCGAGGTGGCCCCCGGTGCGAAGACGCGCTTTGACGACTATGTCGCCACGCACATCAACCAAACGCTCCAGATACACTACACGGGCAACTTCCTCGTGTGGCATCGATACTACACGTGGCTGTACGAGCGTGCACTGCGGGACGAATGCGGCTACACAGGCTACCAGCCGGTGAGTAACCAGAACGAGAGGCAACCAGCGGAGGGTAGCGCAGCTGACCTTGCATAGTACTGGGACTGGGCCAAGTCGGCCATCATTGGCATGCACGACTCGCCCATCTTCGACGGCTCCGATAGCTCCATGTCGGGCGATGGCGAGTTCATCCCTGACCGCGAGGACATCATCCTCGGACAGGCGCAGGGTCTGCCTCCCGTCTACCTGCCGGTGGGCGAAGGTGGCGGCTGCGTCAAGTCGGGACCATTCAAAGACATGGTGGTGAATCTTGGTCCTGCTGCCCTCGACCTGCCCGGAGGCCTCGTCGACGCCAACCCAGAGGGACCTCTTGCTCACAATCCGCGTTGCCTGAAGCGCGACCTGTCGACCGAGGTCAACCGTCGCTATGCCAATGCCACGGCGGTGCTCGCCAACTTGATTCAGCCCACAAACGTCTACGACTTCCAGATGCAGATGCAGGGCGTCCCTGGATCTGGTAGCATTGGTATCCACGGTGGTCCTCACTATAGTCTGGGGGGCGATCCTGGACGCGATGTCTTCACGTCTCCCGGCGATCCCGCCTTCTACCTGCACCACGCCAACATTGACCGCATCTGGTGGATTTGGCAGATGTTGGACCCCCAGACCAGGATCCACAGCAGCGTAGCGATTGCGGGCACGAATACGTTCTTGAACCAGCCTCCGAGTGCTGACACGACTTTGGAGGATTATGTCGAGTACGGCTATGCGGATGGCCCGGCGCGTCAGATCAAGGATCTGATGAGCACCTTGGGTGGCCCTTTTTGCTACATTTATTTGTGAGGCTCGACGCAGACGTTGATACATGGCTTGGACGTGGTATCCATGCCAGCGAAATTAATAAAGACGTTGTGTCCCAGGGATGGTCGATGCGTGGTGACGCGATCGAGTTGATGTGCAAGGTCACGGTTTCTGGAGGAAAGGAGATCCCAATCAATGTGACAGTGATGTGAACGAAAGAGCCCACCATGCATGAATGTGTCACACTGTGTACTCGCACGTGACCACGCCCTGCCTGACTTTGAAGAGTGGATGTTGTCGCCCGCGGAGAATCCACGTTGCCTGACAACACATCCTTCATCAAATAGATCTGCCAAGTTTGCTTCTATTCTTGACCTGCAAATGGCTGATGGAAGACGTGGATAGATAGCAACGCTCCAACACGCATGGGCGTCATCAATGAGTAAGCCGCGATGGAAGCATGTGTACTACCTAACCTAAACACACCCCGGTGCCTTGGTAACATGAGCCTCGCCTCACCTCACCATAGCTATAAACACGCATCCAAAAGGAAGTGTGGTAGGTCGAACCTGGTGATAAAATCAAATTGTTTGTAGCAAGCACCACGCTTGCCATCTCGCGTGTTCGTTGATACACCCAGGTCTTGGCTACATCGACAATATGACCCCCGATGGACCAAACCCGGAGCTCATGCAAAAGAAGCCCAGGGTCAAGAAAAACATACCCGCTCTTCCTCTTGTCCTCATCCACGACGGAGGCGGTACGACAGCGGGGTTCTGGTCCCTCGGGAAACTTCAGCGCGATGTTTGGGTCATTCACAACCCCAACTTCTGGAGCGGCGCCTCCTGGAAGGGCGGCATGGACGAGATGGCCCTGCACTACCTTGGCTTGATACGAGCCAGGGGCATCTCCGGCCGCATTGTCCTGGGCGGATGGTCTTTGGGCGGCTTTCTGTCCCTGGCCATCGCGCGGATGATTGCTGCGCTGGGACAACAGGACGAGGGGAGTCTGGAGATTGCAGGGCTTCTGATGATCGACTCGCCGTACTTTGAGCCGTGGTACGAACAGTCACCCCCCGTCTCGCAACCTCTGTTGCCCGAAATGCTCCCCAAGGTAAAACAGACCTATGGAAAATGCGATGATCTCCTGCGCTCCTGGTCGTTGCCACCCTGGGGCCGCGACGCGATGGGAGGCGAGCCCATCGCACTGCATGCCGGTGGGAACAAGCACATCATTCCCCACCGAGCTGCTCTGCACAAGCCACTCGACGGTGACTGGGTGGTGAAAAAGACATCCGAAAAACCCGCGGCAGACTGTCCTCGAGCACGCATTGATATGGAGGACGGTAGGGCGGAATATGGTGTTGACAAGCTCTCCCCACCCATTGGTGTCCTCATACGGTGCGTGGGTCGGACGCCCGCGCTGAATCAAGGACACCATCCATGCCGCGTGGATTTGTATCGTGACTCCTTGACCCTGAGCTGGGCGCAGGGCTACGAGGACTATATCAAAGTCGTTGTGGACGCTACAAACACCCACTATACCATCTTTGACCGCAATAACCGATTCCAAGTAAGTCTTCTCAAACCATGAACTCGATATACAGTCTGACGGCCCGTAGATCAAGCACGTCACTTCGTTACTCAATGAAGCTCTGGATATCTTTGATCAGCGAGAACTGGGTCAAATTGATGTAAACTAGTTGAGCAGGGTGCGTTGGCAGATGGGCCGTCTAATGACAGATTTCTTTCAGTGTCTTGTAGCCGAGGACGAGAAAACACTGAAGACAAGCGGAGAGCAAGCAAGTAAATGAGACAAAGAAGCAGCACGTGACAAGCCTGGCTGGCAGACCTTGCCCTCACACAGTGTCATGGAAGCATTATCCCCCCGCAGTAGTTGCCGACCACATCATCAATCTTGTCCTTCAAACCGCTCCATCAACGACTCCCGGATATTGTCTGCCAGATCCATGAGTGAAGCACTCTGCACGATACTCATGACATTGGTTTCGACGGCAAACTTCTGCCGGTCCCAGTTCCTCAACTCCATCGCCACAAGAGAATCAACACCAATGTGCTCGGGCGACTGCTCTACCTTGATGCTGTCCTCGTCCTGGATCAGAAAATCGGTCAAGGCCTTGGCGACGGCCGCAGCAATTGTCTCGGTCGTCTTTTCCTCCTCGAGGATAGAGGGTCTCGACGCGGCGAGAGCCAGCAAGCTCGCAATGCCGTCTTGCTCGGTGGTCGCCTTGGCGGCCGCGTTGGCTTGACCGTTCAGATTGTGGTAGACGCCAGCACGAACGTCGGCCTTCCAGACGACCCTCGTGTTGGGTGCTGCGATCGGCGCACTGGTGCAGAAACCGAGGATGATTTGGCTTGGGTTCCAGTGCGCGCCGTGCACGTCGACCTGCGTGCGGGCATTTGACTTGGGCTTGGATCGCTGGATAGCCAGGTTCATGGCGTCGAGAAGCTCCGTCTCCTTGAGGATGCGCATTCCCGATCGCTTGAAATGATCCAGAATATCCCGATTCTTCCACACAAAGCCCACCTCGCCCATGACGCCAATGTCGATGACAGACGCCGCATGACCTTGGGCGTGTCTGTATTGCACAAAGGCGTCCAGGAACGTGTTGGCTGCAGCATAGTTGGCTTGACCCCATTGGCCGACGATGCCGCTGTAGGAGGACGCGAGGATGAAGAAGTCGAGCTGTTCACCCATCAGGCACTGATGGAGGTTCCAGGTCCCTTGCACCTTGGGTGCGACCGCCGTGGTCCAGTCGTCAAAGGACATCTCGGCGAGAGACATGTCCTAGTAAGAAAATTAGTACAGAGCATCCAGATCTGTGGTACAATTCTTACCCTCAGTACCATGGAGAGGTTCAAGACGCCGGCAATGGGCTTCGTTGCGCCCTGTATGGCCGCCTGGACGTCATCGAGCACACCGACGCTGCCCTGGGCCAATTGCACCTCGCAACCTTGGGACTCCAGATCTCTCTGGAAGTCCTTGATGTGCCCACCAGACTTTGCAGAGCGAGAGAGGAAGATGAGGTGCCGGGCACCCCGCTCAACCATCCATGTGGCAACGGCACGTCCCAGACCACCGAGCCCGCCTACCAACAGATAAGAGCGATCAGAGCGGAGAGACGTGCTTGAGATGAACTCGGTGGACTCGAGAGTGCTGGTGTCTTCGGGGAACTTGACGATAATCTTGCCAATGTGGCGTCCACCCTGCATGTAGCGAAACGCGTCTTGCACTTGAGAAGCCTCCCAGATCCTGGCGATGGCGCCTGGTTTGATCAGACCGTCCCTGATCCAGCCAACGCATCTTTCAAGCAGCCTATGAGATGTGGTTAGCACATGTGTCAGTCTGGGCTGATTTGGTCTTACTCGGCTGCCTTCTGCGGCCTGACCTGTGAGATCTGCCACAGATCGAGACCAACAAATGTTCGATTCTGCTCGAAGGACTCCATCGACAATTTCGCCCGGCGACGGAAGTCCCTCTTACCAATTTCAATCATGGTACCAAACTCGGCCACACAATCCCAGGACGCGTGCAAGAGGTCGCCCGAGAGAGAGTTGAGGACCACATCCACTCCCTTGCCCTTGGTGTGGTTCATAACATCACGCAGGAAGGACGCATCCCGTGAGTTGTAGATACGATCGCGCGAGATTCCACAGTTGGTCATGATGTATAGAATCTTCTCCTCGTTGGAGACTGTGCAGTAGATCTGTCACGGGCCACCGTTAGCCATCTCTCCATCCTTGTTGGAGCAAGTAATAACGTACCTCCGCGCCGAGCATTTGCGCAATCTGGATGGCGGCAAGCCCGACACCGCCGCAGGCCGAGTGAATGAGGACTGTCTGGCCGGGTTGCAGGTTGGCCCTGTCTGTCAAGGCCATGGCGGCTGTCGCGTAGACACATGGCAAGCCAGCACCTTGCTCAAAGGTCAGACTGTCATCGATCTTGACACACAGTGTTTCCGACAACGCCAGCTGGGTTGCAAAGCATCCACTAGACATGTAGATGACCGTGTCGCCCACATTGAGCTTCTCGGAGCCCTTACCCACGGCAGTGACAACACCACAGCCCTCGAGACCAATCTCGGAAGTGCTATTGTCCAGAACTCCAAGTGCAATCAGGACGTCCTAGAAAGGCCAATCAATCTCAGAGCACAACAAAAAAAGGGGACGCGGGGGATTCACTTACTCGGAAGTTCATACCTACGGCCTTTGTCTGGACAACAACTTGACCTTGCGAGGGGACTAGCGCTTCGCCTTCTTGCCAGCCCATGGTATGCAGCAAGCCTGGTGCTCGGAGGTCTAGCTTCTTCAACGGAGCCGTGGCTTTGGAACAAAAGTTGGACGCGGACGCTTCGTGCATCGTCTGCCAGTGTAGACGAGGAACCAGCGTCTCACCATCACAGATGGCGTACTCCCAGTCGGGGTCCATGGACTCCGCGTCGGGTTCTGTGGCCTGGACTTTGAGGAAAATCTGCGCAACGCAGTCGGTGGCCTGCTGTCTCTCCGTCTTGTCATCAATCTCGACGGTGTAGAAGTTAATGGAAAGCTCGTTTCGGGCCGTCCTTGCGAAACCTAAACTCATGGCCGTCCTGGGGTCCTGGCAAGACACTTGGACTGACCGCGTCACCCATACCAGCTTGGACTGTAGCGACTTGACAGCTTCGAGCACCTGATGGAATGACTGCTTGGAGAAATCGTGAAGAATAGGCTGCTGCAAGTCAAGGATGGACACAATATCCTGGCGCGGCAGGACATCGCCCAGGCGATGAGGGTGAACCGTCATCCCCTGTGCCTCCAAGCTTGCCTTTACTTCATGATAGTAGAAACCTTCATCGCAGCAAAGAAGCGTCACAGAAGCCGGTTTGGCCACTTTCAGGCAGGGCGAGGCCAGGATGCCGGCGCTCTGATGGTATGGAGCGATGCCATCCAGCACGAAGGCGTCGGGCTCGTTGAATCCGGCCGCCACGAGCTCCTTTGACCAACGGTCCCGGGAAACGTACGGCTCATCTGGTCGACTATCCTCTTCACCTAGCCACCAGCCGGGCAGGAAACCCATGACATAGTTGATGAATTTGGCGTCTGTAATCATTGTCAGTAGGAGTGACCTGATGCATCATCGGTACAGGGGGAGGAGTTCTCTCTTACCGGGGCACAATTCTTCCAAGAAGAGGCGTCCTCCAGGGCTGAGGAGCTGACGCAGATGCTTGAGGGATGTGTGCAGACTAGGCGTTGCATGAACCACGTTGGATCCAACAATGAGGTCAAAATTGCCCTCGGCCAAGCCTTGGCTGATGGGGTCCTGCGTGATATCAAACGAGGCGTATTCTATACCCTCCACATGTGCGAATCGCTCCTTGGCCGCCGTCATGAAGCCCAATGAAATGTCCGTGTACAGATAGCTGCTGTACATGCGCTCTCCGTAGGGGGACATGAGCGCCGCCAACACCTTGGATGTGGTGCCGCCTGTACCAGCTCCTACCTCCAGCACTCTCATGCGAGGGTTGGTATGCGCGAGCGTGCGGACGGCGTGCGTAAAGTCAAGCGCATCACCGACGGCATACAGCTCGCCCAAGACGTTGTCCTTGAGCAGGATGTGCAAGGGGTGAGCCTCTCCGGCAAAGATGGCTTTCGCGTCCATAAAGAGCCTGTGGATGGCGGTAGCGAAGACGGCATACTGGGACTGGGACACTTGTCCGACAATCATATTGATCCTCGCCAGTCTCGCTGCACTGTCGAGGTCGCAGAGTTGGCTCTCGGGCTTGAGGAAGGCTGCCTGTCCCTGTCGGTAACGGGCCACGTACTTCTGCATCCAGTCAAAGAACTTGACCAGGTGGCTTGGGGTGCTCTCGGAGACTTTGATGATGTCCAGGTGGTCCAAAGAGCACAAAAGCATGAGCTCCTCTACCAGTGGCCACTCGACAGGGCATGCCTCTCGCGGGAGCAATAGACGCTCCATGTTGACAAAGTCCTGATGCTGCTTCCAGTGCATCTGAGTGATCAAAGGAGCACTGTCATCCGCACCATCGTTGCTCGTCAAAGCCGACGCCTTGAAACCTTTGAGGGAGAGTATGGTGCGACCACTTTCCTTGGCAGAAAGATTGCCGACGAAAGAGCCACGCTCAGAGGATTTAATGAGGGCTCCAACCCTCACGTCTGCCTGCGTAGGCCTGACGATGAGCTCTCGAATAAATGTTGGAACGGCAATCGTGGTACAGTTGCGGGCTAGGCCACGATAGGCTGATACCGTGAAGAGCTGGAAGCACTGGTCGATGACAGCAGGGTGCAGTGAGTACTTGTCCCCTCTGTTGGCCTCCTTAGTCCCCACAGTAGCCAAGGCCTCGTCTGTCACGGTGGCAGACGTGAGGGCTTTCAGACCGCGGAAGAGACCAGTGTAGTTGAACCCGGCTCGGTTCAATAGAGCGTACCAGTCGTCCTCGTCCACCTTGCGCGGCAGAGCCTTTGGCCACTCGTCTGCTGACTCGAGAGCGACGGACTTGTCCACGGATGGCTTCACCTCGCCGGAGCAGTGCTTGGTCCACCTCGTGCCGTCATAAGACGTAACCGTGAAGCTGTAGGCGGTAGATTCGTCTGCCGAGTCCACAGTCATCGGCGTGAGCCTCGTGACGAGCTCGACGAGCTTGTCGTGGTCCAGTACCAGGCCAGCGCTGATGCTCATATTCTTGATGGTGTAAGTTGTCTCTTCATGCAGCTGGCGAATGGCTTCGCCAGCCATACAGACATAGCCTGCGCCAGGCATGACAATCTGTCCATCCACTCTGTGTCCCTCAAGCCACGACACGTCACTTAGGGAGAGCTTGTTTCGCCAGCATGTCTCGTTAATCACCTCTGTCACCCGCACGCCGAGAAGCTCGTGTGGTTTGTGCTGGCGGAACCTCCACTCACGGGCCACCCTTGACTCCGCCCAGTGAATGGCCTCCTGCTTCCATGGGTAGGTGGGCATATCGTGGACATGATGTCCTTGGCCGGGCGCCAGGGCTGCAAAGTCAACATCGAAGTTGTGTTGGAAAAGTCTTCCTGCCAGGTGAAGGATGCTCTCTTCGCAGCTGCGGTCACGCACAAGTGTCCCGAGATGGACGTCTGTTCGTCCTAAATCTCTGAGGATCTGGCCGATAGGGCCCTTGAGTGCCGGGTGAGGTCCAATCTCAATGAGAACAGTGTCGGACGGCTGCGATTTGAGAGCCTCTCTCAGCGCGCCGTTGAACAGGACGGGGCTCTCCATATTCTGGCGCCAGTACTTGGCTCCGAGACAACCATTCCCTTGCAGTCGTTGACCGGTGACTGAGGAATAGAATGGTATTTCAGGATCGACACTGGTGATGAAAGGTTGGATATGGTCCTCATACAGCGGACCGTACTCAAGCATGTGATCTAAAGAGGCCAAAAAGTCAGCCGGGCACGCTTCAATCGGAACGCTGAAGCAATCTGCACTTACGTGAGTGGAAGGCCTTCTCGACACGAAGCAAACGAGCCAGCACTCCCGGGTGAGTCTCCTTGACTTTTGCAACGACGTTCTCCACCTTGTCGCTGTCTCCAGAGATTGTAACACTGCTGGGACTGTTTTCGCAAGCAACAATCACACCCTCCTCAAGCAGTGCCCTTGTGTCCTCTGCACTCAAGCCGAGGGCAGCCATGGACCCGCGCTTGTCCGGCGTGTCACCGCCGCTGGTCGTGCCACGGAAAGTTGCGGCAGCCATGGCGGCCTCAGCAGTGATGGAGCCGCTGGCGTACGCAGCAGACATCTCCCCCGAAGAATGACCAAGGACTAGATCGGGTCTCAAGCCCCACGAGCTCAACACGTTGATCAGACCGATTTGCACGGCAATGGATAGCGGATGACCCAATTCGGCCTTCTGAACGCGGCTGTCGCCAGCGCCTTTGCGGAGCTCGGCTTGTCCACCATGTCAGCACATCTTGTCCAGCTCGTCTGCTCGTTTCATTCCTTGCTGTTGACTTACTCTCTATGGTCCATGCAGGTGGGCTGGGAAGGCCGGACAAGAAGCTATCGAGCCTTTTGATGGTGTCATGGAAGACTTGGTTGGTGTCAATCAGCTCTGCGCCCATCTCGGGCCACTGCGCGCCTTGGCCCGTGAAGACCCAGACTACTCGTGGCGAGGATGAGGAAGCGCCTAGCGTTGTTGATTCGGACACGGTAGAATCGCTAGCGATCAGGTAACCGCGATGGGCTTTGTGGTCCCTCCGGTTTGCCAAAGTATAGGCCACATCGCGCAAGACAACGTGTTTCTTCTTGAGATACTGGCAGTGCTGGCTGGTGCTCAGCGACAGAGCGGCATCTGTCTTGGCTGAGAGAAAAAGCAAGTGACGCTTTGGTCTAACAAGTTCACCGCACGGGGACGCTCCATACTCACTCCTAACCTCGGTTCCCGTGGGAAGATCGTCGACGGGGCTCTCGTCGGTAGATGGCGGCGTGATCTGCGTCTGGTTGTACGAGTGGTACTGCTTGATCGATTCAAGAATCACCTGTGCGCTAGGATTAGCAGGGATGTTTTCGCTAGGCGGAACATTGGCTACTTGCGTGGGCATTGACACCACCGATACCGAACGAGTTGACGCTGACCCTTTCTGCGCGGTCTCGAGGCCACTTTTCCGTGTCGACGGGGACTTGAAGATTGCACTCCTTCCAGGGAACTGTCACGTATGTTTAGTATGCGGCATCTTTTCGGAGCTGTCTTGGTCTAGAATCTTACTGTCGGGGTTTGGGGTGTCGAAGTGAATGTTGGGGGGGATTTGGCGATGCTCGAGGGCCAGGATCGCTTTGATCAAGCTGGTCAGTCCGGCTGCGCCCTCTCCATGGCCAACATTTGGCTTGACCTGGTTACAGAAAGTGTCAGCTCCCTGTGTCTTTCGTTTTTCTTTTCCCCGGGAATCGTTTCTTACCGAGGTAATGAACATGCCCTGTTCGCCAAAGCACTTGCCCACCGCAGACGTTTCAAGGGGGTCCCCGACTACAGTGCCCGTACCGTGACACTCGACGAAAGCAGTCTTGGACAGATCAGAAATGCCAGCTTTCCGATACGTCTGGCGAATGAGCTTTTCTTGCGCAACAGGACTCGGTATCAACATTCCCTGCGTCCTGCCGTCCGTGTTGACGGCTGTGCCACGGATCACGGCGCGGATATTGTCACCGTCCTCCAAAGCCTGGCTCAGCTTCTTGATATAAATGGCATTGACAGCCTCGCCTCTCCCGTAGCCATCCGCGGAGGCATCGAAGCTCCGGCTGATGCCCCTTGGCGAGAGAACACCCTGGTCACTAAGGGCCAGGGCCATAGTTGGGGAGAAGATGAGGCTGGTGCCACAGATCAGGGCATTTTCGCACTCGCCGTTGCGAATCGCTTGACAGGCTAGATCCAGACCGACCAGAGAGGATGAGCAGGCGGTCTTTATTGTCATACTGTGTTCATGCATTAGCTTCAGCTCCCGGGGCATCCAAACGGACGTCGATTGATCTGTCATACCTGGGGCCGCGTAAATCGTATTCGTACGATATTCTGTTGGCCAGCACAAAGTCTCCATAGCCAGTAGCTCGATATCCGCCTCTATGTTGTGTCTCTTTGGCGTTGAGATCCTGCCAATCTTCGGCGAACACACCGACGTAGCAGCCCGTGTTTCCTCCACGCCAGTTGGTCGCGCCAGCGTCCTCCATGCACTCGTATGTCACCTCGAGCAGTTGTCGTTGCTGTGGGTCAAGGCGCTCTAGCTCTGTCTTGGATAGGGAGAAGAAGGATGTATCGAACTGCTGAATGTCCACGTCGTCCAGATAGTAGCCTTGTCGCATGCGAAGCGTGCCAGTTGCTCCATCGGGGTCGTGGAATGCGTCAATGTTGAACCTGTCTTTCGGAACGGCACAAAGTCCACTCTTCTTCTCGGTGAGAAGTTCCCAGAAGTCGGTGCCGTTTCTGACCTTTCCGGGTAGCCGCATGGCCATGCCAACAACCGCCATGGGCTCTGATGATGAGGATAAAGTCTCATAGTTCTCTGCGGACGTGAATGAAGTAGCATCAGTTTCGGACACTAGTTTTACAGAGGATTGATGGCTGGCGTCTGGTGGCAGGCTCGCCTCCACACGATGGCTGTCTCCGAGGTGGGCCATGGTGAAGTTTGGGCTGCAGTTACACTGTCCGAAATCCAACGAATGGAGTTTTGGGAAATGAACAGAAGCCTTCAGAACAATTCAAGTTCCGACAAAAGACAACTGAAATCGACTTTCATGTACAGATGTCGGTTCATAGCCTCATTGAAGAGGCTCGGGTGGCTAGAGTCTAGTCTTGGTAATGGTCTTCAAGCTCTCAAGGACTAATGACAACCGCCCGGGACCCGGCTTCCCTAGTCTAGTAGAGACACTAAGTACATGGACGATAGAAAACGCAGAGGCTCGTCAAACTCAGCATCTTCAGGCGCCTATCCACGGCCAGCCAGCAAGAGTATCAATGCGTCCACGTCATGAGTCTGGAAGACTCTAGTCACTATCGGCTTCCTACTAATAATGTCTTGATTGTTATGGCTGGTTCAAAAGTTGATCGGCTGTATGTATGAGATCCTTCTCAAGATACACATTTTTTGTGTGGTATGAATACCTTGGTAGACAGTCAATGAGTCGATGACATTGTTGCGCTGCAAAGCCACACAGTATCGATTACACTGTGTCAAATGGGCACTCATTTTGGTATTCCTCGATGCTAAATCTGGAGTGCCCGAATGGGCTGGACATGACAAGCCGAACACAATGCATGATGAGTGTACGTCTTTGCGTACTGGGGCCTGTTTCATGGCTGCAAGAATCTCACCTCATCCGTGGAGGTTGAGTCAGGGGCTTACTGTACGCAATATCGGCATATCATTGGCTGTCATGAAGTACTTCAGGGGTTCCGTCTCCACAGTAAGTAAACATGACTACATGTAGCACAGATGGGGAATGACATTTCAACGTTTCTTTGACACACGCGCACACCCCAGTCGATGGGCAACCCACATTGTACTCGCTTCTTCTTCCACTGCCGTATAGTCACTGGCGCTAGGGGCGTGGGTCATGGTCGACCGATCTCGCCACCACATTGGAGCAGCGTGGGTTATGTCTTATGTCCCCTGAGCCGTGCTGTACCCGACCTCCACACAGTGAGTCCAACGGTACTGTACATAGTAGAAACAATATGTCCTGGGAGTTGCACAAGTTTGCATCTCGCTTGCCACGTCTCCCAGGTCTAGCCATAGCTACAATTAAAGGAGATACCGATAAGCATTTTGTGTTCCCCACTGTGCAACGAGACAGGGTATGAGTTTGACTGCTCCCGTAGTGGTCTTATTTGTACCGTTCATTCTGTCTAGCTACTCGGATTCTTCCTCAGACCTTTCGAGGACGCAGACACACTGTAGGGCCATCCTTCCAAGCCGTCAGGTGATCTTTCAACGAGTACTCCGAAGCCTCGAGGTTCTGTTCCACCCAGTCGTCACTGCGACCCTCTCGTTTGAGATCAAAATCCAGCAGCAGTCGGGCAAAAACTAGCATGATATTGGCGATGGCCAACGGCTTGCCGACACAGCTCCGCGGACCGACAGAGAAAGGCATGTAGGGGTTTTTGCCCGCATCCTGTTGGGCGGCCTCGACACCCTTTGGACGATACCATCGCATGGGGTCAAAACGGAATGGTTGAGTGTAGTACGCCTCGCTGTGATGGATGCTGTAGATGCCGACGGCGACTTCACACTTTTGCGGGATGAAATGACCGTCGATGGTCGCTCCGCCCTCTTCAACCTCCCGCCACAGCGCTGCGCCTCCGGGGGGTGAAAGTCGGAGAGATTCGTCGACGCAGGCGCGCAGATAGGCGCACGAGTTGAGTTTGGCACCTAGCGTGATCTCCTCAGTCGAGCTGAACGTGGATCGGACCTCTTCGACCGCTCTCTTGTAGCAGCGTGAGGACCCCGTGATATAATGTGCCAAGGCCGCCATGCTCGTCGACGACGTGTCGGCCCCTGCGGGACGCGTTAGCTCAAAGTCACGTCGGTCATTTGGAAGACTCCTACCGGCCACGATGAAAGTAGCAGTCTCGGTGCTCAGCTCAGCCGTGGTGAGTTCCTTGCCTGTCAAAGGGTCCTTGCAGTCCTGCAAAAACGCAAAAATGTCTTTGGAGGCCGATTTCCTGCCTCCTAGACGCTTGGACATGAGCATCCGGATGAACTGGACGAACCTCCTTCGGCCCAGGATGGCTTGCGGGAACAGCTTCCGGTCCAGGTCGCCCAGGCTGAGGGCCGGCTCTTGTAGAAGAACCCCTAGGCGCACATTAGAGTGCTCAATGGCTTCCATGGCGTAGCGGTATTCGGGATTCGCGATGGTGTCGAAATCAATGTCAAATGACACTGATGTCATAATGTCGAAAGCCAGGTTGTTGACTGCGAAGGCGACTGTCAGCACCATGAACCTGCCTACTCACTACCAACCGGGTCTCAGGAGTCATCGATAACGTACAGGCATGCGACATGTCAAAGGGAGGCGCCCAAGATCCGTCTGATCCTCCCTGTGCGCGGAGGACGTGGCAGAATTGGTCGAGCTTGGAATGAATTTTGGGCTCGAGCATGCGAAGACTGCTCTCGGAAAAGGCTTGACTGATGACGCGACGCCGGCGCCCGTGAAGGTACTTGTCCTGGAGCGTTAAGAGATTCGCAGCCTGCTTGGAGAGAACATGGTAGTTGCGGAACTTGACCACCTTCCCTCGGTGCCCATAAATATCTAGTAACGTTAGGACTCTGCTAGCTAGACGCTAGGCTGGGTATGATGGACACTCACCGCGAAGGGCTGGTTCCGTGTTGAAGATGAGGCGGTTCGGCGCGTATCGAACATGATCCCCTATGGAATGTTAGAACATGTGCGCAAAACTGTCTCCGATACACTTTCCATAGACCTTGTGGCATTCATAAATATCCTTGTGTATGTCTCCCTTCCAAGCGTGATACGCAGAGTATAGAGTCGTGAACTTGGCAAAAAAGGGGCCTGGGTATCGGGCCAAGGGATGGAAAATTCCCAAGTATATACCTCTCCCGACAATCTGTCACGTCTCTCTGAGGATTTTTGATGGCACCGCTTGGAGTTGGAGCTACTCACTGTGACAAGAGCCAACGCGCTGAGGGCGAAGAGAAGGTAGCCCGCCATCATTGTGGCGTGCCGCATGGAGACCTCCCAGCAGAGGAAACTCATCTTAAGTTGCAGAGATTCACCTCGAAAAAGGCCTGGGTAGCTTGGGTGACCCTTCCTCTGGTGCTATGGGGGAGAACTGCGACGGCTGGATGGTTTATGAAAGGAAAGTCAATCACTGGGGACTTTTGATCACATCTCGGCCTTTTCGTCTCTCTTCATGCCAAATGGACAGACGATATAAGAATCTTCTTTGGGGCCTCCATGAGCGGGCGACCCTCGAGCGTGTTTGGACAGACACTATTACTACTTCGTACGCACTAGTAAGCATTGAACTAGACTACAGCTGTTTCTGTCTGACTAAGAGTGATATGACAGCGGATGGCCTTGTAAGGTCCCCGGTTTTGCGTCAAGCTCATGCTTTTGCGCCGACACATTGACCTCAATCTTCCTCCCCCGAGTCGATTGTGTATACCTCCACATTGTGTGCAGCGGGAACCTTTGATTCCATGCGCACGTCCTGGGTTGCGATGCTCTCCTTGGCCTTATCTTTGAGCACGGACCGTAGAATCTTACCGCTGAACGTCTTGGGAAGAGCATCAACAAACTCAATGCCACCAGCTAGGCGCTTGTGGCTGTGAAAGACCTCGTCCATCTTCTCATGGAGAATGCGGCGCACCTCCTCGTCAGACAAGGCCTTGCCGTCGGACGATTTAACAACGTACGCACGTGGCAGCTCGCCGGCAAACTCGTCAGGTACGGGCACAACTGATACTTCGGCCACGGAGACCTGCTGCAGGAGGAAGGCCTCCAGCTCGGCGGGCGCTACCTGCATTCCCTGGACAAACTGTTAAGACACTCGGACTCAGGGCTCCGGACTCGAGGTGCACTTACATGGACCTTGATCAGTTCCTTTAGGCGATCCACAATAAAGAGGTGCTTGTGGCCTCGTGGGCTTTCCTTCACCGCCACCAGATCGCCGGTTGCGAGCCATCCATCGTCCCTTAGCATTTCGGTGCTTGTGGCGCTGCTGGTGAAGTATGCTGGCGAGATGTTGGGGCCGCGCAACAACAATTCGCCTGGCTCGTTGGGGTCGTCGACCTCCCGCCCATCGGTCGTCACCAGACGTCCCTGCGTTCCGGGCATCAGATAGCCGCAGGAGCCGAACATGACATCGTCCCGGCTGGTCGCCGCCACGATGCACGTAGTCTCCGTCATTCCGTACCCCTGAATCATGGCACAGCCAGGGAGCAGCGTCTGGAACCTGGACAGGGCGTCTTTGCTCAGGGATGCTGATCCCACCAGAACGCTTCTGACGCTTCTCAGATCAAATTTTTGGACGAACGCGGGAGCGTGGTTCATGGCCGCAATCAAGGGCGGGATCTGGACACACGATCAGTGCTGGTCCGTGAAAGCGCTTCAGAATCATCATGCATCTTGCGGCATGGACTCACCAGCCAGAGTCTGCTAATCTGGAAGTCCTGCGTGGCCTGCAGAATATCCCCCATATCGATGGAGGGGAGAATGACGGTGCTGTGCCCGGCATACACGCCCATCTGCGCCGTTGCGATGAGCGCGAAGGCATGGCTGAGAGGAAGAACGCCCAAAGAGACTTCGGCCTGACTCTGCGTGGCGCTACCCCTCTCAAACGTCACAAACTGGAGGATGTTGGCAATGACATTTCGGTGCGTCAATTTAACCAGCTTCTGCAGGAGGGAGGAATGTCAGCGTCGACTTGTACGAAGGCGTGAGATATTACTGGAAAGCCCGACGTGCCACTCGAGCTGCACAGAAAGGCCACTTGGCGAGCCCCATGGCCCGGTGTAAAGCTGTTTCTGGGGAGAGGCGGCAGCTCTGCGCCCTCCTCTATGGCCTTGTCGACGGTTTTCAGTTCGGGTGGGATCTCAACGCCCTTGGTGGCCTTTGCAGGCACCCGGAGTACGTAGACGTGCGACAAGGGCAGCCCGACCAACGAGGCCGCCGCGAGTGCCGACTCGATGAGCGGAGCACTGGTGAAGAGAAACTTGGCCTTGGTGTTTCTGAGCTGGTCAGCGACCTGCTGGGTACTGTATGTGGGACTGATGGGACACGCGACTCCAGAGAGTCGATGGACGGCCCAGGACGCTGTGAGGGTATCGATCTACCGAGTGTGAGCACATGTGCAGTCTGTCATGCATCGGGTATTGCGAAATTATTCTTACGCTGTTGAGGGCAAAGAAGGCAGTAACCCTGTCCATCTCATCCACATTGTCTAAGCTGCCACCCCATTGCAAATCGGCGGCAAGGGTGCGAGCCAGGGCCTCGACACGCTGCTCCACCTGTGCCACCGAGTAGGACGTGCCTGTAATGCCACATATGAATGGTGGAAGGGAATCGTCTAGGGGATGTCTCCCGTACTGCTCGCTGACTTGACCGAGGAGGAAATCGTGGATCGGCACCGAGTCAGGGGGTGTAAAGGGGAGTTGCGCGACCGTAGCAGGGGGTCCGAGAATCATGCTGATTTGTAGGGGTTAGTTGTAATGCAAATTTGAAGACGTCGAAGAAATCAGGCAAAGCCTTCGAGGCTTTTTGACGGTTTTGTCTGATATACATGCGCTACATGAGCGATCCAATGGTACGGACAACCCAGTGCGGGCAAGACGTTCTCCCGTGCGTGGCCAGCTTGTATGCACCGCCAAGAAGGCGTCGACGTCCCCATGTCTTCACGAGTAACGCAGGCAGGCCATTACTCATGCGAGCGGCTTGCAGGAAGAACCGCAATCCAAAAAGTACTTGTACCTAACTTGGGACAGAGCCGGACTTTGTGAGCTACATGTCTGATCGAGGCGCCCAAGGTTCTTCTTCCAGAATTCTGTCTTCTCTGATACGTCCAAAGTCCATGTTTCTCCAAATGAGCATATTCTCCAGTTCCCCACGGACTGATGCAAGGCAAAACTTGTTGACGTAGCAAGGGTATCACGTAATGCTCCTGGCTGGCTGCTGCATGTACTTGGCAAACAGTCGCTCCCCGCAATTCATTCATTCCTCGATACAGATTGAGTCCAGAGTCAATCTAGTTAACCAAACATTTAGCATTTTCTGCTGTCTCAGATTCTGTGTATTTATTAATCATCCGCGGTATTCTAGTGTTGCCTAGCGTATAGGGTAGTCGTCAAATCAGAGCCGCCAACGATCACATCATCACATCACCTGCATCCTGCGCACGTCCCCTACCATTAACAACCGGCACGACGTAGCAATTATGCAGGCATATGCGTCTGTTGTCGCGATGGCAGGGGTGTTCTCTCTCATTTTCCGAGCTCCCTGTTGATGCTTCGCTCTCAACTTGCTGCTGTTTCCCTTTACCTTCACTCTACACCTCAGTGCTTGGTGTACCTCCTCCCGGACAAGATGCACCTTATGCGCGCCCTCGTGGGCGCTGCGCACCATCCGATGCGAGTGGCTCTGAGACAGCCCCCGACCTGTTCGTGTCTGGCAGCTCTGGCAGCGCGGCAGACCTCCATCGCAGCCCGCCTCCCGTCGGGCGCCTTGCCCTCCCCTCTCGCTTTTCGTTGGCTCGCAAAGCCCATGCTCCTCAGCCAGCTTCAACACCGAGGTGTAGCGACAGATGTGCGCGCCAACGCCGCCCCAGCAGCGGACAGCGCCCAAGCAAGCGCCGAGCCAGAGCCGCCCAAGAAGAAGCGCTCACGGGCGGTGGACTTTGTGGAGGCGACGAAACGGCTGCGGTGGCACTGGAAGGTGCTCATCGTCCTCTTTGAGCTCACCATCATCGAGTACCTGGCCGACAAGTTCTTCCTCGGCGGCACCGAGTACCGTACCGTGGTCGCCTGCGGGACACTGGTCCGCATCGCTCTCGACTACAAGCTGCACTATGGCCCGGCCTCGTGGCTCTCGCGTCACGAAGACGAGGACCTGCACCAGCGCAACGCACAGCGTCTGTGCGTTATGATGAAGTACAACGGCGGCCTCTACCTCAAGGGGGGCCAGGCGCTGGCCATGCAGGGGAGCATCCTGCCCCGCGAGTACCAGCTCCTGTTTGGCGAAATGTTCGACGATGCCCCGGCCGCGTCCTGGTCTGAGATCCGCAAGGTGATCGAGGCGGACTTTGGCGGGCGTAGCGTCGAGGACGTGTTTGGCGACGGCCCGTCGGCCCTCTTCGAGCAAGAGCCTCGCGCTGCGGCGTCGATTGCCCAGGTCCACTACGCCCGCCTCGCCGATGGCACGCCTGTCGCCGTCAAGGTGCAGAGGAAGAACATCGCCAAAGAGATCAAGTGGGACCTGTGGGTCTCGAAGCTCATGTTCGACTACACGGCGTGGTCCACCGGGCTGCCCATGGCCAAGGTGGGCGAGTTCCTCGAGAGGTGCATCTTGCCCGAGATCGATTTCGTTCACGAGGCTGAGAATGCCGACAAGCTGTCCCGTCTGGTCGCCGACGACGAGAACTTGCGCGGACGCGTCCATGTCCCCAAAGTCTTCCACGAGCTGTCCTCGGACAGGGTGCTCACGACGGAATGGATAGACGGCACGCAGCTGTGGGACAAGGACGTCATTGAAGCCCCTGCGTCCCGTCCGGGCATAGCCTTGGGCAAGCATACCGGTCTCGGACTACGTCTTAGCGATACCATGGAGACGGTGCTGGAGCTCTTTGCCAAGCAGTTCTTCAGCTGGGGCTTCGTCCACTGCGATCCGCACCCGGGCAACATCCTCGTTCGACAGCACCCCAGGGACCCCAGCAAGCCTCAGGTCGTTCTTCTAGACCACGGCCTGTACGTCACCATGTCTCCGAGCTTCAGGTCCCAGTACGCACGGTTCTGGAAGGCCCTCGTGACGGACGACGAGGCGCTGCTGGCACAGGTGGCGCAAGAATGGGGCATGGACAGCCCTGAGGCATGGGCCGACGCCACCCTGATGCGACCCTTTAAGGAGAAACCGAGTGAGCAAGGGGAGAAGTTGCAACGCCGGACCGAGACGTCAGAAGAGCGTCAGCAGCGCATGATCGAGGAGGCACGGGCCTACCTAGGCGACGAGGACGTGTTCCCGCGGGAGATGCTGCTGCTGGAGCGGTCCATCACCATCCTCCAGGGGAACAATAGGTTTCTGGGGTCGCCTGTCAACCGTATCAAGCTTCTCGGCAAGCACGCCGTGCTCGCCGTGCGGGAAGGAGGTTTTGGGGAGGCCACCATGGCGGACGTCCTCGGCACCCGCGTGGCTCTCTGCAAGCTGGACTTGGCCTTCTGGTGGAGTTGTGTGCGGCAATACTTTGGGTACGGGTCTGGATTTGAGCAGGAGATCAAGGAGGCGGAGGAGAGGCAGATGCGCGAGACCAAGGACGTCATTGCTGAGCTCTTGGGCATCGTCGTGGACTAAATTTGACTAGCATTTGCACAAGCATGCACGTACATGTCCCAGGCGGAGCACCCATTCTAACGGCGGCTAGAGACTGAATTAGACGCAGACACCGTAGGCCAGATAGGGGGCTCCTTTTGGGACAACATTTAATATAAGTCTAGGTGGATCAAAAGATGGGCAGTGTCAAGCATGTTTCTATCGTTGCTATCTAACCGGCCAGCGGGATGGAGACCCTCTCGCCAATGTCGCAGACGTCAAACAGGCCCCTTTCCGGCAAGCCGAGAGCGACGAGCGCCTCAGCTAGCTTCCGGGGCGGCTCCTGCACGGGCTCATCCCCGAGCACCCAAGTGCCCCAATGCATGGCCAGGGCGCGCCCACAGCGCGTGTCCCTCTGAATCTCGACGGCATCACGGGGGTTGGCGTGGATGGAGGACATGAGCGCACGGGGCTCGTAAGCCCCGATGGGGAGGAGGCCCAAGGTGAATGGGCCCCTGAGGTCTCCGATCTGCGCGAAGGCCGGACAGCGGGGGAGCATGGCGTACTCGTCATCCCAGTCGTGGTCCTGGTCGTCCTTGAGCCAGGGCACGAACCGATAGCCCGTGTCCCCGCCGAAGAAGACGGATGCCTCATCGGACGCGACACCCCACGAGGCCCACAATGTCTTGTCCGTACCAAAAGGCCCCCGGCCTGTGGTATGCTGCGCGGGCAGGCAAGACACGGTCGCTGAGAGGGGGCGCCCTCTGTCTCCATCGTGGCCCGTCGGGACGGACACGCTGGCTTGCTCCCACCAGTCCATCTCCGTGACGTTGTGGAGGCCTGAAGACGCGAACCAAGCCGCGTTGCCGAGGGGCACGAAGAAGTGCGCGTTGGGGTGGTGAACCCGGATCTCCCTGACGGTCGGATAGCTCAGCTGTCCCGTGCCTGGCATCAGCGTGGGTCGAGCCCCTTTTCACGGGAGGCTTGTCTTACATGGTCGTAGTGGTTATGCGAGATGACAACAATGTCCACAAACGGGAGATCGCTGATCTGGCAGGGCGACGCGGTAAACCGCCGCGGCCCAATCCACGCGGAAGGAGAACACCGGTCCGTCAAGACGGGGTCAAACAGGACACGAAGGCCCGAGGGGTACTCGACAAAGTAGCATGCGTGGCCGAGCCATGTCGCGTGCAGGCAGCCCGCGTCGTGTGGGACGAGCCGGTCTCTCGCGAGGTCGGGCTTTCTGATGGGGAACTGAATTTTTTGCGGCGTTAGAGTGTTCTCTAACGACGCAACAGACCTCCTGCAAGGAGAGGGAGAGGGAGAGGGAGGTCTCACATCGGATTCGGCAGTCGATGGACTGATGACGGGCATCAGCTGTAGTCTACCCAAAGTTGCGAGAAGAGAACCAACTGTGTCCAAGTACTCAGCCAATTTCGCCTGGTACCTTCTCGTCAGTCACCTTGTCGATTCCATCGTGAACAGGTACTGACTGCATCACGTGCGCCTTGAGTGCATCTGGTGGGATTTCCTGCCAGCTTGGCCACGGGTTGCGGAACGCTGCCTTGCCAGGTTTCGGGTGGTGTGCCTTGGCCGCGGCGTCGGCTGGCCGCGAGCTCTTCTCTGGGGGGGTCCTGACAACATTGCACGCTCCCGAAATTGGGACGGCCTTTTGTTGCGACATTGTACGTGTGGTTTTGTTGGATGGTCTGTGTTTAATGGCTTGAATGTGAGGTCAATGTATTGCGTTTAACTGCAAGGGGTGGCGCCGAATGTTGCTAAACAACAAAATCAACCACACCTGTAATAGCCTGCCATGTACGTACAAATCAGAAATAGATCTTTGCGCTATCGAAGGCAAAATCTACAACAGGTCAACGACTACTCGCCGCCAGCCTCTAGCGGGGTGGAAACCCAAATGTCCGTAGGGTAAGCAAGTAGGTATCAGGCGCCCAACGCCATGCTGCCCGGCATCATGCTGGCACACACAAACGTCCCAGGCACGAGCGTTACGAGTATCGACTGAGCAGGTTGAGTAATAAGGGCGATCCTTGTCATCTCATCAGTCAGCAGTGACTGACTGTACATCCTTTGCCTATAGTACGTGGCTTCGTGGCGTATTAGTGTGACCCCTGCTCTGGCTTACTCATTGGGGCGTGTGAGATGAAGCTCCGGGATCTACCGTTCGCACGACACTCCTCACCACATGCAGCCACCAAGACACGTTCACTACATTCTCACAGCGTGAGCCAGCATCCATGCATATTGAGCAGCATGTGACGTGAGGACAATCTAATGAATGCCAAGTCCACATTAGCTCAACGCTACGGGCGGGAGACGCGACGTGCTCCATTCCGCAGGGCTTAGCCTGTCCCCCGCACCACACCATTCCTTCAGGGGCAAAGTTCCGGCGTCCGCTGCGCCCCCCCCCCCCCCCCCCGAGCTAGGCGTGTTCGTGTCTTTATTCTCCGGAGCCCACCTCATGTTGGTAGCAAACGGATGAATAAACAATTGGATGACCGGTGTGGAGTCTCTAGTCGTCAAGCCACTTGATAGTCATAAAACAATAGCAGTCAATCAGGCACACACGCGACGAAGAGCAGAGAAGGCAGGATCGCACGGGCCAGCCAATGCCCGCCAACAGGCTAGTGCTACAGCACAGACCCCCCTGCCAGGCAAAAGCGACGGCCGTCGATACACGAGACATGGCTCTTGCTTGGCGCGCTCCCGGTGGGAGATTTCGGAAATTTCCAGTGAAGTGAATCCAGTGCTTCCAATCAGCACACCTCCACTCCACGCCTCCAAAGAACCGTCACCAAGCCCATCCCATCGTGGAATTCATCGTCATTCGCAAACACAATCATCGCCATGATCCCACTCAGCATGGCCGCCACAGCGAGTCGCGCAGCGCTGGCAAGGCCCCAGGCGTGCCGCCTTCTCCAGCCAGCGCTTGCGTCGCGACGGACGGCCCGTCAGCCCTTCACGACGCCGTCGGCTCTTCTCAACGGCGCACAGAGAACATCCGACAAGACCAGCCCACAGTCCGCTGCCAGTCAGTCGCCCAAGACGGAACAGCAGACGCCCCCGCCCAACATGAACCCGCAGTACCCCAAGTTCAGCCTCGATGGCTTGGGTCTCAGCAAGAACATGAAGATCCTCGTCTACGTCCTCATTGGCATCTGGGGCACCTTTGAGACGTACTTTTACGGACGCGCCATTCACAGGTGGTGGACAGCCAAGCCCGAGAGCAAGGAGTGATGACGGTTGAAATGATGCAAGGCATCGCAGGCTTGCTCCGATAGAGAAGGGATGTAAGGGGTCACTCGCAGTAGACAGGCGCAATAGCCATGCGTCCATATAAAAGTCACCTCTCATTGATTCGAAATCACAGTCTATGAACGTTTATATGTATGACAACAATTTGTGAAAAATGAAAAGACAAAGGAAAACAAAAATAAAAAAACGCAGAACACTCTCCAGGCCCCAACTCCACTATCACTAAAGGAAAAAAAATATGTTTCAAATCAAGGAGAACCCTCCGTGAACTGGACTTGTCGCGCCGAAGACCGCCCAAACAGCTCCATTTTTCCATCCTGGCGAGACGCGACACCTTGAGCTTCGAGATGCGAAACAGCCGTAGCCCCTGGCGAGATGAAGCCCGCCCGGCGAAGATAGCGAAAGCTACTGCGGACGGCTTCTGCCACCCGGTGCGTGTCTTGCTCCGTGTAGCCGTTTGCGGGCCTACTCCCGGTGGCCAGTTGTCCGAGAAAGTGCTGGACAGGCCAGAGGGGGTGCGTCGGTCCCACGGCTTCCATGTGCGTGCGGGCAGCTGAGGACCATTCATCCCACGACAGGGCGCGGAGGGTAGATGTCTCAGGGGACAGTTCTTCCTTGATGATCTCCCAGAAGTCGGGCACGCTCAGCCCGCACTGCGTGTCCACAAAGATCCCATTTGTGTTAGTTTCGGGGAGCCTGTTGTCTAGCTGTGCCAACACAACTTGAGCGACACTCTGCGCGGTATCGAGGAAGAGCCAGTGGTTGTCGGGCTCCATTGGATAGGCCCCGAGCGAGGTGGCCGTGGATGCGATCCGCCAGAGGAAGTCGTCCGAGTTGCAGACCCCATCAGAGGATGCGGCGCCGATGATGCCACCAGGCTTCACGATGGAAATCGGGTTCGGCCCCGTGATCGAGGCGGCAATGTTGTGAATCACGCTTTCGGCCACAAATTTGCTCTGCACATACCCTGTTCCGGTCTTGGAGAGCTGCCTCGCCACCTCCAGCTGGTGATCTTGTGTGTTGACGGCCTTGACGCCTCCTGACACGTACGCGAATCTGGATCCGCACTCGAGTGCAGCCGAAGCGAGCTGCACCGAGGAGGTGATGTTGGCCGCGTACAGGCCCTCCAGATCGGTGAACCAATTAACAGAGGCGCCGTTGTGAACAATAGCGTCGATTCCGTGCTTGCTGTCACCGTGGACTTGCCGCGTCAAGCGGGACCACTGCTCTGCCGTCAGGCCTAGACGGGGCAATGCCAAGTCGCCCGGCCAGATCTCTATCTTGCGCAGTGCGGCTGGGTGGAGCTGGGATACCCAGCCAGCCAACGTCGCGGACTTGAAGATGCGACCAAGGCCGGCTTCGGGCGAGGAGGCTTTCACCAGGGCCACGACGTGGCTTATCGTCGGCGAGAGAAGAAGTTGCCGAAGTATCTCGTTACCGAGGAAGCCAGTAGCGCCCGTGAGGAATACGTTCGAGACACCAGTTGTCTCGAATAGACCACTCCACTTGTCCATAGCTAAACGATACGTGACCTCCTCGGTGAGCGTGGCTATCTCCGTGGGTAGGTCCACAGAGGGCACGTCAGATGACAAGTCTGACTCAGAGGCCGAGCTCGTATTCGCGTTTATGCGGCTCGATTCGACCATTCTCGCCAAACCAGCCACGGTGGTGGTGCGGCCTTTGAAGTCCCGGACACTCATCTTGACCTGGAGACGCGCCTCAATCTTCTTGATCATGCTGATGACGTTGATTGAGTCGCCGCCAAGGTGGGTAAAGCTCTCTGTCACTCCAAAGGTCATGGGGGGCAGGCGTAGTACGTCTGCCCAAATGGAGTGAATGTTGCGCTCTACAGAGGTTGTGGGCTTTGAAATGCCCGACACCTTTACCTCTTCCGATGAAGTGTAGGAGACGTAGAATGCTTGCATGTCCGCCGTCGTCAGGGCCTCGAGTTCGCGGCGCAGTCTCCTCCTGTCGATCTTGCCTGAGGCGTTACAGGGCACGCTCGTCACGGGGATAAAGTGACGAGGCACCATGTAGGAAGGTAGAACCGCCTCCAAGACCGGGAGACCTTGTGTGATCTGCTTCTTGAATGCTTGCGTAGCCATCATAGGTCTCATCACTGCGTGTTGGGTTGCCTCGCCATGGCTTAGCACAACGGCTAGAGTCTGGCGACCACTCACGTCCAGGACGTCAGAGACGCAATGTTTGATGTTGTCTTGGAGGGTCTTCGTGATCTTTTGGACTTGATACTCGATTTCGCCAAGCTCCACTCGTTGACCACGAATCTTGACTTGGCTGTCTTTGCGACCCAGGTACTTGACGCGGCCGTCCGGGCAGTACTGGGCCAAGTCGCCCGTTCGGTACATTCTTTTCACGGGCGTCGAGACTTGTTCCGCGAGCCCCAATGTGGGCCAGGCGCTCGTATCGACCTCGACAAAGGCGTCACGCGTTGCCACAGGGCTTCCCAGGTAGCCATCTGCTAGACCGGGCCCTTCGACCAGAAGCTCACCGACGCAACCGGGCGGCACGATACGGCTGGGATTCTTGAAATCCATTACCCACAGGCGGAAGTTGGAGCCCGAACCGATGATGGCCGGGTCCTCCCCAGGGTGCGACACCTCCGCGACGCTGCAGTAGATGCAGGCCTCAGCGGGCCCGTAGCCATTGAGCAACTTGACCCGACCATACCACGTCCTCACATTCTCCTTGGTCGGGGCCTCACCACCGAGGACCAACGTCTTGAGACCCGGTACCTCTGAAGGATGCAGCGTCTGGACGACAGAAGGCGTGAGCAGGGCTGTGTTCGTGCTGCTGCTGCCGATGAATGCGGCAAGCCTGCCTCCTATCCGATCATCTTCTGAGGGAACACAGATGGTGCCACCCATCATAAGGGTCGAAAGCATCTCGCCGAGGCTGACGTCGAAAACGTGGTTGGAGAACTGCAGCACGCGAGACCCGGGGCCCAACCCGATGGTTTTGGCATGCCCTGCGCTGCTGGAGCACAGCGCACGGTGGCTGACGACCACGCATTTGGGCTCGCCGGTGGTTCCGGATGTAAAAATAGCATACGCGGCTCGAGAAGGGTCCGTGTTTCTGTCTAGCGCAGAGATGTCGGGCAGAGTTGTGTACTCCAGTTGGACCATGAAAGCCGCGGAGATGGGAAGGACATGAGTCGCCGTACCGCTGAGCACAGATGCAGTAGAGGGCGAGCAGAGGGCCACATGGTCACCCGAGACCATGCGGATCAGGGAAACGATACGGTTGCGCGGATGCGTAGGGTCCACGGAGACAAAGGCACCACCAGCCTTCATCACCGCCACCATGGCCACGACAGCCCATTTGCTCTTCTCGAAACAGAGCGGCACAAATGTGCCAGAAGTTACGCCAAGTGATACTATGTGGTTTGCGAGGCGATTGGAAAGAGTCTCGAGCTCTTCGTACGTGAGTGTCCCGTCCCACGAATGGACACTCTCTGCGTCTTGTAGCTTCTCACACTGCCTAGTGATGTTGGCATGGGCGAACTCATCACGGGTGTCCAACGTGGAGTTGACTGAGGACCAAGCTGCCATCTTGGCGAGATCATCTGGCGAAGGGACTTGTACAGAGGAGAGTGGCCTTGGTGCTTTTCCTGGACCGAGGGCCGCCACAAGTTGAAGTGTGACATGGCTGAATTGTTGACAGAGCGCCGTGATGGCCTGTTCAGAGAGTAGCTGCGTGTTGTAGATGACCTCAATGTCGACGGACTTCAGTCCTCGTAGGGAGCACTGGAAGACGAGAGGATAGGCGTGATACTGGCTTTGGCCTGCGGGGAATGTGTGTGTCTTGTCCGTCACCTTGATCTTATCAAAGGGCTCCATCTTGTCTGCACTCGTGTCGTTATCGAGCCGGGCACCTGGCTGAATGACGAGCAAATTATGGAATTGGCACGCCTCGTGGAGATCCTGACCCATCTTTGCAATTGTCTGCAAGCCAGTATGCTCCCAGGGTATCATCTCGTTGGATTGTGCCTGCATGAAAGCGAGGAAGTCCAGCACCGAGACACTTTCATCCTCTGCCGCCGTAGGGATCCGGACGCGAATGGGCAAGGTTGTGATGGTCGGCCCCGCAACCTTCATAATTCCAGGCACGGGGGCGCTACGGCCCGAGACAGTATTGCCGAACACTACATCCTTTGTGGCCGAATGCTCCGCAATCACCATAGCCCAAGCAGCGCGGAGTACGGTGGGCAGAGTGGCGGTGGATGTGCCTGAGGCGGTCGGGGGAAGATCAAACCTGTGCTGGGACGTAGCGATGGAACCTGCTTTTGGATCCTCTTCGAAACCCGAGGACCTGTCATTTCCTCCTGGAAAACGAGAAGGTTCATGGTCGGACAGCTGGGCTTGCCAGTACACCTCAGATGCCTCTCGATCCTCGGATGCCTCGAGGATGTGGCGGACGTAGATATCCAGCGGGACAACTCGAGATTCCTGAGGTGTCTGCCGGATATACGCGTTCCGAAGGATATCCAGCATCATGTTCAGAGTCCACCCGTCATAGACAGCATGATGCATGTCCCAGACCAAGTGTGCTATGCCACCTGCTGTGTAGACCAAGTTGAAGGAGACCAGACGACGGCCAAATCCGGGCTGGATAACAAGGTCTTTGCTGTTGCTGGATCCGAGATACTGATCAATGTCGTCTTCAGAGGTTGTAAGCTCCTTCAGCGGGACTTGGTCTTGCAAGATGACTTGGATTGATGCTTCACCAACATGTGAGATAATGCGGGTGCGTAAATTGGGGCTCAAGGAGTACAGAGTGGCCAATGCCTGCTTGAAGCGCTGAAGATCAAGATCTCCTGGGAGTTCAAAGATGTATCTGGCAACGTACGAGGCAGTCTCGCTCTCTGCCATGGCAATCAGACCCTCCTGAAGGGGAGTGCACGGGAAACAGTTCTCAATAGACTCGGGCGAGACCTGGCATTGTGTTGCTGCCGAGCTCAGGATCTCGCCCACGAACATTTCTTGAGGTAGGAGACCGAAAGGTGGAAGAGCACGGTCAGAACCCTCAAGGCCGCGCGCCGCAATAGTCGCTGACAGGACGCAACAAGAAGCCATAGCAGAAAGTGTTGGATTGGCGAAAGCGTCAGCAGCCGACAAGGTCAGGTGCTGCTCATCAGCAACAGCAATCATCCGGAAGATGGTGATAGAATCGCCACCAATGCCGAAAAAGTTGTCTTGTCTGCCAATGAGGCTATGGTCGATGCCCAAAACATACGCCCATGTATCGCGCAGAAGTTCCTCCACGGGTGTGATGGGACCCTCAGGAACAGTGGATGTATCATCCCCAGCCTTGAAGGGTACTGTATACTGGAGCAAGCTATCGTCCGAGGCCTCGGATAGGAGTGTTTGGAGCTTGAGGCGGTCGAGCTTCAGAGAATTGTTGAGAGGGATGCGGGTAACGGGAACGAAGAGGGAGGGGACCATGAATGAAGGAAGGGCTGATTTGAGTCCTTTCCAGAGCTGCCGAAGGAAGATGTTGGTTGTCTCTGCGGCTGGCATCAAACGAGCCAGGTCGCCCGAAGGCGCTGAGCTCTGACTTACAAAGGCAACTAGGACCACTCTGGTAGACTTTTTGAAAACAATTGCAGCAACGCCAGTATTCTCTGGAGAAAGAACCTTCATTCGATGCTCCACCTCCGCAACGTCCAGACGCTGGCCGCGAAGCTTGGTCTGCGTGTCTCGACGGCCTAGATACTCAATGGTCCCGGTCGTGACATTGTAACGACCAAGGTCACCGGTTCTATAGAACCCCTGCGTAGTGGTGGAAGGGATCCAGGGCACGGAGGAAATGAATGTTTGTTGGGTCTTTTCAGGGTCATTGAGGTACCCCTTCGCCAAGGATGGAGAGCGAACCACGATCTCGCCTACACACCCAAGAGGGGCTGGTCGCTCTGGGTGGTCCGTGGCGGCGATCCAGCAGCTGATGTCGACTTCTAGTGCTCCACGTCCAATGTTCGAAGGCTCTTCGTCAGGGGCGCTGTACACGTGGACGGCGCAGAACATGACCGTCTCGGACGGTCCATACGCATTAACCAACCTTTTCACACGGCCGAACCAGAGATCCAAGACTTCGCGAGTTGGAGCTTCACCCACAAGAACCAGAGTGGTGATCGTGGGCAGAGACTGAGGACGAAGAGTTGTAGCAAAGGATGTTGTCAACATGGCTGTGTTGATCCTCTGAGCGGAGCAGAAGCCCGCCAGTCCGGTGAGACGCTCCGTGTCTGATGGAACGCACAAGGTGCCTCCGAACATGAAGGCACCAAATATCTCGGCGATGCTGACATCAAACATGAAGTTGGAGAACTGCAGTATACGGCTCTCGGGATGTAAATCGTAACCTTCCGCCGATGCAGAACCTTTGACGCTGTTGCACGCTGCCCTGTGTCCAACCAGGATACCCTTGGGCGTGCCAGTAGACCCAGATGTAAACAGAATGTAGGCTGTATCGGTTGATGACACAGTAGGCAGATCAAGGGGGTAGTAGTCTGCCTTTGCGTAGTCCTCTGGAAGCTCACGCGGCTCCAGGACCAATGTTCCGACACCCAGCGAGCGGCACAAGTCTTGTGTAGTTGACGAGGTAAGGACAAGATCCGCTGATACTTGATCCAGAATGGCTCGCAAGCGCTCCTCGGGAAAGGCGGGATCAAGCGGTATATATGTGCCACCTGCTTTCATGATGGCCAGTATGGCCACAATAGCCCACGCTGACTTTTCCATGCAGACAGGCACTCTTGTGGAGGAGACAATTCCGTAGTTGAGCACCAAAACCCTGGCCATTCGCGTGGATACAAGGTCTAACTCTTCATACGTCATGGTTCCCTCAGCAGAAACCAGTGCAGGGTGAGTGGGTGCTTGCGTAGCCCAGCGCGTGACGGCTTGATGGAGGAGAGTGTCGGTGCCTGTACCGAGGCTCACTCGTGCCGTGGAGGTATTCCAAATAATTGCTTGGGCAACGTCGTTCTGCGAGGCAACGTGGATGTCAGCAACCTGACGATCCGTCGCTGCGAATTGTACAAGTTGGTGAATCACATGGGACATGTGATCTCCAAGGCGGTCGACAAGGTCTCCCGATAGACAAGCCTCGTCATAGATGAGGTTGAGCTGCACTTGCTCCTCCATGAGCTGGCACTGGAGGACGAGAGGGTATGTGTAGTACTCGTTCACACTGGGACCAGCAGCCTCGGCCTCGCTCTCGTTGACAAGTACAACGAGGTCACTCATTGTACTCTGGTCATGGATGCTCTGGTCCGTGAAGTACTTGGGCTGGATAACGACCAAGGAGCCGAATTCCGTCGCGGCCTTGGCCTCTGGACCCAGGCGGGAGATTCTTGGGAGGCCGTATTGCTCGTGCTCGATCATGCCCGTGGCTTGGTCCTGGATCATGCGGAGGAAGTCGGCCACCTTCTGGTCGCCGCTGATACGCGTTCGGACGGGCACTGTCGCGAGCAGTGGTCCGACCATAGACTCTACTCCCTCAACTGAGGCCTGGCGTCCCGAGACTGTCGCGCCGAAGCAGACGTCGTCTGCGTCATCAGAATGGGCAGCGAGAACCAGCGCCCATGCTGCGCGAACAATAGTCGCAACGACAAAGCCTGTCTTGTTGGAAACCGGAAGAGGTACAGCAGTAGTTCGCATTCCGGATTTTATCGCATCGCCACGGGCGCGTGGTGGGAACCCAGACGCTTTGACTCCGTCGAGCTCCCTCTTCCAGTAGTCCGCGGAGGCTTGACTGTTCGCCCCCATGATGAACTGGACGAAGTTGCGGAAAGGGACGGCCTGGAAACTCTGCGCAAAAGCTTCGATACTACGCGTACCGATATGGTCGTACGCTTGGACAAACAACTGCATCATGAGGCTCAAACTCCATCCGTCGTATATGGCATGGTGGATTTCCCAGACAAAGTAGGCCTTTCCCGTGTTGTCATCCTCAAGTAGTACATGCCTACTCAAAGCAGACCCGAAGCCAGGGGGGTTCTGGATAGACAATGCAATATAAGCGGCCAGGTTAAGCCCCTGTGTGTCCTGCCAGCACGCTCCATGTTTGATGTGCGCTTGCAGTGGCTCGCCTCCCGGACCGCGCACGATGCGGGTGCGGAGGTTGGGGCAAAGGGAGAAAACGACCTCCCAGGCAGCCCTGAAACGACCGATGTTAACGTGCGAACCGAGTTGGAAGATGAAGCGACCGAAATAGGCGCCAGGGTAGCGCTCTGTCAACATCATCACACCTTCCTGTAAGGGCGACACGGGGAATGCGTCCTCCACCACACAGCCCACTGGGAGCTGGCATTGTTCTCTGACAAGATGATCTATTTCGGGTGGAGTCAAGATATCCGGAAGCAAGGCCCAGATCTCCAGAGTGATAGCACCTGTTTCAATGGAGGCTTTCGCAGTACGGGTCTGAGCTTTACTGGCCACGGCTAGCAGTGTCGGATCTGCGAAAACTTGCGCAACGGATATCTTGATACCCTGCGAACGAGCAATGGTCACCAGCCGGATCGCCGTAATTGAGTCGCCACCCAGCGTGATGAAGTTGTCGTCCAAGCCAATGTCGCTAGGCGGCAGGTTGAGGATCTCGGACCAGATGTGCTGCATCTTGTCTTCCATATCGGTCTGGGGTTGCCGCTTCGTACTGTGAACGCCACGAAACGAGACAAGATTCGACTTGAAGATAATAGCGGCCACGGCGCTGAGCTTCTTGCGGTCGAGCTTGGCGGAGGTGACGAAAGGCATGTAAGCACAGGGAAAGAAGACGGTGGGTACCATGTAAGAGGGGAGGCGGCTTCCCAAGAAGCGCTGGAGCCCTTCTATCCCCTTGTGCTCCTCTGTGTCTGGTGGAAGCACCATGTCTTTTGCAAGCATGTCCAAGCTGTCCACAAGATCGACATGTGCTGTCTTGGAGGCGTTCGAGGGACAGACAAAGGCAGCCAATTCCTGGGCAGGCTTGCCTTGACCCGAGGAACCCTTTTCAAAGGCAACAACACCAATTTGTACATGGGATCCCAGGTGATCACGGGCGAGATGCTCAATTTCGTCCGGCTCCACGCGGAACCCCCTGATTTTAACCTGCGTATCCTTGCGACCCAAGAACTCCATGGCGCCATCAGGTCTGTACCACGCCAGATCACCGGTCTTGTAGACCCTGCTCCATGGGGGCAGACTGGATTCGCTCTGCGCCCACCCGGGCAGAGCGTTGCCCTCGAGGACACTGGCGGCTGTCTTGGCTGGATCGCCGAGATACTCCTTGATCACGTTGGGCCCATGGATGACGACTTCTCCAATAACCCCCACGGGCAACAACTTCTCCGTGTCCTCACAGTCCACGATCCAGCAATGGCAAGCGACCGGCTTGCCGATAATCTGGGGAGACTCGGAGATAGAGGCCCACTGGTGCGAGCTCGAGATACAGCAAGCCTCAGCCGGACCCCAGACGTTGATAAGCCGGACTTTTCCAAACCATTGGTGAAGGATATCATGACCGACGGCTTCGCCACCGACTCCCACCACACGTACGGTGGGCGCCATGTCTGGGCTGAGCGTCCTCAGGAGTGCTGGGGTTTGGAACATCCACGTCACGCCCTTTTCGCGGATAAAGTCCGACAGGGAGTTCATGCGCTGGTCTTCGGAAGGCACACAGACACAGGCACCTGTCACCAACGCGCTTATAATTTCGCCAATGGAAAAGTCGAACACAAAGGCCGCAAATTGAAGCATGCGGGTTTCACTCGACATTTGAAGTCTCTTGGCGATAGCCCGCTGACCCGTACAGGCAGCACGATGCTCCATGATGAAGCCCTTGGGCGTGCCCGTACTCCCGGACGTGAACAAGACGTACGCTGCGTCGTAGGGCTGAGCGAGTGATGATGCTCGCCTCGTCCGTATCTCCGCCGGGGCATCTTGCGTGAACGGTGCCGTCATGAAGTCCACCTGGACGACATTTTCAACCAAGTTATCGACGTGCTTGCGGCATTCGCGAGAGCACAAGGCTGTTACCGATCCAGTTTTGCTCGCAATCTGCTGATGACGACTCCGAGGGTGCGTTGGGTCGATGGGCACCCAGGCACCACCCGCCTTGTTGATGGCGAGGATCGCGACAAAGTACCACATGGACTTTTCAAAGCATACGAGGACAAGATCTCCAGCCTTGATCGTGTACTGAAACTGAAGTAGGTTGGCGTACGAGTTGGCAGCGTTGTCGAGCTCCTGGTAGGTCAGACTGCCGTCCCAAGCGTCGATGGCGGGCGCGGGTGGACGAAGCTGCGCCTGTTCCTCGAGGAGAGTGTGGAGGCATTCGTTGTAAGGTGGAGGAGATGAACCGTTGGCCACTGTGAGAACTCTTGTGTCTTCTGGGCCCAACAAGTTGATCTTGGCCAAAGGGGTAGACGGGGCGGCAGAGCATAGCGCGAGGACAGCTTGCTGGAAGTGGCCACAAAGTAGCTCGACTTCTTCACCAGTGATCACGCTCGAAGCGTATGCTACGGTGAGGGATATTTCAGAATCCGCATGTTGGGGGATCTGGCACTGGAAGACTACCGGGTATGTAAAGAAGTCATCTTCAATCGTGCCCTCTGTGTCGTGAACTGGAAGTAGAGGTAGCTGACCATCCGGCGAACCTCGACCGACCGCAGCTAGCTTGGCAGGTTGAATCACCAGGAGCGTGCGGAAGTCACACGCAGAGCGGGCGTCGTTGCTCAGCCTCGCAATGTTCTGCAGCCCAAATTGCTGGTGAGGGATGATTTCGACGCTCTGCTCCTGTACCCGCCTGAGATATCTCCCGACAGTCGCCGACGCGCTGAGGAGCACACGCAGGGGCAGAGAGGTCACTATAGGTCCTACCATGGACTCGATACCTGCGACAGGCGCATTGCGACCCGAGACAGTTGTGCCAAAGGTGACTTCCTCCAGCGAGCCCGAACCGTCGCTGGCTCGGGTCGATAATGAGAGACCCCATGCTGCCGTCATGAGGTTTGCCAATGTCACATCTGAGGAAGCGTGTTGGCGCTGGTTGGACTTGATGGAGAAGGATTGCCTCAAGGTGGCATCTGTGCGGACGCCTTGCTGCGTGCTGGCGTTAAATAGTCGAGGATAATCAGTGCATCTCGCCCCTTCCAGCGTTTGAGTCCAGTAGGCCGCTGCCGTCTCTCGGACACGTTCGCTATGGGCAATGAAGCTCACATACAGCGATCGAGGAGGTGACTCGAGCGCTAGGATGAGGTTTGCGTACACCTCACCGAACCGCGCAAACAGGAGATCCAAGGACCACCCGTCATAGGCTGCATGGTGAATGTTCCACGCGAAGAAGACCTCACCCGTGGCTTCATGAGTAAGGAGTGCATGTTGTGACAAATATGTGCCGTAGCCGATGGGTGTAAACCCTGGCTTTATGGCTTGGCTGCCGGGAAGTCCTTCAATGGTCCCCCTGTGCCAAGGGCTGCCTTTGCGAAGAACGACCTGAATGGCTCTCCCGTTGGTGAGCCAGATGATTCTGGTCCGCAGGATGGGAGTCTCGGTGACAATCTGATCCCATGACGCCTTGATGTGTTGCGGGTCAACCCCGTTACCCAACTTGAAAATCATGTTGGCAACATAAGTACCAGGTTCCTTCTCAGTCAATGCGATCATCCCTTCTTGAAGGGACGTGCAAGGGTACGCATCTTCTATCAATGCCGGATCTAGAGTTGCTGGATCCATATCCCAAGCCTGCGCCAGGCTTGCCTTGACATCCTCCAAGGTAGTGAGACCGTCAAGAAGAGTAAACGATTCGATCTGAGACTCTTCGACCACGCGCAGCTCGTCGCACGCTGAAGCCATGGCTTCTAGACGTTGGTTGTGATAGACCACTTCCACCTCCAGATCAATCCCCGAGTCCCTAGCCATGGTGACAAGTCGGATAGCGGTAATAGAATCACCGCCTAGACGCAAGAAGCTACTGTCGAGACCAATGGATGATTCTGACACACCTAGTACAGACGCCCATAACCTCGCCAGGACCTTCTGCATAGACGATTCTGGTGGTCTTATAGCATCGGTGGCCGTTTCGAGAGCATAATTCTCTCGGAGAGCAACCGCGCCCAAGCTGGAGGCGATACGCTTGATGGCCTTGCGGTCAGCCTTGGTGCTCGTGACGGTAGGTAGAAAGTTCAGAGGAACAAATAGGGCTGGTATCATGTAGCTGGGGAGCTTCAATTCCAGTTGAGCAACGGCGGCGGCGAGCAGCTGCTTCCCTTCACCAGAGAACTCTTGGAGAAGGATATCGTCGTCATAAGGGACATCGGCTCCTTTCACCACATTGTCGAAGCAGAAGAATGCCGCGAGATGCTCCTGTTCTTCCTCCTTGCCATCGACAATGGAGTGTGTGTTCAGAATATCGACAAACAAATGAGGAACACAACTGAGATAGGAGTGCAGGTGCTGCTCCACGTCGCCCAACTCAATTCGCTGTCCGTGGAGCTTCACTTGTGTGTCTTTGCGACCAACAAACTCCATCTCGCCCTGAGAACCAATGTAACGGACAAGGTCTGCCGTGCAATACACGCTACCCTTAGCAGCACCAGAGAACCTAAGAGCCCAAGCCGGTGCCGGACGGAACACTGCCCGAGTCTTGTCTTCATCTCGCAGGTATCCCTCCGCTAACGAGGGTCCTTGGGCAATGAGCTCGCCCACGCAGCCGATGGCCGCCAGCTTTGTGTAGTCATTGGGGTCTGCGATCCAACTGCAATACCCTACACCACGCCCAATTATAGCCGGTGGCTCAGGGGCCGTCATATGATGTGCGGTCATGAAGATAGTGGTTTCGGTAGGGCCGTATGCTTGTATGAAGCGGACGCCAGCGTCTAGCCAGGGGCTGATGACACTGGGGGTGAGAGCTTCACCGCCGACTACAATCGTCTCCAACGACGGAAATTGAGTGGAAGAGATGAGCCGGGAGACAACAGGGGTCAGGAAGGCCCAGTTGACATCGGCTTCCACCATGAACTCCGCAAGATGGTGTGGGTTCATGCGCTGCGTCTCACTGGGAACGCACACGGTGCTGCCGTGGAGGAGTGTGCCAATAATCTCCGAGATACTGGCATCAAAGACATGGGAAGCAAACTGCAGGATGCGGCTGTGTGCGCCCATCTTGAAAGGCTCGACATGGTTTCGCAGAGCTGTAGCCAGGGCCTGGTTGCTGATCATGACACCCTTCGGCTTGCCTGTACTGCCGGACGTGAAGAGGATATAGGCCAGCTGCGAAGGGGACGCGGCCTCGTGCAGTACATTAGGTAGTTGCGATTCGTTAGTCATGAGCTGTTGATCGAGATACGACGACACCTCGACAATAATGGGCAGCATGCCGGTGGACGCAGCCGCACCAGCCGCTGAGCCAAGCAGGATTTTCGCGTCCAGTTGCTGAAGGATATCCTGTCTCCTTTCTTGCGGGTGCTTGGGATCAAGCGGCACAAAATAGGCACCGATGCTGAGGACAGCCAGGATAGACACGGTGTACCAGACAGAATGCTCGAAGCAGACAGGGACAGCATCCCCAGGCTTGCAGCCTCCTATTATCCGCAGGTGATTGGCAAGCCTGTTCACGGCGGCACCGAGCCTTGCGTACGTCCAGATGTCCCGGCTTCCTCCCTCGGCAGACGCGTAGATGGCCTCTGCGTCGGGGTAATGGGCGATCTTGGATGCAAAGAGCTCAGGTATGGTTCGTTTCTCGACGCTCAGGTCTCCAGCGCTCTCTTGGTTCCACGTCATTATCGTTGCCTCTTCTTGCTCGCTTGCAAACGCTACGTCGTGGAGGGACACCGTGTCTTCTCTTCCGACAAGCTGGGAGCAGAGCGTAGCGAACTGATCACACATGGCTTCCACCTGGAATGTGGAAAGCAGGCGCGGATCAAAGGTCACTCTAGTGTTGACTTCCGCGTCCCCGAGCAAACACTCGAATATGAGGGGATAGTCAATAAAGTTTCCGTGCGCCTCGACGTGCGCCATTTCGATATTAAGGTCGTTAGTGTATTGGTTCAGAGGTTGAACCACAAAGAGGTTTCGGAAGCCACACGCAACGCGAGCCGATGCGTTCAGCTTAGCGATCCTCTGGACGCCAAAGTGCTCATGAGGAGTCATCTCGTTGGCTTGACGCTGGATGGTACGGAGAAAGGCCCTGGTCGTGGTCGTATCGCAAGGTACGGCCACACGGACAGGGACTGTGGTGATCGTGGGGCCGACAGTGTGCTCTATGCCCGGCACGGGGACGTTTCGCCCAGACAGAACGGATCCGAATAGTACGTCTTTGGATCCTGACCATTGAGAAAGAACGAGAGTCCAGGCCGCTCGGAGAATAGTTGAAATTGTCACTTCGCTTTCGTTTGACTGTGGCAGTAGAAACGTCTTGTGGGTTGTCATGTGGTGTGGCAAATGCTCCAGACTGCTCGAAAGCTTCTGCGCTGGTGGGAAATGCGTTGGGAGAGCATTGTTGATAGGTTTCAGCTGGGACTCCCAGAAGTTGGCAGAGGCATTTGCATCGCACCTTTGGAGGTGGGCAATGAACTTTGAGAATGGGGCGCTTGTGGGCGTCATGAAACGTCTCGAGATGTCTACGCCGTCTTCCGCCATGTAGATGGTTTGTACTTGGTTCAGCACGAGACCGAGCGACCACCCGTCTGTGAGCGCGTGGTGGCACACCCACATGAGGTAGGCATCACCATGGCGGTCTCGAAGGAGAACAAACGACGACAGCGGGCTGCCGTAGGTGAGAAATGGCTTGGGATGGCTCTCCAGGTACTCTTCAACACCAATGCATGTTTCTTCGGTCCATCTTAGTTCTTCATCAAGAACAATCTGTACCTGTGCCATCGGTCCTTGGACTATGCGGGTACGCAAACTGTCGTTGGCGGAGACGGTTGTCTCCCAGGCGCGTCGCAACCGTTTCATGTCCAGCTCACGTGGTAGCTTAAACACATGGCGATGAATGTACGACTCGGACTGTTTCGACGTCAAGGACATCATGCCCTCTTGGAGGGCTGTGCAAGGGTAGATGTCGACTATTGTGTCCTCATCCAGATCGTAACGGCTCGCAATGGACTTTAAAAGATGTGTCGGGTCGTCGCCTGGGGCAAGGAGGCCAAATCGAGGGACCTGTCCTTGATCGTGCTCGGTCTCCTCCAAAGGCTCCATGCGCAACGCCAGCTGGGAAAGCCGGGGGTCAGCGAAGACTTCCGCCACCCCAATAAAGTATCCAGCCTCTCGTACGGCAGAAGCCAAACGAATAGCTGCGATAGAGTCGCCTCCCAGTTGGAGGAAGTTGTCATCCTTTCCGATGTCGACTACTGTCATGTTTAAGATGGACGCCCAAACTGAAGCCAGCAGTCTTTCTTTGTCTGTCGACACTGTGCGCTTGGTCGTCTCTGCAAGGCCGTACGTTCTCAGTTGAACTTGGGACAAGGATTCTCCCAGAGCCCGCAGCGCCGTTCGGTTTGTCTTGGTGGAAGTGATGACGGGAATTTCGCGCAGAGGAACGAAGAGGTCCGGGACCATGTACGACGGCATGACGATGCCAAGGAGACCGGACAAGGTAGCGAGCTCATCTCGAAGCACCGCATCCATGGGGAGGACTACAGAAGTTGGGTTTGCCTGGTCTGATGGCTGCTTGTTATATCTCTCTGTGCACAACGTAAAGAACGCGGCCAACATATCGCGACCTGCAGCCGCAGGAGGTTGGATCAACTCCACAGCAACATCCCGAATAAGTGCAGAATGAGCCCTGAGATGAAATTCAATCTCGGCCAGCTCAATGCGGAAGCCTCGGATCTTGACTTGCGTGTCTTTTCGGCCGAGGAACTCTAAGGTCCCATCGCTGTTGAACTTTCCGAGATCGCCCGTCTTGTAGAGCCGCGACTCAAAGGTTGAGTTGAGAGATGACAGCCACGCCGGTGGCGTTTCTATGTACGAGGCCGCGGTCAGTTCAGGGGCGCCAAGGTATCCCTTGGATATAGTGTGACCTGTGATGACAATCTCTCCCATGCAACCCACGGGAGCCAGATTGGTGTGATCATCCTGGTCCACGACCCAGCACAGGCCCCCAACGGAACGACCGATGGTGGACGGAGAGTCTATGGGGGAAGTAAACTCGTGCAATGTGCTGGCCATGCAGCACTCGCTAGGACCCCAGGCATTCCAGAGATGAACATACTCAGCCCAGTCGGTGACAATGTCTCTCGTCACGCTCTCGCCCGCGAGAATCAGAGTGTCAACACTGGGGAGTGCGGCAGGTGTGAGGAGGCGAACAAACGTGGGCGTCAGCCAGAGCGTGTTTACGGCCGTACGGGAAACAAAGCCGGAAAAGTCATCGAGGCGTTCCTCGGGCGATGGGATACACAAGGCGCCCCCCGAGAGAAGTGTGGCAAAGATCTCGCCGATACACAAATCGAACACGTACGAGGCAAATTGCAGGCTGCGTGTCTTGTCTCCCAGTCCGATCCGGGCCCCAATGTCCTTCAAAGCGGTGAAGGCGGACGAGTGTGGCATGATGAGGCCCTTTGGCACACCCGTGGAGCCCGATGTGAAGATCACGTACGCCGCACTCTGGGGATGCAGACCATCTGGTAGGTGCTTGCCAGAGGGCAGATCTGCTTCGGAGGCACACGCGTTCAAGAACGAAGAGGTGACGAGAACAACATCATCTGATAGCTGAGCGCATTTCGCAGCAGTCGACTCAGAGCCCAGCAGCAATCGGGCTTGGAGTTTTTCCATAATTTGTAACTGACGAGATATCGGCTGAGCAGGATCGAGAGGAACGAAAGACGCACCAGTCTTCATGATGCCCACCATGGACACAATAGCCATGGCGGATTGTGGAAAGCAAAATGGCACATATTCTCCGACTTGCACGTTGCATGCTCTCACCAGGTGATCCGCCAGGGCATCCGTAAGCCTGGAAAACTGTCCATAGGTGAGCTGGGCGTCCCAGGCACAGATTATAGGCTCATCTGGCCTCTTCCTGGCCCGTTCTTGGATGTTTTCGTGCAGAAGATGCTGCTCTGGCTCAGGGCAAGAGGCATTCCATTGCAGGAGCCGGGTTTTATCCCAGGGGCTAACGAGGTCCAGGTCAGACACTTTGAAATCCTCGACGCTGCTGCGACAGAGCTGTGCGGTGACACTCTCGAGCTGGTGGCAGATGGCCTCGACCTGGTCTGCGTTGATCACGGCGGGATCGTGGGTGACGTGCACTCGAACGCCATTGTGGGCTTGGATGAATAACTGCACCACAATGGGGTAGGTGTGGAAGGACTCGAACCCTCCCTCTTCGAAAACGGGTGCCATGATGTTCTCGTTGTGGTTGCCGCCTTCTCCCTTGTAAGGCTGCACTACCACGAGGACACGGAAGTCACAAGCAATGCGACAGTCCTCACTGAGCTTACTGACATTCTGCAGGCCAAGCTGTTCAAATGGTATCATTCTCGTGCCTTGCTTCTGCACACTTTCCAGGATCGACGCAACACTGCTGGTCGGCGGCAGCCTGATCCTCATGGGATGGGTGGTGACGAGCGGGCCGATGATAGACTGCACTCCAGTCACGTCCATTTGACGGCCAGTCGTGGTGAGACCAAGTACAACATCTTCCGTGCTCGAGTAATGAGACAGGAGAAGAGCCCAGGCAGCCTTGAGAATGGTGGGAAACGTGATTCCCGACCCTGAATCCCTCTGCACAGTGAAGTCGTAGGTCCGCACCGCATTCACCTTCGGGACATAGTTGACGGCAGGGAGAGTTGGATACGACGCGCCAGGAGCGCCCTCGAGTTCTTTCAGCCAGAAAGCTTGCTGCTCGGCAAGATCTCGCTCTTCAATATGAGCAATGGCGTTGACGAATGGGGTGTGGTCTACCACTATAGAGCCGTGATAGAGCTTGTCGACCATACTCAGAACAAGGTCCATGGACCACCCGTCGTACAGACTGTGGTGGATTGTCCAGAGGAAAGATCTTTTGCCTCCTTGCTTGATGAGTGTGAAGCGGCAGAGCGAAGTACCCAGGGCCATGGGAGCTTGGGTGCCATTCCTCATGAATGTATCGAGCGACGGTGCTGTCACCTCAGTCCATTCAATGTCTGAAGGCTTTAGGACAACCTGGATGAGCTCTCCCTTGTGGCCTGCCACGATTCGAGTCCGGAGGATCTCGGCTCGATCCGATGCAGCTTGCCACGACATCTTGAGCCTGTCAATGTCCGTGTCGGCAGCAACTTCAAAGGGAACCTGCGCCATGTAGGATCCTGTCTGCTTGTTTGAAAGCGCCATCATGCCCTCCTGGAGCGCGGTACATGGATATGCGTCGGCTACAGTGCTTGGCGCCACGTTGCAAGCCTCGGCCAGTTGGTTTACCAGACTTTGTTGATCTTGGTCTCCGGTGAGGATGGAAAACGGCTCGATCATAAAGCCATCTGCGGGCTCGCCGTCCTCAATAGCAGGTGTGTGGAAGGCCATCTCAGACAAGACGGGTGTTTCAAAGATTTTTCCCACTGTCAGGGCCAGCCCCTTTTCTCTTGCCAACTGGACGAGGTGGATAGAGCGAATGGAATCGCCTCCGACGGCAAGGAAACTGTCATTCGCCATGATAGAGTCAGCATCTAGACCTAACACCACGCTCCAGAGGTTTTGGAGGATTCTCTCTTTTTCGGTGGACAGGGCAATGTTTTCGCTCCGCCGACGGCGTAGGGTGGAGGCCAGGACCACGTCCGTCGGCAGTGCGCGAACCCATTGCTCCAGCTTCTTCCTGTCGATCTTGCCCGCAGCGCTCTTGGGCATGCAATCAACCGAGAAGAAATGCGAGGGAAGCATGTGCTGCCCAACCCTGCGACGCATCGCTGACAGTGCTGCCTCGCCATCGTCGCGGAACGAGTCAAGCTGGGGGGGGATACCGGCCTCGAAGGACGAGGTGTTCATTCCCTCTGCGTTCTGATCACCTTCTACCCAGACGAATGCCACAAGAGTGCTGCCGAGTCTCTGTTCGAGGTTCTCGATCGACAGGACGGCAACATCGCGGACATGGCCCATCGTCCATGCTGCTTTGAGCTGGTACTCGACCTCGCCAGCCTCCACGCGCTGGCCGTTGATCTTGATCTGCGAGTCCTTTCGGCCTAGATAATCGATCCTGTCCACATCACCATAGCGAACAAGGTCACCTGTCTTATACAGACGCGAATTTCGTGGAAGCCCTGCCGCTGCGGCCCAAGCTGGCTGGTTGATGAAGGCTGACGCCGTCTTTTCGTCATCGTGTAGATAGCCACGAGCAAGGACCGAGCCTTGCAGAAGCAACTCCCCCTCGCAACCGGGGCTTACGAGCCTGTCGTGGTTATCCGGGTCGACGATCCAGCAGGCGCAGTTCAGACCAGCACCGATACTTGTGGACACCTCGTCGCGCCCGGGCAACCATTCATAGCAGGCACTGTAGATACACGCTTCCGTAGGCCCGTATCCATTCAACAGACGCACATGGCCGACCCATTTCTGCACGTCGCCGCTGGTGGCCGCCTCTCCACCGAGAACGAGAGTCTCCAGACGCGGTACCGCGGCTGGGTTGAGCAGCCTCGACACTGACGGCGTTAAAAAGGCAAAGTTGACCGCCATATCCCGCATGGCGGAGGCGACATCATTCATACGCGCCTCGTCGGACGGAATGCAGACGCAACCGCCAGTGACGAGCGTCGCAAAGATTTCGGCGAGTGACACGTCGAAGACGAAAGCAGAGTACTGCAGCACGCGACTGGAAGTTTTGAGTCCCATGCGAAGGCCGATGCCCACGACGCTCTCGTGGAACGCCGCATGGCCCATCACAACGCCCTTGGGCATGCCAGAGCTACCGGAAGTGAAGAAGACGTACGCCACCTGGTCAGCAGCTGCGATGCGTGCGTGCGCCAGGGCCGACGCAGAACGCTCCTCTTCCATAGTGATCTCCCTGCCTACAGTCATGACGAAGCTGGCCAGTCCTGTGCAGCGCGACCGCATCGACTCGGAGCAGAGAATGGCCTTTGAATTGATCTGCGACAGCACATCGTTGCGGCGGCCAGCTGGGTCGTCGGGGTTCAAGGGAACAAAGGCTGCACCGGATTTCATGACGCCCAGCATGGCGACAACAGCCCAGACTGACTTCTCAAAGTAGATGGGTACAAGATCCGCACTGCCAATGCCCTGGTCCGCCAACTTGTCCGCCAGTTTGTCCGTGAGAACATTAAGGTCTCTATAGGACAGTCCGCCGTCCCACGCCTGGAGCGCAGGCTCGGATGGGTGGGCAACTGCCACGGCGGATACCGCGTCTGGAACCGTACTCGGCTTCCACATCTTCATGCGCCTGACGTCGAGAGCATGGCACGTCTCGAGAGTGCCGAGACACGATGCGACGTCTGCCTGACAGAGCTGCTCGAGGAAGAGGTGCATCTGCCTAGCCAGGCTTTCAACCACCATCAAGTTGAGATACTTGGTGACATAACTAAAGCCGAGCTCAACCTCCTCGTTGCTGCGAACAGTGCACTGCAGCACAAGGGGGTAGGCCATGAAGCCAGCGTGGCCCTCTTCGTTGTCCAGCGGCTGAAGCCCGAGACTCTGACCATCCGTAGCCAGTTCGCTGGGCTGGATGACGAGAATGTTGGTGAAATCACAGGCGCGTCGTGTGTCATCAGAGATTTTGGCAATGTTCTGGAGACCGAACTGCTCGTGGTGCATGGCGCGCGCAGACTGGCCTTGCACTTTGCTCAAGAAGGCACCAACGGTCTCGTCCGCCGGCGTGTGAGCGCGTAATGGTATCGTGGCCACCGTAGGGCCAACGATCTCTTCGATCCCCGATACGGGCGCATTGCGGCCTGAGACCACGTTGCCAAAGGTCACGTCCGTTGAGCCGCACCGCTGCGCTACCGTGAGGGCCCAAGAGGCGCGGATGAGAGTGGGCAAGGTAGTCTCCTTGCTCTTTGCACGTCTGGGCAATTTGACGCGGCTCTTGTAAAAGGCGGTGGTCTCGGGCTCTTTCTGCTTCTGCTGGCTGTCAACCTGCGTTTTGGGGAAGCGAGAGTCCTGAGCGCCTTCCAGCTCACTGGCCCAGAAGGCCTCACTTTGCTCGTTCACATCGCGGGCCTGGACGGAAAAGGTGTTGAAGTCTGGTGGAGGGAGCAGAGATGCGCCATGGTATGCGTCATTCAGCAAAGACAGAATGCGACCGACCGACCAACCGTCGATGATGGCATGGTGTGCCGTCAACACCATATACCTTTCACAAGCAGCCTCAAACAAGGTCGCCTGGCACAATCTCGTATTGAGAGACATTTCTTCGCGGGGTCTCTCCCTGAGGTGTGCCATGAACTGCTTCTCGTCTGCTACGTCTGCCAAGCGCGCGGTGGACCACGAAGCCTCCTCGTCTTGGACGACCTGGTAGGTCACGCCGTGGACTTGAACGATTCTCGATCGCAAGACAGAACACGCTGAAACAACAGACGACCATGCCCTGGACAGACACTCGGCGTCCAAGGATTTTGGCAAGCGGAACACATGCTGGGCAACGTAAGAGCCGGGCTTCTTCAAAGACAGGGAAATCAGGGCCTCTTGCATGTGAGTAGCAGGGTAGACGTCTTTGATGCATTCTTTGGCCGTGCCGAGCTGCGCGCTGATAGTGGCCAGAAGGTCTGGCCTTTCCGGGCCCGTTATCGACGAAAAAGTCACATAGGCACCCTCCTCTTCGCTCTGCATCGTTTGTCGTACCGCCAGGGACATGAGCTCTAGGGTAGGCTTGGCGAAGATGGTGGGGACATCCAGGTCAAGTCCGTTTTTCCTGGCACTCGAGGCAAGCCTCATCGCGACGATCGAGTCACCGCCTAACGCAAAGAAGTTGTCGTTCACGTTGATCGCAGACGCTTTCAACTGCAAAGCCGACGCCCAGAGGTCTCGCAGGCTCGACTGCCAGGAGTTGGTCACCTCCTTCTTCTGATCTCCCGTGTTGACCAGGCTGTAACTTGTGATCTGCGCCGCGCTCAGATCGTGAATGGCTCGCTTGAGCGCACTGCGATCGAGTTTCCCCGAGATAGTCAGGGGCAGCTTGTTCAAGGGGATCCAGAGTCGGGGAACCATATAGCCCGGGACGCGCGCTACCAGATCGGTGGCGAGCCCCTTGAGCCAAATGACCTCCTCGTCCGTTAGAAGGGGGAACGCCTGTTGCGACGCGAGAGCATGCTTCGACTGGAAGAACATGGCCAAGAGCTGCGTAGATCGACCTTCCAGCGGCGTGCCAATCTCCGAGACGCAGTCAATCCCCGGAGCGAGCCCTTCGACATATGCGTCCACCTCGCGAAGCTCGATTCGCTGCCCGTTGAGCTTGACTTGGTTATCCTTGCGTCCCACAAAGTTAAGCGAGCCGTCCGACTCATACTGCACGAGGTCACCAGTCAGGTAGATACGTCCAGTGTCTGCGGTGACTTCCCGCATCCATCGTGGTGCGTCTCGAAAGACGCTGGCTGTCTGGCTTGGGCTTCCCAAGTATCCACGGGCCAGCGTGGGCCCCTGGATGGCGAGCTCACCGATACACCCGACGGGCGCGAGCTTCTCGGGGTCGCTGGGGTCCACCACCCACGTTGTGCAGTTGACAGCCTTTCCAATGTTCGACGGGGGGTCTTGTGCTGTCTCCCAGAGTCTCGCGGTCGCGCCAGTGCAAGCCTCGGTAGGCCCGTAGCCACCGCGTCCCTGGATTGCCGACCAGGTGCTGACGACGTCGGGGGTATTTGGCTCTCCTCCCAGGAGGATCGACCTCAAGCTGGGCACCTCGTCCGGCGTGAAGAGCCGCGACAATGAGGCCGTCAGTGCGGTAAAGGTGACATCCATTCTCCGGATCGCCCCCGCTATGTCGTGTTGGCACTCATCCTTTGTTGGTACGCAGACGCACCCCCCGCGGAGAAGCGCCCCGAAGATCTCGAGGCAGCACGCATCAAACACATACGGTGAGTACTGCAAGACTCTTGTGGACTGATCAAAGCCTAGATACCCCGTGATACCCTGGAAGCTGGTACATACCGCGCCGTTTTCAACCATGACGCCCTTGGGCTTGCCCGTCGTGCCAGATGTGAACAGCACGTAAGCCAAGTGCTTGTTTGTGACCTCTGGCAAGTTCACGCTACCGGCAGGGAGGCTGGAGATGATATCTCCCGATATCTCCAGAGCCTCTACCCCCAAGTCGGCGAACTGAGATTGTATACTCCCTGAAATCAGGACCAGACTGGCATCGATTTGCTCCAGTATAGCTTGCCACCGATGGCGAGGGTGGGAGGGGTCCAGGGGTACAAACGCACACCCGGCTTTCATGATGCCGAGCATGGCCACAACGGCCCACGCCGACTTCTCCAGGCAAAAAGGCACCATCTGATGTGGCTTCACGCCTCGCGATAGTATGTACGAGGCCAGGCGATCCGACGTCGAGTTCAACTCCTCGTATGTGAGACGGACGTCCTTCGATTCCACCGCAATGGCTTCAGGCATATTGGCGTTCTGCAGTTCGATGAAACGCGGAACCGACAGACAGACTTCTTGGGGTGTCTCCTTGTTCCAAGCTCGCAGAGTCGAGATATCACCTCGCGTCACCATTTCGATCTCGCCAATAGGCAGATCCGCACTAGCTTCGGCCACCTGACGGAACGCCTCGTGAAAGTGAGCGCACACCCCGTCGGCGCGCTCACTCGCGATGCGCGTCTGGTCGTAGATGACATTGCAGTGAATGGAGCTGTCGTCTCGGAGGCTGCAGGTCAGTACGAATCCATATCCTAACTTACCAATCTCCGAGGACCCAACCGGGTCTTGCTCGAAGAGTTGAATCTGCTTGGAAGCCCCTGGAGGCTGAACGACGAGGAGCGTGCCAAAGGTAGCGGCGTTGGCCGTGTCGCCTCCCATACGGGCGATGTTCTGAATGCCCGACTGTTCAAAGTCGAACATGTGAATCATCTGGTCCCGAATCGCTTCGAGCAGTCCAGTGACAGACGTTCCGCTGTCGACAAGAATCCGCAGAGGGACCGTGGCGATGGTTGGACCAACGATACAATCAATCCAAGCCACGGGGGCTGTGCGTCCAGATACCGTAACGCCAAATAGGACATCATCGGTCCCCGCATACTTGGCGTTGACAATGGCCCAGGCAGCCCTGAGGAGGGTCGGCACACTGTGACTCGTATGGTTATTCTTGATAGCAGGAATCAAAAAATCCTTCTGGCCCTGGGGGAGATACTCCTGGGACGTCGGCGATGACGGCAGGCGGGACTGGAAGGGGAGCGGGAAAGGATTGGACTTGGAGAACTGGTCTTGCCAGTAGCGCTTCTCTGCTTCAGCGTCGTGTTTCTCTGCGATATACTTCACAAAGTGTGCATAGGGGAGCGGGGCGGGCAGCTCTAGTCCGTTGTATAGATCTTGGAGCTCTAGCATCATCAACCCCAGACTGTGGCCGTCAAAGAGGGAGTGATGAATTGCCAGGGCCAGATGCCTGCCACCACCCGTGTCTTCTACGAGGCTCCATCGAGCCATCCTGGCCCCCAGGCTCGTCGGTGGGGCGTCCTCCAAGAGGAGAAAATTGTCCAAATTCGTTCTTCGTTCCCAGGGGAGGACATCTTCCACCACGATCTGCAGCAGCCCAACATCCTCGACATGGACGAACCGTGTTCGGAGCAAATCGTTTCGCTCGACCAGCGCGGCGCATGCCGAGGTCAGACGGTCCAGGTCGACGTCATCCGGCAGCTTGTACGCACCCACGGCGATGTACGCGCGAGGGTTCCTGAGCGAGATGGCCATGAGCCCCTCTTGGAGTGGTGTACAAGGATACGCGTCCTTGACTTGGTTCGGAGAGACACCACAGGTGACGGACGTAACGCGTCGTATCTCGCTCGGGCTCACGCCTCGCGGTGCGAGTTCAAACGGAGCAAGATGGGCAAGTTCTAAAGACGATGCTCGATTGGTGGTGCTGGCCATGTCTTCCAGGACGGGGGAGGCAAAGATGGCAGCCACGCTGAGCTCGAGCCCCTTCTTGAAGGCCAGTGTGACCAGCTTCGTGGCGGCGATGGAGTCGCCCCCCAGGCGAAAGAAGTGATGATGGCCTTGGATAAGAGACGCATCGAGGCTGAGGATCTGGGCCCAGAGCTGGCGTAGAGCCACAGCTGTTTCACTCAGCTCCCTTGCCACAGCCGGCCGTTCGATGGAGGAGAAGAGGGCGAGATCTTGCGGACTCAGCTGCTGGGCTATAGCTCGAAGCGGCTTGCGATCCGTCTTTCCTGATGAGGTCTGGACCGGCGTACCAGCGAGAGGGATAGCCAGCGTGGGGACCATGTATGTTGGCAGTTTCTTGCCGAGTCTCTCCATCACTTGCCGTATCACCTCGCCGATTTCAGGGGTAAATTCCGACTCGGCCATGGGCCGAGGCACGCCCGCAGACGGCACGTCCAGGTGCGAACTGTCCACAAACCACAAGATGAGGACAAGCATCTGCCGGCCAGTCACTTCGTGCGTGACGAGTTCGACCATGCCGCCCACGCCTGGTGGTGAGATGTGGACAAGTTGCGTCTCAATCTCGCCTAGTTCAATGCGCTGTCCATGGTATTTGACTTGACTGTCCTTGCGCCCGATAAAGTCAATGGTACCAGCCGCGTTGTATCGCACAAGATCCCCTGATTTGTAGGCTCGATGACCATCGACGCCCTCTAGCTTGGGTAGGAAGGATGATGCGTTGACCAGCCACGCATCGGCGCCGGCCTGTCCAAGATAGCCACGAGCAAGCGTCGGACCTTGGATCACCAGCTCGCCTACACAGCCCAGGGGCAAAATTGTCTCGTGGTCTTCCGGGCTGACAACCCATAGGCCGAGCCCCGATACACGGCCCAGCGTGGTCGTCTTCCCTACGCTCCCCAGTTGTGGGTTCCATGCCGAACAGGTGCAGACCTCGGCTGGGCCGTATATGCCAATCCGTCGCAGGGATACCCAGCTGTCGAGGACGGACTGCGGGATCGCCTCGCCGCCGAGAAGGAGCTGCTCGAGACAGGGCGCATCGGCGTGGGTGAAGGTGCTGGCCACGGACGGGGTCAGCAACGCTGCGCTGGCATTCAGGCGTCGTATGGAACTGGGTAGGGCGTTGACCCTTTCGTGCTCGGAAGGTATACAGATGCAACCACCCTTCCAGAGGGTGTAGAAAACTTCGAGCGAGACGACATCGAACGTATGGGCCGAATACTGCAGCATGCGCAGCGGCTTGGTCCAGCCAATGTCACGCTCCAAGGCGATGAACGAGTTGCAAAAGGCAGCGTGCTCCATGACGATACCCTTGGGCACGCCCGTGCTTCCGGATGTGAATATAATAGAAGCCACATTGGTCGGCGTCACAGCAGTCCGCAAGGCATCCGCGTTGATCTGGGACTCCAGTTCGTCCAAGAAATCGCCATCGATTGTCAGCACGTTCGGTACCACCCCTGCCACGAGGCCTGCTGACTCGGCGGTGGTCAGGATCCAACGACTCTGGCAGCTCTCGGCGATGGTGGCGATGCGGGATCTGGGGTGCCTCGTCTCGACGTGCACGTAGGCGGCCCCAGCCTTTAGGATGCCGTACATGGACACGACCGTCCAGGCGGACTTGGGAAAGCAACAAAGCACATGCGATTCGGGCCCGATCTGGTACTGCTGTTGCAGGTAGGCGGCGAGCAGCGTCGCCTTGCGCTCGAGTTCCCGGTAGGTAAAGGAACCCTCCGGGGCTAGGATGGCTTGTCGGTCGAGATAGGAAGCCGTCTGCTCCGCAATCATGTGATGCAAGCATGCATCTACCAGAGGCGGCGGATTCGTGTGCCACTGGCGCATGGCGTCCAGATCATGACGGCTGAACAGTCGGCACTCGGTCACAGGCCGTGCTGGATGCGAGGTGAGCCAGGAGATAGCGGTGCGGAACGAGTCGACCAAGGACGTGGCCGTGGCGTCGGACAATGTGTGCAGCTTGTAGGTGAGACGGAGGCGCAAACACGTCGGCGTGCTGATGGCGACGGCAGAAACGGGATACTCGGTGGGGAATGCCTCGCTTCGAGCTGTGAGCTTCATCTCTTCCGAAGAGTCTTCGGAAGCGCCCCCTGACGTACCCTTGCCTTCGTCATCGTGTATGCACGACAGGACAGTGTCGAAGAGGGCTCGGTCAGGCTGGGACGTGGCACCCAGGACCTCTTTCAGGGAGCAGTATTGGTGTGACAAGGCTTCAACAAAGTCCCCTTGGATGTCGTGAAGGAGTCCAGAGGCGTCGCGCGAGTCGTCGAGGACAATCCGTCGCGCCAGAATATGCACAAAGGCGCCGACGGTATTCTCGAGTCCAGGGAGAGGCGCATCACGTCCCGAGGTCACGTAGCCGAAACACACCGCATCGGACTGCGTGTAATAGCGCAGAACCATTGCCCATGCCGTCTGTATGAGTGTTGCCGGCGTGATCCCCGTGGCCTGGCAAGCCGACGCCAGTTGATCCAGGCTACCAAGCTCCACCGCCAGCGAGGCCTGCCCCGTGGCCGCCTCAGAGCCCAAGCGTGGGAAGGGAGCCGCTCCCTGGCCGCTCAGATGTCTCCCCCAATACTCCAGGGAGCTATCTTGAGCGCTGAGGAAGGTGTGGTAATCGCCTCCACGCAGAGGGGGCTCGGGAGGCGGCCTGCCCTTGTATATATCACGCAGTTCTCGTAGTATGATGGATAAGGACGTGCCGTCCACAATCGCGTGACTAAATTCGAACTTGCAAAATACGCGGCCCTGCTCATCCTCGCAGAAGGTAAGGTGATGGGCAGGGCGTGTCAGGTCGAAATGCACCGGTGGACATAAGTGCAACTGGCTCTGTGCATCCGCGCAAGGTCCCTCGAGCGAGCGAACTTGGGGTGCCGCGCTTCGCAGCACGACCTGCTCAAAGAGAACGTATTCCCTCACGCTCTGCACAAAGACTGTCCGCAGTGCCTCGTGTCGCTGGATTGTGTGCACCCAAGCATCCGACAGAGCTTTCATGTCTATGGCGCTGTTGGCACGGACAGGTGTCGCTTCGACGACGAGCTCTACTCGGTAGCTCTCGGGCTCTTTCAGCACGGCAATAATCATGCCTTCCTGGACGGACGTGCAGGGATAGACGGCTTGGACGTCCTTCAAGGAGGCGATGCTGAGATCGCGCAGCATGCGCTGCTCAAAGGTCGCTCGATGGGCGGGTGTACTGGATCGCAGCGCATAGTCGTCACATGTTTCTGGCACGGCCTCGAGTGCTTTTGTCTGCAAAGAGGAGCCAACTTCTCGTTTCGATTGGTCCATGTGCCACTCGACGTCAATTAGGCGAGGGCTCCCTAGTAGGTTTGCGACTGTGACCACTACCCCCCTCTCGAGTAGGTAGTTCATGAGGCGGATGGCGCTCATGGAGTCTCCTCCCAGCTTGACAAACGACTTGTGGAGGTCAACTTCGGTGGCCTCTATTCGGTGTGTGCGGGAGAAGCCCGCTCGTAGCATCTGCCCAACGTCCTGGTCGGTTGGGTTCATGTTCTCGCGGTGCGCCTCGGGAGGAGGGGACCAGCCCACCATCTGCCGCAAGTTCTCGTTGTCCACATTCTTCTCCTCGTCAAGAGGGATCTGCAGGACTATGATCCACTTCTTTGGTAGCGGTTTGATCCCCGTGGTGTCTCGGATCTGTTTGCGGAGGGAAGACAGGATCTCGCGATTCGTCAGGCCCTCCACTTCAGGCGCGTCGCGATGTATCTCTAAAAAGACGGCGAGGTTGCCTTCCTCGTCGGGAAGCACCTGTGCGTGTCGCACATGGGCTGCCCGGTGCAGAGCGCCGAGAATTAGATGCGCCATCGTGGCGAGTCTCGTTGGTAGATAGAAACCGGTACAGGCAGTTCAGTGCACAGCGACAGTCGACATGCGATTAGAGTGTACAAACTCGTAAACAAGATACGAATGATGGATTGCTCTTTCTTTCCATGTGTTTTCCAATGTTGGGGTTGGCTATGTTGGAAAGGAGTGAGTTTCCGTTGGGAGAGGACAGGAGGCTCTACAGTCTACACGTAAACAAGCCAATACCATTCACTTCGCGACGGAACAATTTCTTTGGAGAAGCTGTCCGATTCATCGATACCCCCATGGTTCGCATCCATGCACTCTCGCATCCATCCTGGGGTGGCCAATGATGAGGATTCGGGGTTACTGTACGGTCATGTACGTAGTATGGAATCATCATACGTCCCTCAACTGCGTCCAAGTCAGAGACCACGTTGATCGTCATCCAACTCCAGCTTCTACCCCTGTTCTCTGTCCCTTGTCGACAAACCCTTGCATGCGGACCGGCTCATGCACGCACCCTTGTCGGTTCCCACCGGCTAGTGCTCTCTCGTAAGGCGCAATGCTTAGTGTCCGGGTACACTCAGCATCTTGAACGCAATTGATTGGTCAGGTGCACGGTGTATATGCAATTCAGGCTGGGTACCTCCGTACACTCACTCAGTCATCACTGCCTCTGTGTCTGACCACGTACGGTACGTATGTGTAGCCAGTTGCCTCTACAGTGACACAGTCCCCTGCTGCTGCAGGGTCGTCTGTGGACTTGTGAGTAGACTTATGGGGTCTCTAGCCATGGGTTGCAAGGCCACAGAAAGACGAGATACGACATCACACTCCACGTGGTGGCACCTAGGCCCATACATAGAGAAACAAAGCCAGAGGAAGTGGGTAGACAGAGGCCAAAGTCGCGGCACGCCTAAGTGGATAGATGTCTCTCCAACTGTAGTCCTTCTGTCTTCAAGCTGGTCGTGGGCTCTACTACACATTGACAGTCATAGTCGATCATTCCCGTCATGCTTGTGGGAGCGACGAGCACACGCTTCCCGCCGCCCCCGCGGGGAGGTGTTGGTGAGTTCTTGGACAGCACGTCGGGATCGTGTTGCTGATCTGCCGTATTCAAGACTGGTCGACGCAATCCGCGGATACCTTCACCCACAGCCATGTCGAATCTCGACGGTGCGCCGCGACGGGCGATTGGTCTCAACCGGTGCTGGTAGAAGATCCGTATCTGCGTGTACACGGTCTCGCGCCCGTCTTCCACTACGGTCAGGAAGCCTACGAGGGTTTGAAAGGTGATGGACACCACATTGCACTCCCTTTCAAGGCACATGCGCAGTCGAACTGACCGTTCTCCAAAGCTTTCCGCACACCTCACGACGAGATCCGCATTGTCAGGCCCGACTACCACGCGAGGCGATTCCGTCAGTCGGCCGAACTCGTCTCGATCCCTCCAGTCCCACACGACGTCTTCCTCCGCAGCGTAGAGATGGCCGTGGCCCACAATGCCGAGTTCGTGCCTCCCAACGACGAAGAGAGCATGCTGTACATACGCCCCGTCGTCTTCGGCACGGGGGGGTCCATGCAGCTCAAGCCGAGCGACGAGTACCTCTTTTGCGTCTACGTCACCTGCGCGGGGGCCTTTTACGGCTCAGAGGCTCTGGACTGCCTCATCCTCGAGGACTTTGACCGGGCGGCGCCGAGGGGAACTGGCTCGGGCAAAGTGGGCGGCAACTACTCCCCCGTGATGCGGTGGAGTCGGCAGGCCAAGGAGAGAGGATTCGACATTACGCTGCACCTCGATAGCCAGACACGGAGCGAGGTGGAGGAATTCACCACGTCGGCTTTTCTCGGCATCCGCGTCCAAGAAGGGAGCACCCCGACTCTGGTGGCCCCCGACACGAAGAACGTCGTGGACAGTGTCACGAGCAATTGCGCGCGCCGCGTCGCAAGCGACCTCGGCTGGGCGGTGCAAAGAAGACCGGTCAAGTACACGGAGCTCGAACAATTTAGCGAGATCATGGCGTGCGGTACCGCTGTGGCCCTGGTCGGTATTCGGTCCATCACCAGAGAGAGCACCAGCGAAGTACTGCGATACTCTGACAAGGATGGAGAATTGGGTCCCTACACACAGATCTTGCAAGAGCATCTTCGTGACATCCACAAGGGAAAGACCGCGGATCGGTTTGGGTGGATGCACAAGGTCCCTCCCCCGGAAACGGGGACTGATAGACAGATAGATCATCCAGGAGCTCACTAAAGCCACCTTCTCTTCATTCTTTACTCTGTGCCACATGACCTCGCTCCACTGGATTATTCCCCTCATGTTGCGATACACACGCATCAAGAGTGGTTGTCGATGGAGATTGTCGCCACGTGCAAAACCTCTATACTACCTTGAGCAATGAGGTACACTGCTGCAGCGTGTGTAAGCTGCAGGTCGCTATTTGTGCGCCTTTTGGTGATTTAGTAAGCCATGTCATGGGTTACTCAGTTCTATGCCAACAGCGACTTGTACTTATGCTGCCAGGCCTGCAGGGCGCATCTCAACGTCATTGGACGGCGAGGTAGCAAGCTGCCGGGCACTGATTGTATATGGTCTGTACACATGAAGCAGCAAACAACATGAACTATGAGTCGTCTGCTATTTTTCTGCTTTGGTGAGGCTCATTGACCAAGCCCGCCCTCGTGCTTCTAGCAGAGATAACCGTCCTGCCTCGTCTCCCACTCAGCAGATATAGCACACCGCAGCGACCATGCACATAATCTTGACGGGAACGGGTCTGGTGGGCGCCTGCGCGCTCGACTTCCTGCTGCAGGAGGATACTGTGACCAAAGTCACCATCATCAGCCGGAAAGCCGTACCGCAGGCAGAGGGCCACGACAAGGTCACCGTCCTGATAGAGGAGGACTTGGGCCGCTACAGTCCAGAGACACTCCAGCGTCTTTCCGGCGCCCACGGCTGTATCTGGACAGTTGGCCCGCCTCAGGCCAGCGTGACGCGCGCGTAATGCCCCCTCTCTTTTTCTCCAAATGCCTGTCCCGCCTTGGAGTCCTAGTTGAGGCTGACGGTTCTGTTTCCGGGCCTTAGAGAATACGAGGCGGCTCACATTGACCTGCCGGTTGCTGCTGCCAAGAGCTTCGCCAGGCTGAACGACAAGTTCAACTTTGTCTATGTATCGCGTACGTGATGTGATGGGTGCAATGAGCAACGAGGTTTGGAAACATGGCTGACGCGGCTCTAGATGACCAGATCCACACACCGAATTCGCGCTGGGTGTTCTTCCTCGACGTCAAGTCGCAGGCCGAGGAGGTTCTGTTCCAGCTGCATCATGACACCAGCAAGAGGCTGCCACTGGTCGAACGGCCGGGGAAACCGCTCCCAAACGAGGAAGCCGTGCCATCGCTGCGGATCTACTGCGCACGTCCGATGCTCATTGACTACCGGCAGCACGAGGCTGTCAAGCCCTGGCTCAAGCCGCTCACGCTGGGCAAGAAGTGGAGCAACTGGGTTGGCCTGCCAGTCTATTCCTTCTTCGGCATGACGTCCATGATTGGCGACTCACGGGAGCTCGGCAGGGTGCTCGTGGACCTTTCTTGTGGCGATGGGGAAGACATCCACGTGGAAGGGGTGTCTCCTGAAGGCAGGTGTCTCGGTGTCGTGGGGACGAGGAACTGGTGCAAAGAGCGCGTATCGCTGAATGCCTCCGGCGGGAAATGAGCTGCTTACTTTGCTATATGAGTTCTTGTAGGGACTTTCCTGTATTTACATGCAAAAAGATATCACGCTGCCTCCAAAGATGATGGTCCAAGGCCAAGCCAAGCCAAGTGCCTTGTCGAAGGATGTAGTCTACTTACCCTGCAGCACGGCATGATACTACGAAGAAAGAGCACATATGTGATGATGTGTGAGCTAATAAATGACGGCAAAATATTGAAGAATTCTTTCTTTCATCGCGCGAATTTGGATTCTCTCAAATACAATTAGATTGCCGTTGCCGTTTAATGGAACTGTTTCTCATTGTGTCTAACTAACTTATTGTCTTTCTTTCCATGCTTTTTATGTTAACCCTTTTCTCTTGGCTTAGTCCAAGTCAGTGCTTACACCATGCTACACTATGATACCAGCAGCGCCCTCATTCCTTTGCGATAATCTCAAACTCATCTTACATAGACCTACGTGAAGAACCAAAACCAGACCAAGTTATCACTTTCGAGAGAAGCTGTTGCGTGTCAGGCAGGTTGTACCAAACAGCCGCTGATTGGTTAGGGTACAGACTCGGCCCACAATGTCAAACGGCGTCATCTTCGGGCTCTCGCGTTCTTCTTTCTCCCTTGGCATCACCATCATCTTGAGATAGATAATCGTTCTCTGCGTCTTCCCTATTCAACTTTCGCTAAAAGCCATGCCACTTGGCAGAATATCTGGGAAAGATACAGAGGAGAGTGGCATTCCTGGTGCCCAGGATCTCAGATGACCTTGGGTTTCCGGTCAGCCCTCTGTCGAAGACTCATATAGCTTCTTGAAGACGGACGGCCGTGCCAGCAGTGCCCTGGGCTCATCGAATTCCAGGACCTGGCCCGCATCCAGCACCACCACCTTGTCGTAGTCCAACGTCACCTCGAGCTTGTGGACAATGGCGAGGACGGTCCAGTTCGCGAAGCTCGTCTTGATGACTTCATCAATCTTGGCCGAAGCTGCCTGATCAAGACTGGAATCGGGTCAGAGAAGAGCCATCTGCGTGGGAGGGACATGCCATACCTGCTTGTCGCCTCATCAATGAGGAGAAGCCGACCGCCCGTCTGCCTCATCATCGCTCGCGCCAGCATGAGCAGCTGCATCTGGCCCTGGGAGAACGTGTTCTCGTCCATGGCCGCATCGAGACCGCCCTCGCGGGCCTCGACCATGTGTCGCATCCCAACCTTGTCGAGCGCTTCGAGGATGAGGTGATCCCGCTGCGCATCGCGGCCGTCGGTGGCTGTGCTCTCGTGCTGGTGGTGCGCGTCAATGTTGAAGCGGACAGAGCCTGGCAAGATGTACGCCTCCTGTGGGATCGCGACGATCCTGGACCGGAGGTACTCGCGGGGCAGGGCTGCGAGATCCACGCCATCGACAAAGATAGATCCAGAGTCTTGCTCCACGAGGCCCAGCAGGGACAGGAAGAGAGAGGATTTCCCACTATGCGCAGTCGTTAGTCATTCGGCGCCTTGGTCGCCATGGGTGGCAAGGGGCATGCTTACCTCCCCGTTCGGCCGCATATGCAGACCTTTTGACCAGCCTCTACCTCGAGCGACACATTGTCGAGGACCTTGGCGGAGGGTCTGTGAAAAATGTCAGTGATAAGATCTGGGATGTAATTATGCCAGATCGGGAGACGGAGACTCACGAGTAGGACGCTGACAGGTTGCGGATAGACACTTGGCCCTCGGGGGGCCACGAGCTCTCCGCTATATCTCCGGTGCTTTCCGTTAGGCCTGCCACGTCGTCCTCGCTGGGGAGCGCCTTTGCGAATGTCTTGATCCTCGCGACGGCGCCAAGCGACACCTCGAGCTGCACCCAGCTCGTGATGATGGCCTGGACGGTGAAGCTAAAGGCGAGGATGTTGCTCAGCGCGACACCGACGTAGCCGGGCCCAATGGCCTCGCGCAGATTGGTGACCACCACAATGAGGGCGATGGCGACGAGCATGATGATGATGTTGACGGCCAGTGTCAGCCATCGCTGGGCGCAGTAGAGGAGGTAGTTGGGCCGCTGGGACTTGTCCAGGATGAGGATGTTCTGGTGCGCCGAGCGGTCCTGCCAGCCGAACGCGCGGATCGAGACCATCCCCGTCAGCGTCTGCATGAAGTGGGTATACAGAGGCGCCTTGAGGTCGATGGTCATCTGACGAAGCTGCCGGGCCGTGCGGAGGTAAAAGTGGCCCAGCAGATAGAAGGCGAGGATCAGAAAGGGAACGAGGATGGACAGGTACCGCGAGGAGACACAGACGAGAATGAACTGGGCAAAGCCAAAGGCGGTCGCTGGCGTCTGGTCAGTACATGTTGCAGGGGCCCGTGCTTCATCACTTACACATTGTCACGCCCATGGCGGCGGGCGGCAGCTCCATATCGATGAGCTGCAGGTCCTGACTGAACCGGTTGATCGTGGTCCCGGTGTCGGTTGTCGCGTGGAAGGCTATCGGCGCGCTGCGCAGCAGATCAGCAGCTGTACAGGGAGGGGGTTGGACGGCCACGTACTGAGAGACGGCATGGAGGAGGATCTCATGGAATTGACTGGCCGTCTTGTTGATGGCCAGGATGAAAAGCTGCCTGTGATTCGGTCAGTCCCTTTGAACGGGGAGGGAGACACGAAGCGACAAAACCGAGGAGTCGACCATACATACCACATGCCGATGAAACAGGATACCAGAGCACCGACGCACAGGAGTGTGTACACACCGAACCACTTTCCAAGGTCGTTGCCCGCGCCATCCTCGTTAGCCTCGGCCCACCATTTCAGCCATATGCCTGGCTCTGCGTCAGTTTCGCATGTCTCCGCGACGGGAGCGGATCAAGGGGGCCTATACGTACTGGGGAAGGCATCGCAAAAGGCAAAGACGGACATGGCCACCACAAAGCCGACGAGAGTGCGGTATCCTGCTGCCTTTGCGTAGTATTTGTAGACACTGGCGTCGCCCACCTGACGTGCGGCGTCGGCCTGGGCTTCCGTGGTGGTCATCAATTCCGTCTCTGGCTGGCCGTCGCCGCGCGAGGCAGCAGGAGCCGTCCTCGGCCCATCCTCGTGGGCTTCATGCGCGGCCCAGCGGTCGATTTTCTCAAGGATTTCAGAGGCGACTGTGTCGCCCTCGGCTGTGTGCAAGTCTTTCATGTCGGTCACATGCCCCTCCTGGTTCATCGTGATAAGACGATCGGCAAAGGCCAAGACGCGAGCTAGACGGATATTAGCTACCGGAGCTTTGATGACGCGCCCGAGAGGAAGCAGAGGCCTACTGGAGGACGAGGTCATGATCGTCGTCATGTTGGCGGAGCGCAGGAGGCCGTTGTGGCCCAGGAGGCCCATAAACAGGGCATCCTCTGTGCTGGCGTCGATGCCACTGAACGAGTCGTCAAGGAGGAGGAGTTCGCGTCGTGCGTATATGGCTCTTGCCAAGGACTAGAAGAAGGTTCGTACGTGTGAGTGGACGCTCGGTAGGAGGCAGGGGAACGTACAAGTCTCTGCTTCTGGCCACCGCTCATGGTAATTCCTTTGGAGCCAACCCTGGTCTCTTCGCCTCGAGGCCAGGTCTCAATGTCCCTTTCGAGTCGGCATGCGCGGAGCACGGTACGATACCAGTCGTCGTCGTCGGAGAGCTTGGAGCTGACGTCCACGGTACTCTTGTCACCCGTGTCGCTAGGCAGACGACCGGTGACCAGCTGGTGCACCGTCTCGTTGGGTAGCCAGGGGCTCTGCTCGCAGAAGGCAATGGGCCCCGCGCATCCTACGCTCACCTCGCCTTGCACGGAGAGCTCGCCGAGCAGGGCGCGCAGGAGCGAAGACTTTCCGCAGCCGACGGGCCCCATGATGACAGTCAGTGTGTTTCGCGTGATGCGCAGGGGGGACGAGATGACGATCGTGGGCGAAGTATGCTCCATCCGTGCGACGGCTTGAGCCTCGCTGGCCGACTTGCTGTCTACCTTCTCTCGAGACTCTTCCCCCATCTCCGGGGTGCTGCCAGACCAGAAGAACGCGCCACGCATTGTGGCCATGGCACGGCCACCGTAATTGGTTTTGTCGGCCACCGAGGCGCCGCCCTTCTCCTCCCCATCGAGTAGCATGACGCCGCGCACGTCGCGGTACTCCTGGGCGTTCAAAAAGTCTTGTATACGCTGGAAGGAGGTCACGGCGCCGGCGATCTGCGGGAGGGCAATCACGAGCTTGGTGAGGGGGCTGTTGAGCAGGACCATGATGGAAAATGCAGTGAAGATCTGGGCAATGCTGAGCCCCGAGTTTGAGCTCGTGGACACGCCAGCGGCCGTCGCAAAGGTCAGCAGCGGGCCGAGGATAGGGGTCGAGAGAGCTGGACGAGAGACTAGATCAGCTGCCTGGCGGCCGCGGTCAGGGGAAGGGGGGAACGCACATAACACGAGAGAGCCGCCCAGCAGCCATCGGAAGCGCTCCGAGACCTGGAGCTCGTGGGCCCTGAGATTACGCAGCGCGGAGAAGGCAATGTCGGTCAGGCCGGAGATCTTGATCCACTTGACGCTGCCCAGGGTATGGGATGTGGCCGCGACACGCTCCTGCGAGGCCTGATTCCACAGAGCCTGGCGCGTCCCCGTGGGCACGGCAAGAAAACCTGTCCCGACCATGACGACTGGGGCACGACGCTGTCAGTCCGGGCAAAGAGGAACAAGGAGCTTTCTTACCAAGCGAGAAGCCGATGCTCATGACGCAAGAGACGCCCAGCTGCCGCTCCAACAGGTAGATGGACAAGGCTAGCTCGACCACGTTGCTCCACGTCTCGTGGAGCTGGGTGAGTCCCGAGACAATGGTCTCGATATCGGTGCTGATGAGTGTCAGGGCGCCCATGTGGCTGAGACCGGTGTGTGTCGACGAATCGAGCACGACAGCCTTGTCGTGAATGAGCGGGACGACGCTGCCTCTCATCATGGTAGCTGCGCGCCAGGCCCGCCACTCGGACTGGCTGACGGAGATCTGGAGAGGCAGGGTCAGTCATGAACACACGGGTGTGGATGGAGATGCAAGAGAAGGGGATCGAGGGAGGGCCGCCCTGGGGGCCGCTCGACCTACCGCGATGCCGCCGTACACCAGAATGTAGGCGCCGATCAGCCCGTAGCCCAGATTGTTGTAGGGTTCCTGTTGAGGCAACGCCGCGAGGCGGATAGCAGCTGTGACGAGAAAAGGCTGAGCAAAGGTGAAGCCGATCTGGAACAGGCGTGCAAAGGCCGGCAGCAGAATCGGGCCCTGGAAAGCGCTCAGCCAGGCGCCAAAGAGGGCGTTCGGCTTTTTCTGGTCCTCGACTGTCGAGATGCGCCATCAGTTTCTGTTATACCTGGGGCCCGAACCTCGAACCGCACGTACCATTTCTCCATGCGTGCCGCAGCCGCACGCCCAGTCGTTCCGAATCCAGCTCCTCGTCGAGGCGGCCTAGATGGTCGTAGTCCAGGAGGCTTCTATAGCCACGCAGGAAGAGGGGATTCAGCCACCAGAACAGACTCGTGTTGATGGGACCGCTGGTGGTCTCGGCCGCGACGCTGCGGTACTCTGGCAGGAGATACGAGCGCTTCTCCGTGCTCTCGAGCAGCAGGATGAGGGCACGCAGCGCTAGAGACGCGGTGAGCACGGAACGAGTGGACGTGGACACGGAAGGAGAGAGCCATAGTGTCCTGGCGCGCGCGACGTCGAGCAGGACAGAGAGCGAGAGATAGGCGGTGATGAGCAGCGAGGGACGCAGCGAGGCGCGCTGCTTGAGCGTGGAAAGCACCGCAAAGGCGATGGACGCGACGAGGACGAGGGCCGCGCTCGGCACTGTGGTGCTTGTCTGGCTAGTGTCGTCCTCGGTCGCGTGGATGCCCAGGGCGGCGGCCGAGAGCGCGACGAGGCCGGTGACGAGTGTCTAGGATGGTTCGAGGACGGTCAGCAGGTTTCAATTGTCATCCGAGACAACGTGTGGCAACGCAAGTGACGGAAACGCACCAGCTTGACCCAAGTGATGGCGTGGGCCCGGATCTTGGTGGGCGCCTTGAGGCACGAGGCCACATCGAGGGCCGTGAGGCAGAGGAAGACAGCCGAGAGCAGGATGGACAAGATGGTCTCCTCAAAGAGCAGGGTGAAGTCGAAGCCGCCGCGACAGTCCGGCCCAGCCCATGGACCGAAGTTGCCATCGGGACACGCACCGTCTCGACGCCTCGACATGGTGGTGGTGGTGGTGGTGCGAGCGACTGGCTACTGACACACACAACTTCAATGAGCTGCTGGAAGCTACTACAGTGAGGACCGAAGCGGTGCAATGTGCGAAGGGAGGGCTTTCCCAAGTGTCCTACCAGTTGAAGCTGCGCGTATCGGTCCCAACAGGCAACATACAAGGCACACGCAGATTGTCGATGCAGGGCCGGGCCTGTCCGTCCGTCAAGCCTTGACAAGGGGGTCGACCCCCCTGACTGGCACTCTCGCTTGGCTGACAGAGACAGAGTTGGAGGCTGGACCTGGAGTGCATGCATGCATCACTCAGCCGGGGCCACAGCGTCACGTCACGTCAGATTGACAGACAGAGGCGCCAGACTGCAGGATTCCGGTCCAGTCCCGTCCTTGGCCGCCTGTCACTTGCATTAAATACCCTTTGTGGGCTTGAGATGCCTGTTGGGTGTCTCTAGCGTCCACGTTACATACATACATGCACAATGGGAAGCCACACTGATGCTCATCCCGGGGCCAGCTGGCCCAGCCTTGTCCACCTCGACAGTGCGCCTCGCTTGGCTGTTTTTGTCCTCTTCCTCGTATAGTGATCCCTCAACTCTTTCTCCTCCGCCTGACTTCTCAAGACTGGACTGGACTGACAGAAAGGCAGGTCGTTGCGTACCAGGCCATCTACGCGGGCTACCTCGCCTTTGTCCACCCGCTGCGCCGCATCCCTGGGCCAAAGCTAGCCGCCGTCACGCGGCTTCTGTATGCGCGCAAGCTCCTCCAGGGCGACCTCGTCCGGTGGCTGCACGAGCTGCACGAGACGTACGGCGAGGTGGTCCGCATCGCACCCGACGAGGTGTCCTTCATCTCCGGGGAGACGGCGTGGCAGGACATCTACGGCGTCCACACGGGGGCCAAGGCGGCCAGGGGCAAGTATCTCAAGGACCGGCGATGGTTCGCCGCGCCGTACAACGATACGTGGTCCATCCTCCAGGCGGATGCCGAGGCGCACCCTCGGATGCGCAAGGCGATTGCGCCCGCGTTCGGGGACCGGGCGATCCGTGAGCAGGAGCCCCTGATCCAGGGCTACGTCTCGCTCTTCATCCAGCGGCTGCACGAGCAGGTCGAGGGGCCGTCCCGGGGCCAGGTGGACATTGTCCGCTGGTTCAACTACTTTACGTTTGACATCATCGCGGACCTCACCTTTGGCGAGCCCTTTTACTGCCTGCGCGACAGCGACTTCCACCCCTGGGTGCGCATGCTCTTCGCCTCGGTGCGCGCCATCTCGCTCAACAGCGTCATCCGCCGCTACCCGACGTGGCAGTGGTTCGTCAAGCGCCTCGCGCCCCGGGACCTGCTCGAGAAGCGCCGGGCCTTCAACATGTGGGTGTTTGAGCGCGTTGCCCAGCGCCTCGAGGCCGAGGGCACGGCCGCCACGACGCACCCGGACCTCATGACGCACATTACGGCGCACGAGGGCAGCAGCAGGAAGCGCCTCAGTCGCGACGAGATTGACAGCAACGCCAACATTATGCTCATCGCCGGCAGCGAGACCACCGCCACCCTCCTCTCGGGCTGCACCTACCTGCTCCTAACCAACCCGGACAAGCTCCGCGCCCTCCAGGACGAGGTCCGCGGCGCCTTTGCCGAGCCCGCCGAGGTCACCCTCGCGCGCGTCAACGAGCTCAAGTACATGCTCGCCGTCCTCAACGAGGCCCTGCGCATCTACCCGCCCAACGCCGCCGGCTTCATGCGCCTCGTGCCCGAGGCGGGCGACCACATCAGCGGCTACTGGATTCCGGGGGGCGTAAGTTTCTCTTTCTCTCTCCTTGCTTGATTCCCTTCTCTGCTGTCCGTGCCAGCTAACGCCGACAGACGTCCGTCTCCCTCTCGCAGTGGCCCGCCAACCACTCCACGCGCAACTTTGCGTCGCCCGAGACGTTTGCGCCCGAGCGCTTCCTCGGAGACCCCGAGTACGCCGACGACAACCTGGCCGTTCTGAATCCCTTTTCGTTCGGCCCCAGGAACTGCCTCGGCAAGAGGTATGCTGGCCACGAAGCTCGTGAGCAATGGTGCTAACGCGTTCTGCAGCCTCGCCTATGCAGAGATGCGGCTCCTCCTGGCCCGTCTGGTCCTCGAGTTCGACATGGCGCTGGTGGACCCGGATACGGACTGGATGGACCAGAAGATCTTCACCCTGTGGGACAAGGGGCCACTGAGCATTCGGCTGACGCCCGTTGGCACAGGTGCCCATCAGAATGAGGGCGCGGCTCACGGGTCCATGTGAGGGACAGCGAGCGACTGAGGCATGTCGATCCATGGACGGTGTCTGTAGATCCGTGCTCGCTAGTCGGCCAACAACCAGGGCACGCTCCATCTGGACCGCGTAGAAGAGGAGGTGAATGCTACCAGCCAATGGTGCTCAAACTCGCAGTGTTCCCTGTTCTGCCCGTGTGTTTGCCTGCCTCTCTGCCCTAGTACAACGTAGTGGCTTGCATGTCTTGTCCACGGGCTTACGCGTCCAGAACAGCCCCTGGGCGAAGAAGCTCGATGGGAGCCTCCCCGAGTATGGTACAGGGAGAGTAGCATATAAACTACGCACTGTCAAGTCGGTGAAGACTACGGAGAGCGATAATGTGTGTAGGAGTCATGTGCCAACATGTTCATGGGGGTTACTAGCTGCTACTCGCCATGGCAGACAGAGGCGTACGCCTTGACCAGGCCGTCGTCGACGCTGGCCCACCCCCTGACCGTCTCCATGCCGCGCGCTCTCTGCGTCTCGGCGTTCTGCCACGACCACGCACGCGATCTGGCCCCGTGCTGCTCATCGTCGTCTGCATGCGCTGGTGGGATCCACCCGCCCTCTTCAAGAAACTGGCTGGGGGCCACGGTAATGCGTCCCTTCTTCAGAATATACTTGGAGAGGCTCGCGGCGTAGATGGTGGTGCTCTGCCCTGGCGCGACAAACCACGACCCGACGTAGAGCCAACGCGTGTCCCAGGCGAGGAGGGCGGAATGGACCTCGTACCGCGCCAGCGCCCTCATCTCCTTGCGGAACGTCGTGTGGGCCGAGCCGAGGATGAAGGCGGCCCTGCCGCGGACCGTCTCCCTCCTCGGCTGTCCGTCGCGGCCCGTGTACTCGATCTGCATCTTGTCCATGGGCCACGCCGGGGCCATGAGGCGGGCCATGAGGCGGATCCGCGACACATCGAGGTCCGTGAAGAAGGTGGCGTTGGACTTGTGCAGGTTGATGTCGATCTCGAGCAGAGCCACATGGCTCCTGATCCTGTCGGCCTGAAAAAGGGGATGCGACCCTGTCGAGGAGCCAGGGCCATGATGCCAGGACGCGACGCGGCGGTCTGGGTTGGTCGGCAGCGGTGCAGGGCGCGTCCGTCGCCTCGAGGCGTAATAGCTGACGTTGTACTGCCAGAGAACGCGGAGGGTCCAGGCGCCCGGCAGGACTTTGGCGTTCAGGACCGCGAGGAGGCAGAGCGTCAGAAGCCAAGGGTGGGCGGCCAGGAGGTCCCCCAAGAAGGGGATGAGCCACATGACCTTGATCGTTGCGATAGAGTAGGGGGCAGTAGAGTAGCAGAGTAGTCGACACAGAACAGCAACGAAGAGAGGGAGGGGAGGGAAATGATGCTTGTGCACCCTCATGCCTTGGGTAGCCTTAGCGATTGACTGGCCACAAAGAGCAAGCTCGGCGAAGCTGACATGAATCTATCCATCTCACGCATCTTGACTGCAAGTCGGCACCGATTGCTTGAGTTGCGCTCGGCACTTGGCTGGCCTCGCATCATGGCGCAACAGAAACCAGCATCGCCGCTTCTGGCTCTTGCACTGGCGACGATCTGACTCTGAGCATAGACTGCATGGACGTGTAAGTACTTGGTCACTCGATAGATGGAGACACCACCGCGATGCCCGGTGCCGAACGGGCTCATCGAATGCAGTCCTGTCTGCAGACTTTCCATGTACCTTGACCTTGGGTAGTAATATCAGGCTGCACAGGGTCCTGTCCCGGGGGGTTCTTGGCCGTAGTTCTTGGCCCTGCAGCCAACCCTGTGCTAGACTTACGCGTACATGTACCAAGGCCTGCTGACGTGAGACACGCCCTGGGACTGCCAAAGCGTCGAAAGGCTTGGTATGACTAAGAGTTGAGGAGAGACTCGCGTGCCTGCCGGCTTTGCCGTCAAGTACATGTCTTGGTGATGCAGAGGGCGAGGAGCGCGGGTTCGACCGAGAGCGAGATGTTGAGGACAGGAGTGGACTGAGCGAGACACCCTCTCGAGACTCGAAGCATCGGGCGGTTCATGTTTCCACTCCATGTCTCGCCACTCTTAACGAAAGGCCGTCCGGAGTCCTGGCCCCAAGAGTCCAAGCAAGACACGCAGATGTATTGTCTCTTCCTTGCCCAGGTCACCACGAGCCAAGCCAAGAGAGGACAAGCCAAGAGAGGACAAGACAAGAGAGGACAAGACAAGAGAGGACAAGACAAGAGAGGACAAGACAAGAGAGGACAAGACAGACCCCATGGAGCAGGAACAGGAAGTCTTCCACGCCCGGGAGCCTCTGCTGACGCTCGCGGCCGGCGTCGCCTCGCATTGGGCGTACTTTGGGCGTGGGGAGCACTTCTCGCATCCCTGGCGCTACGTGCTGCTCCTCGCTATCTGCGCACCCTGCGTGGCCGTGGCCGTGACGAGGCTTCGCCATGTCTCCCCCTCCGGTCCTGAGCTGGCGCTGCTGTCCGGCCAGCTGGCGGGTCTCTACATGGCGGGCGTCTTTGGGAGCGTCATCGTGTACCGCCTCCTCCTCAACCCGCTCAACCGCTTCCCCGGCCCGTACCTGGCACGGCTGTCCAAGGGCTACCTCGTCTACCTCAACTGGCGCTCGGGGCTGCGCGGCCACCGTGTGCTGTGGCGCCTGCACGAGACGTACGGGCCCTACGTGCGCCTGGGCCCCAACGACCTGTCCGTCGTGGACCCGGACGGGATGCGCGTCGTGCTGGGGCCCGGCTCGCAGTGCCGCAAGTCGGCCTGGTACGGGCAGGATGCGCCCTACATCTCGACCAACACGACCCGCGACAGGGCCGCCCACGACCGTCGCCGCCGCCTGCTCACGCCCTCCTTCAGCGACGCCGCCCTGCGCGGGTACATGGTGCGCGCCCAGCGGTACAACGACCAGCTGCTGGCGCAGCTCGAGGCGTCGGCCGGCCAGCCCCTGGACGTGACCAAGTGGTTTGGCCTGCACGGCTTCGACCTCATGGGCGACCTCGTCTTCAACCAGCCCTTTGACATGCTGCAGCACGGCGAGGCCCACGAGGCCATCCAGGTCCTGGGCGCGGGCCTCTATCCCCAGGGCTTCGCCTTTCCGCCCTGGCTCTACCGCGTCTTCGCGACGCTGCCTGGCGTGGGCGCGGGCTACCGCCGCTTCGTCGCCTTTACGGCCGACCAACTCACCCGTCGCATGGGCGAGCAGGGCAAGACGACGTACGCCGACATGATGCAGCCGCTCATCGCGCACTACCAGGCGCTGTCGCCCCCGGACCAGCAGCACGCCATGCTGCCCATGCTGCAGGGCGACGCGCGGATGCTCATCGTCGCCGGCAGCGACACCACCTCGACGACGCTCATCCACCTCTTCTACCGCCTCTGTGCCGAGCGCGGCCTTGTCAGCCGCCTGCGCCAGGAGCTAGGGCCCCTGGTCGGGGATGCGGATCCCATCGAGTACGGACACGTTGCAGGCGCCGAGCTCCTGCACGCCTGCATCAACGAGACGCTGCGTATGCATTATCCGGCTCCTTCGGGCTTCTTCCGCAAGACACCCCCCGGCGGCATCGCCATCGGCCAGGTCCACGTCCCGGGCGACACGGTCGTGCAGCTGCCCCCGTATGTGATGGGCTTGGGTGAGACTCTCTCTCTCTCTCTCTCTCTCTCTCTCTCTTTCTCTATTCATACTTGCTAACTACATATTACTAGACGACGATATCTACGAGCGCAGTGGCGACTTTGTGCCCGAGCGCTGGTACAGCCGCCCCGAGATGGTCAAGCACCCCGACGCCTTCATGCCCTTCCTCGCCGGGTCCGAGTCGTGCATTGGCCGACGGCTGGCGTACATGCAGCTGGCCACCCTCACGGCGCAGATCATCACGCAGTTTGACGTGGCCCTGGCCCCGGGCGAGGACGGTACGCGCCTGCTCGAGGGGTCCCTCGACCTGGCCATGATGCACCCCGAGTCGCTGCACCTGGTCTTTACAAGGAGGGGGGCCCCAGAGGGCCCCAGAGGGAACACGGGGAAGCGAGGTATAGTATAGACTGTATCTACATAGCGAGAAGCAGGGCATCCTTGCCCTTTGTTTGACATCTGCCGTCAGCCCATGTACCTTACCCACACACTGTTCAGTCCCTCCCAGTCACGTCCCTCCCCCCCCCCCCTGTTCAGGACCGCATCGAGATGTTTCAGGGGCGCATGGGCAGTTGTAGCCTGTATTCTGTAGCGTAGTGTCTGTATACCGGGGTAACCCGCCGCCCCCAACACGGGAACGGAAGGGAAGCCGGCTAGCTAGCTCTACTAATTCTCCGGTCAGGGGGATATGAAAATCCGTGGGCAGGGCAGTCTTATGGTCGCTGGGGTCTCATTGTTGGCTACATTGATCCCTCACAAAGTCGAGAGGGAGTCTTGCAGCTTCCATGTCAGTTCTTGGTCCCCCTTATGTGAACGCGCTCACGGTCCATGGTCAACTGCCCTCCATCATTCGTCCTCGCATTTTCAATCCGCACATTCTCCATTGGGGAGTGTGAACAGAGGAATGTCCAGCGGGCTCTCCTCATGAGACTTGAGCGAGTCACTGCCCGCCATAATGTGCCCCTCGGTGACGGGCTTGCGCGTGAAGAAGATGAGCATGTCCCGCGTCGCCTCCTGGGCCTCGTCCACCGCGTACACGGGCGAGAGGCTGTGCTTGTACTCGTGGTCGGCCACAAGCAGCGTGTCGAGGAACTTTGTGTGCTGTGCCCGGCCGTAGATCTTGTTCGGCGACGTCTCATGGAACGGCGTGCCCGTCGTCTCGTCGCGCTCGTGAAGGAGCGTCACGGCGCTGTTGGGCGTCATGTTGCTACTCCCCGGATACGTGGTCATGGTGTGGTCGACGCCATCCGTGTGCACGCCTTCGAGGGCCGGCTCGCCTAGGATGTCCGGCCTGGTCAATGTACGCAGGTTGAACATGGTACAGACCCATTTGTTCGCGCCGTAGTCGAAGTTGGGGCGGCGCATGGTCGGCACGCCGTGCATCACCATGGCCTTGAAGATCATCAGGCCTTGCAACACCGTATTGGAGTGCAGGTCCTCCTGGATCTCGTCAAAGACGCGCACCGTGTCCGAGTCATGTCGCTTGAAATCCTCGGCGGCCGACAAGGAGAATGACTGAAACTCAAGCCGGCGGAGCGACTGCCGATCGTAGTCCATGCAGAAGCGTCCCGTCCGGGACTTTCGAAAGGGCAGCGTGGGATCCGTCTGCAGGTTGTCGCTGACGACCTGGAGACGGCCAAAGTCCTCTTCCCTGGCGCCCAAGCCACGCATCAAGTCGACCATCTCTTCATGCCGCACGAAAATGGTCCGATCCTCGACATACCTATCTCTCCACTGCATGATTTTGGCAATGGACTGATAGAACCCGTGCTCGTACGCTTTGTCATGGAGCCAGAGCTCTCGCGCACCCCTTGCTCTCGGTGGCACTTTGCTGTCCAGGGGCGGGGGACTGTGCGTCGCTTGGGCGGGTGCTGCGACTGTGGCAAGACCTCGGGCCCCCTGGCAAGTGGCACCACGCTCGGACCTGATGTGTGGCCACCGCAGTCTGCTAGCGACGGGTAGCCTGGCGCTGCTGGCCACATGCAGGTGAGGCATCGATGCCCTGATTGATAGTGAGACTGACATGGCTTTAGATAGCAAGGCTCTTTTCCTGCTCAGGAGACGACAGACTGATCAGAAGAATGAAGGGTGAGGTGTCAGGTGGAATTCGGAGGGCAGAGCCCGGGGCCAAAGCCACACGAAAACGGAACAAGTATATGAAAGAAGGACCTGCTATGGATGGTGGAACCTATCTTGGTCAAAAAGGGAGACTGACTGCTCTTTGGATCTGTAGACTGCTGAGCTGTTGCAAATTCCTCTTTGAGCTCACACATACAGTTGGGCATAATACATCCCTGAGATTCAGAGCACCATCAGCCCCCCCTTTGCGTTGACAATCTATGAAAATTGGTCTCAAGTCACCAACACGATAACCTCCTGTTATGCTCCCACATAGGTTGTGGGATATCCCGCCCAGATGCCTGCCACTGCTACATTCATTCCAGCCTCGCGGTACATCGTGCGGGCTCTCGTTTCGAGGTCCTACCACGCCAATTTCTCGCCGTGACGCAAGATCGAGTCAGCCCTATATCTGACTCATCCGGGCCATCCTCAAGCACAACTTCCCCAGGATATCACTTTCTGGTCGTTCTATTGGCCTTAAAAATCATGTTTTTATGCCTTGAATACTTTTCAAGGTAGCTGTCTGTTCTTGTTAGTAAGAACCACTCATGCTCACAGTGTCAGACAACAGCCTTTCAGCACGACAAACTAGCCACGTCGGTACATGTGGACTTGTCACACACTAACCAAAGCCAGGCGCGACTACTCATAGCACGTACTAAGCTGGACATTCGATCAATAGTCTTGCTCAAGTCTCAGTAATGCAGTGTGTGTCCATTTGCCGATCCCTTGTTGGGTGCATGCAGCAAGGATGACACTTGTCAAGCATGAGTGTGCGCAAGTAGACGGCTTACCCATTACACATCGAGACGGTAATTAGACATGCTGTACAGAGTACTCTGCACCCAAACAGTACCCGGGGGCTTCTCTGATAGTTGGGTTCGACGTGCATGGTTCGCCCCACACGTGCGGGAATAAGGATGAAGTTCTGCTTGAGATGAGACGCCCTTACGCGACCCCGGATCTCCCATACAGCCTGAAATGCGTAAGATTTCATAGCACGACGCCCGGGCGTGTGCGTGCAAATTGTATTACAATTTACAACTGCCGCGACAGGTGCAGGGTAGCGTGTTCAACATGGTATCCCAACGACGCATCTCAACTACAGGCCAACAGAATCAACGCGTTGCTGGGGCAAGTTGCAACTCTTGACTCTGCCCTGCTCGTTAGGGGGGGCCTCGTTATGCTGCATGACCGTATTCAGTCAGCCGGGAAGCTGATTTGCTCGTCGCGTAATGCTCATCAGGCGTTCTTCATCACTGTGGCTAGTGGGCGAGAACAGCTGGATTGGACACGGAGACCACTGGCGTCGTCTCTGTGACAATACTTAGCAATATCGGTTTCCATCCTCGCACGCCCGGTCGAATCCATACGTACGGTTGCCCTCCTCTTGTTCCTCCAAAACCAGACGCTAGACTAAACCATGTCCGTCCAATCAGCACCGGCGCTGTTCAAGGTCGCCACCTTGGACCTGTCCCGGTTCAAGTCGAGTGACACGCTGGAACGTGAGGCCTTTGCCAGAGACCTCGTCGATGCGTTGAAGTTGGATGGTTTCGTCAAGCTTGTCAATCATGGCATCTCCAGAGCCATGATACAAGATGCCCTGTCCATGGTACGTTGAACTACTCCTTGTCTGTGCAAGTCGAGCTGGCTCTGCATGGAGGCAATTCCATGAAAACAGGCACTAACTCGGAGCCTCCTAGTCAAAGAAGTTTTTCAGCTTACCGGACCGCGTGAAGCGTCAAATAGAACACGTGCCCGGACCGTATCCTCAACGAGGATGGAGCAGGGTCGGGTCGGAGAGTACTGCCATGCTTTTTGGTGCACTTGAGCAAAATGGAAAGAAAATCACCGAAACAGACGCCAAGGTCAGTGACAGTCTGGTCGGCCACTCTGATCTTCCTGCTGACCTGGCGGCGGAATCCAGGAGCACTTTGACATCGGTCCTCCGTCCGATGAGCAGTTCCCCAACCGATGGCTGGAAGAAGCCGACGTGCCCTCCATGAAAACCTACCTAGAAGACTTTTTCGAGCGATGCCACAGCATCAGCCAGGCCATCCTATCGGCCATGGAGATGGCCCTCGAGCTCCCCCAAGGCGCCTTCACCGACAAGTGCCAGGGACAGTCGAGCGAGTTACGCTTCAACCACTATCCAGAAGCATCCATGAGCAACGCGCCCAAGGACGTTAGCCGAGTCTGGCCGCACACGGACCTGGGCGTGATTACCTGTCTGTTCCAGGATGGCGTCGGTGGTCTCGAGATTGAAAATCGGCGGTGCGGCGGAAAGTTCGAGGCCGTCGACCCCAACGCCCTCGACGAGCTCATTCTGAACATTAGCGAGACCATGGAGCGGTGGACCAACGGCGTGGTCAAGGCCGGTGTCCACAATGTCAAACTTCCACCGGCCCTCAAGTCGTCCCGCCAGGGCGGCGAGGAGCTCGTCATCCCGGAACGCTTCTCCATCCCCTTTTTTGTCAAGGCGGACCGGGACACGTGCGTGGGGCCGTTGGAACAGTTCGTCTCGGAGACCCGCCCTCCAGCGTACCCTCCCATGACGGCGTTGGAGTACCACGTCAAACGCGTGGCCCAGGCGTATTAGCTGCGCAGGTAGGGAGTCCCTGGACATGAAAACCCCGTTTTGAGGGTAATTCTCTGCCAATATAGCCTGTCGTGAATTCTGCGCTTGGATGAAGATATGGTGAGACTAAGGTTTGAGAAGGGGAGCATTGTCGACATACCTTGAAAACTACTTGTTAGTTGATTGAGTCAAGGCAGAGAAACTCTGGAAGCGTCCTCAGAGAAGAATTAAGTGACAATTTCGTAAGAGCCGCTGCTGTTGGTATTCTTCTCGCCTTTGTTCAGGTTGAGAATTGAGCCTGTCCGTGGCTCTCGATATGATGTCAAATTATGGCCACTCTAGGGTAGCCATTTGCCTTGTGAGACTGGGGCTGTGCCTGGCCGGGGCCCGGGGCGCTTACGAGGGGGTCACTGTGTCCAAATGAAATCCAGGGGTCTCCTCCTTGACCTTCGCCTCGGCCCCATGGTACGCTCCTTTGACCACCACCGTCCTCCTCCCACTCCGACACAAGTAGGTAGGTCGCGTGCGATACATCTCACACCCCGAACACGATGCGCTGAACCCTTTCCCGGGACCCAACATTCACAATGGGTCCGCTCACGCTCTTTCGAAACATCTACGACCTCGACACGCTCGACACGCGCTTCACCAGCTCTTCCCAGGTGCCTTACCAGACCGTCATCGACGCCCGAAGCGATCCTGCCACGAGCCGTCTGAAACCCGCAAAAGCACCGCCGTCCAAATGGAGGAGCCTTGAGTTCTTCTTCTACTATGCCGTTATCCTGATCGCCGTGCTTTGCATGTTCTGGGTGCCGTACCAGGTGTCCCGACCTGAGGATCCGCGCTATGGCAAGTACGCGCACTACCTATGGCCGGGCTGGGTCCCGGGACGGAGGATCGACATTTCAGACTCCCAGTACTACACGTTTCGCGGCAATCTGCCGGCCATGACCGCACTGCTCATATTCCATCCGCTGCTACGCAAAGGCTGGAACGCTGTGTTCCCGGCCAGCGACAAGAAGGAGAAGAGCGGCGGCCGGTTGGAGCAACGAGCGTCCTTTGACTTCGCATTCGCCATCCTGTTCCTGTTCATCTTGCACGGCGTCTCTGCATTCAAGATCATCGTGATTCTCAACATCAACTACCGGCTGGCCACCCAGTTGCCGCGCCGTTACATCCCGTTCGGGACTTGGGCGTTCAATGTCCCATTGCTGTTTGCCAACGACATTTGCAACGGATACCGCTTCCGAGACATTGCCTACTACGTCGCGCCGCCGCTGCAAGAGTGGGGTGGCTGGCTAGACAGCTACGGCGGTATCATGAGTCGCTGGGACATCCTCTTCAACATTACCATCCTGCGGCTCATCAGCTTCAACATGGACTACTACTGGAGCCTTGGCAAGAGTCACGCCAGCTCCATCGAGGTACGGGGCCAACCATCCACTTCTGTTGATCACATAACGTCTAATGCACCAAAGAAGAAGCAGCTCAATCCGGCTGAGCTCTCGGAACGTGACCGCGTTTCCATCTCGGCCAACGCGCACGACTATACGTGGAGGAACTTTGTTGCGTATGCCATCTATGCCCCGCTCTACCTCGTGGGGCCGATCCTCACCTTCAACGACTACATTTCGCAGTCGAAGCACAAGGTGGCCAGCATTGAACGTCCGCGCACCATCCGTTATGCGATTCGCTTCATCCTCGTTCTTCTCACCATGGAGCTGCTACTCCACTTCAACTACGTGAATGCGATTAGCAAAAACAACCCAGATTGGGGCTCCTACACAGCGGCACAACTCAGCCTACTGTCGTTTATGAACCTGCACATTATCTGGCTCAAGTTGCTGCTCCCATGGCGGCTGTTCAGGCTGTGGTCCTTGGTCGACGGCATCGACCCGCCCGAGAACATGGTTCGTTGCGTGAGCAACAACTATAGTACCCAACTCTTCTGGCGGTCGTGGCATCGCTCGTACAACCGCTGGATTGTCCGGTACATCTATGTGCCTCTGGGTGGATCGTCCTTCCGGACGTGGCAGTCGACCTTGCGCTCCATTTTTACGTATCTGCTCTCGTTTACATTTGTCGCGCTGTGGCACGATATCCAGATGAGGCTTCTCATCTGGGGCTGGTTGATTGTGCTATTCATGGTCCCGGAATGGGTTGCTGCGTGGCTCTTCCCAAAGCACAAATGGGAAAGCCGCCCAACAGAGTACCGGATGCTCTGCTGCGTAGGAGCCGTGGGCAACGTTCTCATGATGATTTCGGCGAATCTCGTGGGGTTTGCGCTAGGCCTGGATGGCCTGGAGGTCATTGTGAAGAGTATTCTGCACACTTGGTCAGGTGAGTCTTCCTTTCATTCGCGGCAAGGGGAATTGCAGGCTAATATGGAACAGGTGTCATGTTCATAATGATTTCTTGCGGGTGCCTCTTCACAGGCATTCAAGTCATGTTCGAGGTCCGGGAAACGGAAAAGCGAAAAGGCGTGGCTCTCAAATGTTGAGGTCGATAGAATAGATGTACAAATGTAGACCGGGAACGTTACCAAGTAAAAGTCACGAGAATCATGGCAAAAGCTCCAGACATTGTCCCGAAGTGACCACGCTGTTCTACTCAGGACCACCCAAGGGCTTATTCTAGAGCATTTTGCTCCTGAGGCCCTGGTGGGCGTAGGGTAGGGCATGAACGCCGCACATTGTAATACAGTCAAAAGTAGCCAGCGAGATGGACATTACTTCAGGCAGATGGACTAGCATGTGTAAAGTGACAGGTCTAGCTTAGCTAGCAGACACAATCTTCGGTTGGCGCGCGCGGGATGTGGGGGCGGCGCCAGGAACCACTCCGCCTGCCGCCGCCGATCTTTGTACCAGTGGTGGAAGACGACGATCCCAGAACATCTTGCGGGACGCACCCTAGTCCAACATTTTGATTTCTCCTGGGCCATTGGAGCTGATGCAGACTGTGCAGTGGTACGGAGATCCATGAATACAGTGGGAGCATTCTGGAGCAGCCCTATTCACAATGCACGGGTGCTTTGATCTCCTTTTCGTGAGGTACTAAGACGGATAAGATGGCACGGACGTTCGTACGTACTACCTCTCTAAATAAAGTTTCAATAAACTTTCTAAAATGCCCACGGGCCTTCCGGCTCTAACACAATACTGCAACAGCGGATTGAATACTGTCGCTGCTGGGCGTGGCCATGGCCGCCGACCGTGTCCGCAAGACAAAAGCGGATCTCTGTCTGCGTGTCTCAATTCCGATCCAAGCAGTGTGTACGCGTCCGCTGATGAGTCTCGACCCTTCGGTGCCCCGCTGTCGATGCCGACCGGCGAAGGGACTAATAACGTTAGAGGGCGCGGTTTGCCGATCCGGCTTTGGGCGCCGGACATTCACGATTTATCGCGAAGATTAGCGCAAGGTGGGAATTGTCAAATGGACCAGTGATTGTGCAGATTGGCAAATTGAACAGAGGTGCCGCTCCCGTGATACGAATAGCCTACAGTCGAGCCTGAATTTTATCTTTCATTGGCACACATGTAAATTGAGCTGCAAGGGACAGGGGCACACGTGGCCCAGCAGAGGGCTCATAATTAGGAGCATACTGAGCAGGAAGTACGGACATTTCGCGCGTGAACAGCTCACAGCCGTTGGCAAGAAGGTCAGGGTAATTAATGTATGGACATAATTAATCAATTGCTTGGCGCCCTTTGAGCTGACTGTCTGTCCTCGTCTAGACGAAATGAGATTCAATCAGCGAAATGCGAGGTGGGGGAGGGACTGGATGGACTGGAGCCTTCCACCAGTTCGTTGACTGGAAGCCCAGGGCAGCCAAGCCTCTGCAGTCCCCACTAGTGCCTTCCCAGGGGACATGTGGAGCAGACGGAGGCACACTCGCTGGCAGTGACTGGAGGCACGCGCATGCCTTGTCTCGACTCCTCTGTTTTCTTTCCGCGAACTTTTGTGACATCGATCCTGATTTCGGCCTGCGCAGCATCTTACCTTCGAATCGTTCCTGCTTGTCTCGCGTTGCTACAGGGTTGTCGACTGCGCGAACCCGAACGATCACGATCACGACCCACGACCGCTGCTTTGCACGACGGGGGGCTGAGCCGACGACAAATGCGGACGACGCTCCAGACTGAAGACAACCGAACGAAAGGGTCACTCGCTCTTGGACCATGGCTGTGAACGGCATCTGAACCTGGACTCGTGCGACGCCGAAAATCTTATCTGCTCCGCCAACTGCATTCACTCGGTACACCGTCCCAGTCTCGTCGCTTACACCACCTGCTCCTATCTGATAGGGGTCGGCGCGCTGCGTCCCATGGTCCATCCCGCTGTCAGACCACTCGAATCGTCTCGAATCCTAAGTTAGTCTTCGGCACATCGGCGCAGTCATGACCTCGATCCAGCTACCTCCACTCCAATTCGAAGATGGAGGCTTCCGCGTGTCTATCATCCAGGGAAGTTCAGCCACGCCGGGTGGAGGCCGTCCCTTCCCACGCCGGCAGGAGCCCCAACCCGAGCCGGAATCTGTTTCAGAGTCCAAGCCGCACGCCGCGTCCAAATCATTCCTGAACAGTGGATCACAGTCAACATCCGAGGACGAGGATGGGTCTGTTTTCGAAACGGCATCCGTCGCAGCGTCGTCAAAGCTCGACCTCGATTTTCCACAGCCCCGTAGGGTGTTAACGCCCCGAGCGAAGACTCCAACGTCCGAGATTGAGATTCAGATCGACGCCGAGCCGATGACTCCCCCAGAACGGTTGACAGACGCGTCGGATCAAATACAAATCGAGCTCGATATTGAACCAAGGCCGTCGATCTCCGACTCGATCCTGCGCGGGGAGAATAACGTGACCGAAATGCCCACACACGATGACGAAGCGTTGGTACCGAACATTCCTTCACATCCAATTCCTCTGATGCAGCTGGCGTTCGCCGAGTCGCTGGCGGAAGTGACTACGGGTCCTTTGCGCAAACCACGGCTCCGCGAATTCGACGCAAGACAGCGGCGAGAGAGGCTCCTGGGTCAGACCAAGGATGACGAGCCATTCGATGCACCATGGCGCTACCGACCTGGCCAGAAGGAGCATGAAGTCGTCAAGCTATTGTCGCAAATCTCATTCGGCGTCTACTTACTACTCAACGGCATGGCCAACGACCATGCGCAGGTTGTCGGCATCCTGCAAGGCCATATTGACGAGGTCGACGAGTTTCTCGAGGTCACACTGGAAGACCTAGCGGAAGCCTTGGCTGACCTGGAAGACCGCATCCTGTCTTTACGGGAGACGATGTCGACCGGAAAGGATTTCGAAGAGAGGCTAGAGGATCGGAACTATCGAGCCGAGATTCTGGAAAACAACGAAGAGATTGATCACATTTTGGCGAGAATGAATGTGATCATGCGGCAGTGGGATGACGACGTGGAAGCAGGTCTGCACGGCGTCTCTGCCTTTAAGGAGTGGTTGCAGGAGCTGAGAGATGGGCCGTGGAGGAATGGGCGCCCCGACCTGGTGGAGATACACGATGCCATGAAGGGTAACGCCGACGCTTGGCTGAATGCTTTCGACGAGACGAACAGCCGAGCACAGGATCTGAATAGCCTAATCATCAAGCTCATGACCATCACAGCCGAAATGGCGCAGAAGGCGGGCGAGGTCAGTCGCAAGACGTGGTCCACCATCCCTCCGTACACTTCCCCCATATCCGGGAGTCTCAAGAGCAAGACATCGATATCTTCGCCGCCCTCGGTACGATCGAATCCCATGTCCAATGCCCGCATCAGTATTAGGAGCGGTTCGACCTCATTCGCGCAGCTGTCGATGATGGAGGACGGTGACTCGGACGATGGGCTCGAGGGTTTTCCACTCCCGGGTGTGACCCCATTATTGCCACCAACGCGATACAGTGGTAACAGAGTCTCCAAGAAGATGTCTATCGAAACGGCAAAATGGGGCGCAGAGCTCAGCGCGTCAAAGCCTCCTACTGTACAGGAGGTGCCAGAGGAAGAAAAGGAGGACGGGCCCTTGTACCTGTTGCAGCCAAGGACCTACACGCCCGTACTCCCCGAGCCTATGCCATCACCCAGGGTCAAGGAAGCGCCGGCACCGGCGCCATCAACAACACCCACGTCCACCACTACTACTCAGCAACAACACGAGGCACTTCCACAAATACAGTCTCGAGGCTCCATTCGCCATCGCGTGTCTCTAAAAGGGGCACCGCCCGAGGATATCCTGATACCGCCGACGGTCAAGCCTGGAGGTGTGAATGGACGAGGCTCGCCGGCCTTCGTTTCTCGGCGTAGCCACAACAACCATCATCTACAAACAGGGGACTTGGAAGCAAGCTATCACCGCGCCCAGGGGTCGTCGGGCAGTAGCATGTTGGACGTGGACGCCCATCGTCAGCATGCTCTTCCTCGCGTTGCTTCTCACGCTGAGTTGGGTCCGGCACGGCCACCACTGATGGCGTCGCCAAGTTCCGACTTTCAGCACTACCACCCAGTGCGAGCCTCACCTCACTCGCCGTTGCAGCAGAGACCACATACAGCGGCTGGGCCGCAGCCGTATCCCACAACACCCAGCTACCCGCAACACCTACGCGGCCAACCGTCCCGCCTTGGAAGCATAGCACCGACGAGCGCCGGCGATCAGACAACGCGTCAAGGAACCCCTTCCGTCCAGACTGGACGAACTGTAAAGAAGAAGAAAAGCGCCTTTGGCTGGTTTAAAAAGGCGTTCACCATGGACGACGACGAAAAGGCAGCATTCGAAGCCCGCAGGCAAATGGATGCCCCCGATAACTACTACAAGGACAAGAGTCCTAAATTCCTCGACGGCAAGAGGCTGAGATAATTACTCTGATACCCAACGCACCACACTATACACAGCTATCGCCTTGAACTTGACAGCGCCTTCTTTTTGTCTACATGGGGCTTTTATCACCCTTCCTTGAGCGCAGCCTTGAGATTTTGGTCTCTTTGTATATAGGCTTATCTAATGACAATGGGACTTTTGACTGTATGTGAATATAGGGGCAATGGCAATCCCATGCTGATGTACATGTATTTGCACGTGTCTCGTGAGTTCATTCAGTGAATCGATCATCTATCAGGGGCTTTGTTCACGCGCCGAGACCATAACTCCGCACGCGGCTGAAGAAGAATGGCTTGTCGTTCTTGGGGCCGAATTGGCCCCAGTCAGCCGACAGCTTGTTGTAGCTGTAGAACCCACGCCACACAAGCTTGTTGTTTCGCGCGCCCTTGCCCGCATTGCGCAGGGACAGCTCCATGCGGTACATGTACCGCGGCTTGACGCCCTCCGTCTCAATGTAGAGGTCACCTTCGCGCTCCTCCAGCGTCTTGCCGTGGCTCTCGTCCTCTTCGTTGGCGAGTCTCCAGCGGCCTTTTAGAGCGAGACTCATGACGGCCCCGGGCAGTGTGCTCGAATGGCCCCGGTCCTTGTCGCCCTTGTGGCGCGCCAACTCGTCCTTTGTGAGATGGTGCACCACATCACCCGGCTCGCTCGTTGTCTGCAGAGAAATGCACGAGCCGTCGCGGTAGAATCGCAGATAGCGGTAGTACGTGACGATGAGGACGGGCGCACCGCCCCACGTGGCCTGGTTGGTGGACTGCTGGCCTGAGCGGACATAGTTCACGGTCGATATGTAGCAGCCATTGAATCGTATCCTGGGACGTCGGAAGAATTGCATCTGCCATGACGGATATGGGGAGGGGACCAGAGACAGGGTTTTGCGGTGCTCTTCCCATGTCCTGGCCTCCTGCATGTCTCTCGTGTTGACAACGTCGCCGCTCGGAAGCTCCGTCAATTCTGGCAGCGGTTGCCACTCCGTCTCGATACCCCAGTGACGCCAAAGGCCCTGGAAGCCAAACTCCCTCCCGATGCATACCCTGTGCCAGATGCGCTGCTCCGAAGAGACCAGATAGGCCAAGCGCTTGCACACCAGGGACAATCGTGCAAAATCCGCGACATCAGCGATGGCCACGTCGAGCAGGATGTGCGAAAGCAGCTCATCAGGCAGTTCGGAAATTGGGCAGGGTGGTTGCGGCATGCCCTCCACGTCTGGCGGGGTCGGCTCAATGGCCAATGTGGAAAAGGACGCGATGAGATCCTGGATCGTCAACGGTTTGGACTCCTCAGGCTCCTGAGGCTGTACGGGTTCAGTTGCTTCCTTCGCCACCGAAATCGGCTTCTTTTGATTGGCATGCCCTGGCGGGAAGTGCTTCTCCCGGTACCGCCTGTCCACGGTGTTGTCCAGCTTGTAAGCTTGCCGGTAGAGCTTCAGGCTGTCGCCCATGTTCCCCTGCGCTTCCCTCTCCATGGCCTCTTCAAAATGGTCCAGCGCAGAGACCAGCTCTCTTGGCTGTTCTTTGCTCGACCCTGCGAGAGTGTGTCCCGAGGGAGGGGGTGCCTCGTCAAAGGCCTGGCCGTGCAGGTAGTCATTGTCGTCTTCAGCATAGATGGCCTTCTTCCCTGCCGGGGCCTGAGCTGACACTTTACGCCTGTGTTTGGCCGGCACTGATGATGAATCTCCTTGACGCGGCTCAGAAGTAGATGGTGGCTGGTTGCCTTTGGAGTGTAGATCTGTGAGCCATTGTTGGCGGAACGACTCGAGCTCGGTGTCGAGCTGGGTGCTAGCTCCGGAGGTCATGGTACATGTGGGCTAGACGGTTGTAGAAGGGGTATGTGCGGAGCTCCTTATTATGGCGGCATTGTCTTCTCATAACAGAAGACAGACTATAGTTAATAGATTGGAGTTTGGCTGAGCAGGAAGAAGGCACGTCGATGATGTTACTTGAGGGCTGGTAGGTGAGATAAGCAATGTGACTTATCGATACTGCGATAATGAACCCCCGATGAGCCATACGCCGAGTGTCCATTGCCCCGCGGCAGCCAATCGAGAGATGCCCGGAAATCGGCGAATTGGGGACCTTTTTCATGTCCGGCCTTGCGACGCTCCTAAAAATTTGGTGGAGCTCTTATCAATCAATCATGACGACCATACTCATCACCACTTCCTCCCGCCACGACACCAACTACCTAAGTGCCCTGACACTACCGCAAAATAAGAAGCGCGAAACCACGTCCACACAGCATCCTGAAGAAACGATTGCCCATGTGCATGCGACCTGCATTGTTCGACTGAGGAGGACAGCATACAGGAGGGGACACAAACTCAGCATCTCGGCGCCACCATGGCCGCCGCCGGTGCGCAGGCAGTCAACATCAAGGCCAACGATGATGCCTCCAGTGGCACCGCGCCACCAACGGGCTCAGATACGTTCGAGGTCACCGCGGGGCAGAAGATGCTTTCTGCCATTACTGGTAGTCTCCTGACGTCTCTTCTAAGTGTGTTCTTGCCGCTCAAATGGTGGTCAACTGTCAGATACTAACACATGGCCAGTGACACCTCTCGATGTCGTCCGTGTACGATTGCAATCGCAGAATCCTCGCCCAGGGCCATCACCGAACCTCGACTTTACCCGCCTCACCATGTCGACGACGAGCCTCACACCAGCGCAAGCATCAGAACTCGGCGTTACGGCATGCTGCCGCGAGGTCTTCTTCATGGGCAACAATGCCGAATACTGCCTGGCGTCTACCCCCAAAATAGGCGTCGCGACCACGACCACGTCAATAACGCCGCCTGTGGACTGCGCCGTGCAGGAAACACAGCGCAAGACATACAGCTCAACTCTCGATGGGCTACGGAAGATCGCGCGGAATGAGGGCGTCACAACTCTGTGGCGAGGTCTCTCTCCCACATTAGTGATGGCAGTACCCGGCAACATTATCTACTTTACTGGGTACGAATGGCTGCGATACAACCATAATTCGCCCTTTTCCAAGATGTCGGACGACTATGCACCCTTGACTGGAGGATCCGTTGCTCGCGTCATGGCCGCAACAGCGGTTGGGCCAATCGAGTTGGTGCGCACGCGGATGCAGGCCGCCAACTCATCTTCCACTGGCAACCACATGGTGGAGACCTTTAAAGGTATACGAAAGATGGTCGGCCAGCAAGGATACACATCCTTGTGGAGAGGCTTGACGTTGACTCTCTGGAGAGACGTCCCCTTCTCAGGACTGTACTGGTGGGGATACGAAGCGATCCGGTCACGGCTATCGGATGTTCGAGAGCAAAGGAAGGGCAAGCCGGTCGACTGGAACGCCTCGCACGCCGATCGCCGAGCACAGATTCCGGAAAATCACACGGAAACGTTCCTCGACAGCTTTGCGTCGGGTGCTCTTTCGGGTGCCTTTGCCTCAATTGTCACCACCCCGTTCGATGTGGGCAAGACCAGGACCCAGGTTTACCGGGACGCAGAAGGGCCGCAGCGCCACATGGCGCGGCTGCTGTGGGAAATCTTCAAGACAGAAGGAGTCCAGGGCCTGTGGAGAGGATGGATCCCTCGCACACTCAAGGTGGCACCTAGTTGCGCCATCATGATCAGCACGTACGAAGTAGGCAAGCGAGTGTTCAAGGGAGTGAACGAGCGGGCAGCGGCGAACAAAGAGAGGACACCATAAAGTACACGGGCCCTGGTGAGGCTATCAGTGTTATCTGCATCAACTTGGGCGTTTTTGGGCGGAAAGGGTTGGAGACCACTCCTTTTGATCCTTTTATTTGAGCGATAGACGAGCACGTGTACGATACATGTATCCGACAGGAACGATAGACGTAGCTTAATTACGTGCAGAAGCCACACGGCTCTGCAGAATCAAGTAATTCAACCATGCCAATGTAGCGACAGACCAGTTCCGCAGCAAACTCACGTCCCACCACATCCCCATATGCCCCTCCAAAATTTCATCATCACCGACTTCACATCTCGCCTGCCTCTGCCATGCTCATCGTCCCAACACAGCAATCATGTATACACTCACCAACGCCGAGACATACTCGCTGCCCTCCTCTGACTGGATAACCTCCCTTCTCCGCACGTCCGCGACGACCCTCACCTCGATATCGACGGATGGCGCCCTGTCGCTGCACAACCCTGCAGCGTTACCCCAAGGACCGCTCAAGTCGTTCAAGACAACACACGACACCATCTCCGCCCTCCAACCATGGGACGACAACGTTGTCGCAACATCAGGATGGAACGGCACCGTCACCTTGTGGGATTTTCGTCAGCAGAGCGGGAAAGCACTTGACTTCAAAGCCTGCGACGCCCCAGTCCTCAGCATGGCCACTCATCCTGGAAACCAAGCGTTGAGCGTTGGCACAGAACTCACGCACCACCAGGCGTCCATCCACATCTTTGACATTCGGGCTGGCCAGTCTACGCCCAAGGCCGCATACCATGATCTTCACTCTGACGACATCACCACGCTCACCTACCATCCCACCCGCCCCAACATCTTGTTGTCAGGCTCCACGGACGGCTTGGTCAGCGTGCACGACACCAACATCACGGAGGAGGATGAAATGACCATCCAAACCCTCAACCTCAACGCCTCCATCCACACAGCCACGTTTGTCGGCGACAGCAGCATCGTCTCCGCCCTCAGCCACGATGAAAAGTTTGCGCTGTACGACATTAGCGACACGCGCGAGAATGGCGATGCCCTGGTGGACTTTGGCGATCTACGACAGGGTCTGGGCTGCCAGTACGTCTGCGACGTCATCCCCAAGCGCGACGGTAGCGGCGCCATTGTCGGGTGCGGCGCGCAGGACAATCACGAATTCGGCCTCGTTTTCCTCGCAAAGGGACAGCAGGAGAGCGCGTGGACGTTGGATAAGAGCGCGGGCGTGGGCCTGCCCGGCGGTCATGGGGAAGAAATCGTTCGGGACTTTTGCTTCTTCGACGAGGAGCAGGTCGTCTTCACGGGCGGCGAGGACGGTAAGATCAAAGCATGGCGGCCGTCATAGGCCCTTTTGGCAGTTCAAAATAAAGAAATAAAGAAGAAAAATAGAAAAGAGAGAGAAAAATGTCATGGGTATCAATTCATCAAAATGCCATCCGTCAACCCCACTTGTCGTGCTTCCCCTTGACTTTCAGATCCAGCAGCACCTCGTGATAGCTCCCGTCTTTCCTCGCCTTCTTGAGCATCCTGACCTCGTCTTCCTCCAGCCGTCGACCCGCCGCCTCCTCAAGCTCCTTGCGGCTGATCTTGGCGAGCGCCTTCTCCTCCTTACCAGCTTTGATCTTGGGCTTGAACCGAGCCTGCATTCGTATCCGCAGCGTGGTGCCAAACGAGACGGCGTCCGCGTCGCCCCGAATCTCGGGCGCCTTGCCGCCGTCCTTGGTGAGCAGATATGTCTCGCGCTGCGTCTGCATCTGGAACGTCCCCGGGGTATCGGCGGTGGGGAACACGTCCCACATCTCCAGCGGGCTGACGGCCTCGCTCGCCGCCCCGAGGCTGCCTACCTTGTCGCAGCTGAGGAAGCGGCCATTGTGGCCCTTGAAGCGGAACTTGCCCGTGCCGGCGATCTTGTTGGCGACCCAGACCATGCGCACGTCGTGTGGCTCGCTGCTCGCGGGGTTCTTGTCGACAATGTTCTCAATGGGAATCGTGAACACGCTCCCGGCAGGGTCGCACGACAGGGCGCTCGGAGGCTCAGTTGGGAGGACAATCATGACAGGTCCAACAATGTCTGTCGCCGCCTCTGCCGAGACCCATGTGTCGTCGTTCACGTCGCCATCCTCTTCGCCGGCGAGCTTGGTGACTTGCTTTGATGGTTCGCCCGACTCGTCGTCGGGATTGGCGGGGCGCTTCCGCTTCTTGGGTTTCTTGTCGCCTTTGAAGGAGAGTGGTTTGACCATGATGTGGGAGATGTTGAGGACATGGAATTGAAAGTTGGAGATTTTCGGGGACCGCCGAGTTCCACTGACGTAGGCAAGATTAGCGTGACTAATCCCCCGCATGATCCTCCTCCCCCCACACAGCGTGAGGGACGAGACGCCTATAATGAATTCAAGGGTCCCTCAGTTTTGATTCTTTGAATCAGCATTGGTGTTAAAGAAAAGACAACATGGTTGCCCAGGCAAAAGCTGTCACAGTCTCCCTGCAGGAGCTCAAGGACGGTCAGTGACGCGATCTTCAGACAGTGCCCGTACTAAAGATCACAAAAGGCACCGTCTCCTTTGACACTCTCAAAGAAGCTTTTGGTCCAGACTCACTGGGCATCCTAGTCGTCAAAGATGTGCCTCCCGAGTTCGCACAACTACGCCATCTCGCTTTATCGTACGCATCGTACCTGGGCAACCTCCCCAGCGATGAACTTGGTATGACCAAGGGCCCCCCCTTACCCTAGACCAGAGTGTCCGCGGAAGGTCATCTGACAGTGGGCAGAGAAGCTGGAAAATGCAGCGTCAAAGTACTTGACGGGATGGTCTCTCGGTAAGGAGACCCTCAAGAATGGACAGGTGGACACCTTCAAGGGCTCGTACTATGCAAACTGCGCCTTTTACACGGATCCCTCCCTGGAGTGCGCTGCGCCTACAGCCGAATTCTCCCCAGAGACCTTTCCCGAGTACCTGTCGCCCAACAACTGGCCAGACGCCTCGCTCCCGGGTTTCAAGCCCGCAGTGACCACCCTCTGCCGCCTGATCATCGACACCGCCGTCCTCGTCGCCAAGGCTTGTGATCGCTATGCTGAGCAGAGCATCGGGGGCTACAAGCCGGGATACCTGGAGCACGTCGTCAAGACTAGCACAACGACCAAGGCGCGGCTGCTGCACTACTACCCGCAATCCGGCGTCGAGGAACCGCAGGGGAGCGAAGACGACTGGTGCGCGACACATCTGGACCACGGCTGTCTCACGGGTCTTACATCGGCCATGTTCATCGACGAAGCGGCAAACCCCCCCACCATTGCTGACCAGCCCTCCGCCGGCACTGGTGCGTCGCTGCCTCCTCTGCCTGAGTTGGCAGCATCCCCGGATCCCGAGGCTGGCCTGTACATCAAGTCACGTTCAGGCGAGACGTACCAGGTCAAGATCCCACGGGACTGCATTGCGTTCCAGACTGGAGAGGCCCTGGAACGGATCACTCAGGGCAAGTTCAAGGCCGTGCCCCATTTCGTCAAGGGCGTGGGCAAGGGCAAGGGAGGCCATGTGGCGCGGAACACGCTGGCCGTGTTTACGCAACCGAACCTGGGAGAGGATGTTGACATTGAGCAGGGTCTGACGTTTGGCGAGTTTGCGCGTGGCGTTGTAGCGAAGAATACCGTGTCATGAGGCCCGAAATGGGACGTGGTGTTCATAGTCCAAAAAAAAAGTTCAATTCATGCTGCAGCCAGCATACAGCCCTTAAGGGACGCCTTATCTTGGCAGGCGGCTACCATAAATCGACCAAAAAAAAAAAGACCCCAACTCAACTGTTCTACTGATCTCCTCCACACTCTGACTTGATTTTGCCAGTTGTCCACCACGTCTTTCCCTTTGATGGCCGCCACCTCGGGCCGTCGCAATACAAGCCATGACCTCCATCGAGAAGAACCTTACGCCCATGCGCCGACGAGACTCATGCAAAAGGCTCCCAGGAACACGATCACGCAGGCCATAACCCTCTTTCTGCCACGCAGAACCCTCCAGCTATCATCCGAGAGGAAGTCCTCCGCCATGAGCTCTACCAGGGACGCAAACACCAGGAGCCCGGCCGAAATGGAGTTCATGACACCGACGACGATGAGGCCAATTTCCGAGTCGGGGGAGTACAGCGTGTGCGTGGCGAGGCCGATGGCCTGGCCGAGGGGCGTGGTACAACCATACGCCAGAGCCATGAGCCACGGCTGATACTTGTACGACTCTGGCCACTTGACCATGGAGATGCGCGTACCGAGGGCGAGGCCTTCAAAAGTTTCTGACAAGTGTTAGCGATGATTGATTGGTTCGCACAGCATGCACGGGAAAACTCACGATGGAAGGTGATGGCAATAAGCAGTATGATGAACTCGTTGCCGACCGACACACTGAGCGCCATGCCGATGAAGATACTGTGGAAGAGGATACCCAGCTCGAGCAGGACACACTGCAGACGCTCCTTTCGGAGCTTCAGCTCGGGCAACGACTTCAAAGCGGATGACTCTTGACCAGTACTGTCTCGGCCACTCTCGACATCGCCGTCCTCGGATGGCCTGTTCTCCTCCACGACGGAAAGCTGGTTCAGGCCATGACCGACGCTGGATGTACGCGCCTTGGGTGGGGCCATGTCGCACATGGCAAGAGCCTGAGGGTCTTCCGTGGTCACGGGATCATCGCCCTGGGCGGCGGTGGTGGCGCCCTCCTGTGGTGCGGATGGTGTTGGGACCGAGGTGCAGCGACGAGCAGGGTGGAAGACCATCTCGATGACGGTGACAAAGAAGATGGAGGCCAGAGAGATGGCGCCCGGCATGGCTGGGTAGTCGCTGACCCAGAAGCTCCCGAGGCAGGGGTCCCCGAGAGACACGAAGGCCGTGGGGAGCAAGTGGACAAAGGCGGTAGCGATGAGGACGCCCGTGCCAAAGTGCCGAATGACGAAGAAGAAGCGCTGCGGGATGTGCAGGCCGGGAAACTTCTTGGCCAGGAGCGGGAAGGCGCAGGCCGTGGTCGAGACAAACCAGATGATCATCAGCGCGCCGACGTGCAGAGGCATGTTGTACTCGGCACTGTCGACGCCATTGGCGGTGCAGGTCGACCTCTTGCGCATCTCCTGGACGACGCCACCACCATTGCTCTGGGCGGAGGGGGCAGGTACGGGTACAGGGTGCGTTGCGGCCGGCGTGGACACCTCACGAGTAGTCGTAGTAGTGTGAGGGGAGAAGAGAGAGGTCAGGATGAAAGACATCAGAAGAACAGATGCAAACCAGGTGCACCAACCCCAAAGACGTGCAAGGCACGCCGGGTTGGTCACCTTCTTAAGGAGGCCAAGCTGGTCATCACCACCAGTCGAGCGCTCCCGACAGCGCGAGACGGACACTCCGTGAGACTGCTCGTGTCCCACGCTGTCTCCTCTACCACCGTGACAGGTGTCATCGCCTGGCGGTGTGCCCTGGTGATACCACTTTTCAGCTTCGTCTGCTGACGACACGGTGCCTCCTCCCGCGTCGTCTTCGTCCTGGCCAGAGGCGACGTGCTCGCGGAGGTTGGCGATACCGTTGAGGTCCTGGCGGGTTGTGGAGCTGGCGGCCAAGGGTCTGGGACTCTGATTGAAGGTGAGGTGCCTGAAGGTGCCTTCGTCGGCCTTGCTAAGGCAAATCATCTTCACGACTGGTGCTAATTCGTTCGCGTTCGCAGAAGGGGAGGGGAACCAATTGAGCTGTTGCGTAAGAATGAGATGTCGTGAGTTTGAATCAATATGTTGACGGGACCAAGTACGAAGTATGTAGCCGTAATCAATCACGGATTGACGTGGACATCGAATTCAGAATCTCAGACAAGTCCCAGTCAGTCAGGTGCGAATCACACGGTTCGTCCGCCCCTAGCGCAGAGATCGGGCGCCCTGGATCCGCCCGGAAGCAGCCAGGGCATGTGAGTGGCTGGACTTGTGCATAATTGGCCGGAAGCGGTATAGCGGTACAGAGATGTCACTGAATGCTAAATGACATTGACACCCATTCAAAAAGTGCCGCCCAGATCTCGCACTCACACCGAAACCCTTTCTGTCTTGACAATGCTTGACGGTCTCAACGCAGCGTCACTGTTCCGTGGCAGCGGCTTGCGGTTCACGTCCATAGACAGGCAGTAATCCGTCACATTAGCCAGAGTCACACTGATTGCCGAATCGCCCGACTGCGCTACGTCGAACGGACGCTGTCCGAACGTCAAGCAGTCGGGACTGTTCGGAGCGCCCCAGACGATCACCTTCTCATGCCGAGGGAACGCGTCACGGCTCGACCCAATCATCGAGCTGCCCGGACTTGCGTTGCGTAACATGTGTGCTTGGGGACATGCGGAGTAGGGACTAGGGCGCAGGTGCTGGCTGTCTAGTAATTACTAGACCAGAGGCTTGGGAGGTTCCCGGATGCGCGAGCTCCCGGTGATGTTCTGGAGCGGTCGGGATCGGCACCACGAAAAAAAGAAAGATTAGATAATGAACGTAGCATCCCTGCTCAACACTTTGCCTTGACACTTATCGATCATAAAGTGGAATGCAAAGGAATTGATCAATATGCTATCTCTACGGAGGCAGCTGCTAGCAAAATGCCATTAAGATGTTCTCAAGTCGGGAGGTGCCGAGGAATGGTAATAAGCCCCTCCCCTGCGCAAGAAGGGGTGCCAGATTAAAGCGACCAGACCGCGCACTAATTCATATGAGCATTGCTCACCATATTTCTTTCCCTCTAAGTATGCGATCACAGCTTCAGCCAAGGTGAGGTAGGTGAGGGAAGGTAAGCTTCCTAATGCTTGACATCATCGCCATCGCATATGTACGCCATGCGTATTGCATCCCCTCTCATCCGCCTCCATCTCTTCCACAAGACACAGCTTCAGCTCCAGCGGCTACCCATCAACCTCACAAGAAGACCATTTCGCACAACCACAACCATCATGGCCCTTCCTCCCAAGTTTGCCGGCACGGCCAAGCAGCTCGCCCCCCCGCAGGCCTCGTCGCACCCGTCGGTTATCCCCACCGCCACGCACACGTTCGAGATCTACCTGGACTACGTCTGCCCCTTCTCCGCCAAGCAGTTCAAGACGCTGCAGTCGGTCGTGTTCCCGCTCGTCAAGGCGAACCCCCAGTGGGCGTCGGGCCTGACCTTTGTCTTCCGCCAGCAGGTGCAGCCGTGGCACCCGTCGTCCACGCTCGTCCACGAGGCGGGCTTGGCCGTCTTGCAGATCGCTCCGGACAAGTTTTGGGATTTTAGCCAGAAGCTCTTTGACGACCAAGAGGCGTACTTTGACGTCAACATTGTCAACGAGACACGCAACGCGACCTACCGTCGCCTCGCCGACCTCGCCGGCACCGTCGGCATCGACCAGGACAAGTTCTACAAGATGCTGGTCATCTCCGACAAGCCAGGCGAGGACGGCGCGCTGAACATCGGTAACCAAGTGACCAACGACATGAAGGTCGTCACCAAGATGAACCGCCTGATCGGTGTGCACGTCACCCCGACGGTGGTCTTTGACGGCGTCGTCCAGGACACGAGCTCATCGTGGGGCAAGGACGAGTGGGATGCCTGGCTAAAGAAGAATGTCGTCTGAAGGACGGCGAGTGAGCTGAAGCATCGATTGTGAGATGACCGAGTCTCCAGTTGATCCTGACGCCGCTCATGCTCAGGAATGAAGTGTTCCATGAACACACGAGTCTATCTAGGCTCAGTCATCTACATAATGATATTAATCAGTCCAAAGTTAATTTGTCTCAATGCATGCGATCATACTCAATTGAGCAGGGGTGATTTGGATCCCATCTCGTGCATGTCACGTGGACGCGCGTTGGCAGCCATCCAAGTTCCGCGATCAAATTTCGACTCATGGTGAGGGCTATCGGATCACATCGACTGTTTGACGAGCCACCCAACGAAGCAAAATGCTGGCAACAAGGGCCTTGCGCGTCAGCGCTTTCGCAAAAACGCCTTGCCTCCGCTCAATGGCTTCGAGGGCCGTGAATTGTGCCAGATTGCCTGTCCGATCGTCTGCCGGTCATCATCGCCGCTACACATCCAAGGTCGAAGAGTCGATCAAACGTGTCGCGCGCGAGGCAGCCACAAAGGCTCAGAACACAGGTACGCATGGACCAACAATGGGCCGATGAGAAGAAAAAAAAACACCCAAATTGGCTAATACCCCCCAGCGATACCGCGCAAGGTGCTCATTTACCACGCTGGCACGATCCGCACCACGTTCCTCGGATTCCTCAAGGCGTCCACCCTGCTCGTCGGGGCCTTTTACCTCAGTCTCGTGGTGCCCGCGTACATCAAGGAGGGCAAAGATCCGCTGGAAATTGTCAAGGTGGCCGCCTGCGGCGTCATCCCCGCTGTCTTCATCGGGTTCATCTCGACGCCGTTCGTGACACACATCCATATCCGACTGCCGCCGTCCGTGGCCGGGTCCAGGCAGTACATTGAGCGATATCTACAGACTGGAGGGCTCAAGCCTACGACGCCGATCGAGGTGACGAGCGTGGGCGTCATCGCCACGCCGCGCACCTTCATCATCCCTGCGGGCGATCTCCTCCCGACACGTCGGAGAATGGGCATCGTCAACTACGTCCGCCGGTCGTCGCCAGAACTGGAGCAAGAGATCAAACAGAAGAAGTGGTATCAATTCCGCCCCGCTACACAGTTTTACATACAGCAAGGTCGTCCTGGGCAACCGCGCCAGACACGCTACCACGAGCCCAAATCCGACAAGGTCCAGTGGTGGATCTGGGAGACGCTCAAGGAGAAGCTCGACAAGCGCGCGACCGTTTAGCTAGTCTGGTCTACCTAGGTCGTCACGACGCCGTACCAGATCATGCCCATGACACCGCCGAGTACGATGGCCACCCAGGGCTTGAGACCGAACCACATGCCCCCGACAAAGCTGGTGGCCGTGACGACAACCCACCACGGCTCGACGGCCAAACTCGTCCCGTCGCGGTATCCCTCGTCAATGTAGCCAATCTGCCAGAGCCGGTACACGGCCGTGTAGATGAGGCCCACGGCCCCCGCGTTGAGACCGCGCACGGCCGACTTGACCCAGCGCCAGCCGCGGATGGCGCTCCAGATCCCCACGGTGCCGTGCACAAGCCACATACCCGGCAGGAAGATGCCGAGATACGCCACCAGCGCACCCAGCGCCGCATTCTGCCCGCCATTGATGGCCGTCAGGCCGCCGAGGTAGACGGAGAAGTTGAAGTTGGGGCCGGGGAAGGCCTGGATGATGGCTAGACCGATCAAGAAATCCCGGGGGCTCACCCACCCCTCTGACACCACGTACTCGCGCAGCAGCGGGATGACCACGGGCCCGCCGCCAAAGATGATTGTGCCCGCGAGATACATGTTGGCAAACAGGCGGTAGAGCAGCGGCTGGCCGGGCAGCACGCCGCGGAGGACCATGATGACGGTGAAGCTGAGCAAAAAGAGCGAGATCACGCCCAATCCCACTTTCCACGACATGCCCACCTCCACGCGGTGACTCTCGGGGATGACGCGCGGCTCGTCGTCAGTCTCGGTCGAGGGGAGGATGCCCTGGTTGTCCTGCTGCTCGGGCGGCGGTGTCAACGGCCCGTTGCGGGTGTCTCCCGATGGTCTCTCCTCTTCCCCCTCGCAGCTTGGCCTCCTGGTACTCTGTGGTGCATTGCGCTCCATCTCAATCTCCTCATCCTTCTTCTTCTCGAACATGCGCGTGACCTTGTGCACGACAGGGTGCAGCCATCGAAAGTCGTGGATGATGGTCACGATGCCGGATGCCACCATGAGCACGGGAAAGTACCATAGCGCATTGTACAGCAGGCCCGCCGCGCCGGCGAGGAACACGAGGATGCGCGTGACCTTGTCCGTGATGGCCTTTTGCGATAGTTCGACCGCGGCGAGTACGATGATGCCGACCGTCGCGGCGTTGAGGCCCGAGAGGAGCGCGTACACGGCGCGGGGCAGTTGCTCGGAGATGTTGGACACGCCGATGGAGAGCGCGTACATGCCAATGGCACCGGGGAGACTATCGTGTCGCCATCGTTAGGATCAGTCGTCGGGCAGGGTGGCAGGGATGCTCTCGCAGTGCCGGCACGCACCTCCATATTAGAAAGCCAAGCACCGCGAAGGGGAAGCCGGCGTGGAGCAGATTGATACAGTAATGCATCTTGGTGCTGCCGGGCCCGCTGAGGGCCTGACAGATGCTGAACAGCTCCTGGTACTGGATGGGAAAGCAGTCAATAAACGTCTTCATTGAATTCCGTTCTCTCCAAGGCACGTACAAGCTGCTCATCAAGCCATCGTAGCTTGACGACATATTTGTCTCGAAACTGGGCCTCTGATTAGCGCAAGGCCTCACACGACGAGCGGGAATGCGCGCCGCTCACAATCTTGAAGTGCACGGGCGGACCACCAAAGGAAGTGAAGCCGAGATGCCAGTTCACCTTGACAGTCTCCCACAATCGCGCCTTGAACGTCAGATCTTTTTCGGTGGACGCCATGTCGGGCCAAGGCACAGTATCGTGGCAGGTTGAGGAACACAGATAGATAGATGAGATGGATGGGTGCTGCGAGTACCACAGGCGCGCCAGATTCTTAAAAGGCGACCGGCATGCGTCTTGGTGAGCCTTGATCGGTGGGGACTCTATGCTGGAGCATCGATCATTGGCTTGGCAGGGGACGGCACGGCTGGAAAGTTTATTACTTACCTGCTCCGTACCGGGACCCCTACTGCACAAGGCAGAGAAAGAACTGCAGCCCTCATCAGACTTCTATGCACTCTGAACATGTGCGTGTGTCCACCGGAGCTGCGGCCTACAGCACGCGTCACATCATCATGACAGTGTCCAGGACCGCTTCCACCTCCACGGCCTCAGCTTTTCTCGAAGAACCAAGGAACCCAGGACAGCTCTCCCAGCTAATTAGCTTATCCTCAAGAATTGGCTGGCCAATCCACAACGCTGACTTGACATGTCAAAGCTTGGCGATCCATGGGGTTGCTCGCCCACGTGCTTCATCCACAGGCGGCCATCTTTTGCTCAATGTGCAATCGGAATTTGATCCCACAAAGCTCAACCTACGTACTTATCACCCAACGCTCTTCGGCTTTTTCATCCATCATCGCTCTTTTCATACTTGCACCCGAGGAACGATGGCCGATAAATCATGCGCCTTGCGAACCGGATCTAAAAACCGGCACCATGTTTGATACAAGAAATAACTCCCAAGGCACCATACCATCAGCTCTGAAAAGCAACGCCCAAAGAGAATACATGTACGCCAGCAGGTCATGGGTATCCAGCATTGCTGCCATTCGTAGTATACATGGTCCACCCGAGGCGACCGTGCTCAAACCCTTCATCATTCAATTCATTTCAGTGACGTCGTTGCATCATTTGCGAGGAGCCATCATAGTCCCAAGCGCGCTTGAGTCCTCCCTCGTACACGCTGGCCACGGACGCCTGCCACTGGGCGGGCGAGATGATGGGGGCTGGCGGCACACTGTACTGCTGTGGTGAGAGCTGGGAGGGGCCACTCTGCTGCAGGCTGTCGGTCGTCCCATGGTACTCCTGCATGTTGCTTCTCTCATGAGGACCTGGAGGAGACGAGAAGTTTAGTTGTCCATTCCGGGCGGCTGCAGTCGCACTGTCAAGCGTACCGAAGGATGTGTTCCATTGCCTGGGAGAATGTCAGCAATGCTCTCCCCACCACGCGGGGCGTGCACTTACTCAAAGATCCGCTGTGGATTCCACGCAGGCTGCTCATGCAGCGGCATATTCTGGTGCAGAGCTGGGACCTGACCGCCTTGGGATATCATAACCATGTTGGGCTGTCCAATAGGAGAGTCACTTTTGCTGTCCGCGGCACCAGAGGAGACTGGGGGTGTGATGGGGTAGCCGGGGAAACTAACGTTTGGAGCGCTCTGCGCTGCGTCCAGAAGAGGATCCTTGGGTCCTGCGCGGTCGACCGCGGGTCGGTAGCCCTGGGGGGCCTGTGGCGGACTGGAGTGGTTAGAAGGGTGCGGGCTTCCGTACGGGAACGTCGGCTTCAGCTGGAAGGGCTTCCGTGTGTCGGCTGAGAAGGCCTCCCGTACAGCCTCGACTTGCTGGCGTAGCTCCGGCATTGTCCAAACTTCCATGACCTTCTCCATGATCCGCATGTGCCGCGAGAAATACTCGGCAGCATCTTGGTTGAAATCAGGGTCAGGAGACACGATGCAGACCTATACAATGTGAGCAGTGGGCCTATTCGCAGAGGGCAAGAACTGACCAGATGAAGAACGATGCATGACAGTCCGCAGTAGACTGTGAAGCTGTAGCCACGTTGCATACACATAAGCCCCTCCAAGCCACTGCTGTTCACTATGGCCTCCTGGAGTTTGCACAGTGACTTTGCGGAATCGTAGCACTTGGCCATGTGGTGCTTCCACTGGGCTGCGTTGGTCGTGGGGTCCAGGAAAGACAGCTGTGGCCGATTGTAGAGGATCACACTGAGGTGAAAGTAAGAATGGAGGTTGCCGATAAACGACGACGGGAGCCAAGGTGGTGATCCATCCGGCGGATACGTGACAGCCATGTCGGCTGGAAGCTCAGGCAGAAATGACGCGAACCCTTGGTTCAGCTGCACCATTTCTGGGTCGATGCCCCAATCCTTCTTCTTCTTCACTCTGGTATACACCGAGCTCATCCGGCGCACGTTGCGCACGACGCGCGCAAAATACACAAAGTTCCGTGAGACCTGCTCATCCTCCTTGTCGCCACCGGGCATAGGCTGTGGAATGTCAAAGTCGACGCTGTCTTGCCGGACGGCCAAGTCGTACCGGCCCTGCGGCGCCCCGACCATCACCTCGCAGACAAACACTGTCTGCCATATGCGAGTGCGTAGTCGACACTCGAGTAGGTTGAAGTCGCACCCACGGCCCGATTCGTGGTCGTCGTGGTGCTCGTCGAGCCCAAGGTCGATGCCCATCTGCACGCACTGCACCACCGTCATCCATGACCGATAGTAGTAGCCACGCTTTGGTGAGGCCTCGCGGGCTTTGAGGAGGAGCAAAAGACCTTGAAGTGTGCTAAGTCGGGGGTTATCCATGAATGCGTCGGCGTGCCCTAGATCTGTCAGCAGAGCCTCTACGTATACAAATCTCGCACTCACGTGTGGCAAGGGCGAGCCACTGCGCGCCCTCCGAAGGATCATCCCGCAGGCGCCCGCCCAGAGCAAAGATTGCCTCGAGGATGAGCGGCGATATCGACTCCCGCGATGTGTGCCATTGATGCATGAACATAGCCTTGTTCAGCACCGGAACGTAGGGATGAACATTCTCGAAAAAGGCGTCGATGCAATTCAGGGCTTCTAGCTCATCTGGCATCAACTCGGGCGGGATGCGGACCTTGGAGCCCGGTCCTGACGTGACAGGCGGCAGCATCGCTTGGTAGTCATCGTCATCCTCAACGGCTGGCTCCTCTTCCCTCCGGAACGAAGCTTTATTCCGCAAGTATGGGGCTACATTGGTTAGCAGGCGTGTTTGACCATGTTCCTTGGGAAAGGGGCGCTCTTCTCACCAGTCCCTTTTTCGTCCACTTTCAGACTACCAAGAAGCTCCGAGAGATCCTGTTGCGCGTACGACTCGGGCGAGTAACCCTCGGGAGACTGTTCGGTTTTGATATGCTGTAGCGGGGGCGTCGGAAACACGTTTTGGGCGGCGTATTGCTGATCCAGGGCACCATGATGCGGATGCAAGTTCGTATAGTGCATTCCTTGCGCCTGCGCCTGTGACGTATCATATGGGATACCCTGATATCCGCTCGCGGGATGTTCGGGGTACGCCGCGTACATTTGCGGCCCGGAGCTTGAGCCTGGGTGCGCCATCGCTTGCTGCATCTGCGCATGTTGATATTGATCGGATGGTCCCATGGAGCCTTCGTAGGCGTTCGCATCCACAGCGCCGTCGAATCCATTAGGCTTCACGCAGGGTAGCTTGAGCCGTATGCATGCCGAACATGGCCAGCTGTTGGTCGTCACCGCGTCGCACTTGATTTTCCTCTTGCGGCATCCCTCGCAGGCTCTCATTACTACAATCCAAGTTAGGAGCATGCCTCAGATGCACAGGGTCATCAGCCGTACCCTTGAGCCGTTTGTGGCGGTTGTGCTCGTCCACGAAGACATAGTCTATAGATCGAGGTCAGGATACCGAGGCGCATTTATGACAGACTGTGACGGGGTCGAGTTGCGTACTCTTCTGGGTTTCCCGCTGAGGGTACTGCTGCGGCGCAAATGTAAAGTTCATGGTGGTCGTTTGCGGGAGGTTCGCTGGATTGTGGTGGGGTCGCTAATCGTGTCCGAGAAGCCCGAAGCAGCTTCTGACCAAGGTCAGCGCAGCCTTGCGATGTCAAGGCGCGGCGCTGCCTGTCGACATAAAGTCGGCGACAAGACGGGGGGCCAAGGTGCGCCGCTTGCGGTGGTCGTGTGTGTCTGGGCAGGCGAACGCGGCAGTTGAGAAGCTATAGTCGCCGTATCAGACGAGATTAGCGTCTGCGGAGAGGGATCGGCAGTGGCAGGTGTGGTGGTCTCTGGAGGGTCTTGGAGCAGTATAAAGCTGTAATTAGACACCAGAAGACAGGCGAGGATGAGCTGGAAGGCGGGCGGTGCTGGTCAATCGACTTTGACAATCCGAGGTTGGTGCTGGCTGTTGAATGGGAGACGGAAGTGCCGCCTGGTGGGTTGTTGGCGTTCGAGTACCCAGATGGGCCCCCTAACTATGCCCTTTTTTTTAATACCAGCCAAACAAAGGGCAGTTGTTGGTTGGTTGGTTGGTTGGTGGATTCGGCTGGGCTGCGTGGCCGGGGTTGGAGAGGAGGAAGAGGGCGATGAGGGTGCGGGCAGGCCCAGCACTGGTACATCGCAACTCCATGTCGCGACGCGGCAACAGGTGCGGCGGCGGCAGACGACGACTGGACTGGCACTGGCAGCCTGAGGAATGGGGAGTGGGACCACATCGAGTGCTGCACTGTGTGCACAGGCGCGACACTCCATGTCTGCTCCTCTGGTCCGTTTCCACAGGCGAGCACGGGTGTGGATCGGACTGGCTCTTGGTGGATATTGCTGACCCTATTATCGCCAGTAATTACTTGGGTAGAGGGTAGGTAGATGAGAACACATTGGTGGCCTTTCAGCAGAACAATGCTCGCGCAGATACACTGTCCTAGTAGGATGACGGGAGCAGAGCGGAGAAAGGGAATTGGCCTGGCATAAACGAAGCTGGCAGTCGAGAACAATCCGCATCTACTAATCACAACAGCATGGACGTACCTGTATTGGCCTCGAGCCAGCAAATGATGCTCCATCAACCGGCGTCCACTCCCTTACACCGGCACATGGATTTTGAGTTTGCAGTGACGACACTGCATTCACAACAGCTGGTGTCACAACAGCCCCCTGTTCTCGCCGTCTCTTTGCGCCATCGTCCCTAATAATGAATCGCTGTCTAGTGTGCGGTTACGGATACTTCGGGTCGAGACTGACTGGCATGCAAATATTATGCCCCCCTGTCCGAACGCCTGGTTATAGTGATGGCGACTGGAGGCCTGGAGTGACGGACGGCAGAGCAGAGAAGGACGAAAGGGTCCGATTTGTCGACTTTACCACCGTACGCGAGCGTCTAACTACTTTCAGTACTAGGTAGGTACTGTACATCCTTGCCTTGCCAGTGATTATTAGCCATTAACTCTTAGAAAACGTACTGTGTGTTGAAGGCGAATGGTGACGTGTGGGTATCCGTACCACAGGCTGAGACGGTGGGACACGACCAGGATGCTCGACAGGTGGATAGGACGGCTTGGGGCAACACAAATGCCCGAGATGGCGGTGTCTGATCTGGCGGTTGTAGGCCTTTCCGGTTTTTGTGGTTGAGGCGTTGTGCCAGAATTACCTGCAGGTTGGCGACCGTCGATCTCGCGGGCCGATCTGACAATTTAATCAAGACGAGGGGTATCAAAAGCACGTGAAGTTGGTCAGTCAGGTACCTTGTTAATTAGTTGAAGGCCGACATTGACAAGGAGTCAGTGCCAGCCACCTGGTAGTAATCTACCGGAAGGACCTTGTCTTGAGTTTTGACACCCACCTTCCTAAAATGGATGATTCTCGTCTGTTATCCTCAGCTCGCCCAGCAGTAGATCTAATATGTGCCGCCTACGACAATACCCTGCTGTGCATGCGCGTCCTCACTACCGTAAGGTAAGGTAAGGTACCTGGCATTCGACATTTCTCAACCCCTGCTCAAACCTTGAGGGCATTGATACGTACCTATTCATATTGATTCCCCCCCCTCCTCCCCCGCCCGGCTCCCGCTGGTCTGCACTCTGCACCGTGCACAATGCACATTCACGCGGCAGCTATCCGTACAAGCGTCAACGACTTTAGCGCATTGGCACTTCTGTCAAATAGCAACTAGCGTCAACACTAGCTCCCTGCCACCTGGTAAAACTGTATCTTCGAATATTGTCACCACCTAATTAATCAGGACCTCGGCACAATCTTGCGTCCCAATACCGGTGCGCATCCAACCTGATTTCGAGGGTACGACCTGACACGACTTCCCCTACCTTAGCCTTTCACCTACCTTAGCCTTTCACCTAGCCTTCAGCCTCACCAAGCTAGTGACCAGTACCCCAGATCTCAAGGTTTATGCTTGATCTCCGGGTACTTACCCTGCACCATTGGTGCTGGCGAGCACGCGAGGCGGGTTTCGCGGCTCCAGCCCTTCACTGGTCAAGGTACGGAGCAGTGAGTGCTGCCTTTTGCTTCGTGATTATGTTCGCTGTCAACGATATGAAAGGACAAGGTGCGCCCAAGCATCAGCGACGATCATCCTGGGGTGCCTGGCATCTTCTCACTTGCTGTCTTGCGGTTTGTGCGGCTAATCGTTCGCGACGCGTGGACCCTCGCTTCTGCATCTCTCTACATACAGCCAGACTAGCGGTAGCCAACAGCGAAGCAGAGCTAGTAATAATTGATAGCACAGTACTACGTCCAGAAGTACAGGCCTTTTGCCCATGTCCGCTTACCAGAACTAAGTTACCGATTTCTGCAGGGTTCAAGGTCTCTTCTCCACAAAGCCCTAATTACATGGATATTTGATCATCAACAAGCATCCCAGACAAGACTCGCAGGAGGCCGAGGCATTTTGTGCCACGCGCGCTGAGCTCGTGCTTGTACGTTGTAGATTACTAGAGCCTCGACTCCCGCGTGTCGCCCACGCTATCCTGGGACGACTGCCAAGCACGCCATGCATACACGAGTCTCTAGACGTGTATGGACGACGATGAAACCGAAACCCAGACCCGAGACAGGATCGGCTGGCGCCATCACTGGCATGGAGTCACAGAGTGCAGAGCCCACGATCGGCCCCGGTCTCTCCACGGCGGCTTCCGGGAGGGGCACCATGCCATACGTACAAGTAGCCCAGACTTGACGCCACGAATATTTCCAGACTGTCGGTGTCTTGCGGTGAGCCTTCAATAACATTATGCGCATGCATGCCTGCGCTATGTGCCCGGCAGTTGCGAGTTCGGGACCTGTCCACGATCACTTCTACAGCGAGCGCAAGCGACACTTTCTCTCGATGACCAAATGTTCCTATTTTGGACTGTGGAGATTGATCGCGGAGATCGTCGCGCTTCTCCGAGAACATGATCGACGTCAATCAACACAATTTACTAGGTGGGCATAATACTATTCGCTCGCTAAATTATGACGCTACCATGGAACCACCCTTCTCTGCTGGCGTTACATTGCGTGAGCCTTATGCATTTCATGGTTCGTCCGAGCGAAACGGCGGCGCTTGGTGGGTACTGCTTCAGGCCGGTATCTATTCAAAGGGGGCTGAAATCGGAACTGTGTCAGGTTGTCGTCCTTCATGGGAGAAATGATGCCCGGATTAGGCGGGTCTTGGTCCTTTGGTGAGTCATTCCACGCGGGAACATACGCACGGGCGGAGGTCCTTGACACGCCTACCACGTATCATGACTACTACATTATGACTGTCGTGGTAAATGCTAAGTAATCAGTGGAACTGGAGTAGAGTGCCGGTACTGCTCTGCCTTAGTGTGATTGGCATCTGGCAGCTGACCCCCTGAGACTGCTGGGGGATATTTGAACGCAAGATCGAGACAGAATATTCGCAGAATAGAGAATGGTACCCGGGGGCTGGGTTATCGAAAGGAACAAGAGCTTTAATGACGTTTAATAAGGGGAATAAAGACATATTACTAACGGAGGTGCCGGGTATGTAGGGAATACATTGCTCACTAACACTAAGGTAGCGACTTTGTCGGGGGAGCTAACTTATCGATAGCCAGACGGCACCGATAACAGGAGTCGTCTCCAAAAATTGCCCCTCCATCAACAATCCACGACGAACTTGAACTTCGCCTGTACGCGCTTCAAAGACCATCTTGCGAAATATCAACGCCAACCACAACACAACACGTCGGAAACCGTTTAGCTGAACGAATCGAGATCCAAAGAAGACAGCGACGGCTGCTGCCACCCCCCGAAAACACCATGGCGACCCTAGACAACGCCAACCCCACCATCCTCAGCGCATCGCAGCTTCCCACGCGCCAACAACGGATTCCCCTCCGCACCGGGCCCGACTTGAGATACAACGATATCATTTTTGAGAAGCCTTCGTATCTTTCTAGACCTTTCTGCGACGCCCAAGTAGCCTCCTGGCCGAGAACCGATGCCAGCGACGGTCCCCTAGCCGCTGAGCCGATAGACGAGCAAGAGATTTACGACCTCATCTCTACCATCTCCGACCCCGAACATCCCGTCTCGCTGGGACAGCTATCCGTCATCAACCTGCCCGATATTCGCATCACGCCCGCGCCCCACACACCCGGTGTCGGGCCAAACACAATCATCACCGTGCTTGTAGAGGTCACGCCCACCATCACACACTGCTCGCTCGCCACCGTCATTGGTCTGGGCGTTCGCGTGCGGCTAGAGCAGTGCCTGCCTCCAAACTATCGCATCGTGGTACGCTGCAAAGAGAACAGCCATAGCCAGGACGATCAGGTGAACAAGCAGCTCGGCGATAAGGAAAGGGTGGCAGCGGCATTGGAGAACGACACCTTGAAAGGAGTGCTGGACAAGATGCTCGAGACATGTGCGTAAGATGATGAGGGGCTGAACAGGACTGCGCTTGCCTAGTTGTTTTGTCCAACAAACTGTACATAATGAATGCGCCAATAGTACATATCTTTCCTGGTTGACTCCGTGCTTCCTTGCGAAAGAAAGCTCTATTACATGTCCCCCAGTAGCCCACTCTCCATCAGACTCCGGTAGAATTCGGGCTCGAGGAATGTCCGCACGCTGACGTCCTCGCTCAACCCCTTTCTCCTCCTTGTCTTGAGCACGAAATCCCTCGCGGTGCCCTGCGTGCTCGCCTGCTCAAGCGGCCGGACGACCTGTTCCCTGTCCAATGGGTCACCGGGCACAATGTTCCATGAGTCGAAAACCATGCTGACCATACTGCTGCCTTGCGTCCTGATTCTCAGATCTGTCTCGAAACCGAAAGAGTCAATGACGGGCAACAATCCGTTGACTCGGTACAAGGGCGTGCCTGCCACAGGTCCGTCACTGAGAACGTGGCCTCTTCTCCTGGCGAGGACATTGTAGACTTCCATGTACGAATCTTCGGGTCCAGTGACGGACACGCTGTACACGGGCTCCATCAGCCGTGGCGAAGCCATGAGGAAGGACGAGTAGCACGCGCGACGAGATGTAGGAATGATCTGCCCACCACCGCGGGAGATCGCCTCGGAAGCGAGGGCAACATCTGTGATGCGGAATTTGGTGTTGCGTATGGCTGCGAGTGTTAGCTGCATGCCTTCGAAGACAGTCGACATAAAATAACTTACGTTCTTCACACAGCGGGCCTTCTCGGCTTGCCCAGCTGAAACCCTGCTTGATGGACTCCTTCACCGTGTTGAGAAGTTTTTTGTCAACCTCTGTTGGTAGGGTATCGTCTTGCAGGATGTTGGGCCCCTGATCGTCCGGCCCAAATGCCCAGATGCTTCTCGCTGCCAATTTGTCCCAGCCATGCTTCTCCTCGAAAAAACTGGCTGTTTTCCGCACAGGGTCCCGGATCTTCACAGCGCCTGACTCAATGTCCGTAGAAATGCCCTTCTCGAGTTGCTCTGCCACCATTGTGATCTTGTTCTTCTTGTTGGGCGTAATAGCGTAGCATTTTGTCGCCGATGTCTCCACAACAGTCTCGCAGAATCGAGTGACGGGGTCCGAGACCTTGAGGTCCATGTCGGCGTACAGCTTCCGCAGATCATGGAGAACGCAATCCATATATAGCTCGCCGGTACCCAGTATAATGTGCTCGCCAGATTCCTCGACCTTGGTCCTGATTAGGGGGTACGATTTGTTGATCTTTCGTAATCCGTCGAGCATCTTAGGAAGCTCAGAAGGGTTGATAGGTTCGACTGCAATCTTGAGAACTGACTCAGTGAAGTGGGTGACGGGTCGGAAAATGTAGGCATCTTCATTGGCGTCGAATTTCGGCGCAACGACAGTGGCGGATTTGACGATGGAGTTGTCGATGCCGCTCAAGAGCACCATGTTGCCGGCGGGCACACCATCTGTGGGGATGTTGTACCGTGTCTCGCCGATGAACACCTCGGCCACGGTCGCCATGGCCATATCTTCCTCATCATCCAGTGAATAGCCCTCTCCCAGGACTCTGACCTGCATGCCGGGGCGGGCAGTACCGCTCAGCACCCGACCAAATGAATAGAAGCTTTTCGCGTCAGACGCATTGTAGAGTTTGGTGACGTGCACGACCAGCGGACCATCCTGATCACACGATTTCATCGACGCTGCCACCCTCGAATCGGTAGGTCCCGTGTAGTAGCGCTCCAACATCCTTTCAGCACCGTCCGCCGGCGACGGAACATGGCGCACAATCATGTCCACAAATCCTGTGGAGGGGCCAAAAAATTGCTCAGAGACCAGCCTCAGGATCTCCTTGGCGTCCGCCTTGTACTGTGATGGTTTCAGGGTTATTCCTAGCGACGCCAGGACTGGTCGCAGCTCCGCAGGGCTATCGCTGATGGAGTGTGTAAAGAGCTTGTAGATAGGTTCCAGCACAAAATGGACAAACGACCGCGCTGACCGCTCCTCCGTTCCTTTGCGTGTAAAGTTGCGCTTCTTCGGGTTGTAGAAAACGTCGCCCCATAATCGCTTTGCAAACTCTTCGGGATCAATGTCACCATAAGTGTCGGTGTACATTTTGGCAAAGGACGGCAGCGTGAAGCACCAGCCCATGTCTGTACACGCAAACAACACATTGCCCTTCTCAGGACTGATGCGTTTTGACGCTGCCGTCAGGGGCACAGTGTCCGCAATCACGCTATTGACCTCCTCCACGACGTGCTTTAACTTGAAGTAGGCATCCTTCGGCGGCAGCTTCAACTCCAAGATCAGCCGATCAAATTTGTTGATGATCAGGGTGAGGGGAATATCCTCCAGCACGGCGTGCCTGATAATCTGCTCGGTGTTGACCTGCACGCCCTCGACCACATCCACCACGAGACATACACCGTCGACCAAACGGAAAGCAGCTGCAACCTCGTCCACAAAGTTGACATGGCCGGGTGTGTCGATAAAGTTCACCAGGTGCGACTTGCCCTTGGAGCTTTGCAGCACCATGGTCATGGGCGCCGACTTGACGGATAGGCCCCTCTCGCGCTCGGTAATGTGAATGTCTGTGTACCGCAACTGCTCGTCTCTCTTCCGCCCGACTCTGCGTTCTAACCTGTCGCTGATGTCGTGTGTCTCCATCACCAGCATGTCCGCAAATGCAGTTTTGCCATGGTGCAAATGGCCCGCGAATGCCACGTTGCGGATGTGTTCGGGTAAGTTCATCAAATCGGTCATGAACTCGCGCTCGAAGAATACGGGCGGAAGATCGGCTTCTTCAATGTTGAATTTCTTCTGCTCGACGGGCGCAATGATCGGTTGCGTGAGTGGCTGCGCATCCTCCTCCTCGACTCGCGTCTCGACCTCGGTGCCGTACACTTGCTCTGCGGTTGGGTAGTATTGCTTGTCCTCATGGAGGATGACTGAGTTCGACGGGCCCTCTACGCAATGTTAATCAAGATCCCCCACGGTCGCGTAAATGAGTGACCAACCGTCTAGCTCCATGAGCTCCTGGCCCTGCGCGCCGCCTGCGCCTTCTGACGCGTCATCGTAGACATAGTCGCCAGCGTCAACGCCCACCTCTGATGCCTCCTCGGACTCGACTTCCTCGCCGATGAAGTTACCGAACCTATTGGCGCAGGGTTAGCGTTCTGCGGTCGTTTGACGGTGGCGCAAGGTTTTCCTACTCGTCGTAAAGATCATCCATCGTCACGGTACTAGTTCGTAAGCTTCGTAGGGTATCAATGGGCGTTCGCGACGTGAGATGATGTAGTCTGGGATTTTTTCCACAGTTCCGTCGCGTGCAACCATGTAGTATGTGGCTGGAGCTTTCAATGTGTGGCTCAGTCGCCGCGATTGGAGGCTGAGGACCAGCTCTAGCGCTAGGCTCATTCCAGATTAGGGTGTATGCAGCACTGAATGACCCTGAAAACCCGCCGACCAATCTGTGGCGCTGCGCCTTGGCGGGACCGGATTGTCGCGTTGCGAACTCGGCGTATTGTTGGGCAATCTGCCCCTCCAATACGGCCTGATGTACGTACGTACTTTGCGGTGAGCTCCCCATATTATTTTTCTCATCGAACCGTTATTTTCTTCGTTCTATCTCTCCTATCTTCATATCCAACCCAGATCGATCACAGACACCCGCCATCATGTCGAGCCTCCCGCCTGTATACATCGTCTCTGCCGCCAGAACCCCTGTGGGGTCCTTCCTTGGGTGAGTTGGGATGCCCCGCGGTCCACGGTTTGAAGATGCTGGGAAAACTGACAACGACAGCTCCCTCTCGAGCTTGAGCGCTACCCAGCTTGGCTCTGAGGCCATCAAGGGTACGCTGAGCATACATCGCCCGTCTACGACAAACAGCTAACATGCGTAGGCGCTGTCCAGCGCGCTGGCATCACGGGCGAAGATGTCGACGAGGTCTTCTTTGGCAATGTGCTGTCCGCTGGGTAACGTACCGACCGCTCATTCCCCACGAATCACCGTGGCTAACACCTGGAACCACAGTCTCGGCCAGGGTCCTGCTCGCCAATGCGCCATTGGCGCTGGCCTCCCTCAGAAGACCATCGCCACCACCGTGAACAAGGTCTGCGCCTCCTCTCTCAAGGCTATCATCCTGGGGGCCCAGAACATCATCACAGGCACCTCCGACATTGTCGTTGCTGGCGGCACCGAATCAATGTCCAACACCCCTCACTACCTCCCCAATCTGCGCAACGGTGCCAAATACGGCGACCAGACACTTGTCGACGGTGTGCTCAAGGACGGCCTGACAGACGCATACAAGAAGGAGCACATGGGTCTCGCTGGCGAGCTGTGTGCCACCGACAACGACCTCTCTCGTGAGGCGCAGGACGACTACGCTGTCAAGTCCTATCAGAAGGCGCAGGCCGCCACTGAGGCTGGCCTCTTCAAAGAGATCGTCCCCGTCGAGGTCTCGGGCGGCCGCGGCAAGCCCAACGTGACCGTGGAGCGCGACGACGAGGTCAAGAACCTGAACGAGTCCAAGCTCCGCAGCATGCGCCCCGCCTTCAAGTCCGACGGCAGCGTCACCGCCCCCAACGCGGCCCCCATCAACGACGGTGCCGCCGCTGTGGTGCTCATGTCCGAGGCCAAGGTCAAAGAGCTGGGCGTCAAGCCCATTGCCAAGATCCTGGGCTGGGGCGATGCCGAGCGCGAGCCTGAGAGGTTCACCGTTGCCCCTGCTCTGGCCATCCCCAAGGCCATCAAGCACGCTGGTCTGACTGAGTCAGACGTCGACTACTACGAGATCAACGAGGCTTTCTCCGTCGTCGCTCTGGCCAACCTGAAGCTCCTGAACCTGGACGCCGACAAGGTTAATGTATATGGTGGATCTGTTGCCATCGGTCACCCTCTTGGCTGCTCCGGTGCCCGAATCGTCTCCACCCTGACATCGGTGCTGACTGAGAAGAAGGCCAAGATCGGTGTTGCTGGTATCTGCAACGGTGGAGGTGGTGCCTCGGCTCTGGTCATCGAGAACTTGCAATAAGTGGCTGCAGTATAGAGCCTTTAAATAATTCAAGACACAATCAGAACACACGTGGCAGCGACTATCTTTTTAAAAAAAATATCATACAATGTCATCGTAGAAAGTCATGACGGAGGAAATGTCGCTGCCTGGAAAGCAAAGCGCCAGCTGTGGCCAGTGTACCTCGCCATTCCTCCAAGTCTGCAAACAGCGCGAAAGACCAGTGTTCGCTATGAGATATCAGTAACAAAAGAATAACCCGTCGCCCGGTTGCAAACGCCCTTTGATCATTTCGACTCGACAACCCAACACCCCGAGTCTATTACGCCCCCTCGTCAGTCTCGCTTGCACCCGCAGGCACGACGCCCTCATCCAGCCACTTGCGGAAATTGCTGTTCTGTTCCTGCACGCCTTCGGGGCCCATATCCCGCGCCCACACCGGGTTGTGAACAAATTTCTTCGTCAACTCCGTCTCACGATGGTGGCTAAGAGCCTTGATAAACCGTTCGCGGCGGTCCCATTGCTCCTTAGTCTTGGGCGACTGGTCGTAGACAAAGTACTCGGAGGTGCCTGGTTCCCATAGCATCTTGGAGCTTTTCAGACAGATGCTGACCGTAAGGTTCTCCTCGAAAGATAGTGGCTTGGGACTTGTCCCATCGTCAGAATCAGTGTCGCCTGAAGGCAGATTGCGCGTCAGAACGACCTTTTGCAGCTGCGAGCGGGGGATGCCTTCAGTCGGCTCAACCCGAATGAAGGATGAGATGTAGTACTGCCAGCGCTCTTGGAGAGCCATGTCGTCCGTGTGGAACGTGCTCTCGTCGCGCTGCAGCCAGCGCACGGTGGCGATCGATTGACCAGGCATCTGTTCCCTAGTTAGCAACGACCCACCCGATAGGAACACTCAAACTCACCCATCGAATAACAAACAGCTCGCCGTCCTTAACACACTTCTCCGCAGCCTTGCGTTCGCTGATCTCTGTTTGATAACTCGTTTCGGGTTTCTCGCGGTTGTTGATGTAGCGATTAATCAGCTCATGCGTCTTGTCCTTCTGGTCGTGATGGCTGCAGTTGAGTGCCAGCCTTGTCAGCGTCTTGAGAAGATCCTGGATTGTGTACAGCTTCCAGCCTGTCTGAAGATAGTAGTGGCGCATCACATCCTGATACCCGTTTTCGTCGATATCGCCAGCAATGTAGTCGTCAATCAGCGCAGCCGTCTTTGGCCAGAAATCGGCAGGCTGATCATTGGTCGTGAAGAAGGTTCCTGGTGACTCGGACACGCCAATGTCACGAGCTGGCTTTTCTCGATTCAATCGCTCGATCTCATGCGCAACAGTGTCCTGGCTGTTCTTGACATCGTGTAGGCGGGAATACAGTGTTTGAAAGATGCTCATGAAGACATAGATGGTTTGGTTGCAGAACAAATGGTACCAAGTCCGAGTGAAAAGACCGTCGGCCTTGAGTTCTCCGTCAGGGCCAAGCAAACCGTTGGCATTGTCAGTTTCGCCGACCACCACGGCCTTGGGTACGGTAGGCATCCACCGCTCGTTGGTGACCTCTGCAGAAGCGGCGTCGTCCGGCGCATCGGGCATATCTTCCTCATTCGATCCCACGTCGGGTGTTGTCTCTTTGCTGCCAGATGCTGCACTGTCCTCCTTTTGATTCCTTGGCTTGGGGGTGTTCCTGACGGGGTCGAGAACTCCCCTGAGCAAGTCAGCTTTCCGGCCATTGCGGCGACTGCGTCCGTTGGTGAGTTCCGCAGGGGTTTGATCTTCAACATCCTCCTCGCCAGAGTCAAGAGGCATCCTAGGCAGCCTATCGCCCAACAGCTCCTCGGGGATGTCGAAGAAGACGGGAAGGAAAGTCTCGTAAAATTCCAGTATGCGCTCCTTCTCCTGTGTACTGTAAGTTCCACTTGAAAGTGTATACTGCATGCAGAAGCGAAGCAGATCGCTGATCAAGTCTTTGTCGGCGAAGTCCCAGATAAACTGATGGCGAGCGTGCTTGCCTCTGAGTAGCCTCTCGCGGCGCTGGGACTCATGCTTGGTCTTGATGACGTCGACCAAGTGCTTGGTCGTGAGGTTCTTCTTGTCCGTGGACTTGACAAGAATACCCATGTGGTCGAGGCTCTTGAGATGCATGCTTTCCGTTTGTGTGTGCCAGACTTTCTCCCATTCCCGCTGAGAGAAACGCCATTCCTCGTCCTTAACTTTCATGCGGGCCAGGAGTATGGGGACAACAGTGAATGGCGTGTTGAACAAGTCGTTCACAACCTCAATGCCACGGTCGCCGTAGATCTTCTTGGCAATACGTTTGAAGATCGACGTGCTCTGACCGGCCAGAGCGGCGGGCATCTGGAAAGCAGCACGCTCTTCGGCAGTCATGGCCAGCATCGACTGCGCAATGGGCTCCAGGAGCTGAATGCACTTCAAGTTGGCCTCGATGTAGAAATCGTAGTCGTGGCGTTCTTCCTCGATACGGTGAAGGCCTTCCTCGTACTGGTTCTTTCTATGCGCAACGAACCCAGAATCCTCGGACGCCCATGTGGGATGCGACGCCCACTCATCGTTAAGCACAGATTGACAGAGCTCGTCCCGGCCGCTGCAACGCTTCTGGCGTTCTCTTTTGGGGAGCAGTCGATAACTCGGCCCGTAGCCCCGGCAATTGCTCAGCGAAACCTTGTCGGTCGGGGGTGCAGGTCGATTGGCAATGTCAGCGTTCTCGGGCTGGTAGTTCACAAAGTGGCCCCAGAAAGACACAAGCTCGGGGTTGGCGCTTATGAACGTCAGTCCCTTGTAGTATAGAGTTTCTCGGTCGATGATGTTCTGGCTGAACAGGTTGCACATTTTGAGAAACTCGTTCATAGACGCCCGGTTCCCCAAATACTTCTTAACACGCTCAAAAAAAGCCATCTCGTCTGCCGTCGAGGTCGAAGTCGGTCGTGGTGGATACGGTTCGGGCATGAGTGGAGTCAAAGTCGGCTCTACTCCAGACTCGATCTGCGTCCGTGCATGACTGAACTTAGCACGCTTGGTTCCGTTAACCGTGGTCGCAGGTGCCGCGCGGTTGGCAGCAACTTCAGGGAAGGCTGGTCCAGCAGCTTGAGCTTGTTTCTCGTTGGCGCGCGGCCGTTTCTTGTTGTCCTTGGAGGCGCTCGCGGGCGGCGCGAAGCTGCCGAGCGGTGGCATCTTGGGTTGTGGCGTGCGCGAACCCTCCTCGGCACGTTCAGCAACAGCCTTTGTCTCGGGCAGAAACTGTTTGAACGATTCCAACAGGTCAGGCGCGTCTGCAAAGAGGTTTGTTACCTGTGCATAAACGTCCTGTATCGGCCTCGATTCCCGCTGATAAGTTTGCAGAATCTCGAGGAAATTCTTATAGATTTCCGGCTTGTCCTGAAACCTGTTCTTTATCTTGTTCACATACGATATAGCGTGATTGAACTCTACAGGCCCTTTCTGAGCCGCTGAGCCAGGTGGTGCATTGCCATTGATGAGAGCCTGGGCAGACGGAGTAGGTGTCTGGGTTCGCGGTACCGGTTGGCTTGTCGGAGGGGCTTGGGACAGGTTGCGCTGCTGTGCTCCTGCTTGATCAAAGGTGCCGCCTTGCGAGACGGCAAGCAGATTGTTGCCGTTTTGGACAGGCGTGCTAAATGCCGCTTCGGGGCTCTCTATGCTGCGCTGAGGACGCTGCCAGTTGTTTGCTGCACCACGGTCGGCGTACATTGGTTGCCCAGGGCCAGGGTTGACGTCGGTGATGCTCCTTGTACCGGCAATTTGTTGAGTCGTTGTCCCCATGGGGGTTGTCACGCGAATCGTGTTCGGGTCGTGGCCAGCACCGCATTCGATTCTATAGCCCGGCGGGAGAAATGTGTTGAACCCCTGAATCAAACTAGGATTCCCCGCGAAGAGCTCGGAGACCCTGTTGATCACACCTGGCGTGTCGATGCTGTTCTGTTAGCTGGATCTTTACGATTTGGCAACACGGGACATACGACTGGCTCTTGAAATCCTTCATAATGTCAAGGAACCGATTGTAGACATCGGGCTGGTCGTGAAATTGGACTTTGACCTGATCCAAATAGGTCAAAGCGTCCTACAAGACGAAGATCAGTATTGGCTCCCTGCAAGGAATATGACGCGAGCTCCGGGTACCGGACAGAGTCTAAGGAGGTATCTGTGATAGACTGGGCGAACGCAGCCGTACTCGGTGTAGTGCGTGCATTTCAATAGGGACGTATTGAAGACAATCTGTGTCGCAGCCATGACCGAAAATCTCGAACGACAATAAAAGCGCTTGCTTGGATCGTCGTGGACTTTCGAGGCAGAGGTTTTGCTTATACCAAGCAAGGATAGCCTTCCTGATGGTTCAACGCTAAGGGAACGTGTTGAGGCCGCCTGCTCTAACCTCGCGCACATTGACAGACAAGCAAAGCGTATAGGATCACTTACGTTCAGAATGGGTTGTTGCCCTTGGGTTATGCCACCAGCTCCCTGCTGCTGCTGCTGCTGCTGCTGTGGTGGCGGTGGTGGTGGCGCCTGCTGAGCACTGTCGGGTCTAGCACTTCTGAAGCCATCGCCATTAGCTGGAGGTCCTCCACGGCCACCATCTTGATGTGGCCTGGCCGCTTGCTGCTGAGCTGCTGCCGCCTGCTGTATCGGGCCGCCGAAGACAGCCGCAACGGCAGCCGCCGCCCCGGCGCCCTGAGCAGCTTGGCCAGCGCTGGGTCCTTGTTGCGCGTGGGTCATCGGAGCAAACATCGGATGCTGCTGCGCATCCGCAAAGGCCTGCCTGGCTTGTTGTTCTCTTTGCTGCTGCTGCTGCTGCTGTTGTTGCTGCAGCAGGGGTCCCCCAAAGCTAGCTGTGCTGCCCTGAGGCGCCCCGCTAGCCGGGCCGTCCTTTCCAACACCGTTGAAATTGCCGAGGATCCCGCCCGGACTGTGAATGAGGTTGGCTCCTCGCGAGGCAACAGGTTGATGAATCGGAATGGATCCGGCACTGCTCGAGTGATGGGGCGTGTTCTGTTGCTGCTGGTAGCGATCGGCGGACTCGCGGCCTTCTCGTTCGTGCTGGTCGCGACGAGCCGCCATCTCTTGTTCGTGCTGCTGCTGCATCACGGCACGGTGTCTCTCTTCTCTTTCTCGTTCACGGTCGCGGTCGTACGCGCCACCGCCACCGTGGGGGTTGTGCGTGTTCATTGTGGTCTGCCGTGATGGTCAGCAACGGCTTTCGTAGTAGTTCGAGAGTCTGGAGAGGAATGCGACGAGAGCCACAAAGCAAGTAAGTGCACCCAGCACAGGCCGGGAGAAGCAAAGGATAATGGATTGCAATCATTTGGCAGTGATAGCGCCCAGATGTTGGCTGCCTGCTTCGGCGCAAGGCAAGGCTGGACGATGGCTGGGAAAGGGATGACGAGTGAAACTTACAACATGAGCTGGAGTATCATCTATGAAATTGACTGATAGGATAAAGGGCGCAAAATTCAAGCCAGGCCCCGGTTCACGGCAATGACTCTGTTGACAGAGTGTTTGCGCGAGGTTGCTGGACTGCTTGGAGAAGTTTCACGAGCCGGGATCCAGACAACGAACACCGCCCGTGCACTGGAGCTCGCTCGGGACCGCGCTGCTCCTGTTCATCACCCGTCTCACGTGACAGGCCCCGCTCCACCGGTCGCGGACCCCTTTTGGTGACGACATACCTTAGGTACGTACCTTACTTGCACAGGTTCAGGCCCAAGGCCTTAGGTATCATTCTTCATGCCAAGAGACAGAGCTATCCGTTTGGAGCATATCGTAATAGTGCATTCTTGATCTGTGTGCCTCAGCTATAATATACCAGGTATCAACCATCCTTTGCCGCACCCCCAATCATGTTCACCCCAAAAAGAGAATCGATCAAGCAGCCCGAACGCCTTCGCAATGCTATCCGCTGATGCCTTAGCACATCTCCGGCCTGTCTGCCCCATCTTCCATTAACGTATGCTTTTCATCTTTGTGCAGAGTGCACTGCCGTCATGGTCCAGCTCACGAAGTACCACACCATCGAACTCTGTGCGGCATGATACCACTAAGGCGCAGGCGGTGACTGAGACGATCCGCCGTTTGCTGGATTGGTCGACTTCCGTACAATCTTGATCTTGGGACGACCACTTGCGCTCAGAGGCGTGGCTGGCGCTGGGCTCCCCGACGTACCATTGGACAAAGGTTTGGGTGATGCGCGTGCTGTGTTGGTGTTGATTTTCATAGACTTCTTCTCCGGTGGTGGTGGAGGCGGTGACATCGACGCCCCGCCTGCAGGCAAGGGCTTGCGAACAGGATCCCCAGAGCCGGGTAGAGGTTTCCTCGCAGAATCGCCAGTTACTCCTCCTATGGGTAGGGGCTTTCGATTGTGTTTTGGTGGGATCCCCGCACTAACGCCTTCAGGGGTGGGTTCCTTTTCCTTCTTAGGTGCCATGCCTGGCAGCGAAGTCCTTCTAGGGGCCGACGGTTTCTGTCCCAAAATCACTGCCAGACGCCCGGGATTCTTCGTCTTCAAGGTAATCATTTTGCGCTTGCGCCCAGGAGCGGACGGGATGATGGGTTGAGGTGTGCTAGTCTTGGTACGCTTCGCAGCCATGGGCTCGTCATCGTCGGAATCATCAAATGGTCGCTTGGGCGCAGAGCCAGTTGGTAGCTTGACTGGTTTGGCCGGCGCTAAGACTTCTTTGGGCGCACTGAAGCTCGCTGGCTTTGGCGGTGGGGGAGGCTGTGATGCTGTTGCGTCCGAAAAGGATGTTCGCGGCGTCGAAAGTTTGTTCGTGTTGATTTTGATTGACGGCGCTCGTGCCAATGGAGCTGGCGCGGGTGTTTCCACGGCTGGGAGAGGTGGTGGTGGCAGTAAGGCTGGCTTTGATTGTTTCGGCTCCGTCCTGTAGTGGGACGTGAACTTCATCAGGAGCTTCAAATTATTAGCAGAGTCCACATGCAGTGCATTGCGACTTACTCGGTCATGTGTTGCCTGCGCCGACCTCTCCGCTTTCCATGCCTTGGGCAACTGGAGCGTCAAAATCCAAGTACTAGCCTCCTCAAGCATCATAGCCGCCACGTCCAGCAGACTCTCAATCTCCGTGCGCGTCAGGCCTTGGTGATCCAAAGCCTTGCGCAAGGCGGTGCGGTAATGACGCTGGTCGTTGGCATATGTTTCGTCCATTTCCTTGCGCAGCGCAGTGAGCGCCGAGTCCAGGTTCTGTCTGCGAGCAAACATCTCTTGGCGCGCCTCAATCTCCTTCTCACTGTCCTGCACGACCAACAGCGGATCGTCCAGGTCCATGGAAGACTCTTCTTTTTCGACGGGCTTTGCGTGCTCGCCAAGAGCAATTGCAGCGAGCCCCTGGACGAGGGCTTCAATGAGTTTGCTCCGAACATGGGGCGACCGATCGGTTGTCAACACCAAGACAAGCAGACTAAACAAGGCATGGTCAGTCATAGCCCCAAGATCAATCAATGCTTCGAAGCATTTGATGCGAATCGTGTCCGCTGTCCCATCAATCAAGTACTGTGCAAAGTCGAGTAAATTCTTGGGAATCACCTCAGCCTTCATCAGCCGCTGCTTCGCGTCCAAACCCGCAATTGTCCAGATATTGTGGTAGGAGTATGTCCACTCATCTCGCCTGAGCACACGCTCAATCTGTTCAATGGCTTTCTCCAAGAAACCGTCTTCCGCATCGTCCTTGAGTTTGCGTTGGCGCTCGACCCACTCATCCTTCTTCGACGGAATCATGGATGTCGCCAAGGTCTTCACCAACAGAGCGATCCAATGGTGATCCGAGATTGGATTCTTCTCATTGTTGTTGTACAGCAACTGGTCAAGCACAAATTGGCGCGCATCCAGCGGACACCGGTGTGTGTTCGCATCCCTAACCTCCGCAATGGCTTGGACGATGGCGCATCGGACCTTATACTGCTGCTTGTCGGAGAAGTCGTTCGGGCGAGGCTGATTAGAGTTCTCGTAGCAGAACATGTCGCGGTACGCCAGTATCAGCTGTCGCAAGCCCAACATTGGCAGGTCCTTGATGTTGGACTGGCGCGTCAGCGCCGCAGCAGCCATGGTCCGGATGCCGTGGAAGTAACGCCTGTCCATAATGGTCTTCACCAAGAATCCAGACGCAATAGGGTGCAGCGGACCGGTCGCCAGATACAAGATGGCATCCTGCTGCGCTACCACGTCCCTGTCCTGCTGGAGTTGTGAGACGTACATGTAAGGCTCGAGCGTGTGTTTCATAGCCGCAACCCACTCAAAGTCCGCATCTATGCGTATCCACTCGTACGACTCCTGGTCCATCTTCCGCTCCGTTTCCGGATCCCAGTCGATGATTTCCCACTTGGCTTGCTCTTCTGGGGTTGACAGACCGTCACCCAACGACACCGTCAAGGCATCCTGCTCCGTCTCGCCTTGTGCGTCTGCATTCGCCGCGGCGCCAGTGAGCTTCTCTTTCATGCGCCGCGTGCGCTTGAGGCGCTTGTACTTTGTGTTGTATGGAATCTCGAACTTTGTCGCCCGAGCTGCATCTTCTTTGATCTCGATGATATGCTCATAGGGTGTACCGTCCGCCTCGTGGATACGAATTGTCATTGACCCGGAGAAGACAGGTTGGACCTCTCCCAGTGGTGTTTGATTTCGTCGCTCCTTGATCAAGCGCATAAAGTCGGCCTTTTGCAGCTCGGGCTTCTTGACAATTTGATGCTGGATTTGATTCAGTGTCAGCTCCACACAGAGTCTCTTCTTGTTAAACCGTGCCTTGACGTCGAATCGGGGTGCACCGCTGGCGTATATCCACTGATCCCAAAAGGTCTCGAGACTACATTTGGCCGCCTTCTCGCACCTGGTGCGAAAGTCGGGCGTCTTCAGAATCGACGCCTTGTCGCTACTCTCAATCTGAACCTTTGTCAAGAGTTTCGCGAGGATCCGCATGAGGTTGTGCCCGCTTGACGCCTTGTTAAGACGTTTATCGAGAATGAAGAAGACCAGAGACGACTTCAAATGCATAAACTCAATTTCAGATTCGCCCAGATGGAGGCTCGACCCGAGGTCGTACAGTGACGGTCTTTCGATATCAATCTCCACCAGATGATCAGACATTGTCTTCATCCTGAAACGGTGCTCGTTGTTGCCACACAGCCTCTTCATGAAGAGCTCCGTCATGAAGTGTGCCATCCCAATACTGATCCAGATGTCGTTTCGCGTATTGGGTATCATATTGATCCCCGTCCATTGATAAGCGAGTGTGTACACCAGTTTTCGAGTCGTGTCGAATTCCGTGTCGATAATATCTTCGGGGTAAAGCAGGCGGTTGCTGGCAAAGGCCATAGAATGCAGTGCTACTGTATCTTCCACCATGTCTTCCAGGAAGATGAGCTTGAAATTCCCGAAAGGGTACTTGGCGAATGACCAGCTGAAATGATCTGCGGCCATCGTCATGGCGATGCAAGTGTTGCGAACCCACTCCGCCCGCCTAGGCAAGCAATAAGCGTGAACACGAAGGGCGCTGATACCGAGCTTGATTTCGTCTTCCTCGGATCGGAACTCTGATGACACATCGACGTGCTCAAAAGGACCGACCGCGAACCCGAGCTTCTGGACTGACGTCTTCTTTTCCGGTTCAAATGTCATGAGTCGTTTACGCTCGTCCTTGGGATCCGTCGACTCCTCTACAAGGAAGCCTGAACAGACCACCGTCATATCCCGGAGTTTGTCCTCTTCCGACAGGTCAGCCTTTGCATCGGTGTCGATGACCTTCCCCTGTGTCGCTAACGGTTTCCTCAGCGCGTCACTCAGCGTCTTCGGGTGCTTAATAGTGATTCTCCAATCGCAGCGCTGCCCATGATCATCTATACACGGGAAAATGCAGGAGGCCGTCCCTGGTTGAAGCGAGTGTCGAGTATACATATGAGGGTATCGGGTATCAAGCGGATCGACCCCTACGAAATGAACTCCATCTCGTCCATTCCTGTTCGTGAAGGGTATAGAAATCTTATACTGCCTTTGCGATTCGTTTTGTTTCCGTATGATCACTTTAGGGCGATCTGATCCTGCCTTTGCGCGTAGATTGACCTTGAGCGATCCGTATGCCGGCGTGCAACCTTTGAATTCTCTATCTTCAGCGGGTACGTCGGTGGCTCGATTTTGGAAAAGACGCCTTGCACGTATACGCCGCAAATCATGATGCTCCGCAGTCCAATTGTAGTTCTCAGGCGGCCGCAGCGCGTCATATGGGTCATTGTATTCAGCCCCCGTGCGACGCTTGGGACCCTCCACGATGCTGCCATGAGCTTCTCGTAGCTCTGCGACGGTGATATGTTTCGTATCGATATCGCATTGTGCTGCATCCAGGTCGACATGTTCGAGCTTATCGTCAAATACGACGAGGATGATGTCAGTCGTACCGTCGATGCGCTTCTCACGGAAGTTGATGTCCAGCGTTACATCTTGCTTGATGATGAAGTACGCTTGCGTCGGTAGCTCTTCCACGGGCGGCAGGTCGCTATCCTCGTCGAAGAGGGCATGAGAAGCCATCTTGTCCGTGCGTAGCGTGGTCGGAATTCGAACTAAGGTCGAGAAGCGGTCAGCGCTCCTGGGAGCAGAGTACTGATGCGTCTCGCATCGAGAGTTTCGGGATCGGCGGCTTGCGCGCGCACTCCGTTTCGAATGTCGCACTCGTTTGAGCGGCGCGTGCGTAAGTTCGCTGTCTCTTTCGACCAAGGTTTTGTAGCTGAAGCTGAGCGATCGTGCAGCTTGACAAATACGCTGCGGCTTGCGTGTCAGTCTCTATGGATGCTGAAACGATCGAAAAAAGACCCCTACACCCAGGCACGCTCTGATCGAGTCGGTCGGAATGCCTACTGCTGGGTTTGGAATCCGGTGTTGACGGGGTGTGATGCTGTAAGAAGCTTGGAGGTTGCTGCGCGTCGGAAGGTTTGCGCACGGACCATGCTCTGCCAGGTTCACAATGCCGCCTACAAGTCACAGGTATTTAGACGGACCGCGTCTTAGGGTTCCCTCAAGTATGATCTTTCCTGCTTCGCAAATCACAAGGACTCCTTGCAACTCAACTTAGGCATGCAAGTTTTTAGCACGATAATGAATAATGATTTCATTACGTCCTCTCGAGCATACGTACGCTTCCTGCGCAGTCACGCCGCGCATAGTCTGAGCCTCACATTCACTACGCCCGAGAGAAACACAGGTTGAACAGGTTCCATGCGTCAAGTGTGATAAAAGTCTTGATATATTCCTCGATGAATCTCTTCCCAAAGTCAAGCCGTGGCGCCGGACACCCTGCCTGTTCTGTGCAACGTACAAATCTCAGCGGTAAATCAACCCTTGCTCCGCCGCTTGTCCGCACGCTTCTTCCGCGCCCTAGCTCGCATCTTGTCTTCGTCTAGAAAATGAGCCGGCAATTCGAAATCAACATCAGACAACTCGGGTATCGGCAATCCCCATGCGAGGACCTTGCGCCCTCTACGCGTCCTGTTCACTGCACTGTCACGCTCGTGCTGCTTCTCAAAGAAGGACTTGAACTCTTTGGGCGGCGGCGGCGGTCCTGCCGGCGGATCTGTTCTAAGCAGGGGCCGTGGTCGCGGTCGTTTTGCAGTTCTGGCTGTCAGTCTTGATCTCGCCATAGCCTCTTCGCGAAGCTGCTTTGCGGGGGACGATGCTTCGCTAGTCCCACGGGACGAGTCGTCTTCTTCATCACTAGCTTCCTCGGATTCCGCCTCCTCCTCGTCCTCCTCTTCGGCTTCGGCATCTGCCTTGTTCTTCTCTGCTTTGCGTCGCTTCTCCTCGTTCTTCCAGTTGGTGAACTTGTCAATGATTGCTTGGCAGCCAGATATGAAGTAACGTCGCGCAGGTTCAAATGTCTTCTTCCTGGCTTCTGTCACGCCACTAACACCCATGACCTTGAGCCAATCCTGGCCTTCTAAACTCTCCTTGAGCTGAACTATTCGGTCGCGATCATGTTGAGCTCGCCCCTTCTCAGTGTTTCGTATGTTCCGCTCCAATCGCTCTGCTCTTCGATGTATATTTTCGTAATTGCTGTCATGCAAAGGGTCCTCTGGAGTAATGTTCTTAGATTGTTGCAACCCTAGTGAACTCAGATCGATGCGCTGGGCATTTGAGACTTCTGTATACAGCGCATCGCCGTAGCTTCGTACCGAAACCACGGTGCCGTGGTCGGGCCCGAGGGGCCTATCATCACTTTCGTTCGCCGAGTCCGACACGAGAATAGGCGTGTCGACGTTAAACAGATCTACGAGTAGTCAGTCAACATGTGCAGATATGCAAGAACAACAGCGCCTAACGAACATTCTTGCTTCTCATCATTTCCTATCACCTCGTCGTAGTCCGGAAAGTACTGCGCTAGCTCGCTCTTGAAGCGCGTTGACTCCTGCGAGCGCAGCTTGCGCTTGCCTTCTCTATCGACACCCCCTTCGGTTGCCAGTCTGTCCAGCTCGTGTCGAATACCATTGGCAACTTTGGCTTGGTGTTTTGTGAGGTTTGCGGCCGACGTTTGACCAGCGCCTGCTGGAGGGGTGTCGGCGCGGCCTTGCGCGACGGATCTGCCTTGGTTCACCATACGCGTCCGTTTGTTTGTCTCATTGTGTCCATGCGCGTACTGTTGTAATTTTCGCTTCGTACGACCCTGCGCACCTCCTGTGCCGCCGCCTTCGGCAACGGCCTGGTCTAGTATTGCTGCTTGCGGACGCATCGAATCGCTAGTGGGAGGAGGGTCCTCAACTCGATGTGAGGAGCGGGTGACGGAGGCCATTGGCAACCAATGTGGTGGATCGCATCGTTTTTGCAATGAGCGTGAAGCGTTGAGAGGGCAATGCTCGAATTTGGTAGCTGTATGAGACGTGACTGATGTTTGACACGTTCCCGTCGCGCGATTGCTTGTTGAGGGATAGCTGGCGAGCGCTGGAGAGCACGGCAGCAAGCCTACCCTGCACAATTCTGTACTCTCTTGCCAAGTCCGCAACGGCGCAATTGTCGCGATCATGCGATACTGGGTGGCGTAATGCTATATTTCTACATCGGCTCGCAGACGCCGATCTTATGTGTCCCGTTCCTACGGCGTGTAGGGGACTTGGGCGATTGAGTATAATCCAAGAAACTCAGCGACATTTGAAACAAAGGATAAGATCACACTCTGGAGTCAAGATGTAGGAGAGGTAAGGCGCATGCTTCGTTGACTATTCATTATCCATGACATCTCAGATCGGGGTATATTCCACAGCCACCGTATCATACATATCAGTCACTCTCCCTTGTTCTGTTCTCTCGGCAACCCTATTTTCTCCCTTACTCTGGTAGCGGTCTTGCTCTCTTCCATCTCCGCCGCGACAACTTCCCGCTCACGAGCTGCACTCCTACTAGTATCCATGGCTTCTTCCTCTTGTTGCCGAAATTCCTCAGGATGGACCAGCCTTTCCTTCCTATTCGTCATCTTGCCCAATAGATGCTTAGACTTCTTGCGCGCCCGCTTATAGGACTCTAGACCGACGAGGATAGCAAAGGACTTTGAGATGGTGACCTTGCTCATGTCTACACCCCCCTCACGCAATGAGTGAACAAAGGAGCGGAAACTGCTTGCTGGGGGCCGATAGTGACCACTCAGCGGGGAAAGCGACGTTATCCTCCCGTCCTTGATTTTGATTAGGCCAGCAGCGGAAATCCGGCTACCTTGAAGGAACGAAGAATGTTGAAATGCGCCCGAGTTTTTGATTCCCACGTACATACGAAAGGAGGTGTCCGCAACGAAAATCCACGTCCCCTCCTTGACAGACTTGCGAAGGAGTTTGTTCCAGATGGTCGAGGCAGAGAAGTGCTTGACCTTCCTCATCTGAGGATGTTGATGCTCATCTGGCTCTTCATCTTCGTGCTCGTCCGCGGAGTCCGAATCGTTTCCCTGCGGGTTGAGGTACTTCGCCTCTCTATCTGCCCTTCTTCTGGATCGAGCGGAAGACGCTGCACTATCGGTTGAACTACCTCGAAGGAGCGAAGAGTCATGGCGCGGCTGTGTGTCAGGATCGTATGCGGGCGTTGGGTCATCAGCTGGCACGATACCCTGGATGCTGTCCTTGTACGCATTCGTCGTGTCGACCCTCGCATCGTTCTTTGCCCAACGCAAGCGCCCTTCGTCATCAACCTTGACCAGGTAGTACTGCCGTTCTTCCCTGGAGAGATATCGTATCCTCTCCCTTTCCAGGCGATCTCGAGGGCAAGCCTCCACCTCGACATTTCGTCCTTCGCCAAAGTCCAGCCAATAAAAAAAGTTCTCTCGTGTGTTCGATCTTTTCCATTCCGCGTGGTAGGTCCGCAAGTTCGAGCCGTACCTGTGCTTAACGTCGACCATCTCCAAGAAATACTGCAGGCCCATCATCTGCGCTTTCTGCTTGGATCTGCCCAAGATTTGCTCACTCTTCTTCCGCACGCGCTCTTGCTCGCTTACCGAGGCATTTGTCGCGGTAGTGGTGAGCGAGGATGAGTCGGATTCCAGGTCATCATGTCCCGCTCGGCGGGCCACGACGCTGGCCTTTTTCCATCGTACCCTCGCGTTCGACATCGCGCCGCTGCCTTGTCCACCATACGAGGATGTCGGCATATTGTCCTGTGCTTCCTTCGTTCTCGGTCGAGTTGTCTCCCTGAACTCAGCTTCCCGGATAGCGCTGATCCAGCGAGTGCTCGCATCGAGTCCGAATCCATCGAGCTCTCTCCGCGCCCGGTGGCCCCGGAAAGTCTTTTGTATTAATCTTGCGGCCTCTGTCCTCTCATGATGTTCACCTTGGGACTCAAGCCGGCGTTGCCGATGTTGTTGCCGGTCTCTTTGCCTGATTTCCTCTTCCTTCGTTTCCTGGGCTCTTTTGATGCGCTCAAATTCCTCAGGTGAGGGCGGCACTAGACTGGCCATGTAAGATGCGGACTTTGGAACAGCGGGACGAGCAAGCAGCTCGTCGTACTCTTCAGCTGTGATGCATGGGGAATGTGAACAGCAACCGTCCTTGTGTTGTGGTGTATTAGTGTGGTGATACTCTCCGAGATACAACTTGGAATCGTGCTGCATGGGTGGCTCCATCGTCGCGGGGTCACGCGATTAGCCTCGACTGTATCCGTACCAGGTATATTTAGAGCTTGTCCTTTTCAAGCCTGGCGACATGGAATCTTTCCAATGACGTGAAGCCCGAAATATTCTAGGTGGTACTGCCATAGCCATCTAAATTCACAAGGGAATTAAGCTCTGAACCAGGCAATGACGTACGCTTGTGTTCGAGGACGCGTGGAATTTACGAAGCAAGTCGGCAATGGGGCTTGGCGTGCAAGATCATGGATCATGGATCCACGAAAATTCATGCACATAATTGTAGCACAAAAGCTTGATATCTATGAGCTCTTAGCCGCAGACTAGTATAACAAATTGGCGGTATCTCTGCGAACCGAGCCTTCTACAAGCTTCAAGATCGATCTATACAATGACGGGTTAGATAGCCATGGACTTTATAAATAGTTGTTTTTAGCAAGGCGCAGCTGTTGTCTATATCTTGCACAAGTGCGTGTTGCGCCACATAAATCCTTTGCGTCCAAGCCATGACTTGGTGTCGCATACACCACCCGGATATCAGCTGTGGCACATCCAAAGAGAGACATTGTACTATCATTACTCGTATTCGAAAACTTACTACTCATGTACATAGAATAGAATTGCCACCGCGCCAGGCGGGTTTGGCGTTATTCAAGAAACCGCGTTCTAGTTACGCAAACAGAAAATCCTTGAGAACAGGTGAACCCGAGAACTCAGGATTCAACAGTACACAGCTAGCCAACATCATTAGCGCCCATCACAAGATAGTTGTGGAATTCCCAGACATACTGCAAAAAGTATTGAAGGCCCGCACGCCGCTTCTCCAGAAACTTTGGGCGAAACTTGGATATGACGCTCTTTGGTGGCAGTTGCGGGATCATGGCCTCAAACGTTGGGAATGAGAGAATTAGGCGCTCCCTGAAATCATGGAACTCCGAATATCGCTTCCGAATATGCATGTAGCTCCCCTTTCTGTTATAAGCGCCAAAAGGGACTGACTGCGTTGTGGCGAAAGATGACTTACCGCTAGCGTCTGTACTTTGATGATGTACACGACGAAAGCGCCTATGCTGCCCGCACTGCCGTTCACCACTGTGAAATCCACAATCTCGACACTTTGCGCCCAGCAAGCATTGTTCCTGTCGTCGTCGTCGGCATTCTCATTGTCGCGCAACCTTATAGCACCTGTTGGCAGCGACTCTGTCGATATGTTTGAAGGGTGGCGCGCGTGAAGACGTCGAGGCTGGCTCGACCAGTATGGCGGTGATGTCACGACATGCGACGCTTCGGGCTCGGGGACATTGGCAGCTGCGACAGACCAGCCTGCGCTGGAGTCGTTCGCTTGGTCTATGGCCGACGCCATACGGCAGATGGAGGGTTGTTGCGCATGTGCCTCTCAGACAGAGTGGAAGATTCTGACCAGACTTCGAGGCGTCGCAACATGTAATAATGGTGTTCGGTGTCGGCGCGAAGTGTCGGCTTTGTATGGAAAAGTCTACGTAGTGCTCACAGAGTCATACGGAAAGTGCAGAGGACGTAGAACCGCAATGCGCAAAGTTGACGATCGACACTATTCATGTGGGGCTATTATGTTCTCGAATTGAGTTGGGCTTGGGCCCTCTCCAATCACATTGACATCATGTTTGAACTGAACTAGCACTCATTACCTTCCTTTAGTTCAAGGAACGAAACTCAGCCCTCAACGCGAGTATTTGGAGCCTCGCATCTGAATTGGTGCATGGTGGGAATATTCCGATGCCTAAAACGCTGATCTAAGGTACTTCCGTTTCGGGGCACTCGGGGCACTCGAGGCACTCATGCCCATGTATGACTTTGGATCAAGGCCTGCTGGCTTGTGGTAGACACAGCCACTATCGCGATGAGAAGCTGTTATTTTTACTCAGTGATTATGCAATGTCAATGACGAGATACTACTGCCTACTGCTCCGCAAGCACACGGACTGTCAGAGCTCTAGATGCTCTGATCCGCATCGTGAACAGGCTGTAATGTACCGGACCTACTACACAGTACTACAAAGCCCGGTCATAGCTTGCAAAGACACTAGAGGATAAGGCTTGCATTGGCGTCGGTTTTACCGGCGAAAGCCGACACTCGAACTGCAGAATGCAATGCTCTCTTCATGCACGAAGCAGCACGATTGACCAGATTTCGGCTGCCGACACGAGAACCAACTGGTCACGAGCACTTCGTTCGTAGATGTGATACCATGTTTGCTGCGCCACAACAAAGTACCGGCCACGGACATAAGTACAGGTATCGTCAAACAGATAACGCACAGTTCGCGAGCGGTAATCACAGCAAATTGTAATACCTTTAATGTAATAAGATGAGAAGTCTCAGCGAGCTTCCCCGGGGTCAAGGTCCGCTTAGCCCCACAGCGTGAGCCATCACGTTGTCTGAGCTAAAATGGCCCAGGCCCAGACTGGCCTCGCCCGCCCATGTTGTCGACTATTGGGTCTGGCAGGAGAAAAGGCTTGGTACACCTCCTCTACGAGGCCGCCAAGTCTTAGATACGGGAATGTCACCTTTGCTGTGAGAAACGTTCCACCTGAACCAATCTCATAACATTCTCTTAGAAGGCTCGAGTGCTAGAGCCTAGCGCCGACGCCGCAGGCAACCCTTGGCCAGGTACATGTATCATGGAACTAAGTCCTGCTCATCTTTATCTTAATAGCCCGTGACGCCCTCCTGTCTTTTCAATCCACAGTTCATTCTTCCCTCGGTCTCCACCATCTTCGGACCTACTATTCGCGTCCTACACTCGTTATTGATTCCCTCGTTACATTCACTGTTCATCTGTTTAATTTGCGTGTAAGTGTACGGACCCATTCTAGCCTCGTCTCGGTGGCTTGGGGCGGCCTGGCAATTCTACTTGGGAGACACAGCTTTGAGAAGACAAGTTTGTACTGACTGCTTGGCGCTGCTAGATATTTCCTGTTTACCTGGCACACTTCGCGCTGCATCCCCATCGTCGCACTCCAAAGCAAGATCCGACAGCCCCAACCATGTTGTTCCGTTCGAGCGTCCTGGCCGCAGCCTCCCTCATTGCTGTGGCCCAAGCCCAGTACAAGATCGATCCCGAAACCGTCGACATGAATCAGCGAGGTGAGCTTTTGCTCCGGCGCCTTTTGCGCGGAGAAAGCTAAAACGAGTAGATTATTGGTGCACGATGCAGATAGAGACCTGCCCACTGATTTGCTACGAAACCTCACCCGATCCCGTTCTCGTGAACGAATGCGACGCGGTACGCACGCCAGACCCGACAGGCAACCCAACGCTGACCTCCAAAACAGGAAAAACTGACCTACGGCTGTCTTTGCGGCGACAATTCGAAGCCCAACGTCACCGAGTACTCCCAAACGCTACCCTATTTCGTCTGCCGCCAGTGGGGGATTCAATGCGTCGATGATTGCGCCGACCAAGACACTGCCTGCCAGTCTGCCTGCCTCGCAGACCATCCGTGTGGAGCCTCGAACCCCAAGCGAGTGACAACGACGAGCAGCACCGCGAGCACCGCGACAAGAGCCCCAAGCGAGACCAAGATCGACGACGACAACGTAGTCCTCTACACCGGGCCGTCTGATCCCGAGAACAACAACGACAACGACAATGCAGCGGCACTTGTGGAGGCCGAGGCCATGTATGGTTGGGCAGTCTTGTTTGGCGGCGTTGGCATTGGGTTCGCGTTGCTGTAAAGTTGCACGACAAGAACGGGGACAAAACACTCACTTGGAAGCTGCGTTTCTTTGTTGCATATTACTCGGGCGTTACTACGTGCCTTTTATCGGAGCGAGCATATTGCAGCCTATGTGCTGGCGGTAATACAATAATTGTGATGTACGTGTGCACATTGACCACATAGACTCTAGATGGCCTCCTCTTCGATGGTGAGGTAATAATACCTTATTTTAGGTCGTCACATTCGCCGTTTTCAATTTCACGTGCCAACCCCTGCGCTAAATCGACGGTTCCTCCCGCACCGACCCGACTGATCGCAATGGCTCCTGTAATTACTCCCTACCTGGTGATCGCTGAGAGACTTCTTCATCTTCCTCTGCCTCACCATGCTACTATCCTAACCTGCTGTTCTCCTCATGCTGTGAAATCACGTCACTGCAGCGCGTGGCTGTATGATTTGCTGCTAATCACCAATCCCTCCTTGCCAAGGACGCGCCTCGATCCACCCCGACCCCACGACTGCTTCTTTTCAAAGACCCTCAATCCCGTTGGAGTCTACGTACACTCTTGCATCTTTATCAGCGCATTGACAAGATGGATATGCCGAAGAGTACTTGAACCCTTCACTCGAGACTCGCTGACAGCGCTGACATTGTCGCAGAAAAGGCCGTTGCCGAGTGCATCTCGGACGAAGCCTTGACCCACCTCAAATCGTACAAGTACTCGGCCGTCGACAAATCGCCCGTCTCCAAGTATATTCTCGGTCCTTGGGTATGCCAGAACAAATTGAGGAGCTTGAGAAGTCGCTGACCTGTGCAGTGGAATGCATTCGTCAACGTCCTGCCCATGTGGCTGGCCCCGAACATGGTCACGCTCCTAGGATTCTTCTTCATTTTGGGGAACATCGTGTTGATGTCCATCTACATTCCAGACTTGATAGGACCGGGCCCTACTTGGGTATACCTGAGCTTTTCCTTTGGTCTCTTTATGTATCAGACCATGGACAATGTCGATGGAAAGCAGGCAAGGCGAACGGGGACATCCTCCGGTCTAGGCGAGCTCTTTGATCACGGGATTGATTCGCTCAACTGCACGCTTGCTTCGCTCCTGGAGACTGCCGCCATGGGTCTTGGATGCAGCAAATTGGGCGTCTTCACCGCTCTATGTCCCTGCCTCGCGATGTTTTTTTCTACGTGGGAGACGTATCACACCCATACCCTATATTTAGGCTATTTCAACGGGCCGACCGAGGGCCTACTGATTGCAGCCGCTGTCATGGCTGTTGGAGGTATTTGGGGTCCAGAGGTCTTCCGCGTTCCTCTCAAGTACGCCATCGGGGAGAAGACACTCCTGGCCGAATTCCTGGGGGAGACCAACACCTTGGATATATGGGTGCTTGTCATTGTCGTCCCTCTTTGCACGGGACACATTCCAGTCTGCGTCTACAATGTCTGGAGGGCCAGGCGGGCCAAGGGTCTGCCTCTTGCCCCAGTCTTCCTCGAGTGGACTCCTCTGGCGGTCTACACACTCGCCATCGGAGCGTGGATATACAGCCCTTACAGCACATTGATGGACAACAATCATCTGACACTGTTGTGCCTGACCCTGTCGTTTGTTTTCGGACGAATGACGACAAAGATGATCCTGGCGCATCTGACGAGACAGCCATTTCCATATTGGACAGTGATGCTCGTTCCGCTCCTCGGTGGCGTGGTGATTGGCAACCTTCCCCTGTTGGGCTTGCCTCAGATTTCACCACAGTTGGAGCTGGCGTATCTCTGGGGTTACTTTGTATTTGCCGGCATTATATACTTTAGATGGGCGTTCCTTGTCGTTGGCAGCATTTGCGAATTCCTTGGGATCAATGCGCTTACCATACCGAAAGCCAAGCAGGAGGAGACCAGGCGGAGGATAGAGGAAGAGAAAGCTACTCAGGGAAGACAGGACTGAGAACGAGTCTTGACCGATAGTCACCCTCTTGTATGTACGTACAGGTAGGATCATTTAAGCCTCTCCATGTCGTACGCTAGTATTAATAGCACGTGGACATCGTAGCGGCAGGACTAGGAATTTTTGTTTGGACGTATACTTGGATCGGTATCCTCCCATCCGAGACAAGATCAAAGACTGGAACAGGGATCCAGTCACGATGAGCTAACTTTGCACTTGATCATTTAAATACTACCATCCGCGATTTGGACAGCCAGCACCGTTCTGGTGTCGGCGCAGGCTACCTTGCCTTGCCTTGCCGTCTAGTATCCGATGGCGGCATTGCGGACCCACGTCCGCCGCTTCACATCGCATGCCAATGCGACCACCTATGCGCGCCAACGCACATGCCCATCCTCCCTTACAACCTGGAACAATGATATCCCCAACTTGAGCCCGGCAACCTGCGCTCTTCCTTCCCCCTTTTCCCACTGTTCACATCAGCGCCGACATGGTCACTGGCTGACTTCGCCCTCCAAAATGCCCCGACCATCCACCATTGTCCTCATCCTGACGACCTTGCTATCCCTCGCTTCGGGCTCCTTCAGCACCCTGACGGACGACCACCTGCGTTCAATACCGTCACCAAACGATGACTTCAACATCAAAGAGGGCAAGCTCCTCGCTCCCATCTTGATTCCTCGGGTGCCCGGCACGGATGGCTCGTACAAGGTCCAGAAGCATTTTGTCGACTTTTTCGAAAACGAATTGCCTGAATGGCGGCGCATATCGCAGAACTCGACCAGCAAGACACCCGTTACAGGCGACAGAGACGTACCCTTCACGAACTGGATCTTTCAACGCGATCCACCATGGGCTCACGAAGGCGATGTCGGCCGCCTCACGCTAGTCGCTCACTTTGACAGCCTGATCAAGCCAGAGGGTTTTATTGGAGCCATTGACAGCGCGGCTCCCTGTGCCATGCTTATGCATGTGGCGCGCAGCATCGACACCGCTCTGGCCTCGAAATGGAAAGACATGGAAGACTCGGGAGACGCAGGGCTCGAGGAGGCAAAGGGCATACAGATCATCTTCTTGGACGGCGAGGAGGCATTCGACCACTGGTCGGACGATGACTCCCTCTACGGCGCTAGGAGCCTGGCCGCCGAGTGGGAAAGGACACCACACGAGACCATGTCCACCTACAAGACGCCCCTTGACAGCATCAGCCTGTTCGTCTTATTGGATCTGCTAGGTGCGGAGAGCCCGACGGTCCCGAGCTACTTCCTGCCAACGCACTGGGCATACCGAAACATGGCCGATCTCGAGAAACGCATGCGCGACTTGAAGCTCCTGGAGAGCTCACCCAAACATCCCTTTTTGCCAGATGGAAACAAGGAAGCTACCACATTTGGGAGGGGTTTCATCGGGGACGACCATGTGCCTTTTATGCAGCGCGGGGTTGAGATCCTACATCTTATTCCTAGCCCGTTCCCAAGAGATCTGTGGCACAAGATAGAGGACGACGGCGAGCATCTTGACTTGGGGACTTGTAGGGATTGGAGTCGAATCGTGACAGCATTTGCCATGGAATGGCTCGAAATCGGGGAATATATGCCTAAGAAGGTTGCCCGTGAAGAGGGCAGTAAATCTGGCGTGGAAAAGGGAAAAAGGACCGAGCTATGAGTACATGAGCAATGATGATTTCTCTTTCCGCACAATATGAGGTGCTTGGTGGGATTGATAGATGTGATCTGAAGGACATCTTGATTGAAGCGGGATTCGTCTGGCAAATAAAACCGAGCTCAACAGACATTACATCAAACAGTCCCTGCCATCACGCACTTCAGAGCTGGTGGCGTTAAGCAGTGCGGTAAGCTCGAGAATAGCTTCCGGGTCAATACAGTCAAAGATTTCACGTTAATAGGACCGTTGCAACTCTTCTTGTACAAACACTGCGCGCTGCTGATGACGATACAGGGTAGCTGGGGGATATTGAGACCCACTACTCCAAGGATTGACCAATTGGCATCAGTTTCCCAGCCAAATAGACTCCAAGCTGTCCTCAACAGCAACTCCGGTCCTCGAAGCTCCATCACCACCTCACTTCAAGATGCGCTTCCTACCTTCCTTCGCTCTTTTGGCGAGTGCCGCCAGCGCCGCCTCAACCTGGTCCTTTTCTGATGGCGCAGTCGAGGTCGCCAGCAAAGGCTCGGTCTCCACCTCCTACATCTTCGCCGACGTTCAAGAAACCGTGCAGCTCGGCCAAGCTGACAGACTAAAGGTCTCGCTCACGGCCAAGGATGGCAGCAAGCCAAAGAGACCGCACCAGGCATTCCTGATGCTCAAGGAGAAGCACACCGGGCTCGAGGCGCCCTACGCACTGACACTGAAGGAGTCCGGCAAGGGCACTGTCGAGCTTGTACGTCATCCCTCCATCTGCGTCGTCTCAGGGACTAATTGTGTAGACGCAAAAAGATCTTCCCATCCAGCTCCTTACCTCGACCGACCCGCTCGAAGCCTCGTTGGTAATTGGCTCTTTTGGCTCGACAAAGGGTGCCGTGAGCCACGCCTTCAACGTTGCCATTCTCGTCGATCCCAATGTCCCCCGACCGCAGTACGAGGCGCCATTGCGATATGGCAAGAAGCCCGAGATCCACCACATCTTCCGCGATGATCCCAAAAGCCCTCCCAAGATAATCAGCCTCGTATTCGCGCTGGCTGTCGTAGCCACGATTCCTCTCGTCTTGCTCGGGGTATGCATCAGAACCCGGAACTCAATACACGGCTTGCTAACAAGATACAGTGGGCTGCCATGGGCGCAAACCTGGACCACGCCGCGAAAGCCGTTTCGGGCTCAGCCTCGCACATTCTGTTCTTCGGGTCCATTGTCGCTATGGAGGGGGTATACTTCCTGTACTACAGTGGGTGGAAGCTGTTTACTGTGCTGCCCTTTATGAGCATAATTGGGCTTGTGGCGTTTCTGAGCGGAAGCAAGGCACTCGGCGAGGTGCAAAAGAGTAGACTTGCTGGTGAGAGATGATGTATCTTTTCGTCCACTGATCAGGCTTAAGTTGCATTGGGGCTTTCAGAGCTGAGCCTCGGCTGCGGACAAAAAGGTGCATGTAGGCGCATCTGCTTGCAGGATCACATGTGCCGTGAAACCAAAAGGCATAGATAGCAGAGTTAAACATACTGGCTTTCTCGGCGATTTTCAAGATCTTCAAGGCTTGATTTACTCATCGTGGCTGAATGTCCACGCGTACGCACATCATAGTGATCACTTGAGGACCATTGCTTTGTAGAGCTTCCAGTTCTCGGTCCATAATAGTAGCCGGCCCGACGTCATTGCAACCGAGACCAACTGCCGGTATCTCACTGTGCCTGAATAACATTTCTCAGCCTCGTCAGCTTGACTCTCTCACATCCGCCTTATCTTTGCATTCTATTCTCCACACTCTGTCCTTTCCCATTCAGCTCACCACCCTAGTGACGCCGCATCGCATTCGACCCACCATGGCAAAAAGGTATGCGCTCCCTGAACGCGCCACTTGTCTATACCTCGCATTGCGTCTGGCGCCGGTTGGAGGAACTGAAGCTGATGCTTTTCAGACTACATCCTAAATTCCCCATGATTGAGGAGACATTGAACCACCCCGCCTATCCATCAACAATATGGCTACTCGAGCCCCATCGCCAAGGCACGTTGCCTGTGGCTAAAGATCGAGGAGGGCCAGTCAACATCGCGTGGGAGATCCATGGCTCAGGACCGACAAAGATTTGTGTATGTGCTTGAAGCCTCGCATTCATTCCAACCCATGCTGATACGAAGCAGTTCATCATGGGTCTAGCTGGCGTGACGGCATCGTGGCAGCGACAGACAAAGTACTTTGGTCATGAACGCGGCGATACATACTCGGTCCTTATCATCGACAACCGCGGCATGGGCGCATCTGATAAACCTGTCGCTCGCTATTCCACCTCGGAGATGGCACTTGACCTCATTGAGGTCCTTGACCATGTGGGCTGGACATCATCGCGGGAAGTGAACGTCGTCGGGATCTCTTTGGGCGGTATGATCGCTCAAGAGGTCGCATGCGCCATTCCAGAAAGGCTCGCTTCGTTAAGCCTAGTAAGCACAAGTGCCGAGGTGCAGAATACTCAAGGCTATCTCGACTGGGCCAAGGAACGACTGGGGTTTGTGGTCCCGAAGAGTCAGGAACAGGCAATCGTCGACACAGCGAGGAAGATCTTTGTGGATGAATGGTTGGAGGCCCCTGACGCGGAGGAGCCACCATCCCCCGAGTCGACTCCCCGATGCAAAGCGCCGCCCGGTGGGAAGTACTTGTTGTTTGACAACAACTTTCAACGCTTCCAGGCACAAGAAATAAACAAAAGGCGACACCCGCACTACTGGTCTACCCCGGGCTTTCTTTGCCAGCTCATCGCCGCTGGATGGCATCGCAAGAGTGATGCGCAGCTGAAGGAAATGGCTGATAAGGTTGGGCGAGAGAGAATCATGGTAATGCACGGCAACACTGATAAGATGATCATTGTGTCCAACGGCCAAAGACTTATCGACATTATTGAGCCTGACACGGGACTGATTGTAGACGGCATGGGTCACGCACCCGTGATGGAACGACAGAAATACTTTAATGAGCTGCTAGAGGAGCGCTTGAAGCATTGGGGACAAGTATAGTAGGTCCATCGCATAAAATGTTTTTTTTTTCCATAGAATGGTATAATGATGAGATGCCTAGAGCATGATGAAACCGATGCCACTAAGGTTCTTCTCATCGAGCTGATTCCTTTCGTCGACACCACCAGCGATAGGGCGCGCGCGGTAGTTGAACAGGTAGTAGTGCAGTTGTCCGTCACCGCCGCCGAACTTTTGCTGCTCCAGGAAGAGCCCGTTGTCCATCAACGAGAGCGCGTTGAAGACGTCGAATTTGAGGTTCTTGGCCAGGATGAGTGCGTCGTGCACCAGCTCGTTCATCCTCGCGGCATGCGCCTTGCGATCGTACGGCGTGGTCATTGCCGCTTCCGTGCCGTAGTACCAGAGATACGCCACACGGAGTACGCTGTGCTTGCTGTTGTTGATGACAGACGACTCGATGCAGTTGAAAGAGAAGAAGTCGGTGATCTTGCCGTTGCCGTCGACCACGACATATGACCACACAACCTCCTCACCGCCCTCTGGAGTCTTTGGCACCAGCCAATGAATAGCTTCTTCTCGGGTGAACTGAGGAGCCATGTCGAATCTTGACATGTATCGCTCAAAGAGGGGCATGACCTCATCAATGTCTTTCTCTGTCATTTTGCGGAGACCCTTTGTGGATGTGGTCTCAGGAAGGGCGTACTTGCGGACCTGGTACTGGGGTTTGCTGCCAGGCGGCAAAGGGCTGAAGCCGCACTCGTATAGCTTCTGCCAGTTGAGGCTGCGGTGGAAGTAGCGGCACGTGCTAACGGGTCGAGGAAGGACAATGCCGGCGGTGTGGACGCCTTGCCAGATGCCGTTGAGATTGCTGATGCGAGTGATCTCCTTGATGAGGACAGGCGCAAGACGCTTGCCGCGGAGCTTCTTGTGAACGACAAGGAAGTTGACCTCGGAGCAGAGTACGACCTTGTCGCGAACGCGGACGTGCGCTGGAATGGCGGAGATGTAGGCGACCAGCTTGCGCGACTGCGTGGCCCGAACGCCGACGTGGTATCGCTTGTGCCAGCCCGGCGACATCATGGCCCTGGACTCGTTAGCTTGGTCCACATCATCTCAGTGAGGTTCTCTTACCAGCGCAAGAAGGAGGGCGAGTAGTTGAACCGGAACATGGCACCGTCATCTTCGACATAGTGACCGTTCAGCAGCTCGTACACCTCCTTGATCTCGCCATCGTCCATGAGGTCCATGGTCACCCATTCGAACCCAGGCACCAGCGCCGCTTGCTCAGTCGAGACGTCTTCCACCTTTTGCACCCTGATGGGGCCCTCCTCGAGCTTGTCATCCTCGTCAAACTTGGGCACGGGCTGAGTTTGCCAGAACTTGTATGCGCCCATCTCCTTGACGTTCTTCCCACTGGCGGCAAGACCGGTCATAATGTCGCGCATGTTCATCTTGCTGAGCTTCTCAGCCGCGGCTTCGGGGTTGGCGTCCAGCTCGGCGGCGAGGGCTGGGTTCAGCGACAGGAACTCTTGGGCTTGTTGCGGTGTCAACTCCCCAAGAGCCTTTTGGATGTTCTCCTCCTTCGTGGAAGATTTTCCGGTCAGGAGATCCTTGGCCTTCTTACGCTTGGACTTCTTTTTCTTCTTGCTGGAGCTCGAACCTGCCTCGCCGGCAGCGGGCGCGGCCCCGTCGTCTTCGGAGGCATCATCCTCGTTCTCGGACTCGAGCGCGACGGATTTGACCTTTGCGTCGATCTCGTCGACCTTGGGCTCGACTGGCTTGGACTCTTCAGGCGGCATTGTGGCAGTGGCTATCGGGTTGGGAGAGTGAAGAGAAGGTAAAACAGGAAAGCTGCCCCAGACGGCGTTGGTGGGGTGTTATGTGACAGCTGTCTGTCAGGCATGGCGGGGTCACGACGGAGAAGATCTGCGATTGCGCGCATGATGCATGATGATTCCCAGCATCTTATTTATATGATCCATTTATGTTGATCTTGTGACCTTCCGATGTCTACTTGTACATGAACGATCATATTTTTGTCTATAAAGGTGAAAGTCATGAATGCAAACCCCAGTGCCATGAGCCATGAGGCCAACATTGCCTCGCACTATACCGATGCGTCTCAAATGTTGTCGTACGCTGCGAGTGAGTAGCTAAGCGTAGGCTGTCCCGTACAGGTCGAAGGATCTCATGATGGCTAAGGAAACAGGCGCGTACCCCATGATGTTGTTGTGACCTGTATCGTAGTCAGCTCGAGACTCTCGGGCAGGTCTCGACATCCTTACCTCCATATGGAAACATCTCCTGACGAACAATGATATTAGGCGTGGATTTCCACGTCGTAACGAATGCGTCCTCGCTCTTACGAACTGTTCGTTCCTCTTTCCACTTCAAGAATTCATCATCATCGGTGATCCCCACCGCTGCGCAGACAGCTGCCTTAAAGAGCTTGTCATCCTCCGTGCACGGGATATCCTTATCATTCTTGGCGTGGACCAGACTCAGACGCAGCCTCGTCTGAGTTTTGTCGACAATTTTGCCTAACCGGTCTGCTGAATTCCACTTGTCGACAACAAACCGGTGCAGCAGCTTCAACAGCCACGGAACGTACCGGAAAGGGGCGAGAACAGGCACGACTCCGACGATACGATACTCGCTGAGCATTGTGGCCAAGTCGCTGAAACCTGCTACGAGAACGATGCCCGCAAACTCAGTGTTCTTGGAGTAGTACTTCTCCGCGACCCCACTGACCACAGCCGTACCAAGACTCTGACCAAGCAGCACGATCCGGGATGAAGGGATGCCCGCTACCTTTGTCGCCCACTCCACCAGTGCCGACGCATCTTCGATGAGGCCATTCTCACTGGGCGATCCAGATGAGTGTCCAAAACCACGATAGTCGATGGCTACGACATGATATGACGATGTATCCGTCAGGGCATGGTAGCTCATTGGGCGGATGGCTTGTGCGATATGGCCTGCATTCTGCCAAGGAGTTAGAGTATGCGAAACCAGTACAATTCTGAACAAGCTCTTACCCCGTGAACTATTCAGAAGTTAGCAGGCGCCTCGCTCGTTCTCATCAGGGGCGTTACAATACAGCACCAGCCGAGCCTCCGGATCATCCTTCAGTAGACGGAATGACTCAGTGGATGTGAAATCCGCTGCGAGGCCATGCTTTTGAACTGAAACAGTCGATTCGTTCTTAAGGTACAGCGGGAGCGGTAAGATATGCCACGCATAAATTGTCTCTTCATCGCTGGTAGTCAGCTTGAATGGCGTCACCTGGCCTTTGGCAAATCCCCATTTCTCAGGTGTATTGACGTCGTTCCAAAGTAAAGTGTGAATGTTGTGAGCATACAAGAATCTGGTGCAAGATTTTAGTCTGAATACCCTTCATCACAGGAAAGATACCCGACTAACTGCTTCTGGAAGAACGGTATAACGGCGAGGAAGATGAAGAGCAAATAGAGCCCAAGTAATGCTGCAAGCAGGTACAGAACAGTCAAAGCAGCTGGATGGTAACTCGCTGACATCGTTCCAGAGAGTGCAAGACAAAGATGTCTGCTAGAGGAACATGACGAAAACTGTATAAACGATCGTTGTTGTGCCGATGTAAAGTTGAGGATGAGGGAGATGCAAGGCTCATGCAGCACTCTGCAGACTGCCCGCCTTAACAGTGAGTGGTGCATGTCACTAGTTGGACTGTTAGGCTTCTCCAGTCGATGAGCTCACAAGATTAGGCCGTGTGTATCTGACATTGATAATTTGTCGATAAGGCTGTTCCAAGTTCAAACTTTTGAGAAGAACACCCAGAACCCCTGTGCAGCAATCGTCATGAATATAGGTCGACGTAATGTCGTGCCACTAACACAATCCACCAACGCGCCGCCAATCAGGCGCGTCTCTTTGACCTCAGTGGCTCATCTCGAGACGCAATCCGAGTCCAAGTCACCCTTGACCCATCCCATTCTAGCTTACGTTTCTTTTGCTCAACTCCACCGAGCACAGCTTACGTTTTTCGCTCGCTACTATCACCAGTCGTTCGTGTACCTCGCTTGCGATCCGCGGCAGACCATGTTCCGTCCTAGGTCTTGTACGTGACGAAGACACACGACCCAACACCTCTGGCTCCAATCATCAGCATTCACGACATGGAGCGCAAGCGCAAGCTGCCCGCCCGGGCGGCAGCGCGTGTTGAAAGCGAGGCCAAGCGGCGCCAGTCGACGCCTCGCGAGAAGAGCGAAGAACCCACGCCGGCACCGGTGGTCGAGGAACCCCCAACCCAACCGTCGCTACCTCGCTCCATACAACCAGGCAAGCCACTGCCAACCGTGGAAGATGCACAACCGGACGATCTGTCGATAAAGGAGTACCAGTCAATAAGCGAAAGGTAGGCGCCACGGAATCTTGTGTGGCCGACCCAACTAATGAGAGTGCAGCGGCGTCCTGGCCGAATCAATATCACGATCGCGACACAAATGGATCAATGATGGCTTATTTGAGAAATATTGGACGAAACCGCACAAGCGGAAAGGAGTGGTGAACGAAGACCCTAAGAATCCGCCAAAAGAGAGCATGGTCAAGGTCGGGACCGTCCAAATCACGATCGAGCCTCACATGATCGAGGCGACCATGTACACAGTCAAGGACCCAAAGAAACCAGTACCGCCAGCCGCACAACCGCCGAACCAGGCACGGCCTGTAATACAATATGGGCCGCCAAACGGCATGATGCCACCGCCGCGGACGGGGACGCCTGGCGCTGTATCGCCAGCTCCTGAGGGGAAACTGCTCGCGCCCAGCCCAGCACCCAGCAATGCGCAGCCTCCCCAACGGTCGCCTTCAGTAGACCAAGGGACCAGGGCACCGGCGTCTGCGTCGCCGGCTCCCAGCTACCCGCCTCGACCGGTTGCTATACCTGCTTCCAAGCCCACGCCGCCAACGACGAATACAGGGCCGACGCGCCCGCCCCAGGCCACTACCCCATCGGCGCCAGCAACACCTGCGATAATACCACCTTTGGCACCCAATGCAGGTCCAGGGAAAGATCATGCGCCATCGCATACGACTGGCGGCCCTCAACCAGTAGGCGTAGCAGCGCCCCCCGCCGCTGCGGCCCCAACAACATCCAAAACCGTCACGAATGATCCGGTGATTGCGCTTCTGGCTCAGAAGGCTGGGGCCGACGACGAGCTGAAGGATCTAATGAGGCGAGTGGCGCATAACCAGGCGACGACGGCGGAACTGGCCAAATTCCAGGGGATTATTGATCAGCTGAATGCCGAGTACAAAAGAGGAGGGGGCCAGCAAGGGCCCTCGGCTGATCGTTTGCTCGTGGACCAGAGGACAGTTCGGTATTTCGCAGACGAAGTGTGCGCCATTCTGGATATTGTTCTCGCTTCGAATCCAGATCAGCGAGCAGCAGACCTGAGACCACCACCACGCAGTGATCCCCTCGTCGTGCTTCTCGTCAAGCGCGCTCTGGAGCACAAACCGACGAGGGAAATGTGTCGGCGCATTGTGGCCGAGAAGCCAAACTATACCGATGCAACTGACTTGAAGACGATCCTGGACCGGCTTCTGCAAGAATCGAAGACACCGTCGCGAGGAACACCCGCGCCCGCGCAGCCCAAGCCAGCTGCACCAGGCCCAAACGTGGCAGCGAACGGCTACGTCAACGGGCACCCCCAGGCACATGGAGCTACACATCCCTCACAGCAAGCGTTGCGCTCAAAGGGGCCGCCGCCTGCGCCAAAACAGGATATTTCTGCTGTGGTATTCGACTTTGGCGGTGGCGATCGATTCTTATTCCCGAAATTCAGCATCTTAGAGTATATACCAACACCTGTCGGACAACAGGTGATCGCATCGTTCCTGATCATCCGGAAGGGGAGCACCATCGAGTACGGCGGAGACCCCGCGCTTGACTACTACCAGCCTGTAACCATTCGACTGTACGCACACAGCGGACGCCACCTGGAGAACCTGGCTAGGGTTGTGGCGCCTCCAGCGGAGGTGCGCGCTTACATGGAGAATGTCATGGACAACATGACCAGAGCCGAGTATATCCTACTTGCCATGCGCCTGCCCCGCTTTACGAAAGACGAGGGTGATTCCAGCGGCAACCGCAGCGAGGACGCCAAGGCTGCACGGGGCACACCGCTGACTGAGAAGGAGCTGGAGAAGTCGACTGTTGCAAAGCCAGAGGTTCTGTGGACTACGCCGGCGGCAGTCAAGTCGGAAAAGTCCTCTCGCGCCATGAAGTCGAGAGAGGCAGAAGAGGAGACGCAGGCCCAGTACCGGCGACTGATCAACTCGATAGCGGCCAAAGACTCGGCCGCTGTGTGATAGGGGTCGGTGTGTGACTATCATTACTACATGTATCATTGTCAAGAGGGTACGGGTACGGGCTGGGACCACACATGGCGTCATCTTGGGAACGAAGACTGAACAAGCGACTGATTTACATAATACCCTGATTTTGATAACATCAAGCAGTGGCATTCAAAGGTTGTGCTCTCTGTAATTGTGAAGTGAAACACCCAAGGCACGCGAAATGAGACGGAACGTCCCGAGTGGCATACGAGAGAGGTCTGCTGACATTGGTCCTTGACGGAACCACTCGCCCAGGACGAAAGATTGCCATTCGAGCTTGGAATTCTGGCAGGGCAAATCAGTGTTGCATCCTCAGACGGAGAGTTGGCCAATGAAACATCAGAATACGTAGTACTCGTTGATCACGAGATAGTCTAGAGCTTTGTCTTGGTCTGGGATAAACTCTCAACATCATGCGTGAACAATGGGGTGGCTATTAATTATCCGTACTCCGTACTCCGTCATGCTGAGAAAACACCCATCACACCTTGCGGAGGAGGAAGTATGTGATCACATTCCCCACCACTAAATTATGATAGTAGCTGCAGCCGATGGGCCTAGGATTAAATGTCCGCAGACAAAGTTCACAGCCGCACAAGAAAAGGTCATTCTTTGGAGGGTGGTTACGTACGTACCTACCTAGGGCATCATTAAAGTCGCGGAAAGTGGAGACAGAACCAAAGGCACGACAAAGATGTAAGTTCATGTTGGAAGGAAATCAGGTAACTAACTCTTATAGCTCATCGAGAACGGATGATCCCTATATGTTCATGACGCTCCTGTATAATGCAATGTTTTCGCTATGCCTCCCACAATTCTCGTCGTCCGCGCCACCGGCAACACTGGCCGAAGTGTCGTTCAGACCCTGTCCAAACTCCTGAGCACCAGAAGCACTCTGTCGGGTCATAGAATTCTTGCCCTTACACGCTGAACCAATGGAATAGTGGCGAAGAAGTCTGGCTGAACTGCCCGGCGTCGAAGTTGCCGAGCAGAATTGGGTCGAAATCATTGCCGAATGGCTCCGCCAACACGGTGTAGTCAGGGCGATCATTGCATTGCACAACCAGCCAAATCAATTCGCCGAAGAATCAACTTTCCAACTCACTGCTCTCCACGCCGGCGCTGAGTATGTTGTGCGGATCTCAACGACCGCTGCGAATGTCCGCCCGGACTATCCGGCCTACTACCCGCGAACGCACTGGGCAATCGAGGCTCTCTAAGCTCGCCCACTTCTATACAACCTGATATTTTCCTCGCATTCTACATTAGCTCCGCGGTAGAGCTTGTCAAGAACTACCGTAAGACGGGGCGTAAGACGGGGGAGCTGGATACATTGAGGTTGACCGCATCAAAGGACGCGCCCATCGGTGTCGTTGATGCCGATGATGTCGGGACGCTGGCAGCTCAGCTATTGGCCGAGAAGAAAGTCTCGAGACACAACGAAGCCAAGTATGTCGTGAACGGACCGGAGGACATCACGGGTCAACAGATCGTCAAGATGGTCGAGGACCACATTGGCACCCAAGTCAAGGATGTTTGGTACAAGGACATTTCTTTTGTAGATCGGATGGCTGCCCACAAGCTCCGAGTCACGCAACATCATCTTATCTATCAAACAGGCCCCGGACACAGCATGGGCTGGAGAGTGCACAGCTTCTACGACCAGCAAAGAAGTCTTTGAGCTGGCTGCACCCGAGAAAACCTTGGCTAAGACTTTCCAAGCTTTGTTGGAATCCTGATGAGCTTTTTCGCTGTAGTACGAGCCCGGGGTTGGCACCATAGTCGCTCCGACGTGGAACTCTCACTATTGAGTACATGTAGAAGACAGTACCACATGTTCACTTTCCAAGCTTTTGACAAACGGAGTTTAGATTTTACATAAAGTCAGTATTTTTATAACCCCTATCAATAAAAGTGTTCTATGAAAATAGTTACATTTAATAGGTAAGTATCCAAGGCTTATCCCGAAAGTGCGGGGTTAGTTATGTACAACCTTGTCGAGGGAGGTATGCTGATGGGTACCACTATACCTGCAAGGGACGTTATGTCCGCCTGGGTTCCTGGTAAGCTCGAAGTGGACGCACTGCACCCAACACCATTTCACCAAATCGCATGTATACTAAGCTCGAGTTGCTTCTTGATTAACCCACCGATGTAGAGAGCGGGAAACACTCACTATGGGCCAGACACTGTCCGGTGAGCCGGATGAGCCTCGCTCGCGCGAGCAGCTCGTCCAGCAGCTAGTGAGCCTCGCTTCCCAGCTTCAAGCCATGCGCGCACGCTCACCCATCTAACTGTTTCCTAGGCGGCAAAATTCAGAAACACATGTCTTACCAATCTAGAATTTTACTCTTTTCAGGAAGTCTTCAAAACGCTTGCCGATCAGCAGGGTTCCATCAAGTACCTCAAGGAAGACACTGTGTCGCGCTTCCTCGAGATACCCGACATCCTCGGCGCGTCCCCAATCGTGTTCCAGATGGTGTCTCACCTCGGCTCTTTTCCATTCTTGCAGGATGCACCGGCTGTTTTGGAGCTGCCGCAGATGATCATGGTGGTTGTCATCATGACTGAACGCCACAGGAAGGTCTTAGCCAAGGGCTCCGATCGGACAAAATTGCTCTTCAAGAGCTTGGCAGTCTATGATCGGAAGGTCAGCCAAGCTTCCGAACAAGAAAAGAAGGAAAATTTCCAACCCAAACCTAGCGCGGGTGGATTTGCCATCGACGCGGCGGGTGATGAGTATGGTGAGGATATTGAGGAGGAAGACGACGACCTCGTCTTGACAGCGCTCGAACTGCTGGACATCAATGACGCTGTCAAGACAAGCGACCAACCTGAATTCCATGGAGCAATGATTCCAACAGATAACTTCAGGAAGTTGTTACTGCTCTTGCTGTTGACCGCCCCCCTCGACCCGCAGGAGAGCTTGTCACAATACTCGGCACATTTCACAGGCGAAAATCTGGACAGGCTGAGGATGACGGCAGAAAACATCTTGGCTTCATTTGTAGATGTCGAGAAAGCACCAGGGATCAAGCTGAGTCGCTTCAGACATGTCATCCCAACGGCAATGCCGAATCTCTTTAAGGGCTTCAATGGTTTGTTCGACCGCTTTTTATTTTCCAAGGATCTGGACCTGTCTAAAAGACAGAACGATGACGAGAAGACTACACTGAAGGTCGCACAGCCATTGTTGCAGGATCAAGGGGAGATCCTTCACGAGCATACACTATCGCAGTTGTCGCTATTCCTGCCGCCAAAAGACTTGTTCAGGCGAGTCCGTCTGTTGTATTCGGGCAACGAGCATGGCTTCTCCATGGGTAGCTTTGAGTCCAAAGTATTCAACTGGAGGGCGCCGACTCTGTTGCTTGTTCGAGGCAGTCGTCTAAGCGCCATCCCCGATGGTGGACAAGAAGCAGCCTTTGCGGAAGCCCTTCCGCCCAAGAGGTTCCCTGACGGAGGGAAAGGAGACAACCTCACGTTTGGTATCTATGTTCAAGAGCCTTGGAGATACACGCACAAGGAATGCTTTGGGGGTTCTGATTCCGTCCTGTTCCAGCTCGAGCCGGTGCACGATGTTTTCCAGGCGTCGACGATCAACAAAGACTGCGTGACATTCACCAAGCCACCGAGCAACGAACCTCTGCTGGCATTTGGAAGTCCGCACCCCAAGCCTAGCAAGGCAAATCGACGGGAAGTCAACATACCGCTGGGTCCTGTGTCTCTGGTCTTGGGAGACTCGTTCGAGTTTGGTGTATTCAACCATGACTACAATTCACGAGGTGGCGCGTTCCACGGCAGCAACATCAGGCGTTATGACTTTCAAGATCGGTTCAGGGTCGACAGTCTGGAGGTTTGGGGCTGCGGTGGAGATGAAGAGGCCAAAGCCCAGGCTGAGCGATGGGCTTGGGAGGCGAGAGAAGTAGAGGCCCGGAGGAAGATCAACATGGGTACGGGTGACCAAGAGGCTGACAGACAGTTGCTGCAAATGGCTGGGATTATCGGCAGCAACAGGAGTGGAGGATCGATGGCATGATGGAGGTCAACAATCGGAAAGGCGTCTGGAGTCACAGCAATGACTTATGCTCATGAGTGCATTTATGTGAACAGCGGGAGATCTCTTTGCCCACGCTACATGTATCAAGCCTGACAGCCGTATACTACATATCCTCTAATCATACACAACAGGAGGGACGCCTCAAGCAGTCTTACTTCTTGGGCCCATCCTTGTTTTGTGACGACATCATCTCGCCCAACGTCCCTAACGAGCTCTTCGGGTTCCTCTCCTTGATCTCCTTCTCCACATTGTCTGTGACTTCCTCAGCCTTCGCCTTTGCTTCAGCGGCGGCCTGCTCGCCCTGCTGCCACAAGCCCATTTTCCCGAGGATGCCGCCAGTGCCTTCTGTGTTTCCGTGCTCACCGGCGGCGAGCTCCTCCTGCACCTTGTTCTCGGCTTGGGCGGCGCCCTCAGCGGCCTTCCTCTGCAGCCTCCTCTTGAGTTTCTGCTCCTCCTCGTCTCGTGCCTCCAGCTCGCGGATCCACTTTTGCCTCTTCTCCTCGGCATCTCTCTGCTCCTTCAGCTTCCTGAGCTCTGCCGTCTTCTCGCGATCCTTGCTGTAGTACATGCTGCCGGCGACCATGGCGACGACGGTGAAGCCCTGGGCCATGACACGGGCGCGGAACATGCGGTTGGCCTGGTGTGAGTCGCCCTTGCGCAGCGCCCGGTACGCATTGACAAAGGCAAAGACCGTGAGGCCAATGCCGAGTGGGACGAGGGGCTCCTCCTTGACCTTGCGGACGACTTTTCGCAGGGCCTTTTCTTGGTGGAAGTCGGGGTTGGAGTCGAAAGACGAGGGCATTTGCCCTGGGCCGAGCTCGGGTGGACGATCAGCCATGACGGCGGTTCTATGAGCGCAATTGGTGTACGTTTGGCCCTGCGGAGAGCATGTACGTAGGAAGAGGAGAGGAGTTGGCGAGCACACGCAGAGGGTGGCATCATACATTTCGAGATCAGGCGCAGCGGGCCCACATTAATTATCGAGAAGCTCCTGCGGCTTCGGTAGGAGCTTCAGGGTCTTCGACGAGCCACGCACGGACGTCCGACCCAAGTTGACACTGGTCCCGTCATTCCTCCATCTTCCAACGCATCATTCTGAGCGCAGCCCCTCAAGACCAACGCAATCCTCGAATCGCTGTCACTCACTCGACTATTCAATATTCACCATGCGCGGCTAGCCACCATGTGGTTCTCGACACCCTCCGTCGAGAGTATAACGCGGCCACGCGTGGCTGTCGCACTCGTGTCAGCCTTCGCCGCCGCATCGGCATCATATTACCTCCATCAGCAAAGTCATTACGCGCAAGTTGAGCTGCCCGGTGCTGGTTTACATCGCAGAAATGCTGTGCGCCGTAACCGCCGATCGCAAAGACACGAGACCGAGTCGAGCTCCGAATCCGACGTGGCGGGAGACGAGAACATTGACATCTCGCCCCTTCACGATGGCGAGACTGATGTAGGAGATGGCGCTGAGGAATGGGATGCTCTGGGCCAGCTACAGCCCAACCAGCGCGCTGGCCACAACATCGTGAACTTGCTCTTCCGTGTCTCCGAGGACAACGCCAGGCGGACAGGATGCGTGCACCGTGGATGCCAATGTAACTCGTGTGGCATGGTGCCGATCCGTGGAATCCGCTATCGATGCGTCAACTGCGACGATTTCGATCTCTGCGAGACGTGCGAGTCCCAGGGTATGCACATCAAGACGCATATTTTCTACAAGATTCGTGTCCCTGCCTCGTCCCTCGGTCCCAAGAAGATGCAGCCTGTCTGGTACACCGGAGACCCCGACATGCGCCGGAAAACCCTCCCCAAGAATCTCATCGCCACGCTATCGCGCGAGACCGGTTTCGAAAGGCCGGAACTAGAAGCTTTCTGGGAGCAGTGGACTTTCATGGCGAATACCGAGTGGAGAGACGACCCAGACGGCCTGGAACTCGCCATGGACCGAAAGACATTTGAGCGTTGCTTAATCTCGAGTGGAGTATCACAATACGCCGCCCCGAACCTGATCCACGATCGAATGTTTGCCTTTTACGATTACAACAACGATGGACTGATTGGTTTCTCTGAATTCCTGCGCGCCCTTTCGTATAGGAAGCGTCGCGACAAGCTGCGCAAGGTCTTTGAGGGCTACGACATTGACGGTGATGGATATGTCAGCCGCCGAGACTTTCTCCGGATGTTTCGCGCATACTACGTCCTCTATAAGGAAATGCACAAGAATATACTGGACGGGCTCCAGGACCAGTTGTTGGCGAGCACGGAGGCGCAGCAACTCATTGCCAGTCGCCAGCCGCTGAGCAGTTTGTTTGGTCGCGAGGGTCGTGTGCCGCATGGCGAGCGGACGCTGCGGCTGGACGGGAAGCAGCTTCGCACAGACGGTAGTGTTGAGATTGAGCCAGGCTTTGATCCAATCGCGCCTAACGGGGGCGACACGGCCAGCAGGCAGGATATCTTGACAAGCCTCTTTGCCGTGGACTCGACACCTCGTGAGAGGAACCGATGGAGAATCATTGCTAGCACAGGGAACAACCCAGATGGGACGCAGACCTTTAGGGATGTCGATGCAGACAGACCATATCTCGTGACGCTGATGGACCCACCGCTCACTCTGGACGACCTTCCTGATGCCATCATGGCTGGCCATACTTTAGAAATTGAGGATATGGACGAGGATGACAAGGATGACTCAGATTCAGAAGTGGCTCCAGAACCCGAGGTCGAGGGCTTGCGGTATCCTACCGAAACAGAAGAGAGGATCAAAGCGCTCTCGTATAACCGACGTCGCATACCACAGCTCGAGAAGAGAAAACGAGACATGGCGCGAGACCAGCTGCACGACCGCTGGAAGCGCCGCCAATTCTATCTGGACGAGGAAGAAGGTGGCGAGGCACCTTGGGACTGGGAAGACAACGAAGATATTTTCCTCGAGCACGAGCATGCCCGCAACAATCCGAAGACAACGGAAACGCTAGACACAATGTCGTGGGCTGACAGCAAGGTACACTATGCGGACCGTGAAGATCCGGACGCAACATCCAGCCCCTCAACCTCATCAACAAGCATTCCAGATCGCTGGAGCGAGCCCGACGTCCCTCAACAAGAGCAAGATGCGGGCAAGGAAATCCTGTACCAGATCACTCAGCAGGCCTTCAATGAGCTCCTGGACAACATTTTCAAAACCGCTGAGAGCAATGCTGTCGAGGCCAGAGAAACTAGGCAGCAACGCGAGGAGTACAAGAAAGAGATCGAGGAATATGCAGCCCGCAAATTAACTGCCGGCAATCAGGAAGATGCCACCGAGATTGATTCAGACGTCAAGGACCTTGTCGCCGACCCAGAACCTCGGGGCGAGAAGGCCCTCACAAAGCTGTTGGAAACCAGCGGTTACACAGTTTACCGAGATCCCGAGCCTGAGTGCAGAAACGCCTGCGATCTTGGCAACGTAGCCAGGGACGAGGTGAAATCAGCATCAGCCGCCATCGCAGATCCGACCATGCCCCAGAACATGCCCAGCACTCTCACCTGGGCTGATTTCTACAAGCAGACGCACGGCATTCAGAAGGTCTATCCGGTCACCTGCAAGATTCAGGAGGAAAAGCCTACAGACGAGCAGCTCGACAAGTGGCTCAAGCTGAACGAAACAGAGCAGCAAGCGCTTGCGCGTGGAGGTTGGGGCCGTCTCAACTACGCCGAGTTTGAGGAAATCTACCGCAGCCAAGAGCAAAAGGGCAACCGTCTTGACTACGTCGGAAGCTGGATCGACTTTTCCATCCCCTAGAAACGGAGCGAGTTCTTCGGTCCGCAGACGGAAGACTAGTCTATGACGCCGCCGCCCGTTGCACTCGGTCGTTTCAACAATGTCTTTGGCGACCCGGGCTATGCGACTGAAGAGGACTGCAGTGACAGTGAGAGCAAAAGCGAGGATGAGGAAGACGAGGACTTTGACATATGGGAAGATGTCGAGGACGAGCTGTAATGATCACTGGGAAAACATGGCTCTATACCTAGACGGAAACTTCATTGCATGGCGTTGGTATTTCTATATGGACATTCCTAACTGCTTACAATCAAGTATCGTATAGCATCCAAATAAAAAAAACCCATTTCAGGAAGTCTCGTGCATTATGTCCCTTGAGGGCAAGTCTTCTTTTGACTTTGGAACCCGCCAACAAACGCTCTGAAAGCCGCGACCTACGATTTCACGGAAAGTATCACAACCTTGTCTGTACGTGTTACTTTTAACTTGGACTCGGCAGAAGCTTCTTGAGCTCTTTACAATTCTCTCTTCCATTCCCAAAACCCAGGACAGTATTAAATGAACTCGCTCACTATGAGTCTACAGCCAGGTTAGCTTTCCACACCGAACAAAGTCCCGCATTCCCTCCAACTACATCAGCGACCATTTCTTCCAGAGCCAAAATGCTTTCTGCAGGGTGGTTTATTTTCCTGCAGATTGTCTGCGCAGTCTTCAGCGTCACCCAAATAGGGCTCATCTGGCGCGGCCACAAAAGGGTCGCGGATTTCAGGTACGTTCACCGGCCCCCCTGAAGCGGCAAAGTGGACTGGAAGGGACAGCTCACTGGTCTTCACTAGGAAGGAGAATGAAATGTTGAGAATCCGGCTCATTGAAGCTGTCCAGACCTGTGAGAGGATCGCGCTCGGGCTGCAGCAGGCGAGGCCTGCGGCTGCTGAGTGTGCTCCTACTCCAGGCTCTGCCTTCGGCTCGGCCTCTCGACCACCGCCCGCATACGTAGGATAAGAGACTCCGCGTGGCACATATTTGAGTGCCAAAGGGGAAGAGTAAACTTTATCCGTGGCAAAGAAGTTGTGTGTTGTCTTTGACACTAAATGGTGTGGCGGTTGACAGTTACGTGACACAAAGGGGGCTTGTTGCATTTTAGCAAACATGATCACCATAGCCCGAGAGCATTCTGTTCTGCGATATAAGAATGAGTCTTTCACGGGTTGCTGTGGGCACGAAATTTTACGGGATCGAGGCACTCACTGGACCTGTGATAGAGGATGATGTGGATTGGAAGAAAGTGATGTTTTGAGGCAAAGAAACCTAAACTCCAGGATTGCGTCCATCCTATGAATCATGATACCTTGAGATAGCGTACAAATCGACCGATGCTATGATAACTACTGCTTGCAGCAGTCCTTTTCTTCTTCTCCCACTCCATTAGACAGATGGGGCAGAGGAGTCCGTGCCAGCAAAGCCAAGCAGAGCATTCCAGGTGTCCGCGGTGCTCTGGTCCCTCGTGCCCAACGCCTCAATCTCCGCCTGAGCATCCTCGCAAGCCGCAATGGCCGCCTCGCTGGCGTCGCACACGTTGACCAGCTGATCGCAGATACGGTTGGTGATGATGTTGGGGTTCAGGGCTTCCTGCTGGCCCTCGGCCACGAGAGAATCCTGAGGGATGAATGTAAATTCGTCGGCAGGACGGCCATTCACGCCACCGATAAAGGCCATGGTGGGCTGGCAGACGCCAAAGTCCAGGCCAGCTGCATCCCCTGCGTCCGCACCATCGTCGGCTTCGTCATCGTCGCCGGCGGCGGGAGCCTGCACCGGACAACCGGCTGGGACCTCTTCGTCGTCTGCTTCGTCGTCGTCGTCGTCGTCCTCCTCCTCCTCCTCCTCTTCAGCACCGTCATCGGCCCCGTCATCGGCACCATTGCCGGCGCCAGCATCGGCTCCGCCGTCTTGCCCATCAAGCACGGTGTTCTCGCCCGCAGCATCCACAGCAGTGAAGCTGGTGAAGCCCTGGGCGATCATCACCTCAGCCTGGGACAGACCCTCGGCATCGAAAGGCGTGTTGAGTGACTGCGCAGACGCGGCATTGGCGACATCAGCACCGGTGACCGCTGGGTCCACGAGAGGCGTGACGCCTCGCAGCTCAGCGGTGGCGGGCAGTGCCGGGTCGGCACAGACAAAGGGCACATCCACAGCGAACGGGTTGAAGTTGGTTTCGGCGGACACCAGGCCAAGGGCTGCTTCGATGACTTGGGGATCATTGCCGAGCTCATCGATCATCTGATCAGCGATGGAAAGCTAGAGGATTGTTAGCATGGTACGCGCGCTCCGAGTGCCTCATGGCTCACCTTATCGCAAGGGCTCGACGCGGCGAGGAGAGCAGAGGGAATGGAGCCGGCAATGGTAGCCGCAACGCCGGGATCGCCAAAGCCAGCAGCGCCCAGGGCTTGGACGGCCGCAACAGGAACCTGCTCCTGGCCAAAGCGAGCCTCGGCAACAGCCAATAGGGCTGCGATGGCGACGAACTTGTTGGCAGACATTATGAATGGTTTTTTTGTTGAGGATGAAGTGAATCGTAAAGGACAGTCGTCGAGAGTTGTAAAGGATAGTAAATGTCCCGACCAGCGAGCGAAAAAGGAGGGTGATGAATAAGAAGGATGAGTTGCCTGAACTGCGAAGAAGTGAATCGATGTGAGGATGGTTGGTGGATAGAAAACTTCTCATAATCTCGCTGGGACTCAGGTCTTTATACTTGCTTTCCTGTGAGAAGTCTCGCAGTCTGCTGCCATGCTCCGAGACTTGATCCTCGTGGTTCCGACATCAGTTGAACATGAAGCTGGTGGTTTCGAACCCCAGCGACGAACATGCACGCAAAACGCCTCACCGTCGCTCATAATGCTCCGCACGGCGAGTGCGAAAGGAGAGTTGGAAAACAATTTAATTAGAGTTGTAAACAAACCAGACTTGATGGCCAGTCGTGAGTTGGGTGAAGCGCCGTCAGGGCGTCGTGCGGATCGTGTGGATGATTCGAGGCCCTTGCAAAGGTGGGCAGTGTGTCGTCTGTGGTTCAGATGGTGTCTCGTCTGCCCTGGCCCATGTAAGCCAGCCGCCGCGTGGTTGAAATCGATTGCTGCAGTATGTGATCTGTAACTTGATCGTATCCGCACTTGACACCCCGCGTGGTGGTGGTGTTGTTCATGTCGCGGGGAGACAGAGACTCGACAGGGGTATAGTCGTGAGACACTGCTCAAACGCCACGGGTCTGAACACACCGCCGGCACTGAACACAGCCGGTTCCAAAATCCAAAAGATGAAATGTAGCAGGCAAGGTTCCAATCTACTGTTAAGCGCTCATCGAGGCAATTGGGGATCCTCGTCAGGCCAAGTAAGAAAGTCTGTCCACACTAAGCCAGGCTCGCCTTCATCGGCGCGCACGTCAACCGTTGCTGAACACATCGTCGTGGGTCCATGTGTCCACAGAGCGACGAGGTCCTGGTAATTCGTATCCAGATGGTGCAGCCATTCCGCACTCTCTGCTGGGCCAGGCAATTGATGGGCCAGCGCAGCGACGTCCATCGATGCGGTCCCTCTTCTTCGCATCCTGGCGTACTCTACTGGTGTCATGCCTACACACTTCTTGAACACGCGGTGAAAGTGCCACTTGCTCAAGCCAGTGGCCCGCGCCATGTCGCCCAGACTCATGCTGCGACCCGACCCACTGACGTCGTCGCTCTTATTCATAAACTCCCTGATCTTGTAGACGGCCGTCTCCTCTGGCATGAAGCCTTCCGCGTCCGGCTTGCATCGCTTGCACGCCCTGAAGCCAGCGTCGCGAGCTTCGTGGATGCTGTCGTAGAAGGTCACATTGGCGCGTCGAGCGAGCCTTGCCTTACAAATCGGCCGACAGTAGATCTTGGTGGATCGAACGCCGTAGACAAAGGAGCCATCTGCGCTGCTGTCGCGTGATCGCACGGCTGCCCAGCGACTGTTCTCATCCGTGAACAGTGGCATGAATGACGGTGCAGGCGTAGGCGCGCCGCTAGAGGGGGTTTGGAGGCTGACGATGTTCATGTTGCCGTCAAGCGTGAGGCGCTCACGTGGGTAGATTCATCGATATGTTGGTAGTGAAATCCATCAGTGACAGCCATCTCGCGGGATCCTGCCGTCGCCAATGCGATGAACATGGTGCATGTCGAATGATTAAATGATGGTTTCTGGGTTTTCTACTTTCTGGAATCTGGAGACATTGCTTTCAAACTGGCCAATCGCGCGGCCAGTTGCCAGCTGACTCATAAGCCTGAGCACATTGGGGGCAATGCTTCTTTTGTAGGGCACGCTTGAGTCTTGTGTACGTAACGATATTGTACATCTTGGAGCAATGATTTTCCAGAACAATTTCGATGGCATCCAGAAATATCGAGAAGGCTGATGGGTTGCAACAGTCATCGTGTTTGCAACATTGAAGGTTCGTCTTACAGCCGTAGCAATAGCCTACCCTATACCTGCTCAACACCCTCCGGGGCAGCTTCCATGTACCTGTCACATATAAACTGAAGGTCTGTCGAATTGTAAAATTCGGATGATAAAAGTGATTGCGCTTTCGCTGGTTCTTGGGGCTACGCTGGCGGTCCTATTGTGGAGATAGACTTATGTTTGCGTAAATCTTATCAAGTTGTCAGTGAACTACAGCTTTCTACGGATTGAATGTTTTCAAACTTTAAAAAATCCCTTTCGATTCTTCTGCCTGTGACGATCTCTTGCCGTTTCCCTGGTACAGCGCCCACCTTAAAACGCTATATTTAAAGGATGATACACCTCATCCCTTTTGTGAAATACCCAAGTCCTGCCCAAAACCGGCCGCATGGAGTGCCCAGAAATCAGAATGAAATACCAGATCAGTTGCGGCAGACCCATAAGTATACTCTCCCTGCCCGCAATGCAAACAAACCCATGGCAATAAGGACAAAAAAAAGAAAACAGGCGAAGAAAGAGGGAAAACGAATATATCGCTGAAACAACACCCAGAAAAAGCCCCCCAGTATTCATTGAAAGTCGAAAGCCATGTCCATGTCCTCGGACCAAGGACCTCTCATGCCGACAGTGGAGAGGTAACCACCTGAAGCCGGCGGCGTGGGCAGCTCATTCATTTTGGCCATTTCCGTCCTCGACTTGACCCATAGAGTGACCTCGACGGACTCAGCCAGATCCCCAAGGGCAAGCCACGCGTTGTCTCCCGACTCCCTGGGCTTCATGGGGGCATAGTGTTTCCAGGCGCCTCGCTCATAGGCATACATCTTCTCCAGGTGCGCCAAGGGCGCATGCGAAGCCCAGTGGCTGGCCTGGCATACCTTGTCAGGCATCGGCATCATGTCGCAAGCCCATTTGGAGATGAGTCGACCAACGGCGCTGCTGTTTTGCTCGAGAAACATGAGGTGTCCGTTGCCCTCGACCCCATACCGCTCCAGTGGACAGTACTTGACGTTGACGCCCGCCTGCTTCATAAAGGCAGCCGTGGCAAAGTCGTATACGGTGTGCGAAGAGGCTTGCGCAGTGACGATGACCTGCGGCATTCGTTGAATATTGCATAGCTTGCGTATACCGCAGTTATCCACAATGTTGGTGGTGGCAACGTTGAACAAGAGGTCTGTCTGCAGCCAGAGATTCATACGGCAGCCATCACCCCTCTTCAACTGGTCGGAACTAATGTTGGGTGGGTTGGGGACCTGGAAGAAGCAGGCGTCGTCATCTTCCTCGGTTGATTCGTAGCTGAGGTGCGGTGCAAATGTCAGTGGGACGTCTGTGATCCCGTATCGGCGGATGCTAGGGTCGTATGTGACATTGTTTGAGAATATCTGATGCGGCTTGCCGTCATCACCAACAATCTTCTTTTGCACAGACCCAAAGGCTGGACCGTTCGGCTCCAGGGCTATAACACCAGCAACTCGAGTCGGGTTTGCGTCGGCGGCGATCCAGGCAGCTTGGCACCCTGATCCGTGCCCGATCAGCACCGCTTTCCCAATCTGCTCCAGAAGCTCAGTGAGGCCGTTCATGGCGTCCCTCTGGCGCTCCTTTTTGGTGGCTCTCAGTGGCAAAAGGCCACTGTAGTAGATCTCAAACGTTGGATCGCCGACTGTTCCCTTCTACACGTGGGTGTCAGCACGCTGTTTCATGACGGTTCCGATCGATCACCTACGCCTGGCCATTGACTATGGTGCTTCGCCGAAGTCCAAGCACAATCTTTCCTGTAGGGTCGATTTCGCGGGTTCGTCCACTGATTCTGCACAGTCTCCTTGGAAGGGGGAGCAGAGGTCACGGGGCTCTGCATGTCGTTGAGATCGACAATGTAAACAACATGGCCTTCTAGCCGGAACAGTTCCGCCCAGGCAAGGGTACTGTCTGGCTTTCTGGCCCAGCACTGGAGGAGAGTCAGTGAAAGTAACATTCCATCAGAATACTTAGACTTACATCACCACGATGGTAGTCGCCGTGGATCAGAACAAGGGGAGCCTTGACTTTGGCCAGATCATTTGGCATCATGCGGAATACCTTCATTTTACCGCCGTTGTAGAGTCGAATCGGACTGCGAGCAGTAGAGCTGGGAGAGACATGGACAAACTTGTCGGTGACCCTGATTTCGTAGTCTTCCAGATCCTTGACGGGCGGGCAGAGCATCAAGCTTTGCTCGGGAAGAGGACGCCATCCAGCCTCGAGAGCGTCTGTATATATGAGGTCGTTGAACTGGCTGTTGAAAACCTTATCGGTGTCTTCAGAAAAATCGTCATCAAAGTGTTCATCTGCAAGGCCAGTCTGTTTGTCTTCGTGGTTGTGGTTTCTTCCAGCATGGGTGTCGTCTTGCTGGGCCTGCTCGACCGTGGAATCAGGCGTTTGCATAGCCAGGTTCGTCTCGATGGATAACCATGCGAAATCGTCTCGGAACAAGGAGTTCAGCTCGATTGAACCCTCCAATTCGTCAGACTCTTGCGACTTTGAGGTGTTATCGTGGACCGTAGCGAGAGTATCACCCCCAGAAGCGGGCCTGGTGGCAAACGCGTCCCAGTCGAAGTCCGTATCAAGCTGTTGAAGCGTAGTGTAGGCATTACCGATGACGTCTGGCATCAAGCAATCGCTGTCAACAGAACTCGCGCCAGGCCAAGACATGTAGCTCGGTGCCGCATGCTGTTGCTGCGTGGATGGACGTAGGTCAGTTGATGGTGTTTCCGATTCGAAGCCGGTCAAGAGAGAGGAGATTTGAGAGTCTGATGGAAGATAGAAGCTGTGATCCACGTTGTAGAGTCCAGAATGCCCGTGGTCGAACCCTGTAGTATCTGGAAAATACTGAGTAGTAGCGTTTGCAGAAGGTTGGGTGGCAGAATCCGCAAAGAACCCAATGTCGTAACATGGCTTCTTGCAAACTTGCCTCGGATCAACGAATGAGACCTCATTGGGCCGTGATCTCTTGTCGCGGTCCATAATGAAGGGTTGTGGATGAGAGGCGTGTGAGGGAGGCGAAGAGCAATGAGAAGTGAGGATGCGTGAGGGTGAAGGTGCAAGAGAAGAGAAGGTTTAAGGCAGCCGAGTCAACGAGAGCACCCTCTTGTGTAACAACAGGGCAGGGCTCAGGTGCCGTGAGCATTTCAAAATCATGTGTATGCCCTTCGTATATTGCACTGTAGTAAGCGGAAGACAGCCGAAAGGGATGAGCGTGATGTAACCGTGAGAGCCTGTGAGTTGAGATGCATAGATCGGAGGAAGTGAATATGGATCAGAGAGCTTCTCGAAAACCTGAAGAAACAGGGTTCTTCAACGATGAGGCTCGGCTACGGCACTCTGGGTCAGATGAAATGCTTGTGAAGATCGCGATGGCTTCCATGATAGCTGATCTAGATGGGACAAAAGGGGCATCGGACGGATGACAACTAGTATCACGGAACATGACAGGCGGCTGTTCGCTGCAGCCCTTTCTGTTTAAATGTCGTCAAACACCGATGGGTCACTTGCGCTATGAAAACATTGTCAGTTTTATCTTCAGCCGTAGCATGATCACTATGGAATTACATATATGGCCCTGGAAACTGGTCAGTTTTGTATTTTTGTTGTCGAGTAAGCCTGTTACCCGTTCAACCCTGCAGAGTAAAGCAGCGATCTCTGGCCCATCGATCGGAGAAGGCGACGTTCTCCTGTATCGTTCCAGTGTGCACCCCACACCTAATGATTTCTGGAGGGGTCTTGTGACATCCTCTGCCGCCACTCCTTATCAGCCTCACGCAGAGACTCCTCAAAGCCTTCGAATGCTTCCAAGCCCTTGATTCGGGCGCCGAGGGCATATTCGTCCAACTCGTACCAAGGCCGGCCTTGGTACTCATCAGTGCGAACGCCAGTCACCACAGCCTTGATCTCAACAACCTTGGCAGATGCTTGACAATATTGTTGTCCGTGCAGCCGATGAAGACCCCCAAAAAGAACAAATTCTCCTCTAATGTCATTGCTGCCATTGAGGCATAGCGGATTGCGCGTGTGGTGAATATGCGCCGTAGACTGCAGAGCACTGAACAGAACACGCCGAGAGACGTCCTTGTGGGGACTAAACAATTTGAACTTGTAGTTCCGCCGAGCCACCAGCATCGACCGAATGTGGTACGCGCAGGAAAAGATCTGTTCCAGCTTGGCCGAGAGCGACTTGTAGACGGCTGGGGAGCAATCTTTGTAAAAGACACACAGGGTTCTGGCGACCAGCTGAGACAGGCGTGTCGCGTGTGCCGTCACGTCAACAAGGTTTGGCGGGCGGCTGTCGTACTTTGGAAGATGTTCGAGAATGCGGCTATACAGCACTGACCAGACGTGTTCCATGAGGGTGAAAGCGGTAATGTTGGCGCTATCGGTGTAGCTGCTGTTGCGGGTTGCGGAGGCCAGCTTGGCCCACATGTGTCGGTTGACCTTTGTAGAGATCGCACGTCGATCTGGAGGCATTCTGGCACCCATAATGGCCACAGCCTGATCCGGTCGAATCATTTGCGACAGAAGTTTGCATAGGTTGTCGAACCGTTCTTTTCGAGTCTGCATGTCGGCAATGTCCTGCGCGGATTCGAGAAAGCTTGTAGAGCTCAGCGGTTGTGAAATATCTCCTCCTTTGGTATCACGTGTGAAGCGGACTATCTTGGCTTCATGTGATTTGTCGACGGTATTGTTCGGGCCTGCCTTCTTCAGGATGGAGTGTGATGTGGTCTGCGGAGGCTCTGGGTCGATGAAGCATTGCTGGTATTTCGGAGGATGATCGTTCCGGGCATCGACTAACAGGCATGCAGAGTCAAACTCAGGGGTTCCAGGTGATGTCAACGGCGAGCCGCAACCAGGCAGGTCTTGCGGCGGTTCGGTAATCGCGTCTGGGAGCAATTTGCTTGAAATATAACCCCATGTAACTGTGTGAGTATATTTCGAAAACACAGCCAGCACAGGGCCGCAGTAGGTGCCGAGTGCCACGTTGAGTGTAAATATTGTCGACTCTGCCAGCCCAGCTCCTGCAGCAGTACCTTGCTCACCGGGAGACTTCTGAGACAATGCAGCCGAGATCGATTCTGCAAGTCGACTCGTTGGCATCTCCCCAACTTGCGTAACTTGGTGAGCCCAGAGGAGGTTCTGTACTCGTGGACGTGTGATTACCTACTGGCAAGTGCAAGTACACCACGAGTAAGCGACAGCACGCAGACAAAGGTCGGTAGTACGTGTTCCTATCATAGAAGAAAGAGAGCACCAGAAGCCGAGCGAGAAAAACTTTAAAGCTTAGCTGTTCGTCCCGGCGAACACGACAGCACCAGGGACTCCTCTGTCTTGTCCTCGCAGTGTTCTGTTCCATTGTGTGAGAGCTAATTCCACTGTTCATGGGCTGCAGAACACTCCCGAGCAAGTGCTCTGCGGCCAGCACAAGCTGTTCGGCGGTAGAGCGGCAGAACAACTCGATCCCATAACAAGAACAAAGAGGGGGTTTGGCGCGACCTCAAGAGCCCAGGCACAGATAGTCAGAGGCGCTGATAGACACTACCTCATGGCGAGCTGGGGTCCGGTGCGTCGTCCTTCATGTCTGGCACCCAGCCCTTTGGCCGCTCACTGCCTCGGACGACCAGTCCGTATCCCAACTTTTCGACTTTAACAACACTCTGTCTCATGGCCGTAATTTTCTGCCTGTAATCCTTGGTCGGGATCTCTGGTAGCATCTCATAGGCACAACCTAGCTCGTGGATATCGCCGAGAATATTCCTTCCCTCGTCATTTCCAACAAGTTCGCCGCGTTGCGCGGTGGTCACGGTCGCAAAGCGCATCAACTCCCCGAACAAATCGAACACACCGTACATGTAGTCAAAGGGAGAGATCTCGACATCCGCGGGGACTGCTGCTTGTGTCTCAGCGGGTGTGATGAGCGTCTGGTGGCGGAGATAGTGTGCGAATGAGAGGGCCTCGACGAGTTCCTCGAGGCAGCGTAGCGAGTAGCTGTATCGCTGACGATTGAGAGGCGTAAGATCAGCGGCAATGGAGTTGAGTAGTGTTGATATCTCCGCAAGGCGGCTATCCACCTCCTTTTGAATGTTTGGTGGGAATTCGGCATGAAGGTTCTTCACTCTGCGAAAGGTGAGTTGATAATTGATGGTAGGGTTGGTGAGTGGGACGATGGTGTGTACCTTTGGAGTGAAAAAATACTATATAACGTGGTTAGACCAAGCCAGATGCACGTGCGGGAGGAAACGTACATTTTTTTGCTCAAAGCTGTGACATCTCTGGAGACTTTGATGATCCTCTCCCGGCGGTCGTAATGTTCATCGAGCTCATCGCGAAACGTTTCAAACATGTCGTGGAATTGACCGCGAGGGGCATCATCCCTGGCGCTTTTAGCGCGGGCGTTGCCGTCGCGATCTCTCTTGACGCCACCAGACATGACGATGAAAACAGTGACTGCGTACTTGAGCAGAGGTGAGTCGAACAGGTGGTTGAGTCCAGTTGGTGACGATGATGGGTAGAAGTCGGATGGCGATGGTGGGGCGGACAGACTAGAGGACAGTGCCTAAGGCAGTGCGCGCACCCCTCCCTTCGACCTCTGGGGTCTTACTCTGGACGTCAAACGTACATGTAGGTACGCGACGCGGAACAAACACATGTCAACCTGATAGCACGCACGTACTTCTCGGCTGTGGCTGATGCTTCTGGTACCAGAGATGTCGTTGAAAACGCTCGCACTGAGGCCAGCGCCGCTTTTCCTGCTCGGCGTGCTGCTGCGAGTTGTCCTGCTCTTTTATGGGATGTACCAGGACGCCCATTCCGCACTCAAGTACACCGACATAGACTACCTTGTCTTCACGGACGCGGCACGTCTACCCTCTCCATATGACCGCGCGACCTACCGCTACACGCCCCTCTTGGCGTGGCTGCTGTACCCAACAACCCTGCCCGGATTCTTCTCCTTTGGTAAAACCCTGTTTGCGGTGGCCGACATTGTGGCAGGATACCTCATCTGGGGCATGCTCAGGAAAAGGGGAAGGGCCATGGAGAGCTGCGGCGCTTTCACCGCCATATGGCTCTGGAACCCCATGGTGGCCACGATCAGTACCAGGGGAAGCTCGGAGGGTCTGCTCGGGGTGTTGACCATGGCACTGCTCTGGGCGGTGGAGCAAAAGCGCATCAGCGTGGCCGGCATTCTCCTGGGCCTGAGCGTGCACTTCAAGATTTACCCCTTCATCTACGCGCCAGCAATCATCTGGTGGATGGACGATGCCAACTTGGGAAAGGCGGCCCAGGGGGAGGACATTCCTGCACTGGCGCGGTTCCTGAACATGGAGAGGGTCACCCTCGCAGTGACGAGCCTGGCTACGTTTGTAGGCCTCAATGCAACAATGTATCTCATGTAAGCTCTCCTTGAATCTTTGCGATATCACCACTGACCCCAGAAGCTACGGGCACGACTTCCTGCAGCACACGTTCCTCCACCACGTCACCCGGCTGGACCATCGTCACAACTTCTCGCCTTACAATGTCCTTCTCTACCTGTCGTCCGCCGAACCTTCAAGTCCCACAGGCTTGCGCGTGGAGTCGCTCGCTTTCCTGCCCCAACTGCTGTTGTCCTGCGTCCTGATTCCCCTGGTCATGGCGAAGAGAGACCTCGCAGTCAGTATGATGGCGCAGACCTTTGCCTTTGTGACTTTCAACAAGGTCTGCACCTCGCAGGTACGGTTTCCTCCTCTCCTTGACCACTCAAGCATCAGCTCTTACTGACGCGACTAGTACTTCCTCTGGTACATGGTCTTCCTGCCCTTGTACCTGCCCCACTCATCAATGCTGCGCAACCCGACGCTTGGCATCACAGCGCTCGCCCTGTGGATCCTCACGCAGGCAGCGTGGTTGCAGCAAGGCTATGAGCTCGAGTTTTTGGGGCGGAGCACATTCTTCCCAGGTATGTGGTTGGCTTCGCTCGCATTCTTCCTCACGAATTGCTGGATTCTGGGCATCATCATCACGGACGGTGCGTCGACCAGACGTGCGCCTGCGCGAAAGGCACATGCAGAGTAGATCTCGTGGAAGTAGAAGTAGCAATCGCATGGTATGGTATCAACGACATTGTCATGTCTCCCGGCCCCCCCCCCCCCCCTTTTTTTTTTGCAGTGAGTGAGCGCCCCCAATATTGTCCCAAGATTACGAGTGCCTCCAGTCCTTGCCAGGAGTTTCCCATGCGACGACCCGATCCTAACGCCCATTGCAAGTTGAAAATTCTCGTCATTCCATAACACTCCGTCTGTCTTTCGACAGCTCCGCCCAGAAGCACTAGGTGATGGTCATCCGGTGCGACCCAGCGGTGAGCCTCCTGTACTGTGACAGCGGCAGCGAGCGAATCTTGGTCCCCGGCGTCTCCGGTCTGAGAACCATCTTGCCGTCCTTACCGTACTCGATGGTCCCAAACGTGTCGTTGATCTCCTGCCACTGCGCCATGGGCCGCACACGCTCCATCTCGGCAATGATGTCGGGCGACCATACGCCCATGACAACGTTGCCTTGGTAGGAGAAGAAGGGGTTCAGCTGTGGAAGCGGCGCGTCTATCTGTGTCAGCACGCACCTCAAACGACGGATAGCAATTCACATACCCAAGTCAATGAAGCGTATTCTCAGATGGGTGACCTGCTTCAATACTGCCAGGGACTTGATCGCCGCCATGGTCAAGGATTCGAATCTCCTAATAAACTCCAGGTCCATAATCCCCGAAGCCGACTCGTGCTTGTCAATCTCAAGAAGCGAACGGCAGCAGTTCTTGACCGTGATATCAATCGACCTAAGCTTGGACACCCGCGGGTCGGATAATTGTGCCAGGCCATCGAATAGATGATGGCAAAGGCGGCCAGAGTATGAGAAACGCTCCATGTTCACGGCCGCCCAAACGAGCGAGCAGCACACGTTCGTCTGCTGGGCCACCTTGCGGTAGAATACCGGGCTGTGCGTCTCCCGCCGCCCGTCCCCCTCGATACACAGCCGCATCTCGTTCAGCGCTGGAGCCAAGACCTCGAGACGAGGCAGTATCCGCGCCATGGAGATGTACGATTTGCTCTTGCCCCTGCTGTACGACGCGTGCCATTGCGCAAGGTTGGGCATGGACTGCAGCAGGGTGACAAAGTCGGCGTCTTCGCGCACCAGGTTCCACTGTCCCTTGGTGATCAAGGTGTGGACGCTTTCGAGGACGGGCAGTTCCGACTTGTGCCTGCCGCGAAAGGTGACAATCTTGGGCGCTTTCCGTCTTTCGCCGCCCTCGAGAGTGAAGATCCGTGCCCTCGGCAGGGTGGTCTGCACAAATCTAAAAGACTCCTCCAACGTGCACTTTATGTTGTTGCTCGGGCGGGGGCACCTCACTTCGGCGGCATCGGGCGCGTGATGCGACCGGACCAGCCGTGGATGCGTGGCTGGCGCTGGACAAAAGACCGGATACCAGATCTCAACGTGGTGAACATAGCCGCGCAGCGTCGGGTGGCAGGCCAGATGCATCTGCGCCTCCTCCAAGGAGTCCAATGTGCCCTTGAGCTTGATGTGCCGATAGAGGCGCTGCTGGATCAGCACCCTCCATGTCTTGTTGACGCACGACAACACCGTGAGCTCCCTCCGCCGCGAGTATCGCATGGCCGTGCTCCACTGGGAGTTGTTGGACCCCAGCATGGCCTTGCCGCTCAGGGAGGTGGCCGACACGCGGAATCCAAAAATGTGGTCCAGGATCGCCTCCAGCATCTCCAAAGGCAGATCGCCCAGTCGTAATTTCGCGTTGCTCGCTTCCCGCTCGCCGCTTGCACCCAGTGACTCCATGTCGTCGCTCTCCATGTCTCGGCTGGGCGTCGAACGATGTGTAAAGGAGGTTTCGATGTCATATTCGTCCTGGGTCCGCCGTTCGCTGTTTGGGTATGGGAATGGCGTGCTCTTGGGTCGCATGGGACTCGTAAATGCAGACCCAACGGGCCGCTCCGTCAGGGGGGCTGATGGTGCTGATGGGATGTTCATGTCGGATTTGGCACTGGATCGCGTGTGCCGACATGTCGACTGGTCGGCACTCAGGAAATCGGCCGTGATCTTGGGTTCCGCGAAGATGCTTTCGTTTCGTGGCTGTCCCTCCGTTCGCAGCAGCCGTACCACATCTAGCTGATCGTCTTGATTGTTACAAGTAGTCTCCATGCGCTCGTAGTTTGCCATGGCAGGCGTTCGTCCTCATGAACCAGCGGGGGTGGAGGAGTAGCAGCCCGCGCGACACAGCATTACAGGCGCTCGCAGAGATATGTGGAGGATCGTGAGTGCTCGGGTGCGTTTCTCAGCTACGCCTTGTCAGTAGGTCGGTCATAGATTGTTGGCGACAGCCGATCTACGCACATTAATTGCGGCCGCGCAACGACCACTTCTCCTTGCCTTCCTTGCCAGGCCCAGGTCGGATGGCGGCGGGCGGATCGGGTAGGTAGCCAGGTCGTGAAGAATGATCTCGAGACGCAAGAGCGATGAATTACGTCAAGAGTTTTGGCTTTTCGAAGAACAGCGTTCGGAAGTCAAGGTGGGAGGATTGGTGGTGATGGGGGCAGTCAAATCTAATCATAGGCGCGGGAGATTAATTATGGTAAGGTAGTAGATTACGACAATGCTGGCGGCGTAGAGCCACACCCATCAGTCAAGCTGTCTCTCCCGGCTTGCACACGCTGGCATTTTTTTCAGTTGTTCTACATCAGCATTGTTTGTGCTCATTGTTTCAGTGTATATTTTGGCACAATCGGTTCTTGTCATGATCTGCGCTTTGTCGCAAGAAATTTAGATAGTCTCACAGGAGGCACCACCAGGATGCATGGTCACTCGCGCAAGACGCGGTGAAGCAGGTTAAGGAGGCCAGACAGCCATATCTTGTGCCATCGATTATACTGGTGGACCTCCCAGCCTTGCAAAAGACAGTTCACTCGTAATGCAAGATGTGCCTCCTTACGTTCGCCATCCCAGTCGTGTGCCATCGCGGTCGCCATGGCCGCCCAAACTCGAAAACGCCATTCGCCGATGCCGCCGTGCCTGGTCTACACCTCAATTGCCGCAGCTTTCCATGGGGTATCGATTCGTCGCGTGGTCTCAATCCTCCATCCTGGTGTCTGCGTCTTCTTTGCTGCCGCCACGCACCCAGAGCACGTTGTTGCACCTGTTGCTGGTCAGCCTCCGGTTGCGCGGCTGCGCGACGAGCCGCGGGAAGATCTTACCTGATGAGCACTTGGCCTAGCTCGCCCGTGGGTTTGTCCTTGATGTATTCGACTGTGTTGGAGAGTTGTAGGTTCAGGTAGCTGTCCAGGGACACGAGGTTGCCCTTGTATTCGGTCTCTCCCCACTTGAGTCGCACGACAATGTCCTTGCCGACGAGACCCTGCATCATCTCGCGTGGATTGAGCGGGAGTTTGTTGAAGCTCATGGTGCTGTCGGGGGGCGGTGGCTGCTTGTGGTGTTGATGCTTGCTCTGGAGAGCAGAAAATGGCATGCCATGATCTCCGTTGCGTCTGGCTGTAAATGCTTACATAATCGCATCTGTGACTGTGGCTACCCTAAACGCTATCGGCTGCCTCTTCTGCGCAGGTCAAACGATTTCAGTCAGCCCTTTGAACATGGAACCAACAACGCAGCGGGCAGTTTGCCCCGAAGTCGGATCAAACGATCCCAGTCGATACGGACATCAAGCCAATAGGTTGCGATAGGGCTGTGATCCGTCGATAAGCGAGAGCACGAGAATGGAACGCCTGCCGGTGTTATTCGTATCTACCTGCCGACTCGGACTTCAGACTTGGAGCCCGGGACAGGAGGAGTCCACGAGCACATGCTGCCCGCTGGCGTCGACACATTTGTGAAGACTTGGCTTTATCACGTTCTTGCAAACCATTCCGTACCCAGCCACCCGCAAATCTTCCTGGCGTCAATCCCACAATGAGCGAAACAATCGTAGTCCTCGGGTATGAGTTACATCTCACCACCAACCTGTCAATTACTGACGACCCCAGTGCTGGTGTCTCCGGATTGACGTCCGCGTTGCTGCTGTCCCGAGACAAGAGAAACACCATCACTGTCGTTGCCAAGCACATGCCGGGAGACCTGGACGGCGAATATGCTTCACCTTTTGCCGGAGCGAATGTGATGCCGTGGGTTATCATGAACCAATTTCTGGACAAACATCTCCTGACGCGCAAGCAGCATGGCCACATCTGATGAGAGTCAGTGGGAGCGTGAAACGTGGGCCGAGCTCAAGCGCTTGTGTCAAGAGGCACCTGCAGCAGGCATTCATTTCCAAAGTAAGGCCGGGCGGTGACTGTCTTATGCTCAAGAGCTGATTAAATCGCTCTGCAGAATGCCAGGTGCACAGTCGCAGTAAGGACATCTCCAAGGACTCGGACGTGCCCAAGGGCCCTTTCGACACGGACCCCTGGTTCAAGGACATGTTTGACGATTTCCGCGCCCTACCCCAGGACAAAGTCCTGCCTGGCTGCGATGCTGCCTCCGAGTTCACCAGCGTGTGCATCAACACGGCAATCTACCTGCCCTGGCTAGTGGGACAGCTGCTAGAGAATGACGTCCGCCTGAAGAGAGGGGTCGTGTCCGACATCCGTGAGGCCAAGGGACTGAGTCATACCGGTCGACCTGCCACGTTGATCATCAACGCGACCGGCCTCGGATCGTACAAGCTCGGCGGCGTCAAGGACACGCAAATGTACCCAGCAAGGGGCCAGGTGGTTGTCGTCCGCAATGAGGTGGACTCCATGCTCTTCGTGTCGGGCACAGAGGATGGGGCCAATGAGGCCTTGTACGCAATGAACCGAGCCGCTGGCGGCGGGGCCATCCTCGGCGGCACCTTTGAGGCCGGCACCTGGGACACCCAGCCTGATCCCAGCACAGCCTTGAGGATCATGTCGCGGATCGTCAAGGCGCGCCCTGAGATTGCGGGTGGAAAGGGCGTGGCGGGACTGAGCGTGGTCAGGCACGCTGCCGGCCTGAGACCGTACAGACACGGCGGCGCGAGGGTGGAGGCAGAGAAGATGGATGACACGACGACAGTGGTCCACAACTACGGACACGGAGGATGGGGGTATCAAGGCTCGTACGGCTGTGCAAAGTCAGTGGTCGAGATTGTGCGTAAGGTGCGCGAGGGGCGGACCCGGGCAAAGCTGTGATGCTACCCAGTTGGTCGATAAGAAATGGACCTTTGATGGCTCGCACTGAGCTGGACCTCTAGGGTGACCCTGATTCACTCTTCTCCTGCGTCCACGGAATAGTCAACAACCTCCCAGACTTCGACGCCGGAGGGACGCCAGTTTCAGCACAAACGATGGAGCTCATAATCATATTGAATTCACAGACAGGCTACCACTATTTGTCTTCAGGTCCCTCGAATGATAACACGCATACGCAAAGCCCTGACCAAAGTCGCGAAGCACCTAATAGACATAGCGGAAGTGAGGGTTCTGGGGCAGGTTAGCAATGTCTGACGATGGGGGCACGTCCGACTCACCTCAAAGTCCGTCAAGTCGACAGCCTCCTCGCCTTGCGTATCCAGCGCCACGCCGAGGGCGACCTGCGCCGCCTCGCGGTCCTTGTTCCTCTTGACGAGGAGGAGTCTCAGGAGACCGGCCGCGACCACCTGGCCGATGACGCAGGCGAGGATGACCTTGCAGCCGGTCGGGTACAGGGGCGCCTCTTCGGCGAGGAAGGCATGGGGCCCGATGATGTTGCCGGCGCAGTAGGCGGAGAAGACCATGGCCGATGCGGTGATACGCTTGGTGTAGCCCGACAGGTTGACGGACGGCATCTGCAGCGCGAGGACGAGCGAGGCGACGTAGGCGCCGACGCAGTAGTAGCCCAGGAGCACGCCGATCTTGCCATTGTCCGTCTGCCTGTCCATTTTCCACATGAGGCACGTGCCGACAATGGTCGGGACGAGGTACAGGGCCATGGTGGTGGTCCTCCTGATCCACCGGGAGGCGAGGTAGGTGCCCGATAGGATCCAGAAGACCTGGAAGGCGCCCTGGGGGATGCCGAGCGCGGTGGCCTCAATGTTGGAGCGGGCGACGCCCTTGACGATGAGCTTGCCAAAGTTGGCGACACCACCGTTGACGGTCTCGTTGAGGAGGGTGTAGAAGACGAGCAGCCAGACCTGGGGGTCGGAAAAGGCCTCGCGGATCTGGTAGACGCGAATGTGCTGGTTGAGCACGCCGGTCTTGGCGAGGCGCGCGCGGCCGATGAGCAGCGCCTTCTCCTCGTTGGTGAAGAACTTGGCCGTCAGGATGCTGTCGGGGAAGAAGAGGAGGAGGACGATGCCCCAGAGGACGGTGAGGCCGCCGGTGACGAGGAAGATGGCCTTCCAGACGGCGAAACCCTCAATGTGGCCGATGCCGTAGCTGAAGATGCCGCCGAGCATGGATCCGACGCCGTTGCAGCAGTAGAAGATGCCGGCCCTAAAGGGAGATTCGGAGCTGTTGGTTTGTTTTGTCAGCCAGTGCACAGGGCCGCTGCTGTGGTGGCAGATGACGAATGAGGGGGACACTTACCGAGTGTACCACATGGCGACGGTCATCATGAAGCATGTGGTGATGGGCGACTCGAAGAAGCCGAGGAAGAAGCGGCAGGCAGCGAGGCCGGGAAAGTTGTGACACACGGCCGTGAGCATGAGGACACCACCCCAGGAGAGGACGCAGCCGGCGACGACCTTGCCCATGCGGGTGCGCTGCGCGAGGGCCACCCAGGGGTAGTTGGACACGAGGTAGGCCAGGTAGAAGATGGAGGCCATCCACCCGTACTGCGTCTGGTTGGTGTTTGTGCTCTCAAAGAGGTCGAAGACGGCAGCGTAGCTGGGACGGGGGGGGTCAGTTCAGTCACGGTGAACGGCAGACGGTGGGAGTAGTAGATGTACCTCATCGCCTGCTTGTCAATGTACTGCAGGACGTATGTGACGGCGAGCAGGGGCAGCACGACCATGTCGATCTTGCGGACGAGCCTGCGCTGCCTTGGGCCGTCGGCGAGGAGCTCCTCGATCTGGTCGGTCGTGTAGTTGTGCTCCCGGAGAAAGATCTCGGCAGCGTCGAGATCATGCGTGGCCTCGACGGCCGTGGGCTTGATGGAGGCCACATCGTATGTCGAGGCGGGCTTGATGTCCTTTGTGCGGTCCTGCGAGGCGCGCTCGACGTCGGTAGTCATGATGAAGGGTGTAGGAAATGGGGAATGCCAAAGTGAGGATGGAACTGGAATGGGTTGAGGCTTGAGAGGAGTGCTGACGAGGACTTGACGTTGGGTCTATGTATACTTGAGTCTTGAGCCCCCTCTTATCAGTCGTGGCCCTTGGCTATCATCCACGTGCAGACGTAGCATGCGCCCTGCCACACCCTATCTGACAATCTACATGTGCATGATCGGAAGGTGAAGGCGGTTAGTATCAAGCTAGAGCTCGCCTCCTATCTTTGCGGGGGTGGATACGGCTGTGAGAGACTGTGGGGTTTGGTCGACACTACCGTTATCGGGCAGGGAGGGCCGCAGGGTTGGAACTTGTGAGAGGTCATTGACTGTGGGTTGTGAGATGTCATTGACTGTGACACTAGTCTAGTCTGCTAGTGAAGGATCCAGGATGCTGCCAGGGAGGGGGCTAGACAGGTCCGAGATAGCTGACAGCGGTGGCGTCAAGCGGCATGGCTGGCTCGCTCATCCAAGTCAAGTACCGGCAGCATCAGCACGTAGTCTACCGCGATACTCTGTGGGCAGAGGTCAATTGAGCTTGGACTCGGCTGTCGAAGAGAGTGCGCTCTGCTGGCTTCCGAGGTTGGCAGTCAACATGAGCAGTCTGGCCCCCTCCAGCTTGAACCCTGCGCTACGTCCGGAGAATACTCACCTTGGGGCTCGAGCCTTGAACCCCAAAAGCTGGGCATATGCAAGAAGTTGGGGCCAGGCCCGGATCTCACTTTTGACCGGCGGTAGTAGCAGAATCTGGACACCGAGTGTCGGCACCTGTCCGACGGACGCGAGATACGCGACTCATGGCGATTCGACTGAACCCGACCAGGCGAGGCATCTCCCTATCTCTTGCTTGTTTGCGTCGCTTCCAGCCCTGTGGACTGCGCGTCTCATCTCAAGGTACGCAACGGCCATGTGTCTCTCATGAAGCAAAAGGACTCGAGCCAACAGCCTCGACCTGATCGACAGGTCCGACCGACAACTGTCCGACGTGTGGAGAAGAGGCAGCAAGGGTCCCACACCTCATGCAGCATGCATTGCACTTATCGACACCTCCGCCGGCTATGACGCCCGCTGATAGGGCTATTTCCGAACCATCGTCACCAGATACGTACGCCAGTCGGCTCAGGTGTGTTCAAGTCAGTCTATGGGCGGAGAGCGTTCCATCGGCCTGGGTCGGCTTTGGCGTCGTCTGCTCGTGCTCATTATCTTGTTCACGTTGGGCGTCAGCATCCTGCGTCGTCCAAGTTTGACGCCACCACATTCCCTCGTACTCTTGCGAGGACAATTCACCATGGCCCAGGAACGTCCCACGGTGAAACTGCCCCAGGGCATCGTCCAAGGCGTGACCCTCAGGAACAACCACCTTCCTCGGCCTGTGGAGGCCTTCAGGGGCGTCCCGTACGCACTGCCACCGACTGGCGACAGGCGTTTTCGACAGGCGCAGCCAGTCGTGCCTAATCCAGATCTCGTGATCGATGCGTCTGCGTACGGGCCAGCGGCGCCGGGAAAGCAGCTTCTCGCGGGAGGGCCCAAGCTTGAGTACAGCGAGGACTGTCTGCATGCCAACGTCTTTCGCCATGTGCCCGCCGGTGAGGAGGCGGAGACGAAGAGGGAGAAGAAGCTGCTCCCCGTCGCGGTGTATTTCCACGGGGGTGCCTTCAACAGGGGCACGAGCTCGGGGCACGACACGGCCAGCATGGTGGCCTTTTCTGAGGAGCCATTCATTGCCGTGTCGTTCAACTACCGACTGGGCGCCCTGGGCTTCCTGCCCTCGACGGCCAGCGAGAAGGAGGGCATTCTGAATCTGGGCCTAAGAGACCAGCTGGTCCTGCTCGAGTGGGTGCGGGATAACATGCACCACTTTGGGGGTGACAAGGACAGCGTCACTCTCTTTGGCCTCTCCGCGGGTGCTCACTCGGTGCGTCTCGTCCTGCGAACCGTCCATCTTCACTCGAGTGCCCCTAGCTAACACGCCCAGATTGGTCACTTGATCATGCACTACAAGGAGGGCGAGAAACCCCTGTTCCACCGCGCCATCATCGAGTCAGGGGCGGCCACCTCGCGCGCGGTGCGTCCGTACAACGCGCCCATCCACGAGCAGCAATTCCAAGAGTTTCTCAAGCAGACAAAAATGCCCGCGGACACGCCGCCAGAGGGCATCTTCCCGTTCTTGCGCTCCCTATCCACCGACGCCATCTCAGCGGCGCAGACGGCCACGTTTGACAAGTACAACCCTTCCCTACGATGGGCTTTCCAGCCCGTCATCGATGGCGACATCATCCCCCGTCCACCCCTGGAGACCTGGAGGAGCGGCAAGTGGCACAAGGTGCCCATCATGACGGGCTTCACCCGGAACGAGGGCTCGCTGTACGTCAACAAGCGGCTGGACGATCCGGCGCTGTTCCCAAAGTTCTTCGCCGAGTTGCTGCCCCTCCTAAGCGAGGAGGACATTGCGACCATTGATCGGATCTACGCGGATCCCTCCCTGCACCCCGGCTCGCCCTACAAGGAGACGCGCGACAAGGTCGGCTCGCAGTACCGGCGCATCGAGCAGGCCTACGCGCACTACGCGTACGTGGCGCCCGTCCGGCAGACGGCGGAGTTTGCGTCGCCGTCGGCCCCCGTCTACGTCTACCAGTGGGCGCTCGAGGCCACTGTGCTCGAGGGCGCCCGGCATGGCGACAATATGCGCTACGAGTTCTGCGGCCCACTGGTCGTGGCCATCTCCGAGGGGCAGAGGAGGCTGGCGAGGACGATGCACGGCTACGTCACGAGCTTCATCATCGCGGGCGATCCCAACGCCGTGCCGACGAGCGGGCTCGAGAGGCCCGCGTGGCCGCGGTACGAGGTCGGCCGGGCCAAGGCCATGGTCTTTGGCGAGAAGGACAAGTCGCTCGTCGGGGGTGCGTCTGGGCCGGCGGCTGAGGTGCAGGACGACAGTTGGGAGCGGGACAAGTGTGAGTTCTGGTGGAGCAAGGTCGAGCTGTCGCAGCAGTAGACTATACAGCGTTTTCTCTTGTATAGACAGAAATCACAAGTGAGACGATACTGGCTTTGACGTTCTTGTTCTTGAATGCAGCGGCTAGAGTACGTATCTACAGCCTTGCCCCCTGGCCAGCGATGGCTGTGCACTCGACCTCTACGTCGGTGTCGAGGGGCAGCTGGTGCACGGCGACACATGTCCTCGCCTGTGGCCATATCAGCAATAAATACTCACCCGTGACCCAATTTGACTCACAGGCTTCTGGTCCGTGGTGAAGAACTCATCCCAGACGGCGTTAAAGGCGGCAAAGTTGGCCATGTCGGTGAGGTAGATGTTGACCTTGAGCACCTTGTCGAGGCCACTGTTCCCGGCTTCAAGGATGGCGGTGAGGTTCCGGAGACACTGCCGGGCGCGGTCCTGGACCGTGCCCTCGACCATGGCCTTTGTGCTGGGGTCGATGCCGACGGCGCCCGAGCAGAAGAGGAGACCGTTGTACGAGACGGCCTGGACGAACTGGGGGAGGGGAGGGGGCGCGTTGGGGGTGCTGATGGTGGTGCGCGACATGATGCCGGTTTTCTGGGGGTGAAGAGATAAGCAAGTGTAATCTTGAATGCGAGGGGGGTGGAACATGTAAGTATGTCTTTGAGTTCGTTTATTTGCGGCTTTGCATTCGTGGCTCTTGGCTGTCGGTGTTGATATCGGGGAGTCGGGCACGACCGATGCCGGGTCTCCACTGTTCTCCGCTCCGTGGACGCCGAGCTCGGCGGCCAGGTGCGGGCTGATTACTAATCTCAATACTCTTGCAGTGGTGGCAGACAGAATTCATGAGGATATGTAATGAAATTCGGAAGCGAGAACTTGCAGTAGGATTTACTACTCATTGGGGGAAAACGTTGGGAAACAGTTGAATAGTACCAGAGACTCTTATGCTTGTTTTTCTTTTTTATCCTTGTCAATTGCTTGGAGTGCGCGGAAGATGATCTTGTCAAAAGCAGTCCTCTACGGTTTAAGTCACCCACACCTGCCTAACAGCTGTGCTCGGTTCAAGAGTGTTTGCTAACCGTCAAATGTGACCAGAACGACAGACTAGCCCACAGCGTAGAGGGTGCACGAACCCATGCGCAGTAGCATAGAACTTAGACCCAACTATTGTCGGATTCGGATTCTTCGAAAAAAGAAGATATAGGCCTGTACTTTTGTTCAACGCCCTTTGATTGCAGTCGTCGCTGCAGGTTAGGCAGTGGCCACTGGCAGCCATAATTCCATAAGGAAGGCCAGTTTGATAGACGAGTGGGAATATAGCCCCATACGGTGCGGCAATGCCTAAAGAATGCAGGATAGCCTGGAAAAATTTATCTGAGCGCTTTCATGAAAAGAGAAGAGTTTCATCTGTGACTGAGGGCAGACAATGAAGCAGCTCGCTGAAGTGCCGTCCTGCTGCTATTGTGTCAGCCCCGTCTAGGCTAGCATACCTGGTCGTCTGCCAAACACCCTCGGCAACTAGATCCGTTCGATGCAACGAGACACACCGTCCCGCGCACAGATGAACCTCGAGCTGTGTCACATGGGCAATAAATAGTATAGTCCGAGGGTACTGTATGTTTTATGGACAAATTGACTCACATATTTCCGACCATGCCAGCCACAGATCTGGAACTCGGGCCTGTCGTGCGCCTCTGTGCGTAATGGGCGTCTCAGGGACCTGATTGGCTCTGCTGCGGATTCAGGGGGACTAGCCGCCGAGGCTCGAGCCTAACGGTTAGCCTAACCTACATGTAAGCATCTTTTCCGACCCACAAGATCAACACAGCGGCTGCTTTCTCTATGTCTTTGTAGAAACTTGAAGCCACTGGTGATAATTAGCCAGTCAGGCAGCCAGCACGCTGGCCGCTAATGGCCGTGGGTCCAGGCACTGGCAGCCGCCTGCATAGTGGCGCTTGACTTCGATTGTTGTCTGATTGAAGTGGTAGTAGCTACGTACCTGCGTAGTATCATCACCGACCGACGCCCAACAATAGCGAAACGCGCCGCGCAATCAAATGGCAACGACGATTGCACTGTTCATGTAATGTAGCGACTGGAGCCGCGGCTCATCTCGAGCTCGCTGGACCATATCCACCGTCGTGCTGCTAGCAGCGTGCGTGTGATAACGATCTTCACCCACGTCCGTGCCATGATGTCAGCACCCAGCACACGCAGCCATCGCCGGATGAGCCTCGAACTTGGGTGAAGTATTTACGGCTGCTGCCTTTGCAACTCGGCGAGCTGCTCATGAGGTGCGCAATCGCATCAATCTCAGGTCAGGACTGCGTGCTGCAGCCGTGGCAGCGGCCAGCCATCGAACCAACGCGCGGAGGGGACGGCAATGCAGGCACAGGCGGAGAAAGCGCATCAATCTGCGACAGCCAGCCCGGAGATGGCAGAGGGACGAACCCCTGGCACCGACGGACCAAGCAGACCTGTCCATCTGGCTGATGCACGTTTCACGCCCCGGAGACGCGGCTCCACTCGAAGCAGCGCCAGCCTCAACCTCAAACCGCGCCAACGACCCCTGCCCATCGTCCAAGTCCTTCCTCGTCTGCTTGGTGCTGCTGTTCGTCAGTCCAGATCAACATGGGACTCTGTGGATGGGGATCCATCGCAAAGTTCTTCATAATGCCATCTACTGCTCCTCCAGCCGCTCATCTTGTTGTTCCCTCCCTCCCCTCCCTCCCTCTCTCTCTGATTAGCGTCTTCAGGGTCGTCGATCGTCGTTGGTAGTTTCTTCCATTCTTCTTGTCGTGGACACATTCTTCTCGCGCGTGCCTGGTAGCAGCCCGTTCCTCTTTCATACGACTTTCGATATCAACATTGTTCCGCTCCTTTGGTACGTCTCTCTCTCGATATCCCTGGCCTGAGCGCACGTTCAAGACCATTCGTACTCACTCGCCTCATCTAGATCTCGACGCACAGTCCCTCTTCCACCCAAGCTGCTCCTCAACAAACACGACCTAACCGGCGACTCTATTCTATTCATCCATTCATTCACTCACTCTTGCTCGCTTGGACCGCTCCGCTCGCTTGTGAGCCCACCAGTGTCGAGAACAAATTCATCCTCACGCCAGCGTTGATCGCAGACGTTGTCGACGTTCTCCTCTTCATCCTAGACTCTTAGTGACCGGCTCACTTTGACGCATCCTGTCTCTCTCTCCAGCACACTGTCGGCACCTTTATATATAGAAAGAAGCAGCAATGTCTTTCATCAAGTCCCTCTTCACGAGCGCCCTGCTCGTTAGTCTGCCCCTGGCCTCCGCTCTTCCTCATGGAGCCCATGATGCCGGCGCCACAGACCTGATGTCGGACATCAACCTCGGCGACCTGGACCTTGGCGACATCATCACCAACCCGGACAGCAGCAGCGATGGCGGTCTCGGCGGCATGGTCTCGACCCTGGCCACGATCCTGTCCAATCCGGGCGCCAAGGAAGTGATCCCGAACCGGTACATTGTCGTGTACAACAACACGTACGACGACGACGCCATCGAGGCCAACGTGATGCACTTCACATCCGAGGTTAAGAAGCGCAACCTCAACAAGCGCTCGCTGTCCGGCAAGCTGCTCAGCACCGATGTGCACTCGTATAAGATGAACTCGTGGCGCGCCATGACGCTCGACGCCGACGACGACATGATCATGGACATTTTCAACTCGGACGAGGTCGAGTACGTCGAGGCCGACACCCAGGTCCACGTCTCCGCCCTCCTCGCCCAGACCAACGCCCCCGTCGGCCTCAACCGCCTCTCCGCCTCCGCCGCCGGCAGCGACCGCTACTTCTTCGACTCATCCTCCGGCGAGGGCATCACCGCCTTTGTCGTCGACACGGGCGTCAAGATTGAGCACACCGAGTTTGGCGGCCGCGCCACCCGCGGCGCCAACTTTGTCCCCGGCGAGGGTGACGACGACCTCAACGGCCACGGCTCCCACGTCGCCGGCACCATTGCCGGCAGCACCTTTGGCGTTGCAAAGGCCGCCAACGTTGTCGCCGTCAAGGTCCTCGGCGCCGACGGCGGCGGCTCCAACTCGGGCGTCATTGACGGCATGCAGTGGATCATTGACGAGGTCGAGAGCAAGGGCCTGCGCGGCAAGGCCGTCATGAACATGTCCCTCGGCGGCGGCTTCTCCGAGGCCCTCAACCGCGCCATTGAGCAGCTCTTCAACGCCGGCGTCGTCCCCGTCGTCGCCGCCGGCAACGACGGCATCGACACCCGCAACTCGAGCCCCGGCTCCGCCCCCAACGCCATCACCGTCGGCGCCATGGACGCCCGCGACGACACCATTGCCGCCTTCTCCAACACGGGCCCCAGCGTCGACGTCTTTGCCAGCGGCGTCGACGTCCAGAGCGTCGGCATCCGCAGCAACACGGACACGGCCATCCTCAGCGGGACTTCGATGGGTGAGTTCTTTGACTGTCTTTAAAAACGTCAGAAATCTATGCTAACAGGACAAAGCCTCCCCCCACGTCGCCGGCCTCGCCGCCTACCTCATGGCCTTCCAGAACCTCAGCGATCCCGCCGAGGTCGACCAGGCCATCAAGAACCTCGCCACGAACGCGGGTGGCAGCGTCCGGGGCGTCGACGCCATCACCACGGATCTCATCGCCAACAACGGCAACACCTTTCAGTAGTGGTTAAGTGGCTCGCAAAACGTCACGGCACTCGTTTCACGAGGCATGGACAGCACGATTTAGCTGCGTATATTCATTTGCATGAATTCATTTGCATCTGGGGAGGGACATTCATTATGAGTGGTCGGTCGAGGGTGACCAGGCAAGACGGACACGTGTCACAATCACTTTTTACACATGGAGTACTACTTACGATCATTTCGCTTCCATATATTTCACAAATAGTATCAAGACCCTGCATAGAATTGGTTAATGATAATATTCCTTGATATTCCGACGTCTTTGAGAGGGGCGTGTATTTGACAGTCTTCTAAGCCTGAAACATGTCTCGTGCTGAGACGAGGCGGACGGCAAACCCCAGACCTGTCGTGTCTTGGCCAGAGTGCAGACAGTACAGACCCCTGTTGGCATATAAAAGGGCTCAAACCGCAGCGTTTTCCGGTCGGATCGGGCCACTGTAGGGCCCCTGTCTCAGAAACGTCCTGGAGGCTGGCCCCTACATATCATACATAGTATATATTACAGCTGCTATAGACGGCAGCGTCGAAATGTCCGCCCTCCGGCGCAAAAGTCCCTGTTATGGAATAAACAGGAACCAGCGCCGTGCCCGCCTGATCCGGAGATGAGGCGGGCCCGAGGTCAAGGTGGTGTCTGATATCAGCACTTCTTCGGCACAACCACAGTCATGGAGAGGACTGGATTGCAATTTGACATCCGTGCTAGGTAGTGTCATAAGAGGGGGCGGCGTGTGCACGCATGCGCGTCTGGGGAGCAGAAACAGGGACAGCGCGAGGAACAGGGCCGGGTAAAAAGAGGCAGATGATCATGATTAATATGTACTGAACCCGAGGAAACAATATGCGCCAGAAGTCGGAGGCAATGGTGTCGTGAGGGAGAAAAAAGGACAAGAGCTGGTGTCTCTGGACAATGCTACAGCTCGTCGCGGATCGCGGACGGGTCGGGGACACTCGAGGTCCATCCCTTGGCCGCGGGACTCATGTCGTCGAGGATGTGGCCGAATTTCGCGCCAAACAACCAGGCGGTACCAATCTAGACAGGACGAGTCAGCACTTGTTCGATCAGCTCATAGCATCTTTCACACAAAGACTCACCATGATGGCTGTGATGAAGACCAGGCAGGCCAGCGCCACCAGGAAGATGACGGCGGCCTCGCCGGGGTCTGTCGTCGGCTCCTTGCGCTGCAACTGCGCATTCTCCTGGGATAGCTTCTCGGGGTTCTGGCGGGGGTACAGTGTCTCGATGAACTGCTCAATCTTGGCACACTGCACCGAGATGGCGAGGAAGTTGGGATCCCGGGGGTCGTTCTTCTCCTTAATCAGATGCACGTAGCGCTTGAACACGTCGCACTCCACCTGCAGGTTCTGCGTCGACTCGAGCATGATCTGGCAGGCGGCGCCCTTTGTGATCTTGACGTTGCGCTCCAGCACGGCCGGGTTGCGGAAGACGAGCTCGAGCGTGGCAATGGCCATGCCCTGGGGGATGGCGACAAAGTTGAACACGCTCTGGTCCTTCATGCCGGCCATGTAGAACAGGCACTCCTCGACGTGCTTGAGCGCGTCGAGCACCATCTCGGACACGACATTGAGGGCCTGCTCCCGGTACTGGGGGTCGAACATGTGCTCCCACTCGTCGACGTGCTTGCTCCAGATCTCCTTGGGGTACCAGCGGCGGCCCTCCTCCCAGTCCTCGGCAATGTCGCGGATAATGTTGGTCTTTTGCAGGAACTGGCCCATGGACTCTGTGAGGTTCGGGCGCTCGGCCAGCTTGGGGTGCGCCAGGTCCGAGGCGAGGAAGAGGCGGGTGCAGCCCTCGCCGACGAGGCCGGCGACGTAGTGGCAGTACAGATTGTACTCCTCCTTGGTCTGCACGCCGTTCTTGATCATAAAGTCGTTCTCTGCGTAGTCGGCCATGCCGTTGCCCATCTTGCGCGTCAGGTCCTCGATGATTTCATAGTGGGCCTTGCTGAGCTTCTTGAGCTCGGTGACGACCACGTCAAACTTCTCGAGCAGCTCCTTGTCCTTCTCGACGCTGCCGTGGAACTGCCAGCCGTCCTGCTGCATCGTCTTGTGGAAGTTGCGCAGCAGGGGCACCTTCTGGTCCAGCGGGATGGTCATGTCGTCCTCAATCGTGTCGAGGCCGCGAAGGACCAGGTAGAAGAGCGTCATGGAGTAGAGCAGTTCGTGGTTGAGCTCCTTGCAGACGGCGGAGAAGCTGCGGCTGGTGAGGTCGAGGAGGCGGAAGCACTCCTTCATCTCGGGCGACTCTTTGGCCTCGTCACGCGTGTGCACCGGGTCGTGGTAGACCTTCCATTGCAAGATGGAGCGCAGCTCGATTGGGTGCACGAGGTAGTAGAGGAAGCCCATGATGGCGAGTGCAGAGCAGAAAAGGGGTCTTGCGCGTGTTCGATCGAGGGGTGCGCAGGACGAGGCTTCGGCAGTGTGGGTCGACCAGAGACAATGGTCGCGTGATTGTGCTAGGAGGTGATTGAACCACAAGAGGAGAAACAGACCAGCGGTATTAAAACAAGAATGTCGCGAGGACGGGGATGGGGTAGAAGAGGTGAGGTTGGTTGAGGTGTGGTGTGGTGTGGTGTGGTGGGTGGTGAAAGCACAGAGATCATTGGCCCCACGTGGAGACTGGAAGTCTCTTCTTTAATTTCCAGCTGGGGGACGGATGCGCTACCACTTACTTGGCCGTTCAGCCAGGCGCCTGGGGAGCGCGGGCAGCGCTGCGACAGGCGGGATTGACGCGGGCCTGCATTCCGGCGGCGCCCAGAGCAAAGTCCGTCCGCACTTGGAGAGAGGCAGACGAGGCGTGGATTGAGCCGCCAGATTAGCCGCGAGCTGAGAAAGGGAAAGGACCAAGTGTAACGGGGATATTGGTGGCTCTCATGAGTCGAGTTTTGATCTTGGGGCTGATGCGTTATCGATACGAGATGGAGCGTTGCGAAATTGCTCCACCGAATGCAATCCTCACCTCCAGCAAAGTCAGCCAGGCGAAATGGCATGGGTGTTCGTCATGTCAAAACATCAAGTATTGTTCATATCCTGCTTTTTTGCGTGACATGTGCAAGCCTCACTGGATCAATCATGTGTGCACGGACGATTATCTACTGAAGTTCGCTCACCTTGAAGCGTATAGGGTAGACTACTTCCCCTTGCAGCCTGCGTGTGGCCAGTGCTGCCATCTAAAGTACGCAATTTACGGTGAATCAGGGTTCTCATGAGCCAGAAGCCTGGATTTATCGTGTCAGAATCAGATGTCGGAATCGGCAATCTTTAGAGACTTGAAACTTCTTACGTTGACGCAGAGGAAACGGCAGTGTGCGACAGACATGTGAAAAGTGCCCGACGCCACAGCGACACGCCACGAATCTGGACCCCCCGTACGGTAAGGTAGCTGACGCACTGCCCCTCCATTACGTAGACCGGGGGCTCCAAATTCCCTACTGCACTACAAGGGAATCCGGTAGCTACAGCAGGTGCCTAACAACTTGGACCAGGCAAAGTTCGACGCTGCAAACATTGGCGACAGCAACCTGCACTCACTTCCTACAACAACCGACTCCTCGTAACATCTAGCACCACCTCGTATCCGAGAGACGCGATCACCATGGTCGTCGACACGGCCTACTACGACATCCTCGGTGTCCAGCCCACCGCCACCGACATCGAGATAAAAAAAGCCTATCGCAAATGCGCCATCGTGCACCACCCTGACAAGAACCCCAACGACCCCACGGCCCACGAGAAGTTCCAGGAAATCGGCGAAGCTTATCAGGTCCTCTCCGACAAGGACCTTCGCGCGGCCTACGATAAATATGGCAAGGACCACGCCAAGCCCCAGGAGGGCTTCACCGACCCGGCAGAGTTCTTCACCAGCATCTTTGGCGGCGAGGCCTTTGTCGACTGGATCGGCGAGATCAGCCTCATGAAGGACCTCACGGCCACCATGGACATTACAATGCAGGAAGAGGCCGAGGAGGCTGAGGCTGCCGCCGCGGCGGAGGCGGCGGCCGCTGATGGGAAGCCAGACGCTGATGCTGGCGCTGATGCCGAGGCCAAGCCCAAACAGGAGGGCGAGTTCCCCGGTACGGACGAGGCAATCAAGCAGAGCATGAAGGAGAAGGATGCCGCAGCAGGTGCTGCTGGCACTACCGACCCAGCAGCAGCGGCACCACCACCCGCAGTCTTGGTCGAGGAGGACAAGACCGCAGCTCCTCCCGCATACACGGCCGGCGCGGACGGTGGTCCTGCTCTGCCACCCCGTCGCTCGCAGGACGCCTCGCCGACCCCCTCCACCAGCCGCCACCAGATCCCTCTCCGCCCCGCGCTCGCCGACAAGTCCCACGAGGACCTCACCAACGAGTCGCAGGGCGACCTGTCCGAAGAGGCCCTGCGCCGCAAGGAGAAGAAGAAGGGCAGCCTGTCGCGGGAACAGCGCGAGCAGCTGGCAGCCTACGAGAAGGAGCGCGCGCGAATCCGCCAAGAGCGCGTCGACACGCTCGCCCGCAAGCTGGTCGACCGCATCTCCGCCTGGACCGAGACCGGCAAGGGCGACGACGTCACCCGCTCGTTCCAGGAGCAGATGCGTCTCGAGGTCGAGAACCTCAAGATGGAGTCCTTTGGTATCGACATTCTCCACGCCATCGGCCACACCTACGTCACAAAGGCCTCGACGCTGCTGCGCAGCCAAAAGTTCCTCGGCATCGGCGGCTTCTTCTCCAAGCTGCGCGACAAGGGCACCATGGTCAAAGACACGTGGAACACCATCTCCAGCGCCATTGACGCGCAGCAGACCATGGAGGACATGGCGCGTCGGGAGCAGGAGGGCGGTGACGACTGGGACGACGAGAAGAGGGCCGAGTACGAGCGTCGCGTCACGGGTAAGATTCTCAACGCCGCGTGGCGGGGAAGCAAGTTTGAGATTCAGAGCGTGCTGCGGGACGTCTGCGACGCCGTTCTCTACGACAAGAAGGTGCCCCTGACCAAGAGGCTGGAGCGGGCGCAGGCTTTGGTGTTGATCGGCGATGTCTTCAACAAGGTATGCACATCTCTTTTCTCCTTTCTGGCAAAATTATTCTAACAACTGCAGGCTGCTCGTTCTCCCGAGGAAGAGGGCGACTACCTTGTCTTTGAGCAGCTCGTGGCCGAGGCTGCAATGAAGAAGGACAAGGACGAAGATGGCAAGAAGAAGGACAAGAAGAGCAAGGACTCCCACTTCCACCACCATGGCCACAAGCACACAGAGCCTACGCCGGAGAAGAGCTGAAGAATGTTGCGCATGACGATGCTGTGAGCACGCGGCGGATGATGTATAGAGAGGGTTTGCGGGCGGGGAATACCGGTGCATATTTACATAGACTCTTCACCTTTTTGGTTTTCCTAATGATACTCCCACCCGGTTGACCGATTCACACCACAGTCACATTGTTCAACAACTCCTTCGCGCCACGCGCAGTCAATTCATCTACCAGTCTAGTAGGTAAATGAATAAAGGTATCTTTGCCCACCACATGTCCAGACCCATAGGACGCGCTAGATGATACATATATGGCTGGTGTCAAATGAAAATGAAAGAAAGAGGGGGTATCTGTTGGTACAACAAGAAGAAAAAAAAACCTATGTCCCGAAACAAAAGAGCAAAAGCTGGCTGTGTAACTGACAGCAGAGGGCTGTAGAGATAGATGTAGGGAAGGAGTATGTCTTCCGTCATGGGCGTGGGTGGTGGGTGGGTGGAATCTATGTGTCGAGTGGCTTCTGGGCCACAAGTGGTATCATGTTATGTCGTGCTCATCTTCTCCCCTCGAGTCGGGGTCCCCCGGTCACATCAGCCGCCGTCCGGCGCCAGCTCTATCCCACTGTCGCGAGCGGGTGACGGCTTTTCTGCGACCGGCTCCAACGTGATGGACGGAATCGTCTCCAGGCCATTCGCTTTGGGCGTGTCCTCTCGCCTGGCCAGGCCGCCGTCCTCATCCTCCTCGTCAGGTGGTGCGAGGACCTTGCCGCCTAGCTCAACATCAGACACCCTGACATGGTAAGCCAGCGCCTTCTGTCCCTCTTTAATGAGAACCTCTGTCCAATCCATGCAGCGCTTAATACTCTGGTTGATCTTCTGGCTGTCAATGAGGAGCTCCTGGTGTTTGGTGAGGTCGAGCTGCAGGCGCATCTCATCTCGTTTCCGCCTGGCCGCCATCTTGGCGTTGGGAGACATGGGCTCCGCCTGCGAGCCAGTCTCATCGTCCGTCGACAAGTCAGACTCGTGGAAAGAGTCTTGCGCCTCCGAATCGCTCTCCTCCTCACTCACATCGGACATTTCGATCGGGGGTTCGGTCAGGGCGGCGGAGGCGACACGGCTGGAGGGCGCCGACAAGCGACCAGCACGGGAGAGACGCCTGTATCGACGGATTTCGGCTGTTTGTTTCCGGAGCTGGCGCTCCAGAGTCCGGTTGATGGCTTCGAGTGATGCATTGGTAATCTCGAGATCTTGCACTTTACGCTCCCTTCGAGCATTGGCCACGAGCTCACTGATAGGATCACCAGAGGGAGTCGATTTTGTCGGGCTCGATACTTCGGGAGGGGTGTGTTCACTGCCCGAGACTTCATCTTCCTTCTCCAGCTCCCCGGCCGCCTGAAGTAACGAAGCCATTGACATTGCTGGGCGCACAAGGCCCGGACTCAGGGGCGGCGAAGCAACGGACGTGGCCTCGGGCGACTGTGGCGCCCGCGCAGGGTATTTCGGCAAGACGAGCTGGTCAGAAGTCGGCACGCTGCCCGTCCTCGAGTGTCCACGATGAAGGCGAGGCGGAGCTTGTGTAGCCGGTGTTTCTATGCTAACCCGCCTTTTCCCAACGGGGATCTCACCTGGAGCCAATGACGGAGGCGATGCCAGACCAGGTCTGATCGCAGGCCCAGGAGGCAACGCACTTCCTTGTAATGAAACGACAGATGGCGATGCCGTGGCCGGCTTGACCGGCGACATGGGTCTTGACATGGACGTGGGCGCAGGCCCTGGCGCCGAACTGCCAGTGCCGGGCCTTTGCCCCGCCATCCTCGAGCTCGTTGACACGGTCGACCCAGATGCCGACGTTGGCAGCGCTGGCCTCGAGGGCATATCGGGCGTCCCGTTTGCGTAGAAGAATTTGGTCGACGTGGGCTCAGGGGTTGATGCCAGCACTGGTGTGAAGATAGGACCGCCTGGCGGACTTGTTGTTCTCTTGGCCTCCGCTGAGGAGCCATTCGCATAGAAGAATGATGCGGCCTTTTGCAACACAGGGGCGGCTCGCTGCTGCTGCGGCGGCGGCGGTGGCTGCTGTTGAGCTTGACCAATGGACGACTGAGAGACAGGTCTTGAGGCATCGCTGGCGTAGAAGAACTTGTTATCTTGGTCGGTTTGAGCCTGGCCCCTGTTTCCGTCCACCATGGAGCCGTTTAATGGCGTCCTACTCCCAATGTGCTCCCATCCGTCCAAGCCCTTGTCTGGGTTCGGTGTTCCGCTCGGTGTGGAATTGGCGCTCTCGACGCGGACCTGCCTGGTTCCTGTACGCGGTGTGATGTTTGCCAGTCCAAGCGCTGGACCATCTTGTGCTCTTCGCCCGGATGGAAGAGGCGAGGTAGCAGCATGGGGCTGTTGTGAATACGGGTATTGTGCTCCAACACTGGAGGAGGGCTTCGGTGTTGTTGTGGCTACTTTCGCGGTGACGGGAGGGCGATTGGCGGCTCGGGCAGCAGCAGCACTGAGCTGTGGCTGCCGAGGCCTGTTGTCCGACATGGCGCGCGACAGCCTCGTCGTACTTGTTGTGATTGTAGTGGCCGTGTTGGGGGTATTGCTATTATTGTTGCTGTTCTTGGAGGTCAAGGATGTGGCATTTTGGTTGTTGTCCCTGGTGCGGAGCGCTTGACGTGACGATCGGTGAAAGGGCGGTGGCTTCAGGTATTCGCTCGGCCGTGGTTTACGAGTCGGCTTGGTCGCTGTCGGGTCTGCACAATTGCCGGGTGTGTTTGTGGAGGACCTTTCGAGGGATCGCATCCTCGATGGCCGTGGTGGTGGTGCCAGTGGTGGTGGTGGTGTTTGTGGTTTCAGAGGTCACGCTGCTGCCCGCCCCAATTCCAGTCCTCGATGATGTGGCTCGGCGCTGGAAATTAGGGGTATCAAGCTTGAAAAAAGCTGAGTGTCTACCGTAGCATGAATGAGTGTCATTGAGGAGAGCGAATACTGAAAAAAGAGTGCTTTAAGGATGCCCAGAATGCTCAAAATTACCGCGTACAGCTTCTGCCCTCACTCTCACAGGCTAAGGTACGAATTCACAGCAGAGCACAGCAGATGCGTTTCATGCAGTTCACTTTTTGTTTACATTGACGTGAGGAGACCTGTTAAGGTGCCTACCTTACGGACGGACATGGAGGTGCTGCCCCACCTGCTTGACGCCGCTGGCCCTTCGTCATTAGCGGTGAATCATGCGCTGTGCCCGCTGCCTGCAGGCTGCCCGCGATTCGTTCAGGGCCTGTCCTGGCTGTCCAGGCCCCGCCTGAACCCCCCAAGCTCCAACTGCTGCCCCTGGCCCTGCTATGCGGGGCGCACTCCCGTCTGCAGAGACACGCTTTCTGGGCCGGCATGCATTTTCACCCCGACGTGCCTCGACACATTTCATTCACGCACGTCTCCACGCCTGAAGACCAGCCTCGAACTCCCGTCATTGTTCCCTACGATGGGCGTCATCGGCGTTTCCTTGATCGTCTTCTCTTTTGTATATGTCCTCGCCTGCCCGACGAGTTGGCTTCCACGATGGATCGTGGATTTCAAGCGGGGTCTTGGAGGGGCGCCAGCCATCGCCGAGGGACCCTCGACATCTACAGCCAAGGCTGAACCTGGACGAGATGAAGATGCGAGGGATAGCACAGCGGCGTCGACTGCAAGAGACGAAGCCGGCTCTGTTGAGGAAATGGTCAACCGCAAGGCGCAAGGCTCGAGGGAGATGGGACCGCCTCCCAGGCCCTCGACTGCGCAACAACCACCCGCAATAAAAGCACCGTCTCTGCCCGAGTCGACAGACGAAGAAGAACAAACCACCCCCAAGGCCGCACCGGCGGAGTCCAAGGGACCAGTACCGACCTTCTCCTTGTCGGACGATGCACCATCCAAACCCTCTCGTGCGCCCTCAGCCTCAGCATGGGCCTCCACGATGCCCTCGTCTTCCTCTTCAGCCATGCCGCCTCCTCCACGTCCGAACCTTCAACCACCTCGCCTGCCTCAGTTCCCAGCTGCCAACTCGCCGCAGATTGCACGAGGTCCTGCCCCCAGCCGTGGCCCTCCTGCGGGTGGTCTCGCCCCTCCTTCTGGCGGTCTCGCCCCTCCACCGACGCTTGCCGCCAAACCGAACAAGCCGAGCAAAAAGGTCATGCTCCAACCGGGTCGGTCGCCGTTGGACTGGGCTCGCATCTCAGGACCCTCCTCTGATCTAAGAAACCTCCCACCGAACACGCCCTATCTACGTGTCACCCCTTCCATGCTGAAGGCGCAAAACGGTCGCAAGGGAACGGATGCTTGGATGGCGCTCAACGGCAAGGTGTACAACATCTCGCCCTACGTAGAGTACCACCCGGGCGGCAAAGGCGAGCTCATGCGCGGTGCTGGAAAGGACGGGACCAAATTGTATGGGGAAATTCATCCTTGGGTGAACTATGAGACGATGATGGCGGCCTGCCTGATAGGCTTATTGGTCGACGAGCCGGATGGCAAAAGGGGCAGTGAGATGGACGAGATGGATTGATGCCACTCATGTATATATATAGATACCCCATAGAGGCATGGCGTTTCAGAATTCAGTAATCATTCCGACCTCTTCAAGAGGCATAGCTTGCAACCATATCATGAGTGTTTTGTGCGCACTGGCCCTACTTGCGCCGTCTGCCGAATCTAAACTTGAGCTCATCGTCACTATCATCACTCTCGTCGGCCGCTGCTGCTCGGCGAGTCGGCCTGGCCCTCTTGGGGGCTTGCTCTGTCGCAGATTCCGACGTCGGGGCTGGGCGCTTGTTCAGCGTCGTTTGCCTCGTAGACGCCTGGCTGCCGACTCTTGTGCGGGAGGGCTGTGCGGATATCTCCGAAACAGCGGGCAGCTCCTCATCCTCGTCTTCGCTCTCGGACCCAATGACACGAGCCGCGCGACCCCTTAGCTGCGGTGGCGGAGGTGGTGGAGGAGCCTCCTCACGCGTTTCGACGCTTCGCTGGCTGCTTCTGTGCCGCTTCTGCGTCCCCTCGTCCTCCAGCCAAAAGTCATCGCCCACTCCGAATTCCTTGTTCTTCACTTCCTGCAGCTGGATCAGCTGCTTCACGGGTTGACGAGCCCCTGTAACCTCTCCGCGTTTGCGGAACTTTTTAAAGTTCTTCATGCCGTTCCATTTAGGATTCCATCGACCGTCGGCAACATCTTGCTCACGCGTGCGTGCCATGCCCGGACGCCTGATATCCATCTCTTCCACAATGTTGAGTCGGCGGATCTCGGCGAGGTCGACGTCGTCCGGCAGGTTTGCCAAATCTTCTTTCTCCCGACGAGCCCGCTCCTCCTCCATCTGGCGATGTTGATACAGTTGCGCCGAGATGTCGACCTCCTTTTTGATCTTAGTCTTGGGTTCTTGCGCCGCGGGGGTTTCAGACTCCGGCTCTGGATCTGGCACGGCGAAATCGTCACGCTCCGCCAGACGTTGCCGCTTAAAGCGCGCGGCAGCTGGTGCCATGCCCTCCATCAGATCATCCTGCGGGGCGTGTCTCTTCTGCGCTTTCGTAGACGCTGGCTGGTCTTGTTGCGAAAACTGCTGCGATACGAAGAGACCCTCTTCATCCGAAACTGGTATGCTGTCCTCCACCGGTGGCGGTGGTGGCGCCGCCGCCGCTGGGGCATCTGCCATGGTGGCGTCGTCACTGTCGTTGTCAAAGCCAACAAATCGTCGCTTGACAGGTCCACGCCGTCCTCTTCGGGGTGCCGGCTGTGCTGTTGCAGGCTCGACACTTTGCGACGCCTGTTCCCTGTACTCGCTCTGGCTTGACCGCTCCGATCGAGAGACCTGCGCTGAGCGTGACCCAGGAGCCCTGTCTTGGGTCGCAGTGCTGGATTCGATCTCCAATGGTCTTCGCAAAATGCTCGCATCCTTGATCAAGATAGCTTCCAGAAACTCGTTCTGGTCTATTGGCCGATGGTCCAGCAACAACGACACCGAGGTGAAAAAGTTGGCATACCACTGGACTTGGTCCCCTTTGGAAGGGATGTATCGCACCAAAACCACGCCCTTGCCCTCACTACCATCCTCGAACGACCCAAGCCCCTTTTCGCCGGCGACCTCTTCTACCCTACGAGCAAAGCTTTCGGGTTCTGTCTTCCCAGCCACGACCTCTTCCAGCAGAGTCTTGCCTCCTCCAGCATTGACCGCTGGCATCAGATTTTCATACTGCGATCTATCGTAGAAAATGAACGTGTATCCTTCAAAGACATCTGCTCTGCCAGTATCTGGGTAGTATATATCTGCTGTGTGTTGCTTCGGCTCGCCTCCGGGGGATGGTACATGTTCCTTTGCGTCTGGCCACTTGTCAAAGTTTTGCTCCAAAACACAAGTCTGGGTATCGTCTGGAGAGTAAGCCGCCTTGACCACTGCGTCAAGAAATGTTTCCGTCACAATGTACCGAGCATCGACCAGGGCTTGCAGTGCCTTGACAGTGTTCCGCTTCTTGGATACCACATGCGTCGTCCATTTGTGGTGGTATTCTGTGAGCAGCTTGATGTCTAGTTGCTCGAAACGGTCTTGCAGGGTTTCGATTGGGCCGCTTTGCAGTTCTTTCTTCGAGAACGAAAAGGTGAAGACAACAGGCTCCCACATGATCCTGCACTCGTCAGTTTCCCCCAAACGTGCTGGTCCAAGCAGGCCTACCGAAACTTTGTGGTGAATTTGCCCAGCATAATCTCAGCACAGCTGCCTTCAACAACGACCTTGTCATTCTTAATTAACCGGCCGTCCACTTCGGTGCCATGCTTCGTCTTGAGATCCTCAATCGTGATTTTTGAGCGAGCATTGAGATTGTGAGCGCTGCCGGCTGCCACGGGATCGACTTTGACGGTCATGTGTTTGCGGGATATGGTCTGATGTGCGATTGCAATCTGCCCATCTGCTGTAACATTAGACTCATGGCCTCTTCTTAGGACGTCACCACACACGTACATTCACCCGTGGTCCGGCCATAGAGGTACGTTCTCCCGGGCCGGAGCCATCGACGACCTGAATGTCGTCATCAGCTTTGAGCCCTTGCGCGAGGTGCTGGGTACTCAACATACCAAAATCAGGGTGGTCGCTCGATATGATCCACATACTGTATGCCAAATGGCACCCAAGTAGAGGTGACGCTGTGGAATTTCTGAGCTGTAGTCGCGAATAACGCGTTTGTCACGGTCACGGTGATGAGATGGTGGGTCCGTGCATCATCACGTTGTCACGTGCCGCACTTGAACAATGACCTGAACTGCCATCCAAAGTTCGACCAAAGCCTCATTCATCACTTACCTGTGGCACAAGAGGTGAAGCCTGTTGAGGAAAATGGGCTCGGAGGGCGAAATGGGATTAAGTGGTGCTCCAAATCCCATCTACATCCGCCACTTGAATTAAAATTGGCTCCTCATTCACTCTACCGCTGGAGCTGTGGTGCACTTCTCTCGAAACCATCAGCACATCATGGCTACCTCAACCTTCAAGGCCACCAACTACTCAGCCGGGGATCTCGTCGCGAGCTGCGGCGCCATTCTCTTCGACTCCCTAGGGCCTGCTTTTCAAGTTTGCCTCGTTCACTACAGACTTCAAGATGAGTGGCCACTTGCCAAAGGGCGTCGTAACTGCGGCGAGTCGAGACACGCAGCCGCTCTCCGAGAGCTAGAAGAGGAGACGGGCTACCGATGCCACCTCTTCCCAATGACCATGCCGACACGCCCTCCAGCCTCAGCTCAGCAAAGCAGCGTGCCCGATCAGCCACGTCTTTATCCCGATATAACTGAGCCTTTCATGGTGACCGTCAGAGAGGCAGATGGCAGAGCCCACGTCAAGATCATCTGGTGGTATATGCCGAGTTCGCGGACCGGGCCGCGGTTGGGGAGGGAGAAGAGGCGTTCACGTCACAGTTCTTCAACACTGACAATGCGATGCAAAAGTTGACATTTGCTGGTGACAGGCACATTTTGAAGAAGGCCATCAAGCTCACGGAGAAGCAGGCTTACGCACCCCGACTCCTGATGGTCGCCAAAAGCGAAGGGTCCACTGTGGATACAATTTAGGATCCGTTACTCCAGGGCACTATTACTCCACCATCGGCCAAATTGGCAAAAAGAACTCGCAGCTTGTGGACAAGCTGTAATGCACATGCATTGGGGCGAACCGGGATCGAACCGGTGACCTTTCGATGATGAGACTGAGGTGTACTTCAGTCGAACGCGCTCCCAACTACGCCATCACCCCCAGGAGATTGCAACCAGTCTTGATGCGATGGACGGGCTCACTCATGTCGCTCTCTATATACGCAGACGCGCAGGCACTCTCTGCTCGTAGTCCAAATCAAGCATGCCAGCAACCCCTAGAGTCGGGTTCAGTTTCGACATCTGACTCACGACCTGTTAGGCCAAGTGTGGTGTACCACGATTACGTCTAGATACCATTCTCTGTGCTATGCGATGCAGTCCGCAGATCACATCACCCCTTTCTCGTGTGCCTGGATTAGTGCTACAGCGTCCGGCACTTGAACCTGAGCCCGGCAATACGTTCTTCGAGAGAGGCTTCCCAAGCAAACCTGATCTTCAACACAGAGTCAGCGGGATCATGGTGGCTTTCCGAGTTGTGAGTTTGGTTAGCTTTGGAGAGGATGCGGGTGCGAATAGGATACCAAGAAGCAACAAAGGCCTTCAGTGTGGCAACATGCCACGAATGGCTTGGGGTCGAACATGCACTGCGTCGTCATCGCGATGGGATTGACAAATACCTGATAGTAAGGTAGGTAGTACCTATTACCGACTACCACGTTAGCTTGGGTGTGTACGAGCGTTCGACTTGCCAAGAATGACGGACAGCAAGAGCGCTGTAGAAGTCGCATTTGACCATAAGATCCAGATATATGGCAAGACGGAAGGATCAAAGCAGCGCCTTTCCAAATTGGGCAGACTAGAAGTTCAGGCCATTGCTCGTCCAAATCTAGCCTTGCTCTCAGCTTTCGCCTGATTCTGACCTTGCTCTCATTTTCGCTCAAATCTGAGCTTGCTCTCAGATTTCAGAAGATGAAAAACACAAGCTTGTTTCTGTTCTTTTGCGTTCTGCTTCTGGCCCGAGCACCACACGGAATATACATGCACCTATCTCAGGCCTGCGATCTCTACTTACTCTGGATCAGGCACACATCAAACTCAAGGTTCCTTGCAACATCCACAACGAAGCTGTAACATCAAGTATCAACAACATCTTCCGTTCATGGTGCGGAATCCATCGCCATGATGAGCTCAAGCCAGACGCCGACGACATCTGATCCCGGCATCGACCCCGAGCGACTATTTGAGTCAGTAGCCTTTCACCAATCCAGGGCATCATGCTACTTGCCTACTGTCTTCTTCCAGTCCTCGCGTACCCCTTTCTACCCTCGACTGAGCGGCACAAACCGACTCATTGGAGCAGCTGGCTGAGTAGATCACCGCTGCTCGGTGTTCTATTGCATTATTTGCTCGTCAAGGCAACATCTGGCCGCGAATCGCCAGTTGCTTCTTCGAGATCTCCAGGTTGTTGGAAGTCTCGCTATCGCTGATCGTGGCGCTTTTGGCCACGGTAGGTGTGGCATACTCTCACTCCGAAGACCAAAATGGTCTATATGTGCGGTGCAGTCTGGAAGGACTGGCGTTTACGGTAGTTTCCATGGTCAAGCTATGGGCTGCCGCTCCAGTCGTTGTCTGGATCGATGGGAGCATGGACATGGATACCGCCCTATCCCAACCGATCTGTCTGCTGGTCTTCGCGTTGCTCATATACACAACTATCCTGGAGACAGGGGTTTGAACATGGGTGAAGGGCCATGCACAACTGTTTGTGAAGAGAGACTATCCACCCTGGCGCTGGATCGCACGGCAAACCGACACCAAAGACAAACCTGCGAAAAAGGCAGTGTGGCGCAGCTGGCTGGTCTGGCTAGTCCCAATTTGCAGCAACGGCTTGTTTATTGCAGTCATCGCTTTCCGAGGGATTCCGAAAAACCTTTGTATTCCGCGCAAGGTTTACTCCAGGTCTGAGAAGTGAGCCACCCCAGAGGATCGCCGGGAATGAGATAGGTCAAGAACGGGCCAAGACCCGCCCCAAGGCATTAGTCGATGAAAATGCATGATCGAGGGCGCATGAAATTTTCTCTTATTGATCACGTTCGGGCGGAAGAGCGTAAAGTGTTGGTGGGGACGGGAAGCAAGCAGTAGCACGATAGGTCTAGTCCAAAGCTGAGAGCAAGCCATCCTCAATGGCCAGACACATACTAATCTGTCCGACAATGATAATCCATCTTCTCAAAATTACAGGGACCGTTTAGAGCAAGTGATTCCTCGCAGAGTCGGGTGGGGGACAGTGTCGTTCGGGGGTCCCTCAAGAAGAGCGTCGCTAAGTTCAGACGCTACATCTTCAGTACCCTCAGCATCTCCAATCGATTTGATCTCTTGCAGAGACGCTAGCTTTGCCTATAAGTCGCCGTCGAACGGGTCAAAGAAAGAAACCAGACTCACCTGCTCGAGCTCTTGCACATGTCCACCGCCCAGCAGCTGACTTTTGCCCAGCGAGGCTGCAACTTGCTTCTCAACAGGTGTGTTCATGAATTTTACCACGCCACAAACGGCCATCATGATGCAGAGAATGAGACAAATTGAAATGTCCCGGTGTGGAAAGGTCGGCACCCGCTGGCTGGCCAGGGTTGATGACACCGGCAAGGGGAGGGTGGAAGACATAGCTCCAGTAGACAGGATGGCCTTAAGAGTGCAAAGTGAAATCAAGAAGGCCCAGAAAGCGTCAAGAATTTTATCCAAAGATTGGTGAGTGTGATATTATCGAAGCAGAAGAGTGTAATACAAGCATGGAAGGAAGACGAAAGCGCGAGGTTATCATTGACATGTCAGTCGATGGAGAAGGAGACGGCCACATCATGATTCAATCTGACGTGCTTTCCGCTTCTACGTCCTCTTCGAGTGCTCGGGCGGGACATGCGTGGTGGAAGTATTTGGAAGAACGTAACTTTTATCTACCTTAGAACCCCTGAAAATGCAGTCGCTTCGTAGCTTCATTCCTTTCGTGTCCACCCATAAAATCCCACATGTTGGGTCCAAAGACATGATATCCGCTCTCGCTCGAGAAGAAAAAAATTAAGACATTTAGAACTGAACAGCATTTGGTAAACATGCCACCTAATCAAACACCAAAGGTAAGGTAAGAACAATCTGCGCCCCGGAAGGCGAAAGCAGACTCCAGAACAGTCTCATCAAAACTGGCGCAAGAAACGGCTGCCGTTCTCGTCTCATGTAAAGCATTGACTCTTAGGAGAGAAACTGATGAGTTGACCGCCATTGCGACGAGCTTGCTCATGGCCCCTGCAATGTGTGCGCCGTAACCGCGGACGGCACGATCTCTTGCCCCGTGTGCGCTTGCCGGACACACCAAGCCAGCAAGCCTCGATATTCCGAGTCCTGGCCTAGTGCCTCGTCAATGGACGAGACGGCCGCTTCGGGCCACCCTCTCGCCCACCAGATGCCGTCCATGTTGGTCTTGCATACCGACCAATGCGCTAGCAATATCAAGGCGAACGGGTCTCTGGCTGCCAGCAGCCCGACGAACTCCTTCTTGACCATGGCGAACCACACGCACAAGACGTGAAAGTTGCGCTGGGACGTTGATATGAGAGAGAACGTTCGGATAAGCTTGGCGGCGGCGTGGTGCAACACGATGCGCCGCGTCCTCTCGGTATCCGTGGAGGCGGGAGGGAGCGCGTTCATGGCGCCAATGCAGCAGTGGACGGACGCTTCAGCCTCAGCCCAGGGCACGTCGTCGCCAGGTGATTTTGGAACGCCGTTGGCCGTCGAGGGCGAAGAGGAGCACTCGGACAAGGAAGAGGACGATTTTCCTGAAGACGTTGGCGATTCAGACTTAACGCGGGTTGTCATGGCTGTGTGACCATTGTACAAGAAGATGTGGTTTGCTCCCTGGAACAGGCCTGCGACCTGGGCCAGCAGGTCGATGCGGTCAAAAGCCGTGCGTCGCGTAGGATCTGCCGCTGGAAGCGCAAGTTGGCAAGCTACCAAGACCACGGACGCGGCCAGTAGAGGCTCTGCCGTAGTTGGGGTGATGCCAGCCTGGATCGCTGGCAGAAACAAGGCCAATGCCTGCGCATTGTGTGACAGGGCAGTGTGCAGCCATGAACCTTCAGATGGCGATCCAGAATTTCTGCGTGGGAGAAGGAGTCCAGAGGGGTCGCTCGTGGTGTGTGTAGCTTGTTGGGAGGCCAGATGCAGTGCCGAGAAGGAGAGCACGACGTGGCGCACATAGGGCGCGGAGGCATTGTGCGTGTGGCTTAGTATAGCCTTGTTCAGCGTGTTGAAGTGCTCCGATTCGAGTATAGGTCCTAGATTGGGCGTAGATTGTGTCTTGGCATAGTGATGTAACAAGAATGCGTCGGTTGGATTCGACGGGTGTGGTGGTGGTATCTGTGTCAAGGGCACCGTGTGCGCAGCTGAGCTCGGATTCTGAAGCTGATGGACCTCGGGGTGGGAAGGCAGTGATGAACTGGCCACGGGCGTTAATGGCTCCGTCTTGACATGAAACCTTTTGACAAGAGGTGTTTGGGGCGTGATCTTTGTTGAAGATGTAATAAAGGCACTGGGGGCAGCCATTGATGCAGCGGCCCCCATGGCGGCTACGGTTGTTTTGGAAGGTCTGTACACTGACCTTTGGTGTCGAGGTGCCTGGATAGGATGGTGCTGTGCATGTGACATGGGAGCTTGCTGAGTTCGGGTGTACGGATCTTGTTGTTGAAAAGGATTGTACGCAGTCATCAAGTGACGATACGTACAGTCCGAGCCCCCTTTACTGCAGCGTGTGCACTTGGGCTGCAACTGGTCGCACTGCAACTGTTAGTTGTGAACATTGTCAGTTCTCTTGCCAGCAGTCACCTTGACGCGCTTTGACTTGCACTGTAGACACCCATGGTGGGAGTTTGTGTGAGGCCGACGAGATGGCATGCTCAGTGAAAGATTCACCGGTATTTCAACTTCGTCTGCTGTGAAGATCCCTAGGGCATGTTGGTCTTCGAAGGTGAGTGACCCAACGACAAAAGGGGCCAGGTACTGCCATTGTCAGTCGTGGGTTCTTGTAGATTTATAGACAGCCTTCTGCAGGGCTCGGACAATCTACATTGTCCCGCCGCCAGACGTACGAACCTGGTGCGTATACTGGACAAATGATGCCAATGAAAGTTGGAATGACCAAACGCTCGAGCAGCGTGTAAGATATGTCACAATTGGGAGTTGACACTGAGTAGAGGAAAGATTGAAGGCTTTGGCTCGTTCAGCAAGGAGAACATCGCATATATACGATGCAGTCGTTCATGGTTAGCACCATGGCGCAGCGGCAAGTCCTGGACGATCCCTGGCTGACGTGCAGTACCGAAGAATAGAAGCATGAGACAACATGGTATTCCATGGTCTTCAGTCGGCACATCAGGCCTGCACGACCAGGGGGGTCAGCTTCGTGGTATCTGAGTGGGTGGTGCTGTGGCGAGGGAGCAGACGGTTCCTGCATGGAACAAGCAAGGCATCAGCCGTCGAGCCCGCATTCCTGGACGCAAACAGAGTCCAAGAGCTTGGGAAATGGATCTGTTTCAGAATTTCCCCTAGTGTCAGATCCGTAGGGCTCTCCGATTTGTTGTCACGATCCAGTCAGTCGGTGGGCGCGAGCGGTACGTACCGAGACCGCCGTCCCAAAACGGTATTGACCTGCTCACCATCAGCGTCAACAACGTCGGATCTCCCGACAACAATTCTGGTGATGCGAATCGTCGCCAGAGCACGATCAGCAGTGAGTCTAATTGATCGTGTCGAATCTGGCTAAACTTCCAAATCTGGCGCTCCCTTTATCTGAGATTCCTCCCCGCTTGGATCCGTAGGCCTGCGAATAGTTCCTTCACACATTCACCATGGTCACACTCGCTATTGCGCTGTCCGGAACTTTGACGGATCGCAGTCGCTTCATGCTTGTTACGATCGTGAGACCAATGGAGGCTACAATCTGCGAGGTGTGTTGGCGATGTGAATGGTGACAAGCAACCTTTGTCGACAGGCGCCCCCTGGCACTTACACGAGCCCTACAACTTCAAAGACAGCTCGCCAATGCCCTACGCGCACCATCATGGCAGCCACTCCCAGGGCAAGGGGTGTGCCCGCGCGAACAATTATCTCGTGTGGATTTGGGATGAGGTGAGCATTTGGACCAGGCAGCTGAGACTCACAACTGCCGGCACGGCTGTGGTTGTGAACTTGTGAATCGGCGTCCGACTCTGGCGACGATCATTTGGATTGCGCCAAGCAGGCATCAGTCGCCACGCGACCATTTTGAAACAAGCGACGGTCCTCGCCAAGCACCGAAGAGCGCCGCCTCTTGAAACAAACCCTTAGGTTTATGACCGGGCCGTCATTGTTTCAAGTCCGTGGAGGATCGATGCTGCGTTGTCTATAAGTCCACGGTCGGCTGCACCGTGAGAATGGGGAAATATTGCTCGAAAGGTTTGCTTGAACCTTTTTTTATTTTTTATTTTTATGTTGCGGGCTTCTCATTACGCGTACATCGCGTCCAGAGGGATCGTTGCCTCTGCCATCGCGGCCAGAACAGTTGTTGAGAAAGGCGACAACATGCTGGTGCTGCTACGACGACATTTTTGCAGACTCGTGGTCTAGATCAACACGAAGTCTTGAGGAGCGGCCTACAGCTGCTTCGTCGATGAGCAACACGTGCAGAAAGAAACATACACCGGAAAGGCCGAAGCTAATAAGCACCACTTAGCAGCACGCCGGCAAACACGTCGTGGAGCAACATAATCGCCCTTTGGAGCGGCGAGCAGACCGTAGGTGGACACAGCCTCAGCCGACGCCAGTCGGGTCAATGGGTGCGGCCAAAATGAGGATGGCCCGCTTGAACAACCACCCGAGACCATCATATCACATAATTCCACGCAAACAGGCCTCGGGTGAAATGCAAGATGGGACAAATTTACCCAAGCCCCAACAGGACGAAGTGCGAGAGTGAGGTTGATTGAGCCCTTGGAAAGCGGTGGTCGAGATCTCCTCGCCGAGACGGACCTAGCTCACCTTGGACCCTTCCGTTGTGCGTCCCAAATACACAATGGGCGTACGGATAATTGAACTGTAATTAAAGACTAGCCCAGAACGTTCTCGAGAAGATGGAGAGCGTGCAACACTGAAAGCCTGCAAACGTGGCGACCGCCACAAAATAAGCAAATGTGGTGTCCGATTCCCGCAACCTTGGATACCACTTTGAGTTTAATTCTGACGATCAACAAACTTGGAATGCAACTCACATCACGAAGTATCGTAGGCCATCGTCAGAAAACTCTTGGCTTGCAGCCCATACGTAATAAGCGTCGCCTCCTCATGCTACACTAGTAGGGGACTGCAACGGCAGTGAAGATCGGCTAGCGGGCGACGTCATTGCCGGTGACATGGTGCCCGGAGGCAGGGATGACGACCTCGAAATTCGAATGCGGGAAGGACTCCCCAAAAATGGTGGTGCCCTTTCCCCAGATGTGAGGGGGAGAAGCTGCCCATCGGCGATTCCAAGTGAAATAAAAAATGTTGGGCGTGCGGAGATCAAAGTTGCATTCGCCATTTTGTATTTCGATCAATCTAGCTGAGACGCCTGATGATGGTTGGTTGCTTGCGTGGGCCATTCTTCATCCAGTCATATATTTATGTACCTTGCCATGCAAAGCTGCGCGCACATTTCCTTGTCAAAACGCGCTTGGAGAAGCATTGTAGAGATCCGAAGCCGCTGTTGAGCCGCAAGCGGTCGACATCCAGCTTCTCGCCGACTGTGGAAGAAATGGGTCAGGGTACGTGTTACGGTCGTAAGACGAGAGTCGAGACTATCCCCGTGGTCTTCTCCGCGACTCCACGACTCCATTTTACCCGCACCGACACCCAACAACAGACGGCGTTCTCCAAATTGAGTTCCACCTTAGCCACCACCACAACTTGTCCAGAAGTAACAGCGGCACCGCAAGGAACGCCAGCGCGTCCTGGTTGCTCATTGGACTCGGCAATGGTCGTCACGTCAGCGTCGGGGCGTTCTCAACTTCCTTTGTCCCGAGTCTCTAGAGACGCCGACGGCCCAACCAACAATGGCGTGATGTTCAAGACAAGCCCCGTGAGAGAGCAGCACAGGTACGGCTGTATCTATATACGACACAAAGGGGAAGCCTTGTGCTTTGTTCAGGAACACCTTTGGTAATTGGAAATCATGGGACCAACCAACCTACGCTGATGGCTCGCACCCTGCGTATTTATTTCAGCCTCTTACGAAGTTGCGTGCGCCCAGAGAAATCCCGCTTGGCATCATCGGCATCGGCACGGTTCAATGCACCCTGATCAGGTTCGAAATCAACCGGCTGTCCGGACCCACCTCTCCGTCACCGGCTCGCTGACCATTCGACGACGCCATTGAGCGAGACCGTGAGATCACCCCAGGAAAGTGGACGCTTCTCCGCGCAACAGTGCCCCTAAGCGAAGGGATCGCCGTTTTACGTACGGAGCACTGGACCACTATTCATAAAAGCACCATGGGGTTTTGTCCCTGGCCTGTTCGCGGACGAATGGGCCGTTGTGCGCTTTATAAGACCACCCGCCCTACTGTTTGTTGGGCGCAGTGTTCCCCCCAACCGTCGACCTTCGTCATTTGGACTTTGCCGAAGCTGATCCACCATCGCGTGCTCCGTCCATAGCTCTTCTTCTGACCATTTATATCCCTAGGCGAACAGACAACTATACAGCACGATGGCAACCGCACATGGAATGGAACACCCCGATGTGAACGAGAAGCACGACGGGATCACCGGTCCTGGCGCTTCGCAGGAGCATCAGGCGCCGCACTCGAATAATTGGCACCAGCGCCGAGACCTCGCATCATGGGGTCATGGCTACGCGCCTCCCGAAGGTGCCTCGCTGCAACCTGGCGTGTTCAAGCCCTACGAGCACCGTAAATTCGCCAACCCAGCCCCTCTTGGCTTGAGCGCCTTCGCCTTGACGACATTTGTGCTCTCGGCCATCAACATGGAGGCGCGCTCCGTTACGGTCCCTTCTGTCGTGGTGCCTCTGGCCTTTGGATATGGTGGGCTGGTGCAGCTCCTCGCTGGCATGTGGTAAGTGACCCGTGTGGAGGAAGAACAAGCAGAGGCGAATTTTGGTGCTGACGAACCTATGTAGGGAAATGGCCGTTGGCAACACGTTTGGCGCCACTGCCTTGTCGTCCTATGGTGGATTCTGGATCGCGTACGGCCTGCTCCTCACGCCCTCGCCATGGGGCATCATGGAAGCAGACGGCCCTTATGAGGGCGACACCAGCTCTCCAGTTGGTTTCTTCCTGACTGGGTGGTTCATCTTCACGACGATTCTGCTCATCTGCACTCTTCGCTCCACCGTCGCCTTCTTCCTGCTCTTCTTCACCCTCGACATTGCCTTCTTGTGCCTGTCCGTGGAGCACTACGCCCACGACATGGGCAACGACGTTGCTGCGACAAACTTGAAGAAGGCGGGTGGTTTCTTTGGCTTCCTGGCCGCCTTCCTGGCGTGGTACAATGCTCTGGCCGGTATCCAGGACAGCAGGTGCGTGCTTTGGCGACCTCTTTTCGCGAGAGACCATACTAACAATCCGCGTAGTAACTCGTTCTTCACCGTTCCCGTCATCCATTTCCCATGGTCTGACAAGGGCCGCGAGCAGCGCGCCAAGAAGGCAAGCATTGTCTAAGGGACCGATGTTGCAGAGGCATGGTGTTTCGCGGGGCGTGGCAATGGTTGCATGTGCTCGATCAGTGTCATTCTTGAGGATGTAATTACATGTACCGATATGCAGTGCAGATGTTTCCTTCAATTGCGCTACTCAATACCCTACATCATCACTGAACCTACACTTAATTTACCCATTGGTGCGCAAACGGAAGCATGGATCCGCTGCTGTACGTACCCTGTCCCCTTTTCATCCAAGTTGGTCTCAAAATCCGCCAAGACCTGGAAATAAGGAAGTGGCTCTCATTACCGACGGCCGGCTCCGCGAGTTTGGAGGGAAGCCCAATGATCTCGCACAATTCCCATCCATTTCCATCTCGTAACACCGACCACCAGCTCCGGCAAGGGAAGGCTGCCAAGCTCTTTTGTGACATTGTGTGTTGTTCTTGGATGAATATCTGCTCCAAATTGGGGTCATGCCGCTCATGATTACTATTTTATACTCTCTGGTAACGTATGGATCACATGGGGTGCGACTGGAGTCAGTCTGCACGCTTAAACCGAGCTGCATCGACCTTGGTACTTTTGCCAACAGACTTTTTCTTCCCCATGGCCGCCCCATCTCGTGAATTACGGTATGCGCTATAGTTTCAATGCGCGCTCGGCTATTTACCGTCTCGTACCCTTAACGAAATAGACAAAAAACCTTATATCATTCCTTGGTCTAACCTCCCCTCTCTTCTACACATCGGAAACCCCTCCCCAAGGGCCCCAACACACTCCTTTCCTGGGCCAAGTGAAGCGTGGTGGAGCAAGGACTGGATGCCATGGCACAAACACAAACCCTCTCCGAGAAGGAGACGGCGACGAGAACACCCCAGCCAGGTCTCACCATCACGGGGACCGGGGACTCGCAGCAGGACGCGGCGCAACCCAACGCACCACCACCTCCTCCTCCCAACGGCGGGTACGGCTGGGTCTGCTGCGCCTGTGTAGCCGTTGTTAACGCCCACACGTGGGGTCTCAACTCCTCTTACGGCGTCTTCCTGGCCTACTACCTCGCCAACGATCTCTACCCGGGCGCCACCTCGCTCCAGTATGCCTTTGTCGGCTCCCTGTCCATCTCGTGCGCCCTGCTCACGTCGCCCCTGGCCACGATTGGCGTGCGCACCATGGGCACCAAGCCCACCATGATGCTGGGCGTCGTGCTCGAGGCGGCGAGTCTCATCTGCGCCAGCTTTGCCAACGAGATATGGCACCTCTTCCTCACGCAAGGCGTCATGTTCGGCGTGGGCATGGGATTCCTCTTCGTCGCCAGCGTGCCCATTGTGCCACAGTGGTTCTCGACTCGCCGGTCGCTCGCCAACGGCGTCTCGACGTCCGGCTCTGGCCTGGGCGGGCTCATCTACTCCTTCGCCACGGGCGCCATGCTGCAGAGCCTGGGGCTGGCTTGGACATTTCGTGTCCTGGGTATCGTGGCCTTTGTGGTCAACACGATCTGCACGATCCTCGTCAAGGACCGCAACAAGATCCTCAACGCCACGCAGCTGGCTTTCGACGTTAAGCTGTTCAAACGACCAGAATACCTCCTCCTGCTCGGCTACGGATTCTTCAGCATGCTGGCGTATGTGGTCATGATCTTCTCGCTGGCCAACTACGCCAACTACATTGGTCTCGGCGCCTCGCAGGCCGCGCTGGTGTCGGCCATGTACAACATGGGTCAGGGGTTGGGTCGCCCGCTGGTCGGTTACTTCAGTGACCGCACAGGAAGGATCACCATGGCCTCTTTCATGACACTCGTGGCGGGCATCTTGTCCCTGGCCATCTGGATCCCCGCCAAGCACTACGCCACGCTCATCGTCTTCGCCATCCTGGGTGGCGGCGTTGGTGGCACGTTCTGGGTCACCATCGGGCCCGTGACGGCCGAGGTCCTGGGGCTACGGCACGTAGCCTCTGGTCTCAACATCCAGTGGCTCTTTATCGCACTGCCCTGCGTCTTCAGCGAGCCGATCGCCCTGCAGATCGTGGAGGGTAGCGGCTCGTACCTCGGCACGCAGCTCTTCACCGGCTTCATGTTCATGACGGCGGCGGCGTGCACCTTTGTCTGCCGCGGATGGAAGATTGGCGAGCAGCAGGAGCTGGAGAGGCGGTACGGCGGGGGCGACGAGATCGACGCTGACAAGATTGCGTATGAAGAGGAGGCCAGTGGTCACGGCAAGAAAGCCGGCCGCAAAAGAATGCTCGTTGATTGTCTGAGCTTTAAGAGAAAGGTGTAGCGCACAGTTCAAAGGCTTTCAATACATCAATGTCACCAAGACTACATATTCAGTGGAAGGTGGCAGCATTTAATGTCCCGCTGCAAATGCGTCATAGTATGAACCTTTAGTTGACCTTTACCTTTTCCTCTATCCATAACCTGCGGTTATCCAAGATGGGTATCGTGCGCGGACCCGGCGTAGTTATTTCTCGCCCTCCTTGCCCCAGCGTGATGTCTCGTCGCCACCCTCCCATTCATGTTCAACGTACCCAAGCTCTTGCTTCACCTTTTCGACGGTGCTCTTGTCTCCAGTGTTCTTACCAATGTTGTCACTGGCCGTGTTAGTGGTGGTTCAGCCACTGGAGCGCGAGGACATACCTGATCTTGATGGCTGGGCGACCCGCCGCCGAGCTCAGCTTGATGACAATGTTCAAGGGCACCGACTTGGCCCCCGTCTTCAGGTGGGTAAAGTCGTTTGTCAAGAATGTGCCGACGCCAAAGGTCGGATGGAAGCCAAACTTCTCCGCAACCTGCTTGTACTCCAGGCAGCGATCAATGTTAAGCGAATCCGAGAACACAATTGTCTTTTTGTCTTTGATCCCTTCCCCATCGTAGTACTCCCGCAGGATCTTGACGTACTCCTCGGGATCGCCAGAGTCCTGACGCACGCCGGTGAATAGCTCGGCATACGTCTTGGGGGTGCCGTCCTCCTTCTGGAATGTTTCGCGCGGGAAGCTGCTGTCAATCGGCCGCACAGGCTTGCTGAAAGCCTTGAGGAATTCTTGGGTACCGAAAGTATCCGTCAGTGCGATGGCGAGCTTCGGTCCGAAGCAGCTCACCCATCGCCTCAGGGCTTCCTCGGTCGCCGTAGTGTAGTCGCCTACGATGGAAGCAGTCCCCATGAACCACTCGTGTGCAACAGTACCAACGGGTGGAATGTTGAAGCGCATGGCCAGGTGGACATTGCTTGTCCCTGAGAGCTTGCCTGGGTAACCTTGCTCCTTTGCTTTCTCAGAGGCCTTGACCAGGCCGCGAAAAACCAGTGCCTGCGTGTGATAATCCCTCCTGCGCCGGGTGCCAAACTCGGATGTGATACAGCCCGCTTCCAGGAGCCTCATGCCCTTCTCGAACGCTGCCTGCTCTTGACCGTCATAGTTCCAATCCTTGTCCATAAAAAGGAAGTACGCCTCCGAGGTCAAGGCCAGTATAGGGATCTCGTACAGAATGGTCTCCACCCACGCACCCTTGATGCTGATGTCAATATCGCCAAGCTCGTCGTCGGCACCGGTGTCCTTGTCCACGGGCTTGAATGTGGCTTTGACTTGTTCGCGAGGGTCGAGGCGGAAGTCTTTGAGGAAATCGAGGTAGTCGGGGGTGAGATAATCGCAGTGCGTTTGGAGGAAGCGGTACTCTTCATTCGACAGCGAGATGTTTCCGAGCTCTGAGCTTCTGTTAGTCGGTCAATTGCCCCGGCAAACTGGGCACTAACTTCGTATTTGCTCCTGCAACCACTTGAACGCAGCGCGTGACAGCTTCTTGTCGGGAGTTCGGTTGGTGAAGGCATAGGATACAGGGACATCTCGAAAGCACTTGTACACGGCGCATTGCATCGTCAACTTGTACAAGTCAGTGTCGAGGAAGGAGATGACCCCCTCGGGGTATGGCGAGGTGCTGTTGAAATCCATGGTGGTCCGAACGATCCTCGCCGAGGGGACTGGAGAGTGTACGAGTGCCGTGAGGGTAGTAGATTGAGTTCCTCAGATATGAGACATGAGAACCACAGCTTGTCGAACGATGCAAATCAACCATTAACACAAAATTCGTTGCTTGGCGCACGATGGGCATTCGACGACGATGGAGGAGGGACGAGAGAATGACCTGACTGCACGATGAGGGGCATTTGCATGACAGCCCGGAGCCGGAGGACTAAAGAGGGACATGACATGAGGGGCATGACGGCGCCTGTAGGCGCTAACGTTAGGCGCGACCGCGCTAGCAGCGCATGCACCCATGCCCAGGCCAAATCTGGAGAAACCTTGCCGCCCAAAAAAAAAATCTTGACGCTGCTGCGCTTCACATACAGAACAAGCACACGGCAAATGTCCCATTTCGCTGCCATGGACGTTCATCGCTGTCGCTTCGTACCCTTCCAGCCCTCAGGCATTAACTCGGTCGCCTTTTCGCACACGAAAACCCGTTCTGCCCGGCATGGCGCCCTGGCTCGAATGGCCGTTGGCCGCGCCAATGGCGACGTCGAGATCTGGAATCCAGCCAACGGCGCGTGGCAGCAAGAGACGATCCTCCGGGGCGGTAAGGACAGGAGCATCGAGAGTCTTGTCTGGGTGAACGAGCCGGACACCGAAGTCAGCGACGGACGTACCATCCTCGGCAAGTCGCGCCTCTTCAGCGTTGGGTATTCCTCGACAGTCACCGAGTGGGATCTCGAAAAGGGCCGGCCCAAAAGACACGCGAGCGGGCAGCACGGACACATCTGGTGTATGGCTGCCATACCGGCCGAGGCTGGCAAGGCCGACTCGCAGCTTGTGGTGGGTACAAACGACGGCGAGCTCGTCGTCTACTCGACCGAAGATGGCGATCTCCGATTCCAGCGTGTCCTCGTCCGCTCGCCGACCAAAAAGGCGCAGATTGTGAGCATCGCCTTTCAGACCCGCAAGATTGCCATCGTCGGCTGCTCTGACAGCACGGTGCGCGCCTACGACATCACAAACGGGCACATGCTGCGAAGAATGACAGTGGGCGCTGACCTGGTCGGGGGAGCCAGCAATACGATTGTGTGGGCGGTGCAATCCCTAGCCAACGGCACCATTGTGTCCGGTGATTCTACTGGCCACCTCACATTTTTTGACGGCAAGACGTACACGCAGATGCAGCGCATCCAGGGCCACAAGCAAGACATCCTCAGTCTGGCTGTCTCCTTTGACGGCAAGACAATCTTCAGTGGCGGTATGGACCGCAAGACAGTCCTGTACAAGCAAGGCAGCTCTTCGGACAAGCGCTGGGGCAAGTCCTGGGGTCGCCGGTATCACGAGCACGACGTCAAGTCGTTAGCGACCTTTGAGAGTGGTCCGACAAGTGTTCTAGTTTCGGGAGGTGAGTAACTTGCAGTCGTTCCTGATCCTCAGTCGCTGATCCATCCAGGTCCCGACACAAATCTGGCTGTCATGCCTCTCAAGCAGATGGGCAAGGAGAACCACCGTATCTTGTCAAGCCTGCCGCAGCAACCACCCCTCGCTTCCGCGCCAGCCAGTCGCTTCGTCGTGAGCTGGTGGGAGCGTCAAGTGCACATCTGGGTGATTCACAAATCCGCCAATGACATTATGAGTGGCGCCGACGAGGATATCGATCTCAGTCAAAACCGCAAACTCCTCAAGACTATTATCATCAAGGGCGACTCCAACATCTCCGATGCGACCATCAGCGAGTGCGGCACCTTCCTCGTCGTATCGACTTCGACCGATGTGAAGGCGTTCAAGATCGACCTCCCGACAGTCGAGGAGCCTGGTTACGTCCTGCAACCATCCGATCTCGAGATGTCGACGGTGGAGGTCCCAGCGCGACTCCGGAAACTGGGTGCCTCGAAGCTGCAACTATCGCGCGACCTCAAGTGGCTCTGTGTCGTTAGTGAGGGATCAGCTGTCCGCGTGGTTGAGGTTGAGCGCGAAGAGGACGACATCCGACTTGGGCCGATCCGAAGGCTGCGCCGCTTGCAACGGAGCGTGCCGCGCTACATCCGCATTGGTGGCATGGGCAACTATGAACGGACCATTACACACACCATCTTCAGCCCCGACTCGAAAATGCTGGCGACGGCGGACCTTGCGGGCTACATTGACACATGGGTTCTCAACGCCGAGTCGCAGCACGGTGACGCTGCCAAAAACGGTGAGCCAGGGCAGACCTCTTCCGGGAGCGAGTCCTCGGACAGTGAGGAAGAGTCTGTGGCCGAGGGCAGCGACACTTGGACCCGCAATCCCAACGGCAAGCTCCTCCCCAAACTGCCAGCGGCCCCAGCCGTGCTCTCCTTCTCGGCTCAAGTACCCGGAGAAGACGGGGCTACGGACTACATTCTACTGGGCGTCACCGGGCAGTGGACAGTGAACCTCTTCCATCCCCTGCAAGGCTCGCTGACGCCGTGGTCGAGACGGCACCCCAAAAAGGCGCTCCCCGCACCCTTCCAGGACCTCCTCGACCTCGCCAAGGGCTGCTTCTGGCAGGGTACCCGGGTATGGATCTATGGCGTGTCGTTCCTGGGCATGCTGGACACAAGCCTCGACCTGCCCAGGCCGAGCGACGTGTCCGAGAGCGAGGCTGAGGCGGCGGGCATGAAGCGCAAGCGCACCGGGTACGCCACGGGGGCCGGCAGCAAGATGGCCCAGAGCAGCCTCGTGCCGCACCGCATCAGCCGCCACGTCAACGGGGCCACGGACGAGGATATTGACATGGACGACGTGACCCGTTCCGACGACGAGCATGAGGGTGTGCACAGCGATGACGAGGCCGCTGACGCCGCCGCCGGCCAGCTCGTCCAGACACGCAACGGTCAGGAGGGCAGCAGTGGGGAGTTGTCGCAGCCCAACTCGCACAAGAAGTCCTGGTGGATGACCTACAAGTACCGACCTGTGTTTGGCGTGGTGGCCCTGAGCGAGACCGAGGTTGTGCTCGTGGAGAGGCCGCTGTGGGACGTGGACGTGCCAGACAGGTTCATCGCCGGGGAGCCCTGGGAGAGGTGAGGTCGGTGGTCCGCGGCTTGTTGGAGTCGTTGGAGTCTTGGAAAATGTACATATATACTGCTCTGCATGTACGTGGGCGTTCTGGCGATGTGGATATGCACAAGAGAATCTCCGTAGACTAGACAGTGCAATGCGCATCCTAAACAGGGACAGTGTTGATCGACCCTTGTTCCATCGTGAGCATATTCCTCGCGTTCTTTATAGCTTTTGACCGCCTGAAGTAGGTAGAACATCGTTCTTGCTATAGGACGTGAGACTGGTGTTCGTCACGTGCAGACCGACGTCGTCGAACATGCTAATCGCGATATCTACTGCGCTCGACACGTGCACCAGCACTCTATCAGACTCTTGCGTCTTCTGGTGACGCGCACAGGAAGCTCTGTGGCGACCTGACAACAGATGAAGACGCAGATCCTTGACTGGGATCCACTGCAGCTGAGTCCTGTCTCAACGTGTTTCTGAAACTGGAAAATCGCCCCAGATTGCCACCACTAGCTCAGCAGCTTTTCGGAGTTGGCTGACGCCCCAGGTCAAACTTGAAGTTGAAGCACCAGAAAGCTAATACTACATACTAGTCTAATCGTTGGTCAGGGGTTACCCGACGAGGGTGACGCGGCCTAACCAGGCTATAGATGGGGAAACCAAAGACCACAAAGAGCATGGGAAATTGGAGAGCCGAGAATGGTTTTATGAGAGGTAACTTAAAACGGGAATGCCGCGCGGCATGTTGCTGGTTGCCATGTACACACAAGATCTCCAAGGCCAGGTGTGACCATACGGTGTCGCTGACTGGAGTCTCGACAACCTTTGGGCTTCATTTGGTGATGATTTTCCTGGATTATCGACCATGGTTCTTCTGGGTATGAACATGAGCCCGATGATATCTCAGGCAATCTTTGGGTCCTGTCGGGTAGGCGTACCACCAGGGCCGCGCAATTTTGTAGTCTAGTTACATACGCAGTCCGGCTCCTGGAGCCCCCGACCAACGAAGTGGATAAGGATGGTCAGGCTTGCCTGGCTTAGAGAGGACATCTGTGAACCGGATCTCAATGCCATGTTATTGCGCGTAGCTGTGGAGGGCAGCTGTGCTCGTCGACGCCAGTCGTCATATGCACCAACAAAGCCCAGACAAGAATAAAATCTGTAATTTATTAATACGTGACTGAAGACTGGAGTGGCTGAGGAGGACCGCACAGCCCCTCGATCTCGCAGCTGATTTCCCGCATTCGTCGGTTGGTCGATCCGCGTGGCGCCGTAGCCAGACCGTCCAAGAGACTGCACTTGCGAGGCCCGTCTCCACAGCAGACATCTGATTGGGCCGCCCCGAGGCTGACGCGTACCGTCGCCAGGACCACTCTGTGGGAGCGGAGGCCAAAGGTCTTTCACTCTGCTGGGACGGCATTGCTCAGTGCTGTGTCTACGCCTCCAGGCTGGCGTCCACGCAACCACCACGCAATCTGCGGCAACAAGACTGAGTCCCTTTCCACTTCTAATCCTCCACTTGCTGTTCATCCCCTCGCACACTCGATCCGACAAACGCATCTGCGAAATGCGACAATGAAGCGATATACCACGTCTTGAACTGCGCAATTGACTTACGTCTGCTATCACTCCAATTCCGTCCTCGAAACGACGACGCTCCAGTCCTCACACGACATTGCCCGCTCCCACCCTCGGTCTGTGGCAACCACGACTGCAGGCTTACGACACACGACCCGACCACGCAATCAGAGGACGCTTGCTTCAGCAACCGTTACCACCCTCGCCTTCTTTGTATATCCTCGCCGGCAACGAGCGAACCTCATCCTCTCGACACTTTCGACGACGCACCGATTGACTGACCTCGCTGACGTCGCACCCCCATCCACCCTATCGACAGCATGGCGGGTCGCAGCAGCCCAATAGGCGCTGGGGCCTCTGGCCCAAACGACTACGGCGAGGAATGGGCTCACGACCTGCGGGTGAAGTTCGAGGGACTACTCCGCGACAAGCGCATGAACGACCTGCGCGCATCCTCCCGCCATGCCTCGCCAGCACATGGCCTCTCCGAGCGAGCATCAAGCGCGAACCTGCGAACGTCCAACTCCACAACAGCAAGCCGCCCTTCAACGTCACAAGGGTCGGCACTTCCCTCCTACGCCTCGTTACGGCACCTTCCCATCGTCCCCACGGCGCCCGACGCGAGCGATCGCGAGTCACAAAAGCTCCGCAACCTGCTCATCAGCTTGTCTTTGACACCGACCAAGTACGAGAACCCTGGGCTTCTGGACGAAGCCCTCCAGATCATCCCTCTCGACAGGATATACAGCGAAGCCGAGGAAGAGACCCAGGTACTACAGGCTGAGGCTGAGAGCATGGGCGATGGTCGACGGCCAGAATGGGGATACCAAGATTGCGTCATTCGCGCATTGCTAAGGTAAGCGCTGTCTTCAGACTCTTGCGTCTCGCGCTCCGTCGCTAACAGCAGCAGATGGTTCAAGCGATCATTCTTCACATGGGTGAATAATCCACCTTGCCAGGCATGTCTTTCCCCTACCGTTGCACAGGGCATGACCGCGCCGACGCCTGAGGAGAGTGCGTGCGGTGCGCTGAGAGTCGAACTGTACCGATGCTCATCACACTCCTGCGGGGCATACGAGCGGTTCCCCCGCTACGGTGATGTGTGGCGCTTGCTGCAAACCCGCCGAGGACGGGTCGGCGAGTGGTCAAACTGCTTCAGCATGTTGTGCCGCGCAGTAGGTGGGCGAGTACGCTGGGTTTGGAATGCCGAAGACCACGTCTGGACTGAAGTCTACTCGGATCACCAAAAACGATGGATCCACGTCGATGCCTGCGAGGAGGCTTGGGACAACCCGCGACTGTACACGGAAGGCTGGGGCAAGAAGATGTCCTACTGCATTGCCTTTTCGATCGACGGTGCCACCGATGTCACGCGGCGCTATGTCCGCAAGTCGGAGCACTCACAGAACCGGAACCGATGCCCCGAGGAGGTGCTACTCTACATTCTCAACGAAATCAAGGCCTCGCGCCGGGCCAACATGAGCAAGGATGAACGCTTTCGCTTGGAAAAGGAGGATCAGCGCGAAGACCGCGAGCTCCGTGGCTACGTCGTCGCTATCATTGCCCAGGCCGTGACGGATCTCGTACCCGGCATGACGTCGCCTGCATCCTCTTCCGGCGCCGCGAGACAGCCTAGCCAAGACCACAAGGTGCCTGCCGAGCAGCCTGGGCGTACCAACGTGGGCCGTCTAAATCAGCCATCGCGCAACCCCCCTCTCCCACCAAGGGACTTCAACCACCAGCCCTAGGTGCACCTGAGTCGGTGAAAGTCACATCACCGACATGCACCACCTCTCTCCCTTGTCATATACACAATCGAAATCTCAAGCATAGACCCGGCGTTAGTCGCACCATCTTCCATCACCTCACATTACGATCCTTGCATGCTACGGCAATGCATACGATGAGTTACGTGCAAACGTATATTACACATGACCCTGATTGCATTTCTTTTGTTGGATGTTTGGAGGAGCAACCAGACAATGGCTGGTACGAGTATCTGGACGGCGGAGTTGCTGGGGTAGTTGGGCCGGCATATGTTCTGTTTATGTACAGAGATGAGTTATGGGGCATATCCTGACGTTGGGCGTTCTGGTTGCTTTCTGTCGGTTCGTAGTTGAGTTTGCATGAGCGATGCACTCTGCGTGAAGCCTCCTGGGATGTGTATGTCCCTGCGCTAGCCACTGGAAAATTGATCATTTAATCGCAAGACTGTCACGATTGGCTGCCGTGGTGTTGGTACGGTAATATTGCTCTCGTAGACACCTATATATAAATCATACCAAATGCCTTACAATAACGTAAATACTTAGGTAGGTTTTGCCTCGTGTGTTTACACCAAACATAGAGTCACGTGGCCATGTGTTATCCAGGAGGTGAGTGACGATCCAGCTAACCGGCAGCTCCCGCCAAACTCATCACAGCATTAAAGTCAATCACATTGCTGATCCGTCAGATCGCCTCTTCGATTCTGCCTTGCTGCTATACCAGCCGTAACTCTTTAATTTGAATATCGCTTATTGTAACCATGGCTGGCGTGGCAGAGACAGCCCCTAGGCCCATGTCCAAGCGAGCACATGAGGTTGCAGAGGCCATGCGACTGAACGCAATTCGTGCAAACCGCACCCGTAGGCAAGCTATCGCGCTCGACCTGAATCAACAGTCAGCTTCTGCTCGACAGGGCTCACGAAAAGCTCCTATCGACCTCACGGGGGATGATGGTAACCAGAAGAAAGCAACCAACTCGAAGCGCAAAGCGACCTCTCGGCCCTCCTCGTCGTCATCAAAGTCGGCAGCAAAGCCAGCACCATCTCACAAGGGAACATCAGACCCTCCCCCCACGAAGAAGCGCAAGAAGGATGAGGAGAAGCGTCCGGGCCGATTCCGGCCCCAGCCTCCTCAGTCATTCCACGACATTTATGAGCGTGCGATCACCCAGCGCTTCTTTGTCTTGTCGCGGGCCCGTACCGGCAGCGAGGAGCATCCCGCCGAAATGGTTGAGTTGACGGGTTCGACTGGCAACATCTACACTGTCATCATTGATAATCGACCAACATGTACCTGTCCACACGCCACCAAGAGCAAGCAGTGTAAACACATCTTGTTTGTACGTACATTTCCACACAGAGTCATGAGCGAGACTAACATGTAGCACGTCAGGTCATGAAGAAGGTGCTCAACGCACCCTTCAACCTCGTCTATCAGCTGGGACTCTTGAATTCGGAGCTGCACGCCATCCTCGCCGCGGCCCCGCCGATCGAGGCCCCCGAGGTCGAGCAGGAGAAGCAATCAGACAAGCGCAAGCCAATCGAGGGGGACTGCCCCATCTGCTTCTCGGAGCTGGAGGAGAAGGGCGAGACAATCGTGTGGTGTCGGGCAGCATGCGGCCAGAACATCCACAAGCAGTGCTTCGACACATGGGCTCGCACAAGGGGGGGCAGCGGCAAGGTCACCTGTCCCATGTGTCGGTCTTGTTGGGAAGGCCTTGACGTTCAAGGCGTCAGCAAGATCAGGCGGGACAAGGGCGTCGAGAGCGAGGGCTATATCAACGTTGCCGATCAGCTGGGGATCAGTCGGGAACGGGACTACAGCTCGTATTCTGAATGGTTCGGTCGCCCTCGTTACGATGGTGGTGGATGGAGTCAGAGAGGTCGAGATCGCCACGGCCGTTGGTATTAATTAGCTGCTTTGCGTGGGGGAGAGAGTGGAGGGGTGAGCGGCGGGCTATTTGTCCAACAAAACATCAATGGGAATGCCTCGGATGTATACTCAACGAGGCTTGCATGCGCGAGATGGCAAAGCATTGCGGTGCAAGTTTGTCATTCGTAGTCTGAAGCTTCGCGATAGTCGCGCGCATGACGGGGGCTAGTACACACCAGTACCACCGGCGCTGGGGCGCCATTACTATTGTGCCCATTGCACTCAACATGTGCCATGGGATGTGAAGAAGAGGCAAAAAGCAAAAGAGAAAGCCCAGTAAAGTCAATAGGTAGCAGGGTTTATTGGGGACCCGGCTGAGACCCCTGTTGTGTGGGCTGATCAGGCGGAGGAAACTTGCTCAAACGGCCTCGATATTCCCTCCCCTATGAGCCCACCATCAGCAAGCCAGAAGCAGTCTCTTATCAGCTTGAAGCTGCGAGCTGAGGACACTAGAGCTAATAAGAGACCCTTGAGTGCATACTTAGATGCACGCTAGTAGTGATGGATGAGGGTTCGAATGCGAAGAGGTCCTGCGCTCAACCTTAAAAGGCGGCTGGACCCTTTCTCAGCACCTTGATCGATCAGCTATCGCACCCATTCGAACAACCAAATTCCTCCCCAAGAGACCGATTCCACAGGACTGAAAATGGACCAGGTCGCCAACATCCTGCACCACGTCGTCCGCCATCACGATGCCATGGACCACACGGACCACATGGCCACCACGACGGCGGCCACGGCGGCGGCGGCCATGGAGACGGGCAGCCACGACGACATGGACATGGGCGGAGGCGACGGCACCCCCTGCAAGATCTCCATGCTGCTCAACTACAACACGGTCGACTCGTGCTTCATCAGCAGCGACTGGCAGGTCAAGTCCATTGGCATGTTCGCCGGGTCCTGCATCGGCATCGCGCTGCTCGCCATCTTCCTCGAGCTGCTGCGCCGCAGCGTCAAGGAATTCGACAAGTATCTCGCCAGGCAGCACATGGCCAGGCACGCCGGTGTCGCCGAGGCGGCCGCGAGGTCCTCGGACGAAGGTGTCAAGGGCGGTGCTGTCGCGGGCGTGACTGGTGCTGCTGGTCCCATTCCGCCCTTCCGTCCGACGTTCTGGCAGCAGGGCATCCGCGCGATTCTGCACACGGCTCAGTTCACGGTGGCCTACTTCATCATGCTCCTCGGTAGGCTGGCTCCTCTCGAAAGGCGTGTGTATATGGGTGCTAACAGTCTGGGATATAGCCATGTATTACAATGTCTATATTCTTGTCAGCATCTTCCTTGGTATCTTGGTCGGATCGTACATCTTTCAGTATGAGACTATCGATTTCTCGTACGCATCGCCTTGCCTGGTTCCTAGTAGCAGTTTCGCTGACATGAGCGCGTAGAACACATTCGAACAGTGGCAACAGAGAGCCGACCGTCTGCTGTGGCTAGCGTTGCATGTGTGCGTTCGTTCGTTCGTTCGTTCGTTCGAAGAGAGTAGACTAGATGGTGAAAGTCAGGGGCAATCTGAATGGGTCATGAGCACGGTCGAGCCTCGCGGTGACACTTCTTGTACAGCTCCAAACCATGGAGGGTGATCAGCAGTGAACCTGTTATTACCATCGCTCCCAGTCCATTCAAAAGTGACAATAGAAACGCACGCTTCTGCTAAATCAACAGCGACCTGTGACCCAAGATCCGCAAACACTTTGCCACGTCAAACGTCTCATCCAGGTGGCCACGACACGACCAGACCTTCTCCTGGATCTCGGACGCCTCCTTCACCGTCCCCAGCACCTGTAGGGGCCCCAGTCTCTGCACCATTTGCCGATATCTATCCTCGTCCTCGGCGGGCGCCAGACACCCTGCCACGCAGAAGGGGAACACCATGCCCCGCAGGCACGACCCCCGGGGCATGTCAGCCAGGGCGCAGGTGATGAGTCTCGTGTGGTGCTTAATGTCCTCCTGCTCGGGCTTCCAGCCAAAGACGACAGTGTAGAGATAGAGCAGCACCCCGTGAAGCCAGATCTTGTGGTGCAGGGCCATCAGGGGGCTGAAGTCCTTGACCTCGGAGGGCACCACGTCGCACATCTCCGGGAGCGGGTCCTGGACGACGAGTGCCATCATGGCGTGGAAGGTCTGCCGGGGCGCCGCCTCGGCCTCGGCGTCGAGCGAGCTGAGACTGGACAGGAGGGCGTCGGCGAGGACCTGGCCGCGCGACACGAGCTCATCGACGCACACGGTGCCCGCTTGGTGCTGTTCCTTCTTCCAGGCGTCCAGCGTGGCGACGTCGGCCACCACGTGCATGATCCAGTTGTGCAGGCCGACAAACTCGTCCATGAAGAGCGGACCGGCCGTCTGCGCGTGCTCGCGACACTCTCGGGAGTAGCACGCGGGGATGATGGACGCTTGGTAGTGGCGGAGCCGCGGGGCCCGCTCGAGGGCGATGCTGGACATGATGTCCATGTTGATGAGGCTGGCGGTGAAGAAGCGCAGGGCGGCCTGGTTCGTGCTCCAGGGGCGGCGGACGCCCATGGACGGCGGCGGCCACAGGTACGAGTAGAGGCCGTGGAGGGTGTCGGCCCAGCGGTCGGGCTCGGGCAGGATCTGGAAGAAGAGGGCAATGGCGGCGTCGAGGTGCATCTTCCAGTTGTCGCCATTGCCGGTGGCGACCTCGAAGACGACCATTTGGACAATGGCCTGCATGGCGATGAGCTGCTCGTGGAGGGCGGCCTTGGTCTTGCGGGCGTTCATAGCGGCCATCTCCTTCTGCAGCTCGCGCAGGCCCAGCTGCAGCTGCTCCTGCAGCTTGTCGGCCATGCGGCTCGTGCACTCGGCGTGGACGGCGTCCCCGTTGGCCATGACGACGCCGAAGAAGTACGAGGCCAGCGAGATGGCCGTGTAGTAGACGGACTTGTTGCGCTGGAGAATGTCCAGCACCCAGCCCCGGCCACCGCTGAGGATGGGGGGCCGGTAAAAGGGGAAGAGGTAGGGGAAGACGTAGTCGAGGTAGATCATGATGAAGTGGACGTCGACATCGGGCCCGCCGTCGTCCTGGGCGCCCTGGTGGCTGAAGAGCCGGTTCGTCCAGGTGACCTGAGGTGGTGAGCCGCCGCTGGTCTGACTCGAGGGCGGTGTGAGGCTGCTGGCGTTGTGCGGCTTTGCTGACGACCCCTGCGGTCTCGGTGGATTCTGACGGTGAGAATCGACAACGTCCTCCCCGTTCCCGTGGACGGCGGCAGTAGTGGCGGTGGTGGTGCTGCCCTCTACGCGGTATCGCGTGCCCAGCTCGCCGTCGCTCTGCGTCAGGCTCACGTTCCGCGTGCCCGTCGCGAGCAGGTCCATGTACTTGCGGTCGCGACGCTGGCTGGCCTGCTTCTTCACCTGGGCCTTGATCTTGTCGGCCATCTCCTTCTGCCGGGGCCCTCCATCCATCCAGTCCGGCTTCTCGTCTTCAAAGTGGCAGGCGATTCCTAGCGAGCCACAGCCGTCGCACACGGGGCGCTTCTCGTCGCACTTTTTCCGGCGTAGCCGACAGGTCCAGCAGCCAGCATTGGAGCGGACCTTTGTCGACATCAAGTTCCGGAGCATCGACATGATGGTGTCTTTAGTCGTTGCAGGCGTTGCTGTTCTTGCCGCCTGGTCTTTGTCGCTGTCGTCGCACTCGCACGTTCAAGGCGCGTTGGATCATGGGAGAGAACGAGCAAATGCGCTTGAGGCGGGGTGAGCTGTGACAAGAAGGATGCGCCCGCTCACTCCGTCGCTCAATTGTTCAGGAGGTGGTGGTACGTAGTGAGGTGGGTGGATGAGACAGACAGGGCTGACAAGGCGTGTATCATTCATGCATAACGTACCTTATCCGCGGAGTCGATCGGCGCTTGCTTGACGATTGGAGTCTAGCCTGAATTTGTCAGCTGCAGAGCTGGCAGAAGGAAGACTGGACGCCCTTATTACTTACACGTGAAACAAGCCGACAAACAGGTCATCTGAATGGCAGCGATCACGCGGCAAGATATGGGCACGACTGAGAGGAAGCACAGAGAAATGTGCGTACCATTTGATCAAGCAAAACCCAGTAAAACTCCTTTTCGAACCATAGCAATCTGTCTATAAAGGTACCCTTGCATTTCCATCAAAATTACCGCCCGAGAATACCGAGCCAATCTCCAAGATTATCACTTCCAAGACAGAACAGAAAAGCCACCCGCAATCGTGTCGGTCCACCAATGAATGTCAACCCCTCTTGCCAAACAGTGTTTGCCGTCTGTCCAGCAACCCCAGATCCCACCAGCCCTCCACCCTAGACATGATGGTCCTTCTCTTCGACCGAGCCCTCGCCAGCAGCGGGCTCAGCGGACTCTTTGGCGGCGGCTGGGGAGAAGGAGAAGGAGAAGGATCCTCCGGGATGGGCGGTGGCGGTGGGATCTGAAGCCGAGGCAGGCTCTCCACGGGGCGGGCCACCTCTCCAAACCGTGACGGTCGCTCAGAAGCCGTGGGAGGCGGGGAGGCCCGGTGAACGGGAACAGGAACAGGCAGGGGCAAGGACTCGTGGACGTTGGACCCGCCAGAAGACGACGACGACGACGCCACGGATCCCTGCGATGCGAGCTTGCGCTCCTGTGGCCCCGTCACCGCCGTGGTGCCCAGACTCCGGCCCTTTCGCAGCACGTTCGGACCAGAAGCCTGTCCCCCCACGCCCTGGCCCCCACGGGCGCACCTTCACTCGAGGTCCTTGGGGGCCTCTGACGAGGGCCCCTTGATGCGGCGCCAGAGGCAGACGGAGACAATGGCAGACATGGCAAACATGATGCACAGGGCGGTGCTCAGGCCCCAGACGGCCTTGACCTCGTAGCAGGCCGTCTTGTCCGGGTCCACCCAGAGGAAGACGTTGGAGTTGGTCTTTTTGACGTTGCTGTAGACAGAGTGGATAAAGTTGGCCGTGTTGCCCTTGGACGGGTACGACTCGCACTGGAGGTAGCTGACGGGCTTGCCGAGCAGCACCGCCACGACAATCACCATGATGAGGACCGCCGCGTCGGCGCCCGTGGCGATGAGCATGGGCAGCATCGAGTCGTAGTACAGGATGTAGCTGATGGCAATGTACAGGGTGGCCAGACAGGACTGGACGGGCATTTGTCAGCCAAGAGCTCCAACAGCGAGACCAGAAAGAACAGCAGCAGAGAGAAACGTACCACGACAAGAGTGCCGACCAGCGGAGGAGGCGCAACGTAGCCGGCGTTGACGGCGTCACTGATAAAGTTGGCAGACAGGCCGATGATGGTGAGGAGCGCAATGCCCTCCATGACGCGCATGGCCGTAAAGGTCACGCCCAGGGCGCCGAGAGCAGGGGCAGAAGGCATCCTGAAGAGTGTTGTCGCGGGTGTGATGAGCGAGAGGCGGGGTCTGTTGGTGCCGTTGGCGGTCCGCAGCGGGAGATGCTTCGAGTAGAAGGGCAGAGAAGCGGTTGATGACGCTGCCGGGGAAGAAATGGTGATGGAGTGGCTCGCCAGGAGTCAGGCGAGGGAAGAAAACCGGGTACGGCAAGCAAGTCCTCGTCAGACTCGAATCTGGATGTAATGTACTTGTGGAAAATCTCGGTGGTAGTCGTGAATCAAAAGAGGACGTTGTCTTGGTTGTTTTCGTTCTACTTGCAAAGATGAAACAGCAGGGAAAGCAGACCCAGACCCAGAGATAGGAAAGGACAAAAGAAAGAGAAAAGGAAAAGAGGAGATAGGAAAAAGAGCTTGGTAGGTAGGACGATGTTTGGTTTGATGAGGAGAAGAGAGAAGAGATCGGGTTGAAGAGGCATGTCAATCGCATCTTTATACCAAGCCATGTCGTCCGGACCTCTCTGTTCTTGTCCCATGCGTGCTGGGGAGACAACGCTTCGGCTGATGCCAGAAGTAGCAACGGCGTCAATGGATACACTCGTGAGTCCAGTCAGTGCGCAGTAGCCGCGCATGTTTCAGGGCGCTCAGGGCTCAAGAAAGTCCAAGAGGGAGCGAGGTACGTACACACGCACACGCACGTCGCGACGGGTGCGATCCTGTTGGCTACACAAGCACATGGATCTTGCTTCCAGACTCATCTAGCAGAATGCATGCGCAGGCCACGGTTTCACCAAAGTCGTTGTCGAGCATTTGTCGACGTCCACACGCCGTTATTAGTGGTGTAGGCGCTCTCTGGGCCAATGGCGAGGCTGAGGATCGTCGGCGCTTGACCTGCGATGCAGCCTGCGACCGGGGTCCCCATTGGCTGGGCGCTAAACGTCGGCAGATCCAGCAAAGGACTTAGCCGCGCAGATGGGCCCCGGCCGACGACAAGACCCCGTGCATCGGCATCGATTGGCTTGCGGCGACGCACCACATGTGCGTAGTATGCTGCTGGTCTGTTCCTGCGTGGGCCGTTTTGGAAATCGGTCGCATAATGGGCGAGATGAAAGGCTTGTTTTTCTCCCGTGTGGCTGGTACCATCGAGAAGTGGTGTGCTGCCAGACAGCTCGTCGCCTTCACGTGATGGGTGATGTTGGAAGTGGAGCCAGAATTCATGGTCGCTCAAAGACGAGGAAGGTTTGAGTGCTTGCTTATCGATGATCCGGGAACGCCTACTCTAAAGCATCTCGTTTGATGCGCTCACAACTGTTTCCATGGATCCAATCATGCTGTGTTTTCTTCCCCCCCCCTGCCAAAGGTGAGCGCTCGCAGTCTGCCCGTAATTCAACTTGGCCCATCCGCCACATATAATCTATCCAAGCAAGTCGTCGGATGCGGAGCCGCCTTGAGGCTGTGCGCCGCCGGATGGCTGCTGAGGCGCAGATGACGGGGCACCCCAGATACCAGCGCTGCTCTTCTCCTTGGCCAGCTGGCCCATGGCAGGCCCCGTTGTCGGTGTGCTGGACTTCTTGATGCCAGCGCTCGCCTTGCCCCACAACGCGCCAAATGCGTCGCCGCCCCCAGGCGCAGCGGCCGGCTTGGCGCCAGGGCTTGTTACTGGCTTCATGCTGGCCATGGTACTTGGTGCGGCATTCGAGGCAGACGAGAAGCCCGACATGCCTGTGCTGGCCGGGGCCATACCCGCAGCTGGTGCGGCTCCAGATGACTGCGACTGGATGCCACCGAAATAGTTTGGCCCCGAGGGCTGGAAGCTCGTGGGCTTGGGCGCCTGTGGCTGTGCCGCCGCGGGGGCGCCGAAGGCAGAGTAGTTGGCGCCAGGCGTGCCTGACGCACTCGGTGCCGGCGATATCGACGAAAAGTTCACCATGCTGTTGAGGTTGGCCTGCTGAGGTCCAGACTGGGGCTGCGGTGCTGCAAACTGCGCGGTGCTCTGTGCGGATGGCGGTGATAGTGGTTGCGACAGCACGTTGGAGCCAGATGCTGCTGCAGCTGGGGCAGGCGCAGCGGATTGGAAGTCATCAAACTCGTCGTCGTCGTTGCCAGAAGCAGCGGCAGCGCCTATGTTTCCGCTGGAGACGCCGAAATCCGCCAAACCAGATCCGTCTGATGGCGCTGGCGCAGAAGTGGCCGGGGCAGGGTCATCGAAAGAGAACAGATCCACCTCGGGTTCCTTCTTCTTGGGTGGCTCAGCAGAGGATTTCTTCGAAGATCGCTCAGACCGGCGGGAGGTTCTGGACGAGCTGGCCGCCGGTCTGGTGTCCTCCTCTTCGTCGTACTCCTCGAAACGATCTGACCTCCCGCCCCCGCTGCGGAAGTCATTGGGCTCCTGGCCTCCAAAGCCACCTCCGTCGCCGTACACGCCACCAGAATACCCACCGAACTCGGTAGAGCTGCCGCCGTAGCCACCAGATTCGCTGCCGAATCCGCCATAGCGGCTGCCTCCCCCGCTCGAGAAGCCGCCTCCGATGCCACCCTCGACGCCGGTGTACTTGTTCTTTGTTGCCCTCGCCTTTTTCCTCTCGGTTCGGATCCTTTCGACATCGCCTAGCAGCTCGGCCAGCTCCTTGGCGCGGTTGCGTACGTTGATACCCTGGTCCTTTCCGTTCATGTCGATGAAGTGGAACTGTCGTAGCATCTTGAGCAGCGTGAGATGGCCTCGGGCATCGTCGATGACGCGCTCAGAACCGTGCTTGATGAGAAACTCGAGAAGCTGGAGGGCCTTGTAGATTTGCCGCCACTCCTCGGCGGACTTTTCGGTGAATCGGCGGTAGATCATGGGCATGATCTCGTTCAGAGTTTGGCTGCAGTTGTCAGTTTAACCCAAAAGCGCTTGTCTACGAATGCTCTTACTAGTTGAAGGTGCCATTGGCGATTTCTTGCATCAAGGTTGACGACGCTCCCCAAGGCTCATTATTAGTCGCCTCTCGCACCTGTCGCAGGGTCAGCCAAATGTTTCGTTTTGGCATAGACGAGAGAGGGATATACCTTTGCCTCCATTTCCGTATAGTTCATGACGGCTACACTCGTGTCAGTTGCAGCACGAGGTGCTGTGGCCATAAAGTGACATACCATTCTGCGCCTTCCTGAATCCTGCCTTGAGGTCGTACAAGGTCAGGTTGGAGACCGTGTCTTTCAAATCGTTCAGGTCCATTGTGCTGATGAAACAACTGCAGACGCAGTTGCTGTATCAATGCTATGGTTCGGTTCGACTGCGACGCAAGATTGTCGTCGGCTCGATCAGCGAGCTAGAGACCTATTCGTTGCCACGGTGTTGAATGGCACCAACGCCCGGCTGCGATCCGTAACGTCAGCGCCCAAGCGGTGTTCAGGAGAAAGTCACGTGAATGGCGCTGGCATGCTGGCCAGGGAGCACGACAACTACCCTACAGCGGCTACTTTACTCCGGATCTTCAGATCGAATCCTCTGTCTTTCGGTGTCTTTCGGTGTCTTCCGACAAATAGTTGTTTACTCACTTTGCATGTGCATGGAATTCAACTATGTGGTGAATCCAATCTGTTGAATGGTTGCTTCCGGATCCTAAGCTGATGATAGTACTCCGTACATCATTGCCAATTTGCATCAGGTTACTCCATGAGCAGCGGAACAGAAATGTCTAAACAGCTTTTACCCCGACGATGCTTTGGGGAATATACGTGAAGATGGTACTTCGCTATGGATTTGCAAATGTCTCACAAGACCGTTAATCTGCATACTGGAGAGACGACTTATAAATTCTGCATCTGCTTTCGAGGCATGTCGCCCTCCCAACTCGGTGACCCCAGAGCTGTGGTCCCGTTGGCGCGGAATTCCGAAAACGAGGCGCGTCCCCATTCGCGCCTCCATGGCAGACTCCCGGTTCGTACCCCTTGCAGGCCAGCGGACTCGCAAATTCTGTGGACCTGAGACTTCAGGCCACTATTTTGACGACAGCTCAGGGTCATAGAACTTTTCTCGACCTTTACTTTTCAATTCACCAACAACTGTACACTATTTCATCAACTGTATCATCACAACCATCGCATCCTCTTCGAGCAGCTTCCGTCTGTGTATTACTACCAACGAGTATGTCAATGTTGCTCTCTTTCCGTCCCACGCAGACCCTATCGCCTCGAGGCATGCACATGAGATCAGGGGCTCAGTGCCACGCTGCAGCGCAATGGGTTGGAGGCAAGCGGTGTCGGTGACCAGCATGCACTGCCCCCCGGACACTGCAATTCTTGCTCTCCATGGTCCCTGTCTGGATGCTGCCATTGGCGGCTCCAGTCGCGTCTCCTGTCAGCTTCCAGTCGACTGTATTCTGGAGATGACGGGTAGAGGAAGCCTCCTGAGCCACGGCAGCCGGCTGCATAGCACGGGGGGCATGCACCTTGACTGGTCAAACGTGTTCGCGCTCTCCTTACTTGCATTTCGCAAGCTCTGCATGCTACAACCACACGCACGTCGCAACTGGCAGTTGCGCGAGACTTCGGTTTCGGTCGGAGCTTTGGTGCAGCCAGCTGTGACTGAGGCTCAGAGACATGGAGTTGCTTGTTTCCACAGCCATTGAGCCAGCCACTGCACCCCATATTAGCCACAAGACTCGGTTTGGGGTCATTTGCGCAGCACCAAAGCTTGCACAATGCCTGCGACCCTTTCAAGCTAATTCAATGGCTCGAGCCCTCTGCCGTCACGGTGCTCAGAGCTCCCAGACGCGACGAGTTGCACGATTTCTACATACAGACCCCGCAAGCCCCGCAGTTTTCCCCTTGATCCGTTCTCTCCCATTGGAGCCTCCAAGCTAACATGCCCCTCCAGCTCCGCCGCCATGATGCCAGCAACGATGAGACCCCTCCAGCACCTACCCCGCCAGGCCATTCGCTTGCCTGCGTCGAAATCTTTCTCTCTCCCTCTCTCCGTAAACACCTCCAGACAAGCACCTCGCTTCTTCACATCCACCACGATCAAGATGAGCGACTCGAAGCCTCTGCAGGAGAAGACTGGCGGCAAGCCCCCGGTGTAAGATCAGCTCCTCCTCTGGCGCGGCCTGAGGACCATGGCCAGCCTCGTCTTCAAAGGACATCTCACTAACATACCATAGCTTCTTCGAGATCTCTTGGGAGGGCCCAGTCATGCAGGGTGGACAGCCCACCTCTCAGGTCAAGGGTAAATTGTGCAAGCTCGTCTTTTCCAACCCAATGCTAACACTAGACTTGTAGAGCAGACTGGCACGATCAAGTTCCACCTGTACGACGCCATCGTCCCCAAGACTACCGAGAACTTCCGCGCTCTCTGCACCGGCGAGAAGGGCTTCGGCTACCAGGGCTCTTCCTTCCACCGCATTATCCCCGACTTCATGCTCCAGGGCGGTGACTTCACCCGTGGTAACGTACGTGGCGAGCGACAACAGACATCACGATGAGGGCTTGGACTGATAACAATGCAGGGCACTGGTGGCAAGTCCATCTACGGTGAGAAGTTTGCCGACGAGAACTTCCAGCTCAACCACGTCAAGCCCGGTCTTCTGTCAATGGCCAACGCCGGCCCCAACACGTTAGTGTGCTCACTCCTCGCTGAACAAAACAATATGTTAACAGAGTCCAGGAACGGCTCCCAATTCTTCATCACCACCGTCGTCACCTCATGGTTGAACGGTCGCCACGTCGTCTTCGGCGAGGTCGACCAGGAGGACGGCTCTATGGACGTCGTTCAGGCGCTCGAGGCCACTGGCTCCGGCTCCGGTGCCGTCAAGTACGGCAAGCGCCCCACTATCGTGAAGTCTGGCCTTGCCTAGACGGGTGGAGTGTAATGGATCGAAGGTTGTTGCCGTCAGGATATTGGCATACCCTCCTTTCCAGAGAGGTCGAGGCATCGTGTAATAAATATCAGACCGATAGTCGGAAACATTAAATCGGGCACCACATATTCCATCTGTGGCCAGGAGAAGCTACATTTCAAATATACCCAAGGTCATGGGCATTCCCATGGCAACCACTCTCGAGGGCAGTGTGCTCGCCAACCGACGTGTCAACAATGTACACGGAATTTATTAAGCCTGTTCTGTTGTGGTCATTGCCGCGCTTCTTCTTCTTCCCCAAGCCATTTCGCGTAGTATTCGCAGTTGCTCGGGCCGACGGGCCCTCCATCCTCGCATATCTCGAAGACAGGACATCGTCCACACGGAGCTTCTGTGTACGGGCTGATGTACGGTTCTGGGTTGCCGTCCATTCCATCCTCGCGCCCTGCCCACCCTTGCGTAGACTGCTTGGCGACCCTCGACACTCTGTAGCCAGTCTTGCCCCCGACTCGTATCGGCTCGATCAGATTGTCCCACACCAACACGTCCACGAGCTTCTTCACGTCCATCTCGGTCAAAATGGTGTTATTCGTGATACCACTGGAGGACAGAAGCCGCGCAATATCCTTGACAGTGGGATAGCCCGTGAAACCAGCGGGCAACGGCAAGAGCACGTCTTTCCTCGGCGTTGACATTGCCGTGGTCTTGGCCGCCTTGGGAGCCGGCTCCTCCATCTCGCTCGCCGCCCGTTTCTTGCCCCGGTCTTCTCCCTTGATCACACCCTTTTTCGGCACCTTTTGCGTTCTTACATCATGTCCGTGCCGGCTGACGTAGCTGCTCTGCCGCTTAATGAAGTCAAAGACAACTCTTTGCAACTCCTCGATGAACGCCTCGTCCAGGTTCTGGTCGGTGTACCACGGTCCGCCGGTGGCTCGATCGCTCGGTTGGATGGATGCCTTGATGAACATCTTCTTGTTCGGATGCTCGACGTTCTTGAACGGGACGATGAGACCCTTGGTCTGCAGCTGTTTCAGGGCGTTCTTGAGGACGGTGTCGTGCATGTTCAGTCGTCGCTGGAGGGTCTGCGACCAGAGGCCATCGCCGCCCGAGTCATCGATCAGCGAGTAGACCATGCTCTGCTCTTCCGTCGTGCACTGCTTGTATCTGCGATCCAATGTCAATCCTCTGCCAATCGCCCCGCATGAACGTTCCCGCCCACTCACTTGTGCGCCTCCTGCGCGTCGCGCCATTTCCACGAGAAGGACCCTCCCGCTTCGCGCATCGTCACAAAGAGTTTGTCATCGCTGAGAGCCTGCACCGTCTCGGCCAGCAGGACCATGTCGCGATTGGGAATCACGTCGAGGGCGAGCAGATCCTCCTGCGTGAAGAGGTCGTCCTCGCGCCCAGTCTCGCGGACCTTGTCGTAGAGCATCTGCTTCATGAGGGCAAGCTTGGCAGCCTTGCCCTCCTCTTTCACCGCGGGAGGCATCGTGGGTTTGTCGTGGAGATGAGTCAGGGAAGGGATTCGAGATCGTTATGGTCGTCCGGGACAAGGGCTGTCGCCTCTACCGAGGCCCAATTACACAGCGCAGAAAAGGCGCTGGATATGAAATATGCGTTGGGCCTTTGGGGAAGGGCGGCGCCGAGTTTGAGTCGCGTGTGGAATTCTGGTGATAAAAAGTCGAAGTTTTGGGCAATGCCGCGGCGGGTGCCCCGCATAGATTGGCAGCCTTGCAGGACAGCGTGGGTCCGAGCTAGAGGAGGGTGGGGGACGACAGCTCTCAACTCAGACGCTCACAAGAAGTCCATGTATCTCTCTGGACAGGGTCACTAGCGCCATAGTGTGTCTGCTTGATCAATATCCTGATCAGAGGTGGGACCCAAATCGAGCATAGCTATGTGTATTGGCCTGCAAGCACTATTGCGACTGAAAGCTGCACGAGGCCACAGATAAGTCTGTGCTTTTGTGTACGTACAGTTAGTGATATATACGTCTGTCACCATTGGAATGCACGCCAAGTTTACCATCCGCGATAGGTGTACAATTCCTGAGACTCCATAGTACGATCAATAATTGACTGCAAGATGCCTAGCTCAACCGTTCCCTACTGGCTTCACGTGCCCCTCCCTTTTGCGCCGCAAACTCCCATGCCCATCGTAATGTTCAAGCCATGCAAGAACCCCAAGCCCTGGAGTATATATAACATTGAGAGAAAGTAAAACCGAAACCAGAAACCAATGTCAAGACGCTGTATGCCAATTCTAACATGTCTCAGCTGGCGGCGGTGGTATCTTCAGGCTCCTTTGTGTCCTTTGCGGGCTCCTGATGATCGCCCTTGTCCTTGTCCTCGCCCGTCTTCGGTTGTTCCGGGTCGACGTCCATAGCACTGGACTCTGTCGCATCCTTACCAGCAGAGTCCACTGCTTCCACTGCCTCCGCGGGCTTTTCTGCAGATTTGCTGGCCTCTGCTTCTGGCTCCTCCCTGGCTTCGGATGTGGCTTTGGCTGCTTCTTCCGGCTTGCCGTCGGCCGAGGCAGCGGAGTCTGCGGTTGTCGCGGCGGCTGCCTCAGTGTCGACTTCCTCGGTCTTGATGACGGCTTCATCCGCAGGTGCCTCGTCGTCCATGCCGACGTCACCATCGTGGTCGACTTGCGTCGCATCGTTGGTGTCGTTTGCGCTCTTTCGAGGCTCTTCCGACTTTTGCGCTGGTTCAGTCTCAGGCTCCTCGACTGGGCGTTCTGGCATAGCCACGTCGTCGATGGTATCATCGTTGGGGTCGTTGGGCTCGTTGACCTCGCCTGCAGGCGGCTGCGCACCTTGCTCATCATCCTGATTGGCACTCCGCGACCGCTTGCCGTTTACACCGTCTCCGTTTGCTTCACGGTGATCGTCAAACGGACGCTTCTTTTCGGTAGATCGCGTAGCGCCATTAGCCCTGGCGTGCTCGTCATCGTCGCTCGCCTCAAACTCCGCGCCGTTCTCGACATGCTTGTCCCATTGTCTTTCCGACATGCGGACGTCCTTGTTCTCGTCCTCATCTAGATCATCCAGCTCTGCTTCCTCTTCATCGGTCATGCCACCAAACGGTTTCCGCGGGACGTCTTGCAACTGCACGGACGGAGCAGGTCCAGTCTGGCGCAGATTGTCGATAACTTGTGCTGTTATTTTCTCAAGGTATTCGCGACTGTTGGAATTCTCCATGTTGGAGGATCGGACGTTTAGCTCAAAGTCAGGAGCGTAATACTGTGCATCATCATTAGCTTCGGCTCAAACCAGAGCATGATCTGGCGCACTCACCTCGTAGTACTCATTGTATGGTAATGTTCGTTGCATATTGGCGCCAACAAGCACGCCAGTCTCAAAGGCCCAGGTACGGGCAACGTTTCTCATGGTGTAGCCACCGCCACCGAGCACCAGAGTCGGTAGATTGTAGCTTTTGACGAAGCTCACACAGTTAGCGTGGCCGTCCATGCTCAGATTGAAGCAGCCCAGTCGATCTCCCGAGAGACTGTCTCCACCACACTGAAGAACAACAGCTTCGGGCTGATAATAGTTCATGACCGCATCGATCACAGGCTCGAAGATGGATTTGTACGATTCGTCCGTAATGCCGTCGCGCAGTGGGTAGTTGACCGAGTAGTTTTTGCCTTGACCGATTCCGATATCACGCAGCTCGCCCGTTCCAGGAAAGTATTCGCCGTATTTGTGGAAAGAGACTGTCATCACGCGATCGGTCGTGTAGAAAGCTTCCTCCACGCCGTCGCCGTGATGCACGTCAATGTCGATGTACAGAACGCGCTTTTTGAATCGCAAGAGCTCGAGAATGCCGAGGACAATGTCTACTGATCGTTAGCGAACCCCTCGCAGCCGACGGACCAGCACTTACCGTTGACGTAACAAAAGCCACTTGCCTCCGACTTCTTCGCGTGATGAAGGCCACCCGCCCAATTGACCGCAATGTCGCATTTCTGGCGGTTCAATCGCGCTGCTCCCTCCATGCTGCCACCGGCGCTGATACCACAGAACTCAAAGAGGCCATCAAACACGGGGCAGTCGTCGCCCACGTTGTACTTTCCTTGCTCCCGCATGTAGCTGTCCATATTGTCGGGCGTGACCTTTTGCAAAAAGTCAATGTAGTCGTCGGTGTGAAACTGCGTCATCTCTCCGCGCGTGGCAGGTTTCGCGCGCTGTGCGCCATCAGCAGCCGTACACATACACTATCGAGAGTGGCACTCACGTAAATCTCCATCTTCTGGTACAAGTCATACTGCATAATTAGACTGTGCGCGAGACGGATTCTGTGCGGCTTCATGGGATGGCCCGTGACGTAGGCATAATTGCCAATGTCCGAGTCGTAAAAGTAAGCGACCTTCTTTGGAGACGAGTCGTTGTTCAGAGCCTTTGAACCCAGCTGGGTTGCCATGGCTTCGTCGTCACCCATGTTGGTCCGAGTGTCAAAAAAACTGATGAAGGCTTGTCGCGGTTATATCGATGGCAGCCTGGTTGGGGTTCGAGCATAATGCACGCAAAGAGTGCTCGTAGACGTCGGGTGGGAAGGCGGACAGAAAGGGTTGACTGAGATCGGCGGCGCGCGCTCTTACACCAGCTGGCGCAGATTACCTAATTACAAGGAGCAAGGCTGCGTAGCCTCGTGCCCGTGTGGCTAAGCAGTCCCTCTGATTGGCCTCTGCAGCAGCAGCTGGCAACGAACGCCACACAGGCGTAAAGTTACTAAGCAACCCGGTGGCAGCTCCCAGAGCACGCTCAAGGCTGCAGGCACTGGCGTCAACGCCATCGGCCTAATAAGGTGATCATCGCACTTCCAAGCTCCACCACCTTCTACGCAATTACTTGACGACCTCAACCAGTCTCCTCCGCCAAACAGCTTCTGTCAACCAGTCACACCACAAAACACGGGAACAGACATCATGGAGCGCTTTAGGCATCTTCTTGGAGGCGGCGGCCTTGGTGGCGGCCCTGCGCCTGGCCAGGTGAGCTCCCTTGAAGCTGCGATCCCTTACGCCCAAGATTTGCGATAGCTGACGTCCGACAAAGGACAACTCGAGCCTCATCGATAACTCCGAGACAGTGTACATTTCCTCTCTAGCTCTTCTCAAGATGCTTCGACACGGCCGAGCCGGTGTGCCTATGGAAGTCATGGGCCTGATGCTGGGCGAATTTGTGGACGACTTCACGGTCAAGGTCATGGATGTTTTCGCGATGCCGCAGAGTGGTACCGGTGTCAGTGTAGAGGCTGTCGACCCAGTTTTCCAGACAAAGATGATGGACATGTTGAGGCAAACAGGCCGGTAAGAACAACTTGGCATATTGATGGCTGCTAAGCAGGACTGACTGACACGCATAGGCCTGAGTCTGTAGTAGGCTGGTATCACTCGCATCCTGGTTTCGGATGCTGGCTTTCGTCGGTCGATATCAACACACAGCAGTCATTCGAGCAGCTCAATCCCCGAGCTGTCGCTGTGGTCGTGGACCCCATCCAGTCGGTCAAAGGCAAGGTCGTCATCGACGCATTCCGCCTGATTAACCCACAACTCTTGATGATGGGTCAGGAGCCCCGTCAGAGCACGAGCAATCTCGGGCACCTGAACAAGCCATCGATCCAAGCTCTGATCCATGGACTCAACCGGCACTACTACTCGATTGGTATCCAATACCGCAAAACAGGCCTGGAGGAGAACATGTTGATGAACTTGCACAAACACGTCTGGACCGAGGCTCTTGAGATGAACGATTTCAAGGCGGAAGGCACCAAGAACAAGGACCGACTGAAGCAGCTGGTGGACTTGGCGGATGGCTACGAGAAGCGAGTCAAGGAGGAAACGGAGCTAACGAAGGAACAGCTCAAGACGCGCTATGTCGGCAAGCTGGACCCCAAGAAGCATCTCGAGGACGTTGGGCGCGAGCTCATCGAGGACAACATTGTTGCGGTGTCGCGGCAAATGATCGACAAGGAGGCCGCTGTGCCAAAGAAAGAGGGTCGAACGGGCATGGACAACGGCGTTGTGGAGGAGATGGAAGTGGAGGAGGACTTATAAGCTCGGGCGAACTAGAGCATTGGCTGGCCTGGGAATGTAGGACTAACCGGCGTTGGGGAACAGCTTTCGTCAGGATTTAGACGACACATAGGCCCGGCGTGCTCGATCATACATTTGGGTTCAAAAATCAGCGTCTCCTCGTGTCCTCGCGTGTTTCGCCATGTCCTCTGCTGGCCTCCCCTCAGCTTGGTACTGTTCACCAACAGAGTGTGCAGTTCGTCTCGGTCAAGCTTGGTTTTCCACAAGAACAACCACTATATTGCTCATATTCGCGATCTTCCGTGAACAATATAGGCTGCGAAGTTTGAAGGCCTAAAATTTCTTCACTCTCAGAACATGTATTCACTTTCTTTATTACGACAAATCAGCAGCTACTAACTTCAAGCTCGCTCACCATCTCAGCCTCTTTGCAAACCCAACCACACATTCCCACACGCTCCTGTCGGATCCTCGTCTTATCTCTCGAGGATAGGTAAGATGTCGTTCCATGCACTACTGCGCGCAGCCGCTCGATGGCCCATGGCATTCCTGTGTGGCATCGACGCTCGGGATAACCGTCGAGGTCGCATCCGAAAGCCACGCCCTGTCGTCGACGTTGCCGTCCCAAACAACGCTAATGATTGGGCCCAGCACACAAATAAGGTGATTCAAGAGCACGCGCCCTCCAAGGGCCCCCCTTCCGGTGTGAAGCACGCGGCTGTACCTCGTCGACCTGTGCCCCAGCGATCCATCCCTCGCCGACCCGTCGGTGCACCAGTCAAAGCTTGCCGGCAGACCACCAAGGCTGTCGTTGCACCTCTAAGAAGCCGCCAGGTTTTGGAGGACCACTCACCGATGGAGCCCCAGGTGGTGGTGGAGCTGGTCGGTACAATTGCCAGAGTGTTTTCTCATATCCCCTACGCAGTCGTCGGGCTTGCTGCCATGGTGTGTCACGGCCTGCCTGGTGCGAAGCCCAGCCGGATCGTCCTCGCCTGCCCTGGGCATGCCAAAGACGTGGTCCGAGGCTGGGCCGTCGCCCAGGGCCTGCGATCCGGCCACGCCCCCAACCTGTTCAGCGTCATGTCTTCCGACGGCAGGATGCGCGTGGTGGAGATTGGCTACATTGCATGTGGGTTTGAAGCACTGGCAATCACTCACATGGGCGCTGACCAGGCCAAGATCTTGTCGCTGGCGACGATTGCGAATCTCATCGCCACAGCGTACGTGCGCGAGCTCACCATTGCCACGACCAACCACCACCGTCAGGATACCCATGCCAACGATTTGCGCTGGGTGCTGTCCGCCATGATTCAGCGTGGCGAGCGACTGAGCTATCCGCTTGTGGGCTCAGTCATGACCCTTGAATTCTGGGTACCCTTTACGACGGCCTACCCTGACACCGTAGGCCTTTTTGCCGATGCTGGCCTGGCTGCGGAGGTTGATCCCGAGGAGCGGTTTGCTCTGGAGGAGGACTTCGCCCTCCACTACGACGACTCCGAGACCTCGTCGCGCTGGTCGTGCGAGGGTACTCTGGGGCTTTACTGAAGCTGTGCTCATGCAAAGGTAGAGGCTCATGTGTAAGTCTGTAGCGGGTTATTTGACATGTGTTGTTTGGTATGGCTGCACGTTTCTTATCACTATGCTTTGTCAGCTACAGCTCGTCAGTTCCATAATCCGTCAATTGACACCAACAGCACATCAGTATACTTGTACACTCAAGGAATAAAACAACTTCTTATGTTTCGACCCCATTCCCATCAACTGTCTCATCTAGTTTTGTCCACTGACCAGTTTCATTCTCACTTTACCCAGCACAAAATCACCGCTCCCACCCAGGAGAAGCTTGGAGGCAAGGCCGTCCGTCCTGCATACACCGTTCTCGGATTTCGCCGGTGCATAGGCAAGGGCCCTTGAGGTTGCGGAAGAGATGCCCTGCCCCGGCACATTGGTCCGGAAAATATCCTAGAAATAATGGCGGTGTTTAAAATATTTCTCTCTCTCTGCCGCATGTCGCTGAACGTTTTGGATGTGTCAATGATAGATGTGGTCAAGGGGCGGTCTTCCACCTCGAAGGCACAGTATTGAGGATTGTGCCTATTTGGGTAGTCACAGGCATACTCTGGCCAACCACATCGCGTGCTCCCGGTTATGGCGGGCCAGTCCAGCGAGGCGCAACAGATTCGATTCACTTGGATGGACAAGTTCAGGGCACAACTTTGAATCACATCTTCGAACTGCCTCAATATACTTTAATGCGCATGACACAGTCCTGTCTTGGTATGTATACTGATAGTTCACTTTGCCAGCAGAACCGGTGCATCATCCGGCGAAGCATAAAGGCTCCGCCAGGCGTGATGGGAAGCGGACTACCCTGTATCTATCTATGATGCTGATACACAACACAAGGGGCTGGGGCCGATCCAATGCTCTTACTCATCAGCCTCAGCCGGCCAGAAGAACCAGGTCACAGCCATGGTGAATTTGATAATGGCGGCCAGCCAGAGGGCACCCTCAATGCCCACAGCACTATGCGCAAAGAGACCACCGGCGACGGCGCCGGCCAAAAGCAGCAGCGGCGCTGCTGCCCTCCGATTCCTCTCGACATTGTTCACGGCAAACAGGTCCTGGTCCGAGAACAGATCACAGTAAATGCTGGTCAGCACGACACTGGTGAGGGCGTTGTATTTGAGCGCGCGACTCGTGACAGCCTGCCCGCAGCTCTGGAACGCCACCAGCGCCAGGGGCAGGAGGACGTTCCAGGAGGTCGTGTCCGGGCTCTCGGGGGCATCTGTAAAGGTGACAATGCAGGCGGCGGCCACGGTGAGGAGCGTCTGCGCCAGGAAGGACACGCAGAGGACCCAGCGACGCTTGGGGGAAAAGTACCGGTGGAAGCGCGCGAAGAAGAAGGAGCCCACGCAGAAGGAGAGCAGGGAGATGCCCGAGCGGAAGAGACGTGTTGTCACTGGCGGATAGGCGAGGGAGGCCAGTCCCAGGCCCACGTAGACGGTGTTTCCTACAATTACACGGCGGTCAGCATTGGGTTGCTCTTGGGCGAGGACTACGCGTTGACCGCACCAGTTTGCATGGAGACAAAGGCGCCCCAAACGAGAGTGGAAGCGCTGTCGAGCAGCCCCGTCACGACGTAGCAGAGGAGCAGCATGAGGTCAGCCCACGAGCGGTTGATCTCGACATTGAGGGCCTTGTGACATCGCGCGACGAGGGAGGCGGACGGCGCCTTGGTGCCATTGCCACCGAGTAAAGGCTGCTGCTCGCCGCCGTTGACGTGGGAAGTCATGTTGGCGCTTCCGAGGGGCAGAGAGGCAGGGACGTGAGGTTGTGGAAGGGAGGAGGTGAGTTGGAAAGTGAAGGATGAGCTCGCGTGCGATCAAATTATCGAACGACGCTGAACGGTGGTGGAGACGATGGGCGGGCAATTGACCTAGACGGCCTACCTGGGGTATTGCGCCGTATCCTCCAGTCCAGCCCTGTACGTACTCATCAAGAGCCTCCACGACTCAATGGCTCGAAGATCCTCCGCAGCTAAGTACATGGACACTCCAACAGAATTGACCGACACCCAAGTCCAAGACTGGAGAATGGGCGTCACTCGACTTCAATCCGGGCACGTCGAGTCCGTAATTAGCTCCAACAACTCCATGACCCGTCCATGTCTTTCCCTGGGCGCGGCAGTCAGCAGTGAGCAGTTTTCACAGTTCAGCGCTTCGCTCTCCACTGTACCGCAGGGATCTCAGCGCTGTAATCCACCTACCTGTCCAGGTCCGGCCTTTAGGCCCCCCCGGCGGCCCAGCCCATGTCCAGTCCAACCCCGAACTTCAGCCAGCTTCGCCGCCTGCCGTTGCTGTCCGCGTAATTCCCGTCGGGGCTCCATCGGATATGGTTCGGTGTCCACAGCGTCCATGTCACGGTCCTGCTCCTGACTCCTGCATGTACTCCAGCCCCGAGTCCTGCCCCACCCGCTCATCGTTCGCAACTTCGTAGCACTACCCCGAGAGCTGGTGAGGGGACGCGACGCTTCCCGCTCGCGGCTTCTTCACTCCATTCTCTCGGACGGTTGGCTCTGTCCCCTGTCCCAGGCCCAGAGGACCAGACGACCTGGAGTCTGCCGGTGACGGCTAGTCCAGGTCCCCAGGACCAGCCAGCCCTCGGTCACCAATTCAAGGAGCGCGCAGCAATGCCGGCTTGTGTAAGGTACCTACCTAATTATGACGGCAGCTCTTGGTCAGCTCCAGTCTCCTCGCATCGTGTGCTGCCTTTATAAGACGCGTCGCCCAGCTCCTCCTCCCCTCCTCTCCCCCAATTGAGTTCCCAACTACTGCATGTAACAGCCAGCATACTTCCATTGCCCCTACAGCATGAAGTTCACACGCCCCGTCCTGCTCGCCGGCGTAGCCTCTGCGCTGCCTCACTTTGACAGCCCCCAGCAGCGCCTCCTCAACGGCCTCGAGCTGCCAGACAAGTGGCTCCAGTCCAAGGCGACCCCGGGCAAGGGCAAGCCCTACACGCCCGAGCACCGCGATCCCTATGACAGCGCCATCGATCCCATTGGCGACGATCTCGACCCGCTGCCCTGGCGCAACGGCAAGGGCGCGAGCGTGCTGGGACCGTGGAACTGGGAGCGCAGCCGCGAGAACCCCGACCTCGTGCGGCCCCCCAGCACCGACCACGGCAATGTGGCCAACATGCGCTGGAGCTTTGCCGACTCCCACATCCGCATCGAGGAGGGCGGCTGGACCCGCCAGACGACGATGCGTGAGCTGTCGACGAGCACGGAGCTTGCTAGCGTCAACATGCGCCTCGACTCGGGCGCCATCCGCGAGCTGCACTGGCACAAGGAGGCCGAGTGGGCGTACGTCCTGGCCGGTGAGGTGCGTATCACTGCTCTCGACTACGAGGGCGGCTCCTTCGTCGACGACCTCAAGGAGGGCGACCTGTGGTTCTTCCCCAGCGGCGTCCCCCACTCGCTGCAGGGCCTGGGCGAGAACGGCACCGAGTTCCTGCTCGTCTTCGAGTCGCCCGGCGAGATTGGCGGCGGCAAGTTCAGCGAGGAGAGCACCTTTGTGCTGACCGACTGGCTGGCGCACACGCCCAAGAGCGCCATTGCCAAGAACTTCCACCTCGACCCGCAGGTGTTCGAGCACCTGCCGGCCAAGGAGAAGTACATCTTCCAGGGCTCGCAGCCGGGGGCCATCGACAAGGAGAAGCCGACGGGCAAGTACGTCAAGAAGTCCAAGGACAACTTCACCTACCGGCTGCTCGACCAGCCGCCCAAGGTCGTCTCGGGCGGCGAGGTGCGCATCGCGGACAGCACCAACTTCCCCCTCTCCAAGACGGTCGCCTCGGCCCACGTCACCATCAAGCCGGGCGCCATCCGCGAGATGCACTGGCACCCCAACGCCGATGAGTGGAGCTTCTTCATCAAGGGCCGTGCGCGCGTCACCATCTTCGCCGCCCAGGGCGAGGCGCGTACTTTCAACTACGTCGCCGGCGACATTGGCATCGTACCCCGGAACCACGGCCACTACGTCGAGAACATTGGCGACGAGGACATTGAGATGCTCGAGGTCTTCCGCGCCGATGCCTTTCGGGACTTTTCCCTCGAGCAGTGGCTGCTGTCGACGCCGGAGCGCATGGTCCTCGACACCATGTTTGCCGACGACAGGGAGAGCGGCGATGCCTTTTGGAACCAAATCAAGGACAACAAGAAGGACGAGGTCACCAAGCCTTGAACTATGGAGTTCTTCCACCGTGATGGATGAGCGGCCAAATGGTTCTGTTTCATTGCTGGGGAAAATCCTTATCTAGGGCGAGAATAACTCGTAATGCAAGCATTTCATTGCGTCTAATGCAACATGTTTACTCAAGATGTCGTGCTATCGTTGTCGTTGCTTATACGAAGGAGAGAGCACCGACACAAGGAGGAAGAGCCACGCTTGCGTGCCATTGCAGCGCCCAAGAAGAATGTTGACAAGAAAGGAGACCCACGCGGCTACCCCCTCTCACTTCAAAGACGCACGCAGAACAGGCAGGTCCTTGAGGAAGCTAACATGATGGCATGAATTGTGAACAGTACACCGAGAGGTATGCGTGAACACGTCAATCCTGAGCCTACTCTTGAAAGACCACCAGCCGCCTGGACGTACGCAGGCAACAGGCAGCAGGCTCCCAAGGCCCCTGTCTGTTTGAATTTCTGTGTGCCTGTCTGTTTGCCTTTCTGTATGTCTGTCTGTCTGCCTGTCTGCCGTGTCACAATGCCCCCTGTTGCGGCAAAACGTGGTTTCGACTCTTCGAGACGCGATACCACCCACCCATCGCGGCGAAAGATCGGGTTTTACAAAGATTCAAAATTTCCGAATTCCTCTCCCGCCCGGATTGATGTACATCAGGCTTAATCTAGAGGCAAGATCATGGTGATGGTGGTGGTGGTGGTGGTGGTGGTGGTGGTGGTGTATTGACAAGTCCGCAGTGGATGTGCCGAGCTCCGGTCATGTCTCCACTTTTAGATCGCCGCGGTTGCGGGGTTAGCTTCCGTTAAGGTGGGGCCGCCTGCTCGCTCTCCACGCGGCCGCGCACTCAGACATGGTTCACCTACATGTACATGTACAATGCATGTAACGTCCACGGAGCGGGCGTACTTGGGTACTTTTTGTCGGCGACAGTGAGACAGAGGTTGAAGGCGCGGCCGATAGAGTAGCATCTGACATGAGTCATGCGTTGAGAAGTAACACAGCCATACCAGGGTAGTAGCAAGGGATAGACGGAGCGACGCGCGATTCCACTTCGAATTCAGGAAGCCTGTCCATGATGCATTCATTCATGTTGGCGACCTTTAAAGCGGCCGAATTCACACCCCGATGCCCCATCAGGGCAAAACAACCCCGCTCGCCCCGATGCTACTCGCGCAAGATGATCGGCGTCACTCCTGGCGTGAGCGCCTGGCTCTCTGTGCCCTTGGTTGAAACCGGGCATGCAGACATATTAGTACGCTGAATCAAAGAATTCCAGTCGCTGTTAGCAAAACCTTTTATTATTTGTTATTATAGACGCTATCACGGCTTTGTCACTAGACACATAAGGGGTCCCGCACGAATCGTCGTCCAAGCAAACTGCATGGGATATCACGATGGAATAGGCGTCGAATGAGAGATATGTGTGCCCCAAATTGCTCTGAAGCGGCTTGCTCATATTTCAAGAGTAGGGATTAGGACGCTTTAGCTGAATTTGACGCCTGCGGCATGTCTCCCCGCTTCCTGCCAGGCACACACGTTAACAAACGATGACGACTACATACTAATCTCTGTTGATATTCGTAGTGAAACCCAAAGAAACATTCATTATCGATACAAGGAGTGAGGCCAATTAGGTCACATAGTTGCAGTATGTGCAAAACCACAAGTGCCAAGTACTGGTTCCTGGCAATTACAACACATTCACTGCACTGTGTGCGCACAGCAACTACTATGTAGACAGTAGCAGACTGGTCTACACGTGCAGCACGCTTGGGTACTGTGACCGAAAATTGTGAGGCGGAAACTCTTCGAGTGTGCTTGGGTTTCGCTAAGTCAAAGGAGCACGGACTTTGCACCATCTTCGTATGTACTTGCGAGGTCCGAGTGTGTTTTCCCTGATATTCGGTCGCTTTTGACTTATCATGTCATGCGGTCAAAAGATGGTTCTACGGAGCTGGTCCTGCATGTAGAATAGATGCATAGGCCCACGCCGGCACATGCACCAAGCCAGCCTCCTGTTTTGATTCCGGCGACGCACTTTACGTTAGCGGTGGAGATTCGGCATTCATTTCAGATAGAAAGAAGGATTTCGATGGGTCAGGTATGTTTCGATGCCCCTCTGGCCAGGTGGTAGTGAAGAAATACCACCTCGTATAATGGGCAGCGAATATGTCCTGTCGTCACTTACAAAGATACGACACTCCGAGATGTATGCGATATTTCTCCTGAAAACATGGGCTTTGCATTGGAATAAGATATTGCATCTCGGTCTCGAGGGGCTGGCTTGAATACCACCATCTATGTAGAAGTACCAACTACCGAGCGTCTGCATTCTGGACAAGAAAGATACTTGCTATCACTGCCCGCAGGAATGAAGCTGACACTAAAGTCAAAGCCAGGAAAGGGCCCTTGAAGCTTCCTATGCGCTTTGCACGCCTTCTGGCATGCTGAGTCGTACAGGGGACATGGAATTGAAGACTAGCGAAACGCCACCCCCAAAGAAGCTTGGTTTCCTACCAATGGGGGTTTCTTCCACGAGACCTTGTGACTTTGTGTCCGGTCTAGTGCCCGGCCCTTGATGCACCTGGTCCCTCTGAAAAGTCTCAATGGCCAGGCCAAGGAACGGATAAGCCCGCTATGGATCCTTTGCGAAATCCGGGGAAGGCTCGGTATCGGAACATTAGCCACAACGGGATAGATCAGAAATCAGGACCTTGAAGTCCTCGAGTAGGAACCGCTGATAGCCAGTGGATATACGTAGCCGTCAAGAACGAGGGGACTTTCGTTGCGGCTGACGCCCGGCTATGCGGCACAGAACATGCTGACGCATACCCTTGGCGAGGAAAGGTGCCTTTGGGAGTGGAATTCATGCATGATTGATCGACCTGCCCCGTGTATTCCAGGTTTCATCAACGCTCGGCTTCTTTGAATTTCGTAAACACATTGAGGAGGCCTGAGCAACCCAGCATTGTACGGTGCGGGCGCAAGTACGGGTAGTCATGGCCGGATGCGTGACGACGGGGCCGCATGTCGGTACATGTCAGATATGTTTCCTCACTGACGCAGTGACAATACCAGATATAGTCCATGTCATCATTTCGCCTGGTGAGTTTGCGCAGGAATGAGCTGCTCACTTCGCCAATATACTTGAACCTCCTAGCCTGACGTGGCCGGAGGAATGCGTTCCTAACCAGTGTGGACGGACTCGCAAAGACCTCTGCCGCCTTGGCCAGTAGCCAGAGCACACACCAGGAGAACTCAAAATCCCCGTATTAACACACTTTCCTCAAGGGTATGTGCATAGCGTAGTATATGCCGGCAGCATCAAACCTGGACACCCGTTCCGTATTACCACAGCGTGGACCGCTCCTCCGTCGTCGCTAGCTCGCAATTCGGCGTTCGTCACTCATGTACATCAAAGAGGGGTTTACGGTTCAGCAGCGTTGCAACTTTCGATCAAGGCTTTCTTGAAGGATGGCCAAACATACAGGAAAGGGGGCTGGCGCGAACACCCCCCCTCCTTGGGAGAGAAAAAGGAGGAGGGGGAGGCACGCAGATTTCCCCTCCTACCGTATCGACTTCTGTATATGTACGTGTATGTAATGCTACGGTGACAAGAGGTCGACAAAGCTGATCACTACGCGGCCTCTCCAATCAAGTGCAACGATGCTTTCCTCTCGAGCTTCCAGCGCGTCCGGGCCATGCACGTTTCCAAGATGATGGTAGTTGCACGCCCTTCCATCTTGCGTGCACACTGTAAGTCAGCCGCCGGTGCTTGCAAGTGGCCCTCAGTGCTCGGTGTAGACGCATCCGTTGGAAGGCCTCCTCTCGCTGTTCGTTGGAGTAGTCTGCAGCTTAGGAAAAGGGAGACTCAGGCCGAGTGGTGCTTTTGGCAGTCCGTCTTAAGAGAGGAGCAGGTCCTGTGATTCTAGCCTTTGCAAGACCAACTTCAAACTTGATTCTCAACTTCTGGTAAAAACGTTCATCATGAGCTGGTTCACAAAGACAAAGGGCAGGATGGCCCAGTCGTACCGCACGGATCCAAACCTCAACAAGTGGAAGTCTTGGGTTGGACCTATCACCCATCGACTGCCCACCGCCACGGTCGATTACCTGGTCGAAAAGCTTCCTGTCATACAATGGATTCCTCATTACCATCCAAAATGGCTTGTCCAGGACATTATCGCCGGCATTACGATTGGCGTCATGTTTATCCCACAAGGCGAGTCCCAGAACCCCCCTCGTCGACACTACGATGTTCAACTCTTTCCCATTGCTGAGCCAAACTTCCTCAATGTCGAACAAAATGCTAAATGTCACAAGGACTCGCGTACGCACAGATTGCCACTATCCCTACAGTGCACGGCCTGTACTCTTGCTGGGTTCCATCCGCGTTGTATTTCTTCTTGGGAACCTCGAAGGGTGAGACTCCGACCCTGAACACAAACTTTGTAGCGCTAAACCAGATAACAGAACTGTCCACCGGGCCTACCTCCATCCTCGGTCTCTTGACAGCCGATGTCGTTGCCGACCTGTCCAAGGAGGGCTACGGAGCGGCTGCCATCTCCTCCGCCATCGCGTTCATGGTGGGCGTGTACACCATTGCCATCGGTCTTCTCAAGCTCGGTTTCCTCCTCGATTTTGTCTCCGCCCCTGTACTGAGCGGCTGGATCTCGGCCGTTGCCCTCGTCATCTTGCTCGGCCAGGTCGACAGTCTTGTTGGTCTTGATGTCGGGTCCGGCACCGCCACGATTATCCGCGAAATCCTCAGCAACCTGCATGAGATCAAACCTCTAACATTGGCCATTGGATTCACGTCCATATTCATCCTTGTCGTTCTGGAACATGTCGGCAAGCGATGGGGCAAGAAGAACAAATACCTGAAGCTCTTCTGCACGAGCCGAGCCGTCGTCGTCCTCATCCTCTACACACTCATTTCCTACCTGGTCAACCGCGGTCTCGACGAGGACAACTACAAGTGGAAGGTGACAAAGGTGCAGACGGAGGGCCTCTGGAGACCTAGGATGCACGATGCCAAACTCCTGTCCAAGGTGGTCGGTCGTGCGTTTGCACCCCTGATCGCCATGGCAGTGGAACATCTCGGTGTCGGCAAGGCATTTGGCTTGCGAAACGGTTACACCATTGACAAGAGTCAAGAGCTTGTTTTCCTGGGCGTCGAGAACTTTGTCAACAGTTTCTTTGGTGCAATGACCAGTGCGTCTGCCCCTTTACCCCTGAACCAAACACACCCCGCGATACTAACAGGTGCAAGCCGGCGCTGCCATGTCTCGAACCGCTGTCAACTCCGAGTGCGGTGTCAAGAGTCCCGTGAATTTTCTATTCACTGCTGGCTTCGTCATCCTGACCATCTACGAGCTTGCGCCTGCGTTGTACTGGATCCCAAAGGCGACCCTGTCCGCCATTATTGTAAGTCTCCCAACCTTTCCAGCTGCCGCAGGCCTCCTTGAACTAACATTCCAAATAGATCATGGCCGTCGTCCATCTTGTCTCCCCGCCTCGTCTGTTCTACCGCTACTACCGCATGTCCTTTGTCGATTTCGTCGCCTCCATGCTCGGCTTCTGGGTGACCCTCTTCACCACCACCGAGATCGGCCTCGGCACAGCAGTCGGCTTCAACATTGTCGTGACGCTCCTTCGCCTCGCCTTCCCGGGCCTAAAGAGCCTGTCCAATATTGAAGTTCAGAGGGGCGATGTGTTCAGCGTTTCTAGACAAAGCCCAGGGCTCGACGCCCTCGATGTTCCTCCCGAGGCTTTCTACGTCCGCTACACAGACGACCTCCTCTTCCCGAACGCGGAACGCCTCAAGGCGGCCATTGTCGAAAAGGTCAAGGTGCACTATGAGCCATCAGTCACAGCCATCGACATGAAATCGGCCGACCGCAGCTGGAACGTCTCTGACATGAAGCGTATCCCCCGTATCCGACAACGCAAGGGCATCCAGCCCATCCGCGGCGAGGTGGCGGTCCTGCAACACGTGGTGTTGGATATGAGCATGGTCACATTCATGGATATTACCGGCTGTCTGTCCATCATTGAGCTCAAGATGGAGTTGCGCAGGTACATTGGCCAAGGGCTGCAGTTCAGGTTCCTCAACATGTCGGACCAGGTCATGGAGCGCTTCAGGCGGTCCGAGTGGGAGTTTGCGCGTGATGGTGAGGAGAGAAGTGAGAAGTCGGACGTCATTTACAACTCTCTTGAGTCTGCTCTCCACCATCGCGAAGGGAGCGACCGAGAGGATGTGGTCAACGAGAAGGCGCTCGAGGTGTAGGGTGCTTCTGGGGATAAAACCGTCATGCCATGCTCAACTTGCTCTGAATTTCTTTGGCTCAGCATACCACTTCAAGCTTTGAATCGTACATAGCAAAATTATGACTGACATAAATATTGTTAACTGCATCACAACATTGTGTCACTTTCCGCGCAGTGGATACCTCCGGTGTATTTCATTGTTCTCTTCGATACAGAGCGAAGGGATCGGCATGACCAGCGGATTTGAACAACTCGGCGATCAGATACACTCACGCAAGGAGATATGGATGGGATCGAAGGTAAACTATCAAAGCACGTGACGAGAACCCAGTCGCTATCCTTCGCAATGACCCGCGCCCAGGGGATGTACAGGGTTGTAAGTTAGCGGCAACCTCAGACGCGCCAAGTTCGCCAACGTCCAGCACAGCACGCGTCGCCGCGTCACATTGGGATCGCCTTTGCAAAAGGCCAAGGCTGCTTTCCTCACCGAAAGATACCATGAATCAGACCCGGAGTCCAGCTGCATCTCTGAATGCGCTCTTGAACGCACCGCCCCACCAAGTCCGAGCAACGCTCCTCGCCCTCTGCGGCGACAGGTCCATCCTCAAAAAGGCTCTGAAATACAAGGCTACGCTCCAGTCGCAGCCTGCCATACTACAACCGTGGATCTGCGTACGGTGCAAGGCTGCATTCGATGCGAATAACAATCCTGAGAATGCCTGCCGGTTTCATCCATCTGGTGAGCTTCATGGCCTACAGCTACGTTGGGTGATGACGGAAAGCTGACTGGGGCAGTGGTGTCTGTAGATCACAGCTCTGAGGTCTGGGCTGATACAGACGATTGGATGTTTGAAGGGCTTAGCGAAGACGAGGGTATGTTAGAAGAGAAACCTGAAGGGTACTCATGGGGCTGCTGTGGCGGTCACTATGACAGTAAGCCATGCGCGGTTGGGAAGCATAGCGCGTACTCGGAATACGTTCTCCAGAATGCAAGCGAGCAAGGGGTCGTCTCCATTTCTGGCGATGAGCATGCATCAGAGGGCGATCTGAAAGATCTAGAACAGTCCGATGAGGATGGCGATAGCGACGGCGGTAGCGAGCCTCCAAGCAAGAAGCGCAAGGCATAGGATTTAGTGGTCTCATATACAATCAGTGGTTTCATTCGGCGCTATAACTCGACAAGACATTCCCGATCGCCAATGTTGTAGAAAGAGGAGCGAGACCCAAACACCCAGTCAAACATGCATTTGCTCCTCCTCTCGACGACCAATCGACCCCGACGGACAACCGTGCAAGGGTAAAACCGTGTACGCCCACGTCGAAAAGCCCAGAAGCTGCGCATCAAATTCCCAAACGCGATCCTCAAGACTCCATGCACCAGTGGTATGATATTCGCCGCCAAGAATCATCTAGCCCAGCCGCGAGCTGTCTAAGCCGGGATCTTCTTGCCACGCTTGCCGAGAAGTGTGGCGTTGTCCAAGTTGAGCTCAAACGGACCCTTGCCGCGGTTGCGATCACGGACCTGCTGTCTCGCGGCGGCAGTAACGGCTGCCGAGTGCTGGCCATACCCCTTCTCATTGGCGGCACGCTCACGCTCACGGCCACGACTTGTCTCTTGGTCGCGGATGTTGGTCTTGCGCATGCTCTGTTCCAACCCTTGGGTCTTTTGGTCCTGGCCGTCAACCTGCATCTCCTCGCCACCATCCTCCTCCTCTTCATCGAGTGCATTGAGATGACGGCCAGCCCCACCCTTGCCAGCCTGCTGCCGCCGGCCCTCCTCCTCTTGCCTGTGGACAGCATAACCGACGTCAAAGACCTCGCGAAGGTTGATAGCCCCGGGAGACCGGAAGTCGGAACGCTTGCCAGGCTCTTCAAACCTTGTGGGGTCAAACGCCCGCAGTGGCTTCTCTGGTTTCGCCTCTGGAACAGCGGTGGCCTTAATCCATGGGTGATCCAGGAATTCCGTGATGGTGTATCGCTTCTCAGGATCTACGGTCAGAAGATGGGTGATCAAGTCCTTTGCAGACTTGGAGATGTCATCCCACCACGGTGAGAGGAACGTGTACGAGCCCTTGGCGACCTTCTCGGTCAACACCTCAATGCTCTCGTCGTAGAAAGGCGGGAAACCACAGAGAAGCGTGTACAGAACACAGCCAAGAGCCCACATGTCCACGGACTTGGAGTAACGCTCATCCTTGACGATCTCGGGGGCTGTGTAGCCGACTGTACCACATGGCGTCATGGTCTGGTTGTCCCACACAATCTTTGATAGCCCAAAATCGGCGATCTTGATCTGCCCAATACCACCCGCTCCCTGACCAGGAATGAATTCACCTTCATCGATCTTGTCCTCGTCACCGGGCTGCCTAGGCTTGGGAACCTTGGAGGGAACAAATGGGATCGGGTTGAACAAGATGTTTTCGGGTTTGATGTCACTGCAACAGTCAGCTTGAAAGGTAAAACACGGATCCAAACAGGATTGCTCACCGGTGAACGACACCCTTCTCTTCGTGTAAATATTCAAGCGCCTGTGCCACCTGAACGATCACATGTCGTGAAAGCTCCTCACTGAAGTACGTCAAGCGCACGATCTGGTGGAAGAGTTCGCCGCCAGGGGCCAGCTCCAGTACGATGTAGTAGTACTGCCGGGATTCGGAAAATTCGAGAAGCTTGATAATGTTGGGGTGATCCAGTTGGCGCATGATTTGGACTTCTTTCAAAATGTTTGAACGCTAGCTAGGAGTTAGTACTTAGGCTTCGCAAAGTGTGACGGCCACCCCTAGATGCGGAACGTGACATGACGGGCGAAAACAGGAAGGGATGGCCAAACTACTCCATTTTGACGAAAAAGAGTTATCGCACCTCGGCTGCTTTCGGAACTTTCTTAAAATCCGGATGAAGATGGTTGTTTCCCTATGAGGGGGGTTGACCCCCATCGTTGGTAAAGTAATTTGAGAAAAGAAGCAAACGCTTGAAGACGGAAGACGCAGAGCAAAGCAAAGACGGGAATAGTGCAATGAATACGGAGCCTGCTGTACACTTACTTGCATATTGTTCATCTCGTATTTGCGGACAACCTTGATGCCAACTTCTTGGTACTCGCCAGTCAGGTCGCGGGCACGGTAGACGTTGCTGAAGGCGCCGTCACCCATCTTCTCAATCAAGTCGTATCGCTCGAGCCCGGGGTATCGCGGGAATTTGCTCTTGCTGGCGTTCTCCTCGGCAACAAGCTTGGCCAGGTTGGCTTCGTCGACACGCTTGCTCTTGGCCTGTTCCTTTTGTGAAACGTCCTGGACGGGCTCAGCCTGGTGAGCAGCAGCGTGACCTGCCTGGGCGACACGGTTCCGTCCATCTCCTGGCGCCTCTGAGTAGGCTTCGTGATGCATAGGCGGGCCTGCCGGATGGCCCAGGGCGGGCTCACTTGGAGGCATGGCTTTTTCGGCGGGAACTGGCTTTGGCTGCTGAGGGGGGCTGCTCTTACGCGAAGGCTCCTCTGGGTGCCGCGCTTGTTTCCCTGTGGGGGCGTTAGCGAACACGAGAACGACGGGCATTCGATGGGGATACGTGCCGTGACGGATAAAATTCTTGAGTTGTTGTATGGTGGACATGTCTTGGGTGTGTATCGCAGACGGGCGACAGACCGCGAAGAAAAGGGGAGGGGAGTAGAATAAGACCGCTGTGGTGATACGCTGAAGTCGCAATGCTGGTTCAGTCCAGGTGGACGACAGAGGGGCCGGTGTGCGTCTGTTTCAACAGCGAGTCCTTATTCCGTCGCAGACTGATGGCTGCCGGAGCAGATAGTGCAGGGGATGAGAACCAAGTCTGGAAATGATGACGGGGCAGGGAGCACAGCCTTGTCACAGAGTGTCGTCAGCCGGAGGAGAAAAAAGAAGATCAGGTTGTTGCTGATCCGGCTGCTGCTCGATGACGATTGCGGGGTCAGTCGACGTTTCTCCCTGGGCTGTCAGCTCCCAGGTTGCGAATCAGCGCTTCTGCTTGTGAGTGTGTGTGTGTGCAACGGCGCAGTATCGGCAATCACTAGAAACCAGTGCTTCTGGGTCGAATAGTGCGCGACTCGATCTTCAAACGGATGAGCGACTAGATTCCAGGTGCCGTAGAGGGAGAAATATATGACCAGAGGTTGAGAAGGGCTACGCAGGATCAAGGCTAGAGGAAAAGACCAGAGTTGAGCGATATCATGGAAGGCGCCTGCCGTGGGTGCTTGCTTGCTTGCCCAGCTTATTAGAAAGCAGAGGGTGCCTGTAAAGTCAGCCGTTCAGCAGCCTGAGACCTAGACTAGGGGTCTCCAAGGCCTGGAAGCCAGACGCGTTGGGCAAGGCAGGCAGCGCCATGTGGAGCCTGGCGCCTTCCGGACCTCCACTGCCATGGCTTCCTGGGACGTCATGCTGAACTGATCCCGGTCCCCGATGAAGTCACTGCGCCGTCCAGCGCGATCCAGTCACCAAAATGCCTGCTGGATGGAGTACATGAAATTCAGCACGACTGGAGCGAACTGCTTGCAGCTCTGCCTTACCCACTGGGTACATAGTTGGAGGCAGCTGGACATCTGGTTCTGGCACCATCCCGGACGCTAGTATTCATTCGCGGGCTCATCGATCCAGGCACTGTTTGCCGGGCCTGGATCTAGGATCCTCCCGACTTGCATCAAGCCGGATGCGTAGTGATGGAATAGATGACGCCGGCAGTAGCCTTTGTTGATCGAAACCCCCGTCAACCTCTTGAAATTATGAATAAAGAGCTGTGTCCAACTTAGCGAGTCTATGCGCATTCCCGTTGCGTTCCTCTCCCCTGTCAACTACGTCGACGGCTGACCCAGGCCAACTGCAGGCTGGTCGCTGGTCGTGGCTGGCTGCTCCCTTTGCCTTGGAGATCGACACCTTTGTATCCCATCAGCACCCAGCGCCAGACAAGCACCGATTGGAGGTACCTGCGCCTACATTGACCAGACAACAGCTCAGACAGGAGTCAATTTTGAGATTGATATATGCAAGACAGGATCGATGTGCGTGCTATGGAATATGCAACCAGAGCGAAGAGTGTGCTAGTGGCTGTGATGGAACCCCGGCGCGCTGTCATGATGCCCGCCAAGAAGACCCTCTCGACGTCATGAGGGGCTTGCATACTCCGTACAGCCAACCACGATTATTATTAAATCGACCGCTGGCGGCTTGGCCTGCTGCTTCTCGTTGTGTCCCGACTCCCCACGGCTGTGTGGTTGGCAACTTGGCAATTTCAATTCCTTCAGCCAAGCCTTAATGAGTGTTCTGTAGTCCAGTCGAAATCTCATCGCGCCGCTACGCACTGAGGAAGATTGCACTGTCTTTGTGAACGAGTCGTGGATAGTAGGGTCTCAAAGGCTTTGCAACCAACCCCTGCAGACCCCCATCCCCTCATTCAAACTATTGAAACGCGCATGTGCAAACAGGCTTGTCATTGTGTGATTTGTGTCGCCCACCATATCAATCAGAATGCAGTACTTGGCGGATCGTCGCTTTGCCTTTGTACCTATCATAAAAGTGCGAGTCTCTTGTCTCAGCTCGAGCTTTGCTAGCCCATTAACTTGGGCCTGCGCTGATGTCATTTGGTGGTGAAGCCACGGCAGCACGTGCGTGACAGGCGCGGTGCTAGACTAGCAGCTACGGACATGTATTCGCCAATGATAATCGCTATGACTGTACCGTGACATCCAGTTTCCGGAGTGGACGCTCCGCAGTGTCTTTCAAATCCAGATTCAGGCAACTACAGGAGCAGCAGTTCCTGTTCTGTGGCGCCTGGCGTAGGCGCGAACCAGATCAGATGCACGAAACATTCAAGGAACCTGCGCAAGATTAGGATGTGTCTACTCGATCTATATGATCACTCTACGTAGAAATCTCCACAGAGGCCGAAACTTAGACTTTGGGACATCGGTGGTGGGGCCGTATTGCGCTCCGCGCGACACCGGTGACCGGTGGCGAATGGAAGGTCGTCGCTTCCAGTCATGTAAGAGCCCAGGACTGGACCATTGTGATATTTCTGTGTCTCCCCGGACTTTTTGAACCGCAATGTTTCTTAAACACTAGGTTACTGTCTCTCAGACGAGAAAGCACCTTGCGGCTTGCCTTCGATGGCCGTGTCCGTGACTACATGTATACGTAGTAGCTTCATGTTGAGACTGGAAGATCGAGCGGATTGATTGCAGCTATGCTTGGACAACCTTCCCCTGACACGGACTAGGAACGGTGCAGGTGCGCTTGTGTCGAAGCAGCGCAGCGTCAGAACTGTCATCGACATTTTCTGACTTGCACTTGCTCGCACTCTCGCCTTTCTTGTCAGCAGGCGCTGCAGAACCTCTTTTCCTCTTCAATGTACTCAGGGACCCTTTTGAACCCCCTGTCTCGAAGCCATTGCCATCAATTTCATTGTTGGCATCGCTCTTCTCTTTTCTAGCATCTTCAAAGCCGTAATGATCCTCATACTCCTCCGAATCAGAGCTACTGTCGTCATCCGAGCAATGTCGTCGCCCGAGAAAATCTGAATGTTTTCGTCCGAGCCAATGGACTCACTAGTCTGAGGCCAGGATGCTAGTATATTCTTGTCGATCTAGGTGACGTCCCCTTGTGCACCCCCGACCCTATAAGTACAGCCGCAGCGGCCGTGGTCGTAACCATCGGGATGAGACCTGGCAAATTCCACGTCTGCGGCATATGGTTCCTGCTGGAGCTAATGCATATCATCCCATACGGATGAATCATGGTTCTGAATGAGGTCGTCTAGAACATTTGAGTTTTCCTTTTCACACACGACATGACAAAAACTGGGTATCAAAAGGGTTGCTTACCTGGATGATATTGACAACTGCGCGGACCATTGTCCTTCTCCATAAAATTTTAATTGCACTGCACGCATAACTTCGGAGTGAAAGGCCTTTCGGCTATCAGCAAGTTAAATTGTTTATCAGCGCGCAGTCGATTCGAAATGTCGAGGGAAAGAGCCTTCAAGATCTCGCGAATCTCACGGCCAGTGGCGTCGGGAAGTATTTCCTCAACGGTTCGTGAAGGAAGCCTTGAAGAATCCATCGTCAACTACCCGGAGCCCGCTACTGCAATTCAGGGACAAGGTGCAAGCTATACTTGATAAGCTGTGGGTGATGGTCAATGGCGGTGACAGTGTCGGCGCGGTGGGCAACGACGCGTCGCGTGCTATTAGACAGACCTCTGCTCGACAGAGCACGGACCATCGATGTCGCCATCGCCCTGGGCGAACGACCGCGTTGCGACTCCATTTTCTGCCTTTCATGATATGCTTACGGGCTACATGGTATATAGAGTTGACCCGAACGTTGCCCCGAGCCTCAAATCCGATCACAGGTGTAAGTCGGCTGTAGGTCCATGTCGACATGGATTGAAGTATCGATGCTGGATAAGACTGGCTATCCTTTCTCTCATGTCCTCCAGTCATGTGCAATGAACATGGAAACATGAGATGATGGCAGAACGAGTTGCAACCCTTCCCATCTCCTCTCGCAGGTTATTATATCCAATCTTGATCGGAGAAGCCCGCTGCCCGCATCTGCATTTCAAGGCGCACTATCAAGCGCGTAGGCCTGCATCTTGAAGGATTGTCACCACATGCGTGTGCTTTGGCGTCACCCCGATCCATCAATCTCTCAGTCTCCTCACTCGGCTTCTCTATACGTAACGGCATCGCTCGTCTCATCCATTTGGGCTTGAACACATGCTCGGCGCAACTTGACCCCAGGATTGTTCAATCTTACGGTGTACATATTGCGCCACCTCCGATTCGTGCGCAGACGGACAATGGCCCGCAAGACAGTCGCCAGCCACAGCAATTGGGACCCCCCAATCACTCAAGATTCGGTGACCTCAAAGACGAAGAAACTCACTTTACCTCGCGTATCAGTGAGCAATTCTTCCTAGACGTGAACATTAAGAAACGTGCGCTGACTAGTCAAGCGCACAACTGGCCGCACATACTTTGTCGAGTCTCGCGACAATGGCTAAATGACCGTCGTCAACGTCGTCAGGGGCGAGGTCGAGGAGGTCCTGCCTGCCGAGTACGCCGCCGGTAACACAGTCTACAACTATGGTGGCGCGACTCTCGATACCTACGCGATGGACGTATTATCTTCTCCAATGCGGAGGATAACACTCTCAAGATCTTGAATCCCGATATTGGCAAGGTAGTGGAAGTGACGGCTGACCCTGTCCTCAGATACTCAGACATTAGCGCAAGTAACAAGTCAGACTGGGTTCTTGCGATTCAAGAGGACCACAGTGTAGACAACCCGGAGGGAACGAGGAACTTCATTGTTGCCATCCACACCGAAACGAAGGAAGTCAGGCGGGTCCTCCAGGGCGCAGACTCCTACTACCCGGCCGAGTTTTCCTATGATTGCACCAAGATAGCCTAGATCGAGTGGAAACATCCTGACATGCCGTGGTACGGCCCTAAACAATATTGGGCGTCTTTCGATGTTGGTACGCTCACCAATATGACACTTGTCGCAGGCGGCCTTCTGGACGCCGTTGCCGAACCTCATTGGGGTCCCGATGGCACGGTCTTCATCTTCAAAGAACGACGAACTATCGGCAAATCTTCCGTTTGACCCCTGGCTGCAAGAGCGCACAGCAGGTCACACTTCGACGGCTAGAAACAGCCGGGTTTGGATAGTTGCGCTGATTCCCTGGCAGTAGAACATATGCGCCTCTCTCGGACAAGACACTTGTCGCCTCAGCGCACTTCAACGCTACTAGCGAGGTCGTCGCCATCGATCTGGACACGGGCTTGTGGGAGTCGATCACCCCTGAGGACGATGTCAGCCAGATCCAGTATGATCGCATGACGCGCTTGAGCGATACAAGTGTCGTCGGCATCTACAGCGGCTATCTCAGCCCAGATATTGTGCGCATATCATTAGCATCAATGATCCATCGAGCAGCAAGATTGTCCGCAAGTCTGTCAACCACGGCATATCTGACAAGTGGATCGCTCGTCCCGAGGCACTCAGCATCCGAGCCAGCGTGACTGCGCCCGCGCGCGACATTCACGGGTCCCTGTGGGCTCCCAAGAACCCAGAGTACGTGACTGATGAGGATACACTTCCGCCTCTCATTATTGTCACGCACGGAGGTCCGACGGGCCACTACGGGCCTGGCCTTATACTTCGGACACAGTACTTCACCTCGCGTGGCTATGCCGTTTTCTTCTTGAACTACCATGGATTCACTGGGCATGGCCGGGCATACCGTCCAGCTCTATGAGGCAACTGGGGCATCATTGATGCAGACAACACGGCTGAGGTAGCTCGTCACCTTGTGTCGGCATGTCTTGTCTGCGGGGGTGCCGTGGGGTGCACAGGGCTCAGCGCAGGAGGCTACAATACCCTCCAAAGTGTAAGACGTCATCACGATACCTTCGCAGGGGCTGTCGATGTGTCCGACATCTGTGACCTGGACAGCTTCAACGCTGGAACGCACAAGTTGGAGTTCAAATACACAGACGCGCTCGCCATCTCGGAGCTCAACATGCCTGAGGCGGATAAGAAGAAGCGATACACTGAGCGGAGCGTGTTGTATCACGTCACCCAGGTCGCGGCACCACTTCTGATTCTACATGGCAAATGCGACACGGTCGTACACATGAATCAGGCAATAGACATGGGAGAGGCGATGAAGATGAGGGCCAAGGACATGGCGCTGGTGAAAGTAGACCACGACGGTCACATGCTCGACAAGCCCGCCAGTGCCAAGATCTGGCTGGATGACGAAGAGGTGGCGGAGGAAAACACTGCTGTAATTGTTGTGTACTGCTAGCGTACATGAACACATTAATGACATACCTGGTTGGGTCGAACACGCACGTGTCAGCAACACTGAAAATACGCTTGCACAAAGAAACGGACCAGCGAGACGCGAATTTGTTGATGGAATGACGCGTGCTGCGCCATCGCCGATGCTAAAATGCCTACACCAGCACCTGACTGAGCGGCCGACCAATAGCAACCGTCACATCAGTCTTAACAAAAAGTCATATTGGCATGACACTTGCTCTGGGGGTTGGCTGAATGATTGCTCGCCGTGATTAGTATTGCGTGATCATGACCACTCACAGCTGAGTAGAAGCACGACCTGACTACGTGACGTGAGGCTTATCGTGTGCTTTGATGTTTTGGTATCATTAGTATCGTGATAAGTACAGTAAGATCACATATGTACAGAAAGTCCCGGCCATCATGTCCTTCCCTTGACTCTTCTCCGTGTGGAGTCGGAGACCGGTTTCTGGATCTTGCTGTATGCCTCGTCTGGGCTCCTCCGCACCTCATATGGGATCCCCACATCTCGGTGTGCTCTCGATGACGGCGACGGTGAGCGTCGCGTCTGTCGGTGAGGCGAAGGAAGCCGGCGGCTGAGGAGCGACTTGTAGTCGATATACGAGTTGGTCGACACGCCATCCTGTCTCGGTGTAGGTGTGTCGGACTCGGTGGGGGCATCTTCAGAGATGTATTGTTCCGCGTCGTAGACGTCAAAGGCATCTTCGGGAAACTGCGCGGTAAGAAGTTCATCATCCTCTTCATCTTCAAAGTGAGAGTAATGGAGCTCTTTACCATCCACAGAATCAATCGACGAGCGGACCTCTTCGCCGTCCGATACAGACGTGGGGGCAGTGTTGACACTGCCAGACTGCGAGGTATGATCGTGATCTTCATCGTCATGATGGAGTATAGGTCGACTGAAATCGAGAAGGCACGATTCCGAGCCAGAGAACGACATGGATCGCGAGCGTGCATACGTAGAGTCGCAACACAAGATCGCTTCGTCGTCGTCGGCGGACGCGGCAGTCATGGCGTCGGATTCGGATTCGGGAGGCGAGAGAGGAGCGTCAACGCCAAGTTGTGTGTATTGTGCGGAATCGAGATGAGACGGCTCTTCGGTCATGACGGGACCAGTGCAGAAAACGTCGGAGGGGTTGGTATCGTCAACACTGCTGGCGTTCGTGCTAGTAGACGAGACAGTCGATGCTTCGGAATCAGAAGAGTGGTTGGAGCGTGCCTCCTTGCCACCATGTACACCGCTCGGTATGTAGCTGGCGAAGTATCGTACAAGCGAGTCGAACGACTTTGTGCGGAAGAGCTGCAGGGCGAACGTCCAGTGCTCCGAGTCCATCAGCTTAGGGTTGCCGATGATTTCGTAGGCTAGCGACTCCAGAGACTCGTTCAGTTCGAGGAGGCGCTGTTGTCGTCGATCGGCCATCATGCGGTGGAACTCTTCGGTTGTCTGAGCATCGTGCGAGATCTGGGACACATCGGCGTGAAAGGCCTCAGGGTCTTGGAGGGTGAAGGTAAAGGTATTGTACTGGTCGTGGAGAGAGGTGAAGAGGTCGGCCCTCTTCAGTCCAAACTTCCAAGCAGGCCAGCTAAGGCCTGGGTCGTCCATGTTGCAAAGGTTCGGTGATGTTCAGGTCGGTTCACGGGGGTAGGGGTGGAAGGGTGGAGGCAGAACTGTCAAGCCTTGATCTTTCGGTAGCGAGAGACAGGCAATCATTCAGATCTTGCTCGAGTAGTAACGATCCATCATGTACGTCGTCTTCTGTGTATGGGTGGATATGGACGGAGCTGTGAGGGCCCTTGAGTGAGTCTAGGATGGTACTGAGGCAGTGATGGGTAAGATGGAAGGCTGGTCGGGAGACTGAACCAAGAGTTGCTGGCATCGCGGTGTCGGGGCGTGGGCTGGATACCCAACGGAAGGCACGTCAAACGAAGGGCAGCAAGGATCATTCCGATGTTGCAGTTGTCGGCATTCCATTGGCTGTGGCCTGCATCATTGCGGGTCTGCCTGCAGCTTGGCATGCAAGGCGCTGCTGCGCAATGAGAGGGGCTGACACAAAACGCACAGAGAGCCTTGATTTTTCGCAGTGAGCTGCCTGTAGAATTTTAGATGCTGCTGCAAGCGCTAAAGTGGCGCAGTCCAGTTGCCAATCATCGCAAATCTACTATACCCGCCTATGCACTCGTGCTGTCGTGGAGGTGTGTCGATCAGTATGAATGAGTTATGCAACTACAGTAGATTCTATGTTAGGTGCACAATTCACAAGTAACACGTGATCGATCTTACTGATCTTATCACGTGAGATGTTCATCGTGGCGCATTGAGGCGCAGCGGCGACCGTGAGGCTTGCGGAGACTTAGCCCTACATACGTCAAGGCTGCCTCCAGGTTTCATGGTTCAAACTCAGGGCTAAGAACGGCCCGCTCCATGTCGTGGCGTGGTCGATGCCCTTGTACACATGGCCCAAAGTCAATCCCACGATCAACAACTCAATTCAAGGCGTGCCGATCTCTTGTGGTTTGAATGAACGTCCGTCCGTGGCAGCTGATGTAAAGGTACACGCGCTGACGCCGCTGAGACACGCACGCGGACGGTACCCTACTGACGTGCATCCTGGCAAGCAGTCCCGCAGCCTGTCCGGCTGCCTGCCACCTGCAGGCGCCTTCCCTTCTCTTCCATCCTGATGACTCGACAGAGAGGCTGAGACGATCATCATCTGTAGTGGTCTTTTGCTCGACCCGGCAGCGGCTGACGTCCATTCTTCTACTCATTTTGCACTGCTAGTGCTGCTCAAGCTTCTGCTGGAGTACGAACAACCTTTATCCCGGACTCCTGAGGCCTCGAAACTCTCCAAGGGAAACACCTCCCCTCCCCCGCCATTTACACAGACCGAGCCATCCACTGGACCTATATAACACACCGTCAAGGAAGGAGGCTTCTCCCCTAGGCTGAGCCGGACTCTGCGCACCCAATAATTACTTCATCGCATCATTCCCGGAGCCTAGTGAGCTCTGCCGGTCTACTGGGGCCAACTGTGGCCCATCAATCCCGCCCGCTCATTGTTGCCACCGGTCACCCACTTCCTCGATACATATGTCCTTGTTGAACACTGTGTCCGCTTGCCACCCCCTCAGATATGACCGTTGAATGCAGGGTTGAACCGTCCGTGGGCTCGGAAGAAAGGACGGAGCCGCTGTCGGAATCTGAAATGGATGCTCGCATCAGAAGCATTCGTATGCACGATCCTCAACTGCCCATCAATGACCAGGCCGTGTCTCTGGACGATTTGCAGCTTGAGGAACATCACCACCGGCAGAATATTCGACTGCTAGTCCGTCCATTGACGAGGCTACACAATACTCGTACAGAAGGCCCCAGTGGCAATGATAATTGCCAATGGCTGGCCCTGCGTGCTGAAGTTGCAACCTCTGATCAGCCTGAGCACAAGGTGCTCGCTGTCACACAAACGTCCAAGGACATCAAATTCTCCGTCAGGATTCCCGGGGAGGGCCGAGAGGAGTCATTGCGGCCCCCTTTGTGGTGCGAACTGTACTATGATCCGGCCAGCGACAAGGTTGTGCTGTTGAACAAGTCAGACGTACCCATCACTCTGGAGAAGGCATCGCAGACCCCCCTAGCGAGCCCACCCGGCGAGGGTCGCCGTACAATCAACCCTGGCCTCGCCAAAGCACTTCATCCTGGAGCATGGAGGATCCGTGTCGGGCATCGTGCCGTCCTAGAATTTCGTATCTTGGAGAAGAGACCGGTCACCATCTACCAGCCATTTCCAACGCAGCCGGAAGAAACACCACCCATGACCGGTTCTGACCAGACAGTTTCTACCACCAGCATGAAACGCGCATTGACGCCAGAGGACGACGTGAAACGAGTTAAGCGCCGAACGTCAGATCGCGACAACGAGCTCGATGACGGCGCTATCATGTTCATGAGGCCAGGCGGTGGAACGGCTGATTCCCTCATATTTCCACTACCCAACAACAGAGAGACGAAGGAGTTATGTCCGACCAACAGTCAAGCCCTCTTGGATGCCAAGGAAGGAGAGACGGTGGCTGTGTCCGGAGTCTGCGAGCTGGACAAGTACCAACTCACCAAACATGACCCGATTGCCAGCACAGCGCTCTCTGCTGTATTCACCGCCTCCCACTCACACGTATCAGACGACATTGTTACGGTCAAAGTCCTCAAGACACGTGTGCCCAATCCTACTGATAAGGCCTACGTCCATGAGCGCAATGTCATTCGCCAGGCCGATATGTGGATGAGGGAGTGCCAGAGCCAAGAAGACCTCCAACATGGTTCCATCGTCAAATACTACGGCGGTGATGCACGTTTCTTGTCACTGTACATGGAACACGTCGACGCACAGGACCTTACCGCGGTACCTCGATGGCGCCATGAATCGAGCGACTACTTCCAGGGCACCCGCAATGACGCCCTCCGCATCCTGCGCGATATCGGGGAGGCCCTGAGCTATCTCCATGGTCGCAGCCTCGTACACAACGACATCAAGCCGGCCAATATTCTCTATTCGCCCGACCGAGGAGCCGTGCTCTGCGACTTTGGGCTGTCGACGCCGGCCGCCACGGCGCCCTCTGGCGGCGGGACACCGTACTACGTCCCGCCCGAGTTCATCGGGCAGAGGCTACGTGGCCCGGCATCAGATGTGTGGGCGCTCGGTGTGACCATGCTGTATGTCCTGCGCAAGATCCCATTTCCCGACAGCCGCGCCCGTCGGCGGCACGCTCGCCCCCTATACTGGCAGATCGCGGGCATCAACAACCCCAATGTTCCCCACAGGCAGTATGGCAATGGGCAACCGGCAGCAAACCAGATGAGAGACTGGCTATCCGAGGTCTTTGAAGCGCGCGAGAAACTCGACAGCCGAGACAAGCTAGAACGAGTCATTGCGGAGATGCTGACGCTGAATCCGGACCGCCGGATGACGATGGAGCGAGTGGTACAAGAGGTGGGAGATGAGCGGTTGCACGCCACTTCCTGATTGATATAGAGCTTTGCAGATGTGCTTCTTTGTCGCATTATTTTACAAGGCCCTTCGCACCAGACGCGGGACGTCGTTGCGAGGGTTGAGAGTTGGTTCATTCTCGGTATATACGCTCACGGGGGTCAAACGTTCCACCGACATTGCGCATATACATTTACGGGAGGATGTTGTTTGATACATATGGTTTTACTCGTCAGGTATTGGAAGACGAAAGATGTGGGCAAGTTACAGGCGGGCCGTCGTGCGCGCACGAATGATTTGAATGGATTGAGAGCGTATGCATACTGTGCACGATTTACCAGAGCTTGAATCTACCTTGGGCACATATATAGGTATTAATGAGAACATGTTCAACACTAAAAACAGCGAAAGCGTTGAACCTCCATGTTTTGACTACGCTCTTTTGAACGCATTGCAACGCTGACTGGATGGGCCATCGGCCAGTTTTTTCTACGGTAGATTTGCATGACCGCTGCGGCTCTGGATACAAAGAGCATTGCATATCTTTGAAAACAAACAAGGCCCTTCTGCAAATTGATCTCTAGAGCGCATGGTAGCATCAACGTGAACAAGAAGCGTGCGGATAGTGGCGCTACAGGGTAGCTTGGAGACAGTCACGTGCATCGCCGACCGCACATGTCGCGGGATACACCCAATCAGTACTTTCCCAACAGGCCGGGACGTTGTTTCCTTCCAACCCCTTATTGACGACATTCAGGATCATGGACCCCGCAAGAAGAGCATTGATCGAGGACCGCCGGTCGCCCAACAAACGCGACGCAACCGCAGCCCGGTTTGACCCAAGTACGCGCGTTACCAAAACTTCACGCACAGAGTATGCCAGGCCAACAAAGAGCAGCAGGGGCGGCCATAACGGCGGTGGAGGCGCACCTCAGCACATGACCGAGGACGAACAGTCACGGAAATTCGTGGCTGACGAGGACAAGTTCGTTCTGAAGCAGTCCAAGACGAAAGCTGATATTCGCGTGCGCGAGGGCCGCGCCAAACCGATCGATTACCTCGCCTTCAGCCTCAAGTTCATCGATCCTGAGCGCGATATCCTCGACGATGAGGACCAGGATCTGGATATTGAAGTGCCTTCTCCCTCTGAGATCGTCCAGGACCTCACAGCGGCGCAATTGAAGGAGCTCCAAAGCGACATCGCCTCGTACCACGTACTGGAAACAAACGCGAAGAATCGAGATTACTGGCAAGCGCTACAGTCGCTGTGTGATAAGCAGATGGCCAAACTTAGCCCCGAGAAGAACGAGGAGCGGGTCGTCAGCAGCGTGGCCGAGGACATCGACAAAATATTGGCCCCGAAAACCTATGAACAGCTCGAGACACTGGAGGGCCAGATCAAGGCGAAGCTGCAGAGCACAGATGACATTGACACGGACTACTGGGAGCAGCTTCTGCGGAGTCTTGCCGTGTGGAAGTCCAAGGCGACGTTGAACAAGGTCTTCGCAGCTGTCACAGAAGCCCGCGTAGAGCGCTTGGAGCAGCGCGGGGCTGTCCTACCCAGCGTGCCCAGGACGTCGGGCTCGACCACAAGTCCCGCGAACAATCCCAAGGAGGTCGATTCGGGGGCCGTTCAAGCGCCCGCGCCGAAACAGGATCGTGCTCAGGCCCCCCCCGGCACTTCTCGCTTTTCGCAGTCAGAGACCGGGGACTTCTCGCAGACCACGAATGCACTATACGATCGGGAGGTCGCGCGCGGCGTAGAAGAAGGCGAGGAGGTCTTCACGGCGGAAGAGTCCGTGCCGACTGGTACGAAGCCGCAGTGGGCAGACAAGTACCGACCGCGTAAGCCTCGATACTTCAACCGTGTGCAAATGGGGTACGAGTGGAACAAGTACAACCAAACACACTATGACCAGGACAACCCGCCTCCCAAGGTCGTGCAGGGCTACAAGTTTAACATCTTCTACCCAGAGCTTATCGACAAGACCAAGGCACCCACCTTCAAGATCATTCGCGAACATGGGAGACGGCGCGGCGAATCTTTCGCGGCCGCTGGCGAGGAGGACACGTGTCTCATTCGCTTCATTGCTGGCCCGCCATATGAGGACATTGCATTCCGTATCGTGGATCGAGAATGGGACTACAGTGCGAAGCGGGATCGAGGGTTCAAGAGTTCTTTTGATAAGGTAAGTGGTACTCGTCGTGCAGCCTGGACGGCAGCTTCACCCGGTGGCTATGAGTTTGATAATACCACGGTTTGTCGTCATTGGGGCATCCGCGGCGCAGGGCTGATCCGCGGATGCGCATTCTGCATATGCGATTAATCCTTGTTGTACACGCAGCTGATCTTCCACACAGGGCATCCTACAACTACACTTTCAGTTCAAGAAGGTATGGACCCCATGGAGACACCCGAATATTGATGTGATAGCTGACATGTTCTCTGCAGATATTTTACAGGAAATGACCAACAGGCCATTGCGACGGATGTTGTGCAAGTCGTATGGCCGCAGTGTGGCCTCGCCTGCAGCTTAGTGCCAAGGACGACTTCGACGCTGGCCAAAGTGAACGGAGACTTCTTAGAGGGCGGATCAATTAACCGAGGTGGTACTGGGAAGACAAAGGCTCTTTGCTGCATCGTGGCGTATTATGCTTGTGGCCCCAAACTTCAGACCACCCACGGATCCGTGCGATCCTGCAAGGCCTGTGTGGGCTTGTCCAGATTTCGAGAACGTGTTTGTGTCACCGTGATTCAAGTACTCTTGTGTCACGTTGGTGGATGTGAGTCAGCCTCTGAAGATGCCCCGGCCCAGCGTCCAGCGTCCGCCGAGCACACCTGGCGGCAACTTGTGGACAGAGACAAGACGATGCTGTGTGCAGCATCATGCCGGAAGCCTGCCACAGCGCGCCGTTGCAAGGGCGGGTTTGCGGCGGTGAAATGGCGCTTGTCGCAGTCTTGTGGAACATCTTGGAATTCTGGAAGACCGGAGCTGGGGCGGTGCTTGTCTGGCGAGGCCCCTTCTTGCGACCCATCCTGCTTGTTCTTGGCTTGTTTGCAAGGTCTGGCGACCTTTGAGGCTGCAATTGACCACCTCGGTGAATGCGACCGCCTCTTTTCCAGACCGAGGACAAGCGCGGCTAAGCCGTGCCTGCGATGACATTGACCCAAGCCCTGCCCGCTCCCAGACATGCTCGTTTCGAACAACGTGGCGCCTACCAAACGATATACTGCATCGATTGAAACATACATGGCCCTAGTTGAACTCAGCTTGCGACGACTAGGTCAGCCTCAACGGAGCGGGTCAGGCCAGCCTCAGTTACCCTTACTGGATAATGAGACAACAGTTTTGCCATGTTAGGGCGCTCTATCTAGGCTGTGTTGCCGCGCGATGCAACGTCCCGATCCTGGAGCATCAGGGCCCATGCGGGTAGCCTTGTGATTGAGCAACAAACGGCAAAGGCGTCTCTGACAAGTGACATGAGTGTTTTGATACTGAAGACCATCTGCTCCCAGGGCCGGGATTTGAACGCGCAGGCCGTGAGACTGGCTGCGACGAGCTCCATATCTGGTGATCTCTTACAGGGTCTCAAGCTCATTCTTCCTGTCAACCCAGCCCGCGAAGCGTCGCGTCAGGGCACTACTCGACCTCTGCGACAGGACTCGACAGGTCGCCTAGGCCCTGGTAGCGAGCCTTGCTATTGGGTGAGACAGCATCTAGGAGAGCATGCTTATGGCACTGCCCTATGCGGACGCGATGCCTAACCTAGCCTGATGTCTTGACGAGCAGCGTGGATCCATTTCGGCGTTGACCGAGAGCCGCACCAATCCTTCCAGGTGCGCTCTCCGAGATAGGTCGCGGCGACGCAATCAGATCGCCTGTCTGCAGCGACGCATCTAGAAACAAACGACAGCTATGTCTAACAGTCGAGCGCTAGTACTGTTTGCATGGGGGGGGGGGGGCTGCACTTGGGCGGGGTGGCCCATACACTCACTCACTACTTGGTGTGCAAATGCACGTAAAGTAGCTTAATTTCCTGGGACGACACCTACTTCTCCAGCCTGTAATTAGTAGCTCACCTCACCTGGCACGGACCGCCCTCCGACTGATAGGCAAGCGTCACTCTGGTTCAGCAAGCCGCCGCCATGCGGCAGTGGAGGCTCAGTGCACAAGAGAGTCTGTTTCTCCACGCACACAAGCCTTATGCACAGAAGATACACAGACACGCCGCACGCACACAAACGCGGAACAACTGGCCAAGCAGCTATTGGGCGTGCGGTTTCCCCCAAGCTTTGACCGCTGCGCTTGTCCATCTACCGATCGTCAGGCCAAGCCTGGGGCTCAACAGGTAAGGACAGAGCCAACGGCCAGGGAGGCCAGAGTCTTCAAGTTTTACGGGAGACCCCCACCCCGTGCAATTAGGAGCAAGTCACACCCGTGGTCCCCTGGTACCTGGGTACCTGGGTACCTGGGCCCTCTCTCTCTCTGGACTACGTTGGACTACGTTGGACTACGCCTGCTACGACTCCCTTGATCATTCTGATATCTGATATCTCACATTCGAAGACCTGAATCCCCAGAAGATACTCTATCCTCTCTGCTGGCTTCCGGATTCATCTAATATTCTTACATAGTCTTGACGACTGTGGGTGGTACAGTCTCAGTCATCTACCTGGACTAGTCCACAAAACGACAAACGACCCCAGACTCGTGTTTTTGGATTTGCCTCAGCACATTGTTGTTGTCGTTGTGCCAATAGCGACACCCGTATTTCTCGTCAGCTCACTTGGACCACCTTTGGGGGAGCACAGAACCTGCTTTCCATACCCATTGTTCCGTCGCATCCCACAGAGCCTTGACTCGCTCTATGAAGGCTTTAGCATACCCGTCATTCTCCAGCGTTTTTGAGAGCGGCAAGACAGTTACAAGCCTCCTCGTTGAGTGGATGGCCAGGATACCACGTTGTTTCAGCATCGACAGGTTACATACGACGGGCGGCATCATCACCAGGCTGACACCTGCGCTCCTACCGTTCCCCAACTGACGGGTTCGTCGGTTGCCCGGGGGCGAGGAACACGAACGCGTGGGTCACTCTGATACACTTGACGAACATTCTCGGGCGTCGAAAGCAACACGTCTCTGAGTCTTGTGCCTCCAGTTAACCTTCCCTCCCGCCCTGTTCTTGACGATGGAAAGCCACTCTTACTCTGAGGATGGGATCCAACCCCAGAGCCACACGAGTCCCCTGCTTCCCGAACCTGGCGAGCAATCATGCTCCACGTCAGAATTTGGCCGTTGTATGAAGCCCCCTCTGGCACAGCCAGTGGCAGCTGCTGAGCAGACATCGAAAATACCATCCCAAGGCGAGGGCTCGCTGAGCCAGGCGTCTACTGTGGCGAGACCAGAGGCGCCCGGTCAGAGCCAGGTCGAGCGAAACAAGGAGCAGAATCACCAGCGACACCAGCTCCATCCGATTCATAGCCCGAAGACCTCAGCCCCAATGCCCGTCTTCGATTCCGAGACGCTCCATCACAGCCACAACTCCCCTCGACAACTAGAGCCTCTGGCCCCTCCATCTACCTTCCACTACAACCACTTCAGGAACAATCACATGTGGTATACCAGCTCCAGTGCGAGAGACGACTTGCACCAGTTCGGGTACGGCGACTCACCCACGTCCGCTAGCGGCGCGACAACGCAAACCTCAAACTTCTCACCCGCTTCGCCGGCAGCTACCTGCTCATCTACGGGAAATAGCTTCCACACCCACGGGATAAACGACAGGCTCGCACCAGAGAGCGTCTGGCGAGAGCACAATCTTTCCACCCCCTCGTCAGTCGATGGGAGCTCTGCGATCAAGTGCTACCCTGGCAGCAGCGCTGACTCTGATATTGAGGTCGGAAGCAACAGTGGATACGATATCTACCCGGACCCTGGCGAGGGTACAGATCGGCGTCTCGAGCCCCTCGATCCAGTAGACGACTCCATCTACACGGAGTTTGATGCCATGGCTGGTGATCTGGCGTCCGGCCCCGATTCACAAATGGGTAAGGATATCCCTCGATGCTTGCAATTCTGGATGAGAGGCTGATGCTGTTTATTTATTAGTCGACCGGTACGGTCTACAAACAAACGGTGGGCGGGCTTCAGAACCGCCCATGGAGCCCTCCGCCTCGACGATCCAAGCCAAACCGGAGGAGCCCTACGCGCAGCTGATTTACAGAGCCTTGAAGAGCGCGCCGGGAAATTCGATGTCACTGCAGGACCTCTACACATGGTTCCAGAGCAACACAGACAAGTGCAAGCGCCAGGGGAAAGGTTGGCAAAACAGCATCCGTCACAACCTCAGTATGAACGCAGTAAGTCGCCAAGCTGAACTGTTCGGTAACGAGGAGCAAGATGTTGATTTGTGACCTCTGCAGGGGTTCACCAAACGTGACCGAAAACAGGCTTCGGCGGCCGCCGCTATCAACATGGCCCCTGAGATGGGCCAAGCATCCCTGCAAGAGACTGGTAGCAGCAACGAAAAGCGCTCGACGGAATGGACATTGACGGACGAGGCCATTCGGAGCGGCGTCCAAAGCACGACGCGCTACCGCAACAAGAAATCGGAGGCCATCAGAAACAGGGATCGGTCCCATGCCGCCTCTCCACAATCGTCTTACTATCACCTTGGTCAAGGCACGGTCCCCAGTAGTGCGACAGCGTCACGCAACGGCTACTGTGCTTATCGCGTCACCAAGCCACGTTCGGGGCTTCGAATGGCACTCAGATCAGGCTATATCCCTCGCACTTCGTCGCCTGCCGAAATGTCTTACTACCACAGCACCCTCCTTAGCCAGGCCTCGCCTGCTGCAACTCCCATTCCAGGCATGGGGATGGAGCCGCACCATTTCGAAGGCCCCTTCACAGCGGACAAGTACGCGATGATGATGAGCGACGGCAGTGGCATGGTCCACCACCAGCCTACACAATCTCCTTTTGAGATGGAATCGCAGAACCTTTTCCTGACGGACCCCCATCCGCCACAGCACCTGACTCCCCCAGAGCACTTCTCTTACGGTGACCACGATATGCGCATGGGATACCACGCCCCCGGCGACACGCACGTGTCGATGCCTGTCACGACGGCTGATTTCGACCCTACTCTGACGCATAGCTTCTGCGACTGGGACCCCCAGGGGCCTCGTTTCTGATCTACGTTTTTGCATGAAGCATGGAGCACAGATCCCGGTTCGTCGTTCCACGGGAGGGCGCTAGGTTTCTGACACACGGGATCATGCTCGTTTCAGCCACGACGGCAACACACGTGACCCCTTGGCGCGGTCGAAAGAGCTTCTCGTTCCACAGCTGTTTACACAATGGTTTACACAATGGTTTACACAATGGTTTACACAATGGTTTACACAATGGTTTACACAATGGCACGGGCGTGACTAGTGTTACCGGAGGTTGAGTTTTTCGTTTACACGTGCTCGGACACTGGATGACAAAGGGTTTCTCTCGGCTGATAGTATCCTGGTGTCTTGTCTTTATTTTGTCTGGTCATAACGGCGTCTAAGGGGAGGGAGGGAGGGAAAACCAGGACAAGATAAATGGTGGGATTTATCTTTGACACTGGACAGCGTGGTAATTCTGGATGCGGAATGAATTGTCAAAAATACTGCCTTTTCTTGGCCTCATCTTTTTCGTTTGTATCTATTTACCAGACATCGCCAGCAATAGACTTTCTCACTCGATACTACTATTTCGTCTGCTGCGCGGAGATGCGGGTGTGGCTAGGTCGCAGAACAGTAAAGGGGTCGTCCGTCAACATACCATACATAAGCAGGGATGATCTGGGTGGACGCCAAGCGCTGCATGACGAAGGATCTCCCGTCCTAAACCAGGATCAGGGTGGTAGCGGCCGTTGGGAACAAGTCGTGTCTTGGGATGCAGGGTGCCACACACGGACTTGTAACGTGCGCCTGTCACCAAGGGAGGAGGGGGTCCTTTGGAGACACCAAGAACGTCAACAGCGGAGCAAGCAGATACAGATCTTGAAGGATCTACAACATCGGCCGAACTCGGGACCTGACCTGGGGAAGCATTCAGGAATAGGTAAGTCGAGAGAAACCTCTGTAGCAACCCGGGTCATTGTGAGCTTGAATGCCTCGGTCAGTGTCAGTACACATTCTCATGCTCTGTTCACGCTCGTACAGCCACAATCTCTCTCTGCGCCATTATTAATAGTTGCGTAAAGCCTTTTTGGGGGCTTAGACTCCGAGGCCTTATACAGCACGACACGTCGCTGAACGAGCTGCATATACATGTGAAAGTGCATGTAGTGGTGCATGTTTTAGGAAAGGAATTCGCACTCGTTCCCTCGCGCAACATGTTGTAAGGCTAGCACTGCAACGGGTTCGTTGCGATTCAGGGCGCAATCCTGCCAGTTCGTGCCTCCGCCAAGGTTGTGAGACCGACAAACGCAGACTGATATCGACCGTCTGCTACATATGGACTGTACTGGGCAACGCAGCTCGCATGTCGGTCGGCCAGTCGGATGCACTACCCAAATCATGTCGACAGGGGTTAGTGCAGTCGCCAGAGACAGAAAACCATGATAGTGGTGGAAATTATGATCCGGATCCGCGACAACAACGCATAAGGGTAGCACTTCCGCAGTCCCGGAGTCGGGACGACAAGGCAGCCTCCGTGCAAAACCTAGACTAGAATCCCGAGTGCTAGGAGCGTCGTCGATCTGCTATTGCGAGCTGCTTTGAATCTTTGATAGCTTGCGGCGCCGCAATGGCCACCTCGGCTCAGAGCAAGACGCAGAATAGTAGTATATGGTAGTCAAGAACCGCATCGACCTGGCCATGTTGCGAAGACTGGAGAGCCGCCGCGGATAGCGAGGCAATTTGGCGACATTCAACCACGCGACGGCTTCGCAGTAATTGCACGGTGCGTCGCAGGCTGTGGCATGCATGCCTGGAGCCGAGCTTACCTAGATGCTCTGCATAGGAGCTGCAAACCGGGGTGATAGCATTTATGATTGATATGCAGCTGAGGCTGAAATCCGGACACGGGGCAAAATCCACCAGTATAAAAGTGACAGGTCAGCTCGCACCGTCAATCTGGCCAAATCCGAGCAGGATAGACGCCGGCCCAGCTCGTCAAGGCAAATGGAGACTCGATGTTTGATCGTGCTGTAGTACCGCAGATGCCGCGCGCGCTGGCGTCCAAGGGTCAAAGATTCACCCGCGTTGATGTGCCTCCTTGAAGATCTTCCCAGCAGCCCGCGTGAAGATCACACTGGTAGTGGTGACAGCGGCTCGTTGGCCAAGAGCTGAGTGTGCACATGTCGTGGACGCCGCCTCGGCGTTGATTCTGACAGTGACAGCTACACACGATGCATTTGACAGACCGAAGCTGGCCATTGGCCAGTTCAATACACGTCGCACATGCAGCTGCCAATACGCAGTACCAAAGGAGAACAAAGTCCGGGAGGACAGGGACAAGGATTCAACGCAGCATATGCTTGGGAGATCCACAGCACATCTTTGTTGGTTCCACAAGGGACTAACAGGCCATGCTTCAATCAACAGCCTGCGGCTCCAGCGGCTCCAGCTGGTCGTGCGTCGTCTGTGCGTGCGCAATCAAAGTCACGCTCCTGCGTTCCCCAGGGAAAAGAGCTCGCCTGTGACGGAAAGGCCATCTTGAAGCCGAAATGTCTAAGCCATTCCTTCCTCGAGGCAATTGCCCAGCATACCTTTCACTTGCGCGAGATCCAAAGGACTGGTCTGATTCGTCGAGTTGGAGTCGATCCCAAGGCTGACGTCTGCATCGGCAAGTAGACATAATTAGCTACTTTACTCTGTAGCTTGAATCACTTGCAGAGCCGCGGCACGAGCCGAAGTCTGCCGTCCGTAGTGGACATACCCGTTTTCCTAAGCTACCGTACACTCAAGACGAGCGAGTCCTTGACAAGTGCGGCGGCCACAGGGCAGCTGTCTTGTGATTATCGACATGCTGGACACCGCCGAGTCTCCGCAAAGTTGTCAGCGCCCTTGATACTGTGCGGGGAACGAAGTAGCGGGTTGCATATGACTTGTCGACGACAAACGCGAGTGGTGTCTGCGGACACCAGTCCAGTCTGCTGGTCTGCTGGAGACGGGACAACCCGACCAAATGCAACCCCCCTCCCCGCTCGAGGGTAGCGGAAGCCCTGGTATCCTTGGAACATCTAGAGCTATTAATGAACCAGGGACCTGGCGCAAGTTTGCATCTGCACTATCCCTTGCCGTGACCCTGGCCACCTGAAGTCCTGGGCGGATTCACAGAACCACATAGGCCTTATTGCATGTGACATGTATCTTTCTCGGCAGCGGGTTCTTCTTTCGCAAGCTCGAGTGCATGCTCTCGAGGCTTGACTACGTCGATCGATGCCTTGGTAATACCACCCATGCAGATGAGACAACAATACGTCGTATGGCACACGCCAGTACAAGACGCCCCTTTCTGTGGGTTCACTCATAATTTGCATCTGACGGCCTGGGATGTCTGCCCGATGAGGAGTGAGTGCACGACAATGACGAAAGGCGGACCGAATCACCGCGTACCAATTGCAACTGCATCGCCTAATGAGATCCAACAGCCCTGCCTGCCCTCTTTCAAGGGGGCTGTGTCATCGATTATCCTGGGAGACAACTCACAGGCCAATTGTTTCCAACTGACACGAGCATGGTCAAAATTTGCGCCTCTTCTTGACGGGCCCAGCCGCTGCTTTTCTCTCTCGCTCTCGCTTGAGTTCCTCTCGCCGTCTATCAGCCCTCTCCGTAGAAGTCTCCCTATCGGCAGAATCGACTTCCTTTGCCTCGGTTCGGCCTCGTTCACCCGGTGATGTACTGTTTGCTTTTGCTGTGACTTCCGCATCCTTACTCTTGCTGATCATGCCAAGCTTCAGTCGGCCCGAGGGAGCTTTGTCGCCTGGCTGTTTATCGACGTGGCCCGACTTGTGTGTAGCGGCAGGTTGCCCAGACGTGGCCTTTTTCGTACCACCAACGATGTGTCCCAAACGGGGCTTGGCTGGGGTTCTTTGTGTTGGGCGTTCTGGAGGTGAGGAGGTGGCTTTGGCGCCCTCGCCATCTTTACCGCTAGCGTCGGATGCAGTGTCGGAGGCCGCTGTATCTTGTCCAGCCAAAATCGCCGTTGCCTTCGTAGCACGACTTGGTGATCGATCAGCTCTTGCCTGAGGTTTCTTTCCTATTGCACCAAGGCGTGGCCCTATCACCGCAGCTTTGGCCTTTGGTGATCTCGCTACAGGTGTACCTGGCCTCCTGACGCGACCCGAGTCATCTTCGTCTTCGCTAGCAGTTGACGCGTCGTCTTCAACTGCCCCCGCGACTTGGTCGATTTTGCTGGATTGTGAGGCGGCAAGATGAGGGGGCGTAGCCTGCACCTGAAACCCATCGTCATCGCCACTGTTCTCCTCGGGCTCAGGAGAATCTGACAAGGCAGGTCTGCTCACTCTGCTCTGCTCCGGGGCAGAGGGCATTGTACGCTGCGGCAACCGCACAGTTCCTCTCAGATCCAGCCACCAGCCGTCCAGTTTCGGAGAGCTATCCAAGTCGAGCGATCCGTATCGAGTGCGCTGCGAGAACACATCCTGTACCAGCGTTTGGATGTTCTCGGGCGACTCGTCTTTGTACAATTCGCTCTCCCACGTATGAAAATCAAACGGGGCAAGACCCTTAACTTTAGATTCTGCGGTAGCTCTGCTGACCTTTCTCTTCCCAGACAAGGTGTGAAAGACGTGTTCGAGACCTGTGCCAGTTGCTTCAAGCTTGTCCGACAACTTCGTGAGCACTGCATCCTTCTGTGCAATCCTGGACACCAGAGACTCTATCGCACGGTCGCGGGAATGTTGAGCCTGTATAAGCGGCAGTACAAACGAGGTGGCAAGCTCTGAAGGTGGAGCTTTGGACAATTTGAAAGGCCACTTCAGGGGCTGCAACCCTGGGATAGGGCAATGCGCCTTGAGAATCAGACTCTCGCCTTCTGCGGCGAGGCTCAACGTTGCCTTTGTGTCCTCAGTGTGCACAGAGCTGATTGCTGCCCGCAGCATCTCGAGTAACTTTGTCATGTTCTCCGAGGTTTCGCTAGGATCAATCGGCGCTTCTTGAGACCACGCTCTCATACAGATGGCCTTCCTGTCGAGCTTATCGATCCACATGTTGGCCAGGTCTGTGACACGCAAAGTGTACGCTGCCGTCCCGGTCTCGAATGATGCAAGTAGCGCCGGCAGGTCAGAGCGACCTGACAACGGTAGCGGTTGCCACATTGCACTTGCAGTCATAGTCGGCGATGAGCGCTGGTCACGGCTCTGGCAGTTGGCATGAACTGTTCCCACGCGAGATTTCCTGGTCTGGATGCTATGACCATGGGCTGAAGTTGTCAAAGCAGCTCGCGTCGCAACCCGCACCAGCCAGCACTATGCGACACTCACCGCTGTCTCAGGCCCTTGTTCTTTCCACGATGTCTGCACTTGCCGGGTGTCAGGACTCAGTTCTCAGAAGCCGGAAGAAGCCGGAAGATCCCTGACAATGGATGCTGGTGCGCTGTGCATCTGCGGATCCCACGTGGTGCTGTCGATGCCGCACTTGTGCGAAAGCTACGACCTATGGGCGTGCTTTTAGTGCAAGACACGCCAGGCCCCGTCTGTGTGTACTCGCGGCACACAGCGTCATTTGCAAGAGCACCAGTCTCGCAACGACGTCAGACAGATGTCTCGTATGACTGAATGTCGTCCTTTGAGGTTGTTGTGCAAGTGAGGAGATGGGGAGTGAGTCGTCAAGAAGAGTTAGGGCAACAACCGCGTCTTGCATGCGCGACGTGGAAAGTCAGCTGATGTTGACGTTGCAGGGTCAAAGGCACGGCGGCAAGACCAATTTCGTCAGAATCTCCAGCTCCGCGCGTGAAACAACCAAACCTGGCATCATGGAGCTAGGCTGGGCGTAGTCTGAAATATTTCCGAGCTCGCTACCACGTCTACTCTCACAATTCGTAGTTATTAACCTGCCTGCTGTCCGTCACAACTCGGGCTTCGAGCAGACCGCAGGCGCGCGCTGCTTGGCTAGCCTAATGTGGCACTAGCGCCAACCGACCAATCTTCAAATCTTGGTTGTAGACGAATTCCTCCCTTTGCACTGCTCGGAGAACATTGTACCGAACCATCATTGATTGGAAACTTCAAAGCAAAGTTTCTCGGCCGAAACGCTCCCTGCGCGATTGAGTCGCATTGCCTCCAGTACTGAGGTCGGGCTGAGCTTCCCAATCGTCTTGACACGGGGAGGCTTGATCAGACCCTCTGAGAGCAGTCTCGGAAGTTCGCTGTATAGCTCGGCGCTGAGTTCGTGGTTTTCCATCATCACCTGAAGCGGTATCAGAGTCCAATCCAAAGAAGGTGGAGACTAGGTCAGAAATGCAGGACTCACCGGCCAATGCGCTGTGCCGCGATAGGTGTGAGGTTTTGGGAATGCCGTGAACACAAATACGTCTGTGATTGTGACGCTCTTCGGGACATCCTGGGTATTAGTCTTGCCCGGCCTCACTGTGCAGAGAGCCCCGTTGCCTCCGTTCAAAGCAGACGCCGCAGTCGAGGAAGAACCGGCTGAGCCAATCGTGTCAAAGACATGGCCAAGTGTGGGAAGCGTACTCTGGATCTTGGCTGCGACCTCAGGATCTCTGTAGTCAAAGACCTGAGTCGCTCCCACACTCCTCACGAAATCGAAGTTCTGGGGACTGCACGTCGTGGCCACAGTGTAGCCATGCAGTCTGGCTAGTTGGATGGCGCAATATCCAACAATGGCTGTCGCAGAAGTCGTCAGCATCACAATACTCTCATAGAAGTTGGAAAGGAGGTAGCCATACAACTTCCACCCCATACGAGGATAGGGCGTCCAGAGCCAGGAGTGTCGCGAGGAAGTTTCAGCGTCGTATTGGAAAAGAGGGCCAGATAGGCAGTGTTCATCGCGAGCGGAATGGCGCAAGCCTCATGGTGTCCGATGCTTGCAGGCACTTTGAAAGACAACCTTTCATCAGCGATGCAGTGTGTTCTGCAAATGTCAATATGGGCGTCAGGGGGCCCTCTGTGAAGGACAACACTCACGAATACGCTCCAAGTCCCTTGATTTCACCTCCCCAAACCAGAGCAGCGATTCTGTCACCGACTTGCAGCTTTTCGACACTTGGGTGTGTGTGCGTCACGGTACCAACAAAGTCGCAGCCTAGGACTGCCCCATCCCCGAATGCCTGAAGATCGAAAGCGAGCCCTATGATGAGTTGAGCTGGAACGTCGTTCAAGTGCACTGACGAGAGACATACTGTCGGTAGGATTGAAAGCAGCCAGTTCCACCTTGACGTAGACTTGGTGGGCCTGCAACTTAGGGAGGTCAACTTGAGCGAGGACCAAGTCGCTTTGTTGCTGCGTGACGGCGGTAGCGGTCCTGGTGGCACTGCCGGGGGAAGTCATTGTGTTCGCAATTGGGTTCGCACGGCGAATATTGGAATGTGTGAAGCGTGGCGCGAGGGTAAGTGAAGCCCTGCTCAATATGCGGCAGGCTCCAATGCGCATCTGCCCATACCCCAATGGGCTCATACGTGCCTTCTTATGTCCGCTCTGGAGGTCGACTTCGTGCCGCCTAGAGGCCCTACGTAATGCGACGGGCTCAGACGTGTCGCTTATCAATCCCAAGGCTCCAGTTGAGGCCAAAGTTGCCTCGCATACCAAATTAGATTGAGACCGATCTCGGACCGTTTTGCAGGCTGGATGTGGAAAAGAACAGAGGGATATGCGTGGGTCGCAACAATGTGTGATTTTCCAGTTTCGTGTTCACGAGTTTGTAATTCATGGCCCATTGAAGTGTCACCTCGAATGTTTAAGCCGGGACTAGCCGAGCTACTGTCTTCATGTCCATCGCGTACGTACATGTACATGTGTAGTTTCCTGCGTGGAGTATTAGAGTCTGGCAGTAGCGTTGGCGATATGACAAATTGCCATGCACTTTTCTACACACGTGCTGTTCATGTCTCAGAGCTGATCAGCTGAGCAACTATCATAGGATGGTTCACGTCCACCCACATACGGTTCAGGTTGCAACGGTCACCTTCGCCCAGTAAACGACGGTCAAAGTTCAGCTCTGGTCAGCAGCCGGCAGAGTCAAGATGTGTGGTCATTGCATCTAGAATCCTTTGATATTCGGTTCTCATATATGTCTGCTCTTCCAAGATGTCTTCCCAATAGCAGAAACCATGGAAAATCAGACATTAGGCTCGGGATTCTCAGTGTTTCCCCGACCCTCCTGAACTATCATGCTGCCCACTGACGCTGCGTGGCGGAACTGCATGGCCGCGACGTAGTCGGGGTCCTTGTACCATGCTTGCACTGCTTCTTCGCTCGGGAACTCCAGGATGACCATGCGATCTTTGAATGTATCGCCCTCAAGTGTCGAGATGGGATCGCCACGCGTGAGGAACCGACCACCATGCCGTTTCACAACCGCTGGCGTCAAGTCGGTGTATTTTCGATACGTGGTCGGGTCGTGGACCGACATTTGGCACACAACGTAGGCGACCATGTTTGCTGATATTTAATGTTTGAACTGGATCTCTGCTTTGTGTTGGGATATGACGATTTCCGCGGAACCAGCGTCACGAAAGACTTGACGCTTAATACATCTCGAGTTGCTGCAATTGAATTGGAGATGCACCTCCGGTCTCGGTGCTGCTTGAGGGCCGAGAGCGCAACATCAATTAGTAATGCTTAAGCTTAATAATTGAATGCGGATGTCACCGGCTCAGTGAGAAGAGGAGAAAGTCTGTGTCAAGGAAATTCCTTACCTGGCTCGACTGTAAAAATGACATGCCACATGCCAAGGTGCGTAAATCGAGGCGAGGCACTCGGGGGTCCTGCACGACGATGTCGTGGATCCCAAGTCCGACGGAGGGAGCGAGTGGCCCTAGATGGGAGCAAAAAAAAGAGCTTGAAGAAATACCTGTCGTGATGGGCCTCGAGATTCAGAATCAAAGGAGGACGTAACTATCGAGAAGAACATGTGCTGCATACACATATGTCAATGCTGGTGCAACGAACGGGCTGCAGCAGCACGCAGGTATTCTGAGTCTGCCAAAGAAATACGAAACCATTTATCTCGATTAAGGCGTCCTGCGAAATGAAACAGTGTTCCATGGCTCCGTCTCAGAGTTGGACGGTCCCAGTCATCGCAATAACGGCACTGCCCCCCAGCGATACCTTTTCGATGTTGGCCAGGCCGTTCTCCAGTTTCGACTTGACTTCGACCACAATGTCGCTCTTTCTCCCCATCTCTACCCCCTGGGTGATCTCGAACCTGGTCATGTCTCTGCCAGCCTGTTCCTGCATGGCTAGATAGGCTCCAAGAGTGACGGCTGCAGAACCTGTAGCTGGGTCCTCGGATGCTAGTTCGACCATACGCGCCCTTATGTGCTCGACGGACTTGCGATCCTTGTCTACATTCCTGCCATCACCTTTCGCTTCTCCGTCTCTTCCGTCCTTGGGAACATAGTAGTAGCGGTAGCAGAAGCTACTTCCCCATGGTCCCTTGTCGAGTAGAAGGCCTTGGACAGCCTCGTCAAAATCCAACCGAGAAGCTGTCGATACGCGAGACAGGTGTTCGAGGCTGGGCAATTTCACCAGCAGAGCCGTCATGCCCTTCACGATGCTCACGGCGGGCGCCTTCAACTCCGCTTCGCGAATGATCTCGTCCAAGCTCAGCGAAGCGACAATTGCGTCGTGTGCTTTCTGAAGCGAGGGGCTGTCGAGATGTTCGACTTGACACTGCAGGACGTCTGCCAAGGTCCGCGAATGTATGTGCAGGTCGTGAGCGACAGTGATCTGGACCGGGTCGGGCGAGCCCGACTGGGCATGACTTCCTGGGAGTCGTCTGATGGGAAAGATGCCAGCCTTGAGCTGCAGGGCGTTGGTATCCCATCGCAAATGATTCATGATAAGATGAGCGGTGCCAATGCTCGGGTGCCCTGCGAATGGCAATTCCGTCTCCGTGGTGAAGATGTCCGCCCGGCATGGGGCCTTCTGTCCGTCGACAGACATGCGCCTGGTTGACGCGGAGTCGGGCACATGCAGGAAGACCGTCTCTGAGAGATTGAACTCGCGCGCAATGCGTTGCTTTGCTTCCTTTGGCAGTCGTTCGCTCAGAGCCGCAGGAACTAGAACAACGGCAAGAGGGTTGCCACGATACCTTTGCGTGGTAAAGACATCGACCGTGACAAAGTCAAGTGTCAAGGCGCCGCCTTCGTGTTCCTGATGGCTGCTCATGATGTGCTTCTGTGGTTGGTGGCAAGCCAGCTGTCCAAGCGTGCGTGATGTGCGTGCAAGTACTGGACGCTGCTTCTGTCGAACGTTGCAAAGAATATGAGCAGTCACTCTGCAACCTTGACGGAGCAATGCCCAACACGAATTACGGTTCGTGAAGGCCCACGACGTAAGATGGCCGGGCCGATCATGGACATTCACTCCCTCCTGCAGACGAGGGAGGGGACAGAAGTTTGGGTCATCTGTGAGCCTAACGTAGTCTGAAGTCTGTACTGTCGTTCGGGTCCGGTGTCGGAGTACAATACCTGTTCCCACGCGACTAGCAGCCATCGCTATTAGTAATTGCACATTTCAGAAAAGAAGAGCCGGAGCTAGCAACGCCTAGCCTCCCAAGTCTCACATCACTCTACCTCATGCAAGCAGTCTTCGCCCAATCGAGTGGGTTCGTCGGGCGGCGTCGCAGCCGCGAATCTACATGTACCCAGCATCCCAAATCCTCTAGTCCTGCAATGCTTTGCCGTGGCCAGCCGTTCTGATAAAAAGAATTCATATCTGGTGGACACTGCTTGGTAATAGGTATAGTTACGTAAGATGCACGAAGTGCCGACAGTTGATGCTATGACCAGTCTTGGACTCTTGGTCATAAAACGGCCTCTGCCGTGACTTCAAGCTCGTGAGGATGATCAGTCTCACATCGAACTCGGCACACGAACCCCATGGCAAACAAAACTGCAGTCAGCACGGCCAACGCGCCCAAGGCCCTCCCGGGCATCTATAACCAAGCCATTGTCGCGAATGGCATGGTCTTCTGTTCGGGTGTGGTTGCGCTTGACAAGGACACCATGAAGATCAAGGACGGTGATGTGAAGGCTCACACCGTACGTTGTGCTTTCCGGATGCGCTTTGGCAAATGAGACTTGAGCAACTGACATTCCACAGCATGACATTATACAGAACCTCTCCGCCATACTGGAGTCTGCCGGCACATGTCTCGAACATGCCGTCAAAGTGAATGTGTTCCTATCCAACATGGACGACTTTGCCGCCATGAATGAGGTGTACATGCAATACTGGGGCGACGTCAAGCCTTGCAGAACGTGAGTCTATCCGGCATAGGCCAAAGTCTCAGCTCTGCCGCGGAAAGAAACTGACCAGAGATCATAGATGCGTGGCTGTGAAGACTCTGCCTTACAACACGGACGTCGAGATTGAGTGTTCTGCTGTTTTCCCCTGATTGCAACATTGGTGGGGGTGATGGTGGTGGTGGTGTTGCAGGGTGCGCGCGCCTTTGACTCAGCCCTCCAGTCGCGCAAATGTCATAGAGGCTCTGATGCTCTTGTGCGACTCTACCTCGAGGGATAGATGGCTACTTGAGGGTTGAGGGCAGACGACGGCCACGACACAATTGCTTTGGGGTCCCAGCCGTCAAAATATTGATCTCAATCCAGCTCCATTGCGAGATATCTTCGTTGCTTGTTAACGCATTCGAGTCTGAGTTTCAGTTCTGTCGTAGAACGCGGGCACAGGAGCACCGCACACCCAAACTCTCCCTTTGATCAGCAGCGAAACTTGGAACAAATTTGTGCTGAGTGTCCAGCTAAAGGAGAAGAAACTCGGCGTTGTGAGGCAGAGCCGAGTGGAAGAGAGTCGCCATGCAGTCATCAATGTCAGGTGGGAACATCGAAGACGCCCAGCGGTCTCAAAATGTCGTCGCAACGTCAATTTACCATCTCGAGAGTATGTTTTGATCATCGCTACAAATCACGTGTTTAATTGACAGTCAGGTTGCAGCTTTGGCGTCCTTTTCCTCTGGGTCCATTCTCTCCCTGGCTAGAGCCTAGTCTAGGCTAGACCCTAGAGCCTAGTCTAGAGCCGCCGAAGACGTCATGGACTCACTGGACACGGTCCAGCCGCCAGGCATTGAAGGCAGGAATTGAAAAGAAACGCGACAATGGGTCCCAGAATGTGGGCTACACAATGAATGCTTTGCGAGAACGCGTCTTGTTCAAGCACATTTCTTGCGTTTTCCGCCAATTCACCACAGCCAGCTTCTACGCCACGATGGCTCTTCGGAAAGCGCCTGCGAAGCGCAAGGCTGCATCCTCGCCACAGCCAGATGCAATCGACAGCAAGAAAGCCAAGACGGAGACCAAAAGCTCAAAGGCCAATGGCTCGCGCCAGCATCACCCAATGGCCGACGAGGCCGAGAGAAACGGGATCGTCATCCGAAAGTACTATCCCCCCGAGATGAGCAACCAGCGCGCTCGCGCATACACCACCGGGGACATCCCGCGCCCTATCGAGGACCTCCAGGCTGCCCTGGAGGAAACGGCGAACGAGCGCAGGGGCGTCAAGGTGAAGAATGCCGTGGTTCACTGGTTCAAGATGGACCTCAGACATACGGACAACAGAGCGCTGGCGCTCGCAAGCGAAAAGGCCAAAGAGGCTGGCGTCCCCTTGATCGGCATGTACCTCGTCAGCCCACAAGACTACGAGGCGCATCTGCGCTCGCCCCCTAGGGTTGACTTTATGTTCAGAACCCTCGAAGTGCTCAAGGCCGATCTTGCGAGGCTCGACATTCCGCTCTATGTCGAGACGGTGGAGCAGCGCAAGAAGATACCGGATCGGATCTTGGAGCTGCTCGAGGAATGGGGCGCCAACCATTTATACGCCAATATGGAATACGAGGTGGATGAGCTACGTCGCGAGACGCACCTGGTGCGCGATCTCTCCGAGAACGGCAAGGTCTTTGAGGTGGTCCACGATACCTGCATTGTTCCTCCTGGAGAGCTCACGAGTGGCTCTGGCAAGCAGTACGCCGTGTACTCGCCTTGGTTCAGGGCTTGGGTCGCACATATTCACGAGAACCTCGATCTGTTGGAGTTATTCGATCCCCCGGGCAAGAATCCAGATGATGCTCGCAAGCAGTTCGTGACGCTCTTTGACTGTCCCATACCAGACCTGCCCAAGAACAAGTCACTCGACGACGAGGAAAAGAAGCGATATCGCTCGTTCTGGCCTTGCGGTGAGCATGAAGCTCTAAAAAGGTTAGACAAGTTCTGCGAAGAGAAGATCTCGGGATACGCAGCCGGAAGGAACATCCCATCCAGCAATGGTGTGTCGAACATATCGGTGCACTTAGCGGCCGGCACTCTGAGCGCCAGGACGGCCGTGAGGACTGCGCGGGATCGTAACAAGACGAAGAAGCTCAACGCGGGCAATGAGGGCATCACAACTTGGATCAGCGAGGTTGCGTGGAGAGACTTCTACAAACATGTGCTAGCCACCGCACCTCATGTCTGGTAAGGTCCCTTTGTCTTGTAGGAAGAAACCCACTAACGTCAGTCAGCATGAACAAGCCATACAAACCGGAGTACTCCAACATTCAATGGTCATACGACCAGGACCACTTTAAAGCGTGGTGTGATGGCAAGACGGGCTTCCCCATTGTCGACGCGGCGATGCGACAGCTCAATCACATTGGGTACATGCATAATCGCTGCCGCATGATTGTGGCATCGTTTCTGGCCAAAGACCTCCTGATCGATTGGCGCATGGGCGAGCGGTACTTTATGGAGCACCTGATTGATGGCGATTTCGCGAGTAACAATGGCGGCTGGGGCTTCAGTGCCAGTGTCGGCGTGGATCCCCAGCCATACTTCCGCATCTTCAATCCTCTCTTGCAGAGCGAGAAATTCGATCCAGAGGGGGAGTACATTCGCAAATGGTTGCCAGAGCTGAAGGATGTGAAGGGAAAAGCTATTCATGAGCCCTACAGCCGGGGCGCCGGTGGCATCGCCAAGAAGAATGGATATCCCGAACCGATTGTAGAGCACAAGAAGGTTCGTGACAAGGCGCTGAGCGCCTACAAAGAAGGCCTGGCTGTTGAGAAGTAGTAATGGCACACGCGTAGTTGGTAGTAAAGCGAGAGATTGTTCCATTCACACAATCAGTTTGAGCGAGCGCCGAGGATTTGTATGACCCGTATCTGTACCATGGCTAGGAACTTGACCGCCACGGCTTTTTGCAGGCCACCGTCAATCTGCGGCTCGGAGACTATCGAAGTAGTCCCAGACCCCTCGAACACCGATCAACCCCCAGAGGAGCTGGCTGTCCGAGGGGCTTTTGCTCGCCGGGTGCCCATGAAGTCGTCACGATAGCGCAGCGGACGTGCGGAGAGCTTGTGGTTTTGAAATCGAGTCGAACGCCCTGAATTGGAAATGCTAGATGCAAGCCAACTCTATTGCCACCAGTTCCTCCGGGAATACGTTTCCATATCCGACTCCCCAGAATCTCATTTCGCCAACGGCGTGGTCGTGAAATCATTTCCGCCCCGCTCCCCGCAACTCTTTCCTCCCTCTCGTTTCTTTTTGGTCGCTTAGATCCTCTGCCCGCTCCAGACGTTCTTGAGGAGGCCGTCCCGTTGCGCGAGGCGGTTCATCGAGTCGTCGGACTCACCCATGGCGCGGATGAAGCCACAGAGAGCGTAGGTGTGGTTCTCGCCGGTGATGGCGCGGCCGTTCTCGTCGACCTTGGCAATGTTGATCTGGACGGAGCCGTGGTCCTTGGCCTTAATGATGCGGTTGGTGGCGCTGCACTTGCGGGGGACGTAGCTGTCGCAAACAGTCAGTACTCTCGCTCCATCTTCCTCGCCCCAAAAGGGGGACAATGGCCATCCTCACAGGTCCACAATCTCGCCGCGGTCGTTCTCCATGTTGTCTGATTTGGGGGGAGTTGGTGAGGATTAGGTTGAACGTGTCGTTTGGGGGTGGATTGGGCAACGCTGGGGTGGGATGTTCGAAAAGTTCGCTTTGACTGAATTTGGTGTGGTCCAGCGCAATTTCGTGGGGCTGCGAGGGCTTTGTGCGATCAGGTGACTTGATCCACGTGATTGCGCGGCAGTCTCGCGCGATCCGCGCCGCTGCCACGGTCGGCCGAGCCCCACCAAGTGGATCTTGGAAGTGCAGGACCGACCCATTCCTCGATGTTCAACGGCATCTCCAGTTAAGACGTCAATGACGGTCGCGACCCCGGCAAGAACAGTCAACACCCTGCTGATGACAGACCGACCGACACGATAACTCGACTGCTGCGCTACACGAGTCCGAGATGCGCTCTGCGCACTCGGCTGACGACGATCGGCGCAATGACCTCTCCCGATGTATTCCTCTCGTCGCCACTTCGGACGCCATCGCGACGGGAAGCTTCCTCACCAGACGACCTACCACCGTTGCGCGAACTCGTCTCTCAAGCGTCATCCCGACCCCCCATCAAAAGTGGCAGCAAGGCTGCTCCGATCCCTGAGGGAGTCGTCACATCTTTCACAAGTGCGAGAGACCATTGGAAGGCCGCAATCGCCTCAGGGAGGAATGAGGACCCAGATGCGTCGGTGATTGAGATAGAACAACCACCACCTGGGCCTTCAGAGAAAAAGCCACGCAAACTACGCGCGAAGACTGAAGCAAGACCAAAGAAGGCCATCACCACGAAAGTGAAGAAAGTGGCCCCAGAGTCTGTAGCCAATGCTAGGCCGTCCGTGTCAACTGGGTCGCCATCTCGAGAAGAGCCGTGGAGGAAATATGCCGCCAGCCCTCCAGCGAAAACCACCGCCCGTGAAGGAGCAAAGGATGACGCCAGTGGTGCTGCTGCGGACACTTCGCTGGCTGCCCTAGAGGATGTCCTTGCACACGACCCAATAGTTGACAGCTTGGTAGTCGCCAAGGCAGAGCCGGCCAAATCCCGCGCAAAGAGGTCGAGAAAACAAACGGGCACTATGAGCGGCCATTTTCAGAGCAAGGAAACATCCCCGGCGGGCCCTCCGAAAGTTGAGGCCAAGCGGGAGGACTTTCCGCCTATAGAACGGGCAGCAGAACGCAGACTTGACTGGACACCGCCAAAGCCTCAGGCAGACATTGTCGAGGGACCACCAGACGTCTCCACGGTTCAGGAGGTCAGGTCTTCGGCCGTTGGGGTCAATCGAGCTGACTTCAACACAATGGTGCGGAACTATGGCTGTGGGAAAGAGATGGGCAAGAATATCATCACCGTGTCTGAAGAGGACTCGAGTTTCATGAAAAAGCGGAAGCTAGTCGAGCTGGTGCAAACGAAGAACAACAGTCGACAGGAGAAATCACCCTCCAGGGAGAAGTCGCCGGCGAAGCAGAAAGCACCGAAGAAAAAGGCACGCACGATAACCGATCTGGCCACCGCAGCCTACAGACAGCCTGACCCGGCTGCCCAAGAATCACCCTCTGCAACGATGATGGATCTCTTGGACAACCCGGACGGCACAGTAAAGCGTGGGGCAGCGGGCGACGCCAAGGGCAACGGCAAACAACGAAAGAAGCCTGCCAAGGCACCAAAGAAAAAGGCTGAGCTACCGAGGCGTCTTCTGCTATCGCCCGAGACGGCGTTGAAAGAGGTGACCAAGCAAGACTTTCTATTCGGTACATCGAGCCAGTTGGCAAGAGAGCAGTCGCCTTCGACGTTGAGGGACATTCAGCAGGCAATCAAAGACTCCACCCAGCTTGAGCTCGACAACATGAGTGATCCTTTCAAGAGTGATCCTATAGAATCTTTTGAGCGACCCAAACTTTGGCGGTCTGGCCACCGCGATGCCGACGGCCAGCTTTTCGACTCGCTGCTCGTTGATATGGCCGACGACAGCACCTTGGCATTGCGCGAACCGGCAGACGATGATGATCCGTTTGGTTATGTCCAAGCAGACAAGGGGTTGTCTGAATCTGGCATCCCTCCCCCTATGCCGGGCATACTGGGCAAGCCAAGTGTGGCATTGGAACCTTCGCCCGGAAAGGTCGAGGGCCGACAACCATCGGACACCGCTCTGGATGACGGTACTGACGTTCCGATCACGACCGAGCGTACAGGTAGCGTGTCACAGAAGCAGCCCATGGAAATCATCAGCGATGATGCATCATTCTCCAGCAGCCAGCTGTCGATCAGCTCTGACATGCAAAGACGCAAGGAGGCGAAGGCCACCACTGCACAAGTGTCCTCGATTGAGCCATCTCTACCACAACTGCATTCGTCCACAGAGCAACGTCTGTCAGTCCCGCAGCAGGTTCGCCCACGATTTGAGCGATACTCTGATGTCCGGCTAGCACAGACTGTCAAGAGCTATGGCTTCAAACCACTGGATAAGCGACCAGACATGATTGCACTGCTGGATCAGTGCTGGAAGAGCCAGGCATCCACTATTCTGTCGGGCTCACAATGCTTCTCGACTTCCAGGCAAGTCGGCGAGCCACTCGCGTCGAGGGGCGCGTCACGGGGTGCCACCAGCCCTGCCAGGCCTCGGGGGAGGCCGAGGAAGGCCAGTGTTAGCGCAAGCGAGTCCCAGGAACCTCCACCATCAGCGCAAGCCGTCGAGTCGCCCAAAAGGCCGCGAGGACGCCCGAAGAAAGATGCGTCAAGTCCTGCCAAGGCAGCATTGTCAAAACCACGAAAGAGCCCGCAAAGGGTTACCAGAGCACCTCGCGCAGCGGCAAAGACTACCTCACCTGCACGGAAGAAGCAGCCCGCGAAACAAGTCTTCGAGATTCCAGATTCCGAGTCGGACGACGAGGAGAACCTGACTTCGTCGTCATCTTCACAGTCACCTTCGCCGTCGCTATCGCCGGCGCAAGCTGATTCCCCGCCACTCGACATTGACGTGTCCGCCGCCACGGTTGACGGCGAGGGAGACGTCAGCTTGGCCATTGCCCCCGACGACAGCGAAGAGGCGCTCTTTCGGCGCATCACCAGAGCTGTGATGTCCGCTCCTCGGTCCACCAACCCAGATCATCCATCGTGGTACGAGAAGATACTTCTCTACGACCCCATTATCATAGAGGATTTGACCTTGTGGCTCAATACCGGACAGTTGGACAAGGTAGGGCATGACGGCGAGGTCAGTCCGGCAGAGGTCAAGAAATGGTGCGAGTCAAGGAGTATATGTTGCCTCTGGAAGGTCAATCTGCGCGGCAAGGAGAGGAAGAGGTTATGAGGCGTGAGCGGGCGCATCGATTTTGGGATACTACACAATATTTTTTGGTAGCAACAGATTACGACTTATGACCACTACACTACCATCGCTATAAGTGATGGTCCAATCGACACATTTTTGCTCAAAGGCGGGTGTGTTGTTGGGTATGTTATTTTATTGTCTTGGTGACAGTGGTGGACCTCGGCACAATCGCGTCGGGGCCCCCGCAACGGGATCGGACGTGCCACCACGAGACCAATGCATCGGCTCGGTTCATCATATGCTCACATGTACCCCGGATTTCCGCTACCGTGGCCATGTCTTTGAGCACGCGCTGGCGACCAGCATTGCTCACTCACACCTCATTCATCATCCCACTGAGAGCAGCATCGCCCGCGCGTTCAGTACCGTCCACCTCCGCTGCCATGTCTCGCCGCCCTGCATCGTCCACATCCACAGCCAAGAAGGTCATGTCGCCACGTCCTTCGTCCAGCGTTGTCCTTCTCTCGCCTCACAACCAGGTACTACTTCTTCATCGCGTCAAGACATCATCGTCCTTTGCCTCGGCACATGTGTTCCCCGGCGGCAACCTTGACCCGTACCATGATGGTGACATCCCAGAGGAAGGCAGCGAGGGCCGACACAGAGACGGTTTGGCATATCGCATTGGCGCGATTCGCGAGACGTTTGAGGAGACGGGCATCTTGCTGGCCAAGAAGAAGAATGGGGATGGGCTCGTGGAGGTGCAAGCTGACGAGAGGGAGGGTGCTCGGAAGAAGATCCACGGAAAGCAGATCCGGTTCACCGACTGGGTGGATTCGATAGGAGGAACACCTGACACTGGTAAGTCTCCCTCTCCTTCTTGACCTGCCTAAACCCTCAGGCGGTTGAGAAAATGCGGGTGGAAGCCACGCATGTGCTGACGAAGAGACAGATGGCTTGGTGCCGTGGACACGATGGATCACACCAACCAACGTACCCAAGCGCTTCACCACACAAATGTACCTGTATCTGCTCCCACTTGCCTCCTCCATGCCATCTGAGATGCTCGTGCCGACCCCAGACGACGGCATCGAGCACACAGCGGCCACCTTTGCCCCCGCGCAGGAGTTCCTCGCCCGGCAGCAAAGGAAGGAGATCATCATGTTCCCGCCCCAGGCCTACCTCGCATGGCATCTCACACGATTCATCTCCGACACGGCCACGGACCTGGACACGTCGACACGTCAGCGACAGGCGTTGCTGGACTACATCCGCAGGGTGCCCACAGGGGACTCGCCGAGGGCGCGGGAGCATGCGACCAGCCAGATCGCCTGGGGGGACAAGGTCATGAGCCCGCATAATCTGTTCGTCAGGGGGAGTGATGGGCGTATTGTCCTGGGACTGGACAAGCCAGGTCCAGAGTTGAAGGGCTCTGGGCAAGGGGGTGACTGGGAACATGTTGTCTTTGTGCGGTTTGCCCAGGGCGGGCCTACGGAGGTGGAAATCAAAGATCGCGAAGAGGCCTTGCAGGAAGAGAAAGAGTTCAAGGCACAGAGCGAGAGTAAGCTCTAATCGAGTCGAGATGAAGTGCGTATGTACATTTGGCATTTATAGACAGACGCCTCCATGTCTCGATTCACGTCCAACAGACAAGTCAAACCACGCCAGCCAGTCAACAAGTGGCCACCCTTGCATCATCTCCTCCGCCAGGCCTATTAGGCTGCTCTCATTTCCTTTCTTCGCCATTATAGCCTGCTGGGTAGCACAGATCCCTCGTGTTGCCATGGCTGTCGGTGTACGGTCCGCATTCTTCGCTCGGCTCGCATGGCGGACGACAGACGGGTGCATTCTGCCTCGCGACAATCTCTAGGCGTCGAGGGCCTGGCATGGCGATCACTGAGCCGGCTAAACCCAGAGCAAGAACCAAAACGGGGAGTTGGACCATCATGTTGTTGAAGGTTACAACCACAATTGAAGGGTATGGACCGCGTGATGTGTGTATATGCGGATGTGGATGCAGCACATCGTGCAGGTCGGTAGAGTAGACCATGGGTTCTCTCTGGTTGTATATATCCCCCAGCCCCAGACACCCACATTCCTGTCTCACCTCCTCTCATTCCTGTCGTTCCCCGTCCTGTCAAAGCTGGCCGGGCTCCTCCGCGCGCTGGGCACCACGTCCACGGCCTTGACGCTCACCCCCGCCGGACTCTTGAGCATGTATCCCACGGCAGGACCCAGATCCTCAGGCACCAAAGACTCATAGCCCTCCATAAACTCGTCATTCATCTGCTCGTCGTAACCAACTCTCTGCCGGTCAAATTGCGTGTCCACCACGCCTGGTCGGAGGGCGAGCACACGGATATCGGCCCCAGTCAGCTCGACTCGCAACGCGTTGGTGAAGCCCTCCTGCAGCGCCTTGTTGGCGTGGTAGACCGACTCGCCGGGGAACGGCGGGACCTCGAGTGCCGTGGTGGACGTGACGTTGAGAATGGACCCGCACTTGGCCTCATACATTCCTCCCGCGTTTGAGGACAACTGGGCTGCAAACATGTACCCACTGACATTGGTCCCGTTCATCTGCATCACTTGCTCGATCGTGAGATGGGGGAATAGGCTTGGCGCTCCCGAAGCCAGCCCGGCGTTGTTGATGAGGATGTCAATGGTGCCTAGCTCCTTCACGGCTGAAACACAGCGTCGCTGACAGCGGCATAGCCTTGCACATCGATGGCGTAGGTGACAGTCTTGCAGCGGAGAGGCGAGGACAAGGCGTCGAGCTTTGTCTGTGATCGTGAGAACAGGATGAGAATCAGCGAACAGGCGGCGAGATTGGCGAGCGATGGCGGCGCCGATGCCCATTGAGGCTCCCGTGATCAGAATGCTCTTGTTGTCGAGTTCGTTCATTGTGACTGCACTGAAATGTGACCGATATGTTCAATGTCGTGGTTGTCTTGGACGTACTGTGATGAATGATGACCTCCACTCCATCGTGAGTCTTGAGTCGAAGTCTCGCTATGACGACACGCCCCGCTCGTGGACAAGGACGCAATACTTGATTCTCCAACTAGACATTATGCTTTTGTTGTCTGGTTTGGCACATTGAAGCTCTTCCACAACCTATCCCAAATCGATTACACATGACGTACATGGCTTCATTCAACGTATCCAGCCGTCTGTATATCTCACCAAAACCGGTGCTACAACGGTCCATGGGGTTCCACTGGACCCTGTCCTGGGTGACCTTGCATCCCGCCCATGTCGTACGTCGCAAGTGTGCTCGTCCATTGGGTCCAGTCAAAGTCACCATCTAGCATGTCCAGGTCCTCACTGGGCCCGATGCCTTGGTCAAGCGACGGCTGGTACGGTCCTAGTGCATCCCAAGCTTCGTCCCACATGTTTTGCGGGGGATAGTGGTCCTGCGATACACCTAGGCCCTGCGACGCAGCTCGAGCCTGTAGCGCTATGGCCTGCCGCCGCAGGGCGCTTTCCCCCGTTTGGATAACATGCTGCTGTGGTGTGTCTGTGGCGCTTGGTAAGCTTAGGTTATTTGGCTGCGAGCAGTCTCCTCCTAATGCCCAGAGCGTAGCAAGGTTGGGGTTGGGCTGGGCCATGATGTCGTCAAGCAACTCCATTGCGGCTGCATTTTGGTAGCCGGGCGCTCCAGACGCTTGGGGTGCCATTGACATGTCCATTGTATTGTTCGCGTCCTGCGCCAGGGGCATACCCATCGTTGATGTGTTTGTCGTGCGACTGGTTTGTGCGTTATTTGGTCGAACAGTAACCAAGTCCCACCACCTGAGTCGAACCTCGTCCATCCTGCGCTCGTTGCCAGGGGTGGGCCCAAAGCGGGCTATTGCTGGGTTTGTGCGCTCGGCAAAGTCAAGGAGACGCGCTGCTTCCGGGTCCGACCGAAGTCGCAGCAATTCTGCTTCGCGGTGGCGGCGGGCGCGGAAGAACAGCTTGCGCAGGGGCAGGAAGATGACTGCGTGGCCGCTGTGCTTGGCCAACTCCGCAGGGTCGCGGTCTTTCATCCGCACAGCCTCCCACGATCGCTCGAGCAGTGCGGACCACGGCCGGCGACCGAGTTCGATCAGGTTGAAGGCGATTGCATGCCAGTTGGTGTAGGTCGCGAAAAGCCAGCGGAACCGCCCGCACCTCTCGTCTGAGAGGAGTCTGTTCCCAATTTCCACCACCTCAATGGCTGCAATGAATACGCGGTCACGGATCGTGTCTTGGGCCGGCACACCGCTGTCGTTTCCAGCGAAGACTGTGGCTTGATACAGATTCAGACACATTTTGGAGACGATGATTCTCGCAATCATGGAAGCCAAAAACCAGAGTGGGTCGTTCTGGTCCACGAACCGGTTGATGAAACGCTGCTCGACGCGCTCGTACGCTTCAATGAGAACCCGCTCCTTCTCGGCAAGATTGGTCTGGATGGCCTTGACGGGAAGTTCACCGATGAATCGTCTCGACATCGTGAGAATTTCATATCGACCAAGGGCCACGGCCGTGTCAGATCGCCCTTCGCGGGCCCTAGGCATTTCCTTCGTCTCGGGGCAGATATCTACATCGTTGATACTTGTGGGCATCTTGGTGTCAAATGCATTCTCTGTGATGACCAAGTCCGAGCCAATCTCTTCAGCTGAGCGAAGGTCGAGAATGAGGATTGCCCACCAAACGCGACGACGCATCTCTGTCTCGAACGGCGTCATGTCGAATTGTGATCCATCTCTGTGAATGCCCATGCCCTGGGCGATCCGGATGACCAAGCCGGTCAAGGTCCAGCAGAAGCGGCTATCATCCACGGATCTCACCACAATGAGGAAGAGTGTAAAGGCTTGAAGCACAGCAAGCTCCGTCGTGAACAAGAAGTTGGCCCTGGCGAGCGCGACCTCCAATGCGAAACGGTATTGGCGCAAGAGGGTCTCCTTGTCAGCATTGAATTCGGCGAGCAGCTCGCCTGGCTCCATCGCCACGACGGCACTGAAGTAGACGGCAAAGACCAGTGCTTCATGGCCCCGCGAGAGGCGTTCGGGTGTCTGGCGCGCCACATTCATGATCTCGTCCATTGTGGGTACATGGAGAATCTTGAGAATTGGCTCGACCCGATCTTGATACGTCGCCCACAGATGAGGTGCATGAGATGCTGGGGGATGGCACGTAAGTAGGTCTACGTCTGCCGCCTTGTAGCCAAATATGAACGCTTGATGGTCGTCACTGGTGAGCTGTCCCTGGGTGCCGTCGGGCGAGTCGTCGGGGTTATCCTCATAATCGGTTTCATCGACATCGCCATCCGATAAGCGTCTAGTGTCTTTTCGCAGGCTGTCAAGCTATTCTCATGTCAGTCATCCCAGGCAGTCAAACTATTCACTTCTCATTGAGTGACTCACCTCGTCGTTCAGCTTGGACCAAAAGAGGTTGGACACATATCGTGTATTCCCCTTGTGATCGTTCAGGACTAGACGACCAAGACGATGGGAGATGTCCTTTTTTGGGCCGTCGATGCTGTTCTCGATTTGATTGTCACCTTCAGGGCCGACAGTGTTTGAGACCACCGCGGCAGGATTCAAGCCAGGAGCTGTGGACCGCCTTACAGGCGGATGACCTGGAGAATTGGGCGAGCCTGCAGAAGAGGGCCCTTTGCCACCTGACTCGACCTCAATCTGCCCACTCAACTCCTCGACGATCCCTTCCAGCTTCCTAAGCCGCTTTGTAAGCTCAACCTCACGCTGGCTTGTCGCTGTCTTTGGCGCTGCATTCGGATCCCTGGGCTTCGGCTGTCGCGGCGCACGTCCAGGGGCCGGGAAGACGCATGGAATCAGTGCTCTCCGACAGTTGGAGCACGGCATCTGCTTGTCGCAGCGAACCTTCCGCCTTCTACAGGTAACGCAGGATCGTGGATTGAGCGCCGCGCCGGAGCCGTCGGACGCAGCGATGGGGTCCATGTAGGCGTCGGGGCCGGAGGTCTGATAGACTGTCACATTTCCAGACTGACGGCCCCCTGGCGGGTTGGCGGTAGCATTTTGGGGCTGAGCGGTGCCGTTGGAGGGGTTGTTGTCGTCCGTAGACACGGACGGCGCAGCGTGCTGATAGCTCATGGCAGCGAAATCGATTCGAGGGGGCGCGCATGTGTCTGTTCCAGCCTATTCGACTCCTTGTTGACTCATTGAATCGCGGGCGAGTCTCGGTTGACTTGGGTCAAATCTCAGTGACAACCTGTGTGGCAGTAGGCGCGCGCGCGGCGGGAGGACGAGACAGACGTCGCTATGCAGCAGAGCCTCGATTTACGAGTGCGGCATATCAACTACGACACCCTGTGCATTCGGCGATACGCGAGGGAGACAGACGAGCATGCAGTCATGCTCAAGTCAGGGCGGCTTGGTAGACGACAAGGGCGGAAACATGTTGCAGGAGCGGAATTGTGACTGCGCCGTGAAGGAATCTGCAGGCGGATTGCTCCGGACGGCAGGCACGCGCACGGCATGACGCACCCATGCTAACAACTAGGACTCTTTTAGTTAGTCTAGTCTGCTTGCTGGAGGCCCTAGTCTTAACTAAGTATGGTACGTATTTGAGCACTTTGGGCAGTAACAAATAAGTAAGGTATTAGTAAACAACCGTTTTAATTGAGGTTTACATAGTTGCAGATACTCGAGCAAAACAATAGAATGTTGCTAAAGAACGAAGTCTCGAAGAAACAACTCTTGGATATCGTCACTATCGTACTTGATTGGCCTCGTTCTTGCTCATGGTGCTGTCTTTTACGACACACTTTCACATGTTTGAGTAGGGGGGTAATTATTAATGCATAATTGGCTCAAAAGACCCCGCTGACAGCCTGTCAGCATTAGCATGGCTCTGCAAATCTGAATGTCATGTGAATAACCGCAGCGTTGAGATTGATTGTAGCCAGGCGTAATGTAATTGCTACTCCCGCTGATCTTGTCGTGCTATAGCCATGTCCTCGATATTGATTGTATTCTGACCGTCTTTCCAGTGTTGGCCCTTGGGTCAGGTTGGACCCTGCCAAATTGATCACAAAATTTGCAAGTTTAGAGTTATATCCACCTCTCAATACAGACGCCACAGAATTGTGGAAAATGGTCTGTATATCAAGATGAAAATCCTGATCACTTCCCAGAGCAACTGCGTGAAGAAAATTTCCATTCTCTCCGTCTTCGTAGCGCATATCCATGACATCCATTGGTCGCTCCTGGTCGATGTAGGGTATTCTCGACAACCAGATCCCCACTAGCCCGTGAGCTGAGCTTGTCCAATCCACTAGCCTCAGCTTTGAGGAAGGGCCCACCATCGGCCGAGCCGGCGCTATGTAAGATAGCCGCCCGGCGTTGTCGGTGGGACGGCCAGTCTACGAGCGCTCCGTTAACAGTAGGATGCCAGATTTTTAGAGGGAAAGGCGTGGCGACAGACAGCAAAGAAGACACTTTAGCTAATTGGCGCCTAGTAGACTGTCAATGGGCAGCGAGCACACATCACCGACCGGACTCGGGGTGGGGCCGATCAACCGGTGGAGCACAGCTCCGTTCCAAGTCGCCCGGCGCCGGAATTGCACTTTCACCCAACCTCAGTTACCCTTGTGTTCAGTATTGTACGTGTATTTGCACGCGCATGATCGTGAGCTCAAGATGACCAGGTGCTTGTTACATATGGTTCTCTAAAAATTGACTCGCACTGATCTCACTCATTGTTCGTTGGGCCACTCTGGATCACCACGGGTTCTCAAAAACACCTCGCACTCGGCCTTGGAGATGGGCATCTCATTGCCTAGGTACGAGCCTGAATGAGCCCATCTCTGGCAGGCCATCTTTCAATATCAAGTCTCGCATTCCATTCTTTCACCACGGAATGTTTGGCATGTCCTCTTGGAGTTTACGAGATTATACGCGAAGCGCAGCGACAGACAATGGTCGTTACCCCTTGGCCTTCCCCAATACTTACATGCCAGCCTAAAACGACGTGAGTAGTCTAACCTTGCCGCTGTTGAAAAGACGTGTCTAATACAGCCAACTGACACGTCACTCCTGGCAGTACCTCGAACGCTTCCGCCCTTTGTGTCATTGATCCCACGCCGAGAGGAAGAGAGTGTGCATCACATCACTTGGCTCCTGACTTGATGTGGCGATATTGAAATACCAAGACAGGCAGAAACTCCAACTGCCATATCTACCCCAATCCCCGACTGAAGCACAACACCCTCTTCCACGATTCGACTCGGAGTTGCGCGTTGCAACGCTGCGACTTCCGCGGCTGGAAAATGAAATGATCGACTTTTCCGGACCTAGAAGCTGTCCAAAGTGCCAGAGTATGACCTGCCACCCAGAATACGGCGTAATCATTGGCTCCGCAGAGCCGCATTTTGGGATTTCGATGGTCAGAATGTCCCTCACTGGCCACGTTGGCAGGATGCAATGCAACATAGGTTTGGAAGCGGGACGGAATTGGTCAGTTTGTGGCTGTTGGCTGCAGCAGCTGTGTCTTTGCATGGACAAAGGCCACCACTAGACCGGATAATTGGAGTCAACCCAATTGCATCACATGATGGCAGGGGACCAGAGATGGTCGGGTGACCTGGCGCGCTTTGGGTCGCTGTAGACGAGCGTGCCGGGCCAAGGGGAAATTGTTCCACGCAATAGTCTGCTGCATGGCGCATGCAAACAAGAAGTCTAAAGAAGTCTAAGCCGATGCTCTCATACTACCATAATGCGTGTCTCGGCAGTACAGTTCCTATCAGAATGTCGGCCTACACGAAATTGGTCGGTCCAAGTCTCGAGGTGGCCAACACGTCATGGCACAACTCTCTGCCAGTGGGGGCATATCTCAAACGTGTATAAAAGACTCGTTGTCTTCACTGAGTTAATTCAGAGATACGACTGTACGACAGAACAGCAAACTACAAGAACAGCAGCCTGTACTCCTGAAGCATATACGTGCCTGTCTACTTAGGCAAACACTCACCAAGTCTCATCATGTCTCCTCAGAACGGCAACGACGACCCGCCAGGAACGTACGTTACCAGAGTCAAGACGTGATAGCTGCTGATCATGTTTAGCTACCAGATGGGCCAGTACATGAGTAGCACGGAAGATCCTTGGCCCGCAGGGAGAGGGGTTGAGTTTAGGTTCGGTCGGAGTGACAGGACCCAAGACTCAGCAACAACAACCAGCGCGCCACCCCCAGCAGCAAACGGCAAACAGCAATCGCAAGTCAACGGCAACTCACGTACAACGGTCAACGGTGACCATCCAAAGCGGGATTCTTAAACTGCCCTTAGGTTGGACGGTCTTGTCCTGTGCGTGGCCACGAGGTAGTGATGTGTTGATATGCTTATGGTGGGAATTTGTTGAGATGTAGCCACAAAGGACAATGAATGTCGCTTCGATCAGACCAACACTGTTGATTTATTCAAAAATACCTGAAACGTCACAGCCTAAGATATTGGCCACAACCAGTGCAGTGTCGATGTTCACAGCCGTGATGACTTGTGCCTTCTAATGATATGGAATGGCCAACGCTCATTGCCATTGAGCGTCAACGCTATCTGACGTTCGCATTGTCCATTCGCTGGATTGCCGTATGGACGCCACGCTGAACGTGAGCCGGGAGCACTTTGCGCCACGAAGAAACGCCATGTCGATACACATGCAGCTTCCGGAGCCACTCTATAGGCAGGGCGCACCTGGGACAGGCAATTATGAGAAGAGCACCAATTGAGGGCTCATACGTGTTCGCGTGGCAATGACGGGGTAGGGTGAGATAACAACGTGAAAGGTCCGAAATCCCGAGTGACGGTCCGGAGCTGAGTCATCTGACCTATCCAACACTCCACTATCATCTTACTCATCATCACGTGCGCACACGTCCGCTCAGCTCTAGGGTTTCTCCCCCCACAGATTGGCCGCAGTAATTTTTCGCCCGGAAAAACTGCCTGCCAACCGCCAATCCACCGCACCGACGACGACAATACCATCCCAGACGAGGGCACATTGTTTTATTTCTCCCACGAAGTAACACAACACACAAACCGCTACAATGGCCAAGACCTCGTGAGTGCCGCCACTGCTCTATCTGGACCACACCGACGACTGGCGATTTTATCTCGCGACGATGGACGATGCAGAAGAGGTGGAATAATTGCCCCGGAGGGAGGGGGGAAGGCACACACATATTGGCTTGGAAGAGGAGGAGGCGGAGGGCGCATTGCTTGTTAACTTGGGCTTTGCCGAATCTTGTTACTGTCGTGGGATCTTAAACCGTCGACAAATCCGGGCCAGAATTCATGTCGCATCGTCAATCGTCGGGATCGCCAGGTGCCGGGTGTCTTCTGCTGCTGCAGACCACACGCCGCAACAAACAAAGTATACTGACAACGTTTCCAGGCGTGGTGCCCCCGGTGGCAAGCTCAAGATGACCCTCGGTCTCCCTGTGTACGTTTTGGACGGCGAATCCGACCCTCCCCCCCTCCCCGAGAGCCCACGAAATTCACAGTCGCTAATACGTGTTCTGCAGTGGTGCCGTCATGAACTGCGCCGACAACTCCGGTGCCCGTAACTTGTACATCATCTCCGTCAAGGGTATCGGTGCGCGCCTGAACCGCCTCCCCGCCGGCGGTGTCGGTGACATGGTCATGGCCACCGTCAAGAAGGGCAAGCCCGAACTGAGGAAGAAGGTCCACCCCGCCGTCATCGTCCGCCAGTCCAAGCCCTGGAAGCGCTTCGACGGTGTCTTCCTATACTTTGAGGACAACGCCGGTGTCATTGTCAACCCCAAGGGCGAGATGAAGGGCTCGGCCATCACCGGACCCGTGGGCAAGGAGGCTGCTGAGCTGTGGCCCGTAAGTTTTTGCTCTTTCGCTCGTCGTCGGCTGGGAATCTGCCTGCTAACTTGCTTGGCAGCGTATTGCCTCCAACTCTGGTGTTGTCATGTGAGGAGGAGGTCTTCTTCGATAGCGAAATTGAAACGGCAAATGGAGATACACAGAGGATGAAAGCCACGAATTTTCTATGTCCCAAACACAACCTCAGTCCACCACAACCCGTCGATGCTTCCATCGCGAAAAAAAGAATTGTCTTACGACCTTTAGATGAGAAATTGTCTCCGGGAAATGAAGGGATGGATGAACAGCAGACGGGTCTTTGGAGATTGGGAAGTGGGTGTCTTTTCCTGAGGTGGCAAGGGGCTTTGCATTTCGGTCGCGGCGTGTAAAGGGTGATTCATATCGGGCATCACATCAAGGACAAAAAACTTCAATACCTCTGCTCGCTTGTGACCGTAGACGTCTTGTGTGTTTGTGGCATATTCCGCGCTTCTTGTCCGCTAATCTAGTGCCTGCACGGCCAGAAGGATGAAAAGTCAAGAATGTACTGACAACGAGGTGAATGCAAGATCCGGACATGTTATTACTATCTTGCCCGCGTATACGAAGTCAATCATACTAACTGCGGCCCCCAAAAGTGAGAATGCTGCCCTTTTCCTTTCCTGAACGCCATAAAAGCCCCCTCGTAGTGCTCATGCGGATGAAAGCACAGTGAGCCTGGAGTGGAGCTGCAGAAGAATCGCTCGGTGTCAAGCCTTTTGACAACCCATGATGCATGAAGTCGGTAGAGAATAGACATGTGACAATAGAAGCCAATGTATACAAGAGGCTGCTGCTGGGTTTCCAATTCGTTGCGTGTCATGTGCGTGCGTCCGTGCTCGCTTCGTCCTCTCCTGAGCCTCGACCAGATGACGGGTTAACCAGGAGGGTTGTGTTGTTTATACAGGGGATTGCAGGTCGAGGGCAGTGAAGACATGTCTTTGACATGAGTAGATGTAGGCATTCTTTGCCTCATTTTTGCGTACTTTGACACTTGCAAAGTAACACTCGTCTTTCAGACCGGGGTATTTTTTACCCGCGGTATGGTGCGTACTCGTGGTGACCAAACGGTCGATAACCGGGAGGCAGGCCCTGCTGAGCCTGGGCAGGATGCATTCCAGGTGGAGGCGCATGCGTAGGACGACCATGTACGGCGTGCTGGTGATGGCCAAGCGGGTGACCGGAAGCATACTCAGGAGGGTAGTGAGGGGGAATGCCTTGCTGCACATGGTGCGGAGGAGGCTGGACCGCGTACTGCTGCTGAGGCAGTGGCTGGTGGTGATGGTGTTGTGGCTGCTGCTGCTGCTGCTGCTGCGGCGGCGGCGGCGGCAGTTGGTGATGCATAGGCTGGTGCATCTCATGGTGTTGATGGGCAGGCGGTGGCGGCTGCGAGACGGGGCGAGAATGCATGAATGCTGGATTCTCCCCGGGGAGAGACACTTGATCAATCTTCTTGGCCGGCTTGCCCTTTGGTTTGGGCGCGAGAGGACCGACTCGCTGCTCGGCGGCGGCCTGCTGCAGCTTCTTGGCCGCGAGCGTGGCTTTGCGCTTCTCGACGGCACCAGCCATGTTCCCGTTGGCCCAACGGTCTGGAGCGCTGTTAGTTGGATAGGTTCAAGACAGATAAATACCAACTTACTCTTCATAGACGCGGACATCTTCTCTGACTTGGTCATGGCTCGATACTCCTTGGACGAGTCGTCGCCACCCTCCGTTGTGGGTTGAGACGTTGGAGTGCCTGTGCGCGTCTCGGGGGATGGACCGTTGGAACCACGACGCATCTTGATCTTAGGCGGTTTGGAGGCATGGCTCTGCTGACTCAAGTCTGGTGCGGGAAGTGGAATGACCGTCTCCATGTATTCGTCCCGGTCACCAACATCCGGGCCAGCCTTACGGACTCTCTTCCGGGGAGGCGCAGTGGCGCTTTCAGGGTTATCCTCTAGCGCAGTGCGGAACCTCTTTTTACGGTTCGGCCTGAATGAGTAGCTTGATTCAACAGTGACACCAGAGTCGGCAGTGGACGGTCGAGACTCGCCGTTGTCGCTGAGAGGCAAGGAGGGTCGTCTGTGCTTGTCAGACTGGGGAAGTAGGAAGGTGATGAGGAACCGGCCATCAGCCTTGCTGACGCGAACAGAGGACTGGTGTTCAGCCCTGATGGCGACCTTTCCTCTGTTGCGACGAGCTGCAGCAGGCTTGAGCGCCTCATATCGCTCATCTTGGATCATGGAGTCGGCATCGTCGTTGCGTACTCTGGTTCGAGCCGCACGCTTGCGACGTCCAGTACCTGGCGTCTCCGCATCCGAATGGTTCCCGCCGTTGAAGCTGGAAGACGGTTCGCCGCCGCCGTCGACGATGTCAGCGTCGGCATTCTTGCGTCTGCGCCCACGGCCCGAGGTTGGGACGGGCGTGGCTGCGCGGCTAGCATCGTGGGCGGCCGGCTCGAACAGCTGCACAGGTTTACGCTGCCTCTTGCCAGTCACGCCCTCTGTCTCAGTGGCCTTGACAGTGGGCTTGGGCTGGTTGCGCAGGGATCGGCCTCGCGTGGAGATGCCCGCCTGCTGCATCTCGGGGTTCTGCTTGCCAATCTTGGACGGATGCGGATCGTACTCGAAGCCATATGCGCTGGCCATGATACGGTCCTGGGCCTGGAGGTAGCGCGTCTCGGTGAGGACAGCCTCCTTTGCTCTTGCCTTGTAGCCCTTGACCTGGAAGTCAGGCTCCTCCCAGTTGATGCCCTCCTGTCCCAGGTCCTTGGTGCGCGCCTCGTATTTGTTGTCAGCCAGTCGGCGCCGCTCTGCATTTTCGCAGTCGTCTACCCTCCTTTGCTCCTCGGCATACTCCTCTTGCCAAGTGTTCATGCAGTCCGTCAATGCGTAGGCCAGAGTCAAGAGTTCCTCGTTGGATTTGTCCTGGTAGTCCTCGGCCGCGTTGAGAAAAACATCGACGTCCTGTATCTTGCGGAGCTTGTAGTGTTTCAATTTCGCGACGACAGCCTCCTGCGACTCGGAGATATCGTTGCTGTCCACTTCGTCCGTCGCGATGGCCGGAGAATTGAACGATGTGAGCTCACCAGCGTCGAGAACCGGCGATCCGCGGGTCGGAGTGTTGAGCGTAGGCGTGGCCAATTCAGTGGGAGGGCCCTGCGCGTCTAGCATGTCGTCGGCGACGGCATCGAGGTCAATGCCACTATCCTTCCCGGACTCCTTTTCCTCGGGGGACTGCTCGTCACTAGCGGCATCCTCCTCCTGAGGCTGGTTCTTTTGCTCGGGATAGACAGAGTATTCTCCCCAAACATACGGTGTCAGGTGACTCCACGGGCTGGGTGGTCGAGGCTGCTCTGCGCACCACTTGAGTGACCCCAGCTGTGAGCGAATATGCTCGTCGCTCAGGTCCGTGCTCAAAGCTGAGTCGCTTGAAGAAGGTACGCGCTGTATCTCGGACGGTTGTGGTGATGCAATTTGGGCGTCTGGGGATTCCTTTTTGGTGCGGTGCTCAGATTCAATCTGAGGCTTGTTCTCCCCCCCCTCTGCTTCTTCTACGCCCTGCTGCTCATTGGTCTGGGAGTGACTGGGAGATGATCTTTTGCTCCCCAACAGCTTCTCGTCCCGTTCTGGCGCGGCTGCGGGACGTTGCTTGGCATTGGTCGACGTGTTGGTGCTGTTTGACGTAGCGGCACGACTTCCATCGCCAGAGGATCCTGCTAAAGCTGAATCGATGGGCGTCGGGGTGAATGTCTCGATTGCGGATTCAGACGCGGACCCAGGTTCGACGGGATGGTCCTGCGGAAGGGCATCTACCTCACCCCAGGGGAAGCCATACTCTTTAGGCTCGATGGAATTCCACTCTAGCCCGGGGAGTTCTTCGCGTCGAGACACGCGACCCAAAGCCCAGGGTGGAACATCGGCTTCGCAGAAGCCCTTGGTAATGGTTGGCTCAACAGCGAGTCTCATCAGAGTCGATCGCTGGTTCAAGTCCATGTTACTCAACTTCTGGTCCTCGATGCCAAACCATGTGACGTAGAAACAGCCGCCTGATGCTGGTTTGATCAACTTTTGGTAGTTAATAGTGTAAGGTCGGTATTCGCTGAAGAGCCTGCGATCGCCGTGGAGCTCGCGATATGTGTCACCGTAAATCTCGTACCGCTCGTTGGGCTCAGACAGCATCGAAAGTATCGAAATCGCGCGTTTGCAGGACATGCGCTGAGGCCGCCCCTTCTTTGGCTCACAGAGATCGGAGCATGTATGCTTTTCCGGTTCATGCTTACATTCCTGCTCCACCAGTGCCCCATGCTGTTGTTGCTTCAGTCTGGAAATCTCGACCTCCCCGTGGTTGTCACGGATTTTGAGGCGGCTTGATGAAGTCGAATTCGGCACCATGGGTCCATCCCCCATCTGCTCAGCTTCAAGGGCATAGTTGACGCGAGGTTTCCTGCGTAAGGTGTGACCGCCTTTGCTGGGACTGTTCGGTTCACCAAGCTCAGCAGAAGCTCGTGAGAACGAGGCTGACGAGCGAGACTGCCTCCGAAGGGTCGGTGATTGTGATGATGACTGTGATTGCCGAGCAGTATCAGGGATCAATCCTCCTTGAGCGTCAAGTAGGACGCCTTCACGCTCGGCGCACTCTTGGATGACCCAGTTGCGTGGCTTCTCACGAGAGACAATGAGCTTGGCTGGCTCATGTTGAAAGGGATCCTGTTTTGGCGCACATTCCTCTTTGGTGAGGGAATGGCCCTCTTGCTTCTCCGCCATGATTGCGGAGGGGGTCGAATTCACAGAAGAGTGTCGACGACCTTGCTCACCTGGATGGGAATTTGACATGTCATGTCGTGACATGCGCCAGCCGTCGAGAGTGCTGGTGATGAGGCCAACGTTCGAATTGGTAACGCTGGATGGATCTTGGACGGGATGGGCAGTCCACGTCGACGCGAACAAAGGGGCCAGAGAACAAAGAGAAGCAGAGGTACCAATGAAAAGCACCTAGTAAGCGAGGGTTCTCTGTGTGCTGCAGAGCCTCCTAGGGTCGTGGGAATGTTAATTGATGGTGTTGGTGAGATGTCGCCCTGCCTTTGGCGTGGTATACACGGAGCCAGGCTACGCAGAGATTTGCTGGCAGGCGAGCGACGGCGACTAACACGTGTGTTTGCAGTGTGTCGTCGCTGCGAAGTATGTATCCCGAGCTGGGTGACAGTGAGAGAAAAGGGGATGGGACGTGATACACGAGGGAGAAGAGGGTGGACGTGAGCATTCACAGTCGTTTGGATGGCGACTGAGCAGGCTGGTTCATCTCTCTCCTTGACTCTGATGAGCGCTCGAGCCTGGATAGCTCACAATACCGGCCGACCGACTCAACTTTCATGAGTGTGGGATGCGCCAAGGCCACGGCAGCCAATGACAGCGCCGGGCGCCCAGGCCGGGTATCGATCTGGCTTGATCCAGCCTCCCCAGCTGGGCTAGTCCACTGGCACTTACAGACTCTTACAGTGAGCGACTCCCCTGAGCCCCTTTGGCCCGGAGTTCTGCCAGCTGCCCACGCCTCCCACTGACCACTCACATCACACATCAGTACCTCGCCTTTCCTTCTCTGGACTAGCCTCCGTGCCCCGAGCTCCCGTGACGCAGCTCTAAGTCCCATGGCCTCTATCCGTACATTGACTTTGCACGGTGCTCACCTGAGCCTTGCATTCATGCTTGCTGCAACATCAAGATTGCAGCAAAAGTCTGAAGATCCGACTGTTCTTTTTCAAAGGCAACTGTAATTCCTTAGCGCATCAAGTACTGCCATAATTCGTATTGACGTTGTGGTGGCTGCCAGTGTAGCGAGCTCCAAGGCTTAACACGTGATAAAGTGTGTGGGCTATACGTCAACCAAGGTGCCCAAGCAGCTGAGCTATGCACCGCAACTTGCTGGGAATGTTGCACTACCCACGAGCCACAACATCTGACGTTCAAACAATTGAAACCAGCACATCCCGAATCTAACTACCTCATCGCCATTCAAACTGACAGAGCGTGACTGTAGAACCTCCACCGCATCACTTGACTGATCTCCTTCATCGCCCAGGGCCATCAGATATGGCTTCCAAGAAGACCAAGGCGCCCGCCGCCGACGACAACTTCGATGAGCTCTTCTCCGGCATTGGCGATGACGCCAAGTCCAAGGAACCCTCTGGCGCAGCATCCAAAACTTCAAAATCAGCGGCCTCCAAGAGCAAGGCAGACGATATCTTTGCCGACCTCGAATCCGAGCTCGCGTCCCCGCCTGAGAAAGCAGCTATTTCCCGACCACACACCCCACGCGTGAACCCCGGCAAGCGGTCGACGGCGACGCCCCCCGTCACAGACGACAAGGCCCCTGCTGGCGCCGTCGGACGAAAGTCGACAGACAGCGCAAGGAGTCTCAGGGCAAGCTTCACGCCCAGCGTCACAAGCTCGGAGCTACACGAAGCGGAGAAGAAGGGTCCCGTCGAACAGACATCGCAAGCGTCTGCTCCCCAGCAGCAGCAGCAGCAACAACAGCAACAACAACAGATCGGTGGAGGATGGCTTGGGGGATGGATCTCTACAGCCACAGCGACGGCCAATGCGGCTATGAAACAGGCCGAAGCTGCGTATAAGGAGATCCAGCAGAACGAGGAAGCCAAGAAATGGGCGGAGCAAGTCAAGGGCCTCCGCCAGATCGACGTGGGAGCAATCCGTCACTATGGTAAGGTAGAACCAGCCTCGTTGCTGAACACAGAACTAACAGCGCCCCAGGTGATGAGCTTCGCCACATGGCCATGCCAACGTTGTCGAACCTTCTACACACCCTGGCGCCTCCAATTGGATCACACGAACGACTCCTGATTCACATCACCCATGACCTGGTCGGATACCCTTCGCTGGACCCATTGATCCACGGCGTTTTCGCGCGCGTCATGTCGCAAGTCGAGGGCGGAGATTTGCTGGTCGTCCAGCGTGGGGCAGAGAGCGCCTCGCGACGATCCAGCGATGGCTCGGCTGGCTGGCACGACGGCCCCTGGTGGCGTCAGGTCGATTCCCCGCGTGAGTTGGGTCTGGTCAAGGGCTTGGCAGAGGGCACAAAACTCTGCCGTGCCAGTGCCGAGAGCTATTCGGCAGAGTACTTTGCTGCCCACGGTGGCATCGACGAGGCCAAAATCAGGGCTACCGAAGCCGTGAGCGAGGCCAACCCAGTGCGCACCTCGGACCTATTCCTGTCCGTGCAGGCCATTTCCATGGACGGCGAGCTAAAACTGTTCGCCGGCAGTGCCACCTCCGAGCAACAGAAGGAGGCGTCTGCGGTCAAAGACCAGGCCGAAGAGGAGGTTTGCTTTGCCGTCTACATCCTCGACCCCGTCCACGATATACACTATGCGACTGTTAGCCAGGCCATTCCCTCGCGGTGGGTGCGTTGGCTTGATGCACCCACCCTCCTGACGCCGACATCCGGCGAAGAGGAATCCAAGACTCCGACCGATCTCGACGAGCTGCCTGACGAGATCCGCGAGATTGTCGCTAGCGGCGGCGTCGATCCTCGGGAATGGGTTGCCGAGTGGATCGAGGAGCTTCTGAGTTTGTCCGTCGGTGTGGTTGCTCAGCGATACGTAGCCAGGCGGATGGGGGTTGGCGAGGGCGGTCTTGGCAAGGGCAAGAAGAGAATGGAGGACGTCGTTCTTGACAATGCTGGCGAAGCGGCCAGAGCCGGCGTGATCTAGCCTTATCATAGGCGGTTTTGGAATCCAAGGTGTTTATAAGCGTTTCCGTGTTGTTATTAGTATCATGCCGTCCAAATTTCGACTGCTGCTCATGATATTTCCCTGGGCATAATCGCAGGCAATGGGATCAATTCATAAGTTTTTGATGATACACGAGGATCTCAGGTATACCAAGCCGAACTCTGATATTGACTGGTTATGCAGGCTTACTTTAAGACATCCTCTCTCACCACGGTACCCGCCTTCTTCAGCTCACCCTTGGCTGCCCTCGTCGCTGTGCGTGGCTCGACGTACCGCAACGGCCTATACTTTGGCTCCCACATTTGCTCCCGAATCCACTCTTCCAGCTCCCCATCCTCCTCGGGAATGTCCTTCTCAGTGGCAACGCCCTCCTGAACCGCGGCTTGGATCACATTCCGGGCGACGCGCACGCTGACCTTCTTGACTTCGAGTACATCTGGCAGCAAAGGAGCCTTCTGATCACGCTTTTTCTTCGTGGGGCTCATACTTGTCACGCCATGCACGGCCGCCACGAGCATCTTGTCCGTCACGCGGCTGGCGCGTGACAGGACGGCGCCGAGACCGATGCCCGGGAAGACGACGCTGTTGTTGCATGCTGCCACCTCGATGCTGACCTCCTTGCCATTCTCACCCCAGGGACCCCTGACAGGCTCGAATGGTGAACCAGTGGCGACCAAAGCCTGGCCGTTGGTCCAGTTGAGAATGTCTTCAGGCTTTGCCTCATGAAGACGTGTCGGGTTGGAAAGAGGCAAAATAATGGGCCGCGAAGCGTTCTTGTGCATCGCCTTGACTACAGATTCTGTGAAGGCTCCGGGTACTGTAGATGTGCCAATGAGAACATTGGGTCGAGCAGTTTCCACCACGGATTGGAGATCGGTTGACTTGTCGGACCAAGACGAGGCGTCCTTGACAAAAATCTTTTGAGCATTGGACACCTCGGTCTCAGTGGTGAGCAGCCCGGGTCTGTCAATGAGCCTATGCTTGTCAGTCATCCATCATAGCTAAGATAAATTCGCCAGCCGAGGTTGCTGCCCACTAACCATATTTGCTTCGCAGCTTCTTCGTGACTGATACCACACTCGGTGGCAATGGCATTCCTCACTGCGTCTGCGATACCCACGCCAGCCGATCCGGCGCCAAACACAACGAGTCGGATATCCTTCAGGTGGAGGCCGCTTATATCCAGCCCAGCCATGATCGCGGCGAGCGTTACACAGCCTGTTCCTTGTACATCATCGTTGAAGCACGGCATTGTGGGGCGATACAAGTCCAAGAACCGCCTCGCTAGAAATGGAGATATCAATCAGCCAAACAGTCCCCCGGTTCTTGTAAAAGGGGACTGACCGTTTCCGAGCCCAAAATCCTCAAAGTGGATGTAGGCCTTGGGGTATAGCTTCCTCGCGGCCTTGACAAAGATATCCACGAATTCGTCGTACTTCTGGCCTCTGACGCGCTTGTGCTGGAGGCCAAGGTAGAGCTCATCAGACAGGAGCTCCTCGTTGTCCGTCCCGCAGTCGAGCACCACAGGCAGACATCTCGACGGATGGAGACCAGCACAGAGCGTCGTGAGAACCAGCTTGGCAACAGAGATGAGGACGCCGCCCACGCCCTGGTCGCCGATACCGAGGATCTCCTCGCCGTCCGTGACGACAATGTAGTCCACGTCCTCTGCGTTGCCCCATTGCGCGAGATCCGGCTCCACGCGGTCCTGGTGGTTGATGTTTAGATAGCAGCCCTCTGGCCTCCTGAAGATCTTTGAGTACCTTTGGATGGCATCGCCTTCCGTGGGTGTGTACACGACGCTGAACACTTCTTGCAGGTGATCCTCCAGGAGCTTTGACCAGTTAGGCTGCGCTGTGGATAGCTAGGACGATGCGGACAGACCTTGTAGTACAAAACTTCATTCTGGTCCTTCAACGAGGTCAGGAACGTGTTCTTGGCGAGGTTATCTGGCCTGGAGGCATATTGCTCGTATGCCCTTTCGGCCTGCTGCTCCAGCGTCTGAATGGCCTGGGGCAGCAACCCGGTGAGGTTGAACTTCACCCTCTCCTCCTCTGGAAACCCCGAGCCCTTGTTGAAAGCAGGCGTGTTGAGCACGGCAGCTCCCGTCAAGGCGCAGTCGACCGGACCACTTGTGCTGAGAGGCAGATGGCCGAACTTGGACTGTTGCGGTGCCATTTCATACCCAGTACTACGCACTGCTGGGGCTTGGCTGAATAATGTGCGTACGAACTGAAATCTAGGCGTTCACGGGTTACGATCAGGGCCAAGATATTAAGGTAATGTTGCAAAGACACTGGGTGAGGTCGAGCGCAACAGTGACGTCGTCACATCCGCCGCCGGTGCCGCATTGCATGGCATCAGTCTAGCACCTGACCTTATCCACACAGAACATGACAGTCAAGCACATCTTAAAGAGACGCTGAGAATAGTGTTCTGAAGACACTTGGAAATCAGCGTCTGCACAATGTCACAAGAATTGCGCCGGAGTGGGTATTTTACAGAGGCTTCCACGTTGAGTCGACACAAAATGGGAACACTCAGAAACACAAATGTAGGAGCGCCTGGAGCCTCGCCCGTGTGAGATGGCATCAAGAGCCAGACGGGCATGGACTATGATGGACCAGAAATCTATTCTTGCAGCACGAGCATCCCTCTCGGTTGCCCTCTTGCGAGGGGGTTCCTCGACGGGATGCTCATTCGCGTAACCAGCCGACTTCCCACGCGTCGCACAAGACGTGTTTCGCGGGGAAGATCTTCACAAGGAAGACTCGTGGTGAGGTTCCGATAAAGGACGAGTGGCTGGGCATGGACGCTGCGGTGTGGTTGTCTCCTCGACTGGAACTCTGGCGAGACCAGCCAGGAGGAGTTGGGACAGCATTTGTGCGGCGTCGCGAGCCCCTGCGTATCACATAGCCCACTTGGGCCACAGCAGGGACACGCTGGGCTTTGTTTGAACGCCAATAACGCTAGTAGAGAATCGCGCGATGCTCAAGAGCGCGTTCGTTGCTTGCTTGACGACGAATTGTCGAGATGGAGAGAGCACAACTTCTGGTGGCGGCAGAAAATTCAGCGGCAGACTGTGCAGCCGCCAGCGTCCAGCCAGCCCCTGACCGCCTTACCGCTTACGGAACGCTAATGATCGCCCACCGGATCGGCCCGGCATGTTTGACGCAACGCTTCACCTAACCTTGGTCTCTACCAACCCGATCAATCATTGCGACGTTCACGATGAAGTAGTTGCTCAGCAGCTGTACTAAATGCGCCAGTATTTATAATCTGCAATCTGATAGAGGCCTCTAGATCTAGCTCATCATGCCCAAGTACTGTGTCGTGATCTTGGTATCCTTCTTTGCCCCCTGGACACCAACGGTAACAACCTCCCCTGGAACAATGTCCACCAAATTGTCCTCGAATTTGACATCATCGTCCTCACATTCCAAAGAAACACCCTTGACGGGAAACTCGGCGGACACAGACACGCTTTTTCCATCGCTCGACAGCTCCGTCTTGAGGTGCTTGGGCTTTTGCAGGTGGACATACTTGAGAGGCTCAGGCCAGTTCACGTACCGGGCAATCTGCTTCCCGTTCTGATACAGGTACGCGCCAACAACGGTGCGCATCTCCAGCCCGGCGTCCTTCTTCTCGACTGGGACGTCCATGGCGATGATTTCTGTGGAGCGGTTGGCAGGAAGTTCGATGCCCGAAGAGACCTCTTTAGAGAAAGTCTCTTCGCCCGTCTCGACATCCCACGCCTTGACAACACAGTTCACATTGAGGTCTTCGAGCTGGAGGTTTGAGGCCCAGATCTCAATCTGAATCTTGGTCTCAATGTCCACGCGAGTGTACTTGTTCTTGGGGTGCTTGTGCTCGCGACGCGTCATGCCAATGGAAATGGGTGCCATCTCACGCTTAACGGTGTAGTAGGCATGCTTGGGACGGAGGTAGTAGTCGCAGATGGCCCACGAAGTGACTGGCCAGCAGTCATTGATCTGCCAGACGAGGGCGCCACCGCAGTACTCCCGCCCAGGACCTCGCCACTCTCTCTTCCACAAACGGTAGGCCGAGGCAAGACACTCGGCTTGCATGAGCTGCGTGCAGTAGACAAAGTGTTCCAAGGGATCTGGCGAATAGCGGAAGTTTTCGACCAAGTACAGGGCGATTCGGCGCTCGTGACCGTCAGCCTTGTTGTGGAAGTCAACTGTCGAGGACTGGGGGTAGCGGTCAGGATCATCCTTGCCCTTCGGGAGAAAGGCGTCGATTGTCTTGACGGAGGGAAACGCCTCCATGCCGAACTCGGAGACGAACCGCCCGACTAGTTTGTCAAAGTCCTGGTATTTCTCTTGAGAACCATGCCAAACATTCCACTGGTGGAGATCGCCAATGGTCGGATCGGTGGTATCCTTACCACCCCACGGACTTCCAAAGTGGTAGTACGTATCGGGAATAAGCTCAGCACACGCATCGGCCAAGATCTTCTCGTAGATGTAACGAGCCGGGAAATCTGTCTTCAGCCAGCTTTCGGAATCCTTGTTGTCCGGCTCATACGTGAGCTTCTCGCTCTCCTGGTACTGGTAGTCTTCGTTGTTACCGGCCCAGATGACGATAGAAGGATGGTGTCGCAACATCTTGATGTTCTCCTCGGCTTCCTTCTTGATGGAGGCGCGCATCTCCGGCCATGCTGGGTAATTGCCACAGCCGAACATGAAGTCCTGCCACACCAGGATGCCAAGTTCGTCGCAGGCATCGTAGAATGCTTGTTCTTCGTAAATGCCGCCACCCCAAACTCGGATCATAAACTGGTTGCCATCGGCCACGAGCTTCACCCAATTATAGTATCTCTCCTTTGAGATGCGTGGAATGAAGTTATCCGCGGGGATCCAATCACTGCCGCCGCAGAAGATAGGAATGTTGTTGACTTCAAAGAAGAAGCTGGTTCCGGGCTGATCCTTCAAAGGGCGCTGAGCAAGCTCTGACCTCCGCAGGCCAATTCTCTTCTCGGAAGAATGGACTTCATTCTGCCCGTCGAGAAGAGTCGCCTTTAAAGTGTACAGGGGCTGCTTTCCGTATCGGATAGGATACCAGAGCTCAGGGTCCTCAATGGTGAACTTGGCACGCGCAGCGTCTCCCACGTCGACCGTCTTGGAAGCGACTTGCTTTCCGTCGAGAGAAATGTCGAACTTCACAGTGGCAGCACGTCCGTCGACCAGAGCACAGGTCGAGATCTCGGCCTTCTTTAGGTCCTTGGGGACGTCGATCCTTGCAGACAAGTCGGTGATCCGCGATTCGAAGATGTGCAGATTGACAGGTCTCCAAGGACCGCAAGATAGAAGAGCTGGGCCCCAGTCCCATCCCTGGTTGGGTCAGTCAGTGGTTACAATGTTATTTCCAGAGCCCTTACCCAGTGGTACTGTGTTTTCCTCACGGCGAGCCTCGAGACATCGCCGTTCCAGCAACCCCACTTGTGGTCAGGGTGCTCTTCAACAAGTTTGCAGCCACGGAGGTAGGCACTGTCAAATGTGATGACCAGTTCGTTCTCGCCCCTGTCTTTCTTAAGGACATTGGTAACGTCGACATCGACGGGGATGAACATGTTATCAGTCTCGGCCACCTTTTCTCCGTTCAGCTCGACGGTGGCAAAGGTGTCGAGTCCGTCAAACGCTAGCAAGGCGTGGGACTTGCCTAGATCTTCGGGGCTTGCAAAGGTTGTCTTGTAAACCCAGACGGTCTCGCCAATCCACTGCACTTCGAGCTCATTCTTGCCAATGTAGGGGTCGGGGATGAGCTTGTGGTGGAGGAGGTCGAGGTGGACATTGGTGGGAAACTGACCGACTGGCAGGTACTCAGAGTCGGCTTTCTTGGCTTCCTTGAAGTGCCAGTTCTTATCAATGGGAACGGTGCTTGTTGGCTTCATAGTGCCGACGTGTGAGACGAACCACGTCCTGTACCAGAAATCGAGTGCAGTGTAAGGAGAGAGTAGGTTGAGATTGAGAAAGCGGCTTCAAGCAGGCAGAGGGAACGGCTTGGTTTATACCCTCAGGCTAATATGATGACCGTGGGGCTTTCAGGCTAGCACCTGCTATTACTTGTACTTGTACGAGAATGCTTGTGGTGGCTCCTTCTCCGAAAGTGTGAAGCGGGCCCCGCGTTCTAGGATTCGGGGTACGTATGAGGGGCTTTCCCTTTCCGCGCTGGTTCTTCACCCGGGCGATCACCGGGCTGTCAAGGAGAGCGCCAATGTATCTGTTGGAAAGCGGCCTTTCCAATCGACCATTGGCGGATAGTAAGTTTTCATTCCCGAAGAATGCATGCCTCTGGCAGCAAACGCAGCCACCTGCTCCATGAGTCTCTCACATCATCCGGCGGTTGTAAACGGTGTGGGGTGCCACTGGTGACCGGGGTCCCTCCCCGCGATTATACATGTACATACGGACGGTTTTATAAAACCCCGTGTCCGCAACAGAGCAGAGCAAGTGGTGATATTTTTGCCGTGGGCGGAAAGCCGTATAAGTATCGCGCGTGACTTGGCGCCGTCAGCGCTTGGCATGGCGCAAGACGTCTTCTCTTTGAAGCGCTAGGGCGGGCCGAGAAAGCCAATCGTCACCAGAGCTTGGCTCGCTGCCCCAGGAAATTGTAACACCGCGCCGCAGGAATCACAAAGTCCGCCCTAGCGCCCGGGAAGGTAGCGTCCGGGAACCGGGACCAGCCACAAGATGTATGTGTTCAAGGTACTTGCTGGTGGTCAATTAATTGATTACTGCCACGCTGCAGATGAGATCGATTTGCAGAGTAAAGGACGTCGAAATGATCGTATGTGAACGAAAAACACGCTCGCCAAAAGAACAGAAGTAGATTGCGCGTCTAGCCCAACAAGTGAGCCGCCCCTCTCTTGGGCCCGGCCCATTCAGCAGCACCCACCTCCTCGTCGACGATTACTGCTCAACGTGAAGACCTCTTCCCACTCTCTCAACCCCCAATTCTGCGTTTTGCTCTTGGCTCTCTTGCGTCTGCGCAGACCAGGGATGCCTCCATCGTCGACAGTGCCGCCGGTCATTGTGCTTTTGATGCTGCCGCCGTCGCTGGCCGTGTTCCACCCGCCGCTGTCGCCGTACTGGATGCCGCTCATGGGGTCGTCGGGGTCAATCTCGCCGAGCTCGATCTTAGTGAGGATGATCCGAGCCAGTCGGCCAAAGATCTCATCCACGCCTTCGCCATTGAGCGCGCTTGCCTCGGTCACCACTGATATCCCTGCCGTGCTTGCCCAGCGACTCGCCTCGGCGCTCGAGACTTCGCGTCCCTCGGGTGCGACCGTCGCTCGTTGTTGCGTCCCTGCTGAGATGGACCCGCTGTAATCCCTGTGCGGTGACCCCGATGCACCCGGCGTTGTTGAGAACGGAAAGGACCCAGCTGTGCCGCCTGATGTCGAACCTAGACTGCCGGGCGTGGAAGGCGGCAGGTTGGTGTCGGGGGAGTCCTCTGCTAGGTCCAGCTTGTTCCCGACCAGCATCAAGCTCAAGTTCGGCGACGCAAGCGCTCGTGCGTCGTTCAGAAATGGCTGTAGCGATCGAAAGGAGGTGTGCGAGGTGAGGTCGTAGACGAGAATGGCGCCAGCCGCACCGCGATAGTACGATCTTGACACAGATCTGAATCGCTCCGTGCCAGCCGTATCCCAGAGCTGTAGCTTGATTCGTTTCCGCCGCGCGCCCGTGCCGACTCTGATGATTTTGCTCGCAAACTCAACCCCGATGGTCTGCGAGGACAGGACGCGCCATTCATTCTTGACGAAGCGGTGCAGTAGACATGATCTGTTGTCGATGTTAAACTCGGATCGTCAGGGCGGTTATCTCGGGCTGCGCTCACTTGCCGGTGCCGCTGGGGCCGAGTAATATGATCTTGGCAAGGTAATCGTACATGCTCCCGAGCTCCTGTGCCACAGTATTCAGCAAAAGCATCGCTGCGACGGTATGGCGAAGCTCACCTGCTCGGGCGCCGTGCCGCCACTCTCTTCGCTGGCGCCTGATGATTTGCGCGGCCTCGTCATTATTGCGAGTCTTCGGAGCTGTAGGGCCGTCGCATGCAGAATGCTGCTTCACTTGTGATGGAAAGGCACTGGAAAGGTATCGCAGGACGATTTCAAAGGTTTCATTAGACGACCAGGCAATAGCAAGTCGGCGGAGAGCTTATCGGGCCGCAATTGAGCATGCGATTCATGTCGCGAATGGCGGTCATCTCCCGTCATTCGAGGCTCATTCGCAGGGGTCGTCAGTTACGTAATCTGCTCCTGACGGTCAGAATCCGTAACTTACAACCTGCAGATTAACTAACCTGTACCATCCTCTTTCTATCACGCACCATGAGTGTCATCGTGGTCACCCAGCGGCCACGAACTTGTTTATACCAAATTTATTTGTGCGGATTTTGATCCATTCTGAGATCCCGAAAGATACCGACATGGCCCGGCACCGGCTTGGGTAAATGGATGAACACACCATACCTATGTTACAAGTAAAGCCAGCGGCGGCATGTGACGTGCGATGGGCCTGGCGAGTAGGCAGCATGCAGGGTAGTCAAAATATTCCCACCCGACCAGCCTCGGCAGCCGGTGACTTTACCTCATTTCCACGCTTAGCAGATAGTTCTCTCTGTTCATCCTTCAATATCGAAGCTTACGCGCAGTCTCCAACGTCCAGTATCCCGCTTCCGGCTAGTCGAGTCACCACTGTACAAATAAACAACACTCAAAATGAAAATCTCAGGTAGGACCTTCATCATCTCTGGCGGGTATGTCCATCCGTCCCATCACATGCTTTGGCCAGGGCTCATGTCATCAGCGCGTCCGGCCTAGGCAAGGCTTGCGTGGAGGAAATCCTCAGCCATGGCGGCAACGTCGCGATTCTCGACATGAACGAGGAAGACGGCCAGGATCTGGTCAAGGAACTCGGTCCCAGCAGTCGTTTCTTCACCTGCAACGTCCTCGAGACTGAAAGTGTCAGTGCCGCCGTCTCAGGCGCTGTTGCCTGGGCCCGAGAGACCGGCAAACTCATCGGAGGTGTCATCCCTGCGGCCGGCGTGTCTACGCCTGCGACAATGCTGGATCGCGATAATCAGCCGTTCAGCCTCGATGACTTTGAGTTCGTCATCAATGTCAACCTCCGCGGGACGATTGACCTTGTGAGACAAGCGCTACCCCACATCGCTTCGCAACCGGCCTCAGAACCAGATGGCGAGCGAGGCGTCGTCATCATGGTCGCATCTTCAGCGGCTTTTGACGGCCAGAAGGGGCAGGTGTCCTACTCGGCGTCCAAGGGCGCCGTGGCGAGCATGACCTTGCCCATGGCTCGCGATCTGTCGCGGCACGGAATCAGAGTGGTCACCATTGCGCCGAGTCTGTTTGAGAGTCGCATGACAAGCATGATGAGCGGCAAGGTACGGAAAAGCTTGGAGAAGGCGATGGAGTTCCCGAGGAGGAGTGGACGTCCTGAGGAGTTTGCCAGCTTGGTGAAGCAGGCGATTGAGAACATTATGCTCAATGGCGTTGTCGTGAGGTTGGACGGTGCAATGAGAATGCCCAGCAAGATGTGAGCCTCACGTAGCAATGCTCTCGAGCAGCTGAGCGAGGTTGATTAGATGTAAGTCGGACATCCGAGCCATGTAAATCGCTGTTACCCCACACTCCACACTCTGTGCACGCGGACACTGTTCGGCTATAAGCTCATCCGCCGTCTTCTTCTTATCCATCTTGATCTTACTTTTTTATCGTGTATCTCAAACAGAAAGCCTGGTGTATTTCCAGCGATCAGGAGATGGCACGTTACCAGGTTGCCGTGCTGGATGACTACCAAGGAGCTGCCGTCAGCAAGTTCTCCTCACTCGATGCGACCCAGTTCCAGGTCACGCACATCCTCGATACCCTGCCACCGTATTCTCGTCCAGATACCCCACAGCATGCCAAAGATGAGCTCGTCAAGCGGCTCCAACCCTATCACATCATATGTCAGTATCAGTTGTATGGAGAACTACGTCGATACATATACTGAACGGAGGCAGCCACCATGAGGGAAAGAACACCGTTTCCCGAGGATCTAGTCCGTCAATTGCCCAATCTTCAACTCCTCCTGACCACGGGCGAGAGAAATGCAGCTCTTCATCTCCCTTCGTTTCAGTCCATGTCCACCCTGGTAGCCGGCACTGCCAGCACACGGACCGCTCTGGGGACGCAAGGAGCTAGCACAGATAGCACCACTCAGCACTGCGTCACGATGATCCTGGCATTGGCGAGGAACGTTGCTGCCGATGATGCGAATGTCAAGGCCGGGAAGTGGCAAACGGATTTTGCTATCGGACTCGCAGGCAAGACGCTGGGTGCCGTGGGCTTGGGAAGGCTAGGACTGAGCGTGGCGCGCATCATGCATCTCGCCTTTGGCATGAAGATCTTGGCCTGGAGCACAAACCTCACACAAGAAGCTGCTGATGAGAAAGCCAATTGTTGTGGACTATCTGTTCAAGACGAGCACGGCAACAAGACCTTCCAAGTCGTTTCAAAGACGGACTTGTTCAAGAAGTCTGACGTTGTCACCCTGCAACTCGTTCTCTCGGACCGATCACGAGGCATCATCACCAAGTCTGATTTGGAGCTCATGCACGCCGGTGCACTCTTTGTCAACACGTCTCGCGGGCCTCTCGTCGTGGAGTCTGACATTCTTGACGTGCTTCAAGCCGGAAAGATTGCGGGTGCCGCATTGGATGTCTTTGACGTTGAGCCGCTGCCCAAAGACAGCCCTTGGCGTAGTCAGGACTGGGGAAGAGGCGGCAGAAGCAGGGTTCTACTGACACCCCATATGGGCTATGTTCAGGAGGATTCCCTCGGTAGATGGTATGAGCAGCAGGTTGCAAACATCAAACGGTGGGTCAAAGGAGAGCCGCTTGAATGTCTGCTCGCTTAAAAGGACTCCCTCGATTAGTCAAATACACGAATCCATAATCCCATGTTGTCGAACATTAGCCCTGGTTGTCCTTCCACTCATCCCACTCGTCTTCTCCTCCCATCAGCGCCTCCCTCCCCTCGGCGGGGGCGCTGATCCTCCACAGGCCTTGCACCGCTGTGGTGACAGCCCAGCCAAACAAGCCCGCCAGTGTGACAGGCGACCCCACGATCATGACGCCGAAAATGAACTGTGTGATGATTCCACCGACGTCGGCCCACTTGCCGAAGCGGATATAAATTTCACCCTTGAGTATAATATCGATCACGCTGGTGCTGAAGATCATCAAGGCCACAAAGGCCCACACACTTCCCAGGACCGTCATCGCGAAGCTGCCCTTGCGGTCCTGATAAAAGAGAATGTCGAGTTTGTCCGTTCTCGATGCGCAGATACGAAGGCAGGCCAGCGTACGGTATGCCAGGAAGACAATGAGACTGAGGCCGAGAAATATCGCGACGATAAAGGAGACGTTGACGCCGCTCAAATCCAGGAAAACAAAGGGGCTCACGGTGTAGATGATGAGGACAATGTTGGCGTGATTGAAGAGCAGTGCCTTGGGAATAGAGCGCTCGGTGATGGCCATGACGGGCGATGATTGCTGATGAGGCCTGATGTGGAAGTGGTGGATGGTGAGTGCAATGTGGACGTAGAATTGTGGTGATTGTGGGAGATTGGCAATCGCGAGACGGATCTGCGGCACAGTAACGTGATGCTGATGATACAGGGAGTGTCTTGGCGATAATTGAGTACCCTGTAGGCTGTAGCTGGTTAGGTGCATAATAAACGATTGGGTTTTCGATATGCTGCTAGACATTCGTTCAATTTTCTCGTTCAATTAATATCGCACAGAAAATAATAGTTCTCATTGGTGGAAGGACAACGCTATTGATATACGAAAACTAACCCCTATGACAAAAAAAAGGATATACCTGGTAGACTGTGGAGTGGCCAGAGTAGAGACTCGTGGTACTGTGATAAGTCTTTCTAAACACCCTTGATCTCAATAACGTCGCCAGCCCGAGTGTATGCAAGTTCCTTCCTCGCCGTCGACATCTTGACAGGCCTGTCCGCTTCAAAAATCTCGTCCAATTCTTCAAGCTGCGCGGTGTTAGTTGACACGCTGCACCATCGCGGGCTAGATCACTCACAGTGCGGCCCTTGGTCTCTGGGAGCAGTAGATATACGACCACCACCTGGATAGCATCCCAGATCGTAAAGACAATATACGTCTTCCACCCAATCTTGTCCATGGAAACGGGCCAGGCATATTGGTTCAGCATCCCCGCGGCGTTGACAGCGAGATTCGAAAAGGCCATTCCCTTTGCGCGCATCTCAAACGACAGGACCTCGCAGGGATACAAGGCTTGCAGAGGCGTGATACCAACGGAATAGACGGCGCCAAACACAAAGATCATGGCCAAGGCGGCCATGGATGCTGCGTGGTTGCCGTACAATGCCTTGCCATCCGCATCGTCCCCTCTATAGGAGGCCTGGAACTGAGAAGATGCAATTGTCATCCCAAGCCAGACAACCGTGCAAGCAGAAAAGGAGAAGAGGAGCAACGGTCGGCGACCGACCCTGTCGACAAGTGTGGCGCCGAGGATGGCAAAAGCGAACTGCTGGCAATTGTTGATTAGGGTGATGTTGGCTTGTTCAATCTCATTCTCGTACCCAGCAGTGTCGAGGACAGACGAGAGGAAGTAACTCAAGACAGAATTCCCTGCCCATTGCCCAAAGATCGACATGGAGACGCTGCAGAGGAGTCTGTATCGGGCGGCGCCCGTGTTGAAGAGAACACGGTAGTCCCACCAGCGCTTGTCGGCGCCATCCATGTTGAGCAGCTCCTGATATTCATGCAACTGGAGGGCCACCCACGGCGATTGTGGGTCGCCGTGGCCGTGATACTTCGTGAGGATCTCCCTGGCTTTGTCCTTCTTGTTGTTGACGTACAGCCAGCGTGGCGACTCGGGCATCCACATGCAGGACAAGATGATGATACCGCTGAAAAGAGCTTGGAGCCAAGTGATCAGACGCCAGGAGTAATCGCCACCGGTGTTCAGGGCGCCGCGTGATGCGCCAGCGGCCATTATGGAGCCGCTAAACCAAAGGGTGTTGTACATGGCTGGGCGTGGTTAGTATACATTTGCCGTACGCATCATCAGTTTACTCACCTCCAAGCACACCGCGGTACGCGGGATGATTGATCTCGATAACGTACATTGGCCCAGCGGCCGATGCAATCGCGACGCCAAAACCGAGAAGGAAGCGACCGCCCATGAATTGAGGGGGAGCGTGCGAGAAGCCCTGAATAACAGTACCAACGACGACCAGTCCAGCACCAAGTAGCATACCAACCCTTCGACCAAAGCCGTCCACGCAGGGACCGACAAACGGTAGGGCGACGATGCCGCCGATTTGGTACATGGACGAGACGATGCCAGCCCATAAGCCGTCATTCTGAACCCCATACTTTTCTTTGAACCAAGGGTTCTGGAGGAGATTGTTGATGAGCGAGCCGTCATAGCCATTCATGGTGCTGCACAGGAACCCAACGGCGGAGAAGACAAAGAGCCACAGCTGGCCGCTTGCGAATCTTCGAGGTGGTTCCTTTAGGAAGGCTTCCTCAAAGGCCTCGTTGCCGTCCACGATTACGGTATCCAGACATTTCTGTGCGCACAGGTAGGTCAGCAATGATGATCTTCTGCTGCTGAACCAAGGACATTCACCCCATCGTCGTCTGGTAGCGACTCGATGCGCTGCACCGGATACAGTCTCTCCTTGACAGCCATCGGCGGCAATGGGAAGCCAATGCTAGACACTGCAAGTGATCGGTGGTTAAGTCACTCTAGTGTATGTGAAGAAGATCATGGACGAATGCGAGGAGTACGACGATCCGCAGGCAAGATCAAGGGAGTACCCAGGGATTTGTATGTTTATCTGAAACGGTATGACAGCTCAACTCGAGCTGCTGGGGCCCGATATACCCCAGCAGTGAATATTTTCAGCCGTTTGTGATCACTGATCTGTAGTGGAGGGCTGATGTGACCAGGGGGTGAAAGCCACGGACGAAAGCTCAATTTGGGGTCTATGCGGGTGGTCGGAGGAGTGACCCATTTTACCCCGGACGGGTTTCCTGGGGAAGCGAGTCGAATCCTCGAGAGTCCAGAGCACGTTTCCTTGCTGAATCTGATGCAAATGCGTGTCCTCTTCCGCAGTACATGTTGTCTTGGGGCGTGCTGGCGATCTATCACGTATCATAGTCTGTCGTGAGCGGACGTTCTGGCATATCAGCGATGGCTCTCAGAAGAGCGACAATCCAAATCTTGTTGTTGCCAACGGGCGGTGAAACAGCTGCGTTGGTGACTGACTGCACTTCGTCCCTTGCGCAGCGCCAGGAATTCGGGCGACAGCCAGCAGTTGGTCAAGCCATCGACTTGAACCTGACAACGCTAGGCCGGGAAAGGGGCCGGAAGTCGCAGCGATGGAAAATCGGACCTCTTCCCGGCGCTGCGATGGTTGCCAAAAACAGGGGTAAGGCTGACGATGTGGCTGCCAAGTGGCAATTGCCAATGAAAGATGCAGGCTGCAGGCTCTGCCTCAACTCCAGCTTTTGGCGTCGACAAAAGGCACCGGTTAATGGGCATTTAGCCGTTTGTCAGGCCCAGCAAATTGTCGTCCACGCATCACCACGGATGATGGCAATGACATGGTCTGCCAGTAATTATCATGTAAGCTCGTCGATGGTGGCTTACTTTCGATGAGCAACAAGTCGCCGAGAGCATAATCCTGCAAGATCTCCTCGTGAGCATGTTTAGCTTGACCGAGTCCCTTGGAAATGCGCACTACTGTAACCTCGACCGGATGGTAAACCGCAACGGCACGTCCATGATATTGCTTCCTAAGGCTCAAACACTTGTAGGCCCCGGACTCTTCCAGTGGATACAGCCGCGCACCACTCGCTGCATTGTCTGACCGGTTCTAGACTCCAGTCTGAAGCTCATGGACCAGGATATTTGGGCATCCGAGTGATCTACTATGTAGTAGTCATGCTGTATGGACTCCTTCGCCAACTCTGAGCGGACCATGTACCGTCTCATCGAAATCCATGGCACCCATTGTCGAACCTCAAGACCGATTGGACCGGTTGTTGTATCGAGGGAGTTAGCTTGACTCCCATACCCTGGCATTTGCCGCAGACGCAGTCCATCAGAGCAAAATGCTGGAGCTAGGCGAAGGGGATGCGTCTCCCTCATACGAGTCCATGGATTGGCGGACGTTGACGCGTGCAGGCTGTCTCAATCGTTCTCTGTGTGCTGTGAATGGACGTGTAGACCTCCTGCGCCTCTGGTCTTCACACGCGTCTGGCTTCGGTACAGAGTCGCGTTTGCCCGTCTCGCACGAAAACAATTCGCTCCAAGCGTAGAATGCCCGTGGACACTTGCCGAGCAGCTCCCGGCCACGACCGAGTGCGGTCCACGACATGGACGTTGCAGGTGTAGCGCTCACCAAGCCCATGCTGCGATACATTGAAGCCTCCAAGCGCTAGAAGGGCTCTAGAAGTGATAGTAGTGTGTCTTGTCCATCGAAAGCGCGGGTGAACACGGGGGGAAGGCTGATCCAAAGGTCAAGACATGATTGAGGTCCTGGGGCAGCCACTAACAGTCCTTAGCAGACACAGCGCAGTACAGCACCGCTTCATGTTGCGATAGGTTTGGCGGGGCGCGCAACAGCAGTTTTTCCGTGTTCGCCCGCTAAGCCACGATAGCGGGGTCGAGAATCTCGAGATGACCGGGCGAGTCGTAGCGGGGAATTCTCGCGCTTCACTGGAGCGAGCGAGCAACGGAGCTGATTGATGGTCCAAAGTCTAACGACCTACTACGTGCTGCCGGGTCCGGCGCAAGCAAGCTCGCATCGAGCTCACTCACTGAGCGAAGTCGCTCATTCCAAGCGCCAACTCCGCCGCGCGAGGGTCTGCTGCTCTTGCTCACCTTCCCTTTCCTTTGTCCACTGCTGCCCGGAAATGTCGACCTCTGCCAAAGCGACAAAGAAGAGTGCATTCTCCTGCGAACCATGTCGAAGACGGAAGGTTAGCCAACCAGTTGAGCCATCAATCGCTACGTACAGGGATCGACCGGCAGTTGTTGTTGCGTGCGTGCGTGAACAGGCCCAGGTGCTGACAGCCAATTTTCAACAGGTCAAATGCGGAGGGGAGCAGCCCGTGTGCAACCGCTGTGCATCGAGAAGGGATGAGTGCGTCTACAAGTTGAACCCAACTTTATCTTACACCCAACGCCTCGAGCAACGCATCAAGGAGCTTGAGGACCAATTGGCAGGGCACCACCTCTCTGGTCGTTCGAGATCTCCCATCTCGACGCACCCGTCATCCTCTCACTCGAGCCCACCATCCTTTTCGTCGCACGATGCCCCGTCGTCGAGTCGCGTGCCTGGCGACGAGCTCGGTGTGCAGCGCAGATTCCGCGGCCTAAAGGTCGACGACAAGGGAGGCGTCATCTACCAAGGAGCTACCAGCTTCTTCCACCTGCCCAACGACCGTACTGGAGGCGGCGCGGGCAACAGATTTCTGCCTCTGACAGAGGTCGACGTGCAGAGGCGCGAGCGTCTCGTCACCAACGCCTGGCAGCAACGGGCATTGGAGAATCTCTCAGAGATTCCAGTGAGAAACATCTTTTCAGCCCGTGCCCCGTGTAATTGTAATGCTGACCGCGATCGACCCAAAGGAGCCATTCCAATACCTTCTCAATGTGCACTGGTGCTGGATACAGCCTCTGTTCAATTTTGTGTATCGACCGGCGTTTACGCGTACGTGCAGTGGCCTCTCGTTGCCTTTCTGGAGCTGAGATGGACTAACTGGCTGCAGGTGACATGCAGACCCTGGGCCCCTATTACTCCCACACCCTGCTCAATGCCATGCTTTCGCACTCGATACGCTGGGGGAAAAGCGACCCCGCGACAAGACAGCTGTTGGATGAGTCCTACGAAGGGGGCGTCGTCTTCGGGAAGCATGCAAGGGCCCTCGTGTTTGAGGAGCTCAGCAACGGCATCGTCACCGTCCCCACGATCCAGACGCTCCTCCTCCTCAGCGCGCAGGAATGCGGGTTTGGGAACGCAACGCAAGCGTGGACCTACAGTGGTCTTGCCTTCCGCCTCATAGACCATCTTGGCATCTGCGTCGATGGCACGCAGGTCTTGAACACGAGCATGAGCGACGAGGAAGCTGAGATTCGGCGTCGGCTTTTCTGGAGCTGCTACTTCTGGGACAAGATGATCAGTCTGTACCTTGGTAGGGCGCCGTCGATGCAGCACTCGGCTGTCTCGCCGCCCCATGTCATGTGTGAGTGTTGTCAAGCGTGCATCCTCATTGTAGCCAATAGTCTGACAGAACGACAGTTGATGATTCTGCCGAAAACGACCCGTGGACGCCTTTTGGCATGCAAGCTGGCCCGGCCTATAGCTACCCACCGACACCGGCGCACTCGGCCTCGTGCTTCACGAGCATGTGCCAGCTGTCCGTCATCTTCAACCAGATTCTCGTGCACATGTATGACCCCATGTCGCAGAATACCGAAGAAGAGGTGGACGACTGTGTGCGGACGCAGGAGGCCGCACTGCAACAGTGGTGGGACATGCTCCCGCCGTTTTTACGCCTCGACGCGACGTCCCTGCCTGCGATGGCGCCACCGTCGCACATTGTGACTCTCAAGTATGTGCTTCTTGACCGCTGAGCTCCAGTTCACTGTACTGACATTGTAACAGCTGTCTATACCACACATTCAGGATTCTCCTGTACCGACCAGTGCTCACACGGGTCAATAAGGATGCCGAGAATCCAGCCCCGATACAAAAGTACTTGATCGACTGTGTGACCTCGGCAACGTCCATCATTGCCATCTTCAACCTCTTCTGCAAGACCTTTAGCACCAATTACTGCGTGCTGTCGCTGTCGTATAGCGTATACATCGCCGCTACCATTTACCTGCTGCAAGTGCAGGCTTTTCCAAACGACCACCAGGCTTTGCAACGCCTGGACTACTGCATCAGGGGGCTGAACGAGGTCAAGCGATACAGTCCTAGTAAGTCATTTGAACTTGAACCCTACGATCTATGTTACGTTCCGTATTCACCGTCTCTCAGTTATCGGCGGAGCTCTCAATCTCATCAACAAGGAGCTGGCCTCTCTAGGGATCAGCCTAAAGTCCTCTGCCTACATGACGCCGGACCCTACCAGTGCAGTCCCAGAAGGACCGGCACAGAGCCCGTTTTACGCGGCCCATAGATCCAATAGCTTTCATGGCATCCCTCTGACCAACAGCCCGACCCCTTCGACTGACCTTGGCCCCCAGCAACACAGGGGGTTCGATACATTCGGGCCGTCCGATACGACGGCTATGGAGCCCGGCATGTATGAAGCCATGTCCTCCCTCGAGCCGCTGAGTGCCTGGGTCGGTACCATCCACAACTTTGACCCTGCCTAGCCAAACGAAACTACTCGAGCTTGGCGGCAAGATGCCGGAGCGCCACAGCGCTATGAACTTGAACCTCTTTATACTTTATTGCATTATGATTCTCTGGCAGTACTTCGTTACACGTGTCTCGTTACGCTCCACAAATCCTCCGCGTTGCCCCTAAACAGCCTATCCACCAGCACGCCGTCGTTACCGCACCACTTGATCACCTTGTCTATCCACGGTCTAATGTCGAGACCTTCGTACCGCGTGTGGGGCCAATCTGTGGCAAACACCACGCGACTCTTCCCGCCCAGCCTGATGACCTCCTTGGCCACGGGCTCGAGGTCGCGCTGGTCGTCGAGCCTGCTCAGCCTGTACGGGGCAGACAGCTTGACGAAGACGTGGCCGCCCTGCAGAAGCCTGGCCAGCGACGCGAAGCCCGGGATCTGATATGGATCACAGGTGGCGGTGTCGTCGAGGTCCGGACGGCCGAGGTGATCTATGCAGAACCGCACGTTGAGCGTGGGCATAATGGGCTCGAGCTGCGAGATGAGGGCCATGGGTATGTATACCTGCACCACCCAATTCAACGGGCGCACGGCGTCCGCGTACTGCCTGAGCAGACGCTCAATGTCCTCGGGCTCCACTTGCTTGCCGTGCGAGCAGATGTTGAGACGCACGCCCCGGACGCCAATCTCGTGCCAGGCGAGGAGCTGCTCGTGGGAGGTTGTCTCGGGGTCGAACGCGACGACGGCCCGGGCCCGATGCGAGCCGAGTGTTTGGAGGGCATCGAGCATGCAGCTGTTGTCGTGGCCGTAGATGGAGGGCTGCACGAGGACAATGTTGCGTATGCCGACGCCAGCCTCGAAACGCTGGGCGTCGTGGACGGTGAACGTGTTGGGTCGGTACGCAGCGTCCGGGGCAAAGGGGTACCTGTTGTCGATAACATGCATGTGGGAGTCCCACGCATCCTTGGGTATTTGCGGCGAGGACAGGGTCACCGGCCTATGGGGCGTCGGGGTTGTTTTTGTTGTCGTCGGCGTTGTTGTCGTCGTCACAGTGTACTTCTTGACGGATGTCTGCCTCTGGGACGGAGGACGGAGGACGGACAGCAGACGCAAGGCCACGGCCTTGGTGTCCTGGTGGAAGAAGGGTTGGGCTCCCGACGTGTGCGCGTCGTCCTGCCTCATGCTGGCGGTCGCTGTCGAGAAGCAGGTGCAACAGCGCCCATTGAGGAGGATGCCAGAGGCGGGGATCACACGCAGATATCGAGGAGGGACATGGAGTGAAGAAAGGGTTCCAAGGGGGCGCGAGGCAGTCACGAGACGAACATGTCGTCTTCCCGCGGAGCGGAGAATGCCAACCTCGTACATCTCGCTCAATGTCCGTTCTAATGAGGTGGATCGTCGAGTTGACCAGTCTCCATAATGGCCATGCCGCGCTCGCTGTTCGGACAAAGGCCGTTATGGGGGAGAAAGACGTCCAGCTTCCAAGGCAATATGTACGGTCCGATCTTGTCCCCGGCAGGAACCAGGCCGGTCTGGTCATGCGGTGCCTTTAGGCTCTTAGCATCATGCCCGCTGCAGGCATGGGCGGTGGGAGTTGGTGGACGTTGTCATGATAAGGCAGACGATGGCTGACTGCATGGAGTTTGACGAATTGGGACTGTCAACTTGTACAAACAAAGGCTATCGTTTTTGTGCCATACAATGGGTGGTAAACATTAGTAGGGGATATACGCTGCTAGTCATCCAAAATCAGGTACAAGCACGTCTACAGTGCGGATTATCGACAAATTGCCGTCGAGAGACATGGGGTTTGTACAGTGCGCACACTATGACGGAAGTTGACCGAGCGACGCCAGTGGAGATATCACGGCGATGAGAGCGAAAAGAACTCGATAGCTTCGTCGGTCAACTTCCGTGGGCGTGGCAATGAGGGGAGCAATTTCTCATCTTCAGCTTTTCTCGCTTCTTGAAATCTAGACCATGACGCGCCAGGAAAGCCCACTCTGCGTTTGGGGCCCCATATCGAACACCATCGCGACTGAAGCTGGGGTAACGACAACCATTTAGCACTACTGTGTGGGGGGTGTCTATTATCTCAATCGCCATTTTCTTGTGTCTCTCACGCGCTCTCTCTCTGGCTGAATGGCTGGCTGGTCCGGTGCAGGCAGTCTTCACTCAGTACCAGGAGGCTGTTGTCAAGACGCCTCGAAAGGAAGGGGGTGGGTGGTCTGCCTCACTATACTAAAGGGGTCAGTCATCCCCGATCTCAGCAGGGTTGGAAGAGCAACAACGCCTGCCTCTCTCTCTCTCTTCATCGACCGTCCTGAAATCTTCCCTCAGCGCATCAGACTTTCAGCATGGCTTGGAACGCGCTCTACTACTACCTGACCATCGTGGTCATCGCGTTTGGCTCTATCCCAAAAGGTGTGTGTTCCCTTCACTCGTCACATCATCCCCTATCACAGACCACGGCGACTAACCCACTTGCTCAAAAGGCTACGATGAAGGCGGATTCGCTGGCGCCAAGGGTATGCAGTCCTTCCTCTCCGACTTTGGCATGACCAAAGACCAATGGACAGGCAGTGCGGCTGCCCTCGCCGACCGCAAGGCCAACATATCCTCCCTGGGCGTCCTCGGTGCTGCCATAGGGTCCATCCTTGCCCTGGGACTCACAGACCGCGTGGGACGCCTGCGGACCTGGCAGATCTTCTGCGTGGTCAACATGTCTGGCCTCCTTGTTACTGTCCTCTCCAGCGGTATCCTTGGGCTGATGCTGGCCTCGAGAATCTGGAGTGGCCTTGGTGCCGGCGGTCTGACGGTTGTTGCGCCCTTGTACCTGAGCGAGATTGCCCCCGCCAGGTCGAGGGGCATGGTCGTTTCCATCTACATGGTTGTGCTCCTGACGGTGCTCATGCTTGGTACGCCCCTCGTGATCCACGTCCCTTGACTCTTCCCACATGATGCTCATCTATTTTCCGTCCTAGGCTTCTTTATCAGCTATGGCGCCAACAAGTCCATGGCCTCGACGCCGGCACAGTACCGCATCGTCATTGCAGTGCCCCTGATACCTGTCGGCCTAGCCCTCCTTGCCTCCTTCTTCTTAAAGGACACACCTCGCTGGCTGGCGTCCAAGGACCGCCACGAGGAGGCACTCGCCGTGCTCGCCAGGCTGCGCGGCAAGTCAGCCACGCATCCACAAGTGGAGAAGGAGTTTGCCGAGATCGACAGCCAGATCCAAGACAGGCAGCAGGTCCTGTCGGGTATCTCCATCTGGAACATTGCGCGTGAGATTGCCACCATCCCAACATACCGGAAACGCTTCCTCCTCGGCGCCATCATGCAGACCGTAGCGCAGTGGAGCGGTGGCAACGGCATCACGTACTATATCCCCGAGATCTTCCGCTACGCAGGCGTCGACGGCGAGAACCAGTCGCTGGTCACGTCGGGAGCCTACGGCGCCGTCAAGCTGGTCATGACCATGGTCTTCACCTGGGGCCTCGTCGACGTATTCGGCAGGCGTCGCTGCTTCATGACGGGCCTGTTCTTGCAGTGCATCACGCACGTTTACATGGCCGTCTACATGGCACTATGGAAGGATTCGGGCAACAAGCCTGCCTCGGACGCGGCGATTGCGTCGGTCTTTGTGTATGCCACGGGCTGGTCCATTGGCCTATGCACGGTGCAGTATCTCTACGGCACCGAGATCTACCCCACGAGGATCCGGAGCGTCTGCTACGCCACAAACATGATGATCCACTGGTTCTTCCAGTTTGCCGTCGTGCGCACGACGCCCAACATGTTCCAGAGCCTGGACATCTGGGGCGCCTACGTCTTCTGGGCGTGCGTCTGCGCAACAGGTCTCGTCGTGCTCGGCCTCTGGGCGCCCGAGACAAATGGTATCCCCATGGAGCGAATGTACGAGCTCTTTGATGGACCGTGGTACATGGGATGGAAGGCCAAGGTCGACTTGACCAAGGATGCCGACACGGCGTATCTCGAGGTGCAGGAAAAGAGGTCCGTCCACAGGGCCGAATCCAAGGACACAGCCAGGACGGCTGGAGAAAAGGCGTGAGGAGAAGTGCTGCCGCTGGCGCATGCTCTACACTGTTCTTGTAGCTGATTCAACTACACTTGACTACGGAGGCACACTACTGACAATTATCGTATACAGCCTGCTGCTTCCCCTAGTGTAGCGCTTGGTGCCCAAAGATCCCTAGACGCCGTGGAGAACGTATGATCCCATCTTGTGGGGAGGAACCCTGGCCTGGAACATGGTGTCAATCTCATCAAATGTCCTCCCCTTGAGCTCGGGCACGTAGAACCAGGCCCAGACTGTCGCCAGCACTCCCAGGCCACCAAACACAAAGCCAACCTTGCCCTGCAGGTTGCCCTGGTCCAGGTTGACCATGTAGGGGACGATGAGGTTCACCGCCAGGGCCATGGTGGGCGCCCGGAGCGCCGTGCTGCTGGCCTCGCCCAGGATGGCAAAGGCCATGGCCCCAATGGTGGCAAAGTAGCAGAAGGCCCAGATCACCGTGAGCGCAGCCTGTACCCACTGCGCGGCACTCGTGGGCACGAGGTCCATGATACCGATCAGGAGCAGCAGGCTCGTGAGGGTGACCATGCCCGACAGAAAGATCTTTCGTCGACCGAACGAGTTGACGACGAACCAGGAGCAGATGTTGCCGACCACGCCGCAGGCGGTGACGCCGACGGCCAGGTCGAAGCTACAGGCCGTAGGCAGGCCAGCCAGCTGGAAGAAGTACGTCGAGTAGCCGAGGACGAAGACGATGCCGACAAAGTGCTGGCAGAAGAAGACGCCGGTGCTGATCATGGTGCGCACGCGGTCGGTGCCCTTGAAGCATTTCACGATGCTCCCCTGCTCCGAGGAGGACGAGATCTCCTCCCTGATGGTGGTCTCCAGCGTGGGCGTCCACCTTTTCGCCGTACAGCTTTCGGATCGATCGCATCGCCTCGTCGCGTCGGCCGTTGCGGTCGAGGTACCACGGTGTCTCGGGGGCCAGGGGCCGCAGTGCGCCCAGGAAGAGGCAGAAGAAGAGCTGGGTGGCAAAGGGTCCAGCATACGCCCAGCGGTCCTCGCGCTCGCCAAGGGCCTTGGTGACGGCGTTGGAGAGGAGCTGGCCGAGGGTGACGCCCAGGTTGACGCCCGCGGTGGCCATGCCCCTGAGCACGACGGGCGCGATCTCGGATGTGCACAGCGGTCCCAGCGTCAGGTAGAACCCTAGCCCGAAGCCGAGGATTAGCTTAGACACGACAAAGGCCGCGTTGGCGCGGGAGAAGATCTCGCCGAGGATGCCGCCCGTCACGATGAGGACGCCAATGTACATGCTGTTCTTGCGGCCGATGCGGTCGGCCACGTAGGAGTAGAGGAAGCCGCCAAAGAACTGGCCAATGCTGCTGCACGTGTTGAAGGCGACTTGCCAGTCGGCGGGCAGGACAGCCTCGCTGTTGAGCATGTAGCCATAGTCGCGGCGGAAGGAGGCGACGGAGAGCACGGCACCGTTGATCTGAGCGTCGAAGCCCCTGTGAAGCGTCAGGCATGGTCATGGAATGGTGTCAATATCTCAGTCCCATCCAGGAGAACACGTACCAGCCAACGCCTGCCATGGCCCAGAAGAAGCACCACCACACGAGGGCAGGATGATGCTTCAAGACCAACTTGACAGTCAGGGCGTGCTCCAGTTGGTGGTCCACGTCCACGGCCGTCGTCTTTTGATCCTCGATGCCGGCCACTTCGGCCTCAGGGAAGGACTTGACCTGCTCAGCCATGGTGTCCGTGATTTTTGTGATTAGAGAGACCGTGAGAAGGTTAAAAGGAGGATAGAAGGAAAGTGAAGCTCTCGAGATGATCTCGCTTTTTTCTACACTGCTGGTCTGAGCTAAGCGTTTCTTGATCTTCCATCGAGGGAGGCACTGGACAAGGCCGCCAACTTATAGCATCACCACGATATGATCAGACGGACCATTTGGATAGGTCAAATGGCCAATGAGCCATGCTGCTGGGTACTCCAGACCCAAATCTGGGGTTCACACGAGGGCGCGTGGCCTGGATTGTGGAGGGCATGAGAGATTGCGGAGTCTCCAGGGAGCGACACTCCCCGATGGCCCCTTGGCATGAGTCGTGTGTCGAGAGCGCCCTCCCTCATTGCGCTAACTTGGAATACTATGCGGGTCCTAAAAGCGACACTCCGCGATCTATATAGTACCATTCATGGAGACCCCTTCTACAGTCAACCTAGCACCGACACTCCCCGACCGCACCATCGACGACACTGCACGTCGATTGTTGGCTCAGCTTGGCCCGTAAGGAAGTATTCAGTCAGGCATGGAAGACAATCAAGACCCTGGATGCCGTCTTGGCAAGCGACCCGCAGCGCGAGGCACGGCCTTTTACCCTCGCAAGCGCGCCAACACAGCCTGCCAAGTCTGTCGAGCTCGCAAGACGAAATGCAACAACAGGAAACCCAGCTGTTCCTACTGTCTGTCTGTCGGGGCTACGTGCATACAGTCAACGACGGGTCTGTCCAGTTTTGATCCTGCGAGCCTCAAGATTCTCGAGCGCTTGGATGACCTGGAAAGGCTGGTCAAGGACCAAAAGGAGTCTCTGTATACTTTGTTGCCGCCCATCAGGCCGCCAGGTGAGCCCGAGACATGCGCCGACCGACATGAACATGGACGACCTGATGCGACATGGATCCGGCACGGCTGAACCACCTCCTCGACAACTTCTTCACCTTTGTCCACTGTAAGAACCCCATCCTCGACGAGCCCCTGACTCGGAGGCTTGTTCGACGAGCGTTCCTTGACGATGGCATCGACTGTTCAGCTGAAATATGCCTCTCCCTCATCATCGCCGCCCTGGGTTGCGTCTCTGCCCCGTTTGGACCTACCCCCGACATAGCGCCGGGCAGGCCTTCTTCCAAGCTTCACAGCGACGGATAGGTACCCTGTTGGCGACGTCGGACATTGTGGACGCGCAATGCCTCTTCCTCTCGGGCGTCTACTGCATGACCGTCTTCCAGCCCATCTTTGCTTGGCGGTACTTTGCACAAGCCCTGGCCGCATGCCAGCATTTCCCGTTCCTGACGAGGGCCCAGCAACAGACGCACGCGGACGCAGGCTTCTCGGCAGAAGAGATGGACATGGGAAGTCGTGACACGCATGAGAAAGCCGTCTACCGGTCGGCCTGGAAATCCGAACAGGAGCTGCGCTCAGACTTGTCCATGCCAGACTTTGGCGTCAGTCACTCGGGCAGCACGCTCTATCCGCCCTTCTTCCCCACGCCGCCGGGCCCCCAGCTCAGCCTGTCTCCCGGGGCCGTGCCCGAACCTCACGAGCAGCGCGCCAGGAAGGCGTGGCTCTTCTACCTGGCGGAGATCTCGCTGCGCCGACTCAACAGCAGGCTGTGTAGCGAGATCCTCACACTGCGAAGTACGTATCCCTCGACCATGGCCTTTCTCGAGGCTCTCTGTAATATGATATCCGAGTACGAGGCCCAAGCCCAGGAGTGGGCGGCCAGCCTGCCAGAGCTCTTATCGGTCCGCGACACCGACGCTGCTGACGACGACGTCTGTCGCTCCGTGCTTCGCTGTCACCTTGTGAATCTTTTCGAGCTCATATTTTGGGCCATCACGATGGCTTGCCTCAGCGTCCCCGGCAAGGGACAGGTCCGTCTATCAGAGAGGACGAGGGAGATGGGTCGTAGAGGGCTGGAAGCACACGTCAATCGGCTGCGGTCGAACGAGCCTGGGCTGGCGCATCGCCATCACGGGACCCTTTTCATGATCAAATGCTGTAGCCGTAGCGCTTTGACGCTGCTAGCCGCTCACGAAAGGGGGATGCAGATGCCTCCTGGATGGGTGGACGCCGTATACAAAGGCTTGGGTATGCTGCAACATTGGGCGCCAGAGGTGCCCGAACTCGTGGCATGGAAGGCCATTGTCCAAGAGAGCCTGGACAAGTCTGTAGCGTATTGAATGAATGCATGGTCTCGTGACTCGTCCTAGCCAATGCCAGAGTGTGGATCCCGATCAGCTTCAAAGGGGAAGGCCTCGGGGAGTATCGCTCGTGACAACGCCAGTCCACCAAGACAGGGGACGGTCAGGTACTGCTGGTTTGACGATGTCACCCCATCGTTCTATTCGAATCTCACACGTGATTTCGTGCTCTTCAAAGGGTCCTTAAGAAGATGTCCTCCAGGAACATGGCAAACCACAATCTCATCACCTCTCCCAACTAACCCCTTACCTCTCATCACCAGAAAATACTCTCCCGCAATGGGCTCCATTCCAGCCAGCGGGTCTTCAGACCCGTGCACGACGCTGCGAGTCGAGGGCAGCCGCATCGTCAACGCTGCCGGCGAGACTGTCGTCCTCAAAGGCGCAGGTGTAGGCGGCTGTCTCAACATGGAGAACTTCATCACAGGCTACGCAGGCCATGAATACGAGCACCGCGCCTTGATGGCAGAGGTACTCGGCGAGGCAAAGGCGCAGTTCTTCTTTGACCGCCTCATCCACCACTTGTTTTCGGACGACGACGCTGCTTACTTTGCCTCCCTCGGACTCGACTGCATCCGCATCCCCATCAACCACCGCCAATTTATGGACGACATGGACCCCGGCACCATCAGACCCGAGGGTTTCCAGCTCGTAGACCGCATCGTCGACGTCTTCGCAAAGCACAACCTCTACACCGTCCTGGATCTGCACACGGCGCCCGGAGGCCAGAACCAAGACTGGCACTCGGACTCTGGTTTCTCGCGCGCCATGTTCTGGGAGTTCAAGGACCTGCAGGACCGCGCCATCCAGCTGTGGGAGGCCCTCGCGGAGCACTACAAGGGCAACCCGTACGTGGCAGGCTACAACCCCCTCAACGAAACCGCGGACCCCTACAAGGCCGCCAACGGACACCACGGCGTGCGTCTCGTGGCGTGGTATGAACGCTGCGAGAAAGCCATACGCGCCATCGACCCGGACCACATCTTGTTCGTGGATGGAAACACGTACGCCATGGACTCCCGCGCGTTCCCAGAGAAGACACTCCCCAACACCGTCTACGCCATCCATGACTACTCCATGCTTGGATTCCCCATCAGCGAGCAGTACGAGGGCGCGGAGAGGCAAAACAAGACGCTACGCCAGCAGCTCGACCGCAAGGTAGAGTACATGCGCAGCAAGAATGTGCCCGTCTGGAACGGCGAGTTTGGCCCCGTGTACGCCAGCGCGCACAATGCAGGCAGCGAGAAGGCAGCGGCGACCATCAACGCCAAGCGCATCAGCCTGCTGCGCGCGCAGCTCAAGAACTACGCCGCGGACAGCATCAGCTGGTCCATCTGGCTGTACAAGGACATTGGATACCAGGGCATGGTGTACGTGGACCCGGCGTCGTCATACATGAGGCTCATCCAACCCTTTGTGGACAAGAAGCAGGCCCTGGGGCTCGACTTTTGGGGCGTCGTCAACAAGCAGGGGCTTGACGCCCTGCTCGAGAAGCTGGCGGCTAGCTTTGCGTTCAAGAACTGCAAGGGGAGGGAGCAGCTCAATGAGACGTTGAGGCTGGACGCTGCGGGTAGATTATGAAGATGGCACGCTTTCGTTCTCAGATCACAATGATTTGGAAGTTTGGAAGCACAGTCGCGTCTTGAATTGGCATCAGTGCCTCACGGGGAGTCACGGGACCCTCACCAGTGACAGGCCGTGGCTGTGCATGTGGTGTTTGGACCCCTGCAGGTGGCTGCTGCTTAGTCACTCAGGGGTCCAGGCGAAAAACGCCCCGAAATCCGGTGCTTTGGAATCAAGCTCTCCACTTTAACTTTCCTCCGTGGCGGCCCTCGGCGCTGGCTCGGTCAGTGCATCACGTCACGACTCTCAGCATCAATCTCCATATCAAGTACGGATACATACCCTTGATGATTTATTACAACGTAATAGCGACTTGAGCCCGTAGACATCGAAGTTGAATCTCCAATGAATTCCCCAAATACATGCACTTCTACCCCAAACAGACACTCCTCTCACTGCTTGTCGCGATCATAGCTGCCGCCACCATGTCGAACAACCTCTTCGCGCGCATCGTGCGCCCCTTCACCGTGTCCAACCGTCTGTCCATGGCGCCGGACAGTCCCGCGCCCGCGACGCCCCTCCCCGAGAATGCCCAGCGCTGCACCGTCGCGGCAGGCTGCTTCTGGGGCACCGAGCACCTGTACCGAAAGGCCTTTGAGGGCAAGGGCCTACTGGACGCAAAGGTCGGCTACATCGGTGGTGACCTCGAGAACCCCTCCTACAGAGCCGTGTGCGGCGGCAGGACTGGCCGTACGTATCCTTTGGGAAGTTTTCCCCTGTGACTATGGACTGACAAGAGGGCTAGACGCCGAGGCAGCGCAGATCATCTTCGACCCGGATCAGGTCTCCTACCGCCAGCTCCTCGAATTCTTCTACCGCACACACGACCCCACAACCCTGAACCGTCAAGGGCCAGACACCGGCCCACAGTACCGCTCCGCCATCTACTACCACAACCCAGAGCAGGAGAAGGATGCCCGGGAAATCACCAAGCTGGCCAACGAGAAGTGGTGGCATGGCGGCATCGTCACCGAGCTCGCGCCCGCTGGCAAGTGGTGGTCCGCCGAAGAATACCACCAAAAGTATCTGCACAACAACCCCGGGGGCTACGAGTGCCCGAGTCACTTTATCAGGAAATTGCCACCGCTGGAGTGACTGGGCCAGGAAGGTCTGGGGCAGAGGTTATGGAATAGGGTCATGGGTACGAGAATTATGCGAGCCGTCATTTATTAGGGTATGAAGGATTGGACACTATGAGTCAGTGGCGCACGGCGCTATCAGGAATCGCAAATGGACACTTACTCTTCATGGTTCCAATATGAACTATCAAAACATGAGCATCAGCTTGGTGCCGCTCGACGGAGATGGTAACCTTCGGATGAGACCGTTGATGGTACATGACAAATCACTCCGGCAGTTAAGGTGGTTGAGGCGAGACCAACGTCTTGACTATTCTTTTGTTTCCCCAGCTACATACAAAATACATTATCCTATTCTGCTGCTCAACGCAAGAGCGGAGTAATTTAACAACGCTTAGTAGTATAGTACATTAACACATTCATCCAACACTCCTCTACTTGCGGTTGTTCTGCATGGCCAAGATCTGCACCATGCGGATGAAGATGTTCAGGAAATCCAGCTCAAGCGAAATGCTCTCGTTGACGGCGTCCTTGCGCATCATTCCCCTCTCAGCAAGGCGGGCGTGGTGCAAGATCTTCTGCACATCGTACAGGGTGAAGCCACCAAAGACGGCGAGACCACCATACAGCCAGATGTTCTCGGTGAACGCGAGTGTGCGGACAGCGGTGGCGGGCAGGAGCATGGGGGCAAAGCCAGAGGCCATCACCAGAGCGGCACCAGCCAGGAGGGGACCACCAATGTACAGGTACTTCTCCTGCTTGGCGGTGGCACCTACGATCGAGATGGCGCCCATCATGGCCACGGTGTACAGACCAGCGCGGCCCAGGAGGGCAGGGTGCACCATGCTAAGCATAGGGGCGATCAGGGCGGCTTGTGTGGCGTTGAAGGCGGTCCAGAGAGCGTACTTGGGAACGTAGCTATTGCGGTTAGTGTTCATGTTCTTACGCGCAACTGTCAGTGATGCACGGAAACTTACTTGTCAGGGCTGATGGATCGGGTGCCAATCATCGTACCGAAGCTCAGAGCCAGACCACCCAGACCCACGACCCATGGGTTCGTTACCATGATGCGGTACACGAATCCAGTGTTGATCATCTGCCTCGCCGTCAGGCCAATGATGCCGATGCCGAGGCCGGTGTGCAGAAATGTGTTGTTGAGATATTCGCGCTCGTACAGCGGCATACCGCCGTCCTCGCGGGTTTCGCGGTTGAAGACCATGTTGATCGCCACGAGTGTGCCTCCAAAGATGGCGCCGCCCACCAACAGTTGCCGCGTTCGGTTGGGCGCGGCCGCAGTGCCAAACTGCTGCTGGTAGGATCGGGCGCCCTGCTTGGAGAACGCATTGCGGGCTGTCTGGGCGGTGATGCGCGAGGTGAAGAAGCTGGCGCCGACGCGCGGCGATGACTTAGCCGAGTGGAAGTTGCGCACGGCCGGTCGGAAAGCTGTCTTGGACAGCTCGGGCAGACGCTGCGCCAGGCGCGCGGGGCCCTGGCGAACGCTGAGTGTGAACGACATGACTGCTGAGTCCAACTCTCGCTGATTGATATTTGTACCGCGATGTGTTGTTCCGATGGGTTCTCGTGGCAACAGAGGAAGCGGGTTGATGATGTGGTGGGGAGGAGGAGCAATATATCGGTTTACGTGCAAAGAGTGACGTCTCTTCGGGGTCCGAGGTGAGCTCAGCTAAGTCCGCGTCACGTGAATGGAAGCATGTGGAAAATTCTCGTCATCGGCATCATCGACCACATCACTGCCGCCGTAGGTTAGCCCCGTCTTGATTCCAAAGTCTGACCACATTACAAGTGTAGAAATGAAATTCATTGATGACTTGCAATGCGTAACGCCGATAATTGCAACGCTGCGATTTTCCGTCCCAAACATACAACACTATCCACAACGGGTATCATGCGCATTGCGCCCCCCCAAGATGATCTGTGCCAGGAGAAATAATCACCCAAATATAAAGAAAGCCCCAGAGGCCCTTTAGCAACAGCCATCTCCCCACCCCCCCAAATCCTCGTCTGAATATCATAGCGATATGCGGTTGTATGCAAAAGATGTCCAAAAATGTGGTGTCCGGCCCAGATGCTCCATGTAATCATCATCGCAGACAGTCTGTCCCCTTTTCAACAATGAACCGCACGGGTCGCTTTTGTCGCCACCTGCCAAACTCGATTCCTCCGACGGTTGGCGTTGTCAACGGCGCAACGCCCATGCTTGACGGTCTCGCCATCTTGGGTGAGCTGATCTCCGTCGGAGAAAGCGGCTCGGGGAGCTTGCCACAGCGGTCATCGTAGCCCCATCGCTCAACACCGCCGGTGCGAATCCAAGATTCCAAATTACGGCACTGGCTTGCGTCAATCCACTTCAGCTTGGGGCAATTCCGCAGCAGACTCTCGATGCCCGTGCCGGTGACGCGAACACAGCCTCTCACACTGATGCCTTCAAGGCTGTTGAGATGCAGCGCAATGCTCTGGAGACTTTCGTCGCCAACGGCACTGCCGCAGAAGGCCATGCGAAGCTCGCGGAGCTTAGGCAGTCCCAAAGCAAGGACTTCTGTTGCTGTGTCTGAGAGCGCGCAGCAAAACGAAAGGTCGAGGTGCGTCAGGTTCTTCGCAGCATTGACAAGCGCCACAATCGCATTGTCGGACAGATATGTGCAGTCGGCAAGACCTAGATTCCAGAGCTTCTCGAACTTGAAAGGCGCCCAGCTCTGAAAGCCTGCATCGGTGATGGAGGTACATCGTGTGAGGGATAGCGACTCCAGGCGGTTCGAAGCATGCGCGGCCAAGTGAGCCATCGAGCGGTCGGTTATGTGCTTGCAATAGGAAAGATTGAGCTGCGCGAGTTGGGGGCACCCAATTACAGTGCCTGGCGGAGGCATATTGGCTTGCCTCTGCTGCTGAGCCTGTTGCATCTTCTGCTGGTGCTGAGCCTGCGCCCGAGTCTTGGCCTTGTTTCCGTTGCCGTTGTTGGTATTGGAGCTTGACGTGATGACTTGCCGGTTGGCAGGCGGAGGCTCGGGTACTACCCACCCAACGACGCGGCCCAGCAGGTTGTCGCCAACCTTACGGCAGTTGCTCCAGTCTACCTCGACCAGTCCCTTCGCGTTCTCACTCATCTCAAGAATCTGGCTCGCTGAAACATCCCAAACAGACCGCATCCTCCATCGCTTGACATTCTTGCCACACGTCTTCCATAGCGTTGAAAACCCCTCGTCAGACAGGTGGAAGCAGTTGCTGAGGTCAACCACTTCAGCACGTGTTCCTATAAATGGTGCCAGCGTGCGCACAATGACCTGGTCCGTGACCGTGCGATTGTATAACGAAAGGTCAACAGTCTTGCAGATGTTTGGTGATGTTTTGAGAAGCATCTGCCAGTGACTGCTGATCTGGCAGAGCCGGGAGAGAACCCCAATGTCCGCAAATGAGAAAACCCTCACCAAGAGCTCGTCTGACAGGGTGGGCTTGGCTTGCTTGTGAGGTCGCCTGGGCAAGACTTTGACACGCTTGGCGGGAATGTTGGCATCTGGCGGTGTATCAGCCCCGGAGCCGGAGGATTTATTGGAATACGTGTCCGCGGCGAGTGATCGACTCCCATTGCTCAGTGGTGAGGTTGCATCGCCTGTAGATGTCGGTGGTGCCAAGGAGTGCCTCCGCCTGTTCCGCAAGTTCTCCATGTCCACGCTCAAGAACGGATCAGGGTCCTTGTGCTCGATCTTGTCGAATTCGTCTTTCGCAGGAGATCCCGGCTTGGAAGGCGTCGTGAAGATTACATGCGGTCCCGATCGGTGAGTTGATGTCGGTGTCGGGGGGTCAGACTTGCTAAGCTTTTCCCTCCTGTCATAGTCCGCCATCTCGATATCGTCGTCCTTTGCAGTGTACCGCATACGGGCCGTCTTTTCAACCTGCGACCTGATGGTCGGCGGGCATCTTTTCCAGAGCTCATCGAGCACATGCCCGGGTACCATGAGGCACTCCACAGTTGTGATGGAGCGCACAGTGGCTGTCCGCCCGGGCGCTAGCCCCAAGCTGCTGACCTCGCCAAAATACTGTCCTTCCTTCAGTCTCGGTCGCTTCTGGATCTGTGAAAGACTCTTGAGCCCTTCGGCTGCGTGTTCCTTTGGCGGCTGGTGAACGACCTCTGCCTCCCCTCTGACGAGGAAGTAAATCTCCTTTCCCGAGCTTCCTTGATGAACAATGTCCGTAAAAGGCGGGTAGGCGCGCGGTTGGACGCTGAGTCCCAGGAAGTGAAGAGTATCCGCCGGCAACGCCGAGAACAATGGCAACTCCTTCAGTGTCCTCCGGATCTGCACGTAGCCACTACCGATTGCGCTACCCGCCGAGGGATCCTCGATAATTCCCGGACTCGGTGATTTGCGCTTCTTCGAATTGATGACGGCACCGTCCCTGAATGAACCACTTTCACCTTTCGATACTTCACCAGGAGCCGCCGAGCGCGCAGATATATCTCCTGAAGGAAACTGATTTTTGGCGCCCACTTCCTGATGTCGCTTCTTCAGCAAGTTCAACCTCTCTTGCGCCTCTTGCCGAATCTCTTTCTCCATATCGGGGAACTTGGGCATCACAGCCTGCAGGTCCTCTTTCTTCAGGACCAAGAGAAGACACTTTGTACGCGCAATGATGTTTGCCGTTCTGGGCACGTCCATGAGAACACCAATCTCGCCAAAGAACGAGCCAGGCTTGAGCTCCGCATAGACCGCCTCGCCATCGCGGGAGGTGGCGGCAACAACACCGCGCACAAGCCAGTACATGGCCTTTGCTTCGTCCCCCTCTGTGATGATGTGATCGTTCATCGCGTGGATCTGCGGCTTCAAGTTGTTCCCAATCTCCAAGAGAAATTCCTCGGGCGCCGATAAGAATAGCGGGAACGAGCGTATGCGATCAACTAGGTCTTGTGGCATGTCGCGGATGACTGACGCTGTGAGAGGTGATGGTCGCATCGGCCGCGTGGGGTTGTTCTCATTGTTGAAAGAACGGATGAGGGAGACATTATCGCGCGGATTCGATCCCGCATTTGCCATCTGGTGATGGGCCAGAGCCCGGAACGGAGACGGGGAGCTCGGGGAGCGTGTCCTCCGCATCTTTCTTGAGCTGGCAGACATGCGTCTGTTTGTGACTGGTCCAGAAACTGCGAATCATCTGGCGGCGGACCTTGCCGCAGAGCTACGAGAAGCGGAACCGGCGATGAACAACGCAGCCGCAGAGCCACAGGTCCCTCCAGACGCCTGTGTAGTTTCGCCCGGGTTCGACAATTATTTCGAAGCTGCTTCCAACGATGCGCACCGCCTAGGGCGGAATTTCCGCCGGGGCTATCGTGTCTCGGCCAGTCGGCAATGGTTTTCTCGTCGACGCTGCGGAGCTGTGCCCGGGGAGCAGCAAGCAAATTCGAACTGTCTTCTCGTGTGTTAGAGGGTCAGCGTCCGACGAACAACGTCTGGTTCGCGTTCCAGCTTGAAGTCTGGCGTGTTTGCGTTCGACGGCCGTAGCTCATGGGCAAAATGCTCGAGAGGCTCGGTGGATAAGTGAGGCTACCTAAGCCTTTGAAACAATCAAGTCGTAGCAGTCGCCAGGCGCTGTCGTTTCGAGAAGGGTCGTCGTGCGGGCATATACCGAGACCTAGACATCCTGCCGTGTGAGAAAAGCGATGACGGAGGACAAACGAACATGGGGGGTTCTAGCTTCAACGTACCCAAGATCCGTCAAACAAACGCAGCAGGAAGACCGAAAGACAGTATCCGAAAAGACCAAACTGAGAAGGTTGAGGGAGGCGCAATAATTATGTGCCTCTTGTTTTCTTTTTCTTTCTCTCTGCCAGGACACAGAGCGAGGAGCTGGTGACACGAGGAGAGATCCAAGTGGTAGGATAATGGATGGCAGACATTGAATGGTGGCGGACATGGAGCTCGCCAGCACCAGCAAGTTGTAACGGCGGTCCACGTCCGTGGGCGTGGGGCACGCATGATCCAGCTCCAGCGGGCAGGAGCGTCCCGCCAAACACGCCGAGCCGCCTCCGGACATCAACGTGGGGGGGGATGACAGAAACCTGGACGGAAGGAAGGTCTAAAGCAATCAGGAAATCAAGCAAACAAACATTCAGCCGTCGCGCTTTTGTCGCGTTTGATCGATCTTACGTAGGACGGCATGCTTACTACATATTTCTGAAATTCATCTAATACATTTACTGTTACGCGAATAGTCTAAAGGGCTCCTGGACCTGCCCATACAAGTGACTTTCACACTACTGATGGTCCCTGTAGATCCTTCACGATCAGCGGTTCCATCTGAAACAGGCATCAATCCTCATGGTTGGCGCCTGACATTTTGTCAAGCGGATATCCATTCGTGGAACAAAGACTGATGTTATTTTACATCGATGCATAGAGTAGCGAAAGTCCATGCTTAGGGCGATAAAAGACACTAGTTAGCTCGGTGTTTTTCCCTGCCGCTCATCGGCAGTCCCTGATGTGGTCCTGATACGTTGTCATCCCCATGATATGTCAAGAGGAACCGCCTGCCCAACTGAATCAGGTATTTTCGCCGGGTAACACGTTCAAAAGACGAACTGGATCTTGTTCTCAGCAGCATCAGTGGTCATAGCCTGGCACGGCTCTCTATTGCGGACGATGTGTGTGCGTCGTGATCTTTATACACTAAGCAGCCAATTATTTTGTCGAGCCTCCATGTGCCGCCACAAGCCCAAGTCTACAAAGTCAACGCAAGCAAAGCCTAAACGCCAGTTCCTCAAGCCATTTGACAAGTCTAGAAAGCGGTATTCTCCCCATCCACCACCACTTCCTCCTCCTTCTCCCCTTCCTCCTCCACGAACTTCTCCTGTCGCAAGAATGTCCTGAAGAGCCGCGAGTTCGTGCAGTCCTCGTATGGGTATCCGATCTCTCTCAGGAAGTCTTCCAGCTCGTCGAGATTCTCGTCTGGGCAGATGATGCCGGTGAGAATTTTGGCAATATCGCCGCCCGAGTTTCGGTAATGGAATAGCGATATGTTGAAGCGGGGTCTCAACACTGTCAGGAACTTCTCCAGGGCACGCGGCCGCTCCGGGAAGTTGAACATGTACAGACGCTCGTGCTGCACGCCGGAAACACCGCCAACGAGATATCGCATGTGGCTCTTGGCGAGCTCGTCCTGCGATATGTCCTGGACGTTGAAGCCTTCCTCTCGGATGCGGCCAAGTATGTTCTTCAACTCCTTCACCCGCTCGTGGGGGGGACTCACCAGCGACAGACCGAAGATAACATTGGCAATGTCCTCTGTCGCATATCGGTAGGAGAACTCGGTAACCGGGCTGCCCATGATGGTGTCGACCAGCTCCGCGAATGCCTGCGGTCGTTCGGGGATGCGGACATGGAGCAGAGCCTCTTTGCCGCTGCCAACGGAAGCACGCTCGGCGACGAAACGGAGACGGTCAAAGTCCATGTTCGCGCCGGACGTGACGGCAATCATTTGCCGCTTGGGGTCGCTTGCGGGGTGTGCGTGCATGTACTTCTTTAGGCCAGCAATGGACAGGGCGCCGGCCGGCTCCAAGCTGCACCGTGTATCGTCGTACATGTCTTTTATGGCGGCGCAAATCTCGTCCGTCGAGACCTCGACGACCTCGTCGACGACCTCTTTGCAGATGCGAAACGTCTCCTCGCCCAACGTCTTGACGGCTGCGCCATCGGCGAAGAGCCCAACGTTCTTCAACACCACCCGGTGTCCAGCCTTCATGGACTGCGCCAACGCGTTGGCTTCTGAAGCTTCCACTGCGATGATCTTGACGTGAGGCGCCATTCTCTTCACGTAGAGTCCGATACCGGAGATCAAGCCACCACCGCCTGCACAGCAGAAAATAGCATCGACCTTGGCCATGTTCGTTTGCCCAAAAAGCTCGTTTCCGATCGTGCCCTGTCCAGCAATGACGTACGGATCATCAAAGGGCGGGATGTTGATCAGGCCACCCTCCTTCACCCGCCTCGCGCACTCCTCCTTGGCCGCGTCAAAATCCTGCCCATGCAACACGACGTGCCCACCCAGTCTCGATACGTTCAAGTGTTTGATGGCAGGCGTCGCCTCGGGCATGATAATGGTCGCGGGGATTCTAAGCTTGCGAGCAGAGTAGGCTACGCCCTGGGCGTGGTTGCCTGCTGACGAGCAGACGACGCCCCGCCAGCTCTTCTTGGGGTCTAAGTGTGCCATTTTGTTGTACGCGCCGCGCAATTTGAAGCTGAAAACTGGCTGTTGATCTTCACGCTTGAGGAGGACTTGGCATTCGAGGCGGTTGCTGAGGTTGACGGCGTGAGTCAGGTCGGTTCGTTTGCATGCTTCGTAGACGCGAGAAGTTGCGCTTGCAATGAGGCGAAGGTACTGTGAACGTCAGTCCGGTCAATCGCACGTTTAGGTTGAATGCACGCACATCTGGATGCCCGTTGGGCAGAAGGTAATCCTCGGGCACAATCTCCTTGATGCTCTGGCGCTTCTCGTCCGAGGGCGTGGATGGGTTAACGCTGTAGTCGGTCAAGGCCATGGTGTTGGTTGGCGTGTGTGGGCGCCGCGAGCCATTGGCTCGTGACCTGGCCTTGTCGTTCATCTCAGTCACGCCGTGAGGGTCGTCGCTGTCTGAGGAGTGTGCGTCGTTGACTTTGTGGACATTGCCGTTGGTATTTTCGAGTAGCTCCGCATCAAAAGTGTCGGACACCGGTCCGATACCGCTGACGCCATTGGTCGGGGCTATCGGGTGCTCGTTAAAAATGTCGAGCGAAGGCATGTCGGGCGATGACTGTGGGCGCAAAAGAAGAAGACAGATGTCAACGCTCGAGCATTTTCACAAGCAGCAGAGTACAGATTCAGCGTATTCAGATATACTCGAGACGACACGGAAGGATTGCTAGGGTCAGTTGTCGTGGGATCTACCGAAGACGGAGTGCTGTGATCCTACGCGGGCGCCCACTGACTCCAATACTGGCACTCGCAGCTCACCGATAATGGAGGACATGGACCGCAATGCATGCGTGCCCCGCACAAATGCCACCTTCACCGCGCACTCCTTCAGTAATTACAGCACTCTTCCTGTTTACTAGTTGTGACTGACTGGACGCCCAAATGCTGGGCTGGGCTGGGCTCACGCTGTGACACTGTGTAGGCAGTAGGCTGTAGGCTGTATTAGCCTGCAGGTACCGATAGAACCCCCCATTAATAAGGCGCTCCTTCAGGGGTATACTAATGTACCAAGGCCTTACTAAAGAGTTGCATTCCTCGATGCTTCACTACCTTGTCTGCGGCGCGCGCAGCTGTCTTTCTGATAAAGCAAGCTCACTTATCATTTCCAAATTGATTGAATCACGTTCTGTCTTACTGTCACCCTTTATCAGATTCCCGGCCCTCGCGAAATGGACTTCTAATGAAGCTGACTTACGACCAGCTGCGAGAATCCAGTCCTTCGACAGCTCTGGTCCCACACACCAACACCGTGCCCATGACGTCTCGCCGGACGCATCATCTGCAATGCTTCGTCCTGTGGCTCTTTGATCACATCCGTGACCTTCCCAGGTGCTTCCAGACTTGGGCCACTAAAATGGACGCAACTGCTCCTCCTGGTCTAGGCCTCCGTGTGCTGACGGCTGCAAGATCGATAGTTAGGAGATCACGTACAACAGATGCCACACGCGGGGTCCCTCCAGACTCCGGACCCTGGAATCTAAAATCTGGGTTCTAGGATTCTAGATGAGCCCGTTCATGTGGTGATCACCTCAAATCGGCAACACAATCATGGCGCATGGCATATTACGCGATGCCCCAGGTGCGAGTCTTCAACAGTCACTCCGCGCAGTTGTTGCAAAGGATAAGTACTACCCGCAGTGAAGACGCTGAAGCTCGATGCATGCGCTACGCAACTGACCGCTGTCATAACTCGGACTATTTGGAAGAAAGGCTTCGTGACATTCCGTGCCACCATATGCTACCTATCGTTCTATGACAAGATATTGTCCTCGCTCCCAACGTGTCATTTCTTCCGTCTCTCCACCATGACCTCTTCGTATGTTGGAGGCGGCAACTCGGCTGCTGCAGGCTTACTGCCCTCGGATTGCTGCTTTGTTGCATGATGGTTGTCTTGGCTTGCCGAAGTCTCCCGTTTGTGCGCGGTGTTTCCATGCCTCCACAAGCTCGATTCCAAGGACTCGAAAACCATCTCTGTCGTGACGTCTGTCGTCGTTTGTCTGCTCTTCTTCTTGGAGCAGCAACTGCGCTGAGCACGCCGATCTTTACGCTCTGCGCAACGTTCTTTTTTCCGGGCCTGTCTTTCGGCTCTGCGTGAATTCGAGCATCCAGACGACACGCTATCGGCATCCTCAACAGCGCGGGAGTGCGAGTTACCCCTGTGCAGATCAGGACGGATGGCGTCGTGTGCGCTGCAGGAATACTCACATCTCGTGAGGCAGGGTATGACCTTTGATGGTTATGCGTTAGGAAAGCCGGTGCGCGAATAGTGTTGGTGATAACTTGATAAGTTCTTAAAGTACTGGGTGCTGATGGGCAGCAATGCGAGTGCGCAATGTGTGCAGCCCGTCACGCAGTCCACAGCTTGAGCAGGCATATATACAGCGATGCGATAGATCCGCCTCGGGTCATGATTGCGTCGCTTTCTATGCGACGCTGACCTCAATAGATGCTCACGAAGCAAGTGCGGTCCTTGGCTGTGAAATCAACGCCACCTAATGTGGGTGTCGCTGTCTCCAATCGCATCCGCACTCGCATTCGCGAAGCCAACATCACATCGATTGCACCCGCGTACTCCAATCACGCTCATTTGTTGGGTTCAGACGAGCGCGATAGTACCCAGTACGCTCGCAGCACGGCTAACCCGCCCATTTGCGTCTCGATAGTCCGACCACGACCCCGAGCGTTGGGATCATTTCCTTCTTTGGATGGTCGCCCAGCAAGGGTGCGAATGCGGATGCGGCTCAGCACTTTTTCTCCCACGTTTGTGTTTTCTTGGATCGTCGCCGCGCCCTGACGCCGGGGGACGCCTTCGGATCCAGGAGACCATGGCTCCCATCCCCATATGCGATCTACAGGCGTGCCTTCGTCTCTGTAGTCCGTCGTATTCGCAGCGTCGTGGTCAATGCCGTCGCTGTTCTTGTTGGCCACGACATTACCAAACAACCCTGGTCCCCACCACATACCGAACTCGCCATCGACGCGAGTGCCTAGGGCAGCCGCGGCGTTGTGCCTGGTCCAGGCGACATATTCAGCGCACGCATCCTTATGCAGGGCTGCGGTGAGGCTCCGGTCTGCGCTGTAGGCATTGGACGTCTCGATCGGCTTGCAGAAAGCCGTGAGATGGTGGAAGAAGATGGCCTTGAACGTCTGAGAATCCTGAGAGCAAGTACCCGAGGCGTCACATCTCTCTTCAAGAATGCCCGCCCGGCCAATGCCACGCCACGGCGGTAGGGAACCAGAACGAAACTGGTCCACTGGTTGACTTCGAGCAAAATCCCATCCGGTAGCGTTGATGACTGCCTGGACGAGCCTGTGCCCATCGGTGAGATATGACGGGGCTCCAGTGACCGACCAGAGTCCTCGCAGACCCGTGAGTATCACACCTTGGTTGTAAGTGTATACCATCTCATCCCTCAGATCACATTCCCTGTTGTTCGCTTTGCGGCTGTCGATGTGGTAGCCATCTACAAACAACCCCTGGGTATTGGTCATATTCACCCCAACAAGCCACTTGTATCCCTCCACTGCTCCCGCTAGATGAGCTGGGTCCCTGTCGGGGAATGCGCTCTGCTGCAGCCACGGCGCAGTGAAGTTATCCCCAGGAAAATGCTGGTACATTGCTATCGACGCTGAGATCCACAGCTCGTTAGTGATGGCGTTCTTGTACGGACTCAACCTCGGGTTCCACACCATGCCGCCATGGCACAAGTCTTCAGTCCATCCCCGGGAGGCCAGACCCCAGAAAATGCGAGATCTGTGTGCGAACGACGGGACCCAACTGTGGCCGTGCCAGGGAAGGTCTTGCAAGACTTGGCGCAAGCATTGATGGTCGGTAGAATTTGTGGTATTGGGTGGGTAGTGCAACGCTGAGTGCGTCGACACAAATTCTACGGCTTCTAACCAGCCAAGAGCTACCCATAGTATATCGTCATATGCCTAGAGCAACGTTGATCAGTCCCGTTGTTCGCTCAGCGTGAACAACAAACCTACCTCGCCCCGTATGGATAAGGTATCTTGACCATAGTAAGATCCCACAACTTGGTGAAAGTATGACATGAGAAGATTCTCCTTTTGCGCGAAGCTGATAGAAGGCTCGAATGATCCCAAGGATTCGGTCAGTGTTGTCAAAGCACCACTGAGTAGGGTTTGAGCAAAGGCAGCGGTCCAGTCAATGGCAGTGGGCCAAGTTCCGTAGTCTGCGTCATAATAAACCGTTTGCAGAACTTGAAGAGCACTGAACATATCTTCCAGTGATTGTGTATTTGAACGCTGATCTTCAACCTGGGCCGAGGGAGCGAAATCAAAGAAGCTGGTGGGTAGCACCGTATCTGTCTCTACCATCAGAGTCTCCGGCAGAGAATCTTCAATGGTGCCAGCCACGCCCAAAAGGGCCGTCAAAAACGGCCAAGGCTGCATGAAGGTGAATTGACTTGCAGGATATCGCGAACGGCGGCTGGTCCAGGTTCTAGCAAGCGATGAAAAAGCGCTCTTATCCACGCATCCTGCAAGCCTGTAGGGTAGGCATGCTTCCTGTACAGAGTCGGCTGGAGCAATCCTCAAATAATTAATCTGAGAAAACAGGTAAAAATCAGACAGATAGTGTGTGATGTGAGACTGATCTAAGGCGTAATTTGCGCTGCGATCTCGATCGATGGGATGAGGTTCGTTGTTGGAAGAGGAGGAAGCTCATGCTGCTCCCACCATGGCAGCATAGTGAGGGATGATCATCGTTGTCGATAAGGACATGCATGTACAAGTAGGTCACAGTGCGCTTTTAGAATGAAAGAGGACGTGGGTGCATCATTCAATATTTGATCAAAATTTGAGCTGTGTTTTTGATGGGAACGAATCCTTTCTTCGCTTGGCCCTAGAAGAGCGCTGGAGACAATAATTACTGTGTTACTGGAAATCCAATGCGCGCACCAAACGGCTTCTGGCGTGCACCTACCCCACATCGACTCTCAATTGAACGAATCGTGGGCGTGGCTGGTCAAAGCTAAACCACACCCGGTTTGTTTACTTTGAGACCAAACAAGATCCCTGCATCTATATAACTGAACCTCAACCTCCAGGACGTTTACCTGTGCCAGTGTCTGCCAAGTATGTGACGCGCTCTTTCGAACACAAACAACCAGGTCCTATCGTCTTTTCAATCTCATTGCTGTGTATCGACTTCTAGTAGATAGTACACCTGCACCTGCCACGACGCGTTGATCGCACCTGCCCACATCCGCAACCGACCTCCCCACTCGACGACGCGTCTTCTGCGACGACGTCCTCGCGATGGACGCCGACACTGCAACGCGGTACAGATCCCGCATCCTTAGAGAGATGAACACGAACCGCGACAACCCATTCAACTCACCCCCTTCCTCAACCGGATCGCACGGAACTGTCACACTGTCCTCAGTCTTCTCCGACCCAGAAGGCGAATCGACGAGGAAGCTCAACGAGGATATCGCGCGTGTTATTGCACCGCGCAAGGGAGTCATTAAATACGAGTCTGCGGCAAAGCGATTTCCAGATTATTACAGTATGCCCAGAGACAAGATATTCGAGGACGACACCGATACGAGGCCAATGAGCTCCGAGTCCAAGGAGAACAAGCCGCCAGCCTTCAAGTACAACGATGACTCGACACAGGACGCCATGCAGGTGACGCACAGAACGCGTGCTCAGATGCAGCCACGCGTGCAGGACGAGTCGGAGATGTCGTCGCTGCTGATCCCGGCCAAAGGCTTGTCTGCGCAGTACCAGAACTACTCAAAGACCAATGTCCGTCACCCGAGCCCGCTCTCCAAAGTTCAGAACCGTAGCCAGTCGACGGCTAACGACGACGAGTCGCAAAGGCGAAGTTCCATACACGACGCGTTGGAGGAAATGCGCAGGCGCTCCAGAAGCCCGCACGAGCAGGGGAACAAGCGGCAGAATGGATCGCCGCGCATGTCGTCGGCCAAGTCAAGCTTGACGGCGGTGCCGTCGCCAGAGCAAGCCAATGAATCTGCATTTGACGGCTCAGTGGTGCGCTCGTTCTTCATGCCTGATGTGTCACACCTCGGTGATTTCGTCACTGGAACCTTGCGCTTCAGCGGATCCATGCGTAATGGCGTGCCTGTTTTCGTGAAGAATGGTAAGGTTCATGACAGCCGGGATAGGCGCTCCCAAGCTCACCATGCCGAGCTGAACGAGCTGGAGGTACCGGAAGATGAAGAGAGGATATTCGTGTCCATGGATATGATCCGCGAAGAGATTGTCTCTCTTCAAGAACACTATGACAAGGTACAGGAGTATGCCTCAAATCTCCAGGAGCAGGTGGAGAGCCTCGAGGCCGAGCTTAAGAAACGACCGGCATCTGGAGGCCGAGGTAATGCGGACTTTATGAATCAGCACCTAGCAGACCAGAAGGACCGTAAGTCAGCTGTGCTGCCTTGTCGGGATCTCACTAATGTCCGTAGGGTTGGAAGTCGAGGTTGCAGACTTGCAATCACGCCTCGAGCAGGCAGCGCGGAAGAACACGATTAACGAAATCGAGAATGAGTCAATTGCTCAGGAGAAGGACCGCGCAGTCAGGAAGCTGCAGGAGGCTTGCGAAGACATCAACAAACTCACGCGCAAGTTGGCGACTCGGGAGAGGGAGCTGGAGACATCACACAAACAGCTCGAGTCGACAGTACAACTGCGCCGTGAAAATCATCAAATCCGCGATGATTACAAGAAGATGGCAGACAAACACGACGCACTCGAGCTCATGAACAATGACCTGCAGGATCGACTTGCCGACTTTGAGAAGGAAGTCGAATCGCTCACTTCCGACAACGACACCTTGCGCCGTCAGTATCAGTCCATCTTGAACGAGAATCGGTCACTACGCACCGCAAACCAGAATCTTTTGGAGGAAAACGCACGACTCCGTGCAAACCCCCATGATGCTCCGTCTAACACCGCTCGCGAAGAGATTGACGATCTCCGCTCGCAGATGCGTGCTTCGGACGAGGAAAGGATTGCGCTCCAGACCGACAACGATAGTCTTGTTCGCCACAACGAGAACTACTACAGCGAGAACAAGACCCTGCGCCGCGAGAATACAGGCTTTGAGCGAAGCATCGCTGAGATGCGCGATCAGAATTTGAAATTGAAGGAAGATGTCGAGTTCTTGAAGGGGCAATTGGATCACTGCCGACCCATCCCTAAAGAGGACTTCTCGGCACGTCTTGAAGAGCAGACCGACGACAACATGACCTCAGCATTTTTCCTGCCTGATATCACCGTCGACAGAAATGACACAGGAGCTGTGCCGGAGAACACCCAGACGCAAGACTTGCCCCAGTTGCCCGAGTTTACGGAAAATACCAACAGAATGTCGGCGATTGTGGATATGACAGAAGAGCGCACGGAGAAATCGACGAGGCACGAGACTACTAGCCACACTCAGAAGACCGGAACGCAGCAACAAAAGGCCAAATTGAGCAAGACATCAACAGCCGGCACGGCTGCGAACAAGGTTGCATTTGCGGTTCCCGAGCACCCAGTCCGGGCCAGCAAGAGCACGTCGCAGCTGCCCAACCAAAGCAGCAAACGCCGCACCGCCTCAATGCCAGTCAAGCGCACGTCTATGCCCACTGTAGACATGGACGAGTCTACCGGCCTGCTTTCCCTTGACAACACCACACAGGATCCCTCGCTACCACTACCCGAGCTTCTCAAGCCACGTAAAGAGGCCAAGGATGGCAAGAGACAACAGAAGAAGGATGCCACTCACGAGGTGACAAGTCAATGCCAGAGTCAGAGCCGCGGGTCGGAACAGCGCCGCCACTCGCGCCAGCGCTCACACTCTCGCGGTTCTCAGAGCTCCAAGCACATTGCTGTCGAGACAACTGTGGAGAACCACCTTGGCGTCGAGAAAGACAACTGCCCTGCCCTATCAAAAGACGCTCGCCGCGTCCTGGACAACCTCTGTGAGCACAAGTGCAGCAACTGCACCGTATGCAGCCGAATCACGTCCCACCGCGGCGTCATATCATCAACAGACCTCGTACACGGCAAGAAGCGTGTCACTGTTCCTCGTCCTGTCCCTGTTACCGACCGCGGGCTTGGGGAAGATGCGACTATGCGTCCGGCTCACCATCCTGGCCATGCACTTGCCATGGTCATCAAGTCTCTTGAAGACGAAGCGCAGCACATGCAGCTGGAGCTAACGCGCGCGCAACTCGAGTACAACAGCTCCGACAAGGCTTACGGCCGTCGTGAACGCCTCATCTTGGCAGAGTCGATACGCCACCTGCTCAAACAGCTGGAAGCCAAGAATGATCAGATTTACAGTCTGTACGACGTGCTAGAGGGACAAAAGTCGGCAGGACAGGTCATGTCCGAGGATGAAGTGGAAATGACGGTGCTCAACATTACAGGCATGACTGTAAGGGATGTGACCAGCGGGACGGAACAGCTCACGTGGGAGGGATTCGGTGACCTTTGAATTGCCTTTTGGTATTGATAAGAATCAGGCGTTTGGGCATGATGACGCAGGAGATTGGCGCAACGGATCGGAATCAGACTGAATCCAGGTTTTTTGGCTGGCGTTTGTACGATGCACATTGTTTGGTATCAATGTTGCCCTTTTGAGGCCTTGGACTACGACAATAGGATGCACTGAAAGAACTTGATAAAGTGAAAGCTAATATGTTTGATATGCTGAATGACGTCTACTCATCGGACATGTCTTCGTCGTCCTCATCCTCGTCCACCTCGAGCATGTCTCCATCCATCTCCAACTCCTCATCTTCTTCCTCGTCTTCATCTTCATCTGCTTCGCTGTCCACATCCTCGCCAGCGTTGGCAGCCGCTTCTTCCTCCTTTCTCTTCTTCTCGTCCTCCTTCCTGGCCTCCTCTAGCATCTTGGCCCGTTGCGCTCTCTGCTTCCTCTGTCCAATGACATAGGCACCCAGCGGTGTCTTGCCCACATCGTACTCTTTCAGAAAGTTCTCCACCTGCGAGCGGTTCTTAGGCGCAAAGTCGACCTTGGCGCGCTGCTCCTCGATGAACTTGCCGTTGGCCTCGAGCTTCTGCACGAGCAGCACGAGCGAGGCCACGAGCTTCTGGTTCTTGTTGCCGTTGGCCTTGGAGCGGGCCTGCTTCAGCCAGCGCTTCAGTTGGATGATGAGCGGCAGGGCGAGTTCGGGCAGGGCAATGGACGTCGACCAGAGGAGGAAGTACTCGCCCAGGAGCTCCACGACCTCCTCGCCGACGCCGTCCTGGTACACGCGCGTGCGGAGGTAGGATTTCGGTGCCTTGTAGGCGACGGAGAAGTCAAACGCCTTGAGCGTGGACGGCTTTGGTGGTTTCTTCATCTCGGCCGAGTTGAGTACCTCGAGGAGTGGCGACGCGAGGGGGATGTACGTGCCCGTGGCGCGGGATGTTCGTAGGAGGGAGCGGATGAGGTGGAAGCGGAGTGGGAAGTAGACGGACGTGGGAATCAGCCGGAGGGCGCCGAGCGTGACCTGAACGAGAGGGTAGATGAGCGGTCGGAGGAGCGACTCTTTGCCGGCTTCGGCCTCTTTGAGGGGCGAGCAGTGCTCGGCGAGCACGCAGGACCAAAAGTCGAGGGAGTGCGTGTACTGCCAGTTGTACACGATGCGGAAAGAGTCGTTCTTGTTGTTGACGATGCTGCTCCGGAGGTGGATGGCCAGTTGGCGGATGAAGGTGAAGGCGGTGGTGTATCCGACCTGGGGATCGATGCCCCAGAGCTCGGCCGCCGAGTTCTTCATGAGGTTGATGCCCTGGATCGTGTTGGCGTTGGTGACGCGGCAGCCCTGGATGAGGCCTTGGTAGGTGCTCTTGAGCACCGTCTCGCGGATGCCCTTGTCTCCGATGACGACGAGCCTGCGGAGGACGAGGAAGGCGGTGATGCGTGTGGTCTCTGTCGACGAGGGCTGGGCCCAGAAGTTGACGACGGACTTGGCGAGGGCCTTGACGAGCTTCTTGAAGGAGAGTAGGTAGGGGAGGATAGGCTCAATGGCGGAGAGGGTGAGCTTCAAGGTGCGGTCGTCAGAAAGCGTGCTGAGGAGGTGCATGATCGAGGTGGTGTACGTCTTGAGCAGCAGTGACAGTGTCTTGAACTTCTTGGTCTCGGTCTGGACGTAGACCTTGCCAGAGGACGACTCCTTGGCAGGAAGGTGGTGCTTCATGACGGTGGGGATCTCGTTGAGGGCCAGGAGCAGGACGTCGTTGAAGACTTGCGGGCTGTTGATGGTCCAGCGTCCAGGACGCGAGTCCTCGTCTTCGTCCTCGTTGAGGTGGGCTGCGCAGCGGAAGGCGAGTACCGTCTGGCGGGCGGCACGGAGCGAATGGGTCTCGGCCATGGATTTGCGCCAGGAAGCCACAAGTTCCCTGGTCAGCTCGTTGCCAACGGTTGCCTCTTGGGCCTTCTTGGCCTTCTTGCGCTTCTTCTTGGGCTGTTCATCTTCCTCGGCCTCGTCCTCGGCAGCTGAATCCTGGCTGAGCTCGTCGACTTCGGCAAGGTCGGCATTGTCGTCGAAATCAAGCGCCTCTGGGTCGTTCTCCTTCAGGAACTTGTAGAATTCGGGATCCTTCTTCGCGAGGTCGTCCATGGTCTGCTTGCTCATGGCGCCCATCTCGTCGTCGCCTTCGCCATCCTCATCGTCGTCATCGTCGCTGACTACAGGCTGTGCGCCGGCCGAATCATCTGAATCGCTATCCGCTTGACCATTTGCCTCTTCCTTGGGGCCATCGCGCTTCCTCTTCTTCCCGTTGCTCCTTTGCGAGATGATCTCCTCGAACCCTCCATTAAAGAAGTCGTCTGTGCTCATGTCGTTGACCTTCTTGCCCTTTCCAATGACGCTGCCCGTAGGGGCGTCCACAGCCTTGCCATTGGGACCCTTGAGATACTCAGCATCGGTAGCGTTGCGTGCCTTCTTCTTGTCGTTCATCTGGTAGCGCTGCTTGATTTTGGCATTGGCCTTGCGCTTGTCGAGAACACCTGTGAGGTGCTTCTTCTCGAACTTCTTGGTCGCCTTGGCGTTCTTCTTTCCGGGGCCCATTATGACGGTAGGCCTGAGGGCGCGATTGGAGAATTGGTTGGGTCAGCAAAAGAAAGCAGAAAGCGAGAAATTCAGACCATCGCGGGATGGCAGATAGCCAGCTCGCCAGGCAGAGCGACCCTCCCAAATTTTTCCGCGGCATCTTATCGATAGCGCAAGTGATTGCGGCAGGCGGTCTACAATTTCTGCCACCGACGCAGCTGTCAACAGGCCCCCGCCACGAGCTCCCCCACCCCAAGTTATTGCGACCAGCTTCCTTCACTCCCTCTGAACGAGTGACGATTGAGACGATGTCTCCTTTCAATCACCCGCCATGATCCCACGACCCCAGAACTACGCGCCGACGCCGCATAGTTATGTTCCCAACACGTCCCTCAACGCGACCATCAACCTCGACGAGGAGGTCAAGCTGACCTCGACGCGCGCCGAGCGCGATCTGCAAGAATCCCTCGCCGAGCTATTCAGCATCATTGTTACTTTGGACGAGCTCGAAAAGGCTTTCCTGAAAGATGCTGTTCCCGAGAGCGAGTATACTGAGATTTGCGAGCGTTCCTTGAGGCAGTACAAGGCGCTGCTAGCGGATGAGACGATTGCAAAAGAATTCCAGGGACTGGAGGAGTTCAAGGCACGATGGGAGGTCCGTACTCACCTTTCTTGTACTAGCGTGACTCGCGCAACTAATTATTGGAAAGCTCGAAGTGCCTCGCGCGACCGAGCGATTGCGCGTTGGCATGCCCTCGACTACGGTGACAGCTGGCTCTTCCGCACCCAGCCAGCCACAACAACAGTCCTCCTCATCGAATAACACTAGTGGTGTTCTCATCTTGGAAGCGACTCAGGAGTTTATCACTTTTCTTGACGCCGTCAAGCTGGGGCTCTTGTCGAAAGATCAGCTGCATCCGTTGCTCTCGGACGTCATTCAATCCGTCAACAAAGTCACCGACAAGGATTTTGATAACCGAGGCAAGATTGTACAGTGGCTCATTACATTGAACCAGATGAAAGCCACAGAGGAATTGAGCGAAAGCCAAGCGCGAGAGTTGGAAATGGATATCCAGCAAGCCTACAATGGCTTCCGGTCCACTCTGACATGATCTCTCCCCGTCCGACTACATTTGTACATCGTAGAGCCGTATATAGACGCTACACAAGGAACGTCCAGAAGCTGGGATAGACGAATTCCTCCTCAAAAATACGTCTGACCTGCTCTAACACGAAACGCTCCACTTTGCCCACGTTTTTCAGACTCGCCTTGCCGCCGTCTCGCTCTCCGATCTCGCTCTCCACCTTGATCTCCTGTAACAAACCGCCGAACCGTGTTCCTGATTCTCCGGTGTCGAGGTCTTCGTCTTGCTCGCCAGGAGGCACCGCAGCTGCGGCGTCCTCAGGGCTCAGGAAGCAGAATTGGACTCGTTTGCGTATATGCGCCAGCACTCCCACCCCGTCAAAAGACAAGCCCGTAATGTTCAGTTTGAGCGGTATCCCCACGAAGCTGGGCATCGGGTAGTCGAGTAGAATCTCCGCCGTAAGGTTCAGCCGTATATCGCCCGCGTACTTGATCCGAAATACAGCCTGGACGTCATCCACCCTCGGCTCGCGCCGCCTCTGGCCTCCCTCTTCTCCGGGCTGCTCATCGCCATTGTACTCCTCTTCAATGGCCTCCTCGAAATGTGCCGCATCCCGCGTAGGTGGCCGGGACGTGTTGGCGCTGCCGGTGGGGGCAAGCGTGCTCACGCTGTGTTTCTCCCGCAGAACGCCCAGTCGACCATCCTCCACGGATATGCTACTCTGCGATAGGTTTCGCGAATGGTGCGATACTGGAGTCGAGGTACCCGCCATCCAGGAATTGATGCCTCCCCGTTGGGCCACCACGGCGGCAAGAGGTGTATGCGTTCCTCCTGTGTGAGGACCAAAATGATGCCCTTGGAAGTAGCTTAAGCCCGGTCCACCTAGAATGCCTGGTGTGCTCGTCCCCAGATATGGACTGCGCAGATCCTGTCCAGCTTGGCCTCTGATGTCCCTCGCCTTGCCTTTCACTGGTCGTTCCTCCTCCTCCTCCTCCTCCCCTTCGCTGCTCTCATCATCACCTTCCTGCCGTTCGTAGAAGTCTGGCAACGGGTCTGTGATATCCTTGAGCTCTAGGGACGGTGGTATGCTGCCGAAGTGGAAACCATGCACGTGTACCGATTTGATGAATCGCGGGAGGGGAATGGTCTGAAACTTGGAGTGGATAAAGGCGCGAATGCTCTCAGCAAGGGCGTCGCCGTCGGGGCCGGAGGTGAGCGTTTCCCAATTCAAGTCAATGCTCATGGTGAAGTAGTGATGATGAATCCATGCCGATCTACTGTGGGATCAAGCTTCATTCACTGGAGGTAGAGGCCAGCCCCGCCACCGTCTGCCACTTAGCACTCACCGGCTGATCAATGTGGTCTAGACTACAGCGCTAGTGATTGATTTAGAGGAATAGGTTTAGGAATTCAGAAATCCATCGGACGGCTCTACTGTGACTCAAGCACAAATTCCGCCCAGTCCAGTAGTTTAGGCCGTCTCTGGAAGCATCGATTGCATAGTTGGTGGATTGCTACAGCAGGCCATGAACTGTTACCAAAGAGGCGCAATTTATTGTCATTATCATGGGCTTCATAATTCCTTGCTGATTTGCCACCTGAATGTCTACTATGAAATTTGTCTACGAGCCAGTTGCGGTCTTCCTGCTGCTCTGCTTATTTATCGTCCTCGAACCGGGCTCGCGAATAATGTGGGTAGTTGGGATAGTTGAACAAGTGCCAGCATGTGGGCGACTGAAGGATGTACCTTGGATGTGTCAGCTTCTCTCTCGGGTTTGGACGCGTTTCTGTCTCTTACCTCGCCATGGCCTCTCGGAACCGGTTCTTGTACTCCTTCGGACTCGTCACCGTGGGTCTGTTTCTGCCGCCGCCTGCAAACCCCCGGTCTTTGATCCAGCTTTCCAGTTTCTTGTCCCAAGTGTATGTTCGAATGCAGTCAATGATACCCACAACAAGCTCTTTGCGGTCCTCGTCCACTGCGATCATGAGGGAGTAGTCCATCACATTTTGGCGGGCCAGGAACAGCGTGTCATTCCAGACGGACGCCCTAAGCAGCTTCTTGGAGTGCTCCCGCGCGAAAAGAGGCGACTCGGCGATGAACTCGACCATGTTCTCGTCGAGAAGGACTTCGTTCTGTTCACCGGTTGATTGGATCTTGCGGTTGCGCATGGAGCCTTTCAGGTCAAATATCCTCGTTGGCGACCGGTCGTAGAACAAGTTCTCAGTGACGAGCAAATCCAGCCGGACATCCACACCGGTTGTTGGATTCTTTATGAGGACTTGGAAAAATCCGACCATTTTCGCAATCACAGACGGCAAGTCATGGAACAGCGACTCGGCCATGATACTGAAGTACCCAGGTGCAAAGCGAAGGAAGGCGGATGTTTCGACAGGGGACAGCGACTTGAGAATCAGCCGATCATCTAATGTCTTCAGAAACACAGACTTCGTCTTGCCACCCTTGGAGTCCCATTTCAAACATCTTGACAACGATTCGACAATACGTTCCGCCACACCGCATTTTCTGCGCAACGCGTCGAATTGCTCGGCGTAAAAGATTTTGCAGGTCATGACGGATGCACCATCCTTGAACTGGTACTTGAGATGGGTGCCCGTGGCGCGTAGCAGACTCTTCTCAAGCTCGGTCCCGTCCAGGATCTCGGTGGCCTTTTCGGACGCAGACATCGATGAGGGCCTGGAGCCAGCCGCATCCGCCTGTTCCTGTTGCGCAGAAGCATGCGCCTCACCTCTGATCTGGGTCAGCTTGTCCTTGTAGTCTCCACTGTTGAGTGCAAGAGCAATGACCGAACTCGGTTCATCCTCGCGGACAATAATGTCGGAATCGACAAATATGTGGTCGTTTCCCGTGACAGGATAGTCCAGAGCAGGCCACCCACTGGCTGACCGTTCCGCCCAAAAGTTTGTCAGATATTTCATCAAACTGGTCCGCTGGTGTTTCGGCAGTTCCAAGGGAATTTCTGTGCTTGGCTCCAGGGAGTCTGCAATCTCTTTGATGCCAGGCAGAAAGTCGTCTGATACTGTTGGTTCAGCGTCACTGGCGCCCGCCTCATCGTCGGAGGCCGTGCCTTGGCTTGGCTGGGTCGTGGATAGCTGCTCTGCCTCGACCTTTTCTTCCTTTTTTACGTTTTTGGGACTTGAAGCTCCGTCTCCGAGATGAGGATGGTCTTCTTGAGGCCCAACGGTCGCAACTGGTCCGGTGGCAGGGGCAGGCTCAGGCGCCTCGTCTCGGGCTACTTTGTCTGGTGCTTTCTCAGGAACTTGTTCAGCAGATTGTGCCGGCTCACCGAATGCTTCCTTGACATCGTCGTATACCTCAATGATAGCCTTGGTTGACGTTCTAGGCAGCATTGCCCGAGGCGTCCTCATAGTGTCGGCGCGCTTCTTACGGTCACGAATGCGCTCCCGTTCAAACTCTCGACTGAGCTGCTCAAAGTGCTTCGCAAGCGTCGACACCCTGGATTCTCTCTTTTTCGAGACCAGGCGGGGTATGCTCGACTGCCCTGATTTGGAACGATTTTTCAAGGCCGCAAGACCTAAACGCTCAGAAAGTTTCTTATCCACTTTCATCGACGGCTCGGCTTGCTGCTCTGGTGGCGGTGAATCTGCGGCACCTGTCCTCCCGTCCCTAAAAACTTTCGCTTTACCAGAAGACGACTGCGATCTAGGCAGAGGTCTAGCAGGCTGAGTCACGCTGCGTGTCAGTGGTGGCGAGACGGCGGCACCGGAGAGCCGGCTGCTGCGGCGCTCCATGGATGTTCTGGGCCCCTCAGGGGGAGCAGATGGTATACTGACTCCATCCGACTGACCGAGCTGGGGAGGGTGTGAAGCTTGTTCGCGCCGCTTCTGGTCAACTCTCTCGCCAAGCGTGAGAGTAGGCAATGGTGACTCTGACACGGATCTGTCCGTTCCTTGGGGCGAGGCTGACGGTCTGGGAGCCTCCGGTGCAGAGACAGGTACTGCGGGGGCTTGAGTCGCGGTGTTTTCCGTCGTTGCCCGAGGGGCGCTGCCGGAGTCTTTCATAGCGGCAGGGGAGCCAGCCAAGTCCAGGGCATCAACTCTTTCGATTGCACCTTCGTCGGGAATTGAGACTTTCTCGTCTTCCGCGGAAGCGACATGGTCCTCTATGTTGATCGTCGATGCAGCAGCACTGGCTTCCATGCTGGTGTTGTCCGTGCAGTCCGTGGGCTGCGTGCTCTTCTCATCTGGCTCCGTAAAGGTTTGGGATGGCTCTTCACTATCGCCGACCGACCCAGAACCCTCATTGGAAACAAGTGAGTCCTTGGATTCGTTGTCAGCAAACATCTTCTTGAGCTGAAGCATAGTGAGCTGTCTCATGTCTTTGTCGCCCAGGAAGTCCGCCTCAAACTTGGTGAAGGCCGTGTCCCACTCGCCAGCGAGCTCCAACATCCTCCGGGTGATCTTGTTGAAGGGGACCACCTCGTAGTATTTTGTATTGACGTAAATCTCCTGCAGCTCACGAACAATGTTGGGCTGGTCTTCGCTGGCTTTCTTTGCCAGCCTATCCACCTCGGCTCTGCATACATCTGCCTTCTCCGGCAGCACACTGTCGATGCGGATACCTTTGAGACGGGCTTTGACCGAAGTCATGTACCTGTTCCAGCGCTCCTCCATTTTGGTGTAAATGTCGTTTTTGAGTTTCAGGTCATTCGCCACCTTCCAAGTGATGCGCGCGCGAGGGACAACAATCTCCAGAAGATCGATAGGATCCCAGTGTATCCGAACACGGGAATTTCCCAGGCGAAAGTAGCGGATGTGGTCGCGGCGATGGTCATGTGGGCAATGAACGCTGTCTTTCATCTTCAGGCCACGACCCCAGTACAGTAACTCCAGGTATTTACCAAAAGAGTATTTGAAGGTGGAGTCAGACATCATCATTTCCTCGGAGTCTTTCTGGCAAACTTTGCAGTAAGTCCAGATCATAATGTCGCCTGCATGTCCCCTTTTCGGCGATGCGTCCGGCATTCGTTCAACAAAGACCGTGATACGTGACTGGTCGTGGACATATGTCCGATGATGCTCTATCATTTTGCGCTCACAGCCATTGGCAGTACATATATCGTCCTTGCTGTAGATCAAATCTTCGATATATTGCCCGAGTGAGCTATCAGGATCCATCTCAGAGTCGTATCTTTGTTCGTCGTAAAAGTTGATCGCAACCAGACCTGGTTCAGTGCAGGGGATTTTGGTATCAGTACAGATAACCGAATACAGCACCACAATATTCTGGTGCGAATATGGATCGAAGAGATCAAGATTGCCTTGAATGTAGGTCTCCCAATGTCTTGTCTGAGTTCTGTAATTGAACAAGGCCTTATCGTACTCGGCATCATGAACGGCGTGGAGGATCTCCATCATTTGTCTGGGGGCTTTCTGGCCAATCTTTTCAACCATTTCAGGTCGAATTAATTGAAACGTCTGAGCTCGACCCTTCTTGCCAAGCTTTCTCTGGGTTGGAATAACAGCGGACGAGGTTTCCAGTTCTGGATTTGCGCGCCCCTTCTCGCTTTGGTCTGTTTCATCAGCGGCCTGCGGCTCTTCTGCTTTCTTTTCTCCGGCAGCCTTTTCCGGGATACTTTCATCGTCCTCAACGGGCTCCTCCTCAGCTTCAATCCCATGATTAAGGAGACGCCGTAAGTAGAATAGCCGTCTTTCCTGCTCTCGTGCCTTCATCAGCAGATATGGTTGAGCGAACTTGACATATGGCGAAGCGGAGAGGACTTTGGTCTCGTATTTAGCAATCATGTCGCTGTAATATGTCGGCATCGGCACATCGTCTGGAACCTGACTAGCCAGATCACTGTCCTGTGCTTCCGGCGACACTGTGGTTTGGCCCTCAACAGATGTTCCAAATGGGCCTGTCACTTGGCCGTCTCTTTCGCCGATTGACAAGGACTCCGCTGCAAGTTGGGAGGTTTGGTTGATTTCTGATGGCGCATCGATAACGGCTGCCTGGCCACCACTGCCGATGCCACTCGTGCTGCTGGCAGAATGGAAGCTTTGTTCGGCCAGTATTGAATTTGACAGTGACGCCTCGCCCGACTCTAGTGCCTCGACGGACTCGTCCCTGAGAAGACTTGATTCGAGCTTGAGATTGTACACAACATAGACCATGAACTCGACAATTGACTTGATCTTGCCAAGGTGCGACTGATCTGTACCTCGGAGGGCAATCGTGCAACCCAAGTCGGGCCGGCATCCTGACAAGAAGATGTACGACTTTTTCCGCCCAGGATGGTCGTTATTGACAAAAGTTCGTACCTCGAAATTGGCGCAACGGCCAACCCTGACAGGTAGGGCCAGCATATCAAGCGAGGTAACAATTTCAGTTTCTGCGCAGCGAGACACCGCCTCGATCACTGTGTGCTTAACGTTGTAAACGACCGCGATGTTGGCCTCCGATAGATACTGCAGGGCTACACCAGACACACCCTTCTCTGCAAGCAGCACATGAGGACGGAGATTGGTGATTCTTTGCACAACCACTCGCAGGAACTCCTTTTCCTGTTCAATCACTGGTTGCAAACTCATGAAGTGTTGGTCGTGACGCTGATACTCGACAGGAAATGTGACGAGTACAATGCGAGGGTTGTCAATCTTGCGAGGCATGCTCTTCAGAGCGACATTCTTGGTGAACACGACCCCAGAAACATAGGACGTATCGCCTGGCTTGCCGCCCGGGATCCTTTTGAGCTTCACGTAGTGTCTGATGTCCATGTCTTCTCCAGTAGTGACGTCGGGATCTACATCGTCCGTGGCTTGCAGCAGGATCGGAACCAGGGCCTTCTGCCATGGACCAGGTTCGCGGAAGCCGTCATCCACAAGAAGTTGATGGAGCAGTCTGTGGACGTGGCGGACACTGAATTTGTTCAACTCCACTTTCGGTGCTCTCTTTAGCAAAGAATCGCTCCTAGTGATCTGTGGAGTGTGCGTCATCTGGTGATCCAGAAACACCGGATGCTCGGTGGACGTTGTCGGTCCCTTGAGGATGCCTGATTTTGGCCTTGGCGAGGGAAGGTTGTGAACACTACCACTGACATTGCTGAGATTGCGCCGTCGTTGGGATTTCCGATGACCAATCAGGCTCGCAGGCCCGTTGACGTCGTCGAATGGTCCCCTGCCACTGAAGCCGCTGATGCTCTTTTCGCCTGCCCTATGACGATGTCTTCGGCCCGCATTGAGTGAAGCTGACGTGTTGGAACGATCAAGCTCAAAACTCCCCGACATAGCGTCCGCGTTCGACATGGCAGTGAACAAACCCATTTGTTCATCGCCGCTGGACTCATCCGACATATAGTCGGCAAGTTCCGGGTCAATGATGTTGTCATCGTGGAATGCGGGAAGCTTGGGCTTTTTGGAGGCTTCCTCCTCGATCCCTTTCCGGAAAGGGGCTCTATGCTCTGGTTGAGGCTTGAATCGCCCCAAGAAGCCATGTTTCGAATGATGTCGCTTGTGCCCGGCTGAGGACTGTGGTCTTCCAGATGCAAGTGACTTGAGTGATCTTGACGAGCCAGGTCTACTCAGCTGCTGAGGGGCGTCGATCTCCAATATCGCTGAGGACCTGTGCGTAGAATCGCGCTTGCGTCGAGTGGCGGGAATCGCCATCATTGGTGTTGTGATAGGACGTGCATCTTCCGAGCCCTCTGAAATGATAACAGCCTCCTTATCCTTCCCTTTTACTGGGGCACGTCCAGGGGCAAGGGGTGACCGCGACCGTCCACCGCCCATCATTCTGGAAAAGACGGGTGCATGGTCGTCCCCGGAGTCCTCGGAGCCGCTGGCATCAAACCGCCGGCTGATAACTTCCATGCATCGCTTGCAAACGCGCAGCGTACCCGAGACACCAAACTTGTCCCCTGAAATGACCGTTGTACATTTGGAGTCGAAGATGCATCCGCATGTACGACAATGGTGTTTCCGACGAAATGCAGAAAAAGGCACTTGGCAATAGAAACACTGCTTGACCGTATCGTCCTTCATCCAAAACTCTTTGTTGAGGACCTGTCGGCGCATTCTGTCTAGTTGAGAGAGACGATCAGTCGCACCTTCGTAGCTGAGGTTGGCGGCTGATTTCTTGTTGGAATTGGACTCTTTGGAGAAGTTGTCATGGTGTACTGAATTATTGGCGGAGATACTGACAGGGCTTGCTGCTGCTGTGCCACGATCAGTGGACGAGTCCCGGGAGCCGGCAGGACGGTTGTAGCTGAGGCGGCTGATTGCAGTCGGTCGTCTTGGAATATCATCTGGCGAGAGGAGTGAGCTTCCCGATGGTGTCCGCAGTTGTCGTGTCTGGATGCTTGGGATCGGCGGGGTGGCCATCTTGGCGGGGCTTTTAGTCGTGTCCGCGCTGGCAATGCTCGAGCTGTCGTCGCGATGAGCACGGGGTGGTAACTTCCCTTCTTTGGTATCGTAGAGCGACGGATCCAAGTTCGCTAGGCGTGCTTCAAGGTCAACGCGACTCAAGCTCCTCCGAGCAGAATCTCCAGTGCTGTCCTGCGAAGCCAGCCTGCTGCGCCCATTCTCCTCCTTTGAGAGCACTGGTGGGTGGGCTACGACGGAACTTGTAGCGTTGGTCGGTAGGCTCTGGCGATTGGAGGCTTGAGACTTGGGTCCGGTCATAAGGCTCATGCTGTTGGGTTTTGACTGCTGAGAGCTCGTTGAGCGGTTGTCCAGCACTTCTGGGATACTGACGGTCGATGCTCCATCGGTTATTGTATCATGGCGCGATAGCTTTGAGGGTGATGCGCTCTGCCCAGTATCCTGACGGCTTGCGGACGACCCCGATTGCCTCGACGCTCGCCCACCTAGATCAGCCTCAGCCTCCAGGCCATCCTGTGTTTTCTTGGCGGGGGTATTCCCGACCCCCACAGCTTCTCGAAACCTGCTATACAGACCACTGAAGCCCTGGGTGACGATTTCGCCAGGCCCGCCCTTGGGGTCGGTCGAGGATGTCGGTAGCGGGGGCGGTGCAAAGTCGTTGAAGGTCGTCAAGGATTCGGCACGGCTCGCGGTATCGTGGATACGGTCGAGAGCATAAGAAAGTTGTTCCTTATCAATCGTGGAGCTAACAGAAGCGACTGAGCCCCTGCGGTTGCGGAAGCTGATGGGTGAACCAAGTGCACCGCTGGCGTCGGGCACAGCAGACGAGCGCTTGGTGGGTGGGCTTTCTGGCATTCTGACCGAAGCGCGTGTAGCACACCTCAGTTGAGGAAAGCTAGGTGGATGATGTTGTCACTCATGCTGCATATGAATGCTGAGAAGCTCGCCGGGAAAGATGGCTCGCAGGGAACGGTGGTTTTCAAGACATTCGTTTGGCGGGGGATGATGCGCGAGAGGGAGCTGCGAGACGTAGAGCTACGAAGTGCGGTGACGAAATATGTGTCGCCAGAAGGCGGCCTGTCGAATGGGAAGAGATGTTCGAACAACGCTGGAATGAGGCTCAGAAGCCCTTCTACCACAAATGGCTTAAAGTCAGTTACATAGGGAGAGAAACTGAAACTGATCGTCGCGACTTTTGGAGCTGGAAACCGTAAGATCACAAGCTGTGTCTCGCAGCTGCGTACGAGGTTCGCTGTGATGCACGTTGCAGGTTTGGTCCCCGCAGCAGCTGGCGAATCGCAGGTACATTGACATACACCCAAAAGCCGTGGAAAGCGAGGTCTTCGTTAACGCCTCAGCTGCACCCCACCTGCCGCGCCTCAGGCTTCGACAGGCTGTTGGAGGGACCCCGGTAGTACCCACTCCGGAATTGCCAGTTTGGAGCTCCAGTCCTCCTGCCAGCGTTCGTGAGCTTCAGTCATCAAGATTCAATGGTGCTCGACTAGATGTCAATAACTACTCTCCCAGCCAACGCTCATGCCGATCTTCAGTCGCTTATTCAAATTGACAGCGAAAAAGCCTTTGGCAATTCTTCACGCGAAATTTGATAGGAGCGCACCTTCCAATCCCAGAAGTCTTGCCGCTATTGTGAGCGCAAGTCAACCGCGTTGAACTTGGTTCACGCGTCTCTGCGCAAAGGACATTATGAGTGTTGACCACGTGGAACGATATAAACACTTCAAAAAGGAATCTGCTGAGCAACAAGACCTGCGCCAGAAGACTGGGTTCACGAAAGCTTCGTCGCCATGCTCAGTTGAAGTCCCGCCCTCGGTTCTTGCAACGCTGAAAAGCCACTACCAATGGCTTTCCAAACACAAAAGGAAGGCGGAGGAAACAAACAACGAGGTCCAAGAGACCAGCACCAGACCAAAGAAGCAGCAAAAGGCAGTCCAGAACACACAGATCCCTTCGTCTTCGCCGGAGCGGCTCATTTCATGGCCATCATCTCCTGTTGGTCCTCGACCGCCACCATCCAGTGCGGGCAGATTTGATCTCCGGGCCGCACCAAATTTCTCTTTGCCACCAAGCTCAGTCGGGAACGATGAAGAGGAAGACATTACGCGTGACGAAGTGGAAAGCATCCTGCACAGCCAAGAGTACATGCAGTCGCAAGTATTGGATCTGCCGCGGACCAGCCCTGCGCGGACCAGCCCTGTTACGCAGTTCACGCCTGATCAATCCAGGCTCGCTGGCACTCCTACCTGCGCGCAGCCCAGTCAGCAAGTGGTCCCAGGTACGGTTCTAGTGTCTACTATTCCTGCGAGCAGTCTTCCTGTGGGCAAGGGTGCCCAACCGCCTGAGCAGCCTGAGCAGTCTGAGCAATCCCGAACGCGACCAAGGCGAATGAAGCCGTTTAAACCAGAAGTGCTTGACAATCCCAAAATTCGGAAAGATTATAACAGCCCCACGCGCCACTCAAGCCCTAGAGACGCAAGCATTGAACAGCAACAGGAAGTACAAGGGCCCGACTCGGCAATTAAGACAGGAACTGGAGATGTCGTAATTGCCAAGGACAATTTGCAAAGTCAGGAGGCTCGATTGTCACCAACATGGTCTGCTATTCCAGAGTTGGTGGTCACAGACCCCGATACCAAATACGCTTCACAGGCTTCTGCTATTACGCTAACGGAGTTTGAGGCCTTCGTGGACAAGTACCCCGAGTACGTGGTTGGTGGCGGGACCCTCTCAACCTTCCTCAAGGCGTGCATCGAGCTTGGAAGGGCACGCAACGCCCAAAAGCTACATCACTTTCTATGGGATGATTTTATCAGGGTCTACGCGACGTTGTACCTGCCCTATGTTAAGAACCAAGGAGGGACGCGTGGGCCCGTGGAGTTTTACAACCACCGAACAGAGGCCCCTTTGTGGGTACCAAGTCAAATGGTAAAGGCGTCTACCTTGGACCGCATTCTTGATTTCTATCGAGATCGAGTGCGAGAGCTACGGTCTCGTATGTTTCCCAACGAGGACAATGCGCGCCAACCGTTGGGGCCGAGCCCTGAAGACAATACTTTGACCAGGGCTTCGAGACCAGACACAGTTGCCCCCACGACCCCTTTACGCGAGAAGCAGCCAAGCCGAAGACATACTATGGGACCGTTGCCTGCTTTGAACCGCTCTCCAGAGGCTGTTTCTACGCCAGTACCAGCAGCAGAGCCCAGCTCATCACGTTCGACTCCTATGTCGCAGTTGCCCTACTTCAGAAATCTAATGCACAAGGCGACTCCGAAAAGGGGAAACGTGAAGGAGCAAAATGTATATCGAAAAGTGATGCAGAGGAAAAGCACGGGCTCACTACCAGAGCCGTCACTTTGATCGGGGAGCCTACTAGTTTGTTTGCATCAAAGTGATAGGCCGGCTGTCACGTTGCTTAAGCTGTGGTATCAAAAGGCTCAATGTATTCATGTAATCATCATTACTCATGCGTGGGCGGTTTCTCTAGCCGTGCGTATTCAACAAGTCCATGTTCTCGTATGACGCCGAGGTGCTTGTTACGTCTCTCTTTGCAGGGATGTTTTGAGCCGTTTCCAATGGCGTGACAAGTTGGACACCAATCCGTTACTCAGCAATGGGCTCTGAGGCTGCCTGGGTGGCGCCCTCGGCCTCGACCTTTTTAGCCTTCTCTTTCTCCTCTTCCTCGGGTGTCAAGGTACGCAGTTGAAGAGCGTGGATGCCACCTTCTTGCGCCATCTCATCACGTAGAAGGGCATAAACCATCCTGTGCCGTGCAGGCGAGCGCTTTGCCTTGAACACATCAGATGTAATGACGAGTCTGGCCAAGTCAGCGACACGACTCATGTCGCATGAGAGTAGATAAGCCTACCTGAAGTGAGTCTCCTTGGAGGTCACGCCTTGCATGGCCTTGTGGTGAGAGTGGAGATGGCTGTCGTTGAATATTTCCAGCGTAGAAGGCGTGAAAGCTGCCGTGATCTGTCACTGGTTAGACCATGTGTGTCTCGTCTGCTCTGTTTTTCTGAACATGCCTTTGCTCTGATGGCGTCCTCCAAGGGTGTGGTGCTGTTGGACTGCATGGTCGACATCTGTCGTCCCACGGATGAGAAACCGAGAGCATATCTTCGAAACATGGTCGCTCACTTTCGACGAGATGGAATGCTCCCACGATCCTCAAAGCAGGTGTGAAAAGTGAAGTGATCAGGGAGTGGATGTTTTTCAGAGAAAAGTAAGGTAGTCTACCCCTCGGTGAAGTCGGTGAATAGGTGCTTTGAGCATTTGCTTTTTCTGCGAATTCACGTCGGCGGCGGTGACGGATGGACGCAGACAGAGGTGGGATGATGCTGAACACGGTTTAGCGTCATGCTGCTTTAGCCAAGGATGGCTCTGGGTTCCCCCGCGATAACTGGCGGTCATGCGCTGTACATACAGCACGACGAATCCCATGCCATTCACTAAGAAGGTTTAAATTTTGGGGTCTATTCTAATGCATGATCGACAAACCTATACTCTCGCGGATGCGATCTAGTCTGTTGTCCTCTGGAGCTGCTGCTATGTACTCTACATCACCTTGTGCCGGACTGGGTACGATGAATCGATGATACATCTGCAGAAGAACAATATGGAGATAGAACCGACATCGGTATGTGACATGCTCAGCCGTACCCAGCCTTCTCTCCCTCCAGAACGGGTTGGCTGCGTGGACGTAGCTACCAAATTAGTTGTTAGTGCCGGTCACAAGTCTACGCCGTGCACAAGCATGAATCCAAGACCCATCAAATTCACGAGAAGTCACATCCTCATGGTAATATATTACTTATCAACCTATTACTACTACTAGCCCAGCTTCTCCCATGTATTGGGGATGAAACTTGCGGCACGTACATTGTGTACAAGTATTCACGAAACGTCGAGTCGTGCTAAAGCGGCACTACCACCGCGCATGTTACCTTGCCAATCAGGTTGGATTCCGCCTCTTCGCACCAGCAATAGGCGGGCGCCACGAGGTCGAACAAGTGCCTGTTACCGCTCTTTCCATCTGTGTGCCTGCAGCATTGTGCAGGTCCGAGCTGCCAAACGGCGGGGGTCCATCTCGTATGGCATACAAGAAGAGAGCGGTAAGCAGGAGACTCGGTGTCAGCAGCCGCGTCAACTGTTTGTGTGTTTGATCGACGGCCGTAAGCCGATGAGAGCGATCTCGTGATATTTCGTGTCCATATTTATTACGTCCAGAGTAGATGGCAAAAGACAATTAGTTGTGCAACTCAAAGTGAAGACATGAAATCTGAAGCGGCGATTGCCCAACGTCGTGTATCCGTGTCAATACGTGTCAATACGTGCTGCGCACACACACACACACACACACAGCGAGCCTTTTGGGTCACATCAGATGCAAAAACGTGTAACAAACCTCTGAAGAGGCTTTTTCCAGCGTTACTGTTCCTGAGCGTTTAGATTTTTAGATGGTTCGCAATAACGAGAAGCGCTGATCATGGACGATGCAGGGTAACCTGACGTTGTGCAAATCGTAGTTATTGCATGTCCGTCTATAACCCACGAACCGGTGAATGTCCATTGTATAGCTGAAGTGAAGCGAATTGCACTGATAACTGGACGATGGCGCAAAATTGCATACCCAACACTTTTTACCTTCAGTAAAGATGTATCCGTGCGATCTTCAGGGTCCAAAGCAGAGCTGGGCTGGGCTCGATGCTACCCCACTAGATACCTAGGCACCGTCCGATCGGTCCCCAGAGCTTACTTCCGGGCAAGACGCACATTGGCTTCCAGGCTATATGGCCATTGAACCTGGGTGGCATCAAAGACAATCTGAACAGTAGTATATATATATGGAGATGGTATTTCTCTTCATTCTCATGGGAACCAGACGTAGCTCAGCCTCAGTTCCACTACGCCATATGCCCTGGCGCAAGTTTGGACTGGTCCTCGGTCTCCAATTCTGAGCTCCATAAACCAATTCCCAGCCGATCCTCAATCCACCTCGGCCAGATTCATCACCTCGCATGCGCATCCTACCACCCGCGACACCCCACACCTTGCAACGCACTGCAACCCCTATGCTGACCCCCAACAACTCTACCCCACTAACATATTCATCCGTCCTCATGTCCTTGCGATCCCTTTTGCCCTTGACTCTACGCGCCCGTTTGACTTGCTGCTGTTACAGCTCACGTTTCTCCCGTACGAAACACGCCAGGAAAATGATGACTCTGCCAAGATTGCCTATACTGGAGGCCGTTTCAAGGCACGACGCATCCACAACCGCTGTGGTACATGCAAAGTCAGGACGAAGCTTCACGTACGGAGAGCTCTTGGGTGACGTTGGCAAGGCGAGGGACAGACTCAAAGAGGCCTGGGGCGGCAAAGATGGGAATGGCGAGAGAGTGGCGTTTCTTGTCGAAAACAGCTATGACTACGTTGGTAAGTTGTAAACCGAGGCCAAGCCCTTGATTGCGGAATATCGTACTCATGAAACAGTGACCTTGCTCGCCTGCTTGGCCGCGCGATCCATCGCTGTACCGCTATCACCTGCCTTTCCCGCGCCAGAGCTGCAATACATCCTCAACCAAAGCGAAGCATCCCTTCTTCTCTCCTCGGCCAAATTCGCAACGAAAGCGGAGCAAGTCCTCGAGACAGAATTGCTCTCAAAGCCAACGCATGTCGCGCTACCGAAACATCAAGGCGGAGGGCCCGACACTGGGGCGATAACGTGGGATGAGTCTGGTCCTGGCGAGGCAGGTCTCATGCTCTACACATCTGGCACGACAAATCGACCAAAGGGGGTCCTTTTACCGCAAGCCACGCTCACGGCGCAATGCCAGTCGCTGCTGCGCGCTTGGTCATACACGCCTAGCGATCACCTGCTGCACGTCCTGCCGCTCCATCACATCCACGGCACCGTCAATGCGCTCCTCACCCCCTTGCTTGCCGGGTCAACCATAGAATTCCTCTTCCCATTCAACGCGGACGCAGTATGGAACCGTCTGGCTGCCCCATTCCTACCTACGAACGGGCACCCTACCCAAAGGGAAAGGATCACCTTCTTCACCGTCGTACCCACAGTGTACTCGCGCCTCATTGCGACTTACAAGCTCATGAGCCCAGAGATGCAGCAAGCAGCCAGCGCGGCCGTCAGCCCCGACAACATGCGCCTCAGTATATCCGGCTCGGCCGCTCTGCCCACACCCATCAAGTCGGCGTGGCGCACACTGAGCAAGGGCAATGTTCTCTTGGAACGATACGGTATGACAGAAGTCGGCATGGCGCTGTCTTGTGGCCTTGATCCCGCAGACCGCGTCGATGCTAGTGTTGGCTGGCCCTTGCCCTCTGTGCAAGCGCGGCTCGTCGACGTTGACACCAACGAGATCATCCACGAAGGCGCGGAGGTTGATGCCGAAACCGGCAAGGAGCGCTCAGGAGAGATCCAGCTTCGTGGGCCTACAATCTTCCAGGAGTACTGGCGGAATCCCGCAGCTACGGCTTCCGAGTTTGTGGAGGGGGAAGATGGTCAAGGAAAATGGTTCAAGACGGGTGACGTGGCCGTGCGGCGTCCCGTGCCCAGCGCGGCGCAGAGCCAGGACTGGACAAAGGGGCCTTTATACTTTATCCAGGGGAGGAAATCCGCAGATATCATCAAGACAGGCGGAGAAAAGGTCAGCGCGCTCGAGGTGGAACGCGAGTTGCTATCCTTGGATGAGGTCGCTGAAGTCGCTGTCGTCTCGGTGCCGAGCGGCAAATGGGGCCAGAAGGTCGGCTGTGTCATCGTGCTGGACAAGGATTTCGCGCAGCAGTGGAAGCCGATGGACATGCGAAGAGCATTGCGCGACCGCCTGGCGAACTACAAGATCCCTCAGGTCATGAAGATAGTGGATGAGATCCCCAGGAACGCCATGGGCAAGATCAACAAGAAGCTACTGGTGCAGGTCACCTTCAAGGACGAGCACAGTGGAGACGAGATGTAATGGGCGATGCACGTTGGAGCACTGTACACCAGCATATTGTAAATATACCAAGCGGTAGGACATAGACGTTGATGGTAAATGCTAGAAATTGGTCGATTGCAGTATTATGTATGCCCGGGAAGCCATTTCCACGCAACGCCACCCCTCAGCCGTGCAAGATATCTCATGAGAACTTTTCTGATCCCGTGTCATAACCGTGCAAATCATAAAGTCGATGACAGGATCGCAGCGCTCCTCTGAGCCATGCCATAGTGCTCCGCCTCAAAGACGATCTGCGCAATATGCACTTAGACCACGTGCTTAGCCTTTGCCCTTGTGCTGCCCGAGTTCGCACTGTCCGTGTGTCCAGAGTACTCAACCTGCTCGTTGGCAGGCAGCTCCAGGATCTCCTTGAACTTGCGGCCAATGTTCAACAGAATGTTCCGGCCCTTCTCGCTGGAGCGACCCTTGCCACCAGCCACATCTCCGTCGCCACGACCTGGAATGCTCTTCCCTATCGTACGAGTCCAGACGCCGACGCGGTAGAATGCCTTGCGGACATTGACAACGACACCCATCACCTCGCCGTCCCCTTCCTCCTCCAGGGTCTCGCCAATAGCAGACATCATGACTTGGAGCCACAGACGGTCAATGTCGACAGCTTGCTTGTTCTTGTATTGGTATGACCATTTGCCGCCATGCTTGTTCTGTGGATCCTCCCACTCAGGGCGCACACCTTCCTTGAAAAGATGATAGTCGGCCTTTTGAGGCAGCTCGGAAACTGGCGCAACATTGTTCTGCTTGGTTTAGCGACAAGTCCTGCACAAAGAATAGAAATTGACATACGTAGACACCCCAGAATTCCTCCACAGAGTCGAATGTGATGACCTCCTTCAGCAGATCGTTCCAGTTGTCACCCTAGTTGCAGGTCAGTACGAGTTGAGACGGCCAGAGCCGGACAGCACTACCTTGCCACTGGGAGGCTTGGTGAACCACAGGGTCCATCTATTCTGGAGAGGGTGCTTGACGTTGAAGTTGTCCTTGTCGTGGAAGACAGTGACATCCTTGCCATCGGCTTTGGCGTCGGCAGCATCGTCTTGGCCGTTGGGCGAAACGGGAATGGTGGACAGATCGACTTGTTTGTCCATGTTCTCTGTCGCGGGAGCCGCCATGATGAGACTTGTGGCTATTCGTGAGGGCTTGTTGTCTGCGTGTGTCTTGCACAAGGCCGGATGACTCAGAGGGCACAGGAGCCTTTCCTGGGAAAGTCGGTAACGGGTGTGATGTTATTGAATCGGGAGGGAAAGCACGAGATCCACTCGGTCGCTTTCAAAGTTCAGGTAAATTCGTGGGCGGCGATTCGGACGTGATGAACCTCTTGCGCCAGGCAGTAGAGGACCTAGGTGTGAGGGAGAGGAAGGAGGCAGGAGAGTCGGTGTCGCGAGATTGGAAGTCTGGATAGTGCAAGTGCGAGTTTCGATGGCACTCACTGTAGTAGTCCGCGGGCGGCGCAGGGTCTGTTAACGTCGCAAAAAATTCGGGTGTTAACATCATTGCACCTGCCCACGTCTTCTGCTAGCAAGGAACCCCACCTGCCCGCTACCGTGACAGTAGAGTGGCTAATGAGACGGATATGTGCCTCATACATCAGGCAAGAACTGCATCTTAGCCTCAACTATTGCTGACTCTATATTCACTTTCTACTACGTACTTGGTCAGAGCATTCAAGCGCCTGCTACACACGTTTTCTGAATTTTTAGGTTCGAGTCGGCCAGCCCACACCATTGGTGCTATTCAAATCCACTGCATACCTCGAACGTCGATCAATTCGGTAGCAAAGAACAACAGCCGTGTAATGGCAGTGCGCGTCCTCCTTTGTCCTCTATTTCAATGTCGCTCATGCGAGGGCGCAGCAGCTGAGCCTAACTTTGCCTTTGTCTTAGCACTCATCGTACGTAGGGAGGCCTTGAATATGAACGGACTTGTCCCCTCAGCGAACAGATGCGCTCTGGCGACCTTGTACTCAACTTAACCTCTCGACTTGATCTTCGAGTACACCCAAGACGTGCCAGAAAATGCCTTATATTGAGATCAATGGTGTAAAGGAGTGGAGGAACGCCACGCTGGACGACTTTCGGCGGATTATCATCGAAAAGCCGACAATTCGCTTTGGGAGCAAACTTCCCAGGGGCCAAAAGGGAAGCAAAAGCCTTGAGAAGCAATATGAGGGCCTCTTTGAGGCTGTCACCACTCTCGTCAAATCTGTCTTCGAGAAAGATCTTGGCAAAGGGATCACTTTGACAAGGCGTTTTTCCAATGAATTTTGCCGATGCTTGCAGCTCATTGCTCGCAATGACCTCAACGCCACCGGAAAGGACGGGGACTGCCTCATGGATCGCCCAGATGTACGGTGCTACGTAGTCGTTGCCATGATTATGCGGGTTCTTGAGGAGCATGTACTCTCAAGCCTGCTTTTCGGGTCCGACTGTTCACATCTGGCCCACCTGGACTGTCTAGATCACAAGGAGAACAACAGCAATAAGTGACATTTCCACGCGGAGGAATAATTCAGTAGCCTGATTGCTCGCCAGTGTTTGCAAAGAGTGCTATAATCGCTGATGCGAATCTCGATTATTTGTCTCGCCACGTCGGTCTGGAACCCCCAAAATTCTGGCACGAAGCTCGCCGAGTGACGTCTCAAATCTTCACTTTGCTTCTTCCCCTATTTAACGTTGTACAAAGGCATGACCCTCGCGATGCTGATCTTCACGACATGACCCAAGGCGTGTATAGTGCGGTTGTGCACGCAGCTTGGCTCAATATTCAGGTCCGAACCGCACGTGGAATTGTCACTTACACGTGGGTGATGCCCGGCGAGCACAATAAGGACGACCAGATCAACCTGTCACCCACCTTGTACGCAATGTCATGTGCGCTGGCTAAAGATGCCCCCGGGGCTCGTTCCGCCGGCGAACGTCGTGCTCGAGTGCTGTACAGCGTCGTGCCCAAAGTTGTCCACTTCGAACCCAAGTCGGGACATGATGAGCACTACTACTCACGTACTCTGCTAAGACCGCGGGTCGTCTACTACGCTGGGTTGACGGATGCTATTGAGGACGCACAAAGTCTTGACCCCGATTTTGGCTTTGCGTTCGAGAGGCTTGAGAAACCACTCTTTATCAAGGCTCTGCCAGCCCTGTTGGTTCTCATTGCTGTGATTTTGTGCATCTGCACTCTTTATCATCAACAGCTGGACATGAATGGTGGTGATTTCCCATTTGTCGGTTGATGTCGGAAGAAACTGCCGCGAGCTCTGGTCTGGTGCTTTTTTTAGGATGTTGCGAATATACTTATCACTACTTAGCATGCTTGACATGGCAAAGCATTGCTGCATGAACTAAAGTTCGCGGAACTTGTGGTTAGCTAGTGCCTTACGTGTACATGGTGCCAGTAGTAGTGGCGCCTCGTAATTGCGAACAGCGCTGGAGACTGTCTAAGACAAGTCTGAAGCGGAAGGCGCCGCCGCGCCGCATGTCGAACTTTAAATATCGCTACTCAATTACGTACCTTACCTTACTAATTACGAAACTCTTTCGATCCGGAATCCAAATTCAACGACATCGTGACCTGCACGTCATGACTATAAGCGACAGATCCAAGCACAGGCGTGAAGTCGCGACGCTGACGCCGGTGCTTTCCGACGCGCAATGATCCCAGCCACCGCTTTAAACCCCAGCCAGTCCTGGGGCCTGGGGCTTGAGTGACCGCCACTTCAGCCCAACAGGTTTCGGGAAGCTAGATGCTCGAGCATCCCGCGGAACAATGGGAATTTGATCAATTGATTGGGCAATGAGAGGCTTCGAGTACGCAGCGGCTCGATGAGAAGCAGTGTGCCCTTGCGCGCAGCCTCGCTGTCTGTCACGTAGAGGTCGGGGAATCCTGCCCAGCCTTCGACAAAGAACGAAAATTCCGGCAAAATTATCCACTAGGCTTGCAGCCTTGCTTCCATTGCTCTCACGGACCCGTTCACCTGCAGGAGTTGCGTTGCATGTGTCTGCACAGCATTGGCTAGCTGCGAGCACGTACATATATACGGATACCTTTGTGCAAGCGGTCCTTACCGGCAGACTCACTCGTCGATCGTCATACGACGAAAAGCCCAACCTCACAATTCGTCGCTCTCTTGTCTTGCCTCGAGGCCTATGCTTCTTCTTGCACGGTAATCAGCCAGGTTGGTCACTCTGCAGACTGGCATCAAGCAGCCAGCCACATACGGGCGGCGATCGACATAGCTTCTTCCGAGTCTCCAACAGCTCCATCCGTTCCTAGGCAGCTCCATCAGTACCGCCGCTAGCCACCCAGCCAACGACAGCTCGCGGCGCCCGACCGCTACTCGAGAGCGCGCCTCTGACGGTCAGTCTGTCGGTGTCATGGCCACGCCTTACTGGGGCCAGCTGCCAGGTCCCAAGGTCAACAAGCACCGGCGCATGTCTGGTGCAGGACCAAGTTCTTCTGCGTTAGTAGATCCCAACCACGGATTCGACCCGAATCCCAGACCTGCCGCCAATCGCGTCTCTGGGCAGACTGTGGCTTCAGGGACTACCTTGGCTCCCCTGGCGTCTCCTACAAATTCGAGCGTGGCGCCATACGGACTTACTCCCAGACCGCCTTCCTATCAACGTGCACTCATTGTCCCCGAAGATCGCGAGCCATCAGCGAGACCTCCCAAGAAGCAAGACTGGAGAGCTTCTGGAGGGTTTGACGACACCTCGAACGCTCCCCCAATCAGCTTCCGGCAACCACATGAGAGTCGCGATACTGCACGATCCGCCGAGATGGACTATGCCGAGGACCAAGAGATCTACAACAACGGTGGCAGCTACGGCTCCTCTAAAATGCCAATGGCAGCGGATCATTCAAGACGAGCGTCTGTCAGCGCCTCAGGCCGTCGACGAAAGTCAGCATTGACCAAGTCACCCCTCCAAAAGCTGGAGCTGACGCTCGATAGTATGACCAAGGAACAAAAGCGCGCGCGCGTAGAGGCCGCCGAGAAGCGGGCAAGAAGCAGGCAACAGCGGGCTGTAGGTGTTGAGCCATACCAAGAGCCCGAGCCTGCGATCCAAGAGCCAGTCACACATGCCCGCAAGCCGTCCGTCACCTACTCCGACTCGAGAGCTGCTCCAGTCTCCGTACCTGGCCCGGCACATCGGCACCAGCCAGGCCCCAGAGACGACGCCAATCGGCATATACCGGCGGCCAATGTACCAGGGCGGCGCCATTACCTCGAAGGAAGTGAACGTGATCCTGTTCAACAAACGCAGCAAGCGACGAAGAGCCGAGTGCCCGCCCATGTTCCTTCCGAGGAACCATTCGAACCCGCGCTCCCGCAACGGAATTTGAGCTTTCGAGAGCGCACAGCTCGGGACGAAATCCATCTGCTCCCCGAGCGGGACGCGCAGCAACCTCAACAACAAACGCAGCCGGCGAGTGGTTTTTCTTTGACACGCTCTGGCAGTAACAAGCTCAGAAAAGAGCCACCGGGGAATTCATGGGCACACTCGAGCACGGAAGCTGAACATCTCGGCGCTGAGCCACGGAGAAGGGACGAGGCAAGTTTGCCTAGAAAGGCGCCCTCCACTACTATATCAGCACAAGGACACCTGCCGCAGCGACTTCGGGATAAGCAGCTGCCCCCAGAGCCTCAAGAGTTCAAGCGACATGCTACTGTAACGGCGCCGCGCAACGCCGTCTCTGCGTACCAGGACCAGCCATTACAGTCCGTTCAGAGGAGAGCCACAGAGCCTTCGCACAAGAGCCAACAGGATGATGAGAGCTATTTCCCACCTGTTGCTCGTCCCGGGGTATTCATGATGCGAGGTCAACCTCACGAAGATCCTATCACACCCCAATACGCAGCAGGGCGGCGCAAAATGGAGAGGGAGGATGATCCTGCGTACAGCGAACCTCGACAACATCGTATATCCGATATGCTATACAGAGACCGGCAAGACATGGGCCCTGGTGATGGGCTGTACTTGCCTCCCCAGTGGTTGACTGAATGGCAGCGCGCGCCCGTCGGCCAGCTCGCAGACTCTGCTCTCAATTTGGTAAAAGAGAAGCCCTCATCGCAGGACCAGAATAAGGCGTGGTGGGAAGGTGGAAGAAGCAACGGTACATCACTGTCCAAACAGCGCAAAGCCGAGACAATCCATCCGGGGCACAACGACCTCAACGGACCAACCCAATTTCGGCCACCGCTGTACCTGGAATGCGGCCCCTTGCTCCGCTACTGTGGCATGGAGACTGAGAAGACGGGAGTGGTGAATAGGGACGTCACAGACAGGGAATTTTGGCGAGGCAGCGTGATGATTGTGACCCGCGATTCGGAGTCGTCCTACGAAATACCGCCGATATTGCGTCTCTTCCTCCAGGATCTCGAGTTGCTGCCGGCGGCGCCTCATCACATCAACGGGGAGCTGTCTCCAGAGTACGTCGATCCTATCGCAGGACATCCGAAAACAGGTCGCAGAGGGGAGACGCTGTTTGTGCGGCCTGTCGATCACCTCGAGGAAGGTAGAGATCTGTCCCAAGTCGAGACCGACGATGGCCTCTTTGAAGCGTCCAGGAGTGCGCCCGATATGATGCCTGGGGACGACACTTCCGACTACCCTGGCAGCTTTGCCAGCCGCATGAAGCGTGCTGAAATGGACGGTGAGAAGCTTGGTAAATTCGCAGAGGTCAAGGGCTTCCGACTTCATGCTGAGAGGGGCTGCACATTCTGGCGCTTCAACATTGAAATTGAGCTGCGGGAGAGACAGCAACGCATTGCTTATCGTATCAACAAGGGACCAAGCAATTCCTTCTGGGTACCAGCTCGTGGTCACAGCATGAACACCATGTTTCACAGTTGCAATGGCTTCAGTCTTGATGCGAACCCGGATGCGCTCAGCGGCCCGGATCCCATGTGGAGAGACGTGCTAAACAATCATCAGACCACGCCGTTCCATGTAATGGTCGGTGGCGGTGACCAGATCTACAACGATGATGTTGCTGAGGAGTGCGACCTCTTTATCGACTGGCTTGAGATCAGGAATCCACTGAACAAGCACAATGCGCCATTGACACCGGAGCTGCAGACACAGCTGGAGGATTTCTATTTCCGCCGCTACTGTCAATGGTTTTCCATGGGTCTGTTTGGCCTTGCCAACTCACAGATCCCCATGGTTAACATCTGGTCTGACCGGGAGAGCTTTAACGGATTTGGCTCGTATCCCCACAGGGACATGAACTCGCCGGTTCTGTCTGGCTTGGGTGCCGTTGCTTTCAAATATTATATGCTCTTCCAACACCAGAGTATCATTCCGGAAACCGAGGAGACGGAGCCCAGCTGGATTCTAGGCACGGAGCCGGGGCCTTATGTCAACGAGAAGTCACGCAGTATCTATGTGTCGCTCGGTTCGAAACTGGCACTCTTGGCCGCAGATTGCCGTACTGAACGCACAGAGGACGACGTGATCAAGGACGACACGTGGGAGAAAATCATGAATAGGCTGTACGCCGAGGTGAGAAGGGGCCAAGTTGAGCATTTGCTCGTCGTTCTGCCGATACCAATCGCATACCCCCGGCTAGAGTGGTTGGAGAATATGTGAGTACGTTTTTTTTTGCTGGAAAATGGTTTGCTAATGAGTACAGCCTAACTTCCCGAGCTCTGGGCCCTGTCAAAGCCTTGGGCAGGAGAGGTCTGCTGGGCAATGCGCTCAACAAGATCGACAGCGGTTCAGAGGTGATGGACGATCTCCGTGATCACTGGACGGCGAAGAACCACAAGCACGAGCGCAGTATCGTGGTCGAAGACCTTCAAGATCTTGCTATCGACAAGTCGCTGCGTGTCACGGTACTCAGCGGTGATGTGAATATGGCCGCTGTTGGCCAATTCTACTCCAATCCCAAGCTCAAGCTGCCCAAGCATAAGGATCCTCGCTACATGCCCAATATCATCTCTTCGGCCATTGCGAACGCGCCCCCACCAGACATCATGGCGGACGCGCTGAACAAGCGCGATAAAATCCACCACTTTGACAAGCAGACCGACGAGAGCATGATTCCCCTGTTCCACCATGATGTTGACGGCAAGGCCAGGAACAACAAGAGGCTGCTACCACACCGCAATTGGTGCTCCATAAGACAATGGGTGCCTGGCACAACGCCACCTCCAACGCCCCCGCTGCAAGCTGCTGATTCCCCGACCAACGAAGCGGCCGGAGGCGGCGGCGGTCTTCTGCGAAGGTTGTCTCTGAGCGGAGGAATCAGGCCTGACACCTCAAAAGGATCTGTGGACCGCTCGCGGCCACCAGTTGCCGGTGGCGGTCTACTACGGACCCTCTCTCGGCGACTGTCTCGCAGTGGGTCGCAGGATGGCGTGCGGCCGAAGAAGTTAGTAAGAACAATGTCTTTGGATCGAGAGCAAGGAGACGCAGCGCAGCCGGCAGAGAAGCGAGGACTTTTCGGCTTTGCGCGACGTGGTAGCCTGCGCAGTCCTGATGATGGGGGCATCAATGGGCAATGGGGCGATGATGAGGCGGACGCCAGATACCCGGACAGGACTGAAGGGCCGCCTGAAGGATATGACGATGGCGAATTTCCGCGCGAGAGACGAGGACTGTTTGGCAGTCTTGGGCGTCGTCTGAGTCTCAGCCGAAATCGCCGAGACCAGCATGAAGACGACGAGTACGAAGATGAGATTAACCAGAGGCACGCGCCGCCCCAGCCTCGCCAGTCTCAGGACTATTGGGAAGAAGAGCCACTGTCACAGAAGCGCGGCTTATTCAGCGGTATTGGTCGCCGCTTGAGCCGCAGCCAAAGGCGAACAGATGATGGTGGCACCAATAGCCACTGGAACGACTACGATGACTATGATGGCTATCCGGACCATCGAGAAGGACAGGGGCAACAACCAGCTGTTGCCTTTGATGATGATGAGCCGCCAGAGAGACGCGGTTTCCTCCCGTTCGGTCGACGGACCAGCCAACGCCACGCACATGACGATTATGACGATTACGATGATTACGCCGAGCCTCGCCACCAGAGGCCTCACCGTCAGAAGCTAGGATTAAGAGGCGGTGGTTTGGACGATGAATACTCAGACGGCGACGAGACCCGATTCACAGCTCAGACGCCCCGGCGTGCACAGACTTTGCCTGTGGGCGCCCAGCGCACTGCTGGTGTCGAGGAGGAAATACCGCCCCAGGCTTTGCGACCCTTCCACCGCACGCCAACCGGACTCTCAATCAAGCAGCTGCGGAAGCCAGGTAACCACGAGATTGACCTGGAAGGAGGACTGGATATCTGTCTGAATGTCGAGGTTAACCCCCGCGACCCCACGGGTATCACAGTGCCTTACCGCCTCCTTGTACCCAAGCTGTTCTATGAGTACAGTCCTGAGGAGGAGGACGCTCCGCTAGAAGAACCAGCTACTGGCGGTGCGTTCAAGCGGCTCTTGAGTTTCAAAAAGAAGGAAAGGCCAGTAGGGGCTGTGCCATTACAAGATGAGAGGGACGAGGACATTGACGCACGCGACGATCGGTTCTTTGAGCAAAGAAGATGATGTAGTGGTATAAATGTGCGAGAAGAATTTACTAAAATTGAAATGGATAGCACGCGATATCTTGGGTATAGACATCATCATCAAAATCGACAAAGCACACATTCGCACTGTGACTCTTCCTCGAAGGATTGGGCGGACGTACATGTAGAGCTTGGGCTTCTTGTTCCGGGTAAGCTGATACCTACCCGCAGCTGCGTCATCCCATGTGCCTGTAGGGTAACCGCGGCAAGGGACGCGACGAGCCGCCTGTTCGCTGTCAACCTGACGAACGGATCATCGCCGGCTCTGGACCCCGTGCTCTTGTTTTCAATCTTTGTTTGTTGACAGTCGCTCATTCACCTTTCCTAGCTTTCCATACCTTCAAACTCCACTGCAGACAGACAAAGGATCCACGACACAGGCAGCCACGCTACGCGACAGCCCCATGGCGCGTTGTTGTTGACATGCCCGTCCATCACCGTCACGACACTTTGAACTCAATCACCCACAGCCTCAGCATCCTTTCTTGGCGAATATGGAACTCCCTTCGAGGTCCGACACCGCGGAACCTGTGGCGGCGATCAGTTCATAGGCTCGCAGTGAATTTGACCCCCAGGAGAGTCCTGAGCTTTCCGCATCTGCTCGTCGGTGTGTGGATGGTTGTGTTGCTCTGGGGCGAACGATGGGTGTTTGACAGCCGGGTGGCAAGCTGTGACTGGGACCATTGGGAAGACTGGGTAAGCCGAGGCCTGGTTACTTGACAGCCTATCCGACGTGGCGCGCAATGCTAACGTGACCAGCCCAAGGATGCTACGCCGCACCATTTGATCTTCGTCGCCGACCCCCAGATCATCGATCCGCACTCCTACCCCGGTCGACCGTGGCCATTGTCACCGCTCACGCTCCTCGTCACCGACAACTATCTTCTACGCGGATACAAAGCGCTGCAGTACCACCTCACACCCGACAGCCTATTCTTCCTGGGCGATCTCTTTGACGGCGGGAGGGAATGGAGCACGGCGCGAGGCGAGTTTGTCGATCCGAAATGGGGACGACAGCGCAGCGGCGAGGAGAAGGCGTGGGTGGACACGTGGCACAGAAAATACGGCGAAGACTACTGGCTGGGCGAGTACGCGCGGTTCGGAAACATCTTCTTCGATCACTTTAACGAGGGCGGACAGCATCCCGGCAAATGGCAACGTGGAAAGAAGCTGGTGGCCAGCCTGCCGGGGAACCACGACTTGGGCTTCGGCGCACAGGTGCAGGTCCCCGTGCGTGACCGATTCGAGGCGTTCTTTGGGGATGTGAACCGGGTGGATGTTGTAGGGAATCACTCCTTTGTATCGGTGGACTCTGTCTCGCTGAGCGCGGACGTCAGCGAGTACAGGGACGCTAAGGACCTGACGCCCATCTACGGGCCCGTGAACGAGTTCCTCGACAAGGCGCAAGACATCAAGCGGAAGAGGGTGCACGAGGAGCTCAAAGTGTGGCACGGTGATATGAGCGTTGGGTACGGGCACAAGGTCGAGGGACTGGACGCGGCGAACGCCTTTTCAAAGAAGGACGTCTCAGGCGTGGGCGACCTCCCCACGATCCTCCTGTCGCATGTCCCGCTCTGGAGACCGGCTGGTACACCTTGCGGCCCACGCCGCGAGCACTGGCCGCCCGCGAAGTCACCCAAGGGCCAGACTGAGCCTGTCAATCCGGACCATCGAAATGCGCTGTCCATTTCTGCCGGATACCAGTACCAGAACGTCCTGTCCGAGTCTGATTCGAAGAAGCTGTTTGAAAAGGTGGGCAACGTTGTCAATGTATTTTCCGGGGATGACCACGACTACTGCGAAATCCTGCATCCGAATGGGGCTCGTGAAATCACAGTCAAGAGTCTGAGCATGGCCATGGGCGTGCCGACGCCTGGCTTCCAGATGCTCAGTCTCTGGAACCCTGTTGACGCCCACGCACACCGTCTCAGCGAGGGACCAACGGTGCAGACACACCTTTGTCTATTGCCCAATCAGTTGCATACATACATGCGCTACGTCGGCTTCATCGTCGTTTCGCTCGTCGTCCTCGCCGTCCGTGCCATGTTGGTTCCCGTCCTGAACCTCCAACCTTTCGCTCTTGAGCAGCATGAAATGGCCGGACCGCCACTGCTCCCAACCTCCAAGGGGAAACATAAGATGGAGCCCCCCATAACACAGTCCGGCAGCTCCGCTTGGGCGCCTCGCGCGCGAGCCTCCAGCCTGACAGGTTGGGCGTCCAGCAAGCGCCGTGGTGGGCCCTCCGCCGGCCCACGAATCCGTCTCGACGAAGACCTATACGACAACCGCCGAGGCAAGGTCGATGGACGACGCGTCCTGGGCACCGTGGGCAGAGAGATGTGGACGATGACCTGGAGAGTGACGTGGATGGCGTTGTTGTGGTTTGCGTTCTTGGCCCGAGAGCGGTGAATGTGTATATAAATGTACATAGACGTTATCATGGACACCTGTTCTAGAGTGTGATTTGACGAGAGGATCTCACAAAGCAGTTGTCGAAATGATGTGATGTCCTGGTCGGTGAGGCTAACGCCCCTGCCGCCTGCCCGCGCCGATGCCGATCCGATCTTGGCGTTTTCTTCGGAGTTCACGCTCGCGCTCCTCGGGCGTGGGACTACTCGAGATCATCGTGGCGTCGTTGCCCTGCTCCCGAAGGGCTTGGGCTTGGGCTTCGGCGGCGGCCTGCTCTCGTGCGACGCGTCGGTCTTCATAGGTGGCGATGTCTTCGGACGTGATGGTGAGGCTTGTTGGCGTCCGGCGAAGCATATTTTCTTGTCCGCTGTGAGTTCAAGTGCGCAGGCGATGAGATACTATGTGTCGAGGTGAAAATGTACTTGTGTAAATTGTGAGATGGTGAATTAGATGATGAGCGTGAGAGCTTTGCTGACTATCGCGGTCTGGGACTACGCCGTTTTCACACTAACCTAAAATGGTAGCTACTAGTCAGCAGTACGTACCTGGAAACCGGACGAGACATGTGTAATTACGAGGTGAATAGTGCAAAGTTATTTGAAGAGACAGATCTATGCTTCTACCCTTTCTATTCTCTTCTATTGTATTCTTTAGGAATCGCCTTACCGTGAGATGCCCCCCATTGAAGGTCCGGTCAAAACTGTGCGGCCAATCCGTCAAACAACATACCCTAAGGCGTTGTCCCCTTTTTGAACAGGCAAAATGAAAGGTAAGTGTTTGTTTGAACACTTACACAAGTAGAAGATAAATCACTAGTCCTTAACATCTTGACTAGTCAAGCCCACTCACATCCCTGAACTATGACACTCTGCCGCAGGGTAGCCTATCCGCAATCAACTAGTTAACTTGCGAGCAGACGTCCGTCTACTACTTGCGGACAACTCCAGCGAAGCAAGGCCAGCCCACATCGATGTTGAAATCTGCCAGTCTCGATCTTCCATGTCAGTCTCGCGAGTGAACCTCGGATCGAACATGAATAGTCTGCATGCCGTGTGCTCTGCCCATGCGACGTTACGACAAGTACCTAGCACTAACAACCCCACTGCTATGCCCCAGGGCCCCAGCCATGAACCTCGGCCCATCTGCCGTTATACATGCACCCCAGATTCCAGCTTCTCGATGCGGCGCCCAAGGATCTCTCACTTTCCCTCGCTCAATGCGCTGAAATCGACTTGTGAAGAATAACAATGGATTCTTTTGCCAATTTTCTGCGCAATTCGGAGGCTATTCCGTTTGCCACTGTCTCTGCCCAGCGTCGCGACGGTATGTGATGAACAACCGAGATACTATACATACATACATCCGTCCGTCTCTGACGGATCCTCTAGGTTCTCATATCATCTCACAAAACGTCGACAGGAACATCTTTCAGACCTCCGCCAAGAAGCCCATTGGTAACCAGACAGTATACGCCCTGGCGTCGCTCACCAAGTTACCCACGACAGTCGCTGCCTTACAGCTCGTCGAGAAGGGCGTCATCGCCTTGGACGACGATGTGTCCAATATAATCCCTGCATTGGGAAGGCAGAAGGTCTTGTCTGGCTGGAACGACGATGGTACCCCCATCTTGACGCCAAGGAGGCGGCCGCTTACACTGCGACATCTCCTCACACACTGCGCGGGAATCTCGTATGACTTCAACGACGAGCAGCTGCAACGCTACCACAGACACCGAGGGTCCAAGCCGAGTCACGGTGCAACAGTGGACGAGCGCTTTGATGTACCCCTGCTCACGGAGCCGGGCGAGTCGGGCTGGGTGTACGGCGGAGGGCTCGACTGGGTCGGAAAAATTGTCGAGAACCTCAGTGGCCTGAGTCTGGAGGAGTATTTCAAGAGGCATCTATGGAGATCCCTTGGTGTTCAGAGCTTCACCTTCTGGCCCCAGTCCCTGAAGGGCACGGGCCACGACCTGGCCGCCATGGTCGCAAGGTCGCGACGAACAGGTAAACTCAGGCAGCTGCCTGTCGTCGGACTCCCATTCAATCAGGGGGCCGAGGACTGCTTCGGTGGCCAGGGCGCCTTTTGCTCTTCCAATGACTTCATGAAGCTCCTGCACGCTCTGTTGGTGAATGACGGCACGTTACTGCGCAGGGAAACGGTGGACATGATGTTCGAGGGACAGTTACCACAAGGATCCAGACACGCTCTCGAAGCGTCAATGAAAGAGCCAACTTGGACACTGGGAAAGTACAATCCTGAGGAGGTCTACAATTGGGGCTTGGGCGGCCTGCTCATCAACACAGCTTCGAACACCGCAGGCTCTATCAAGCAGGAAGAGGCAACGATGACATGGGGAGGAGCCGCCAATCAATTCTGGGTGAGTCCATCATGCGGCTTCTGAAACCTGAGAGACAAAGCTAACATAACGTTCAGTTTATTGATCGGAAGAAGGGCATCTGCGGCCTGTTCATGACCCAGGTCCTGCCGCAAGGTGATCCCGATATCAGGAAGCTGATCGAAGAGTTCCATATGCTGGTGAACCGGGCTTTTAATGAGCCGAAAAGCAGGCTCTGAGTAGGCTCATATGGTGGGAAAATGATATGCATTGTAGAGCTATTGTTGATAAAACTTATGCTAAGCATACACGTAAGTGCCTTAGGTGAAGGGTTCGACGTGTGCGGTCCAGTCAGGCAATACCAATTCCACCCACAACAGACGAAATTTTACCACGCATCACCTCCGCCCAAATCTTTTGTTACGCGTATGGCACTCATAGTGAAAAGCAGCAACGCGCCAGTCACAGCCAGTACCACCCACACCCATGTGGACGCCACACCGGCGCCGTGCTTGTGCACTTTAGGAGCTTGCCCCGAGTCTGTGTGTTGAGGAGGCCCCTGCACGCCATCTAGCACTGTTTGCGTATCTTCTGGCATATGCTTGTAATCCGTTCTGTTGGTGCCCCGCCTAGTCCTAGCCCGCCGCGACTGAAGTCCTGCCGCAACAGGTCTTGCATCTTTTGACCATGATGAGGGATGATGGTTGTTACTGAGCTGTGTGATGGATAGTTGGGGTAGCGTGAAGTTTGGTGTTCCGGCCACACAGCCTCCGTCACCCCATCGTGCATTCTTGACTGCCGTCCATCTTGTGGGCGGGTCCAAGATGTTCTCGGTTGTATAAAACAGACGGCAGTCGGCGGGTTGATACTTGAACTGCAGCGGGATCTCTTCGTCAACTTGGCCATAGACATTCTCCAAATTGATGCAGCTGACACCGTTGCCTAATTTCAGCGGTAGCCGATTCAGGGGTATAGGCAAGCTGTCGCGTGACTGCTGGACGAAATCTGGCCCTCGGGCAGCTTCTAACAGGGAAAGCGAAATGCTCACGTCATGCTCAATCCATGGAAACTTCATCAACTTCCCTCCACGTGTGCCCCCAATGATCTGCATAGGCTCACGATGCGGTTCGCCCCCAAACACCAGAGACTTAACCCCAGCAACGTTGACCATCAAGTCAACGAATTTGGCGCATGCTGAATCACAATTCCCGTCTCCGACGATCAGTATATTGGCGGGATCAAATGGCGTGACACCATGCAGCCGCCCTATTATTCCCTGCAGCTGAAGCACCTTGTCCCTGTGGAGGCCATTGTACGCAGGGATCGAATAGCTGAATGGTGAATAGGGGCTGCTGAAAGGTGCATTCTCGCCTCCCAGGAACGCTTCAATGTCGGCAAATCCCCCCCCCCTCGAGATCTGGGGTGGCAAGGTAGGGGTAGTTCAAGTATTGAAGCAGGGAAGCGTGATCGAATTCGTCCTCGGTTGCCAGCTGGCTTGCGTAGGTGATGAGGTCAAGTGCTTTGCTTCGGCGCACACGAGAGGCAATGTGAGGGACCTTGTCGGGAAACAGCAGCTTGAACAGATAAAAAGCCCTCATGGCGTCTCCTCCAATGTTTCCAGTTATGTCGATAATGAGCCTGTTTCGGCCTTCGTCAAGGGCGAGTAAGACAATGTTTACATAGTCCGCCATTGCGTCGACGGTCAGATAGCTAGGATCGATGAATACGTGGGAGAAGACGGGGATATGCAAGACCAGCGCGTCGTGGTCTAGGTTGTAGCTTATTGGGTGATGGTTTTTGTCTAGAAAGGACGGCTCTGGGTACCCGAGGATGGGATTCAGTGCTTCCTGCTCGAGGCGATCGACCCTAGGTTCATTTGGAGGATTGAGTACGGGCGACGGGTCATCCAGGAGACACTTTTTATGGTAGAGCGTCTGGCTATCGACACCATCGACAAGAAATTGGTCCGGGCTAGACACTGAAGCCATAATCGGCAACGCGGTGGTTGAACCGTTGTGAAATTCAAAATGAAGCGATTCCGCACCGAATTCGAAACGACCGAGATGGACCAGTTGACCTTTCAGGGGCCACAATGCGGCCTCAGAAGCATACGAAAAGAACAAGCTATTGTAGTGGGCGTCTGGATCCTGGCGGACAGGCACAGGGCTGTCCGAATGCTCAAGGAAGATTCGAACGTCCTCGCCGTTGATCCGAGCGATCGGAGATATTTGTGTTTGGCCTGCCTCAAGAGCCTGAATATCATTGACAAAGTACACCTCGGGAAGGCTTGTCCCATTGTCCGAGACCGAAACTAGCCCATTCGACATGACATGGAAGCGGAAGATGTCCATTGAGCAAAGAGAAAGCTGAAGGTGGCTGTCACGCGCACGCCTGATCACCGAGTAGACACGTCTGTCAAACTGCCACTGGTCCGTGAAATCTTCATCCTGCATAGAATCGAGCTCTCCCAGAATATCGACACTTGGACGGTTGTGCCAATTGGATGTCTGTTGTGAGGATTTGGGAGTCTTACGTAGGAGATCGAGAGTTGAGTGGAATTGAAGATACTTGGGAAGCTCCTGCAGGAACGCACGTCCTCTTTGCTTGTCGTATTTGAGTTGTCGAAGGCATCCTGTCGCATTCGCAATTGGGAACAAGTATCTGCCTGTAGTGGGAGACGTGTCGAACATCTATCCCTCCACGCCCTTGTGTATGGCAGCACAAGCGTCTCCTGTCGGGGGGATCGTATCACCATGCCTCCTGGAATCGAGCAGGGTGAGCAAAGTCTGGAGCATGCTGGCCTCTAGCCGTTGAGGGTTGGACTCTAGAGCGGGTGGTGGAGGCCTGCTGCAACCAGTATAAAGATATGAGAAGTAATGTTTGAGTAAACAACGAGGCCCAGAGCGTTTCTCCTGATTCCCTTGGTGTCGGAATGTTCAGCTTCTCCAAGCTGGTTTTGCCCGTTGCTCGCCAGTCTTTGATCACCTGAACTCACCTGGCAGGGTAGCAAGCGATGCCAGGCACCTCGAGCATGGTTGGCAAGTGCAATGGGGAACTGCCAGCCAAGTGGGAAGGTACCTACTTACCTACGGGGGAGGGTTGTTTTGTCTGCTTTTACGTGCCACTACGAAATGCATCACAACAAGTCCACTCGTTGAGTTCCTACGATGCTCGAAGCGTATCTCTCACTCTTGCCAGGAAGCGTTTTTTTCTTTTCGCTCGGACTCGGAGTGACATTGCGATTAAGCTATCGCCTGAGAGCTCCCTTCGCAGAACGCCGGGAATGGTCAGCCATTCTATACTCGACAGTCAGTACGAATTGACCATCAGCGACCCTTTGTAGGAGTCGGAAGGGGAAGAAACATCTACCCTAGATGGTGCGAGTAATGACACGCCATAGTGTCAATGGCAGCGGTGTGTCAATCCCTGAGCAAAACGAGGATACCGAATCAGCAGATGAGTAGTCGCGTAGACGATGAATCTTATTTTACAAATGATATCTGTCACGATGCTGTAGGATACGTCCTTCAACTGAACCAGTGACTGTGCCTCAATTGAGCACGAATCCCCGGGGCGGAACCACAACGAACGTGCTTGCCGTCCAGAATCCACTCGTCGTTTGGCTCGACCAGAGCCTGCACGCTACGTCGGGCGTCATCTTCCGATAGTGCGCCACCGGCTCTGGACTTGTGGAAGAGAGAGTCTAGTTCACATACCGGTATCGAGGGCTGTTTGCCTAGCCGCCGTGCGAAAGTACTCTAGCATCAGGGTGCGGCATTAGATTAGTACGTACGTACAGTGACGTGATAGGGGAATTTCTGCAGGAGTAGAATTGTATGTACCTTTCCTGCTCCCGTAACCCCAATGACTTGACTCCTTTGTCCAAAAAGCTGCGGCTCCGAAGTCATCCTGGGCGGATTCATGAAAAAAAGGGAGATGCCCAGGTGGAGGGAATGATTCTGGCGCGACAAGCTTCCTTTAACAGAGACAAGCGCAAGAAACCCCCAAGATTGTTAGTCCACGGCTTTTGTGGACCTCATGCACCACTCAACGCGGCACTGCGGACCGTCGCGCGTGCGACGCGTTGAGAGGGATGGACCCATGCTGATATATGGCGGATACGTATGATCCGTCGACCAACCTCAGCCTTTCCGTCCATCTTCGCAATCATCAATTTTCTATCCAAGCCGTCAATTGATCTTTCTGCACGCCGGCACCCTAGCATATCCGATACATCTGCAGCCTTTACCAATTTCTCGACATCGCGTCCAGATCCCAGCATCATGTTTCTCAAACGCAAGCGTTCCTCATCTGAGATGAGTTCATCAACCTCGTCGTCGTCTTCATCCCCTTCGCGCGCCAGCCCCATGTCCTCCATGGACATGGTCTCTCCATCTGGCCATCGTGGGCGTACCATGAAACGCCTTCGCAACAGCAGGCCCTCGGACAATCTAGTTCACCGTATGCTCGATCTCTGTAGAAACACCCGGCATCCACTGACATCATACCGGCAGAACGTACCCTGGGGATGCTCTACGCAGGCGCATCGCAGCAGACCTCGTCCCAGACTGCACCCATTCGTCAGTCATCAACACCCGTGATAGACTCCCATCCTCCCCCAGCAAACGAATCGCTCCATCGATTCTGGAACATTCGCAGCGCTCCAACACCATCACCATCCGTCGAACGACGGCCGTCCTTCCCAACATGCTGCGATGACTGCGGCACCAGTCTAGGTGGCGGTGACCAAGGCATGGATGTCGACGACACAGAGGACCCATCCTGCATTGAATGCGCGAAAATTGTATGCCAGAGTTGCTCCATCAGCAACCTAGGCGCAGAGAGGCGGTGCCTCAAGTGTGCGAAGCGGCAAACGTGGTCCGGCCCTGCCAAGCCCCCTGGCCGCCTCTTCAGTTTCACTCCGACAGTATCACAGGATGTCGAGATGCTATGAGTTCCCTTTTTGATGGTTTATTCGGTCGGCGTACATATCATTGGCATGGAGTTTTAGGGTATGAGTCATTGTTTGGACTACGACGTCCGCAGCATGGCATCAGTGAATTGGATCGTGTACAACAACAATTGCGTAAAAGCAAGAATGAATTGAGGACATATTACTAACTCCTCATGATTAAAAGGCATACGATTACGGGGTGCAGAACGATTTAACCCCTTCGTCGAGTGGTGGGGCCCTTCTTTGTGGGCGTCCCGCCTGAAGCCCCTGACGAAGTGGCGGAGGGCGCAGCCCGGATGGGAGCTGCCCTTCGCTTGCCCTTGGCCTTCTCGGTCGGCGCATTCCAGTAGTAGATCATCTGCGTGGCCAGAATCAAGTTCAGGACGAAGCCGGAGATGAAGCCGTACAGGATCAGCTTATCGTCGACCTCCTGGAGCGTGGTAAAGATGCGGGTGAGTGATCCGGCGAGATAGTTAAAGACCTGGTGTTGATTAGCTTGGGTTCAGATCTCCACGGCAAGGTCACTCACAGCAAAGGCGCTCAGCTGGCCAGTGGTGCCTTGCGACCAAATGGCAGCAATCTGGGGGACCTTGCTCGCAACGCCCAGGAGGCCCGCGCCAGCTTGAAGGTAGCTCAAGGCCTTGGCATCGAGCACACCGGGCGTGAACAACGCGCCAACGGCAGCAGCAAGGGCGGCCACGAATACGGCTGCCAGGCCAGCCTTTCCGCTGTAGTTCAGAACCAGGACCGAGATGACAACGTTCTGTCCAAGGATCAGAGCCGTCTCGCCATATGTGCTAAACGGAAACTCGTTTCGGACGTTGTATGCGAGCGTGATGAGGTATGCCGTCGTCTCAAGGAAGTATGAAAGGAAGCTGACACCCTCGGCCGAGCGCGACTTGACAAGTTTGAGGATTTGTGGAACCTTGACGATGGACGAGGCAGCCACGATCCCAATGCCGAGCCCCTTGCTGATCGCGAGCTTCATGCAGGCCTGGTCATCCAGCGCGACATCGAGGAGCAGCGTCTTGTAGCAGTGCGCGCCGATTAGAGATTCGCCGAGGTCGCGGATGGGCGCGGGCAGGTTGTGGGTGATGGGCGTCACGGCCGATCGAAGGGCGTCCATGCTTGAACAAATTTTCGCACGTGGGATGCAATGCGACTGCGGAAGGTTGTTGCGAGAGGTGACAGTAATGTCAAGAAATCCGGCGCGATGGGATTTGTGACAGCGTGGTGAAATTTGCTTGGTTCATCTACAAGCCGGCTTAACTTGAGTGGGGTTCAGATTTTGCGCTACAGATGGTCCGTGTAAGTGAAGCTTTGTAAGGTTCCGGTTATGAGACGGCCAGTCGCTAACAAACACTGACAATGTTCGTTGATTCATTTCGGACGATCCCCTGAGCAATTAACATACCAGTCATGTGTGAACATAAAGTGCCTTGAATCACAATGAACGGGGAACATGCCACAGGGCAGTTTGGTGGCATGAAGCTCACGGAACTCGGCTTACCCTGTGGTTGGTAGGATGGAATACCCGTTGATATCGACTGGGGATTCCAACAATTTATGATATAAAAGGACGTTTACCCATAATTACATTCGTAAATAAGTATATGTCGGGTTGCAATCCCTTGAAACTACTAAAGTAGATAGAACTCGTCAGCCTGGCGTTCTTCTGCTCCTTAGAAAATTTGCCCATTATGCTTGACATTCTTTCCCTTCTGGCGTCTAGAGCCCTTGGGACACTGGATTGGCACCACAGCTTGGAGACAGACGGGATCGTTTCGCTAAAGTCGACACACGTCATCAGAAGAACCAATGAAATAAGAAAAGTGGAACTATTATCGTCTCGGTCTATCCCACGGCCGGGTCGTAGGCTGTGGGGTATCCAATATGTACCTTATCATACGCATTATGCTTGGCTATCCTATGGCGGCCTGATTGAAACCCGAGCTTGGGCTGAAATCAGCATCAAGCTACTACCAGCCCACAACGTCGCATTGAGATGGCACAATGAGCTGAGCAGCCTGGGCCGAATGGCGAACAAGCTGAGCTCCGACCAATGTCACGGAAGTTCCAGGGATCAACGAGGTGCTTCGCCTCTGTCCTTCTCGGGCGGATGGCTGCAGCGCCCGGCGACCCAATAGCAGGCGGTGAAGGCCAGCGGACCAGACATTCCTTCTCTTGTTCAAGCAGCGCATGCACGTGCGTACTATGCGAGGAATCAGCCCACCTTGACCTTGTCACGGTGGGATTGTCATCGCGACCAACAGCGACCAGTTGAGTCAGCCCTTCCAAGGGACGGAACTTTTCGCGGCCCCGTTCAGTTTACTATGCGTCGTTGCCTGTAAACCTGCCGCCTTCCGCAGCCAGCTGCCTACATCCCTTCAGGCAACCCATCTGTACCACCACACCCCGACGCCCGATCGAATCATTCGCAACGTCCTGCACATCAACTGAGCTCATCCTTGCTTCACTTTACTCTTTCCTTAATCAATCTAGCTGCTGAATGCTCTCTCCGACCGTGCTGCATCTCGAGAAGTCCATCGCGGGGCGCATATCGGCTGCATCACGATACCCCGCGACTGATGTCAGCCACCAACGAAGCATATCACCATGGCCACGCCTACAACCGCGAGCAAGGAGGCGCCGCCTCAAAACGCCGCAAAGGGGGCCGAGATCAAATATGAGTACATGTTCAAGAAGGACAAGAGTCCCACTGAGCAGCTCGACGCGCTCCTGAGAGCCATTGCTCGTCACATCGTACGTCACGCCCACCACGACCGACCTTCTTTTCGCCCAGCAACCCGCTGACCTTCCCCAGGCCCTCGAAATTGGCGACAAGACAGAGTACAGCCTGACGCCAGCGAAGCTTGCCGCCTTTTACAAGGCTGTCGGCGGCGACTATGATGGTAGGCGCATCGCTCGAGACGTTGAGCCGCAACTGACAGTCACGACCAGCGTTGTTCGTCCAGAACGAGCACAAGTCAATAAGTTGGATGTGGCAGATCACGGGCTGCCAACATAGTCTGAACCCAACCGACGACGATTTTGCACCGCCTTCGATACCTGCTCTCACACCCAGAGGCTTCTGCCGTTGGGAGTCGCTCGAGATCCTCCTTGGTCCGGACGAACACGTTCCCTTTCTCCAATACGCGGTCAAACACTTCAACCTGAAGCACCCCGAAACAGGCGCACTCTTCCCACCCAACCTGCCGAGGACAGTGTTTCCTCAAGAGCCGGACCCCGAAGTCGACAGGTGGCACAAGCACTGCGCTGCACAGCTGAACGAGGCCGCTGCGAAAGAAGGCGCAACGGACGACCAGACATCACCAGAGGCAAAGCCAGGCAGGACGAAGCCGGCACCAGAGCGTCCCGAGTTCGCCGAGCCGAAGTATGCCTACGTTCATGTCAACCATTCGAATTCGTCGTCAGAGCGCCAGCATGCGCGCCCAGGCGCCCAGCGCGCGAGACCATTTACCTACAGCCACGTGCCAGGCAGAAGCGCAAACACTCCAGGCGTGCGTGTGTCTGCGCGCTCGCCCCAGCGCGAGCATCGGGAGCCACCGCCTGACGATCGTGGGAGACGAAAGAGTTTCTCTGACTACCCGTCGCCATCTCAAGATCGCACACCTGGCAGCTCACATTCCAATACGTACTCGTCAGGTCCTTTTCTCGACCCCAACGCAAAGCGCCCCACAAGCGGATCTCGACGCCATAGTCATCCTCGACCCTACGATACGGACGATTCTGAAAGCGAGCCCCAGCCGGCCCATCAAGCAAGGAGACGACAAGCTAGTCCGCAACCGGGTAGAAAGTACCCGCCGCCCTCTTCGAGCATTAGACCCTCGCGGTCGCAACGTGTCGAAACACAGGGCAATGGCTTGAAGCGACACAGCAACAACAGCCCATTAGGCAGCCTAAGAGGGAGGATAAGTGAAAAGGTCTCTGGCGTTTTCGGGTCTAGTCGCCCCGCAGAGCGGCCAAGGACCGACTCGAGACAGAACTCGTACGCCGATTCACCCCGTCCAAGGCGGAGTCCGCAACGGCCACCGCTTGCATCTCGGGCCCAGAGAGGGGGTTTTTCAGACATCGACTCGGAAGAAACGTCAGAGCCAGAGACGAGCGGCGAGGATCTACGCCGACGCAGACGCAAGGACGAGAGGGTACGAGACGGTTATAAAGCAAGGCCGCCTCCGTATGAGCTAGACCGCGAACTAGACGATGACGTAGACTCAGGCGGTCGCAGATACAGACCAAGCATCCGCAGGCCCGAGGTCTACAGACGGACGAGCAGTCATGCCGATATCGACCGTCGGCGAGATCAAGCTGGCTTTGACCCCCGTGGTAGAGACAGGTTTCCGGACGACAAGAGACGCTATGACAGACGCTCACCCAACGAGGGCGGCTCCACCAGCCCTATGACCGGAGTGACCGGAAGGCGATACCCGGCCGAGCCGGTGTATACATGAATGGCATGGCAGCGATGGAGGGATTATGATGGTGCAAACGTAGGGTTTGTCGCGGATGATCTTCCAAGCGCGGAGCAGGCGTTTTCTTTTAGATAAAGTGTAGTATCAGTGGACATGTGGGCCATCTCCCAATACACTCTTTTTTTTTTCCTCTAAAAGCGTTTTGCACCTGGCAGTGATTTTCAGTGTGGCCAGTCCTTATCCTTTGTTCGTTCATACTTTAGGGGAGGCTTGCGTGTTGAGTCGCAGATGTTGGGACCCCCAGCCAGCCTCGACTCCTGGCTCTTCTTAGCTGCCTATATACTCTTTGCACAAGCACGTGCGGCACAACACTGCAGCTCGATCCGCGCTCTCTTCATCCAAAAGCAAAGCTCGCCGTCACGCTTCTGAGCCAACGAGTCTGTTCCAATGCCAAGGTGGCTCGTTCTTCATGATCATCAGGGGATGCCAGATCCCACTACCGCTAGTCTATGTATAGTCCGCCCTATAATGATCCCATATGTCACATTTGCCTTGTTCATGAAAACGCCTGCCCAATGTCCCCGGAATGAACCCCCTGCTGATCTGCAATCAATGTTTTCCGGCCTGCTCACGCAGTAGGCGCCGGACCATCTGCACGATGAGGCAAACGCAGCTGGGACCATGACCGTCGAGGACCAATGGCATGCAATCCGCGAGGCCAATACTCCCAGTATCCAGTGCGCTCCAAGAGGAGGGCCCTCCTCAGCAATCTCTGCAAGTATACCGGGACCTGGTCCCAGCGGTTCTGCCGCCCAGCTTCCATGATTTCGCGGGAGAACAGCCCAGCCGGTGCAATGGTGGTTTCGATGAATTCACTAAATTCGTTGTCGGACATGTTGTCGTTCAACAGGCCTGAGTCAATGAACATCTTGAGCCACCTTTCCCAGTCTTCGTCCATGGTGGTGACGTTGTCCCCTGCCTCCCTACGGGCCACAGCTTCGCGGAGGCGCGCATTCAAATCCTCGCCTATGCTGAGGAGAGCTTCTTCGTCATCGTCATCGTCCAAGTCGTCATCACCGCCGTCACCATGATCATCCTCGTGGGCGGTCGACGAGGACTCCTCCTCAGCATATTCAGCTTCCTCCACTGCGGCCAGTAACTCTTCCACTTCTGGCTGTGGGCTCCTCCCGACTAGAGGCGTGTGAAGACCCTCATTCTCGTCGTCTATGTCGTCGTCTATGTCATCGTCATCGGGCACCGAACCGACATCGGGTCCGTGGCCAGGCAGCCAAACCGCTCGCTCAAGTTCATCGTCCCATGTTGGCAAACTCATATTGGTTGTGTCCTCAATGACAATACCATGCTCTGTCTCAAACAAGCGTTTCGACCACAGCGTGCCCTCCCACGTAGCAAGCCGCAGTATTTCGCCCGGCGTCAGTGATAGGGCATGAAAGGCTCTGAAAAGACGTCGGTGCCATTTGAAGCGTTGAAGGCGCCGACGATGGCTGTGTGAAGTATAGTCGAGGCCGGGATGTTTCGCCTCGTCCGTTAGTAGGTGGCCATAGAAGGCCTCCGACTCCTCGCGCAACTCCGGCTGCAAGTGGCGCGTCACAAATTCTTGAAACGACAGAGGGTCGGCGGGGCCTGCTCTGGGGAAAAGTCGGAGGTACAGCAGATTCTCGATAGATGGCCCCTTCATGGTTGCAGCGGCGTTGACCAAATGACCAGTGCGTTGGGCTCAGGCTCCCCACGAGAAGGGGCTGGGGAGGTAGGGGGGGAGGGGGGGGGGGGGGGGGGGGGGACAGCGCAAGCGCGAGGATGCCGGAGCCAGGCCGCCCGATTGAGAAGGCGTCCGGCGGATGCAAAAGGACCACGG